TTCGTTTAGGCTATATCTGCTTATAGTCTATCCTACGACCTTTGACTTTCTACCTTTGTCTGGCACCGACTGACCCAGCCGGACTAAGGTTGATCCCACGGACTTAAGGGGCCACGATCTGCTTCGTGGTAGCTTTCCCCTTATGCTCCAACAGGATATAAATAATATTAGACTAAATAGGGTCACTAATAATAAGCTTACTATCTTTATCTGTCTCCTTAGCAGACTTAGTAACGATAGCCTAAATATCCGCGATATACTTAACTAAATTAACTATATTAATTAAGTTACCTTATATATTAAGGGGAACCTAGATAGATTAGTAATAAAATATAACTAAATAGAAAAGGTAAATAAACCGAAGGGTAAGAACGATTAGCACAGAAATATACCTAGTATAAAATAGAATCTAGCGTATCGCGTATATAAACTACCGAGAAGGCGCTCTACTTATCTTAGTCTCGGAGGGAGCGACGGGCGTAAGGAATATACTAAGTAAGCTTAGGGATTAAAGATATATCCCGCAGAGGGTAATAGCTAGGGGATAAAGGGGCAGATATATTAATTCGCGAGCGAAATAATGATAAAAATAGAGAAAAAGAAAAGAAATAAAGAGGAAGCTAAACTAATAATAAGTTATAGCTAAAGAATAAATAAAAAGAAGTCAAAATAATACTAAATATAAGTACTAAGGAGATAGAAGAGAGTTATTAAAGGGGGAAAAGTAAGGGGAGAGAAATAAGGAAATATATAAGTAAAGATATTATTGGAATATAGACCAATGCTACATAGAAAGATCTATCCTTATATTCAACATATAAGACCAGATTGCATTGATCACGTGACCAGATTTTTCTTCTATCAAAATAATGTTTTGACCACTTCTGATTCTGGTCCGCGGCCCTCCCCCGAACGATAGGCGGGACCATTTTCCTTTAGGGGTAGATGGTCCGCCTTTAGGCATGAATGGTCCGTTCCTTCGGGGGTGCCTTCGGGCATGCCTTGCCCGCGGACTTCGACCATGGTCTTCGGACCTCGGTGAACAGACTTCGACCCTCAGTCCCCTTAAGGATAGGCGGACCACTTTCCCTTAGGGGTAAAATAGTCTACCTTTGGGTATACATAGCCTGATCCTACGGGGATGCCTTCAGGGTGGCTTAGACCGTCGATCCTTAATATCATTCTTTTCGCTTCTCTTCGGTTCCCTTCTTTGCCACCTTCATTATGTTGCTGCCTAGTATTTGTATGTCATTCTAGACGTCATTTCTAGGCTATCCTAGCCCATAAATATGTCCCTCCTTTCTAGCAGATAGAATCAAGTCATTTCTACTTTCCTGAAGTCATTTTCCACTTTCCAAAAGTTGTCTCTACCTTCTTCCTTTGATCCTCAGGACTGTGGTTCTGCCTTCGTTTAGGCTATATCTGCTTATAGTCTATCCTACGACCTTTGACCTTATTCCTTTGTCTGGCACCGACAACCTGGCCGGACTAAGGTTGATCCCACGGACTTAAGGGGCCACGATCTGCTTCGTGGTAGCTTTACCCTTTTAGTCCAACATATAGCTATCAGATACTTAGGTACCCCTGCTCGGCCACCGCATTTAATTAAATAGGCTATATCTTTAGTAGTATCTGAAGCACCGCTATATCTCCTATATACTAGTCCGATAGTATTCCTCGTAGGAACTAGGTATATTTAGGAGAACACTATATCTCGGCTAGTCACTCTCGTTTGTCCGCACCGACTATATACCGTCGCAATCACTAGTGAATATAGTCTCCCGCTTAAGGTCTCAGACAGTCTTATAGCCTTTAGGGTCAAACGCGATCCCCACCCTCTAGGTGTGTATTTCTTCGTATAGTGATATGCCTTGACAAAAGAGCCTTCCCGGGGACGCCAATATAAAATGGGAACGGCTCGATAGCTGTCTGGCGATGCAGACTGGATAACACACACACACACACTGCCTGTCTGGTGTAGAGGATGCTGGATAAGGCCGTACTGATGCCCTGTTGCGGCCGTGCGGGATAATCTTAATACTGTATTTGGATAGAAGAAATTGGGTGAATCCTGAATGAATTGGGTAGATGACTTGTCTCTCTCTAAGTGTGTCTGGAGATATACTATGCACTGCAGACATTAAATCATGCCTGAGGCCACACATAGGCTCATTATGTCACCAGTTCTCCCACTACAATAGTTATAAGGCGCTATACGCCCTTTAGGGTAAGCTTAGTCTTACTTAGGTAAAATTTATAGGTAGGCTAAATAGGGTTAACATCCCTTACTTTCTGACCGTAATCTATCACTTTTTCGTCGCTTTACGATTAGCTTTTATCGATATTTTATTACTTATATCGTCTTTAAGGTCCGCTATATTAATAAATAGGCTTTAAAGGCAGAAAATAATAATATTAAGGGTGGGTGGGCTTATAACTAATATTAAGCTAGATAGGGAAGCGATAGTGTAAGGGTAATTCGATAAAGACGAAGGTCGGCACACCGATCCAAAGTATCACATAACATAGATGACTTATCGGTGAGCCGACCTCTCACCTCACCGGTGAGCCGACCTGTAGTCACGGAGAGGAAACGTTAGGAACTAGCTTATCTTAGCGCAATCATATAATATATTTATCCCGACTACCCTATAGTTTCTGCCGGCAAATCGGCCTTACGGCTGACAGATCCGAGAATGAATAATCAATCAATCAATTAATCAAGGATATTAGAGAAATGATCTATATGATAAATAATTTCCATAATTGATATATTATATAAATTATTCTCTCTATTACTCAAAAAAAGTAGCTAAGATATACTTATAAATCTTAGATTAAATTAGCTATAGTTAACTGTTTAAACTGTAAAGTGATTCTTGAATTTTTTTGATGTTAAATTTTTTTACCTTGTTATAACGTAGGAAGGCTACTAAATTTTTATCATAAGATCGATAGTCCAGTGGCATACCTACACCGCTTTGGGTGTTAGTCCGCCGGGGCCTAATATAACTCCGTAGTCTAATACATATCTTAAAGCTTTTTATACCTATTATTCTCTTTACCCCTATAGATATCCCATATTAAATTATTATCTAGATATTATCAGTATCCTATTTAGTGTCTCTGTATCTTTAACTTAGTCTATAATTAATTTAGGATGAATTTATTACTTAGTATCTGAGTTAAACTTTTTACGCTTAATTATTTTGGATAATTTTTATTTGTAATATTTACAATATGTCGAAGCTATAATTTAGATAATGAATTAAATGAATTAAATGAATTAAATGAATTAAATGAATTAAATGAATTAAATGAATTAAATGAATTAAATGAATTAAATGAATTAAATGAATTAAATGAATTAAATGAATTAAATGAATTAAATGAATTAAATGATTTAAATGATTTAAATGATTAAAATAGCGACAAATCTTTGTTTTTTTATAAATAGTCTTATAGTATCAAGATATTGAATAATCAAAGATAAATCGAATAGATAGATATTACAATTAATAAGTATTTTCTAAATTATATAAGATATCATAGCTTATTCTTGAATTTCAATAAACTTCTTTATATTTCTATTTTATAATATGATTGTATTATGTTTTATAACAGAAACTATTTTTTTTTAAAAAAATAAAATAAACAATTATTAAAAGACTAAATAAAATATATAATATGTAAAAAGAATAAATATAATAATCTTTTGTCAACAACAAAGATACAGAAATTCCTAAATAAAATATAAATTATAACTACATAAAAATAATAATCTCTACTTATAATAAATATAATTATGAATACATTTCTGGAAGAAAAATTAGTTAATCATAAAAATATTATTTAAATATTTAAGAAGCGATATTGTAATCTATAATTTATTTAAAAATATTATATCGTTCAAAAATATTATCGCTTTAAATATATTTGATATGATAAAATAATAACTCTAAATCATTTATCACTTATCATATATTTGATTCTAATTAAAAGATTATTTTCTTTTTTTAGAAATAGCTTTATATGATAATATCATGATTAATAGTCTTTTAAGTCTTTCTTTAACTTAGCTAAAAGCCAATTTTATCAGAATTATAGATATACAATAGCGAAATCTATTTGATACGTAGTTTGAAATAATTATATTAAGCTTATGAAATACAAATATTCTAAGCCTTAATTCTTGTTCTTTTTACTTTGATATTTTTCAAATGAAGCTTATTGACTAGGTATTTAATAAATTTATATATCTATATTTTATTGATCAATATTCCCTTTTTTTTTTAGTTATTATTTTATATTCGTTTTAACTATGTGCAAAGTAAGTAAAACGTAAAAACTATTAAGTATGATAATTTAGCTAATAAATACCGCCTCTTAAGATATATCAAGGCGCTTAGTAATAGTAGTATACTGAGAATAAGATAGCTAACTATAGAGATACGCCTATAGCTAAGTGATTAGAACGTTAAATCTACGTGTTACTTAGGCAGTTTTAGCGCCTTTCTAACCTCTAGTAGCTTTGCAGGCGACCTAAGTATATTATCTAATATTGATATAAAAATAATTTCTAATAAATAAATAATGATAGGTACAAATAGCTTTAAGATACGCGTTAGGCTATGGAGTTATATTAGGCCCCGGCGGACCAAACACCCGAAGCGGCGTGGGGATACTACGGGACTATTACCAATAAAGTCAAAGCCATTCGGGGGTATCTTCAGCTTGTATAGCATAGGCAGTCTTAGGTTGGTCCGGCTAAATTTCATAAAGTCGTCGTTATCGCATGGGATAGTGTTAATTAGCAACTTCCTTTGTTCTTTGATAAAACAACACTGATTACATATAGGTCTGAACCATAAGATTTACGACATCCTGAATAACTCAAAAGCGAATACGCTGCACCGAGCCCGATCCATGATTATATGTAAAGGTATCAGACTTCCTGCGATCAAGGAGCATTATATTTCTAGTAGGTAACTAGTCTAGAACTAAAACTTGGACAAATAGACCTTCGTATTTTCGTAGACCAAAAAGGTCACCCAAGTGCTCGGCAGCACTCGGAATAAATTGGGACCCAGACCTTTGTAAAATCCCGCGAGCCCCTCTTGGGCCCAGATCCTGACAACGGCATCGATGGCACCTCGGTAAAACAGGTGCGAATCATAAGTCTGTAAGCGCGACCGGACAACTTGGTATGGATATGTGATGCAGCCCGAGAAAACCTTGGATAGACTGGAGAGAGCCAGAAAATCAAAGTTACCAAGCTTCCGCCCTGCGCCGGAACTCGCGTCGCCCAAAGGCGCATCCTGTCCCGACCTAGATCGGAACACCTTTAATTTTTCATAAGCCATGAACTGAAGAGCTCCCTGACTAACACCAAAGAGGGCGGGCACAAGACCTCGGTAGAAGCCCGATACACCCTCCGAGTGGTAAATCTGTCTTGCCCCAGAGACAGATGAGGGATAAGCGCCCGGAGCATGCGATCCGGTGGATAACATGCGGGTCTTGATTACCCAGATCGGATTCGTAAGAATGGATGTTAACGCACCTGCATGCCAGCAAGTTAGATATGGGTACTAGCTTCGCGGTTGGAGAGCGTACCAGCAGTGCCCGACGCAACAAAGTAATCAAATGATGTGAGCATCCGCCCATCTCGCTCCCGGCACATGCAAATGACATCTTTGAAGCTACTGTAGCATAGGAAGTACAAGGCCCAACTTGTCGAGTTGCCGATAAGATTCGGAGCCAGACCTCGGTAGAAAGCAGCTACGCCGCCTTCCGTTTGGAATACGCGATGAGCGATGCGCAATGAATTGCCAAACCGAGAAGAAGAGTTTCGATCAACTGGAAGGCCAGGGAATTAGGACTGTGCTTTGATCATAGGAGAAGGTTGTCGTACCCTGCAGTCTTGTCTTGACCAAGTCAAGTGGGTGGAGGGAGAGAGTTGTAGCAATTCCCGCTGTGAATCCTGCTACGGTCTCCACAAAGGATGACGACAAGCCATGGCCAGTCATGAACCTTAGAAAAGTGTGTTTGTAGGGTGGTGAGGAGACGTAAAGGAGAGAATGTTTTCTGCCGCGCGGGAGACTTCGGCTTCCGGACTCGCGCCGCGCCGCAATTAAGGTGCGAACAAGACATGTAACAGCTGGGATTACGGACGTATCTCTATTGAAGCAAGGAGTGTTAACGATTGTGATTTGATTTAAAATTACATACGGTGGACGCTCTGGGTCATAGAACGGTCCGCCTTCAAAGACAGAAAGAAGAGGCATGTATCAAGTGTCTTCAGCGTAATGAAGTCTTTCCCTAGGTTCCCAGATTCGCCCAGATCCCATTCGATATTCACTATCCGGTAGGCATTTAAGCAAGAGGCGAGAACAGCCTGGTGATAGGTTAAAATATGGTTTCGGGATTCGGTGAGGAAGAAACATACTTGAACAAAGACGGCTTCGGTTCGCTGTAGGTGTAGCCTGTTGACTCGAAGTCAGCATTCATCCAAAACCAGAGGCCAAGCAACATGAAGCTTCTTGGATCCACCCCTTCTCAAACCACAGCCGAACATACCTAGGTAAACGATGAGTGGCAAGTAGCCGCTGAAAAAGCACGATGATGTTAGCCCGGTTGCTGATACGAATGTAGGAAATCGGCATAAGTCTTACTAGTGGATGGCGAATCTGGAAATATCGATGACCTTGGAAACACGTTCCTACGAGAAAAGACAGAATTAGCCTTCCGCAGGGGAGGTGCGTGACAAGTTGGACCAACCTTGGTCTCCTCGGAGAATTGAACCATTATGACGAAAAATGGATATGTGAATGGATAGGAGTTGGCGAAAATAGTCGGTCTCAAACTAGATGAAGGAGGGAAGAGGCCGCAAAGTTATGCTAAAAGAGGTTGAAGGGGATGGAAAGAGAGCCGAAAGACGGTTCAAGAGTTTTCGGGAGTCGGGAAACCCCATGATCACCGCATCAGTTCCAGCTCCTTCAAACTCACCATCCTTGCCAGCCAGCACATTTTGCCTCGTCCACTCGCGCAATACGGAGTCCTATTCAGTCCTTCAATAAAGTGCGCCTTTTTTTCTCGTTTTTCTTCTTCTTGTTGAATTTCCATTTGGCTACGTCCGGGTCCCCTTGACCTGTCGGCACCATGTCCGGCGCCAGACATTGGTAAGATACTCTGTCTGTCTTCACTCCGCGTTTCCTCCCGCTAACCAAACTACAGGGAGCAAGATAAGGAGGCTACAGTGTACATCGGAAATCTTGATGAGCGTGCCTCGGACAGCCTGGTATGGGAGCTGATGCTGCAGGCGGGTCGCATTGTTAACGTCCACCTGCCGAAAGACCGAGTTACGCAGTTACACCAAGGATATGGATTCGTGGAATTCATCAGCGAGGAAGATGCCGAATATGCCTCGAGGGTTATGAATGGAATACGTCTGTTTGGCAAACCAATTCGCGTGAACAAAGCATCAGCGGACAAACAAAAATCGGTGGAAATTGGCGCGGAGCTCTTTGTAGGAAACCTGGACCCCATGGTCGCCGAGCAAGTCCTTTACGATACGTTCAGTCGTTTTGGAAATTTGGTCAACCTCCCAAAGGTCAGGCACTTATGTCCAAGAGTCCCTGCTTGATCAAGCTAATTGATATCAGATTGCCCGAGATGACAACAACCTGTCCAAGGGTTACGGATTCGTCTCTTTCGCCGATTTCGAATCCTCTGATGCCGCAATTGCGAATATGAACGGCCAATATCTCATGAACAAGCAAATTTCAGTGCAGTACGCATACAAGAAGGATGGCAAAGGAGAGAGACACGGTGACGAGGCAGAGCGAATGCTAGCGGCACAGGCTCGGAAGCACAATGTACAGCTGCCAACACAGCAGATCCCGCCCACATTCGCTGGGATTGGTCCGGGCTCTGCCACTCCATCGATGCCAAACGGCGATGCCTCTCGGCCGGTGAGCACTGTCCCACAAGCGACCGATCCGGGCACGGGCAGAGGATTGCCGGTACCTATGTCCTACCAGTTGCCTCCTCAAAGTCGGCCTGTTCCTCCCCCATCACTCGCGACCCCGCCGCCAGGTTTACCAGCACGCCCACCGCCGTCTCAAGCTGGCTATGGCGGTCCCCAGACCTTCATTCCACCAGGGTTCAATGGAGCCAGCCAAGTACCTTATGCACCCCAAACTGCACCCCCACCTGGGTTCGGGCCTCCCGGGTTTGGGCCTCCAGCAGGCGTTCCCGGAGCCCCCCCCATCACTACCTCCCGGGTTTCAGCAACCGAGCTATGGGAATGGTCGCTGAGTAGCTCAAATTGTCTGAGGTATTAGCTCCGGAGCGGCATTGGATGACCCCGTAATTTGGGTTTCTTGATTGGGAGCGATCTATATTTCTTCATTTCGCCTCAGGACATGGGTCACCGACCACCTCGGCTTTGCGGCGGCAGGGCAGATCCTGCCTCTAACTTTGAATCACGAACCGCCCTCGAAATCATGCGACTGCCTATCACACGTTGTTTCGCTATCGGAGCGAGTCCCGTCGCGCCCTTTCTTTCGAAACTTGGCCTCTTTTGAAATATATTCCGACAGACGCACTGGTAAACACCCTAGCGATCTCAAACCTAATCCTAGAAAAATGAAGAATACAGGTGCAAGTTCAAGCTTCGTGTAAGAGATGATGATTTCTGCTTCAACCTAAACGCCACGCCTCGCAAACTGAAGTCGACCCAGAAAAACCGACGTGGGAACATAAGGAAAGGAAAGACGATGGAACTGAGAAATGCGAGGAAGAGTAGTCGGAAGTCATGTTTTAGCTGTAGACAGTATCAAATGATGGCTCATGAAAATGAAACAAATTTGGGGTCTCGAGGTCGACCGTCCGGTCCAATATTGTTCTTTGCGAATCGCTGTTCGGTGTAAATCCGTCGTGCTTCATCAAAATTGACCTTACGAGTCTTCATAATCCTTTGCACCTCCTGCTTGGCTCGTTGGTCTAGGCCACTTCTCGTATCGCCGCCCGCAATGTTCGCGCCAATGTCGAATTGTGACGAGCTTAAGCCGGCCTCCAGATCGCCCGTGAAGCTAGAGGGAAGTCGATGGTAGATGTAGTCTGGTACCGGAAGTAATGAGATCCATCGCGAACGAGTAAGGTAGAGGGCTGGATGAACATTAGCTCGTCCTCCGGTAATCCGGAGGTGCAAGGGTTGCTGGACTTACCCGTTCCGCAGATGATGACCGAAAATAAGAGCGAGTAGAAGAGAGTGTAAGTCATGATGGGCAAGATGAGGACAGCCTGTGTCCCTCGAAACTGAAAGTCGCGAGACGCTGAATTCACCGAGTTCAGACGGGGTTATAGGCCAAAGACTACAATCAGCGCAGAGGGGCTCTAGCTCACGTTGGGGCGTTGTCTTGTTAGCGCCTGAATGCCCGGATGCCTTAGTAACGTAATTCACCACCGAGTGGGCCACACCACCGAGTGGGCCACCCAACCACCCTTTCTACACTTTTATTGATATAAATCAACCACAACGCCTTTATATTTATTAATCTCTTCTTGGACAGGCATTCTTTTTATGCCCTATCTCGCTACAATTACCACATTTAGGTAGACGCCGCGCTCTTGGTGCTTGCGTAGCTTGCGCCGGTGCTACCTTTGGGCCTATTCTTGGCTGAAAGAACGAATCATGAGCTTCCTCAAGCTCTAATGCTTCTCGTACTGATAGACCGTCATCGTGGGCTATCCATCTACTCACACGAGCGCGTTTTTGCCTTTGCGTAGCGTTTGCAGCGCGTAGCTGCCTATTTTCTTGCTCGAGAAATATACCGTTTTGCATTGCAATTTGACAGCCTTTGATAAGCTGGTTTAACGCGGCCTGGGACGGCGATGGCGGACTTTTGGAGCGTCTCTTTAAGAAAGCTTTGATAGACGATGCTTGCTTTAGAAGCTCGTCGACGTTCGCCGGCGTATGTGGGTAAAAAGCGCTTGATTGACTACCGCGGCTTGTAGGTGGTGTCGGCGTCCGAAGTTGAATATTAAGCTTTGATAGCACTGGCTGAGGATTGAATGGTACTAATCCTGCTGCTTGGAAGCTATTTTGAATCGTATTTGGTTTAAATGCGTCAGCGCGAGCTTGTGGATATGCTATAAGGAAATCAAGCTTATCGATATGGTTGATCCCAAGCCGTATATTCTGGCTGACCAAGCTACCGTACGAGCGCTTTAAAACCGCGAAACACCCGATATCAAGCGGCTGTAGAAGATGCGAGGAATGCGCTGGCATACAGATTGGTATAATATCGTGATCTTGGCAGAGTTGATCAAATTCTGGCGTAAGATGGCTTCCGTGACCGTCGAGAATAAGAAGTCGATATCTTCCATGCGTACGACTATTTGTCGACGGGATAAATTGCTTTTGAAGCCAGCGAAGGCCTATCGCGTCGGATGTCCACCCATTTGCGCTAACTTCGAAGCGCCAGTCGGGTGGAAGGTCTTTAAACCACGCTTGATTATATTGCTTACCTTTAAAGATAAGCGTCGGTGGAAGCGCCCACCCCGAAGCATTGATTGATTCGATCGCAGTTACCCACTCGCGGTTTCCTGGCTGTAAGACTAATCTCCGGCCATAGTATTCTGATCGGGTAATCACTTTTTGCGTCGCACAGAGGCCCATCGCGAAGCCAGTCTCATCGAAGTTATAGATATCGTCCGATGAGATACCGTATTGCTGAATTGTGGCTTGTACGGTGTTAAACCACTCTTGAATAACCCTTGGATCCTCTTGTTCTGCTCGCCGGTAGTCATAGCGTCGTGAAAAGCGAGATTTAAGCTCTGGATGGCGTTGTATAAATTTTGTGACCCAATTCTTGCCGGTCGGCGTAGTATCCTTCGTGCCGCGTTTTTGGATCAATAAATTAGCCATTTCTTGCACCATTGAGTGCCTAGGGGCTGCACCGCGGGTATCCATTGAGATAATCCACTGGATAAGAGAATCTTCCTCGATTTGCGATAGTTTATGGCCATTTGGACGAGTTTCAGCGCGATTTGTAGTCCCGCGTAGTCGACGCGTGAGCGTAGAACGAGGCACTTGAAATTGATCTGCAGCCTGCCGTATGGTGCCAATTTCTTTGCTTTTGATAGCTTGTATAGCAAGTAGGAGGCGGCCTTCTTGCTGGATAGAATCCTGGCTTGATCCGATACGATTTGGACGCATGGTGGTTGATAGAAGACAGATTGACGCGGTAGGACGCGAAAAAGTGGTTGGGTGGCCCACTCGGTAGTGTGGCCCACTCGGTGGTGAATTACGGTTACATCTTTATGCCTGTATAATCAGGCATTTAAACTGGGCATTAGCTGAGACATTTTAGGCTAAACCCAAAATGGTCTGCTTAGCGAGAGCGCATTCCCATTCGACTCACACACACTCTCAAGAGAGATTGCAACCTTTCGAGTCCAAACCGTCATAATGGCCGCCGAACGCACAAATGTCTCTAACGATCTGATCTGGATGCTCACCCGTATGTAGCGCTGGAATTTTCTCCACTCAATTCTCGTTTCGTGGCTGACACTTCGGCATAGGCAACCAGAATGCTTATCTGGTCCGCCGTAACGCCGGTGGTGGCTCCCAGTTCTCCCGGGACCCTCTCAATCTGGTGAACAAGCACTCCTTCAAGGTTCGATTCAATTAGCTGCCATCCGTACTACTCCAACTTGAAGACTGACGGAAGTATTTAGTATGCCGGATACGCCAACACTAAGGTACATATTGACCCTCACGCCGCGCTTTGCACGAAACTACCTCCTCCCCAAATGTCCTCACGAATTTCTAATCGACTTTCCTCAGGCCATCGGCGTTCAGGCTACCGAGAATGGTGATGTCGCTGTGACCACCAAGAAGCCCAGCAACCCCCAGCAGCCCGGCAAGAACCTGGTCACCGTCACCTACGGCCCCAAGACCTCTACACGCAAGTAAGCTAGACACCGGGTGTTTCACTTGAACCGCGACGGTGGAAGAATGGTACTGACCGAGGGACGTACTAGGATCTACAAGGGTGTTGCCGACAAGACTGCCCAGAACGGCTACCGTGCTGATCTCCGCGAGGAGGCTGTTGCCCGTGTGAGCGCCATCCGCCGCTCCCAGCAGCCCAAGAAGGATGCTCCCGCCCCCAAGGTCCGTGGTGTCAAGGCCCGCCAGGTCGCCGAGAAGGACGAGTAAATACGTCCAGAAGTGATAGCAAACAATGGCGGACGAACAGCGAACCGGTCAATCTTTGAAAAGAACGACCACGTCGTGCTGGATCAAAAAGGACGAGGTGTCCATGTAATCTAGCGATTTCATTCCAGGATAATCGAATTCTTGGAAGAATGCACTTCTCAAAATGAAACGATCCACAGGACGGAAAAGCTATCAGCCTGAAGAAAGTAAAAGAAGCGATCTCAAATGCCGCCGATAGTCGGGCCGAGAGCCTGAAGCCTCGGGTTTGAACCCTAAAGTAGAAGCCGACAGGGTAGCATGAGAAGACGATGATGTCGTTTGCCGTGGAATTCCCTCTGATCTCCCGCCTTCTCCCGACAAGTGGACGGAGGAAAGAAGGAGAAGACCGGGGAGAGCATCGGCACGAATCACAAGGGACGAAAATGATCGGAGCAACCAGACTAGAAACTATTCACCCCACTCCACATGTCAACGTCGTGCTAGCACTCCAGTGTAAGATGCATAGTTTGAAAGTTCTAGAGCTCCATGGGACGAAACAAATCGGGCCATCATGCGTCGTGAACTTAGTTCCCGTGAGGGCAACTCCGGGGTTGCCCCTCACTGTCTAAGCCCCTCTGTTATTAAAACCTCCCGCTTTCCCTCCTTTCCCCTCTCTCCATCTCTCCTCTCCCCATTCTTTCCCACTCTACTTTCTACATCATGGTTAAAGCGGGTGGGTTTTATTTCCTCTATCATTCCTTCTTAAGCTAACAAATTCAAGTTGTTCTCGGTGCCTCTGGTGGCATTGGCCAGGTCAGCTCTCTCAATCTACCCCTCCCTTCTTCCAAGCTTCAGCTAATGCTTTCCGATAGCCTCTCTCTCTCCTCCTGAAGGCTTGCCCTCTTGTGGATGAGCTCGCCCTGTACGATGTTGTTAACACTCCCGGTGTCGCTGCCGATCTTTCTCACATCTCCTCGGTTGCTGTATGTTCTCGAATCCTACGCCTTCATGCCTTGGCATGCACGAGTAGCTCTGACCACAACCGTAGAAAATTTCCGGCTATCTTCCCAAGGATGATGGTCTGAAGCACGCCTTGACCGGTGCCGACATTGTGGTCATCCCGGCCGGTATTCCCCGTGAGTATAACGTGTACGGCCCGGCCCTCGATATCACCTGCTAACGGTCCGGTATTCAGGCAAGCCTGGCATGACCCGTGATGACCTCTTCAAGATCAACGCCGGTATCGTGCGCGACCTGGCCAAGGGTATTGCCGAGTTTAGCCCCAAGGCTTTCATCCTAGTCATCTCTAACCCTGTCAACTCCACCGTTCCCATTGCCGCCGAGGTCCTGAAGGCCGCCGGCGTGTTTGACCCTAAGCGTTTGTTCGGTGTGACCACCCTGGATGTCGTCCGTGCCGAAACCTTCACCCAGGAATTCTCTGGTCAGAAAGACCCCTCTAAGGCTACCGTCCCCGTCATCGGTGGCCACTCCGGCGAGACCATCGTACCCCTCTTCAGCAAGGTCTCTCCTAACTTCCAGATCCCCGCTGACCGATATGAGGCCCTCGTTAACCGTGCGTCGAACCCCCCCATATCCATTAGCCGAAGAGAATTCGCTGACTGACACAACGCAGGCGTTCAATTTGGTGGTGATGAGGTGGTCAAGGCCAAGGATGGTGCTGGATCTGCCACTTTGTCCATGGCCTATGCCGGTTTCAGGTAGGGTTGACCCACACTTGCTGCAAGTTACCGTCGCTGATGCTATTCCAGATTCGCCGAAGCCGTTATCAAGGCCGCCAAGGGCGAGAAGGGCATCGTCGAGCCTACTTTCGTCTACCTGCCTGGTGTTACTGGCGGCGATGAGATTGCGAAGGCTACCGGTGTTGAATTCTTCTCTACTCCGGTAGAGCTCGGCGTAAGTTTCTTTGCTCAAAGCATAGTCTCATTGGCGTAAGACGCAAACTGACCACTATCACTACAGCCCAATGGCGCAGAGAAAGCCATTAACATTCTTGGTGGCGTGACCGAACAGGAGCAGAAGCTCCTCGAAGCTTGTGTCAAGGGCCTTAAGGGCAACATCGAGAAGGGCGTCGAGTTCGTCAAGAACCCCCCCACCAAAGTAATACCTTCCTCCCCAAGAAATCCTTGCCTATCTCATCACACGGGCAAATTCTATCGTGCCGCATTTGTACTCGCCGGCTGAACCCCGGCGCATTTGCACGTTGAAACCCATGATCAGAGCCTTGCTAATTATGGTTATCCCGGAAAGATAGGCTTTAAGCGTGAGATCATAAGATTATGAAAGACGAACAGACATGACAGTGCTTGGTTCTCGGTCGTTGTACTTGGCGGCAGCATAGTATGCGAGATAGTGGAGATCAGGCATGCAAAGAATATCATCAATTTCCGTTCGCATCGGCATGTCCCTTGTAGTCCTGTCTTGTACAGTCGACCTGTGGAATGAACTGTCCTTTATCCCGGAGGGACCCATGCGCTGTCAGGTACATAGCCCTCATCTCCAGACCTGCTAGAGAACGCTGCCGGGATAGTCGACCCGCGGCAAATTGAGACCAGACCGGCGTGGAATTGTAGTCACACTCTCAGGGTCTGGCCTGAACGGTTTTGATCTGGAAAGTTGCCCCTGGAAGATCCGATGTCTCAGCCTGTACCGTAGTGTTGATGCCTAGATTCGCTAGAGCACCTCGAATGATACCGCATGGAAACCAGAGGTACTGGTGTCCGAGGTATTAGCCGGAAGCCTCATGTTTGAAATGTATCCAAGGATTTCCTGACCGCTTGCGCCATTGATATCGCTTCACTCCGCGCCGCCATGCTCATTCTTCCAAACGGGCGAAATGCACTGTCGGTGAGAACGTAGACTCCCTATTGAGTTTCATATCAGTGTCTCTGTCGCGCCGAGGCAGCTAGGCTGAACACCAAGCTCTGTATCTCGTCGCCGACGTACCCGATGGTTGGTTTTCAAATTGTCGACCTGTTTTCGAAACAAAACTGTCCAAAGATCCTTGCATAGAAATTTAATAACGTCGAGATTGTCTGTGAATCGAGGTCGATCACGGGAGAATCTGAATCGCGAGAAGATGCCGTCAGCAAGCTGGAGCGTTGTCTACGAGGATTGGCGGCGATTGCAAGGGCATGAAGCTTCCTACCTTTCAGCGAGGCCCTGTCCTACCCTGTAGCCTAAAGTTTCAAGACGAAAGTATGTAGTCTCCCTGACCTCCTCATCTTCTGGTTCGTTTTCGTTCGTCGCAAGCTCCTTGGCGAGGCGCTCGGCCATCGGCACCAGCTCGATGAGTAAGAAGTCAAAGCAGGAGGAGCTTACGGCGCGCGCATCTGGGTCGGAAATGTTCAGCGCCGCAGACGCATCGAATGACATGGTGGCTGGGGATGTGAGTTGAGGGAAGGTGTCTGTCAGGGTTTCGGGGGTGCAAAGGCGGGAAGAGAGGTCCCCACATGTTAACTACGGTTTGAACTACCATGAAACAGCACATCAGCCTCAACATCACTCAATCTTCAGAAAAAAACATCAAGCAGAAGAGAAACTGGGAACGTTTGGAAATCAAAATACGAAATTCTCCAAAAAAAAAAAAAGGCCCGAGTACCCGAGAACCCATAAACACATGTTCGCCCTCGAATTAATTGATCCGAATGCAATCTAGGAATCAAGGCCACGCTATAAACACCACGGCAAAATGCATGTAAAAACACAAATTTAGGAGTATTGCGAGTACACCTAAATCCACGGCGAGATTCAGCCCGACTGGTATGGCGGTGGGTAGGTTCCGTTATGGAGAGGACTGCTAGTGACCGGCTGGTGAGTATCCCCTCGAACACTAAAGCTGAGGGCTGGCCGCTTCGGCATGGGCGCCGGTGATTCATCTTCTTCTTCATCACTAGCCGTGAGGTCAATGACCTGAGCAGCAGGTCTTTTCTTGGACATCCGAACCGCAGAAGACGGTGTTGATGCCTCCCGGGATTGAGATTGAGATTGGGCTGGGGTTCGTTCGAGCATAACGCTCGAAGACATAGGCTCCTGCTTAACAGGACTAATGCCAGGCTCCGTAATTTCGATCAAGTCGTCGTCATCTGTTGCAGGGGTCACTCCGCCCAGTTTACCTCCATCCGCATCGTTGGGATTCGACCACGCCCCGTCAGGTTCAATGACGACCTGCTCAACATCTGGCAAAGTTTCACGTAGAATGTCATCAACATATCTATTGATAATCAGAAAAGGATCATGACATAGAAAAGTTCTGTCGATGCGTCAAACTTACTGATCAATTTGCAGTGACTCAAAACTGGTTGATTTGGAGCATACTGGACAGGTCCAGGTTGGGGCTTGCTTTTGTAACTCAAGGAAAGAGGATGCATCAAAGCACTGATTATGGGTACAGACCACTGAGCGACAGGGGACCTCAATCCGTAAAGTCGACAGGGGACATTTGAGGGACATGATACTCGACGTAGCAACAATGTCGGAGTCTTCGGCGCGATTTTTCACTGCAACATTCAGTTAGACTATGGAATCTGCTAACGAACAAGAAACCTTGTGGACCTACTTTCTCGAAGCACCTGGTCCTTGGAAATAAGTTTGCGGGATTTCAACTCCGCTACCAGATCAGCCACTGGGTGTTGTCTGACAAGGTTCGCGAGCGCAAAGAATTTCTGCAGCGAAGATTAGCAAGAAAATCAATGGTCGCGAGGCTACTTCACAACAAGGGCCATAGGTGAGCCAAATATATAAGAGACCTACCTTTTGGGTCAACGCATAAGTCATGACGATATTGTTGGTGTACCCCGGCTTCTTGCGCATGTAGTTCGTGACATCAGCGGGTTGTGTCGTACCCGGTCTATTCTTCAAGCCCCGGAGATTGGCCTTGACTTCATCCAGATTGGCCTTTAATTCCACTTGATGTGGAAATGCAATGTCGGACTTGGTATATTGTTTGAGGCCAGAGTCTGCTGCACAATACACCATCACCCGAAGATTCGGATCTGTCTGTAAATCCGCCGCCGTGGACGCAGAGAAATTGACCTTGAGTTCAACGCTATCCCTTGTTTGCTCGCGGACTGGCTCATATTAGACTCCGTGACTTGACTGGAAGACATCTCGGATGCGTACCTTTACACTCTACAATTGGGGTGAGGTGCGTCACAATGGTAAAAAAAGGACTTTCCTTGAAAGTGAGATGACCTATTTATAGATGAGTCACAGCCAAAGATGTTGGGTGGGAGGAGTTTATGCAAACCGGTGTGTGAGTGGGGCGACATTGAGGCCCCCAAAGGTGTAGATCGAGCCTGTGAGGGTGCCTGATGAGAGACAGTAGGGCTTTGGAGCTGAAAGGCAGTGTTTGCTTGGAAAGTTGAAGTGCCCGGGACAGCTGTGTGAAAGATGAGTCGTCTCAGGGCATCGTAGCGGGCACTATTTCCCTCCGAATTGGCCAGGCGTTCAAGATCTATCTCATTACAAGTGTCAGCACTCCTTCAGGCAAAAATTCGGAAGGCTCGATCGAAATATTGGAGAAAACAGTCGGGAAAGCAAGCGCAGAGGGCACAGAATCGGCCATGGAACGGAGAAGTCAAGAGGGAGGAAACAGACAGTCAATTATGCGGAGTTGTAGAGATATTTTGACGCCGGAAACAGCGAGGCCCTCATTTCGTAGAAGGTCTTTCAGCTGTGGATTGGTGAGAGTCTTTATCAGAGCAACGAGATGTGTGATCTCAGAGGATTGGCCGGAGGACGCCATCATAACGCGGCCACTTCGTGGGTATGCTTGAGAAGAGCACCGGCAACTTAGGCAGATTGCGACAAAGCCAAGTCAGCATGGGATCCGTGAAGACGCATCTCAATGCTGCTTTACTTCTTTATCCAAGGCCAGGACAGTTGGGTTCCTGGTACAATCAAGACTTGACGTGCGCGGGCTTTCAGCGGATGACATAAGACAGGGCCTATCGCGATAAAAGAGGGAGGGAAAAAAAAACTCGGGGAAATTGATATCGGTACAATCTCATTCCCCCCTACTTCTCCAATCTTGACAAGCTATTTTCCACCATGGCGAAAAGTATTCGAGCCAGTGTCTCTAAGCGCAACCGGGCAAACCTTCGCAAGAAGATCGCTGGTCCGGCAGTCGACGCTCGAACCGAACGACTTGCCGCCAAACTACAGGAACTCGCCTCCCAGCCTAAGCCTGCAGCCCCCGTAAAGTCGGAAATGGAAATGGGCGCCGGTCATACTGGTACGTCTGCTGGTACCTCTTACCGTCTCTCGATTTGATTTCGCATTCTGATAATGACCCGTGATCACAGCCGATCCAAACCAAGGCGACGATAAAGCCACTGCGACCGGTGAAGGTAGGTTCCACTGGCTCTGAGCTTTCGCATATTTGAATCGACCAGTGCTCTGACTGACTATTTCTTCTTTCATTTCATACAGAGATGGACGTCGATACCAAGATCAAGAGCCAAAAGAAGCCCGCTCGTGTGCAGAAGGGAAACCGAAAGCCTCGCAACTCGATAGTGTTTCAGTCACGCTTCAAGACGAAGAAGGGCCCGAAGAGAAAGTAAATACTTAGAGAGGCGACCTTGAATGGACGGCATGGAACGATGCACGGGTGAAAAGAAAGAACCATGGCGTTGGGAGTCTGGGCACATATTTCTTGCGAAATCAGTATTGTCTATATATCAATTGCATCAACAATCACAAATTTCACATTGCGAGTTTGGACCAAAGTAGTGGAGACTGATAATACAAAGGCGCAAGGAAGGCGGTGTGATGACGATAGACACCTTGATAGCTTCTATCAAGACGCGTTCCGCTTCTCCTGCCCGCGTAGAAGTCGCAGGGAGAATCATGGCCATCCTGAAGTGCGGCTGGGCGACTCTGGTCGCCAATCTCTTGTTGCCGGTGGGCATTCTCATCTTTTCTTCCGGATTCTTTCCCTACAAACCGCTTCTCCCTGGTCTGGCAACTTTCAACGATGTTGATCGAAAAGCCACATCTCCGGTCTTCGATAAAGTCATCTTTATGGTGGTAGATGCATTGCGCAGGTAGGAATCAACCTCAAGCCTTGTTTCATACATTCAAACCCCGCTGAAGAAGGGCACAGCGATTTTGTTTACTCAAACGAATCCGGATTCTTGTTCACTCAAAGGTCGGTCGCATCACCCTTACGCAGAGAGCTACCGATTGACTCCTCGGTAGCTTGATTCGAGCAGGGGCCGCGCTGCCATTTACTGCCCATGCTAGCTCTCCCACGGTGACAATGCCCCGGCTGAAAGCGATGACCACAGGGTCTGTCCCCTCGTTCTTGGACGTTATCCTGAACATTGCTGAGTCGGATACCACGGCGACCCTTGCGTATCAAGACACATGGCTTGCACAGTTGAAAACCAGAGGAGACCGCCTCATCATGTATGGCGATGATACGTGGCTCAAACTCTTCCCGGGAATGTTTGACCGAGCCGATGGAACGACGAGCTTTTTTGTGTCGGTCAGTGAGACCCGTCGGAAAACATGCATGTCTCTTATTATTGTTGTGATTCTTGGAACTAATTAATTCATCTCAGGATTTTGTGGAGGTTGATCACAATGTGACGCGCCACGTGCCCCGTGAGCTTGCCCAAAGCGATTGGTCTGCCATGATCATGCATTATTTGGGCTTGGATCATATTGGACACAAATCAGGCCCAAGAAGGTAAGTCCCTGGCTTCATCCAGCTTTTTACTGTCATTTGACATCGAAGTAGTCCCTTCATGGCATCGAAACAGCAAGAAATGGATGCAGTAGTGCATGAAATCTATACAGCCATGCAGCAAGAGGCCCATCTTCAGTCCACTCTTTTTGTCTTGTGTGGAGATCATGGCATGAATGATGCCGGAAATCATGGCGGCTCATCTGCCGGTGAAACATCTCCAGCGCTACTGTTCATATCTCCTAAATTGCAAGCTCTGAGGACTCACCAGGAAAGTCCAGTTGAACCCTTGAATGACCTGCAATACTATCAGACGGTCGAGCAAGCAGATATCACTCCAACGCTAGCAGGTCTTCTCGGCATGCCTATTCCCTTGAACAGTTTGGGGGTTTTCATCCCAGAGTTTCTCGATATGTGGGATTCTGGTGTGTATTTCTGCCCCAGTATTCCTAAGTCAACGCATACACATGGACTAATGCCGCTCCAGAGACCCAAAGACTATATATTCTGGAACGTAACGCTCAGCAATTACTGAACACGGTCAGAGCTACGTTCCCCAACTCTGATTTTGACGATGATACACTTGCATCTGGTTGTGTATCCAGCGCAGACTCCGGCATTGGAGGTGCGCGGTGCGCCTGGGCACAAGTCCAGCAACTTCGTTCAAGTAGTATTCCGGCAGACAAGCAATTCTCGACCATCGGCCCCGCATTAATGCGGTTCTCACGGATCGCGCAGGACGTCATGAGCAGTACTGCTAGTAATTACGATGTTCCCAGGCTCTGCCTGGGCTTGTTTGTCACAGGCGTTGCAATGTTACTGGTTTCGCGGTCCGTATTATATGAATGCACGCAGTCCGCGCATACTGGACTGTTTTTGGCATTTATGCTTCTCGGCTACGGGAGCATGATGTTTGCGAGCAGCTACGTTGAAGAGGAACAGCAGTTCTGGTATTGGATCTGGACTGGATGGATGTTCTACCTTCACATCAGATTCGAGTCCCATCAGTCCAGTTCTGAGGGCAATATTCGCTCGCTTCCAGCTCGCTTCCCCGCTCTAGCCACTCTCGGACTGGCTATCTCCCAAAGAATCATGAGAAGATGGAATCAGACTGGTCAAAAGTTCGCTGCAGAACCAGACATCGCCCGTACATTCTTCTCTGATCATCCCGCCATCTTTTGGGCCTTATTGACTCTGACGTATGTTGATGCGGGCCGTCATCTTTTCAAGTGCCAGCCATTCGCCGTTTTGCCTCGTGCGGGCGCCTTGATGATCACAGTGCTAGCCTTCATATTCAAAGTGAACTTCGTAGCCGCTGATTCCCCCGAACTGCTCGTTGGTTCCTTTACATCAAGGGCCGTGGAAATGTGGCCAAACAATTTCTCTTTGGTTGGGCAAGCAAGACTTGTATTTGCTGGTCTAGCTTGTTATGTACTATTGGCATTTGTGATTCGAAGATGGTCAGGGTCCGCGCAAAGTAAGTTTTCGCCTGCCTCAGCGGAAGTGAAGCACGACTAACTTCCATCGCCAGCACCGAACATCCTTTTTCACGAAGCCCTTAATCTATTTCTGATGATGCAGTCCAGAGCCACCAACATTCCGATGTTTCTTGCCATGCGTGTGCAAGCCAAGATCCTCTCTGCAATGAGTCTTGAGGGTATGGAAGTGACCGTGACGACACTGATACTGCAGTACATGACTTTCTTTGCATTTGGAGGCTCGAACGCAATCTCATCGGTAGATCTGTCGAGTGCATATAATGGCATTGGGAGCTATAGCGTGGTTCTGGTGGGAATTCTCACGTTTGTGAGTAATTGGGCAGGTCCCATCTGGTGGGCATCCATGAGCAACCTTCTTCGTCCGCAACAGAGTTTGGGGGTCCACAGCCCTGCTGCATTGTCAACATTGCACATCGCGGCTTCGCTGGTTTCTGTAATGGCCGCTTGTACAGCTTTGAGGACCCATCTTTTCATTTGGACCGTATTTTCGCCCAAGTATCTGTATACCATCGCATGGGCTACAGGACATCATGTTGCGGTAAATTTGCTGGGGAACATTGGTCTCTCGTGTCTTTACGCTCATGAGTGATAACTCTCACGACCATAAAAGACACATTGTCCATAGTATTTTTCTCCTCAAGAGTTTGAATCAATCGGCACATTTTGTCGTGTAATGTGACATAGATGACCATCATATGAGACCGCTGAATAAGTCATCTATGGAATCCTTTTTCCGTTTGCTGGTTTTTTTCGTATGTTTCGCGCTGGGTTTACTATCGTTCGATTTGAATACTGCTTTTGGGAGAGGGGCCTTGGTAGGGCCCGATAGTGCATCGGATCCATCCCGACTGATGCGCTCGCCATGGTCCTCTGTCGCCGATACGACCGGCGTGACTTTCTTAGTCGTTGGCTGCACTCGAATAGCCATTTCACGCTCAATACCAGTTGCCTTGACAAGCCGTGCTAGAGCGGCGATTAATACGACGCCAAGTGTAGCGAACTGATTGTCGGCGACCACGGTGGAGAACGCCCTGAGTAGGTCAGTGGGATGCCACAAAGCACGATCTGGAGACATTGGAGAGCGAGTGCATGGAATATGACATACATGTAACATCTTGGAATGAGATGTGAGGCCAGATGCTGTCGACAGGCTGCCGCTTTGGCTGAGTCGATCGACCCTAGATCTAAGGTGGTGCGTTTCAGCGCCGAGAGCCATTTCCACCACTTGGCCCTGTGGTGTTGATTTTTATTGCGATGGTAAATTAAATGCAGTATTGAATGTACTGCCAGGATATCTGTGTTGTCCATGATGTGGGGATGAAGACAGGCAAAGAACTCGGAGTGAAGTTTTGGTGTGGGAGCCCCACATATTTTTGCTCACAAGAACCTGAAGTACCCTTCCAGCGAGGCTCACGCGATATTGAAGATCTACTAGCGACAGAAACCTCGTGCAGAAACTGTTCATCAGAAAAACGAGATCTCGATTGTGAATATCAGAAAAAAATCAATTGAGCGAAGCCACTAGTGTAGCAACGAAAAGTCTAGAGGTTCAAGGCCACCATGCTCTCAAAATGGCAATCAAGGCATTTTGTATCGGTATCATCTAGCTTCTTAAGTCTGAGAAATGCGTAGATCTCATTCATTCGAAATCAAATGGTAGAGCCCGTGCTTTAAAAGGGGAGATGAAAATGAGCTGCGAACTAAACGAAATAAAATGGATTTGCCCACCAGTGTTCGAATGACAACCAGGCGAATTCCGCTCGGGGAGCGTAACCAGCAGCCCAGAGGCTCTCGAGCTCTCAACCGCTCAACAGCTGGGGGTCGTGGTAATCCAGAGGAAGACGGGGGAAAATAGGGGCAAAGAATGGTGCTGCCCACCGTGAGTGCCTGCATGCCCTGCAGGCCAGGTTTGCCCAGGTAGTAGTCAACAGCCTGGAGGCTTTCGACCGCTTTCAAAGTTTAGCAAATAGGGCAAGCGAGAAATGGAGATGCGCCAAGTCAAGATGTGATTAGATCTCGTGAAACGAGGTGAAGCTCGGTATGCCATGATGTGTGAGGGGTAGTAAAAAATGAATCGCCTTGTCATCAGAATCCTCCTTTCGCTCATCTCAAGCTCCTTTAATCTGAACGGGGCTCATGGCAGTTTGTGCCGTATCGCTGTAGGGTTGTGTAGGCCCCGCGGGTCTCGAAGGCACCTCGAGATGCGCGTATGGGGGATCCTTGATCTCGGTCAGGCATAGCACCCTGCGCAGCTTCAGTATCATCTGGGTAGAGATAGTATCGGTTTCCGACTTGAGGATCAACCCGAGGACCGGAGCGGTAGAGGCCTACAAATCTCAGTTCGTAAATTACCTCAAAGACAGCGAGATATAAGATACCATTTTTTTGGCTACGATCAACACCCTTGGCCAGGATGTAAAAATTATTGACCGGTGGAAACGTAGCTTCTTGGCCAATGGAGGGACCGTCGATGTGGAATAGCTTCAAAAAGTCAGTATCTGGGTCGAATAGGATCACGCGGGAAGATTACTTTCGGGCGATTGTCCGGAGCATTGAGGATCACAGGGCTGTTCCGGAACTTTTCCACGAGCGCATCCTTGCCTTGCACGGCTGTTAATCATTTTCAGTAGGGGTTCATGAGAGGGATACCGGAGTATTTCGACGAACTTGCATAAGACATTTCCGCTATTTTGTCATGATGGACGTGGAATCCAGGCCTGGAAATTGAAGGTCAGTGCGATGTTCCTCCAGAGATGGGCAATCAGATACATACCAGTGACGGCCATCGCGGGCATCGATAAACTACAGAACGGTCAATGTACAGGGTCAATAAGCCCAAAGCTCAGAGCTGCCAACCGAATGAACATCCTTGGTCTACCAGTGGTCAATGGGTCTCTCCCTCGGAAATAGACAGGATTCACACTTACGGAGGCAAAGTTAACGAAGGCATAACCGACACTGGAAGGAAAGAAGTTCATCAATATCTATATCGAGCCAACGCCATTTCTGGTAACTTACTTCTGGTTGTGTTCGAAATCTAGGAAGCGATATTCAAAGTATTAGCGCCACATCCGAGGTCGGTCCGGATCCATCAACGCTTACCCATGCGCAGATACATGAAATCGTAGCGGTGAAGGCTGGTAGTATCAAGGATCCTCTTCAACTCCATCTAGTTGAGTTGTTAGACTCTCGACTTTCATGCGTATAGGAAGGAGTACTCCACCCAAGTCATAGGAGCCGGAATATTCCGCAGCATGATCTTATTGAAGCGCAACAAATCAGTATTTGTGAATCTTCCTTTGACCGACTGCCTTTTGTGCACTCACAGTGGTACGGGTGTCTTCGTAATGAATCTGACCAGAATTAAATGCATGAATGTGCGCCAGGCCCCGATCCGGAACAGGGATCGGTGAACTATCAGGATCACCACCAGGTGACAGGTAAGCCCGCCGATGTGGCGGGGTTCCGGGCTGTGTCACTGTCTCACGTCGATTCTTGCCAGTCGAAGCCCAGTGACGAGGAGCCTGATTGTCTGATTCGGGATAATATGGGATAACTTCCATAATGAAATCCTGTAGGAAAGCAATGAGTATTTCAAATAATGCAAATCGATGAAGAAGTCAGGGATAGCTACCCCAGTTCTGATAGAGTTAAGAATTCGGACCGCGTTCGTCGCCTTGTGGTTATTGAAAAAGCGGGCGATTAATTCATGCACCGTCAGGCGAGCTCCTCGCGAGGGATGACCGAAATGGACTTCCTGGATAGAGTGCACGTCCCCAACGAGATCGAGTATCGGTTTCACCTTATTCACGACATTTGCGGGATTCACATTAGAGCGGCTCCCGCAATAAAGAGTGACCAAGACGGAGTCGTCGAAGTTTTGAGGCATTGGGAGTAGGATCCGCGTCTCTCGGTTGAACTCTTCTAAAGTGATGGGGATGACCTCCCAGCCGTAATACCCGGATTCAGCCATGGTAACGAAGTACTTTGCCTCGCGGATGTCCAAAAAGCCAATCCAGAAGCGACCTTTCGTATTAAGCTCAATGGTCTGAGGCCCGATCATGGTTGGATAGTTCTGAGTTTCGGTCAATTTGAGCACTTAATGTGTACGGCGAGGCACGTACTTTCTTCGGAAGCTGTCTGAGCAGGTCCAGGCATTCAATGTCAGTAGACACATTTTGAACCAGAAACCTGCGGCCATGTGCACGTGAAGCTGAAGCCCTTCCAACGGTTCGAAGTTGGACTGGGGAGTAGTTAGGGCTCATCAAGCTCCCCTGGCGGACAGAACTAGCAGATGCACCCGGTAGGGCGCCATAGTTAATATCCGACAATGTTCGATAACTGGAACGACTCGAGAAGCCTGAAACAGTCAAAGGGTCGATGGCTGTACTGTCAGATTGTAGGGCCTGCTGTTCCGCCTGCGTGATCTGGCTGAATCCTCTGAATGGATCCCTACGAACGGTCAGCTGGTGAATAGAGTCCCGCGGTAAGTGATCAAACCTGGCTCGATAGTCAAGAGCACGAGCTATCAGGGGGCTTGAGTCAGGTAGATAGCCCACGTCCTCCGGAAATGGTGAAAAGGTGGCCAGCTGGGCGCTGGGCGAGTTGAGATGTCCAGAGCCAGAAGAAGGCAACATGCCCGCTGATGGGGAGTGGGACATGGTAATTATGGGACCAAGGTAAAGGATTGGATTGATTATTCCTCACACGTACGCGGCACGTGGACGAAAACGGACTGAACAAAGCGCAAAGACAAGCTTAGAAAGGGGAAGAAAATTTGGGAGGCGAGGGGTGTAAGGGAAAAAGAAAAGATGCGAAGTAAACAGAAGGAAGAAGGCAACTTTCCCATTAGCGGATCAAAGGTACTTCTTCTGAGAGTGTCATCGCGGTATTCACCTATAGACGCCTGGTCTCGGCATTTATGTTCATGTCGCGTACGAGCAGGCCGCGACGTGATTCGCGCCGGTCAAATGGGAAATCTTAAGAAATGAGTATGGACAGATGACCAAGGAGGCGATTGATATCCCTTTGAATAAACATTATACAGCGCAGCTGTGGAAGTCTTGGATCATTGTAAGTCTGTGAACGCAGAGGATCATACACCACAGCAACGTGATTGTGTAGCTTAGAAGAGGCACGCCGCCTGCCAAAGATAGGTCTTACGAAGAGAGATATTCGACACGCGAGTCTCTGAGGTTTGATTCATAGGCTCTTTGAAACATGATATAATCTCACAGAGCAGAGTAGACAGAGAGAGGGCCTAAGGTACAGTTCAACTGTAATGGAATGACTAGGGCTTGTGCTCTTTGCGTTCCTCGCATTCCTCCAAGGACCCAAATCCAGACTTCTGACTTCGAGGAAATAGACGAAAGATAATGGACAAGGACCGTTGGAGAGATAGGGATGAAGCAAAAGAGAAAGGGCGAAAGAAGGAACGAAGAGAGTTGAACAAAGTGTAGTTCCGACTGGATACGGCCCGTGCTCCACACTAGTCCTCTTCAGGTTTCTCCATGAATCCCGCAACACCGCGTCAGTCTTCGAGCTCGTTTGCTACTCAAGCTCGTCATGCCCTCAATGGCCCCTATGACTGAGCCTCATGTGCTGAACCAGGTAGGAAAGATCCGGGGAGCTCCTCTCGCCCCGAGACTTAACTGACATTCAATAGATCATCATCTCGCCCTCCGACACCGACTACCTAGATCAGCTCATCCCCTCCATTCGCGAATATAGTATTGGCAATCGCACGCCACAATTGCTGCAGTCCCTCTCGCGCTTTGCGACCGATAAAGAGGCTGAGATTGAAAGCATTTGCAATACAAATCACCAGGAGTTCGTATCGTCCGTCAACTCCCTGCTTCGAATCCGGGAAGGGACGGTGAGTTTGACAGCAGAGATCCTGGACCTCAATCAATCGATCCAGACAAGTACCGAACGACTTGCTGAGCAGAAGAAAGCGCTGGTGGAGTCTCGTGGTCACCGACAGAATATCGACGAAACGTCGCGCGCCATTCAAGACTGTCTGGAGGTGTTGCGCCTGGCCAATCAAGTCCATGATTTGTTGGCGAAAAAGAATCACTATGCCGCTCTGCGTGCACTGGAGGAGCTACAAAATGTTCACCTGAAGGGGGTCACCCAATACAAGATCGCCGTGATGATTCAGCGCTCGGTGCCGGCCACCCAGCGGGCTATCGCCGAGGCAGTCATGTCGGATCTCAACACCTGGCTGTATCGCATTCGAGAGATGTCCCAGTATCTTGGGGAGATTGCACTCTTTCACACCGATCAGCGGAAGTCACGCTTGAAGCAAAGGGCGGAGAAGGTCCCATACCTTGAACACTTCAACCTCAACTCTGCAATCGAACTCGTGGCGGACGAAGACGAAGAGTACGACCTTCTCCATAACGAGGATCTCCAAGTCGACTTCACACCGCTATTTGAATGCTTGCATATTCATCAGTCTTTAGGGCACATGGACAAGTTCAGGATTGAGTACGCCAACACTCGTCGCCGGCAGAAAGACCTCTTACTGCCATCTTCAATAACTCTCGTTGACGAAGACGGCGCAAGTCTACATAATTTGCTTGAAGAAATGGCGGGGTTTGCGATTGTCGAACGGGCAACTATGAAACGGGTCCCGGACCTGAGATCATCGCTTGATGTACGGTCAATTTCTTTTTCGAGCACCTTAACACAGCCTGCAAAGGATTTGTCTGACTTGAGTTTTAGATTGACGAACTTTGGGACTCTATGTGCCAGACCGCTGTTAGCGTGATATCCAAAGCCCTGCACGAGGTGGATAATGCCGAGAACATCCTCAAGATCAAGAATTTGATTTCTTTGTTCATGCAGACAATGAATGTGCGTCGATCTCATCAAGGACAGATGATACCAAGAACTGATTCGTGGGACAGACGTGGAATTTTCCGGTCCGTGTGTTTGATGACTTCCTATTGAAGCTTTTCGAAAAGTATGCAGAGCTCTTAAAGAGGAGGTTCAGCGATGATTTCCAAGAGGTATTGTCTCCCAGGGCACAGTGCGGGGTCACCAATGATACTAAAGGTTTTAGATTGTTTCCACGGACGACTACATGCCCATGCCAATACAAACCTTGGAAGAATATGAAAAGGTACTTAACGTGAGCTGGTACAGCCCTGAAAAGTCTCACGAGGAACAAGTGTACGTCCTATGTCGTTGCGTTCCATATGGCTCCGACTCCTACTGACTGATAACAAAAAAGCTTCCCCTGCATCTTGCCATTCTCGAGGATGTATCCATTGTGTTGCATCGATATTCGGAACTTCTTAAACCAGTTCTATTTCTTCGCAAACGATGACTTCTCCCACCCTAATGTGATTGATAATACATTGAAGGATGTGAGTGTATTGCCATGTTCGCTGCTTACACTCGCATTGCTAATTCAAGATCAAAAGGCATTGGATGATCTTCTTTCACGGAAAGTATGCGATACACTGGTCGAGCGATTATCCTCACAGTACCTCGGCCAAATCGTGCAAATACTTATCAACTTGGAACATTTTGAGCTGGCCTGTCGAGAGCTTGAGTTGCTTTTGGCGGCTGCGAGGTCGCAAAACTCCACAGGGACCTCGATTGCACTCAAGGCCACCGAGAAATTCCGAAATAACAAGAAAGCTGCGGAGAAACGAATTTTCGAAGTCGTCAACTCCAAAATTGACGATCTCATTGAGACTGCAGAGTACGAGTGGATGGCACTCAGCCCCCCCCACCGAGCCTAGCAATTACATGCAGACCCTGACTCGGTTTTTGTCAAACATTATGAACTCTACATTACTTGGGCTGCCGACGGAAATCAAAGAGTTGATCTATTTTGATGCCCTCAGTCACGCCGCAAACATGATCCTTGTAAGTCCGATGCTACAGTCTCCTACCTCCCATTAGGAAAACAGCTAAAAAATTCACTTAGGCTCAACCACTCGCACCGGAAGTGAAAAGTATCAACCCTCACGGGGTGACTGCTTTGGCAAAGGATGTGGAATATTTAGCGCAATTCGTGGACAGTTTGAAAGTCCCTATCCTGCGCGAAAACCTCGACGAATTACAACAAACGGTCCAACTCATGCAGGCAGACAACGCGGATGAGTTCTACGATATCTCCACCCGGAACAAGAAGTACGGCCGTGTTGATGCCATGCAGGGTCCGTTACTGCTTGAAAAGTATGAAGCCTCAAGTTCGACTTGTGTTGGACTTTAGCTAACTTGATCCAGGCTCACTCGCACAGTCCAAGCACCCACCAAGGTTGATAAATTTGCGACATTATCCTCGCGATTCAAGAAAACTTAGTTCCTGCGGACCTGCGAGATTTTCCGCCAATGGATAAATTACTGCAGTAGAGTATCGATGGTCCTTGCAATCTAAGACACAAAGGCATTTATAGATCCCATCACTCCTAGAAAGAATTACGAAGACAATCAACATCGGCGGAGAAGATAAGAACTAGAGGTAGATATTGGCATTGGTATCAGCTTTGCCTCAGCCTCGCAGAAAACATCATTGGTAAGAAAGGAAGAAAGAAGAAGGAAACTAGATCACCTAAGAGTCCCTGCATTCGCCGTAAACATGCGGAAATTCGTAAATCACCCAAATCAAAGACCAATTGTGCTTGTGAAAGTTCCTCACTAGCCAAGATTAATTTTCAAGATCATCCTTCTGAGGACGGGTGTGCTTACCTGCTGAGGGGGAAGATGGGGATAGGCGTACATGCCCTCGAACATTTGGTTTGGGGGTTGGCCGTATGAGGCCGTCGGGTCTGATTGAACCGCGCCTGGGTACATGGCGGGCTGGGGACGATATTCCTGTTCCTGTGGGAGACCATGCTGTCCAAGGGAGCCATAATCTGCAGGACCCATATGTGGTTGAACTCCATGTTGGGTGGGCATCTGGCCAGGCGTAGCGGAAGGTCCTGGGGCCGTTCCAGCGGTCTGGCTTGATCGCTTAGCATGGGAAGTCGCTTCTTCGCGGGAACGATATCGATCAGGAAGTCGAACATGTCCGACTTTGAAAGAGCCGCAGCAATGTCAGAGCGCTGCAGGGTACGGCGCTTGTTATCTTCAGCGTGAATCCATGCGCGCATCGTCAGCTCGGTGATGAAGATATCGCAACCCTTGGCAAAGAGAATTGGGGCCTCTGCGGAAATCATCTTGACCTCCGGGTCCGCTTTCATCACTTTCTTGATCCGGGCAAGCGGCAACTGATGAATCTTATAATCGTGATTGTCTGATTCCAAATGGTTGATAACGTGCTGCCAGTAGGTCGTCAGGATATCGCGGGCCGTGCCTTGGAGACCTTGATTCACCTGGCCACAAATTAGTCAAAGAATTTGCATGAAATAAAATGCGCTGAATACGTGCATTGGCCCAAGTACCAGTGTACAACTCAGCAACAGGGGCATATCCTTGGGCGGAGAGCTAAATAGATTCATTGGCAGTTAGCTCTTGTTCCACTGAATTTTCTTCTGCGATCGCCAGTCGATTCGGAAAGGGGGTCGGATCATCGGGTCTGCATACCGTTGCACTTGCACCTGCGAGTCTGTCAATGAAAGCTCCACATGAAAGTGCGACAGCGGAACCCGTGAAACGACACGCGCCCGACAGGCGCGCTTCAATTTGGCCGCTGCGTAATGATCTTATCACAGTGCGAGGGGACAAGGACGAAGGGCTATAAATTACCATAGTGGCCACCGTTCCTGATGTCATACACAGGTTGCTGCTGCCGGCCCTGCTGTCCGGTTCCTTGAGTAGCAGGCTCCATGCCGAATGGGTATCGCGTGACAGGTTGAGATAAAAGTCGGGAAAGGCTTGGTGCGACACGTAGGCGACGCGACCGAAGATCGGGCACAAGATGGAGGGTTGGAATCGCAAAGGTTGGACTGGGCTAGAGTTGGGCGGAAGCGCGTCGGAGCGTGCCAAGCGTTGGAGGCGCCTCACAGCTGTCTTAACCCCTCGAATACCGCCTTTTGCCGGGCCTGATTTGGGTTCCTCGCCGCACTACATGGATGGAATTATAGGTACACTTAGAAATAGCTTGGTATCAATCATGAATTTAATTAGCTCCATCCGATTCTAGGCTGTTTCACCTGCGGCGTTTTGTCGTTGAAATGCGTGAGTCCTAGTAGTACATGGGACGGCCGCGGTGGAAATAACCCCTACATAGGAGCAAGGAAGCTAAGGAGAAAGTCCGCGAGTATAGCGACTTTATTCACCTCAGAAATCTTCGTGTAAGGATAAGTCGCAGGTACTTCCCAGTGCTATTGTCACGTGACTAGCACCTACCGAGTCTCCGAGAGTTAATCCGCTCCGAGAAAGCAACGGGAAAAAAAAAAACCTATAAATCCGCCCTCAGCCAAATTCTTCGGGTTTCTCAAATTATCACCCTGACCCGCAGGGATGGTTAATTTAATTCATGCAGAGTCTAGTGTTCAACCTCAGGATGAGGTAGACCTGACAGATGACCAGATTCAACAGCTTCTACTGGAGGCGGAAGGACGCCTGCGAGGTTCTGTAGTCTCAAACACCCAGGACCTCGACGCTGCTTCCCTAAGGTATGTAACATCAGTATACCTGTGACTACATCATTGCTCATGCCTTCTCTACTCAGAATTCCCAAGTTATCTTCAGGGACCGCTTTGGAGCCATACGTTCGACAAGGCGATGAGATTGCTACTGTCGATTCAACCCAACTCATCGACCCAAAGCAAAAGATGCTTTCTAATACAATTCATCCTCTTGATGCGAAGAACCCTAAACAAGTGAGTGTCCTTGGTTCGAGCCATTCCATCCTTCTTCTTTGCCGTGAGGAAAACTTTTCCCAACGCATAGCGCTTGATGCGGCGTAATCAGTCCGTCTTGGCCTGTGCTGCACCAGTGAGAGTTTTTTATTTTTCATAGTTACTCTGAGCATATATCACAATCATCATTCTTCTTTGCTTGTCCATGGTTGCGATCTCAAACAGCTGACATGTGACATCTCTCAGGAGAAACCCACCGCTGGACCGGACTGGTTCAACCTTCCCAAGACAGAGTTGACCACTGAGCTCAAGAGGGATCTGCAATTGATTCGAATGCGCTCTGTGCTGGATCCCAAGAGACACTACAAGAAAGAAAATGGCAAAGCCAAGCCGCCAGACTTCTCCCATGTTGGAACCATCATCCAAGGCCCTACAGAGTTCTTCAGTGGCCGCATTGCAAAGAAGGACCGCAAGAAGACCTTCGTGGAGGAGACAATGGCACTGGAACGAGAGACAAGACGCTTCGAATCCAAGTATCGTGATATTCAAAGCGCGAAGCAGAGTGGGAAAAAGGCATTTTACAATAATTTACGGTCAAAGCGGAACCGAAAAATCAAGTGAACACGGATTCCTTGCTCAAGGAACCTCTCGGAAGGCTTATTATTTCTGGTACCCAGAGCCAACGCCTTGCGTTCTCGATCTTCAAGCTGGGTCTATTTCCGGCTGAAGGTATTCACAAGAGTCTGCACTACCAGTCCCTGTCACCAGAGTCAATCTCTGTCTTGACGTGAATTTCAAGATGGATCTTACCTGCATATCAAGAGCGGCCGTTCGGCCAGCCTCCAGGACTTCTTCATGTCCGGCCTTGCCCTCTTCCAGGATCGCCGTCAGCTCACCTGCGTCTTTATCCTGGAGCAAAAGTTCGTCGCCGCGAGGCACCGGCGCCAGTACCGCCTTGTTTGTGACCAGACTGAAGGCCAGCACGCGAAGGCCACAGTGCCGAGCCACCACAATCTCTGGAACGGTTGACATGCCGACAACGTCGGCGCCTAGCATTCGAAGCATTCGGCTCTCGGCCCTCGTTTCATAACTTGGCAAGGTCAGCCGAATCGAACGTACATGAAATGGGTGCAATGTCCTCACGTGGGCCCTCCAACGAAAGCGTAGACGCCCTCATGTAACTTCCTGGTACTTCGAGACGGGATGACTTCCTTCCAAGCTTGGTGCACACGACGTCGAAGGTCAAGGTCGTATGCGTCCGAGAGCGGTGGGAAGCGAACTCCGAAATCTTCGGCATTGACTCCCCTCAGGGGTGCGCCCCTGCCAACCCTGCTAGGAAGATATGCTGGGCAAACGGTCAGCGTTTCAGTACCAGAAGAAAGAAAGGTTGATCATGCATCATTCAGCAGGACGATATCTCCCACACTGTATTCTGAATTCAGGCCTCCGGCCGCATTGGTCACTTGTCGCGCATTACTTAGATGATCCACACAGCTTGTAGCAGATAAGTAGGTACTCACACACGACGGTGTTCACCCCCAGCTGCTTGAACACGCGGATGGGAAATGTTACCCGGTCCATAGAATGGCCCTCGTAATAGCTCCGCTCTTATCAGCCGTGAGATTCCCAGAGATGTAAGTTGGCACTCACTGAGCACGGCCAACCATCAGCACTGCGGGGATCTGCTGTCCGAGGAAGCCAAATACCAGCTTGCCAGCATGCCCGGCAACTGTGTGATCTCAGATTCTGCACTCTTCCTCAAACCGCGATGCTTACCTGTTAGTTGAGGGAAATGAGGGATCGATGAATAGTCGTATTCCGCTCTGGGTTCTGACTGAACAGTGTCTGCCAATCCGCCCAGTCCAGAGCCACATACAATAGCCACTTGCGGGGTTTGCAACCCCTCATGCAGACGACTCTTCAAATATGAAACAGCTTCATTGGCCTGTACGAAGGAGGACTTGTCTTGCTGAGCCATGTTGACGGAAAGGGGGAAGAATGATGTGGGAAGCTTGAGACGAAAACCGAGGTGTGGATCGCGAGAATCTGAAGCTGCCGGTGGAAAGGCAGGTCCTATTGGTTGGCCCTTTCATTCAGAGGCTACTGTATGTCCAAGCCGGCCTCATTTTCGGTCAAGCGATTCTATAGAAATAGATGTAAAGTTTTATTGATCTTTCTCTGAATTGGCTCCCGTATTGTTCGAAGCTTCCGCTGTTGAACACAATGCTCAGATCCTGAAGCTTGACGGCTACATCAGGAGATGGTGATTGCACGTTGGCCGTAGCAATTTTTGGTATACTTCACCAAGTCCCTCAACCTACAACGGCCATACGGGTAGGTGTCTCATATGAGGATCTACAAGTTTTCTGGCAGCTGTCCACATATCGAAGGAACGTGAGGCTTGGGTTGTGAATCCCCATATAGGCCCTAGGCAAGGCGGTCAGCCCCATCTTGAACCCCGACAGAAAAAAACCCGCACCAAACAGAACCCCCAACGCCCATCGACCATGTTCTCATACACAACGCGCTCTGCGATCAGGGCTAGCAAGCACCTGAGGGTATGTTCTACCCTCCACAACATGCCAAAGGCACGCTAACCGGTTGGCTGATTAGGTGCCCGTTCCCTTTCGATCGCTATCATCCCCAAGCCAATCGAACGCGCCCTCTTCGGAACCGGTGACCACTCCCCAGGCTGGCCCTGTACCGACTCTTAAAAAGGGGTAAGATGGTCTTCAACTCTATAGCACGCACTCGAATGTGATTACTAACTCTAATCCAGCCTCCCGGATGCCGAGAAGCCTTCCGAACCCCATGTGCAAGAATGGTCAGTGAGCGCATTACCCGCGGATCCATCCCGTGAATGACGACGGAGAGCATTTGGCTCAAATTATCTCAGGTCTCAGCGGTTACGAGCTCTTGGTGAGGATACTCGACTACCTCGAAGCGTGCAGGCGATCTACTCGCGACCACTTCGGAGGAAGGCGGAGTACGGCCTCCCCGTGTGCGACCTTCAATTGCGATCATACAGTGTTCAAAACGTTGAATTCTTCGCCGATTTCGCCATCCGCGCCGCCTATTATCTGAATCTTCCCGTTTCCGGTCCCGTGCCTCTTCCTCGCATCGTTGAACGCTGGACCGTCCCGCGAAGCAACTTCGTGCACAAGAAGAGCCAAGAGAACTTCGAGCGAATCACTCTTCGCCGGCTGATTCAGATCAAGGATGGCAACCCGCAGGCGGTACAGGCATGGCTTGCCTTCCTTCGAAAACACGCCTTCTACGGAGTCGGTATGAAGGCAAACGTTTGGGAGCATGACAGTCTCGGTACAGTTTCCGGTGTGAGCCAGTTTCCTCGTTCCTGTACTAACAAAATCATAGACGTCGGCAAATCCATGGATGCGTCTCTTTCAGAAATTGAGAAAACCCTCGGCCCACACCTTCAGCATTTCGGACAGCGAGAGGACAACTCGGGCAACCAGAGCATATTCGACGCTTTGGACAGCGATCGGTTCGTTGAACGCAAGAACCTCTAAACGCTCCTGGGGTGGACAAGCTTTGCATTTCGGGGGAACATTTGGGCGTCACATAGTTTTTGTATTCTCATCTTCTGTGGCTTTGCGTGGCCAACCACCGGCCCTATGTATTTTACTGTGATTATATTCAACTCTCGAGGGAGAAGGCGAATTCTGACCTTGATATCATATGTTATTGAAGATCTCTCAAACTGTTATAGATGGATGACAGTCTACATATCTTTGTAGAGATGAGGGCGTCTCACGATCTCTCTAAAATCACGTGATATGTTTCTGTTCTTGCGCGGAGGCGCGGGAGGTTGAAGAATTGATCTCGCGCTTATTTCACTTCCTGTCCTTTCCGTCTGTTTGACATGCAGGTCATGACCTGTCACCATGGCTGCAGTGCCTCGAGATTTGCAGGTGGAAGAGTCTGCCGTGTCCGGCCAACAACTCCTTCAATTCAACCGAGCAATTGGTATCGTCCCGCCAGCTCGAGCGCGACGCCAGCTGCCCAGGGGTCTGTAATCTTCTCCGGTATTCAGCCGACCGGGGTTCCGCATCTGGGTAATTACCTAGGTGCTCTTAATGAATGGGTAAAGTTGCAGAACAATGCAAAGCCTGGGACCAAATTGTTCTTCTCCATCGTGGACCTTCACGCATTGACAATACCTCAAGAAGCAGCCCAGTTGAGGAAATGGAGAAGGGAGGCATTTGCTACACTGTTGGCTGTGGGCCTTGATCCCAAGAAATCAACCATCTTCTATCAATCTGCAGTATGTGACATCGAAACTACCGACACGGTAGTCCTTTGATTTGCCATCAGAGAAATCATATTAACAAACGCCAGGTCCCGGCGCATGCCGAGCTGATGTGGATTCTCAGCACGGTGGCTTCCATGGGATATCTTTCTCGGATGACTCAGTGGAAGGTGAGTTCAATCCGTCTTGCCCGGTCCCTTTGATCCGATTCCCAGGAACTGATAGGCTTCACCATCAGAGCAAGCTTCAGCTGCCCGATGACGCCTCTCTGGACGATTCGGAGGCTCGGGCTCAGCTTCGGCTCGGTCTTTTCTCATACCCTGTTCTCCAGGCCGCAGATATCCTCGTCCATCGGTGCAGTGGCCCCCACGATCCAAGTCACGCTCCCGCTAATGTTTACCAGAGCCACCCATGTCCCAGTTGGCGAAGATCAGCGACAGCATCTTGAATTTTCTCGATATACTGCGAATAGTTTCAACCACCTTTACGGGCCGATTTTCCCTGTTCCGGAAGCATTGATCTGTAGGAGGACCCCTTCCCCGTGATTGTATGTGCCCCCTGGCTAAGTTGATCAGCTCCTGCAAAGCGAGTGATGTCTTTGAAGGAGCCCACATCTAAGATGTCCAAGTCTCATGCCGATGAACGATCCCGAATCATTCTCACAGACTCACCCAGCGTCATTCACAAGAAAGTGAAAATCGCCCTTACGGATTCGGAGCCAACGGTCACCTACGATCCGGTGCATCGACCAGGAGTGTCCAACTTGATCGAAATCCTGAGTCATTTCGAGGGTAGATCATGTGAGAGTATTGCCGCTGAATACCATACCACGAATCTACGTGCCTTGAAGGAACATGTTGCCACTCAAGTCGCCTACCACCTACGGGATATTCGAGAGCGGTATATTTCCATTATGGACGACAAGAGCGATTATCTAGTCTCAGTTGCTCAGCAGGGGGCTGAGGCTGCGCAGGTCAACGCCGGTGTGACCATGCGACAAATCCGGGACGCGATGGGCTTGTAAAGTGTGGCGCAGCATCTAGGTACCGGGGCACCGGGGGTAGGGGCAGGACATGAACGAGCGGCCCCGGATGGCAGCATTGTTCTAATCCTTCTGTATGATAAGTGTAGTTTTAGGGGACAGAAGCTAATATAGCCTATACATCATATCTGTTCCGATTGCCGTCCTCGACCGGAGCCACCTGCGGGGCGTGTCATCCAGGCCCTGAATCGGGCGATTGGAGATGGTGGCTGACAACTTCATGCACCGAAGTCGATGATGGCGAGATGGCGACACCAGGAACAGCAGTCCTAACCCAGATCGGGGTCGCCTGTGACGTATGGATCCGTGGCCACAGCAGTAGACAGATGTGTATGCAGACAGGGATATCATTTATGAAGAAGACGGATCCAGGACATCCGCGCACTGGGTCTAGTTTGATCGGGAGATCAAGTATTCGCGCAACATGCATATTCGATCGGAGTTCTTTTGCCACCAAGTCCTGGAATAGAAGTTCCTGAATGTGGCAGCCTGGGGCTACTCCCGGGAAAAGTTACCGTCATGGATGAGGCCACCCGACGGCACATCCACGAGAGTCAGCGAAAAGAAAAGACACCGGAATGGTTGATCGAGGATGGGCCGTGTAGATTGTTGACAGGTCTTTCTTGCATCCATCATCTGGTATAGATCGCCGGGGATATGTACATGGTCCTAGGAGAACTTGGCTCGTTCAGTAACCCGAGCCCGAAACGGCCTGGCGCTACGGTGGAGCGTCATCCATCCGCGTCATCGCCCAACCACGCACACGGCATACGTACGCAAATCTCTTACTCTTTCTCTCTCACTTTTTCCCCCTTTTTTCTTTCTCCTCTACTTGATATATGAAACATTGTAACCGGACATTGATTGGAACATCTCCATGTACAGCGTAAGAGAATTGACACACTGTAAGAAATTAAAGTAACGAAAAAAATATAGCACTGACTAATATGGGTATGCCTACTTCAAAAAACAACCCCACGGTGACGACCAACAGGGTGGGTCACCGCTCAGCGCCTCACCCGGTCTCCAGTGAGCTTTTGCCGCTTCTTCCTTTTTCACGACAACTGGGTGGAAGGATCCACTGAGAGTCCGCCGTGTCCACTGACTGGCCATTGACCAGATTGTCCCAGCTTGCCGGCTGGCCCGGAAATATATCTGGGGCATATGACATGACTACTTATACTAACCCGGACCCTGCAGGCCTCCTGCTCCATATACTTCAGCCTCCTGAGACCTGACACGTTTCCCGAACGGTTGATTATTGGTGCCAAAGAGGATCGGGATACCGAATTTTAAGGCCGATCGCACATTCTCCATGAAGAGTACATTGCTTCTTTTGGCGACTGCGCTTCCTGCGCTAGGCCGCCTCACTCTTCACCAGCGGGATGTTCCATCAGTGGTGACTTTGGATATCCAGCGTAAAGATGTGGCTGATCCAGTGGCCAGAGACCGCATGAGGAGGAAACGCAACAAGACCATCAGCCAAGCATTGGACAACGAGGTAAGTCTCGAGTCAATTCCGACCCCCCCCCCCCCAAAAAATCTCGCTCACATTTAGCAGGAAAGTCTCTATTACTGCAATGTCACATTGGGAACACCCAAGCAAAACCTGCGCCTAGTCCTGGACACGGGTAGCAGTGACCTGTGGACCAATGCGCCAAACTCCACTCTATGCGAATCCCAAGATGACGTCTGCAGCTCGTCCGGAACCTACGATTCCAGCGCCTCCTCGACGTACCAATACGTCAACTCCGACTTCAATATTTCTTACGCTGATAGTTCCGGTGCTAGCGGCGACTACGTGACCGACACGCTTCATTTTGGGGGCGCTACGATCGAGGATTTTCAATTCGGCGTGGGCTATACCTCAAGCTCAGAACGTGAGTAAATCTTAATTCTGCAAGCCCGAATCTCCTGTGCGGATCTTGGAGCCAGACTGACATGCACATGTTGTACAGAGGGGGTTCTGGGAATCGGATACACCACCAATGAAGTTCAGGTTGGCGTTAATGGAGAGCCTGCGTACGCCAACCTGCCCAAGGCAATGGTCAAGAATGGCTTGATTCAATCCACAGCCTACAGCCTGTGGCTCAACGATCTAGATGCCAACACCGGTTCGATTCTTTTCGGTGGAGTCAACAGCGATAAATATCATGGCACCCTAGAGACTCTCCCGATTCAAAAAGTAAGCGGCATTTTCGCGGAATTCATCATTGCCCTGACTGCAGTTGCTCTCACCAACTCATCCGGCACCAACAATTACTCGTCCAGAGCACTTCCTGCAGCTGCCTTGCTCGACTCTGGAAGTTCCTTGACTTACCTCCCTGATGGGATCGTCGAAGATCTGTTTAATGACCTGGGTGTCATCTATGAATCGTCCGAGGGAGTGGGATACGTCCCTTGCAGCCTGGCAGAGAAGAAGGTCAACATTTCCTACACCTTCTCGTCTCCGACCATCCACGTGTCTGTCAGCGAGTTGGTCCTGGATGCAGGCGACTTGTATTTCCGCAATGGAGATCGCGCCTGTGTTTTCGGCATCGTGCCCGCGGGTGGAAGCACCCCGGTTCTGGGAGACACTTTTCTGCGCAGTGCATACGTTGTTTACGACCTCGCCAACAATGAAATCTCGCTGGCCAATACCAATTTCAACTCGACGAGTAACAAAATCCTGGAAATCGGAACTGGCGACGATGCCGTGCCGGGCGCCACGGCCGTTACTAACCCAGTCACCACCGTGGCCGTGGGTGGATCTGGAGCGCGCATAGGCGAACCGTCTGGCGGTACCGGAATTTTCACTTCTGCTGCAGCCTCCAAAAATGCGGCGACACGGATGACCTGCATGCCCCGATATCTGGCCCTGGTAATGGTCGGGGCCGGATGCCTCCTGGCGCTGTAGAGGCAAGTCGTACAGATAAGCCAGTTTGCATCTTTCCTGCGGGGGTCTTGGCGTTGATCGACATGGCAAAATACCTGGTCGTCTTGTTCTGTGTTCATAATGATTTTTTGATGTGTCACGAAATACTAGTTATCCCATGAATACATACATTGTATCTCTTTTTTGGACATTGACAAATATTCTCAAAGTATACAGAGTATACAAAATTGTACCAAGTATACATATAAAGCGGCCTGACCCGAACCAGTTCACAGATCCGGGTGATCGCCGTGCTTGGCATCGCGCGCTCTCGTCGGATCTTCGGATCGGAGCTTTCTTGTTCCTGCGTCTGCCACGCGATGCCTCGGATTCCCGTGTCCGTGCTCATCCAGGCCCATCGGCAGAACCCTCTTCTCCCTTTACTCCTGAAAGAATGTCGCTCACTTGACTCGGCTAGCAATGAGCTCCGGTGGCTCCGAGAACGCGCCCTGCGTGACAGCAAGTCGCCTGCGCGACTGAAAGGATCACAGCTAGGGTGGAGGACGCGCCTAAGGTCCATGTGTATCTGGCGCTCTCGGGGATTTCCTCTCCAGTATCTCTTGGGTGATCAGCCCTTTGGTGACCTAGAAATCCTTTGCCGACGAGGCGTATTAATCCCCAGGTAAGACCTCCTCCCACGCGAAATTTCTGCGGGTCTTGTTTAACATTGCCAGACCCGAAACGGAGTCTTATACATATGAAGCAGCCAAAATAATCCGCCAGTCGCCGGAAAGCCATCATGATCCAAAGTCTCCTAGACCTCGTTCTCTCCGAGTGCTAGATCTCTGCACCGGCACCGGTTGTATTGCGCTTCTTCTGCATGCCCTCCTGGCGCCTCACTTCAAGGACATGACCATTTTGGGGGTAGATATCAGTCCAAGAGCACTTGACTTGGCGCAGAAGAACCTTGATCACAACATACATCACGGCTCGCTATCTCGTCGAGCATCTGCCGACCTTCACTTTCAGCGTGCCAATGTACTGGGAAGGGCACATGACTCGATCCCTGCCGTGGAAGAAATTCTGCCTCAATATTTCTCGCAACCTGCGATATCGGGAGAATCCATCGAGACCGGTTGTGACCTGTTAATATCCAATCCGCCCTATATTTCCGCCTCAGACTTTCGTGATGGGACTACAGCGCGCAGTGTTCGCCTTTTCGAGCCACGACTAGCACTCATACCGCCCGCTTCCGATTCCATAGAGACTCCTTATGACAGACCCGAGGATATCTTCTATCGCCGCATTCTTGCTCTTGCGCTCAAGCTACGGCCCAAAGTCACCGTGCTCGAGTGTGGAGACATGAGGCAGGCTAGGAGAGTGTTCAAGATGTATACTGCTATGGTATCAAGCCATTTCGAAGACTCGAGTGCAGAGATCTGGCCAAGCACCGAGCTTGATCTGGCCGCCAATGGCTTTCACCCCTACGATGGATCACGATGTGTTATAATTCAGCGACAAGCGAAATCAAGTTGATGAAATATCTGGTGCAGAAAGACGTCAAGATCTGTATTGGGCAAATTGAGCTGGCTCATATACACAAAGGAGCTACCAAGAAAAACGCTGCGAGATGAAGCTCGCCCGGTTGTGGATGCCATGGTTGTAAGATAAACACCCAACAAGACAACTAAATACCTGCATCATGTGCTTGATTGAAGTTGAACATTCGACCCAAAAGGTCCAGGTCATTGTCCATCATGAACTCGCCAAGGTCCATGTTGGACCACATGGGGTGATTTGCAGGCTGTGGCGATGCAAATTCTGTCGAGGACATCGGAGCCTGCAGAGCGGGCCCGATTTGAAGATTGAGGGGCTCGCTCAATGCTGCGTTCTCTGAATTAGCATTACTATCATTCGTTGTACATGGGAACTAAGGGTCGGTTGCGGTGCTTACTGGCTGCTTTGAGAATCATCGAAAGCTGCGACAGGTACTCGACACAGCGCTCAATCACCGGGTTACCCGAATCCAAACGGCGTAAAGCGTCGGCGGCTAGATCAAGGTAGGGTCGATATAGCTCCACCGAGCTCCATTGCTCTGGATAATTTAGTCGCTCTTTTGAAGCCACAAGGAGCGCACCGAAGATAACGAGTCCGGCGTTGAAAGCTTGAATGTGATATCAGCAAAAAGTCCATTCTCGGAGATGCCGCCATATACATACTGTAATAGAGAGAATAGTTCCAGGCACCGAGCAGTCCGCGACGCCAACCAGTCGAGGAGGTGATGGTGTGCACAGTGGAGATAATTGACTGGGCGGATTCGATGCAGTTCTGCACGCCTGTGAAGCCCATCTGCTGAATCAACTTGTTATCCTGAGAAGTAGACTCATTGATGCCATACGAATCCAAGTAACCCTCAAGGAACTTGCGATAGAGAAGAATGCGCAAATTGTGATATCGCACAGATAACACAATTCCAAATCGGTGCCGGATAGTCGACTCATGGTCCATTTGTGCTAGATCATCGGCTAGCAAAGGCTCATGCCAGAGTCGAATTCCGAGGGCGGGCACGATTTGGAACCGCCATTCCTCGAGCTGGCGCTCGCCATCGAGTATTTGGGAAATGGCATTTGCCGTCGTGAGAGGGTGTTCAAAGCCCAGATTCTGACAGTAACAGGTATCGAGAACATTGAACATGACGACGTACAATTTACTGGCTCCAAGATTAGCGTCTGCCATTCGAAGAATGGAATAGCTGACAACTTACATAGCAGCCGTAAAGAACCAGCCATCTAGGTGTTGGCAAGTTTCTTTTTTGGGGGTACTGCTTAGCACTTGCATGTCTTGCAGAGGCAGCTCTAATTTTACATAAGATTCCGGAATTGTACATGGCCGGCCAAAGGTCATGCTCAAAGTCCTGGTTCATCATCAGCAAATGAAGGGTCTGCATATCGGCCCCAAGGTGGAACTTACCTGTCAAGCAAAATACAACCATACCAGGTCCTCTTTCGGATTTCACTGTCCAAGGGGGAGAAGCGCCGGTTGGCCTCGGGAGAATGCAAGCCAAGCTGGAAAGCAGCTGAAATAGCCAGTCCATGCGTGGTCCACGCCTGTACCGACTTTTGAGTTCCTTGAAGGTATTGGCCTAGAACCAATAAATATTGGACTTGAATCATCAATTAGTGTGTGCCGGTGAATCTTCAGCGGGGGAATGGATACCCATCTCTAAGGTTGCGTTGCGCTTTGAATCCCGGTCACAGAGTCCATTTGCTCTTTGGTAGTAAACATCGGATTCCTCGATTCTTCTTCCTGCGGGTAGATCACCTTCTGTGTGAAGGCTTGTCGAAATCGCGAGAACAATATTCAGTAAGCCAAGCCACGTCCGGCGCACTCGCTTGAAGTTATCGGCTCGCATGCGAAAATATGTCTCACAGAATGATGCCTCGTGTATAAAGGGTAGTAGCTGACCTGTCTTTTCAAAATAGATCTGTATCAAGCTCCAAGTGCGATCTTCTGATGGAAGAGCAAAAATGTTCACCTCATTCTTACTGAGTGCCTGCTCTCTGCTCCGTGAATCCTCGGACGGACGCGATCTCGAGACGTTCAACATGCCTCCGCCTGTTTGACCTGGAGATGACAGCGAGGGCACAGCCGGGGTGTGTGCATTTCCTCGCGCAATGGCACGGGAGATGTGGCGTAGAAATGCGATATTGGATGACGGTCCTAAAGCACGGTCAGACAAATTCTCACAGGCTTCGAAGCGGTGTCAGGCGACGAGGATATATTTTTTTTACCGAAGAAACCACAATCCTCCTCGTCGGTGAAGTTGATAGCGCCCATACCATCGATTGGGTGCTCAGACACATCGATCTCACCATACTCAGCTCTGTCATGAGTGAAGTTATTGGCGCGCGTCGGTACCTCTGATTTAGGAGGCGTTAGTAGTGACACTGCATCATTCAGAATATGATTGTGATTCCTCGCATCGGAGGCTTGAACGGGCTCTGAAGAGCCGGAACTGAGACCGTTCCTCTGGTTGTTTTCCAACCTGCGGAGGGACGCCTCTACCTCTTGAAGGCGATGTTCCAGCCGAGCCAAGTAGCTGCATGAACCGTTAGCGCCACAATCCTTGCAGGAGCAGCTGGCCGTACCTTTTTTCAACCGTCAGATTGCATGAGGGGCCAACATTCTGGTACAGACACTCGCATCCCAGCTCTTTACATTGGGCACAAGGCCGGCCACCGTCGCACTGCGGCTCATTAGTATCAATCCGGGGATATTTTGAGGGAAAAAGAGATAATCCAAAACTCACTCTGGATTTACGGTGACGACAAGAATTGCAGGCCAAAACAGCCCGTCGGCGTTTGGAGGGAGCGGACATGACGTGAAGAGGGAGAAGAATGGCGGGGAGATAAACGCATATCCACCTCGACTCCACCATCGAGTTCCATGCCCATCCCATCTTTCCCCGCATCTTCCGTCCCTCGGGTGCTGGAATCAATCTATGGCCTTCCAAGTCCGGGTTGCCGGACTGCCTTGATTTCCCGATCTCCCCGATCTCCCGATTTCCCCGATGAACTTATTTCCGATCCCCCCGGCGGAGGGCCATGTTCACGCCATTGTATGTAAATAAAGGCCATGGCGAGAAGACGCGAAGATATTCACTGCATCGACAACATCTTCTCTATCGAATATGGTAAGTCCCTCAGACCCAGCCTCGAGTTCTAACTCCACCCTCCGTGAATCAGGACACTCACTCGGAACAGGGCTCTCATCAAGTACACGTTGGCATCGTCGGTGCTGGGATCGGTGGTCTGGCGGCAGCCATTGCATTGCGTCACGCCGGGGCTCGAGTCACAGTGCTGGAAGCTGCCGAAGCACTCGGTGAAGTATGGTACCCGGAAGGTTACCCGATTAGCTGATGAACATCCATTCTAACGACTATGTAGATCGGCGCGGGCATTCAGATGACCCCCAATGTCTCTGTACTTCTTCAGAGATGGGGCGTGGATAAGGTTATCGGTGATAACCTGGTCCAGTTTGAGGAATTGAATATGCGCCGCAAAGATGGCACCGCGGTGGGCTTTACCAAGATCTCAACTATTGAGCGAGACTTGCAGCGGCCCTGGTGGGTGGTCCATCGAGCTCATCTCCACGAGGGTCTGGCCACCATCGCCACCAAAGCCGGGGCGGATATTAAGATCGACTCACGAGTCACCAAATTGGATCATGAGACCGACCAGGTGGTTGTGACTACCCACCAAGGTACTGCGTACACCTTTGATCTCTGCATCGGAGCGGATGGTGTGAACAGCGTCGTGCGAAAGACGCTGTTCCCCAATGTTCACCCGGAGCCACCAACAAAAAACTGCGCATATCGTGCAATCGTACCCTACGATGTAATTCGCCAAGATCCCATTGCAAAGGAGCTCATCACGAAGCTTACAATGGAGGTGTGGATGGCGCCCGATTCGTATATCATCACCTACCCAATCTGCGCGGGCAAGATGTTCAATCTGGTCCTTTCGCATCATCGCCCTGAAAAGCTGCGGGCTACAGAGACCGATGTGCCGATTGAAGAGATGCGAGAGGAATACAAGGACTACGATCCCCGAATTAAACGTATTGTCGATATGATACCGGAAGTGGTCAGAAACCCTCTCCCAATAGATCTGTCACACTTGATAACTGATGATGTATTGGAAATTTAGTCGCGTTGGCCACTCATGGTTACCGGGCCGATGGAGTCTTGGTCTTCACCACAGAAGAACGTGGTGCTCATGGGTGATGCAGCGCACTCCATGGTTAACCACATGGCCCAGGGAGCGGCCACTTCCATGGAAGACGGAGCGTTCCTGGCCAAATGCGTGGAAAGCGTCGTTCACGGAAAGCTGAGCTTGCGCGAAGCAATTGGCATTTACGAAGCCGAGCGTATGCCCAAGGCTTACGAGAAGCAACAAGTGTCTTTCATCAACGGAGCCATATGGCAGCTGCCAGATGGGCCTTTGCAAGAAGGACGGGACGCCGCTATGGCCCCGGAGCTGCAGGGCAAATACTTTGTTCGTAGCAGCAATCTCTATGGTGATCCACAAACGGTGCTAGATGTTTATGGATACGACGCCCAAGGACACGCACAGGATGCGATCGATAAATATTGTCAAGGTGGGAAAGAACCTGCTCACCCCATGACGAAAGTCACCCCACGACTGCAGCGCCAATACATGGACTGGTTCCTGCCTGCCCCAGGTCGTAAATTTGCCGAGAAGCTGTGATGTTGTTCTTACCTAGACATAGAACGACCAACAGAACTATAAGCAATGTTAGCTAGAGAGAAAAAAAAAATATCATTTCAATGTCATTGAGAGCATTCTGATCGCCATGGCGAAAAAAAAACAAAAACAAAATAAGAGTATGTACAGAAGTGAGATCGCCATCCGAAGGAGGAAGGTGATCTTTATGGGTGGATTAAAATACTTAGAGGGGATATGCACGGCGCAATATTAATGTACTTGAATCTTTGAGGCTCCCACCTCGTGGCAAAAGCGAGGTCGTTGAGGAAGCGCTCCTTTCAGAGAAATGCTCGCCTTGAGCCAAATTTGCTGAACTCGACGCAGGCGATTGAGGGCATTCTCCAAAATCAACCTGCCGAGAGGGCGGGGGGCCAACTCTCATGAATTCTTCTTCTCCGGTGGAGTCGAATAGCTGCGGTCATCGTCACCCTCAACAGTTTTGAGGATGGCCTCCATCTCCTTGGCCTGACGAGACCACTCCTTCTCGCCCATCTTTGTTTCGCGACGGAAGAGCTCTTCATTGGGCTTGCGGTAGCTGCCACCCATGCGGTCCCACAGTGTGGTGAACTGCCCATAGTTATAATTGAAGTACAGATGGTGCATGGTGTGGCAAGCAGCACCGTTGACGACCGGGCTGTTGGCCACATACTCGCCATCGTGGATGAAGACGGTCCAGAGGTTGATGAAGCCGAATAAGAAGACGTAAGCTAGCTTCTGCAGAGGGAAGATGAAGGGGAAAACGTGATAGGGCACACTCTGAGACCAGCCATCCAAGGGGTGAAAGGCGTGCGAGGCGAAGGGACTTGGCATAATCCACTTGTGATGAGGCTTGTGCAGAGTTTTGTAGACACGGGGATGGTGCAATCCACGGTGAATCCAGTAGATGAAGAAATCGGTGAAGAAGATGAAGATCGGGAACTGGAGGATGCTATAGTAAGGGAAAGGCTCCTCGGAGACGGAATCGTAGAGTTTGGCGTAGCCTCTAACTTCCAGGACAAAGAAAGGTGCGGTCAGCAAAGCCATTGGGGGCATGGCGCCCATGGCTTGCCTCATTTCCATGGAGATCTGGTTCTTAAGGAACTTGGGGTGGTTGTAGGTAGTCTTATCCCAGATGAAGATGTACGAAAGAGTGGCCACCACAAAGTAGACGAGCAGACCGAAGATCCTTCACGAGTCTCAGTTAGTTTGAATTTTGAGAGGCCAGGTGGCGTGGGATGTCGCGCATACCAGGTGATCAGGAAAAAGCTCGTGAACTGCCGGTATATGTTGTTTCTCGGCCAGGCGCTGAGGTAGGCATATTGAGAAGGTTCCAGGTGAATCAACTGAGTGGCGGGCTCATATACGAAGGGCTTATCGGCACCGAAGAGAGCCAGAGAGCTGTTGGCGGCGTTCACAAAGGCCGGAAAAGAGGCGGACGCGGAGAGCGAAGCGGGAAGGAGAGACGAGTAGAGACGATCACCAACAAAGGTGTCCCATAATTCGAGGATGATATCCATGTTGAATCACACGGGCGTAGAGGATTGGGGAAGGGGAGTCGGGGAAGGGAGGTGGAAGGGGCAAAAGATCTCGGCGGAATACTAAATTTTGCCCGCATCACACCAGCGCGGAACGTCCGTAGCCGTTGAGATGGCACATTTTTCTTAATAAGCCGGATATCATTGCTCAAAAGAGTTTTCCTAATTTCGATCATCTTGTGGATTATATTCTATGGTGCCCTCTCGATATTGGAGATCTGATATCTCTGTTTTCTGGTACCTGCATAGGTGCGAAGTGCTTATACCTTTCAGATCCTCATCTCTCGTATCGTATGGTGTTCCCAACTAGGTCTAGTTCCAGGGGTTAGTGGCCCGAAAGCTCAGGCACCAAGTCTACAAGGCAGGCCATACTCAGAAGTACGTCGGGTGCGGGCAACAGTAGTAGGTTTGAGACCCATGTGGAACAAGTGATCTGGGCCTGCAAACGGGGATTGTACCAGAGTCATCCACTACCCGAATGAACCCACCCTGAGGCACCAAACTCTCGTGCGCTTCTCGCCTACCACGCTTCCCGCGTTAAACGGCTGCCGCCAATTCCACCTTTCCCCCCCCAACTCAAACCTTCCCTCTCCCGTCAATCCAGCTTCTTCTCACGACCTCCGTGATCTTTACACCCCCACTCTTATCTTTAATACTCACTCGGCTTGCTGTGGTTAGCTGCGTGGTGAATTCCACCAAGCAGCATCGCCGCTACAAGTGTCTTGGGTTTCTAGCTACGCTGTGAACCTTCGTCGCAAGCTGTCGCTGTCTCGCCTTTTGACCGACTTCGATCCCTTACGCTGCCCCCTCTGTACAGCATTCTACTGAGCGTTGGAATCATCGTTGAAACCATCGAATCGCAATGTATAACACACATCGCGGGATGGTGCCCGCCCCCAACTCTCGTCTGACGGAGTTGCTGGATCAACTGCGCCAGGAGTTCGAGACCCAAACACGAAGCACCGGTGAATTCGAGCACCAGTGTATGTCTTACCGCTCTCAATCTGCTCTTATCTCCCTTTCCTGAGTCCTGGTTCCTCACAATCTCAATGAGGAGCCTCCCCTACCGTTCAAGAGTCGACAGTCCATCTATGGCTGCGGCTCATGGGTCGCGAACCTCGCTGAAATGTTATCTAACTGACAGATCACGCAGTAACCGGGCAGCTCCAAGAGATGGAGATGATCCGCCAGAAGGTGTATCAGCTGGAGCAAACCCAGATCAAGATGAAGCAGGAGTACGTCCCCACCTCTGATAATCGCCTCTCCCCTTTTTATCACCTCTATATCTAAAACGTGATGTCTGTTATAGCTACGAAACCGAGATCCGCATGTTACGACACGAGCTCGAGTCGCGCGGTGTGCAACCGGTCGCCTCTCACATTGCGCCCGCTCAGCACACGGGCCCCCAGGCGCAGCCGCCTTCTCTGGGCCACGGCCCCAGCAACTTGTTCGGTGGCATCATGGCCAATCAAGGAGGTAGTGGTCCCGGTCTTGCCCCTCCCCCGTCCCAGGATCAGCAGCATTCCCAGCATACCCTTCAACAGCCTGCCTCGGCCACCCAGCCCGGTGCGCCGCAACCCCGCAGAGCTCTTTTGGAGGATATCCGCCCGGTGCTGCTGTGAACGGTATGTGCGTTTGAGTAAGGACCCGCCGCCAATGTGCTAATCCGATTCTTTTCCACCTAGGCTACGGTCCCCCTCCCCCTCCTACCGCATCTCCTGGTCCTGGTAAAGGCCGTCGCGCTGCCCCTGGCCCGGCCACTCCTCAGCAGACTCAGCTTGCCTACCCGGATCCCCGCGCCTCGCCTCAAATCCCTCGACCCACGCCGCCGAACCAGTCTTCGCTCGTTCGCACCGAGCGCATCGGTAACATGCTCGCGAATTGGAACCCCGAGGACCTGCCCGCGTCACAGAAGCGCGAGGGTCCCGATTGGTATGCCGTTTTTAACCCAGAGGTACAACGTGTGCTGGACGTTGAGTTGGTGCATCACCTCAACCACGACAGCGTGGTGTGTTGTGTTCGCTTCAGTCGTGACGGCAAGTATCTGGCCACGGGTTGCAATCGCTCTGCTCAAATCTTCGATGTGAACACCGGTCAGAATGTCGCGACACTACAGGATGAGAATGTCGACAAGGATGGTGATCTTTATATCCGCAGCGTTTGCTTCAGCCCCGACGGCAAGTACCTGGCTACGGGTGCTGAGGACAAGCAGATTCGAGTAGGTTCTGCCCTAAAGACCTTTACTTCAGTAGAAGGTGTGAATACTGACAAATCCTTGCGATAACATATAGGTCTGGGATATTGCCAATCGCTCTATCAAGCACATTTTCTCCGGCCACGAGCAAGACATTTACTCCCTCGATTTCGCCGGCAACGGTCGCTACATTGCCTCTGGCAGTGGAGACAAGACCGTGCGTCTCTGGGACATCCTGGACGGGAAGCTCGTCTACACCCTCAGCATCGAAGACGGAGTCACCACGGTCGCCATGTCTCCCGATGGCCACTACGTCGCAGCCGGATCGCTTGACAAGAGCGTGCGAGTCTGGGATACCACCACGGGATACCTGGTGGAGCGACTGGAGAATCCTGACGGTCACAAGGACAGTGTTTACTCAGTTGCCTTTGCACCCAACGGCCGCGACCTGGTCAGTGGCAGTCTCGACAAGACCATCAAGCTGTGGGAGCTCACCGTCCCGCGGGGCATGCACCCACACAGCGGCGTCAAGGGCGGCAAGTGCGTTCGGACATTCGAGGGCCACAAGGTTTGTTTTCTTCCCTCGAGATCCACTGCGACATGGGCTGACCATGTTACCAGGACTTTGTGCTCAGTGTATGCCTGACCCCCGATGGCCAGTGGGTGATGAGTGGTTCGAAGGACCGCGGTGTCCAATTCTGGGATCCCGTTACTGGCAACGCTCAGATGATGCTCCAGGGCCACAAGAATTCCGGTGAGATTCGACCGATCCACTGTCGACGCCCAGACCAGTTTGCTAATTCTCCGCGGAACAGTTATCTCGGTCGCTCCCGCTCCCACCGGCAATCTTTTCGCAACCGGCAGTGGAGATATGCGTGCTCGGATCTGGCGGTAAGATTAGAATTTCCTCACTCTCTTGGACCGGCCATTGACTTGTTGATCTAGATACTCAAACTACTCTGGACGGTAAAAGGGTACGGGCTGCCTTGGCGCAATGCGTTGTTGATTTTGCATCTCTTTTTCTTTTCGATCTCCATTCTCCCTTCTATTTGCTTTGGATTCACTTGTCGGGGTTGGGCTGCTATGTTTGAATCTTGTCAATGTTTTTTTTTTTTCTGTTCCCCATGAATGCACGTTCAAATCTCGAATGCAAGTCTCCATAGGTCCCAGGATTTTTTCTTTTAATTCTTTTTCTATTAGTTCACGTTGTACGAGGCAGGACTTTCTGGGAGCCCAGCAAAGACACCCCTGTCCGTCTGAATCGCCACAAAGGCTTCTAGGTTGGGCGTGGCACCCAGGCTCGTGACCTGTCGAGTATGACGCTTTTAGGGGGGTTAGGTCGATCAGGACAAATGTGACGATCCTGTATGTGGGGAGTGGAGCCAGGATACCTCCTGTTCTGGGTCGGGAGTTCGTACAACACGCTTGCCTCGCTTGTCTTATGCTTGTCATGCTGGTCCCGATTGCCACACGATTATCACGATTGTCACGGTGGACACGGTCACGGTGGTCACCTCGCTGTCAGTCTCCCTTATAGGCAGGAGTTCGCGCCCAGTCCGATCCCTGCAGGAACATAGACCAGTCGACGCCTAAATGCACGAGGTGCAGGGCCGTCGGAGGCTAGAGGATCGGGAGATCGAGCTGAAACCCGATCGGCCAGAATTTCCCAGGCCATGGGCGGCTAGCATGGATATTCGATGAGCGGAGATCGGACACTATTGGCGACTATCGGACGCGCCCAGAATCACCCCAATCATCGTCGGCTGACTCGAGTCCACATTGGAAGCCCCGAAAGGCCCGGCCCGCCCTCGAGGTGATGCACCCGAAGATTTGTTTTTGGGGGATGTGAGGAAGGCAAGGGCCCGATGACCGACCCAGAGTATGCAAAGAAGGCATTATCTTTTGTCAAGGACCAGATGAAGGCTGAAGGTATTCACGTGAGGGAGAAAGAAAGAATGGGGGAAAAAAATACAAAGGAGGGATCCCTCCAGATGAGAGACAAAGTTCGAATCAATTCAGGTCGCCAGTCGCGGCTACAAGTATTCCGGTCTCTCTTGTACGACTCTCCCCTCTTCTGCCCTTCACCGAGACTTGGCCTCTCTCAAATCAGTGTTCAATCTTTTGAAACTCACTCTTCTTGACTAAGACACGAAGACGAAGACCAAGATACTAGTCTGGACAGGCGACAATTGGCCTGAAGCAAATAAAAATCAGGAAAAACAAACAAAAATGATGCGTCCATGGGGGTGGGGGGGCGCCTCATCCATGATCCCTGAATCCTTGAAGCCTCGAATCCCTGATCGCCCATGCACCTTCGGCCTCGAACTCGTCGCCCCGGGACGTCATACAGATACATGTACAATACATGTACCCATGGATTATCATTCCCAACTGGTCCTCCTATATAGGAAACCCCGGCCCTAAGATCACGCCGACCTGGATGTCCCCTCAAAAGCAACCTGACTTGCGGCCAGAACCCAAATCATCCCTTTCACTGGGATTCCCAGGATTCAGGTTGAAACGTCTGTCAACATGGAAACCGCAGAGCCGCCTTACGACTTTCATGCTCACCCCGTGGGTGCTTTTGCCCGTCGTCCCATGGACACGCCCCTATTCCCATACTACTCTCATCCCCATCCTGCACCTTACTCGCTGCCATATCAGGCACCATCATCGGCGGCGTACAGTTATGCTTCGGTAACTCACCCCTCGCCATACCACTATCTCGTAGGCCAGCCGCTGAGCTCTCCGCCGCGCGTGGTGCTCGAGCAGCCCTCTCTTCCCGACATTCGCCCCGCCAAAAATGCCCTCAGTCAGGTGAAGACCGAGTATGCGGCGAGATCGTGCACAGGAGGTCATGCCTTGTCCACGAATGCCGCCAACACGAAGCAGGCCACCGAGACCGACTTCTCTACGGGAGTGGATGTCTTGATGAAGGCTATCCAGGCCCGACCAGGCTCATCGCCAGTTCAACAGTCTTTGCCTCCCCTTCAGCATCTGACGCCTCCAGGATGTCCAAGTTATCTCATGAGTCCTCCACGCCGCATGACGAGCAATGAAGGACAGCTGTCTCGCTCTGGCAAGAAGCGCAAGTATACATGCCATGTACAGGATTGCGGCAAGAGCTTTGCTCAAAAGACCCATTTGGACATTCATACACGAGCCCATACAGGAGACAAGCCCTTTGTGAGTCTAGTCTTGCATATCAAACGAGCTGAGATGAGCGCTGACAGGATGACCAGATCTGCAAGGAGCCCGAATGTGGACAGCGCTTCTCGCAGCTAGGCAACCTGAAGGTAAGCACGATCAAGAAACCCCCCCCCTTTTCTCTGCGGACTGGGAAGCACGAATCTCAAACATGGACTAGACTCACCAACGCCGTCACACCGGTGAAAAACCTTTCTCTTGTGACATATGCCACAAGCGTTTCGCTCAACGCGGCAATGTTCGTGCCCACCAGAACACCCACATGGACAAGAAGCCCTTCATCTGCCGCCTGGACGATTGTGGCAAGAAGTTCACCCAGCTAGGGAATCTCAAGGTAGGGGGATCCCCCATCGCCTGGCACTCTGATCCTAAAGTATTGACCCATCTCGTTCTCATTCAGTCACACCAGAACAAATTCCATGCAAGAACTCTCGGAATGTTAACGCAACGCTTCTCTCAAGAGACCGGACCAGCCAACTTTCAAGAACAAGAACTGTGGGAATACTTCGCCAATCTTTACAAGAATAGCAACAAGGGCATCAAGGGACGTGGCAAGGACCGGCGTATCGCTGCTACAAAACGCTCGGCCTCAGTAGGCGACCATGTGCAGCGGATGGCTTCCCCTAGAATCAGAGGAGGACATGCACTCGCGTCGAGGCAGCTACGAGGACAGTGTCTCGATGTACACGGGCGGATCCAGCAGTGACGGGGACGACCCAGGTCCGTACTATATGGACCGACGAGGACCATGAGAGCTTCCTGGCTTTAAGCGATTTGGTTTGTTATATGAAGCCTGGGGAACTCTTGCGTTTGCCGGGGTTGTGATTGTACGGGGTCATTTTTTTTCTTCGCTAAGATATCTATGAGGCTACGAGGTTTTTTTTTCTTCTATTCATTGTACTTTAGCTTGAGGACATATTCCAGCATTGGGGGTCGTACGAGGGGTTTTCAAGAAACAGGGTCTCGGGTCAACCATTTCATTCATTGTGGATTACAATAATAGTTTTTCATCGGGATTTCTATCACTGTCCTCATCACAATGTCAATTCACAACCTATAAAAGGTCCCAAAGGGCTTTCTAGATTAGCCTGACCAGGCGGTGATGTATGTATTCAGTTAAACGTTGCAATAGAATGAAAAATTGATCGTATCGAGGGGAGATCAGAAAAATCTGCATCAAACGAGATGCAAGACAGAGCTCAGGCTCGACGAGAATGCTTCAAAGAACAAAGAAATGTTTGACAGAGATGAGACCATGACATGACTCGGAAGAGACAGAGGTTGAGGCTCATCTAATAATTCTTTTCAAGGCCCCACACTAGTTTGAGCTAAATGAGCTAATACTGAAACACAGTGGGAAGACCGCCCACTAGAATGAATTTCACTTCTTGCTTTGATTTCAAGGCATACGAGTACGCAATACTCATTGATTCGGTACTGTACAGTTCGAAGTAGGACAGATCGAAATCCGCCCCACGACACCCATGGGTAGATCATGCAGTGACACAACGGGTTCGCGGGAAATGGGAAGAGCAGCCTGCTCCAAGGAAAAACAAAAACAAAAGAAATGGAGCTATCTTCCTCCCTGAACACGGCCACCCGCTTATTCGTCATCGGCATCCGCAATCTTCATGTCTTCGTCGCCATTCTCAGTCTGGACTGGCGCATTCGTTCCCACGGGGGTAGCACTCAGAAGGGCTTCGGTGATAAAGGCCTCCTCAACAGCCGACTTTCTTCGGAATACTCGGAGCCAACGACGGCCCCATTGGCGGATAATGGCATCTTCCGGAAGATCGCCGCTGCCGTCGCCACGCTCCATCATTTCGTCGTTGCTGCCAGCCGCGACGGAGACGATGGAATCCTCAATATATTTGAATAGCGCCTGCATGTCGGCCCGCTCGCGAGCAAGAGTCTCATCCAGGACACTCAGCTGGGGTTCATACAGGCCCGGCTGCGTTCGGGCTGCGACAATCTGGCGCATGCGGTTGGTAACCTTGCCCACGGTAGCCGATATCATTTCGAAAATATGGGACTTGGCGAGAATGGTACCGGCAGCCATGTTCTCAGTAAGAGCCCACTCGAGGACTGAGAGGGGGCTGATAATAGTGTAGTTCAGCAACTTGTCAATGATATTGATGGCAATACCGGGTTGGTCCGCCCAGTACTCCATGACGGAAGTGATAATCTGGCAACGAGCTTGCGTGGAGGACGACCCAATCGCCAGCAAGCGGTCCTTGTTACGCTCAATGCAGGACAGGACATGCGAGAGCGATTTGGATCCAACGTAGCAGATCGCTGTCATAAGAGCGTCGGTCGAGGGGACCTTGGGATCTTCCACTCCCCTGCTTTGGGCCTGCTCTTCGATAGCTGCGATGAACGGCTGGATCTCCTCGTCCGTGGCCTTTTTCCTGATCAGCTGCATAATCTCTTGTCCTTCCTTAGAATATGGGGTTGTCTCTGAGGAATATTTGAAGTCTGGAGTGTCCTTCTCCTTGCCCTCCGTAATCAAAGGGATATAGGGCTCGGGAAGGGTTCCCCTGATGCGCTGCGCAAAGCTGAGACGAATCTCTTTATCCAGGGCGCCGTTGATGAATGCCATCTTGGGATGGATTGCAGGAAGTTCAAGATCATCTACCCTGTAAGATGGTTAGTTTCAACAACAAAACTCACTCGTCACCAGATTGGAACTTACCACTCGCTCCATTTCCAAGTGAAGCCAAAGTTGCTTAAATGGTGCGCGAACCAATCCAAGAACCGATTGCTGAGCTCCAGGTCCATAGTTTCCAGGTTGTTGTACAAGAATCTGATGGCACGGCCCAAGCTAGGAGCGATGGCCGCAGGAGCGATTTTGCAGCATTCGGTCAAGAGAGAATGGAAATACACAAGCTTGTGCTCCGGTGTTGGCAGCTGATATAACTGGGAAAAGACAGCATCCACGGCCACATCTTCTGGCTTCCACGCCTGCAACTCACCAGCCATTTCGCGCATGCGGTCAAATGGCGTTGCGCGCTTAACGAAGGTGCCAGGGGTGTACCAGTTGTCCACATCAATCAGGTACTTGGCCGTGGCGACACGGTTGAAGTCAAGCAGGTTGATAGTGTCGACCAATGCCTCTCTCAAGAGGGAACAAGAAATGTCTGATGTTGGAGGCACAGTATCCACCTCCTGGTCAGCGAAAACGGAAATATACACCTCTGGGAAGAGAGTTCGGGGGCCATTTGGGACAGGGTTAGGGACGGTGATTTGCGGGAAGGGAACCTTGGCCACGACATCGAAAGGCTTCTGCTCTTCGGGTTCTCGGTCTTGAACGTCCTTCCATGGGCGTGGAAGACACTTCAACTCCCAACCCTTGCTAGCTTCGGCCTGAAGCTGCCCTTGTAGCAAGCTAATCACACTAGGACCTGAAGCTTCCTTGTTCTCCTCGGGGCTGAAAGTGTTCACCAGATCAACTAGGGTGTGAGGAGTGGAGGCAATGATATCCGTCTTCTCGAGCAAGGCATTTGCTTGGGACTCGAAGCCTGCAGCAGGAGAGGACATCACGTAGGGGATCGTGAACAAAATGATCTTGACAAGCTCAAGTCCGAGCAAATCTTCTGAAGACGTGGTTTGAAGGTCGACCGCACGGGCGAACAGCTCCTCCAGAAGCGGGAAAATGCCATCGCCCTCAAATACGGCTTGCAGCCCACCGAGAAAGCGAATGAGAAGCTTGACCTCACGCCATGAACCCGAGTCGATGTACTTCTGCAGAGCATTGCTGGCCTTGCTCAGCATTTCCGATCCAAGCTCCGGTTTGAGATTATACGCAGCCAAAGACGTCGCGGCGACGAAGGGGATCTTCATCGGCTGTTCGAGAACACTGCATTGGCGTCAATTGTGAGTCTGCGCATCGGAGGAGTAAGCATCAAGGCCACGTACAGGTCAAGGGAGATGTTGATGAATGTGTCCCGCAGTTCTTCATCTTCATAATTCTCGGACACGGTCTTTGCGATTCCAATGATATCATCTTCCACTCGTCTTGCAGCCTAGAATACGATTCACAGTTAGTAAACAACACAGTATCCCAGGGTACACATTGCGCGCAGGGAGGCAAGAAGGATCGTACCGATTCGGCAAGCGTCAGAAGCTGGCGGCGGACCAGCACAAATAGAGGCTCCTCATATCTACGTCGCTGAGGGCGGCGATCGTAGTCCTCGTCGTCTGCAAGCTTGTCAGCGAGGCGCATCGAATGCGAGAACCTGGCAAGATAGTGTCGCACTCACCTCGGTAGCGGCGCTTGCGCTGGCCACCACCCCGGTAGTTCGAGTTCCGGCGTTCGTTATCAGCCATTGCGCGTCGAAGTTGGATCTAGCAATGGAAGGATGCACGAAGTCGAGGTCCAAGAGATTCGGAGCTTGAAAGTGAAAGGCATTTCGGAAGGGAGAATTTCCGGCCCGGGCCCCATGCCACCGCTTTGCCGTGGATTTCTGTGACAGTTCTGGGTATATCTATGTACGGGTGTACGGGTCGACCTATTGTAGACATCTGAGGTCTTTCCTTTAGTTTGTTCTTTCGTTTAGTATCATGTGGGGTGTCTACTCGGACTTCCTCTTGATTCTAATTTCACCTACTCGATCATCGCCATTGGAATTTTTCAAAACACGCCCGCATAAATAGGTGATGAGCACCTGTCCAGGCTCGTAGTCGATGTATTCATTCAATTGGCTCATATATCGCAGCCCCCCCAAGAGAGCAGTGTGGTCGATGACGTCGCCGTCTATAAAGGACATAAATTACATACATGTGGCGGGGAGACCAGGAGAATCCCATCCAGGGCGGAGTGTGTTTTCCCACATTACGACACGGACGACCCACAAGATCAAGTTGGGGGACAATTCTGAATCGTATAGAGAGACAGTAGCTCTTCTCCATCGCCTGACCGAATCCCAACGACCTACGATACAAGGCACATGCATCTACAAGCCAGAAATCAGGAAACAAGGAAAGCGTCTGCTTCAGAACTGGGATGTGTAGCTCATCGTCGGCGAGTCGGGGAGACCGGGAACCAGCCGAGCCCGATAGACCAGATAATGACATTGCAAAAGGACAGGACGAAAAGCAAATGGACGCACAGGGGAAGAAAGGGAAATAAAAAGAAAATAACAGGGTTTCTAGCGCTGCAAGTCGAAGGAAGTCAACGACAGGGTAATACCGCGTGCCGAAGACCCCTCGAAGATGGAAAAGAAAGCCTCTCGTACGGTGATGCATTTCGGATGTCCCGAGTCGAGATCGGCTTGCTGCGGGGTTTCTTCCCCTCGACCGATGAAGCTATGCAGTCTTCAGTCCTGGAACGGGCAGACTTGCACAGAAAGGGTATCACTTTTTCCTCCCAAGAGTTGTCGCAGACACCTCAAAATAATAAACTCCAGGCCATGACCTCCCACCGTTGCGTGACAATCATCAGCCTCCCCATCGACCGAATTCGGTTCTCGTGAGAAAGAATGTTGACCACGCTTCTCCATTCTTCCCCCCCCTAAATAGCTCCGATGCAGTTCCGCCAATGCCTCGCTGATTCAAGATCAAACACAGCAGAAGCCCGTGCTCTCCATTCAGAGCCCACTCTAAGCACCAAAAAGTCCTCGGGTTGGTAGGTCACCGAATTCTCAGCACAGCGCGGAACGCACTATGAACAAAAAAAAATGTCCCTCGCTGAGGCGGCATTGGTCCGCTCAGTCGAGGTGGGCCATCATCTCCTCCTTGGAAAGGGGCTTGAAGTTTTTGATATCAAGACCCTGGGCCTCAAGAGCCGGGCGAGCGTGAGGGGGAACCAACTGTTCATTCAGATGGGGAGCGATCGAAAGTTCTAGACGAAAAAGTCAGTATCCAGGCCACGGTCAGGCTCCATCGGGTTGACTTACCATGCCGCGAGAAGTCGAAGCAAGCGGGCAAATCCTTGGGTGGGTTGTTGTGATGGCGAGAGTCGGGTAACCGGGTGTTGGGATCCCGCAGTTCGTCGAAGAAGGGGTGGCACATAGCCTCGATCGCCGACAATCGCTGGGTGGGGGTGTACTCGAGCAGAGCCGAAATGAGGTCAATGGCCTCCGGGGGCGCCTTACGGAAGACCTGGGATTAGGCGTGAGTATGTGCGACATTTCTTTCGTTGGGCAGCGAGAGGGGTTACAAACCTTGTTGAACGGATGCGGCTTGATCTGAGGGAACTTGTGTTCCATGTAATTGGGATTCATTGTGCGAATCTGTTCCCGGGTTGGAGTACCAAGCACCTTGATGATTTCCACCAGCTGGTCAATACCCGATTCACCAGGGAAGAGGGGTTGGCCCAGCATCAGCTCGGCCATCACACAACCAGTCGACCACACATCTGAGAATGAATGAGCCCTTGGGATTCAGGCAAATTGGGGGGGGGGGGCAATGAACGTACCAATTTTTGTTGTGTAGTTGGTAGCACCGAAGATCAACTCCGGGGCCCGGTAATAACGGGAGCAGATGTAGGACACATTGGGCTCGTTCTCAATGAGGATCTTGGCGGAGCCGAAATCGCAAAGCTTCAGAATGCCGGTAGCAGGGTCGAGGAGCAAATTTTGGGGCTTGATGTCGCGGTGACAGATGCCTTGTGAGTGAATGTAGGCAAGCGACCGGAACAACTGGTAGATATAAAGCTTGACCTCCAGCATGGGCATGGTCGTCTTCAACTTGTTGAAATAGCGCGAGGCGCGATACACGGTTTCCGGAACGTACTCGAGTACCAGGTTGAGGTACACTTCATCTTTCTACAGGTCACGAGGACCCAGTCAGTCGGGGGAGGTGGACAGTGGGGAATCGTGACACATTACCCTGTCGCCGTTGGAATAGTAGAAGGCCTTCAACTCGACGATGTTGGGGTGGCGCACGATCCGCATAATCTGGAGCTCACGGTTCTATCGATAGGCGATGTGGGTTAGAATGTCTACTTGCCGGTTGAATCCGCCCATGCTCACCTTGAAGCGCTTGTCCTGGAGGACTCTCTTGATCGCGGCATCCTCGCCGCTGGGGGCCATCTTGGTCTGAAACACCACGCCGAAGGAACCATTGCCAACGATCTTGCACTGGGTGTAGGAGATTTCCTTTTGTTCGCCTGTCAGGCCATCTTGGACCTTTTCACGGATGACCTCTGTTCGGGGGAGAGGGGGGATCAGTGGGACACGACAATTGAGAGAGGGAAGAGGGTCTTTCTTACCACCCATGCGCAAACTCGGGAACAAGCCCGGCCGACTCTGTGACATGGTGGGAGGGAGGTGGGTTGATGCTAAAGGGAGAAGGAATCCGTTTTGGGCAGAGAGTAAGGTAGATTCGGTGGAGTAGCTTTCGGATCGGAGAGGGGAGGGGAGGGGAGGGGAGGGCGGAAGGACGGGGCGAGTTGAGGAAGAAACGGCAGAAATGCCAAGGTCAAAAAGGAGGAAGGAGATGAAGGTGGACGTAAACGGGGTGAAGCAGGTGAGAGGGGGGGCCAATAAGGAGCACGAAGTAATCAAAAGGTGCTTTTCGAAAAAGGGCGAGTCGGAGGTGACGTTGATGGGAACCAGGAAACACTTTTGCGGGATTGTGGTCTGTGGTCTGTGGTCTGTGGTCGTCTTACGGGGGAAACGGGGGAATGGGAAACAGGAAGGGTAAGGTACGAAATGAGGAAAAAAACGAGAGGGGCGGGTAAAAAAAAAAAGAAAATGGAAAAAAAAAGCGACTACTTGGAGCTACACTTCCCAATGGTCTGAGAAATCCAAGCAAGTATCAACAGCATCAAAAAGGGAAACCCCTCAACCTGGAGAGCATGCTTTATAGTGTATGATGGTTCTATTCCAGCTCTCGATCTGATCTCTCGATTTCCCTTTTCCTCCCCATCTTTCTCGTTTTTTACCCCCCTCAAATGGTCGATTTCCAAGGTTCTTTTGCCTCTCGAAACCGTCGTGACGGGTGGATAACGGATACGGTACGGTTACTTTACGGGCGGAGTGTGATATCATCAGACCGGGACTGGCGTCTTGGGCGTAATCTTCACCAATACGCATGCCAGCGGTGTACAGAATCTCACCTGAGGAACGCTACCCGCAGATGGATAGTAATAGATTGAAAGCTTGAGACATAGCGGACTTGAGGCCCATTGTGAGCGCAGAGAGCAATAGAGAGCAAAGAGCGAAGAAGCGCGCTAGTTTTCCGTGAGTCCCGTTAATGTCGGGTGACCAGGCGTGATTTTCCTCAGGAACCGCAGTCATTGGTCCCCGTGACCTCGTGACCACGATGTCATCGAGTCCAGCTGACTTGAAGAAGCTTGGGCCACGATGTGATGACTGATCCGATGGTTTCATGGTTTCATGGTTTCATGGTTTCGAGGTTTCATAGTTCAGCGCTCTCTCTCTCTCTCTCTTCTCTCCACGACGTTTCAATTGCGCCGTCTGCGTCTGCGTCTGCGTCTGCGTCTGCGTCTGCGTCGGCTTCGGCTTATGGTCCAGATCGCACCTCCATGCGAGATACCGGGAGCCGGCTCGCAGATCCTAGGTGCAAGGATTCCCTTGGCATGTGAGGTCGAAGGTCTTCTCAGCCGACGCCAGCTCCGAGCGATTGGGACAGCCGTAGTCCCGTGCTGCATCCGGGATTCTTGACCTCCCTTCGAGATCTAGCCCCCCCCCGAGATCGTAGGGCTAACAGCCACAAAGTGGACCAAGGCTTGACGTTCTTATTTGCGTAATTTTTTTTTTGCTTTTTCCGTTGCAAAGGGGCTCGGGGAATGTGGTTCCTGACGCTTGCCCCTGATCGTGGTCCTATCTTACAGATCTCGCTCGGTGTAGGTCTAGATTGGCCAATGAGCCATCTAGTGGACCTCAACGGACTGAGCGACCTTCAGGTCTGTGTTGGTCCCCGACCTAACGGATGGTCGCTGCGGCCTGATGCACCTGGCTGAAAAGGTCGACGTTGAGAAGCTACGAGCTGTCGACGGCCAAAGGCTGCACGGCGGGCCTCTTACGACGGCGTAAATACATTTGTTGGGTTCCCGTATCGTGGAATATAGCTACCTGAGGACCTCAGCCCCTGTTACTTAGAAAAGGGTTGGTGCGCACACTGTACTCAAAAGCTGTAGATCGACATCACCAGACGCCCGGACTCTCGCCACACGCTTGTCAAGTGGAACAGCAACGCTCTCACCCTTTTACGGTGACGTCGTGTTTTCCCGAGCCTCGTCGTCGGATCCGATAGCTTATACACTTTCTCTCTCTATACCCTCTATACCCTCTATACCCTCTATACCCTCTATACCCTCTATACCCTCTATACCCTCTATACCCTCTATACCCTCTATACCCTCTATACCCTCTATACCCTCTATACCCTCTATACCCTCTATACCCTCTATACCCTCTATACCCTCTATACCCTCTATACCCTCTATCCCTCTATACCCTCCCTCTCTCTCTCTCTCTCCTCTCTCTCTCTACTCTCTCTCTCTCTCTCTCTCTCTCTCTCTCTCTCTCTCTACTCTCTCTCTACTCTCTCTACTCTCTCTACTCTCTCTACTCTCTCTACTCTCTCTCTCTCTCTCCTCTCTCTCTCTCTACTCTCTCTCTCTATTCTCACAATCTCTCGGTTTACGGTACCCAATATGCCTTGCTTAGACCCATGTGCCTGATAGTGTCGAGGACGCTGCATATGCGAAAAGGGGAATGCTTGGGCAATAGAACGCAAGGCACCGCATGCCATGTCCCTTTGATGTCAGACACTTGGGGAGACAATCGCACAGCCTCGCCATTCTCTCGTCGCACTGCGGATTGCCCTTTCCCTGAAGGAATGCACCCGAATATGCGAAACATGCAAAACATGAACCCCGACGCGGTTCATTGGGTGTCTCACGCTTGAGCATCCTGACTCGTCTTCCTCGCTGGGCTTCATTGGGTCGCTGGACCACCGTCGCTTCTCCCCATTGACTCGGGATGAGCGATCTGCCATCTCAGCGACGATCAGAATTATACCTGCTCGGATACCCAGCCTAGTTGCTGACTAGTGGTATGTCGAGGGTTCTATTTGCTAGACGAAGACGTGGAGCCCCGACCTAACCTACCACGTCACGCTTTTCCCCCTTCGGCGCAGTACAGTACAGTATAACCGATGAGAGACCCATAACCCATCATAATTATCCCAAACCCCATCAGATACCGAAGCCACGAAGTCTTGTTTTATTTGTACATTGTTCTCTGGTAGATTCAGATACCAGATACCACACTCTACCAGATACTAGATACTAGATACTAGTTTCCATCTTACCAGAGGTGAGCCCTAATCTCCGGAAGACTGCAATCACACAATCTCCCAATAATGCCATTGTCGACAGTGTGTCCAGACAAAGTGGGACACTCCCCACAATCAATTCCAAGAGAAAACGAGAATTACGCAGGCGAACTAATAGGGCCCTCGATTGGACACAGGCGGGGAGAGGGGTCTCGGGCCCCCCGCTCTCAAAACCGTAAATGTTGAGTGAGACTCTCCAAGCTCCCCGCCATTTACTGCACCTCAACGGACTGGGATGATGTCAAGTCTATAACTATCTAGCGCCACGGTGGGCTGTGGCGCCCAACACTATAGACGTTCGGCGTGTTGACAAGATGCCCATTTGCGTCGAGAGTCAAATTTGGCAGATTGTACAGCCCGACCAGGTTGAACGTGGACATGTTGACATGTAAGACTATTGTATCCTTAGTGGATCCTCCTGTAAGGCAGTGGGAAACGGTATTTGACCGAGGAAACTTGGACCAAGGGTTGGGTTGAGTGGGGTGGGAGATTGGGGGGAGGAGCACAAAGGCCGAACAGTTTGCGTCCCAGGCGACTCGGGGCTGCATAAAACTATGTCCACTTCTGCACTCCGGAGTCCGGTGGCTCGATAATTCTCCAGTGAGCCCACTTCATAGTCCACTTCGTGGCCCACCGTGGACTTTTTTGGCTGCCTAGGGCCCCGAATAGCGACCACCGCCTTAAAGAGTCAGGTTATAATAGATACTGAAAGGGCAGATCCAGAATCGAACAAAGTACTCATGCTGGGGACGTGCGAGAGTAGATTTTACATCTCTGGTAGTGCCGCCCTAGGGATGCGGACGGAATCGACTACTCTAACATCCGCCCGGGTACCCGTACACTCGCGGGTTCTCAACCAGGTACAAAGCGCATGCGATTAAAGGTCAAAGACTGTTTTACATTGGTCCGTCTATGATGCGAAAACACAACCAGAGCTCCCCCTCCACCCTCGCCATTTCCGGGCCACACACGGCCATGAAGGGAGACTAGATCGAGAATTTGGACGAAAACCACGGACCAGAAAGCCGGAGATGCGGGCATCATATGTGTTGGTGGAGAAGGTGATCAAAGGAAACGGAGGGTGAATCTATACAGAAGAAAATATTGGAATCTCCATGGCGCCATACAACTGCCGCTTGCACCGCATCCCATTTTCGAGGGATAAACCGAGAGGGAAGCGAAATGCCATGTCGTTCCAATCATCGAGGAGCGAAGAACTACTAAAACAGGGGGGGAAGGATGAAGAGAGATTAGCTCGAGAGAGATGTGGGTCATATGCATCCGACTCGAGATGGTGGGCTCAGCGAAGAAGCTTAGAAGGGAGGAGGAACCATGCTGGCAGGATCAGCCTTCTCCTGCTGCTCCATCAACTCCTCGCCGGCGATCTCGAGCGAGACGGCAAGGCCAACCTTGGCGGTTTGCTATAAAACGGTCACGAGTCAATATAAATTTGAAAACGAAAGAGAGCAGGACTGATATCATACCTTAGCCTGGTCAATCTCACCAGCGAAGGTCAAAGAGATGGGCATCGCGATACGCTTCTCGAGAAGGCAGCTGACTTTACCGGCGCTGTCAACCTGGGCGCGGAAGGAGGAGGCGCGGAAGTCGTACTTGGCACCGATGGCGGTGGTGCCATCGCGGCTGGGGCCACCCATCATCATAGCCGCGGCATTGGGGGCGAACTGAAGGTTCATATCGACACCGGCCTCGACGCGCTCGGATAGCTTGCGCCAGTAGGTGGCAGCGAACGTGCCCTGGGCCTGGAGCTGAGCGGTACCAATCCAGTCATCTCCCTTATACTTGGCGCAATAGGAAAGAGCAGTTTCGGGACGAGCGTTAAGGCCCTGGCGCTGCCAGATAGCCTCAAAACCGAGAGCAAGACTAGGAGTGATCGACTGAAGGTAGCTACCGACGAAGATACCAGTCAGACCGCCCTCGAGGCAGGACGGGTTGAAGGCCTTGAGGGAAGCAGAAAAGTCATCGCCGGTATAGTCATTGTCGAGCTGGAGCAGGCCCTGGGTAGCACCGGGCATGATCTGAGCGTTGGCCTTAGTGACCAGAGCTGAGGTCCAGCGGTGGTTGTAAACGGCCGAGAGAGTGCCATCGCTTCCGAAGTTACCTTGCATAAAGACCTATAGCAAAGAGGAAGCTCGTTTAGACATTGACCCTATAGTGGAAAGACTCGATGGTTGAGGATGGAGATCTGCGAGTACTTACTTTGGGACTTCCGTACATGGCAGAGAAAGCGTACGGGGGCAGGTTGCCGGACGAGCCCATGGAGAACGCGTGCGACACGCGGAACAGAGGAGACATACCGAAGACCTTGGTCAGGTCTGCGCGGAGACCCGAGAACATGAAGTTGGACAGCATGACCTCCTTCTGAACCTCACGCGCGATGTTGTCCACGGTACCCGGGTTGGGCAGGTTGAGCAACGCCCTCCGCTCGGAGAACGAAGTGTATGCATCCTGAACAGCCGCGGCAGCGGGGTTTTCCGTAAGGAAGGAAAGGGGTGATGTGAGATCGGACATATTGGATGTTTTGGAATCGAGTTATCGAAGGTGCAAGGTGTCGTCACGCGATGCCGGCCAACAGGTTCGTCGCGGAAATAGGGCAATGGAATTGCTAGAGGAAGAGTGAGACCAGCCCGGGAATATCTGGGACGAATAACCGTCGCAGATCGTTGGACTTTGAAGGAAGGGCAGTATCTGTTCCGCTCGGGGAGTCGGGAGTTGATTAGAAGGAAGCGGAGCTGGAAGACTTTCTAGTGAAAAAGTCGCTCGGCGTCTTTGGTATTCCCCGTCCACCGGGATGTTATGTAAGCCGCACCGGGCCTTCTCGGGCGCGTTGTGAGAGTAGGCGAAGCCGAGCTGAATAGAAAATCTTTTTGGGTGGGTGAATCATTTGGCTTAAATTGATATACCTGCCAAGTATGTACAGAAAATTTAGTTTTTTTTTTGAAAAAAAGAAATCAGATTGTGTACAGAGTCAAAGCTGATCAATTCCTTGTCTATTTGAGGTTTCCAGGGCTCCACCCAAGATCGCAGGATATCTACCTACGGACTCAGCGCTATCGCCCATACCGCCTCCAGTGCTTCGCTGCCTCTGTCTCTCTTCTACGACTCTTGTCATTTGAGACTTTGCCAGTCGGCTGAATCTTCTTAATTCTGTCGTCTTCGACCTGGGTTGAACGTCTAACCCTCGCTGTGAACACGCTCTCTTCCGTCATTGCTATCCCACCGTCCCCGCGACCATGGACACCTTACTGTAAGTGAGCTCCTGCAACGAGTTGGCGGGTCATGAAATTCAGCTCTTTCATTTTACGTTTGGAGAGGTAGATCAATCAACCATGTCTTTGTGATCTTTCGCCGAAAAGCCACTGTTTGAAGAGCGATTCCGCCCTGTACCTGAAGCTGACGTCAATCAGAACTGCAGAGATCGTGGCCAACTCGCCGCAATTCCGGCGCAAGTCCTCTATCTTTGTCGATGCTATTCATGATCTGCCGGAAAAGGCCGACCTGGCGCCGGCTCAGCTTTACAGCACGGAGTCAGGCCGCTTGTTTCACTCTGGCCGAATTGTGATTATTACTGTGGGGTTGCCCGCAAGAGGAAAAACGTATGTATAGCTTGGCCGCAGAGATGAATCGCATGGTCCCGTACTGATATCGGTCATGTAATCAGTCACATGTCCGTAGCTTTGGCCCGGTACCTTCGATGGTATGTATTGATGTGTTTCACCGGCACGGTTGCCGTGCTTTGATCGAACACTACGCTGACAGACAACCTAGGCTCGGAGTCAAGACCAGGATCTTCCATCTTGGTGATTACCGACGTGCCACAATTCCCTTTGGCGAGGATATGCCCGATGACTACTTTTACGTGAATGGTACGTGGCACTGGAATGCCGTTTAAAATGGCGATGCTAATAGATATCAAGCAACCGCATCCTCTGTCCTACTTCGCCAAAAGATTGTCAGAAAATGCCGCGAAGACATCTACCACTTTTTGAATCATGAAAAGGGCCAAATTGCGATTTATGATGCCGTTAACCCGTTGGCATCGGGGCGCCGCTCTCTTGCAAAAGAATTTGCAAAGCATGATATTGAGGTATTTTAGATCATTTATTTCGCAGTATTGACAATCTTTGATAACGCATTCTCAGACTCTCTTCATCGAATCTTGGTGCGATGATGAACGTATCATCGAGGAGAACGTTCGCAGGGTCAAGATCTCGTCCCCGGATGTAAGTACAAGAGATATTTTGCAGCTACCTCGAGGATGGTTGCAAACTGACACTGGTCAAGTACATCTCATGGAGCCCGGAAGACGCCGTCAAACATTACTTGAACCGCATCTCCTCCCGCATTCCTCAGTTCCAGACAATGGAAGAAAAGGATCTGAACTACATCAAGGTTTGCGCTTTTGGCGACTTCATTTACCCTCAAATGCTTACTGTGATAGATGATCAATGCCGGTGAGCGACTCATTGTCAACAATCGAAGCTTCGGCTACCTCTCCAACCGCATTGTTTTCTACCTCCTCAACCTTCACATCAAATCACGAAGAACCTACTTTGTGCGAGTAAGCATCTCTTTTGCTAGCCTCGCAAGTACTTCCAAGCTAAACAAATATGAAGGCTGGTGTTTCACTGGAGGCCGATTCCTACAAAGCCGATGCTTCCCTTTCCGAGCAAGGAGAGGATTACGCTAAGAAGATGACCGATCAACTGCTGGCCCATCGTGAATTAGAGAAACAGGAAATGATTAACCGAGGCGAGACAGGCTATGAGCTTCGACCGCTTAAGGTTTGGACCTCTACAAGGCGCCGGACCGTCGAGACTGCGAAATATCTCTACGACAAAGGATACAAAGTTCGACAGCGCTCTCAGATGAGTCAACTCAACCCTGGCGTTTGTGAGAAGATGTCGGAGAGCCGTATCAGAGCCGAGTGGCCCGATGAAGTGACAAAGCACGAGCTCGATCCCTACCACCACCGGTATCCCCGGGCAGAGGTAACGAACGTCTCCTGCTGATGGGCGCCGAAAAGAAGTTTACTGACAGCATTCTCCATAGTCCTATCACGACCTCGCTGTCCGCCTCGAACCAATCATTCTGGAGTTGGAGAGGGAGCAGAACGACCTTCTCATCATCGCCCACGAAAGCGTCCTAAGAGTCTTGTATGGCTATCTCATGGCCTGTAACGCTGCTGATATTCCCTTTTTGGAATTCCCTCGAAATGAGATTATTGAGGTATGACAACCGTGTTATCGTTCACGTGGATTGATGGCTGATGAAATTCATGTAGATTATCCCCGAGAGTTACCAGAATGAAGCCTCGCGTATTCACATCCCCGACCTCCCAGAAGAAATCATTCCCGACTCGCCCGAAGACTTGAAAATTCCAGTGCCACCAAGTGGAGGAGTATCGCCGATGCAAGGCCTTGGTAGTCCATTAGAAGGCACTTCGACGCCTGTGAGTGGATTGCGGACTCCAAGCGGAGTTCGGACTCCCCGCGAGCCCGAGAGGATCTCGCAGCAACATGTTGAAGATGTTGTCTAGGACAATAATTGCTGGTGCCGACGTGTTTAACGGTATCGAATCCTCTCCTGATGCTTTGCTTTGGGAAAAATTCCCAAAAAAGATAGGGTAATCGATTAGCCACCGTGCAGTGTTGAGACAAATACAATGTTATCTCCCTTTTGAAGTTCATACGCTTCCTCGCCTTCGAGTTCCCAATCGGCATCATTGATCAGTACGAGAACACCTGGTCGACTTTTCAGATTGTTAGCGTTTATTTGACCTTGACCTTGTAATCCACATACACATTGTCCTCCACGATGAACATTTCCTTCCGCTGGTCTTGCATCAGATTATCGACCAGGTACCGCAGTAGGTAAGAGATATTTGGTTGGCTTCCATCTTTTAATTGGGCGGGTAATGTGACATTGTGCTTGCGCTCATTGCCAAACAATAGCTCGAGACCACCACTGCAAAAGAAGACCAGTTAGAACTTTGACTGGGTCATCTCAAGACGGTAGCAACGGTACGTGAACTCAACGGTGATGGGGAGGGCGGAACCCTCGCTTGCCATTTCGACCATTATAGTGGGTATATCAGACAGTCTGGTTATACGGTAGTAGACACCTTTCCTGCTCGTGCTGTTGAAGGTCGAAGAGGTGAAAGTCGAGGTGAGATTTGAGGCGGAGAGGGGGGTGCGCTCTGCTCTTATCGATAAGGATCTTCCACATTCTTTTGCGCCAGCTCTCTCTCTTCGTCATTCGGCAAGCCTCACCTCAGCCTTTCAATTTCGAGTGCTTGCGACATGCCGTCTGTATCAACCGACTATATCAGCGTGGGAGGAAACCGACACCCCGGCTCGGCTGATTGGGATGTCCAGACAGGTGTACTAGCCTACGGCGCAGACAATAATGTAGCCTTGTGGAAGCCTCTGGTAGGTTCAACCGTGTCTGATCTCCGACAAAGGGTCGTGATTGAGTTAACATGTCTTATAGGATGCCTCTTGTCGAGGCGTGTATGCCCTCCTCGTAGGTCATTCCGACAAAGTCAGCATAATAAGATTTTACACATGCCGTTCCACTGGAACGAGGTTCCTTCTTACCGGCTCCGTCGACAGAACAGTTCGAGTATGGCGGGAAGATTCTGCCGCCTTGGGTCATTACAGACATGTCTCTACACTGGAGGGACACACGGGGTCAGTGAATGCACTTGCGGTGGCCGACGGCTCAGACGTTGTTGCAACTGGAGCTTCCGACGGAACGATGCGCACTTGGAGACTGAAAGTCAATGCGCAGGGTGAATTGGAGAGCGAGTTGCTTGAAACAATCACAATGAAGCCGCGATTTTTCCCGTTATCACTAGCTCTGCGCGTGCTCGAGGGTGACCAGGGAAAGTCGCTGGTATTGGCCGTCGCGGGGACTACCACCGCAGTGCATATCTACGTTGCGGAGACCTCTGACAGGCCAACCTTCCAACGTCGCGCCATACTATCCGGTCACGAGGCTTGGGTCAGATCTCTCTCGTTCACGCAAGACTCACAAAGCAGCACTAACGATATCTTGCTGGCTTCGGCCAGTCAGGACAAATACATTCGGCTATGGCGACTGCGCCGCGGTGAAGTAGAGATTTCTGCACCCGTGGAGGATGACGCGGATCCTCTTCTGGGCGGTCTGGAGCCAACGCTATCTAACAAGGCCCATGAATTCGAAGCAGCTGGATCCAAATTCTCAATTACCTTCGAAGCCCTGCTCTTTGGAAACGAAGACTGGATTTACACGGCAAGATGGAACCCCGACCCAAACCGGTCGCAGCTTCTATCAGCTTCTGCCGACAATACAGTCACGATCTGGGAACAAGACCCATTATCTGGTGTGTGGATGTCAGTGGAGAGAATGGGTGAGATCAGTGTGCAAAAGGGATCCACTACAGCTACTGGTAGTACTGGCGGCTTCTGGATTGGACTCTGGGCCCCCGATGGCAAGAAGGTTGTCAGCTTGAGCCGGACAGGCAGCTGGAGAATATGGGAACATGATACCGATGCGGACATCTGGGTACAAAAGTTCGGTATTTCAGGACATGTGCGTTCCGTCAATGGAGTGCAATGGGAGCCGAGCGGTGGTTATTTGCTTTCTACCAGTTCCGACCAGACCACGCGTCTTCATGCTCAATGGAAGCGAGAGGACAAGTGCTCGTGGCATGAATTTTCCCGTCCTCAAATTCATGGATACGACCTGAATTGCGTCGATACCTTGGGACCGTTGCAATTCGTGACTGGCGCCGACGAAAAATTGTTGCGAGTTTTCAATGAACCTAAGCAGATCGTGGAGTTGCTTGAGAAGTTGACTGGCTTCAAGCAGACAGTTGAAGGCGAGCTGCCGGATACCGCTGAGATCCCGGTCTTGGGTCTGTCAAACAAAGCTCATGGTGATGAGGCTCCAGTGGAGGATGAGGATGAGGAAGTCAGCACCCCGCGTGTAGCTGCAAACACCTTGTTAGCCGAAACTCCACCGCTTGAAGATCAGCTAGCACGATATACCTTGTGGCCGGAACACGAGAAGCTCTATGGCCACGGTTACGAAATCTCTGCTGTTGCCGTCAGCCATGATCGCAGGCTCATTGCCACTGCCTGCAAAGCCACATCACTAGATCACGCCGTGATTCGCTTGTACGATACCTGCGACTGGCACGAGATCAAACCTTCACTTGCAGCACATACGCTGACCATCGCGGACCTGTCATTCTCTGATGATGACCGTTACCTTCTTAGTGTGGGCCGAGACCGACAGTGGGCTGTCTTCGTGCGAAGTGTTCAGGACCCGACCACCTTCAACAAATACGCATCAAACCCCAAGGGTCACTCCAGAATGATTTTTGGTGCAGCCTGGGCACCTTATACAGCCACACAGCCAGTCTTTGCCACGGCAGGCCGCGACAAATCCGTCAAGATTTGGCAAAAAGCCGAGGACGAAGAGAGTTTCCTCTGCCAAAGCACTATTGCACTGACATCCGCGGTCTCGGCAATTGCTTTCTTATCTTCTCCGTACAAAAATTCGTTTTTCCTCGCAGCGGGCGAAGATGGCGGTGCTATTTCCATCCACCGAGTCGACATTCAGAGTCTGGAAGCTCAGCATGTTGTCAGCATCGATCCGCTTATTGCACCATCAAGGGCAATTACTCAGCTGTCATGGCGACCAGTACCTACCGCCGACGCGGATAGTCTCGAGCGATTTGAACTGGCTGTTGCGAGTGAAGATACATCAACGCGCATTTATACCATTTCAAACATAGCATGAAACAGAACCAAACATGTCCAATAGAAGTTTTGAAATGATGCACATGAAAAACATAGAAGACCAAATGTTCGGTATTGAAGCGCATTCACAATACATCCTTGAATCCTGGTGTGGATCTTGACAGTCAAGTTGGTTACCAAGAGCTACTGAATATCACATTGTCACACTCGAATTGCTCAGTCTACGGAGCTGTGAATAAGAAATGAACACGGTCTACTAGACCAAGATTCTCGACAATCGAAGGTGTATCGGTTCACCGTCAAGTTATGCAGCATCAGTAATCTCTTTCATCGCCATGTATACCCGTTGTGAGCCCAAATGCCCGGCGTTTTCGGATGATAGCCGAGGGAGTAACGAGTATCTGCGTAGGACATGTCTTTTCTTTTTTTGCTCTCTTTGATATTCTCTGCTTTCTCTTCTGCGGCCCATCATCCATCATGTTCACGAACCAACTGGCAATCACCACTCCGTCTCTGGGACTTCACCCCTCCCATACTCTTCCTGAGAAAATTCAAGCTGCTGCATCAAACGGCTTCGCTTTGATCGAGATTCTCTATCAAGACATAGTGGACTTTGGATCCTCTCAATTCCCGCCTTTGAATGCGCATGAAGCCGCCCGCCTCATCGGCGAGAAATGCTCATCCGCCCAGTTGGGAGTCCTCGCTCTGAACCCATTCAAGAACTTCGAAGGCCACATCTCACCCATTACTGAACGCCTCGATTCTGCTCGACACTACATTGAGACTGCCTCATGTTTGGGAGCAAAGTATCTACAAGTACCCTCTCAGTTCGATACCGCCAACAGTTCACCGAACTGGGACTTGATGGTACAGGAATTGCGCCAGCTCTGTGAACTTGCGGCTTCTCATTCAGTCATGATTGCCTACGAAGCTGTGGCTTGGGGCAGCTACATTGATACCTGGGAAGGGTCTCTGCGGATGGTTGAAAATGTGAATAGGTCAAACTTTGGCGTCTGCTTGGATTCTTTCCACATCGCTGCTCGCGTATGGGCCGATTGCACCACCGAATCCGGCATACGCGAAAATGGAGAAAGCGAACTGAAGGCCTCGCTTAATCGGTTCGTTGAGACCTTCCCCTCTCGACAAGATCTTCTACGTGCAGTTGTCTGATGCTGAGAGATTCGTGCGCCCCTTGACCACGGACCATCGCTTCTACCAGGCGGGATTTCCCTCATCTTTGAACTGGTCTCGGAACATGCGCCTATTCCCTCTCGAGAAACAGCTTGGGGCATACCTACCTGTGTTGGCGATTGCCGATGCCTTGTTGAAGAGAAAGGGCTGGAAAGGGGTAGTTTCTATGGAGATTTTTGACTGGAGGATGAGAGAAGAAGCATCGAGACACCCCAATGAAAATGCGAAGCGTGGAATAGAGTCATGGAAGAAGCTCGTTGCGGCCCTGGAGGCATCTGATTGAAGCGGATCAACTGAGCTGTCCATGATAGCGATATGAAACCAATTCTAGGCCTATCGCTTTTGCTACATACCGATCTCTCCGGCCATTCCTAAAGCTCTCCATGTCGTTGAATGTGCATCAGAACTTCCTGAGACTAAGAATGAGGCTGCAACACCATTAGTACCGGCCAACTGGCCAAGAGACATTCAAGAAACTAACTCCATTCCCTGTGCTTTTATAGCGCAGCCACGCTACTTCGCTTCGAGTAATGCTAGGAAATCATAGTGATCGAGATGGAGACATGTTGAACTTCATAATGTGGAATGAGTACAGTTGTAAACGTCACATCCATCCAGTCGGTTATTGCTGGGACCTTTGAACTAGAGAATCTTTTCTCTTGCGAAAGGCCTGAAAATCTCGGGAACTGCTTCGATGGCTGAAACCCTGAGATGAGATTTGGCGGAGGCGAGCTGTGGAGATGTAGAGTCAGACTAGGGTTCGACTGGCAGGATAATTGCAAGCGAAGAACCAGATGCTTCGAATAGACATGAAATTATACGGACGAGCCGAGTCCTTTGTTATCTCAACTGACAAGGTCAAATGGCACAAGCCGCGGAATGAAGTCTACTGGAATTGAGTCTTGTAGTATTTGTTAGAGTCCAGATTTGTTGACACGGAATTCCCATGATCACAAAGTGGCCAACATGGTCTTCTCGTGGCAATTTTGATCCTTCTTCGAGCTCAAGTCATCCTGCTCAAGGTGTGCCTTTCATCCCGTTCAATGTCTCGGCTATCTGAATCTCTTCCAATACTGATGTCTTGCATGTCATTTTGTTTTCCCCAGTGGCCTTCTTTTTCTACGCCCGTACATAAAACCTCCCATTGTTGAAACATATGCATAATCCCGAAATCCCAGCATGAGTCATGGTTGAAAAACTCCCGTGTTGAATAGATCCATCGAGTAGATCTGAATGCCCCCAAAACACCCCATCAATGCCAGGTGGTTGAACCCAATAATTGTTGAATGGCTCTTTTCTAAGAATGATCCTCGCTTCAATGCTTCAAGAGATGAAACAAACTTGTGTTCATCAATCGTGAGCAGGAACGCATCGATTAATCGTGCTTCTCCAATCCGTAGCCACCAATCCCTTCCATGGACTGATATGTCTTGCCCTGACTTGACTGGCCGTCACCATTACGAGGTCCACGGGCAGCCAGATCCTCCTTGAGCCACTTGAGGACCAACTCGCCTAGTCGACTGTTCTCTGATGTCCACTGCGGCACCTGACCGTAGTAGCTCTCCACGGTGCCCCATGTCTTGACCTTGCCCAGATGCATATGGGCAAGATGGGTGGGCCACTGGGCGAGGTTGTCCAGAATGTGAGTCGCATAGACAATGGTGCAGGACCGAGTCTCCGTCTCCCGCTTCAAGAAGGAGAGAAAGTTGCTTCGGGAGAGCAGGTCCAAATCCACGGTGATCTCGTCGAGAAGGAGCACCTGCCAGGGACGCAGCAAGCCCATGGCAAGCTGTACACGACGGCGCTCACCATCGGAGACGGCATGCATGCGCCAGCGAAGATCGATATCGAGGATATCGACCAATTCATCCCTCCGCTCGGGGTAGGCGTTTCCACCCACAGAGGCCAGCAGCGTGGGCACGTCGATGTCAGTGCGAACAATGCTGTTCAACACCCATTCCACACCCAGATAAGTGACACCTTCCAATGAATCTTTGAAGGGGTCCTTGCCACCCACCGAGATAGTGTCGGTGGGGGCAAGACGTTTGCCCGAGAGCAGACGGAGCAATGTGGTCTTACCAGCTCCATTAGCTAATTGTACATTAGCAACCACTTCGAAATGATGAGAAAATCTGCGAATTACCGCCAATGAGCAGCGTCCGGCTGCCGGGAGGGAGGTCTAGCTGCACATTCTCCAGCCCCGCGGAACCATCTTGGAACTTATAGCTGAGATTTTGCACCGAAATCGACGGCTTCTGGGGAGTATTAGACGATGACATCTTGAGTATTCGCAACAAGCAATAAAGAGAGGAAGAGATTCGGGCGATGTAGGGGCTTGATGCAGGGAGAAGTGAGTCACTAAGGTAAGCCCAATCGGTCGTGCCATACGTTAGCGTGTGCTCCCGCATGGGATGAGGTAATGCGTGGATCGCGATAAACGATGAAAGAAAAACGATCATCTTTCTTTCTACCAAACGCCGAGTGCGTGATGCTCTCTACACTCCGATCGATTCGCCCTGCTCGAGCAACCATGAATCCTCTCATCGCCGTCGTCGGCGCAACAGGGACGGGCAAGTCGAAGGTGATTCGATACCCTGCGCATGTTCGAATGCGAAGGCTAATGACTACAGACAGCTCGCTGTGGACTTGGCCTCCCGCTTCAATGGTGAAATTATAAATGGCGACGCGATGCAGATGTATCGCGGCCTGCCCATCATTACCAACCAGATCCCCACTGAGGAACGAAATGACATCCCCCACCACCTGCTGAGCTGTGTCGACCTAGAAGCGGAAGCCTGGCGCATTGGCCATTTCAAGAGGGGAAGCTCTTCGACTCATCGACGATATTCGATCGCGCGGAAAACTGCCCATCCTAGTCGGAGGAACACATTACTACACGCAGGCAGTCCTGTTCAAGGACCAGCTGATTGGGGAAGGCTCAGATGCGGATGAGGGACCGGAGCCCACAAGAGAGCTATCTTCGGCTTCAGATAAATGGCCAATTCTCGATTCATCTCCAGAAGTATTGATGGAGAAACTTCGCGAAGTTGACCCAATCATGGCTGAGCGATGGCACCCAAAGGATGTACGGAAGATCAGGCGATCATTAGAAATCTACTTTCAAACAGGGAGAAGAGCATCCGAAATCTACGCAGAACAGAAACTTCTCAAGAACGAGGCAGTCATGAAGGATGAAGGTCTATTACGATTCGATAACACACTGATCTTCTGGGTCCACGCAGAGAAAGAGGTTCTCAATGCGCGACTGGATTCGCGTGTCGACGACATGATTAAACAGGGCTTGATGGCCGAGGCTCAGACAATGTTCGACTATCTCCAGGAGAAAAAATCTCAAGGCATAGACGTCGACCAGACACGCGGTGTTTGGGTGTCCATCGGGTTTAAAGAGCTGGCGCCGTATTTCGCGGCCGTCCAGGAAGCAGAACTGAGTGCAGAACAGCTCGCGGACCTCAAGTTGCGCTGTGTTGAATCAATCAGAACCGCGACACGTCAATATGGGTCGTCCCAAATCAAATGGATACGGAACAAATTATGGCGGGCACTCTCAGATGCTGACATGACGCGTCGTCTCTACATCATGGACAGCAGCAATGTCAAGGACTGGGATGAGTGCATCAGCAAGCCATCTGAGAACATTGTGCAACTACTGCTTGAAGGAAAAGCAACGCCCGATCCCAAAGCACTCTCGAAGCTGGCCAAAACTGTCCTCAGCGCAAAAGAGGAGCAAGCGCGTGCACAGCCAATGTCCGACATGCAGTGTTTTACTTGCGATATATGCAACAAGACGATGAACGGCGAAGAACAGTGGAATGTTCACCTGAATGGTTACAGCCACAAAAGAGCAGCCAAGTCCGCAGCAAGGAAAGCCGAACGAGACGCTTATTTCCGAAGAAAGGAATTAGAAGCTCAACAGGCTCCGGACTCTGGGGCTGATTCCCGAGCCATCTGATCTGGACATAATGAAAAAAATCATTTGGCATCAGAAGTACCGATGCCATTCATAGAATGTCTCGTGAACCTAAAGTAAAAATGAAATTATGACCAATCTCAGGCCATTGACGATCGCCAGGCTGTAAAGGCGGAGGAGAGGATATCACCATGACCCGAGTCTTCAACCTTGAATACCTCAATGACTAGTGACTTTTCCTGCTTCCGTATCCTCCACGTCCCATCTTCGTGGATGGTCTGCTTCAGCCCTGTATAATGTTAACTCAACGCAAGACAGACGAGAAGGGCAACCTTACAATCAAAGAATGCGGCAGCAAAGTTGATGCAGATATTTCCGTCCCAAGAGCCCCTTCCAACCTTCTTGACTTTGCCAGGAATACTAGCAGTGTCAAGCTCTTCAAGGCGATGGACAATACCCTGTTGATCACGGAAGCCCACGATAATCTTCGGCACACCGAGCAAGAAAGACTGCGCCCAGAACTTCAGCAGCTTTCTCTCGTATTTCAGCATATCGCGGTCATTGCGGATCTCAGCCGAAGTCTTCAACTCGACCCAATGAATCGTGTCTTCTTTTCGGTCTGGCTTGCAATCCCACACTGAACGAGACGAATCAGTATCGCGCTTGTGTATCTTCTTTTATCCAATTTTTTTTTTGATTCTCTATTTTGGAATGAGGGAACGCACCGGCGTCAACTTCACCACCTAGAATCATGCGCGTATTGCCAATTCCAGTCTTGACGACGGAGCAATATTGGGCGCTATTGTTGACGACTTCATTCTGGCGATTTTCGATTTCCGCGCGCGTTGTTTTGTCCCATGGCTGTCTTAGAACAGACAGGACCTCAAATTTGTAACCTAACGGCGAGAGTAAGCTGCTATTGATCATGTGGGTAGGTAATTAAGCGTACCCCAATACATCATTTGCTCCTGTGATGCCATGCCGGTTGGCATTCTTTGTTTACATTGGGCCTCTTTTTGCCGATTTTTGTATTCGTTGTCCTCTTCGATGAAACTAGGATGTATAAGCATCACATAAGTAAGAATATGATGGAGGTTATCGTACATCGTGCCCTTTCAAGTCAGTTAGGTCGATTTAAACAGGAGAATCCTAGGACGAAACACACCTGATAGCATGTTGCATTCATTTGGAACCTAGATCGTCGTCCAGCAGCGTAAGTAAAAAGCCACGCACATAATGAATTTGACACACGTACCCATTCATCATGTCAAATGGAGCAGTTAGAATCTATTCACACTAGTTTTAACACAAGGTCCATGGGCCTGCATGTTGCGACTTGGACTTCTCACCTTGGTCATCATGCCTCGCCAAGTGATAATGTCAGCTTCGCACTTTTTCCCTGTCTCTTTCTCGAGGGCAGTGACAGTGTCTAGTAGCGCATCGAGATGCTCATCGGGAGAATCATTCAGCTTCTGGAACGTATCGAATCCGATATTCAAATCCGCCGGCAGATCCGGCGGATAATAGTACGAGATTGATGAATCTCCCAAGTGAAATTGGCGATTTTGATCATAGGAAAAGCATGCGATTTCCTAGCACTTCATTAAGGATTTTGTTTCCTGCTGTCATGGGATCACTTACTCGAGGTCGTCGAATTGTTGTGCCCGAACCGCCGAAACGGCCCACAGGGTGGATGTCAAAAATGGCTCGACTCATGTCTGGGAATATCGGCCAGTTGCTCTGTTGCGAGACCAAGCGCGCAAAGTAACAGTCAGGCCTCGATCCAGAGACGATCCGCCAGAATCGCAAACGGAACTCGGTCGCTTTTGACACGTCGCACAGGGTCTCGGCGCAGAAGCTAGCTGTGTGTAAGCTCCGTTCAATTAGAAGGAAACAGTATCTTTGTCCAGAATCAGAAGTGCACGAAGATATGGACCGCGGAGCCGATAGCTAGAAGGAAAAGTGACCCGGCGCAGTTGAGCTTCCGCGTCCCCACCAACTTTCCACCTGCACTCCCCGCGAATCGCCCTCCCGCTTCTACCATTCGTGTCTGGGCCGGAAACGACACACCACGCATTCCTGTCACTTTTTCTAGGTGATATAGCTTCAATATGTCTTCTCGCATCGAAAAAACGATCGCCCGGCAGCGCGAAAAGTGAGCCACCGCAGTTCTGCAGCTTTTCTGACGAAATCCAATGCTAACGAGCGACTTTCTTCCAAGGATCGCGGATGGCGCCTACTATGAAGCTCACCAGCAGCTTCGCACCATCGCCGTGCGATACATCAAGGCATCCAACTACAATGCGGCGGCGGAACTTCTTGCGGGCGGTGCCACGGCTCTGTTGAAAGCTGGTGCTCAGCAGGGTGCCTCGGCCAGTGGCGGTGACTTGGCGATCATGTTGATCACTGAGGTCTATAACAAGGCAGAGTGGGAGATCTCTGGTGGGAATGATGATACCGAGGGCCGTGCTAGGAAGAGTGAGTTTCGGGTTTTCGGTGCCTGTTCAAGACGAGTGACATTGGGACTCAAGTTAACATGCCCGACTCGTAGAGTGTTTGATTGAGCTCTTGCGTGAGTTTCCATCCGACGAACCTACCAGGAAGAGATTCATTCAGGAAATGATTGGGTGGAGTTCACGGTATGGACCGCTGGAGCGAGGAGACCCAGATCTGCATCACGCTGCTGGTTCAGTCTACGCGGAAGGTTTGTTATCAGATTTGGTTCTGTTCATTTGCAATCTCTGACTGGTAATATGCAGATAACGAGCCATACGATGCCGAGAAGCACCTCATCCTAGGAACATCCGAGTCGGCGGAGACCCTCGCGAAACTTGAGTACGAGTGGTACACTCACGATGACCCGCACACTGCGGCCATCTATGCCTCGCGCGCGGTCATTCCATACCTCCTTACCGGCAACCTCCGCAGCGCCAATAAGGCCATGCTCATCTTCATCTCTCGACTGTCAGCCGCCAACCCATCTCTCGGCGTGCAAGACGTGAGCAGCTCCAACTCCGACGTTCGGGTCTTCCCTGCTCTTCCATTGCTCAACTTCCTCAACATGCTGCTCCTGACCATCCAGCGGGGTAGTGCCGATCTCTTCCGCCAACTCACTGCGCACTATGCGACACAGATCAAGGAGGTAGGCATTTGGGACGATGCTCTGGCCCAGATTGGTGAACAGTACTTCGACATCAAGATCCCAAAGCAGGGTAACCCTTTGTTGGACATGATGGGCAGCATGTTGTTCGGTGGCGGTGGCCAGGACAACGCTGGTGGAAGGAGGGCACCGTCCAGGACTAAGAAGGTTGAGGCGGCGCCGCCATCAAGCATGGAGCTTGACTAGCGCCAAACGATCCGTACTCCCTGACCCGAGGACGACATGCTTGACATTGGACATACGCAAATGAGGATTGATCATGTAATGAAATGAAAACATGCAGCGCATATCCACCTATTCAGAATCGCACATCCCTTTCTGCCTCAAACATCCAATTGTCATCATCCAAGGAGGCGACTTTTTTGCGCAGACTTTGGTGGACGATATCCAAGATCTCTGTTGCAAGTCAGCACGACTCCAAGTTCTACGTAAGAAGTTTTGAAAAGTGGCATACCATCTGGTTCACCACTTGTCGCTCTGTTTCGATGACGGATCATCATCTCCACCAGAGCCGCGTCGAATTCTAAGACTGTGTCAGTTGTACTTGATGAGGTAAACCAAGATATAAAAATCGCATACTTTCTTTCTCACGCCCGCTTAGCTCTGAAGAGTCAAATCCGGTCTCCCCTGCATCCTCGGCATCAAGCTCCCCCAGTTCCTCCCCGTCTTCGCCAACCAGCGCATGCGGTAAGGATGGTACATCCAGTTTGTAACCACCATTCTTGTCCCGCACAACGATCTCCTTGTTCTCCGTCAATTTCATGATTCGCGACGAGGATGAGTCCGAGCTTGTCGGTTTCGGCCTATGCGAGGGGTGGTTGGAGAGTGCGTTGTTCGGCTGAGGGACGTTGCCATTAGGTGGGCCCGCGGAGGCAGGACGGCGGCTGAGATTCTGGTGGAATAGATTGCGGCGGACAGAGGCTGTACCCATGGTGGAGAATGACTGGATTCTTGCGTCGTAATGGAAGAATTGGCGATGCGATATCGCGCAATTTCTGTCGCGTGGGGGTGTGCGGGGGCTGAATCGAATGGATCTTATATGTAGGGATCGAATAGATGTTTCAGGTTTTCTGATACCGAGTTATGCAGGAGTAGCGAATGGGTGCCACCAATTTGGCTGTAAGAAATACTGTGAATTAAGGAGTTGAGGTCGACTCTTGAGGCCGAGGAAAGGAATGCCGGCGGTAAAAGACTACGGTTCAACCAACAACGGAGAAAGTGAGAATCTGACCCCAGCAGCAGCAATTACATGAGAACAATATGTAGGTTGTTTGATCTTTCTATGCCTCGGGCTACATAATTCCAACACTCTCATAGATGTCATTACGACCACAAGAAGCTCGGTGCACAGGCCAAGCGATAAGCCGATTATCGCGGGACGCGTTGTCATTTCTCGCGTCTCTTCATCACCACATCTTTCCCCGGGACACAATTCCACCATGACCCAGGGCGAATCTTCCGCAGGCGCTGAACGCAATGGCGCCAAAGCATCGACTACAGGTCCTACCGACTACGAGCTGCCTTGGTAAGGTCTTCTGGACGATGGGAGTGCTCTTTCCACTGACTTTTTGCGCACACTATAGGGTTGAGAAATACCGCCCCGTCTTCCTCGATGACGTTGTCGGCAATACCGAGACAATCGAGCGTTTGAAGATTATTGCCAAAGATGGGAACATGCCTCACGTCATTATTTCCGGTATGCCAGGTATTGGAAAGACTACTTCGGTTCTCTGTCTGGCGCGGCAGTTGCTGGGTGATGCGTATAAGGAGGCTGTCCTGGAGCTGAATGCCAGTGACGAGAGAGGTTAGTCTACTTGATGTTGCCTATGGAGTGTAACTGAGCGCTCATAACGCAATTCAGGTATCGATGTGGTTCGTAACCGGATCAAGGGTTTCGCTCAGAAGAAAGTCACCTTACCCCCAGGCCGACACAAGCTTGTTATCCTGGATGAAGCCGATAGGTAGGTTGTGGACGGAAATTGGAGCTTGTGCATCTTTGTTGACCTGATGCAGCATGACCCCCGGTGCGCAGCAGGCGCTGCGCCGCACAATGGAAATCTATTCAACGACCACTCGATTCGCTTTTGCCTGCAACCAATCGAACAAGATCATTGAACCCCTTCAATCTCGTTGCGCCATTCTCCGATATGCCAGATTGACCGACGCGCAAGTCGTGAAGCGTCTCATGCAAGTCTGTGAGGCCGAGAAAGTTGAGCACTCGGAAGATGGAATCGCCGCCTTGGTCTTCAGTGCCGAAGGTGACATGCGCCAAGCCCTCAACAACTTGCAGAGTACCTGGTCTGGATTTGGCTTCGTCAGTGGAGACAACGTCTTCCGCGTCGTTGACAGCCCTCATCCAGTGAAGGTCCAGGCGATGATCAAGGCTTGTTGGGAAGGCAAGGTGGATGCTGCGCTTGAGACACTGAACGAATTATGGACCCTAGGATATTCCTCTCACGACATCATCAGCACTATGTTCCGAGTCACCAAAACTATTCCGACACTATCGGAACACGCCAAGTTAGAATTCATTCGCGAGATTGGCTTCACCCACATGCGCATCCTGGATGGTGTGCAGTCACTGCTCCAGCTAAGCGGTTGTGTGTCGAAGCTATGCAAGATTAACATGAAGCCTGAGCTCTTTCAGCCCATCAAGGATTAATTTTGCAACGTGATTTCCTGCAGCATATTTCCACGGCGTTTGAGGTTTCTTATCCGAGTGGTCCCAGTCGAAGAGTCTTGGGCGCCTGGTCCACCAATTATGAGATACGTTAAATTCACAATATAACACGAAATTCTATCGACTATGTACTAGACATCTATGGTTCTAGGTATTCTTGACGCGGCTTCTCCAGATCTTCTCGACGAGGGTAGCAGCTCCGAGAACTTTCTCTTCTTGGAGCTTCCTTCCAATAATTTGCAGGTTCACTGGGTAACCATCCACCTTCTCAGCATCGTAAAGGTTCCAATTCCACTCATCTAGAGGGTTCCTTGGTATATATGGCTCTGCAGGTAGAGAATCCTGCTCAGCTCGTACTTCATCCACCGGGAAAGTCAGAGCTGGATAGTCCAAAAAATTCCAGATCTTCGTATATCCCACCCATCGAAACTTGCCATGGGGAACAGCAGTGTGCGGCAAGGTCGGACTCAACAAAATATCGACAGGTTTTTCAGAAGGAGATCGAACAGCATTCCATTTATCGAGATATTTCTTCTGCGCAGCCATCTTGCGCTTGTTCAATTGCCAGTATTCGTACACCGAGATGGGCTTACCTCGATTGACCAAAGCCTCGACATGGGGAATGTATGGTTCACCTGCAGTGGCGACATCCCGACGAATGTCTTCGCCTCTATCGGCAGTGTAGTAGAGGTTCATGATCTCGATGCATGCAGCATGGTCGGACGTATCCCAGATCACAATTTCGTGACCTTGCGCCTTTAACACGTCCGATAGCTCTCTAAGTGCGCGAGCAATAGGTGGGTGGACTTGGACCACGCCGTCGTCCATAATGAGCCCGATGACCATTGAGCGGGCTTGAATCTCTTGGAATGCAGTCTCATTCTAGGGAAGAGGAGCACATCGGGGATCCGAGTCCCAAGGACGTGAATCTGCAACGAGCTGAGTTACATAACGGAGAGAATTCAGGTCTCGAGCCATCGGCCCAACAGATGAAGGAACATGTTCTTGGCCTTCGGTGGACACGGGGACGCCCTGGTAAGGATAACGACCGCTCTGTTCTAGTGAGTGAGCTCACTGGGTTCAAGAGCAGAGAATGTACTGATACTTACACTTGGCTTGAAGCCATACAGACCCATTGTACTCTGGGGAATACGGATACTCCCGCCAATATCCGTGCCGAACCCAAGCAGAGAGGCGTGCAGTGCTAGCAAAGCACCTTCGCCTCCCGTGGAACCACCGGCAGAGAAATCGGGGTTTCTAGCATTGGTTGTGAGTCCCCAGAGAGGATTGTCGGTCTCCGCCCACTAGCCATGAAGTTAGTGGCTTGTTGCTCAATTGATATCGAGAACATTTCAAGGCGACAGACCAAGATACTCTGAGGCAAATTTGTTTTCGCAATAATAATGGCACCCAGGTTTTTCAAGATTTGAACGAGGACCGCATCTTCCTGGGCTGGGGCAAAGGACCTTCCCACATATCCCAGCGTGGTGTCAATGCCCCTGATATTGAACTGATCTTTGACAGTGACAGGAATTCCATGGAGAGGACCTTTCGGCTTGTTCGTTACTTCGAACAGGGCATCCAACTTCCTTGCTTGCTCGAGGGCATCTTCAAAGACCACTTCACTCAGACAATTGGTCTATATTCGTTCAGTCTAATTTCACACACGCAGAGGAGATAATCGCTCACCAATTGATGTGCCACGACTGCCCTAAATCATACTTAGTGGTGCTTCATTCAAGACGTGTCTTCACTCTTACCGTTGGATGTACGCCCTGATGACCTGCTCGGCGGTGAACTGCCTCTTCAAGACACATTGAGATAATTCCTCGATACCATCAATCTCAGTGATTCTCTGCGCCTCGGGGTCCTTTGATCGACTTCGTTCGTGGACTTGATCCACTCGAGGCTGTCGGTGGTCTACATCCTCCACCAAGTACGGAGCGAGAAGCTTATCTCTAGCGGCTCGTTTCTGAGCGACGATGGGCTCCCACGGCTGTTCTGTGCTGCCCATGGCTACGATACATTTCAGCTACTCCAACGCGGGGGATTCGGCTTAAATACGACGAGCTCGGCTTCGGAAGCGATCCGGTCCCGTTATCAGAGGGCTTCCAAAAGTGGGGTACAGCAGTGATCAAAGCTCTTTTATTTGGAGAAACTGGACCACGATATGCAGGACCGGCGTCATGACCCCAAGAATCATGTCACAAGTGAGCCCAGTTCCACCCCGGTATCTCAAGGGTCGAGTATAGCAGGGTAAACACGAAGCTATCCCGTTCGCGGAGATTTGGCGGGGCTCTCTCAACCGTCGAAAGTGGGTCGATCCAGGACCTCCAAGGACCCATTCCCCCCCATCTTCCAAGCCAACGCCGGATGGTGATCCCAATGGAGTCCAAGAGCTCAGGGTCGACCGGCGCAAGCGCGACCGGCCCAGTTCGCACCCGCAATAGGACCACGCCGAGCGCGATCGCAAAGAGAGCTTGCGACCAGTGCAAGTTTCGCAAGATCAAAGTAACCTCTCTCCCCTGTTGCGCAGCATGGCACACGCTAATTTTTCCCTGCAGTGCAGCTTGTCACAGCCGTGCAAGGCTTGTCAGTCGATGGGATTTGATTGCACATTTCTCCAGCCGCAGAAAAAGCGCGGGCCAACGGGCCAGTAAGTCATGATCGCGATACCAGTCTCGAGAGAAGTGCACTGACCGGGCTCCAGTCGCGTATCGCAAATTCGACAGCAACAAACGCCTATCGTCTCCAGAAGCTCCTCAGAAACATCAACATCCAAACAGGATGCCTTTCAATACCATGTGCCGACGACCGAGACGGGTCAGTCTGTTCCGATGGCGGGAACATCCTGGGCACCCCCTCACGGCGAAGTCACAATGCCCATGAACGGACCAGCTGGCCTGGCACCAACGGGGCCTTCTCCGACAGTAGTGGATGCCTGGGGGAATGAAACGTCGTCTTTGAACTCTGGCGGTAACGGCGCGGTGGGCTGGACCGACCGACCCGATATCGAATATTGGCTTCCAGATCATCTGGGTGCCCAGGTCCCGGTCTTCGAATTCCCCGGAAGCAACATCTACCTCAAACCTTCTCTGCCATCTATTATACAGCCTGTTCCCGATGTGGCCCCCATGAATATTGCCCCACAGGAGCAGCAACCACTACCATTTTCGCCGACGGTGGGATCCGTGCAGTCCGAAAGCCAGGACGGAGGCGATGAGTTCTGGCCAACATCTATCAACGAAGCGAACATGATACCTTGGATCGACGTTTATTTTGACCGGTTACATCCGACCCTCCCCGTACTAAGCCGTTCTTCCATGTTCACACAAATGATGTGTCAAGAGCATCGCAAGAATCCCCAATTCGGATCTATGGTGCTGTCACTTTGTGCGTTTTCTCTGACACAGCCTATCGAAATCAATGAACGGGCGACCACCTCATCTCGTGCTACACAAGCACGGTTGATGATGCACGAGGCCACCAAGATGCGGAGCTGCTCCGACTTTGGCGAGCACCCCACTATAGAGGCTATCTTGACAAGCTTCTTCCTCTTTGGTTGTCTATTTGGAAGCAATCAGCACAATGCCGCCTGGCTTCGGTTGCGGGAGGCGCTGGATCTGGCGTCCACGTTGGGACTGAACGATCCCAACTCGTATCGGGATTTGTCTGGTGATGAGAAAGGCCAGCGATTGCGGACCTATCTTGTCTTATCAATTACAGAAAGGTACAGTCGCAAATCTCCTTGCTTAGGAAAACACTTTATGGCTAATCACAAGCAGAGCTTATGCTCTTCAACGGCTACACCCGGTAACATTTTCCGGCAAACCGGGCTTCAGTATGCGTTCCGTGCATGACTTCCTCCATAATGCAACACATAGCCTTGTCTCAGGCATTATTGTTCACAACGAAAAAGACGCCGAGGGCATGATGGGTCTAGCACGATTAATGGAACTATTCGATGCCATCGATGAAGATTTCATCCATTGCTGGAACCGACGCTGCGACATTACCAAAGGTTTCTGCCAAAGTTTCACAGAGGCCAAGGCCTTATCCATGCATGCTAGCCTTGATCGAATCAGCCAAGCCGAGCGATATAAGGGTTACGACTGGTTCGAGCGAGCCAAAGGAGATCAGAATGACAACAACGCACTGCTCGCAATCGGTCTACGAGAGACACAAGCAGCAGATGTTTTCGTCACCCAGAAATGGCTTCAAAACCGTGTCTGGCGCCTTTGCCTGAATCATGGTCTTCTCAGAACCCATTCCGAGCGGCCCGAGTTGACCTTTGGTTATGCAGTGACCGTGGCCGAATCTACACTTCAACTTTGTCGGTCATTACGACTGAGTTCTATGGAAGCGCATGGGATTGGACATGTAAGCTGATCTCACATATCCTTCAAACCATTTTGGCACAGCTAACAGGTACTAGACCGAAAAGATGTACGATATCGCCACCGCGGCAACTGACATTCTTTGTAACATCAGCCCACCCTACGGAACAGGCATGACACCTGCGGGCAACTTCGCCGAAACAGAGTCTGCAACAACCACACCGCAGACTCTCGCTGAAGATTTTGTGCTGTTGCTCAGCAGTTTCCGAGGAGGAAATCATCCGTTTTTGGAGAAATACAAAGCCCACCTCCGCTCGTTACAAATCCCGGGGATTTGGTCCCAGCAATAAGTGGTGGTGGTGACAGTGTGGTCGTGTGTGAATAAATGCATCCAGGAACGCCATGTACAATTATATATGAATGAAGTCAATCGCTGGGGGCTTCACTGTAAACATCGCTATTGCATATATTGACTGATGTTAAGGCCATCCCAGACATCAGCTTGTAAAAGGGTGGCTGGCGTTCGGTCAGCTTCGCCTTGGGCCGATTCTGCGAAGAACCGGATTCTATAGCAGCGGTCTGAAGGGTGGTAGATCCGAGTCGTAATAACTGTTCTCTCATTCACAAAGACTTCAAGCACGCTTTTATCGAAAAATGCGCGCACTTTCAAGGTCTCTTCAGTCTCCTCTCCTTGTTCGTTCACGGTCGTAAATAAAGTATGGGGGGGCAGACTCGTGTCCGTGATTAATGTCAGGGTTTTCGGGAGGGGGTCGGTGAATGGTAAATGTTTCACTGCGCGGGTGCCAAGCAAGAGTAGTGCAATGTTTGAAATCTAGAGGCTTGTCAATGGTGTGATTTAAGACGACTATCCTGCGAAAAAAAAAATGTACATACCGGCAGTATGAGCGATTTCAATGCCAACCCGTTCACACGAGGAACTAACTGAGACTTCGCTGCCGAGTTCCCAGCGAGATGTCATCAGAGGCAAGCAAGCAGTAGAAGTCGAGGCGAGGGTTGGGGCAAGGGTCAATTGTGTAAGAGTGTTCTTTGTAGCCCCATATCGAAGACGAGCAAGTCGTGAATCTGGAGCGATGCCCAAAGTGTGAATAGTAAAATGATTTCCATCAGAGGTTGATTCGATGCAAGTGATGGATTCCAATAGCGAGCGACGCGCCTTCTTCACATGTCGCAAGGTCATCAAATTGACTACCCTCGGCAATGAAATCATACCACTCCATCCCTGACGATGACGAGCGCCATCGGATAGGTCTTCCTCGGTGACCCAACCATATACAATACGCTGAGAGGTTTGAGGATCCCAGAAGCCATTGGCGGCATATAAACATCCATGGTCGAAGATACCGGCGAAGGCATATTTTGTCAGGATATTTTCGGCGCTCTTTTGTTCGGTGGATGTTTTCACGGACATCCACAGTTGACCTCGAGGGTCTCGCTTATGGCGTGCTTCGCCGGTTACGCGATCGGGGCCTTCTGGCCGAAGACATCCTTCGACCCCCATCACGACGAAGTCTCTAGAATCGCCAGAGTCATTGGTCAGGGTCATCAAATTAGTCACTTCCCAATTGACACCAAAATCTCCTGACCAGCGCCCCGGGCGAAAATTGAGGCCAAAGTTGGTCAAAAGCCCGGTGTATTTCCATTGCCGAAGGTCCTTGGGGTTGACTGAGTAGACAAAGAGAGTCGGTGTCTGACCGACAATGCCGCCCGAGATGAATCCGTATAGAGTTGAATCTTGATTTTGCGAGGCGATCCCTCTATTCCATATTGTAAGGTACGGGTCTCTCCACCCAGTTACCTTCAGATGGCGAGGTGGTCCTGGTAGAATCGGGTTGCAGTCCTCTCGTTGCCATGTCTTGCCGCCATTTTTGGAGGTCGCCAGGCTAAGAGACTCGCATCCTGCGGTGTATGGTAGAGTGTAATGAATGGGAAGGTGTCTTACTGATGTATAGGCGACAGTGAGAGACCCGGGCTTCCCGTGGATATCAGTCGCACGCATACACCCAGTGAATACACCGCAGCGGTCATATTCCGCCGAGGGCGTCAGAGCTGGCGTTGAAGATGTTTCCCATGAGATTAGGTCGGAAGATGTGGCATGACCCCAAGACATGTTACCCCAGTCGTTGCCATAAGGATTCCATTGGAAGAACATATGGTATCGTCCCGTCGAGGGATCGAAGCCAAGACCACAGGGGTCATTCTGCCATCCGCTCGGGGCGCTTAGATGGAAACAAGGCTTTGAGCGGACAATTGTCGACATTGGCTCATCATCGAGTGTACTGGCTGCTTCATGGGAATGTCTGTTGTGGAGATACCCAGCCTCGCTCCCGTCAACGAGAACAGACATGGTTGGGAGGTAGAAAGTTTCTCACGGAGGGATAGAGATCAATAGAATCTTAAATAATCCAACTCTTTCAAGTGATCGCTTGAAAGTTGAAGAAGTGGAACGCGACCGGATAAATCCCGGCGATCTGAGCTCAAAAAGGCGGATCAATGGCATGCGCTGATCGCAACAAGTCGACAGATTCACGAACCCAACTGGGCCATCGCGGCAACTGTCAGAATCTGGATTTTTCCCGGGACTAAGGTCGGAAGCAGGATCGGGGCCATGGCAGCAATTCCCAACGGAAGATATTCGGCGAAATCTCGACCGTGGAGAAGTGGAGGATCTGCACTTGTAAGATCTCGTTTCTTGACAAAAGCTACAAAAAACCACAGGAATTCAATCCTTGATGCGCTAGAGCCATGGACTGGTCGACTGGGGAAAAACCTCGGAAGGAAACAATGCGTCTTAGTCGAGCGACAATCCGAGAGCGTGGAAAAAGTGGGGAAAAAAAGTGGAAAAACCGGTGGAAATCTGGGGAAGTCGACTCTGCAGCTTCTCCAGCTTCTTTTTCTCCATGGGGAAATCCGCAATCGATGGCATGGGCACCAAAGGCCTTGACAGGGATTGAGCCCTATAAATCCATGGAGGAATCGCGACATTCGAGGCTGTCCCTCCTCTCATCCTGGACCTCCTTTAGAGCCATGACAGCCGACAAGGAGGACGGCTCGACAGAGCTCGAAGATGTCATCCCTTCAGAGAAAGGGGGCGGTTAATGCCTTGCTCGTCCTAGTCTGCGTGGTCTTTGGCGGGGCATCATTTATTTTTGGCTATGACGATAAACTCATCTCTCCTGTTGCGGCACTGACGCCATTCGTGAGTTTCTCCCGCATGGTCACCGAGGATGGAAATGTTGATCGTTACCAGGTCAAGAAGTTTCAAGGACCCAATCCAGCAACGGGCGAATATGTTCTTACCGCACGCAACCAGAATCTAGTGATTTCCGTCCCTTTAGTGGGTGCAGTGGTCGGTGGACTACTGGCGTCGCCACTGAACTTCAACTTCGGCCGCAAGTGGCCTCTAGTCGTCGCTTACGTTTTGTCCATCGGCGGTGCTCTTCTTCAAGTATTCTCACCTAACCTGGCAGCGTTCGTGGGCGGAAGATCTATCAATGCCGTTGCTTTCGGTATTGCCACTGCTACGGCTCCACTTTATCTCTCAGAGGTAAGACTGACCCATCCGAGCTGATAGATCTACGAGGCTAATTTTCCAGGTTGTCCCGGCTTCTATGAGGGGCAGAAGTGTGAGTTCAATCAACATCTTGAATCTCACGGCCGGGGTGGTTGGCACCGTCATAGTCTGGGGCACCCAAAAGCTCGATGGCCACCTGTCATATCAAATCCCACTGGCTGTACAAGCAGCAGTTCCAGTAATTCTTTGTGCGATGACAATATTCCTTCCAGAAAGCCCTCAATGGCTCATATCAAAAGGAAACATGGAACAAGCCCAGGTCAATCTGCGCAAACTCCGTGGCTTCAGCGACGAGCAAGTCGCAGACGAGCTCAGACTCATGGCATTCTGCGAAAGAAACAATCGTGAACTACGATCTAAAACCAGATTCTGGCATATTTTCAAGCGAGAGCATCTCAGGCGCACACTAGTCGCAGGCTCCTTCTTTTCTCTCAACCAAATCTCTGGCGTGATTCTGTCAACCACCTACACAACAATCTTCCTGACACAATTGGGGATCGCCAAACCCTTTTCTCTTACAATCATCTCGTCCTGTTGTACTCTGGCGGGTACAATTGCAGCCCCATTCGTCATCGACCGCGCCGGTAGACGCCCGACAGCCTTCGTTGGCATGAGCCTTCTTTTCATGATTGATGCCGTGGCTGGTGGTCTCGCGTTTGACAGAAGCACGCACGCGACTCTCGCCATCGCCGTGCTATCATTTGTGTTCAATTTCTTTTGGGCTTCCTCATTTTTCTCCTTATCGAACTTGATGCCCTCTGAGATGGCGACTCCGAAGCTCCGCCATCATACCATGTCCTACACCGTCGCCTGTGCAGAGATCACTGCTGTGATCACTACACTTGTTGTGCCGCAGTTGACATCGGCGGATGCAGCCAATCTCGGCGCGAAGACATACCTGATCTTTGCTGGATGCATGGCTGGCATTATTGTCTTCATATATTTCCTAATGCCCGAAACCCGGGGCCGCACATTTGCGGAAATTGATGAGATGTATGCGGCTAAAGTGCCAGCTTGGAAGTGGAGGTCTTATCAGGCCTCGATAGAGGCGAGAACCGGGGAATCTGCAAGACACTCTTCGGAAAAAGATCAAGCCATTGTGAATCAACTTTCCACCGACCGGTTCTTAGTCACAATCTGAAGATTTTACCTTTTACGTTTCTCAGATAAAGGCTTTTGCTGATAGCTTAATCGGGAGAGAACAAATATGCAAGATTAATAATTATTGAGATCTATTATGAGACACCTACACGGATCGTTCGAGAACAAAGATAGTAAGACAACCCTGAGGTGGGAAGAAGAAGATCCAAATGCAGTCGCTTGAAGTCACCCGTCGTCACATCGTGCGCCATTCGCGGCAAAAATAACACCAGAAAGGCCAGGGACATAAATGAAAGGCGCATCAACACTCACCATACACCTGGGTTTATATGCATGGGTATCAAGTCATTAAGAACAGTCATAGTAAGACAGAATCAACTACCGCGCGCGCCGCTTCCAGAACTTCCAACCCGTAGCACCGGTTTTTCCGTCCCGTTTGTAAATACGCCAGTAGTATACCGGCACACCGGTGATGAGAAAGGCGACCACGATCAGGGTCTGGAGGGGCTCGGAGATGATGGCACGACTCAAGAGAAACAAGCTAACGCAGCAAAAGATGATTGGGGTGCTGATCCATGTGCGGTAAGGACGTTCTAGATGTGGCTCGCGGATGCGAAGGACGATCAGTCCGAGTACAGTGAGGAAGTAAAAGGTGTAACCAGCGACACCATAGAAGGTCACTAGGGTGCCGAACTCGCCCATGACGATATAGATGGTTGTCAGGGCGGCGTTGAAGGCCATCGCATTTATAGGGGTGTATCCAAGTCTGGCTTCATCACCAAAGACACGGGAAAGAGACTTGCGAGCCCAGGAGCGCCGGCGGAGACGACTGCCCGCCACGGGGGTCGGAGAAGACGAGGCCGAGAACCCAATGCGGCCGAACAGAGCGGGGAGGTAGCCTTCCTTGCCAGCGGCATAAATAAGTCGGCCACTTGTAAAAGTGGTAGCATTCAAAGCTCCGAAACAGCTGGCACCGACCACGAGAGCAAGAATGACGGCACCGACTGATCCAAAGACCTTGGCTCCAAATTGAACGGCGATGGTGTTGCTGGATTCAATGGTCGAATGGGGCAGAACTAGAAAATAGGAGACATTGGCCATGAGATAGCACAGAATAACCAGCGGCATCGCAGTATGAATCACGCGAGGCAAGTCGCGACTGGGGTTCTTGAACTCGCCAGTCACATAGTTGGTCTAGATACACGTTAGTATGATCGTATCACCCATAAAAATTAAAAAATTCCGTACATTGTCCCAACCATCAAAGGCCCATAGACCGGCATAGAGCGCGACTGCAAAGTCGGAGATTTCGGTATTGGTCCCCTCAAACCAGCCAGTAGTTTTCCATTCCTGGTTGGCGCTTCCGCTGGACGAAACACCTGTAATGGCCACAACTATACCAGTGACCGTGATACCCACCAGTGCAATGAATTTGAAGAGCATGAAGATATCACCAATGCGGGTGGCAATCTTAGTGGAGATACAGTTGAACAGAGTAACTGTTAGAAGCCCTCCAAATGCAACACCCTTGTTGATCCACGGGTTGATATGTTCCACATCGGCGCCAACGAATGCTCGCACGATGTATTCTCCGAAGATGATTGATATGATAGCTGCGGAGCCAGGCTTCAGAACCAGAACCGCACACCATGTGAACATGAAGCCCATCAATTCGCCGAAGATCTTGGCTAGGTAAACTTGCGAGCCTCCATTCAAAGGAATCGCACCTCCCAATTCCGCATAGCTGGCAGCTCCAGTCCAAGCCAGAACACCGGCCACCGCCCAAACAATGAGCGCGGCACCCGGGGACCCCGCGTTGGCGTTGACCTGACTGGGGGATGAGAAGATGCCTGAGCCAATAATCAATCCCACTATAAGCGACAGTCCATTTAAATAGGTCAGGGTCTTGTTTCGCTCCAGCGAAGCATCTCCTTGTCGATCGAGTGCAGACGGGGTTCCGAGGGGCGCATAACCGGCGGCTTGTGTTTGCGACAGTGGGAAGAGATTGCGACCAAAATCAAACGCGGAGGATATAGAGTAGGTACTGTAACCTCTTGGGCGCCCGGGTTCGAGGTAGAGATCTCCGTTCTCGCCCGCTAGTGGATCTTCATCTTCGAGGGACAGCTTGCGCGAAGAAGAGATACCGTCGGGAGAAGAGGAACGCGATGAGCCATCGACAGAGGCAGGCGACGAAGAAGCAAAGGAAGCGAGCTCTAATGAGTCTCGCGGGGCAGCGAGGTTGCCATTCCTGATCTCATGGGGGAATGGCATGCTCGACATCCGGGGCGATGGAGGTCGAGATAGGAGTCGGGATTGGGCTTAGTGTAAACGTTGAGGTCGGGAGGCGGAGTGCGATTAGGGATTCAGAGCTGGGTCGGACTATGGACTGGTGAAGAGAGGTCGACAAGACACTCCATGATCCGATCCCAATTCTTGGAGAAAGGAAAAAAGAAAGGGAAAGGGAGGTCAAGGCGAGTTGCCAAGGGGTGCCATTTTATTTAACCGTCGATCACCCAATCGCCGCCTCCAAATTCCCCGCCGCCTTTCACTCCTTTGATCTTTTGATCCCTCGATCCTTGGATCATGCAATACACCTCATGAATCCTTCCTCGGCGTGCCACAGGGTCCGCCCTGCTATCCGGTCCACGGCTTTGTCTCGACGCTATGCATCGACTTCCTCCCCTAAGTCTGCAAAGAACCGCTGGCTAGGATTCGCTGTCGTGAGCGCCGCGGCCGCCGGTGCCGGCGCGTACATTCGATCGCAGACTCCCAACTCAGGAACTTTAAACCCGGAAACATTCACAAAGTACAGTCTTGTGGCCCGAGAGCCCGTGTCTGCGACGAGTAGCCTGTTCACGCTTCGCCCGCGATACCCCAGCGACAGCAACTACGACGTATACGAAAACGCCTGGCGAACCGGAGTATGGAGTGTGATGTTCAAGCAGCCCCAGCTGCAAATTGGTCGCGATTATACACCTTTACCAACAACGGCAGCTACATCATTAAGTGTGGACGAAGAGAATGAAGGCTACCTGCGATTCTTTATTCGAAAGGACCCGTTCGGAGAAGTCTCGCGATACCTACACACGTTGAAAATAGGTGCAGATATTGAGATGCGAGGACCACAAATTGAGTGCGCTATTCCCGAGGAAACGAATGAAATACTGTTCATTGCTGGTGGAACGGGTATTGCTCCGGCCTTGCAAGCGGGATATTCCCTCCTGAGCCGCACGACTAGCGAGAACCGACCGAGAATACACATTCTTTGGGCTAGTCGCTTAAGAGAAGATTGCATGGGCGGTGAGAGTGACACCGTCAAAGCTCCGTTGCGGCGATCCTGGTACTCGGGGTGGTTTGGCTCGTCCGAGAGCACTGCCCCCGGCACTCGGGCAGATGCTGCAACTTCCTCGAAGCAGGCCACTTCTCTCATTGTTAAGGAGCTAGAGGCCCTCAAATATCAATATCCGGGGCAGGTTACAGTGGATTACTACTTGGATGAGGAGAACAGGTTCATTGGAAAGCAGGATATCTCCAAGTTCATCGAGTCCACACGTCCTACCGACAGTTTGCGCAAGAGCAAACTGATATTAGTATCAGGCCCTGCAGGATTCATCAGCTATGTGGCCGGTCCCAAGGTCTGGGCACAAGGACAGGAGTTACAGGGACCCGTCATGGGAGTCATCAAGGAATTAGATCTCAAGGACTGGGGGGTGTGGAAACTCTGATTCTTGTTTGGGTCGTTTGTATCATAAATCTCTTTTTTCCGCATATAGCATATCTGGGGAGTTGTGTTGAATAGTCGAAAATGCCCTGGACCCGAGAGTCCATTGTTCTCCTCAACTCTAGGCAGGAAATCCCCAAGCTGCAGTTTCAGTACATCGATAATACAACTGGCATAAGGGGAAGTCTATTGTCCAGTGGCGAAATCCTCAAGGTACTGCACCAGCTTCTGCACGTTCTCCAAAGGAACTGCGTTGTAGTTGCTGGCGCGCATACCGCCTACGCTGCGGTGACCCTTGAGGCCCTGGAGGAACCGCTTCTCTGCACCAGCAAGGAATTCCTTCTCCTTCGCGTCATTGCCGCCGCTGACACGGAAGCAAATATTCATGCGGCTACGGACACTCTTGTCGGGCACAACCTGGTACACCTGGGGGTACTTGTCCAGAGCTCCGTAGATGAGATCGGCCTTCTTGTCGGCAATCTCCTCCTGTCCGCTAACCTTCTGCAGACCGAAAGCAGACACAAGGTCGGCCATGACCTGACCGGCAATCCAGAGATTGAAGATAGGGAGTGTGTTGTATAGGGAGTTGTTCTTGGCAATTGTGGCATAATCAAGTACAACGGGCCCAGGGAGTCCACCAATGTTCAACCGGTGCAGAAGCGCAGGAGGGGGAGTCGCGGTCTGAGGAGGTAGAAGATCCTTGCGAACGATGGCAATAGTGATACCAGTAACACCAATGTTCTTCTGTGCGCCGCCCTATGAAATTTGTGCGTTAGATGTGCTGAAACAAGGTGATACTGAATATAACGTACAAAGATCACAGCGTACTTGCTGACATCAACCTTGCGGCTGATAAAGTTAGAGCTCATATCAGCGACAACAAGACGCTCATCCTCTTCCTCCTGACCCTGCGCCTCCAGAGACTTGGGGAAACTCGGGAATTCAACACCATCCACGGTCTCGTTGTCGCAGAAGTAGACAAAGGCAGAACCCTTACCACCCTCACGCTTGGTGGGGGTCAAGGACCAAGTCTCCTCCGCGGGGATCTTGCCAAACTTTCCATCATTTGCCTTCCGAGCATCGAGGGCAACATTGACGTATTTTGAGCCCACGAGCTTGGCAGCTTCCTGCGAAGCCTTCAGCGACCAAGATCCAGTCACCAGATAATCGAGCTTCAGCTCCTCATCGACCTCTGCCTGGAGTCTTTGGAAAACAAGTTCATCGACCTGAGCCTTCTCAGCGCCAGGGTTGGCCTTCTGCACTTCAGTTTCAGCCCTGCGGCGGCGGCGCTCAATCCAGACAGAGACGAGGTTCTGCACAACAGCGCTGAACCCGCCACTGCCACCAGCCTGCATAAACAGAATCTCATAGTTGTCAGGAATATCGAGGAGAGTGGCTAGATTGGCCTTTGCGTCTTCGAGAATCTTGTTTGCGGTGGGGGAACGGTGGGAGATCTCGCCGAGGCCGAGACCACAGTCATTGTAGTTAACGAAGGCTTTCGCCCCAGCCTCGACGACCGTAGTCGGGAGAGGAGCTGGACCAGCTCCAAAGTAGGAGACTTCTTGCCGGCTAGGCATTTCAAAGTGTGTTTGATGGGTAGGTTGGGGTACCACGAGCGTAGACAGGAAAGAAAAAGGTAGTGGGACAGGAAAAGAATGTCGGGTGGACCGTACCTTGGTGGATCAACTTTGGAGTCACCACTGCCAATGAGTCACTCTTCTTGTTTACCATACGGACATTACCTGGTTGGAACTTAATGTCAGACTCTTGATCAGAATATCTGTCTACGTACATTCGGATAAGGAATAGATTTTTAGCGGCATTGGTGGGGTATGAGTCAATTGCGTATAAGGCATTAGAGGAGTAACCTACGAAGACGTTGGACCAATTGCATACAGGATTTCCAACTTAGTGAATATATATAAATATTTGATGGCATAGTGCATTAAAATTGCTCAATTGAGAAGGACGCAAGGTGGAATTATCAGGTCATCCTTTTCTATGAGATAATCATAGCGGGGATGATCCGCGTCATGCGGGATACGTCGATAGAGTAGATTTCAAGAGCTTGCGATCTCTAAGATGATGAAATATGGTATTGGTTATATTTTGATGAATCAAGCCTACGACTCGGGTTCTCTCAAAAGGATTCGTGATTGTCAAATGCACCGGTTAGCCATACTCCAAAAATGAAGCCGACATCGGCGGATCGGACTCAAGCACGTGCTGAAAGTTTGCATTGTTTGACACGATCGGCCAATGATGCGTTTGATGAGTCATCTCGATACATATGGTTGCTCATTTGCCGGTCAACCGGAGGATTTCTTCTCTACTTGACATTCCGAGATCTTTGTATCTGTATACATAGACCTGAGTCGGTGGGCACAATGACTGTGAGTCTCAACCCCGTTTCAAATCCCCTCTTCTGAAGCCAGCTCTCACTCCCAATGCAGTCCCGATTGATGCCGTCTGCCAACTCCGGCCGGCGCTGGGCTATGCGCAGCCCGGTCCCCCAGATCCCTGCGCCGAACATTCGCTACCTCCCGTGTCTTCTTGAGCCAAGCCTTCCATTCCCAGCTTGACGACCCTGCCGCCGCCGCCCTGTTCTCGTCACTGCAGACCTCTAAGGCTACACCTCAAACCCTCACCGAGAAGATTGTGCAGCAATACTCCGTGGGCCTCGCCAAGGACAAGTATGTCAAGTCCGGCGACTATGTCACCATCTCTCCCCATCGCTGCATGACCCACGACAACTCCTGGCCCGTAGCATTGAAGTTCATGTCCATTGGTGCCTCCAAACTGCACGACCCAAACCAGATTGTCATGACCCTCGATCATGACGTGCAGAACAAATCCGAGAAGAACCTGCAGAAGTACCAGCAAATTGAGAGCTTTGCGAAACTGCACGGGGTGGAGTTCTATCCCGCTGGTCGGGAATTGGTCATCAGATCATGGTCGAGGAGGGTTTCGCCTGGCCCGGTACATTGGTCGTGGCCTCGGATAGCCACAGTAACATGTACGGCGGTGTCGGATGTTTGGGTACTCCCATTGTGCGTACCGATGGCGCCAGTATCTGGGCGACTGGTAAGACCTGGTGGCAGATTCCCCCTGTAGCCAGGGTCAACTTCTCCGGTGTCTTGCCTCCTGGTGTCACTGGTAAGGATGTGATTGTTGCTCTTTGCGGTCTCTTTGGCAAGGATGACGTTCTAAACCACGCCATTGAGTTCACCGGCTCTGAGGAGGCCATGTGGAGTCTCTCTGTGGACGACCGGTTGACCATTGCCAACATGACCACTGAATGGGGTGCTTTATCTGGATTGTTCCCTCTTGACGGCGTTCTTAAGGGCTGGTTGAAGGCGAAGGCGACTACTGCCGCTATGGGCCTGGCTGACGGTCCCTATAAGACCAAGGCCGCTGAGCGATTCACTCACCCCATCCTGGACGAGCTCTTCGCCAACCCTCTCGTTGCGGACAAGGGTGCTAAGTACGCCAAGGAGCTCTTCTTGGACCTATCTTCGCTTACTCCTTACGTGTCCGGTCCCAACTCTGTCAAGGTCGCTACTCCTCTCAGCGAGTTGGAGGCTGCCAACATCTCTGTCAACAAGGCCTACCTCGTCTCTTGCACCAACTCGCGAGCTTCAGATATTGCTGCCGCGGCCCGTGTGTTCAAGGAGGCTGCGGAGAAGAACGATGGCAAAATTCCCAAGATTGCGGATGGTGTTCAGTTCTACATTGCTGCTGCTTCTATTCCTGAGCAGATCGCCGCTGAGGAGGCCGGTGACTGGCAGATTCTTCTTGATGCCGGAGCTACTACTCTCCCGGCTGGCTGTGGTCCCTGCATTGGTCTCGGTACCGGTCTGCTCGAGCCTGGCGAGGTTGGTATTAGTGCCTCTAACCGTAACTTCAAGGGTCGCATGGGAAGCACTGATGCCAAGGCCTACTTGGGCAGCCCCGAAGTTGTTGCTGCCAGTGCCCTGAGCGGAAAGCTCTCCGGTCCCGGTTGGTACAAGTCCCCTGAGGGTTGGACAGGCGTTGTTCGCGGTGAGGGGACGGTATCAAGGAAGAGGACCGTATGCTCACCATGGATGAGCAGCTGGAGAAGATCATCGGTCAGCTCGATGACATTGTGGCCGAAGGCGAGAAGAAGTTTGCCCCTGAGCCTACCGCTGACGCTGCTGTAGAAGAGACTCCTTCTGATGATGCCTTGACTGATGTGTACCCGGGTTTCCCTGAGCGTGTCTCTGGTGAGATCGTCTTCTGTGACGGAGACAACATCAACACCGACGGTATCTACCCGGCAAGTACACCTACCAGGACAACGTTCCCGTGGAGACCATGGCCCAGGTCTGCATGTCCAACTACGACACCGAGTTCTCAACTCTCGCCAAGGCCGGCGACATCCTGGTCACTGGCTACAACTTCGGTTGCGGTAGTTCTCGTGAGCAAGCCGCTACCGCCATTCTGGCCAAGCAAATCCCTCTGGTCGTGGCCGGAAGCTTCGGCAACATCTTCTCGCGTAACTCTATCAACAACGCTCTGATGGGTCTCGAGGTTCCTCGCCTGGTCAGCCGTCTTCGCGAGACCTTTGGCAACGACAAGGCTCTTACCCGGCGTACCGGCTGGACCCTGACTTGGGATGTGCGCCGCAGCCAGATTGAGGTGCAGGAGGGCGAGGGCGGTGCCAAATGGACTCACAAGGTCGGCGAGCTGCCTCCCAACGTGCAGGAGATCATCGCCAAGGGCGGCCTAGAGCAGTGGGTCAAGAACGCTATCGAGGCCTAAGTTTGAACCTTGAGTCTAAGATTGAGTCTTGGTTTGACCCGGAATGCGGCGTTTGTAACGTGATACCCGAGCTTTGGCTTTGCATAGACGTAGCCTATTGAACTGAAAATATTTTTGGGACTTACAGTGACACAGCAAAAGTATCGACACCTCCTAAACCACACCACCTTGATTATATAATATTCCGCCGCCTCAAACCTTGTCCAATAACTTTCTGAAAGGGGGACCTAGATATGGCGCTTATGTATGCGCTTATATTACCAGCTAGCAGCCTAGGAAAGCTCGCATGTGCTTTCACGTAAGGCAGGGGTGAATCCTGATTATAGTGCTATGATTTGATATGGAAAGAAGGAGGGAATTAGGGTAGAAATAAGGCAAAGAACGCGGTTAGCGCGCTTAGCGTAGACACTAGATCTAGCGTGTTTCTATAGGCGGTGAACATATTATAAGGCGGTGTGGCGGGTGGGGCCAGAGGGGTATCGATACTTTTGCTGTGTCACTGTATATATAGGACTTGTACAAATGCATTGAGAGTTTGGTCCGCTCAGGAACCAAGAGCTAACGATGCGTCGGGAGCTGTTCAAGTAAAGCTTAAGCGACTTTACGGCCGACGTTGCCAATTCCACGACCAACCACGCTGACGATCACATCGCCGTCCTCATTCTCACCCGCAACATCACGGATACCCCAACCAGGAGCACCAAACTTGGAAAGATCACGTGCCAGCTGGATCAGGTTGGGGTCCGCAATGACTTCGCGGCCAAGCTGCAAACGACCAACGTCCTCAGATCCCATGGTCATGAGAGTAAGCATGGTCGTCGCAGCAGCGGGGGACACACATCCACCTTTGGAAACAGTCTCGAGCAATTGGAAAGCGCACTGTTTGCCAATATCCTCCGGAGGCTGACCACCAGAAGGCGGCGAAGCCACGTCAGCCGAGTAAAGACAGCCGGTGGAAGACTCGGCGACCAAGGAAAGACCGAAACCAAGGCCAATCTTCTTCTTCGCATTGGGGTTGTTCTTATCCGCCACGGGAAGCAAAGGCGCAGACGAGACATCGGAGAAAATGTAGGTATCAGGGCTGAGAGGGTTCAGAATACCACGAGCGACCTCGATCATACGGGCGTTGTTAGAGCCTGAGACACCGACCGCGTACGCGACACCACGGATACGCTTTATGCGGCCGGGATTCATCAAATGCAGAGTCTTCGGCAGACGGACCTGATGACCGAAAGTGAACTGAACTTCACCACCGCCACCCCTACCATTGGGGCCGGGGTTCGATCGGCGCAGGATGCGAAGCTCGACATTGTTGAAAATGCCGAATTGATTGTACAGAGGGAGAATAGCGGTTCGGACACTGTCGACGGACATATCACCCGTCGGGGTGGAAGATGTGATCACACCGGGACCGGTGAAAAGAATCTTGATCGGGGCTTTGGAGAACGGTGCTAGAAGACAGAGAGGAATGAGGTAGTAGCTGAGTCCGCGATTGCAGTTTGAGGGAAGCTCATGTGTGATCACGCCGCCGCTGGCACCTGATCCGGCCGTGCTGCCGGTGACAAGACCGGGCTTATACACAAGGATCGTACCAGTGTAGGAGATCTCCATTTGAGAGCCATTGGTGACTGCTTCGAGGAGTCGCAGGAAGGAAATTTCATGAGGAGATAGGCCGGGGTTCGTAGGCGAGGAAGAGCGAATTTGCGAGATGTGCACTGTGCGGCCGGTGAGGGTAGAAAGAACCAGGCGATACACCAAGTTATGGTGAGTGGTGAACCGCAGAGGCGGTTGAGAAGTTGTGGCCATTTTGAGAGAATGTGATGCTCTCGCAAAGACTCGCGCTGATGCGGCATCTCCAAATCGAAAAACGAAAAATCGGCGGAGACACGTTGATCCGTTCCGGAACCTCGATTTAAGTCCGGTGGATATCTCCGTCATCAGATAAATGCGTATGGACCCTTTCGCCTCTGATTCTCTTCTTCCATTCTATTAGTTTCATTGTCTTGTCGAATTTCATCTTTTGAGTAAATTGATTACCATCTTCAACTATGATGCTTCCCCCAGCACTGAACATTCCCAAATGGTACGTCCGCTCTCACGCGACCTGCCCCTCCGTGAATCATCGCGGGGTCGATCGGCCCAGAATTGACCAAGAGCTCACTCATGCGTGCTTATCCAGGCTCGAGGCGAATTCACACCTTCTGCAACCACCGGTGAATAATTATTGCGTCTACCACCCCTCATCACCGGCAACAGCCGGATACACGGTGATGATTGTCGGCGGTCCCAATGCTCGAACCGACTACCACATCAACACCACACCCGAATTCTTTTATCAATACCAGGGCTCCATGCTTCTGAAGACAGTGGATACATCGACGACACCGCCTACATTTCAGGACATTCCTATCCACGAGGGCTCGATTTTCCTACTCCCGGCGAACACGCCACACTGCCCAGTACGGTTTAAGGACACAGTTGGTGTGGTGATGGAACAGCCAAGGGCACAGGGGGGCGGAAGATGTTATGAGATGGTATTGTAGGAAATGTGGTGAGATTGTATGGGAGAAGCACTTCGAGTGCACCGACCTGGGGACGCAGGTCAAGGCTGTTGTGGAGGAGTTCGGTGCTGATGAGGAGAAAAGACGATGCAAGGCGTGTGGGGAGATTGCGGCAACTAGATACGCGGAAGGGGAGTTGGTGCAGCCTCCTTCGTGTCCTGAGTGAAAAGCGTAGTTGACTTGAAGCAAGGAGCCAGGCGTTGCATTTGTATGTCTCAGGAGCCTGGCGCAGATGGTGGTGTACTATCCTTCAAGATTGGAAAAAATTTACATTCTTCGTAACGACCGCACTGCGCCCTTGCTTAGTGAAAAGTATGGGATGAAAGAGAAGTGTTTGGATCGGGGGTGATGGATTAGATTTCATATTCACCTCCAGCAGGGCTTGGATGAGCATATGATACGGCCCTGAGACTTCATCATGCCTGAGAGGATCTCCATCGACAGATGACGGGCTCAAGCAAGCAGAGGGACAAGCAAGGATATAATAGAACAAGAATGTTGGCAAAGAAGGGCCGAGTCAAAAGACCCACGAAGATAAAATGGTATGGACTCGCCGCCGAGAAAATTATCAAGATGCAAAATGTGGAGGGATAATACACAGGCGGAAGCAAATCAAAAGCATCAAGACATGACCACAACGATTCCTTCAGATTGGATATCATAATCAGCGCAACAGGGTGGAAGGGGAGAAGAACGAAGCATCGTCTAGAAACGAGAATGCATAAGCTGCAACCACAATTAACTGGTTGCCATTTCAGACCACTCGCACATTCACCATGGAACATTATTCATCAAAAGGACAGTCGATGCTCTCGTGGCCATCTCGCTCACACAGAGCACACCACTTCGACTCGTCAATGACTCCAGATGACTTGCCGGCGATGGGGGACATGGAAGCCCCCAGACCACTAATGCCTCTGAGTCCTTCGAGGACGACATCCCGGCCAGTCTTCTGGGCTGGCACATCGTCTTCATCATCTTCGTGGTTGTCATTCTCCTGGGGGATCTCGTGACCAGCTTCCGGCGCCTCTACGGGCTGCTCGGCAGGAGGCTCCGGAGCTTTCCCATTCTGAGCCACCTTCTTCCCAACTCCTGAGCCAAACATGCTGGTACAATTAAGGATGTCGTGTCCGCCAGTCTCACATATCTCACACCACAAAGCATCGTCATCAGAAGAACGTTCCGACTCGGGCATAGATTCCAGCCGGCGCTGGGACGAATTAGAGATTCCGCGCTGGTGGTATTGACGAGGCTCTGATGGGCATCGTGCCAGTCATTGGGAACCACGGTACGATCAGAGAGACGATGTGCGTGGTTAGTATCGTTTGCAGTGATGCTACCCGAGTTCGAAGGTCTTTGCTGCGGCGGCGGCGAGGGAGTCACCGTTGAGCTGCGGTTGCGACTTACATTACTAGTGCTCAATCGAAGCTCTTCCAACTGCCGCTCGAGTTCTTCAATTCGGCTGTTCTTATGCTCGGCGGATCCCTCGGCCTCCTGCAGGCGTTGTTCGAGGCGAGCAACCTGCTCGTGGTGCTCACTTTGGTGATCCAAGTTGATCTCATTTGCGTTTATGGCGTTGGGGTTTCCGTGGCTCAGAGAATGAATGATGGCTTTCAGGCCCCGAATCTCATCATCCTTCTGCTCCAGTTGTTGTGAGTTGCTGTAGCCATCGGATGAAGAATGAGCATCCTTCAGCGCTGCGGCCACATTGTCTCGCTCTCTCTTCAGTTCGATCTTGGTTCTCTCCACTTCACCCCGAAGGAACTCAACTTCCGCTCTGGCTTCGGCTTCTCCTCGCCTAGCATCTTCGAGTCCTTCTTCAAGCTCAGAGACCAGCTCCTCCAACTGCTTAAGCTGTTGCGCAACGATCTCTACATCCTCGCCACGGTCTTGCAGCTCTTTATTTTGTTGCATGAGCTCGTCAAGACGCTGCTCATAAACACGCTCAGTCTCGGATGCAGCTATCTCCAGAGTGTCGAGGGTGCTTCGGAAATCTGCGCGGTGGCCATCGAATTCAGCAGTCAATTGATTGATCCGCTCATTCCTTTTCACGAAGTTGAGTTCGGACGGAAAGGGCATCGATTCCCTCCATTTCCTCCAAGGTTTTCTGGACCTCCCCCAACATATTAGATTGCTCGTTCAGCTGCTTATCCCGGTCTAGCAGTTGCCTTTCTAAGCTTTTGATCTGGTCCTTCAGATCTTGAATCTCCGATGACGAAGCCCGATGACTATCGGAGGGTCTGCCATATGACGAGGCATCGTCATCCATGCTGATCCGCGACGAAGGCCGGTCCGACAACCTAGAGGGTGCCTTGACAGGGCTTCTTGGGTACCCATTGGACATGGATGACTTGGAGGCGGCGGATGGTGTACGTAGACCGCCGAGGCTGAGTTTTGGAGGAGCGATACGCGGTGATTCGGGACGCGGAAGAGACGGACGGCGCATTCGGGGACGAGGCGTAGTCAACGCAGGACCAACTGACTTGCTGAAATTGGCCGGACCCCGCGAAGGAGTGGTGGGAGGCCCGCCATAGCTGCTGGCCGACAAGGATGTAGATCGTCGTGTGACATACTTGCTGTTGTTCATGGGCACGAAGATACCCGAGCCTGGTATAGAAGTTGTAAAGTATTTTCTTCCATCCACATCGCCGTTGTTCTTTCCTCGAGCGGCATGCTCAGAGCTCAGTTCGATGCCCGCGAAGCGGCCTGGTTTTCCCGCCACCGAACCCAAGAATTTGACTGTTCCGTACATGCCACCGGGCACGTTTACCAGGTCACCGACCTGGACATCATCAAGAGGGGCCATCATGGGGTTCGAAAGGTGAAGGTGCGAAGTTCAGTGAGCGGGCCGAAGAAAGGTCGGGGGCACAATTAGGCACAAAAAGGTCAGGAGAAGTCAAGTGGAGTGCCCAATGTCGATCATATTTAGGCAAGATCAATGCCTAGGAAAGGAAAAATAACTCGTATGTACAGTTGCACCGAGATATACAAGATGAGGAGAAGGGGGAGGGACAACAAATAAATCCATGGAACTTAAGGATGCGGGCTTTCTCCACCCTGCGTAATCCATTCTTATTCCCTTTCATCCTCCTCTATCCCCTTGCCTTTTGCATCTTACACTCCCTTCTTTTGTCTTCTGCGTCGATCACGCTATATCTGCGAGTTTCACTTTCTATCTATCCGATCCTTCGCCCGTACATCATCCTGACCTCTTGACCTCTTGACGCCACCGATTGCGTCGGGACGGAGCTCCGTAAGATGGCGCAATACTTCTTCGATCTCCTCTATAACTTCACAGATTGCATGTGCTGCTTCCCCAGTACGCCGCAATTGAAGATCAACAACCGCAGTTTCAAGCTCCTGCGACTCCTAGGCGAGGTATGAGACAAACGCGCGCGACCCGATGCAAGCTAAAAATCGACCGTGGCCTGAGCTGACAAGCAATTTCACAGGGAGGTTTCTCCTATGTCTACCTCGTTCAAGATAAAGCCACCTCCGAGCTATTCGCGCTTAAGAAGATCCGCTGTCCTTTCGGCCAGGAATCCGTGTCACAGGCGCTGAAGGAAGTCGAAGCGTACACCCTGTTCACATCCACGGAAAACATCATCCATTCGATCGATCACAGCGTCTCAACAGAATCAGGCTCAAAGTTCCGCTCCGATGGCGGTGACCCAGGGTCGAAGACAGTCTACATACTGCTGCCGTATTACCAACGCGGCAACTTGCAGGATGCCATCAACGCCAACTTGGTCAATCACACTCGGTTCCCGGAGAAGCGCCTGATGATGCTTATGCTTGGTGTTGCTAATGCGCTCAAGGCTATGCATCAATATCGCGTCAAGAGTGGCGCATCGTCCACGCGCAAGGCAAAGGCTGTTCGGGTAGAAGCGGAGGAAGCGGACGCTGCGAGAACCTTGCAGATGAAGCCAAAGCGGCGTGCGAGTCATCGCGTGGATGATGAGGACGAGGAGCACGAACCGTTGATGGATGATGAGGTCACCCAGAGTCAAGAGGGTGTTCAAGATGGAGGCCTGCGCCCCTACGCGCACCGTGACATCAAGCCTGGTGGGTTTCCGCGTCCATATGTCAGAGTGAAAAAGCGCTAATCTCTGGTTTCTAGGTAATATCATGATTGCTGACGACGGCCAGTCGCCCATTTTGATGGACCTCGGCTCCCTAGCCCCAAGTCCGATTGCCATCACCTCCCGTTCCCTTGCACTGGCAGTGCAAGACACCGCTGCGGAGCACAGCACAATGCCCTACCGTGCTCCGGAGCTCTTCGACGTGAAGACCGGGTCCATCGTCGACACCAAGGTGGATATCTGGTCGTTGGGCTGCACCCTCTACGCCTGTCTGGTCGGCAAGAGCCCCTTTGAAGCTCGCAGTGACGAGACTGGTGGTAGCCTGAGCATGTGTGTGCTGGGAGGAGATTGGCGATTTCCCGACGAGAAATCGAACGCGACCAAGGGTAAAGGAAAGGCCGGCGTGGACAAGGATGATGCGTCCAGTAGCAATGGAAGCTCGATCAGTGAGCCCGTCAAGGAGGTCGTCCGCAAGTGTCTTCAAGTCGAGCCCTCGGACCGACCCGATATCGAGGAGCTGATCCAAATGATCAAGGACGCCATCAAAGAGTTGCCGGATGACGATGGCGTCGCCGGTCCGTCGCACTGAGCCATTGTCATGTTGACATTTCAACTTTCCCATTCTCTGCTTGTGTTCTCTATATCGCATTTCATCAAGATTCTCGGCAGGTCCGAAATGTTTCTGCGCGGTACATGGTTTGGCGATCTGTACAGTATCCGTTGCAACGCAATCTGTACCTTAGTCTAGGCATTCAAGGCTTATTCAGGCTCTTTTTCTTTCCGCGCTCCTTGATCTGTTTCTTGTCCTCACTCATGCTCTTTTAAGCAATCGTGAATCTCGTACCCGCTGTTTAGTATTGACCCATCGAGTCCAGAAATGTATTAAATATCAAATTGGTAAATATATTCGATGCGTTCACCGTAAAGGTAAGTAAAAATCAAACAAAGTGTCATTTTCGAGTCAATGCGGCACTACGTGCATTTGGCAGTCTAAGTCATGATCTATTCACCCGAGTAGTTTTGAAGAAGTTACCAACCATTCGAAACAATGCTCCAAATGAAAACTTTGAAGAAGTGATCAGTCTGTTCCAACTGCCACATAAAAGGGCTCAGAAAGACATTTGGTATATTCACTCGAACTTTCAATAATTATCACTTTGGTTCAAAGTTCAATTCGAAATATCATACCGAAACTCGCACCTCCGAATGAATCAATCGTACATGGATCAAGGATCAAGTACAGACCCTCAAAACGAAAATGACGTGCCTCATGCTAGCAGATACCGGTAGTGTCGCCCAGGCCTATAACGAAGCAATGACTAGCTTTGCGGGCTGCAGTAAAAACTTTTGCGACTTGTATTGATCAGTCAGAGTCGGCCCTCGGTTCACCGACTGGCCGTTGATGATCCTGCCGATAATACTGCAGGAAGCCGTGATCCAGGGTAGCGCCACCGTACTTCGTGAGCTGCTTGACCTTGATCTCGAAGGTGAGACTATACACCTTTCATGTATAAAAAGCGGCAGCTCAATCTTGGCCACCAGTACAATCAGGCGGCTTTTCGAATAATCATCAATAATCAGGTGTTCGCTCTGCCCCAATGAATGTTTTCGCAGGCGAGACAAGAGCAGCGGCGCTTCGGACAATGAGTAAAGTGTTCATCAAGGGTTTACACTATATGCGTAAATGGATGGACTCCAGGGAAAGGGAAGGACTTAATCAGTGATAAGAATAGATAGCCTTCCTATTTGGAATCGAGAGTCTGAGTAGATCAGTTGAGTTGAGCGACAAGTATAGCCTAGTGTTGGGGTAGCGGAGTCAAGTCCACCAGTCGAGTCCGCTGTGCTAGGGCCGATGCGGCGTGGCGCTTTGGGCTCTGGACTGGCCTTTTGACTAAAGCTTATACCTTGCGCTTTCCGTCAGAGTCTCCCAGTTGCGCAATCAAGATTGTGTCACTCTCAAGCTTGTCAGATTATGTTAAGTACAGTTCGAGACTGATTAGTAGATGAGATGTCACTGGCAGAAGTTCCATCGTCTTATCATCCAAGCCACCATACTGTAGCTCAGCTTCTGACTTGAGTTGCTGTAGATATTGTTCACAGCCCTTGTATATTGGGTCACCACAATGAACCTAGCAATTGAATACGAAGAAAGTGGCTATGAGCTCCTAACAAACCTTATGCCATAAACAAAACCGCAGGCACCCTGTAGTCTTCTGTAGACCAAGCGTGGCAACTCGGTACTTTTTCGAGAACCGAGTAAGGCAAAGATCGCCGTGCGGGGGAAGACTCTTTGGTTATCGGGCTCCAAAGCAACTGTTCTTATCGCGAGCTGTGTGTGCTGCATTCCATTTGAAGTCACACTTCCCTTGCGGAACCTCTCTGCTCTTCGTCGACCTCTGAGGAGCTCCATTCGCACTGATAGCCTGCGCGGCGACATCGGCAGTATAGTGCACTTATCAAGCTGTGACGTGTGGTGCTCTCATACCTCAAATAAACTCGATCTGCCGGTTCCCATAGTTCCCATTCCCAGCCTTCATTTCCAATTATGGCGCCGGTTGTGGATAGGTCTGCCATTCCTGGCACGGTGACGCTTGTTGATGTGCAACACGTTTTGAACACGCGTCATGTGGATGGAGGCAATGGAGATATTGTTCTGATTCCAGCCCCGTCTGCAGACCCAGAAGACCCCTTGAATTGGAGTCCGAAGAGGAAGCTTCTGTCGACGATTTGCGTGAGCGTGTGAGTTTGTTTACTGCATGTTTGTGTGGCATGGATTCATCGTTAATGTGATTCTTGTTGTAGATACACATTGTTCACAGGTATTGCCTGCTCGGTGGTTTACTCTGTCGAAACCCAGCTGTCCGAAGAGACTGGGTTGTCGGTCAGCACAATCAATGAAGGCACAGGTTATATGTTCTTGTTGGCGGGATGGGGTCTGTTGTTCTGGCAGCCATTCTCGATGCAGTACGGCAAGCGATTGACATACCTTTTGTCGATGGCGGGTGTCTTGGTACGTTTCTCAGATAGACCTATGACTGTCCAGTACTAACGAGCATCAGGGCATGACGATTTGGGGGTAATTAAAGCCTGCATCCTTGAGATGCAAAGACTAAAGCTAACGAACACCTCAGACCATATGCAGGCACTGACGGCCAATGGATCGCCCGAAACGTCCTCTCAGGCTTTTTCACTGCTCCTATTGAAGCTCTACCGGAGATCACAGTCACTGATGTCGTGAGTATCTGTCCACAACAAAGAACGGTATGCAAATCTAACAGCATCAGTACTTTACACACGAGCGAGGAACTTACATGGGATTGTACGCCTTCTTCCTGGCCGGCAGTAACTACTTTGCACCTGTGATCTGCGGTTTTATCGCACAGTACCAAGGGTGGCGGTGGGTGTTCTATTGGCCCAGTATCTTTGTCGGCTGTGCCATGGTCTTCCTATTCTTCTTCATGGAAGAGACCAACTACGTGCGCGAGCAAATCGAAGATACCACCATTGCCAATGTGCGACTCGGCACTTGCCATAGCTCTCAAAGCAGGGATCCGGAGAAAGCTGTGCCAAAGGCTGAACCTGTTTTGACCGAGACTGGGGAGATTTATGCCAGAAAGACATATATCCAGAAGCTTTCCCTTTTGGCTCCCAAGCAGAAGCAGAATAATATGTTCCGACAGCTTTGGCAGACCTTGTACTTCCTTTCCTGGCCAGTCATTTTCTATGCTGGGTATGTTGCTTCTTGAGATTGATCAATTGTTCATCGCTGACCTGTCGCAGATTCTCTTACGGTTCGTACCTGGTCTTCTTTAATATCCTAAACGGTACTGCTTCTATCATCTTGGGTGGACCTCCGTACAATTTTGGGTGAGTGTGACAGCTCTCAGCATTTTTGACCGCCAGCTAATCTTCCGCAGTTCCTCTATGGTGGGTCTGAGCTACCTCGCATGCATCTTAGGCGTGGCTATTGGGTAAGTTTGGATCATCTCCCAGGTTACTTTCTTCACCCGTCTAACCAAGACAGATCCGTATTCACGGGCCGATTCAGCGATTGGCTCACTATCAAACTGGCGCGTCGCAACGGGGGTATCATGGAAGCTGAGCACCGTCTTTGGCCTTTCCTGGCATGTCTCATCCTAGTTCCCGGGTCCCTCCTCCTCTGGGGCGTTGGTGCTGCACACGAGGTGCACTGGTTTGGCCTCATTGTCGCGATGTGCCTGCTGGCTTTTAGCAATACCTGCGGCATCACTCTTAGTGTCAACTACCTGGTAGACAGCTACCATGAGTTAAGCGGTGTGGCGATGGCGACCGTGATTTTGGTGCGAAACACCATGTCTTTCGCCATCGGATACGGGATTACACCGTGGATTGACAATATGGGGTACCAGAACTGCTTCATCTCCGCGGCCTTTGTTGGGATGGCCTGCGCCGCGGTTTTCCTGGTGATGATCAAGTGGGGCAAGGCGTTCCGAGTGCGTAGTCGCGAGAAGTACTGGCAGATCGTGCAGGAGAACTGGGAGAAGGGGATGGGACATTAGAAACATCATGAACTCATTGGCATGTAGGAACTACACCTATATACGCATAACAGGAATTTCACAAATACACAAACTACACAAACAGCATCTAAACGAGAGCGGCCATGGCGTCACTGACCAAGCTTTTGGGGTGGAGAACTAGACCGCCCCCGCAAATTGTAGGCTGCTTCCATTCACATCTTCCCTCCGCAACTCAAGATGACAATACGAGTCGCGATCATCGGCGCAGGGTATGTTCGCTCGTTTTTTTGAGCTTCGCATGGGCTAATCTCTGCAGCCCCGGTGGCCTAGTGACCCTCAAGACCTTGCTGGAGGCGTCCAGACCCGATCAGCAGATCGAGGCGTGTCTCTTCGAAGCGTATGTTCGCAGGCCCGAGTTCTCAGGAGGATGCTAATCTTCCGACCTACAGGGAGTCCGATGTTGGCGGTACATTCAACTATCGCTCGTACGAGAACGCCGAACTGGTGAGCAGCAAGCAATTAACCACGTTCTCCGATCACCGCTTGCCCTTGAAGACGCCCGATCACGTGTCACTACCGGACTACGTCGACTATCTCCGGTCTTATGTCGAACGATTTCAGCTGGGTCCGTCCATCAAGTTTAACTCGCCCGTCATTCGCGTGTCTCCGCTCCCAAATGGTTCAGAATGGGCTCATCGGGTGAGCTATGTGGACGGGACGAGTGTGGACAAGAAGGAGAGAACATTTGACTGTTCTCATATTGCGGTTTGCACGGGTCTTCATGTTGAACCTAACATTCCGGATATTCCGGGAATTGAGCATGTCCAGGGGGATGTATTCCACTCGTCACGCTACAAGGGCCGTGGCCAGGTCGCTGGTAAGAAGGTTCTCATCTTGGGATGCGGTGAGACAGCAATGGGTGAGTAGATTCTCATCGACTGAAATGAGCTATCTAACACGCTTTCAAAAAGATATTGCCTATGAGTCCATCAAAGCGGACGCAGAATCGGTCACCATGTGTTTCCGCACCGGGTTCCTCTCTTTCCCCAAGCAACTCAGCCGGTTCCAGGTATTTGGCAAGACCTTTAGCGGAGGCCTTCCAATCGACGGTCTCATCACCAACCTATTTGAAACCGCATATGTTCACAGAGCAATAGCTCAGAGCAGATTACGCTGGTTCATTTCGGACTTTGTGATCAAGCGAGTCCTTTGGTTCCTGACCGGAACCCAAGCTGGCATGAACCAGCATGTTGGCGCTCTTCCCGAAGAGAGATTGGGTAGAGCCTTTGTCTTTCTCAACAAGAGTAATAAGGCGATGCCATATCTCAACCGGCCTTATAAGACGCATAATCCCTTTTTGGCCTTCATTGGCAATCGCTACATTGATCCTCCTGAAGATGCCGCATCTGACCGAGCAGTCGACACGTGCACGTGGCCGAAGTACATCGACGATCACGGAGTTGTGCACTTCCAGCCCAATCACGATAGGAAGGATTGGCAGCGGTTGAAAAACAGAAAGATCACGCCGAACTGTGTAGTGTATTGCTCCGGGTATGTCAATCATCCTTGACGTGCTTCTTTTCCAAACTCATGTTTTATGCAGCTACAAACAAACCTTCCCTTACCTCGACCCGTCATATCCGACTGCATCGGATGCCCAAATTCGAAACATCGTTAACCCGTCTCACCCAGACATTGCCTTTATTGGCTTTGTGCGACCCGGCGTTGGCGCAATCCCACCCATCGCCGAGCAACAAGCCATGTGGTGGACAGCCCTCATCACCGGCCGTATGGAGATGCCCATGGACCCTCCCCACTATCATCTTCTTGCCCCCAAATCGGCTCGGATTCACTACGGTGTCGATCACAGCGCATACATGAGCACCTTGGCCAAGGATTTTGGTGGTGCACCCGGCTTACTTGAATTGTATCGTCGGCATGGGCTGCAAATCCTGCTTATATACTGCTTTGGTGCATCCTTTGTTACGTTCTACCGGTTAGTGGGGCCATTTGAGTCGTCTGTGGCACCTGAGATTGCTCGGACGGAGCTGGCCGAGACTATTCTCCGACGAGGCTATATCGGAAACCTTTTCTTTGGACTGATCCCGATGTTATTCTATGGTTTCGTCAATTCGATAGCCTTGCTGCTTGATCTCGTTGGGCTGCTTCCTCGTGAACAGGAGATTGAGCCTAGTGCAGGAACGAAGGGCAAAGCTTGAGTTTGAAAAAGCATCAACACTGCGCAACTCGGGATGTATCTTGAACCCCTGAACCAAAGACAAAAAGATAATACAACATTTCGGGTTCTTACTTTAGATACCACAATCAAGCCAGGCTAATTCTCCCCTCCTCATCATAGAGTATCTCTCGCACCTTCACAGACCTTAAATGATCCACACCCCCGGAGAGTTCACAATCGTGATAGAATAAGTACCACTTGTCCTGGAACTCCACGATAGAATGGTGCGTCGTCCAGCCCAACACCGGCTCCAGAATCCGACCTTGGTAGATGAACGGACCGAACGGGGAATCGCCCGTAGCATAGACCAGATAATGCGAGTCTCCCGTTGAATAGGAAAAGTAATACTTTCCACGATACCGATGCATCCACGCCGCCTCAAAGAACCGTCTCTCATGATCATCGGCCCGGATGGGCTCTCCCGATTCCGTCAAAATCTCCAACTCGCGCGGCGGGCCAAGAAAGCTCAACATATCCTCCGCAAGCTGCGCAACCCGCGGACCAAGGGCCAACACCCCATCCCCGGACGGCTCATGAGGGCCCGTCAGACTCGCATCGAACACAAGTCCATTCATCCCATTATCAGTCCCCCCTTGGTTCTTCCAGCACTGCAGCTGTCCACCCCACAACCCCCCAAAGTACAAATACGCCTTCTCTCCATCATCGCCATCCACGAACACCGCCGGATCTATACTATAACTCCCCGCCAGGAAACTTTCCTCGGGAACGAACGGACCTTCCGGAGCTGTCGACACTGCAACACCAATGCGGAAAATGCCCTGCTTGTCCCGCGCAGGAAGAATAGATAATATTTGCCATTCTTGCACGCCGCGTCCGGAGCCCACATCTGCTTCGAGACCCAGGGGACGTCGTGCGCAGACAGTGCGATGCCGTGGTCTGTCACTGGGCCGTCGAGTGAATCCATGGAGAAGACATGGTAATCGGTCATGTCGTATTGATCGCCATTGTCGTTGAACGCGATATCCGTTTCACGGTCGTGGGAAGGGTAAATATACAATTTGCCATTGAACACATGGGCGGAGGGGTCTGCCGTGTAGAGATGTTTGATAAGCGGGGATGGTTCTGGCATGTTGGGAATCCGAATATTGGTGTACAGCTTTCGTGATGCGAGCAGTGAAGGATTTCGTCTGGGGTAATATCCGTGGAGGGCAGGCGGCTATATAAGTGTAAGCTTGGATGGCTGATGGGCCCCACTAGACCTCGGCAATTGGAGATGGGATATGGTATTCTTACATTCAGGCACGGTAGAAAGCATTTATTGATTGCGTTATAACCGTTCAGGGACCCCCTGGGGTTTTACCCGTCACGGCTAAACTGCGGCGTCTTACTCCGCATGGATGAACTAGGCAAAGCGCATCCATCTTTTGGCTCCTGTTTCCCCGAGGAGTGAGGAGGTCACCTAATCTCCAATATCGACAGCTATTACCACCACCAAGATGAACAGAGGAAAGCAAATCTGATTGTGAAGTGCTCTCCATTGTAGCTTTTAATACTTCTCCAACAAAGAACCCGCAAAATACATTGCTTGAGAGAACGCCAGGACCTACAATATCCAGGTTTCAAAAGGTCGCCCACAAGCCAACGACGATGCTATAGTGGATGCATTTAAACAAAAATATCATCATCGTCAACAAAGTAACTTTACACCGCTGATCACGAAATACACAGGAAAGTACAATCTATATAAAATCATTGCCCACCTGCAATCAGAGCAAAGAATGTTTGCCTCACTGCTTGACGCCTGGGCCTAGCCCCAGACCTTCCCTAGCCTTTACCAGAGCCTCTTCCCATTCCCATTCCATACCTTCCAGCATGCGATCGATAATCTCCATCTCGTTCTCGCCCAAAAGTGGAGCAACGACCACTTGGTCAGCAAAGGACTCACAGGAATCCAGAAACGGCTCATATACCGGGGATACACCCTGCGGCATAGCTTGAACAGGTGACTCGCAGCCTTGCAGGCCTATGAAGCGACCGAAGCGCCGGCGCTTCGTTTCCAGCCTGATTTCTCGCGTGGAGTCAAGGTGTACCCAAGGTGGGACCCGAATTGGGTACCTGGAGGATTCTGGACGTGGCGGTGAAACCTGGTGGAAGTGCCAGGCGAGATTATCAAGCTGGGCGGGAGTGAGAAGGTGGTATTGAAGAAGATTCCTTGGGAAGTCTGGGTGTGGTTGGCCGTTGATGCATGATACCAGTGGTAGAAGGGGTGTTGCAAGGTGGTTGAGATAGGACTGAAGAAGCTCCGAGGAATTCCTGGATCCCAAAGCTGCTGCATCGCGGGGACCGAGGTGCAGTCGAGGAAGCTCAAGCCCAGTCTCTGCACCAACTTGAGCTGGAGGCTTGCGATCAAGAAGAAGTAGAAGATTAGGATCACTTGACGGCATGATATGATGCAAGTCTAACAGCAGAATTTCAAATGATACAGATGATAAGAGATGGAGTAAGTAAAGTTAATTCAATGAGGATCGCACCACGAGATCAGAGAATCTCGCTTTATACTGATACTAATGGAACGTCCAAAATGAATCTGTCGCAATAATGGCAATGAGGTATAGACAATGAGCTGAAACAAAGCAAAAATAGCGCGCTTTGCAGTTGCAATTGAAGACGCAAAGACATATCATGCATGTCCTTTGTGCCGACTATAATGAAATGTCTCCCGAACGCCTGGAGACCGCGATTCCTTTGTTTCCAGTCCATGAATAATCCAAAATCCAAAGAAAAAAGTTGCATTGGTAATGTCCCGAAGCAGCCACAATGAAAACGATCAGACAGACATGTTCATGCTGGACAACAGCTCTGGCTCGTCCGCCACAGGGGGCAGTCCAACGTATTTGTTGATCCAGTTTAGCACCGTGCGGTGCCACAGGAGGGAGTTTTCAGGGTTGAGGACCCAGTGATTCTCATCAGGGAATGTAAGGAATGCGCTGTCAACGCCGCGCATCTGCAGGACGTTGAAAGCTGCAAGACCCTCGGCGATGGTAAGCCGGTAGTCCAGTTCATTGTGAATGATAAGGTGAGGCGTCTGCCATTCGCTTGTGAATCGAGAAGGATCCCATTCAGCCCAGTTCTCTGGAACTTTCCAGATTGGGCCCTTCAGGTCGTGCAGAGGGAAGTATTGTTCCTCGCTGGCAAGTTGCGAGGTCATGCTGAAGACTCCGTCGTGGGTGACGAGGGCTTTGAACTTGCGGCCAAGGTCATGCCCCTGCATCCAGTTCATCATGTACCCGCCGTATGAGGCGCCGAGCGCGACGGCTCGATCGGTATCAACGTAGTCTAGGCTTTGCTCGATGTATGCGAAACCCTTGACAAGGTCTTCATATGGACGTCCGCCCCACTGGCCGCGGATGGCGTCCGTAAATTGTTGTCCGTATCCAGTACTGCCTGTAGGGTTCGGGGTTACCACGACATAACCCTGCTCGGCAAAGACAGCAGGGTTCCATCGGGTGCTCCACTGGTCATTCCATGCGCCTTGAGGACCTCCGTGGATCAGGTAGGCCAGGGGATACTTCTCGCCGGGCTTGAAGTTTGACGGCTTCACCACAAATGCATGCACCGGGTGGTCTGCGGCGCCTCGGAACCAAATCTCATCCACTTGGGCTGAAGAAAGACCGAATGCTGCACCTCCACGACCATTCGAAGACACGACCCGCACGTCTTCGGGATTGGATGGGTCAATGATAGTCCACAGGCTGTTGTCAACCAGGCTGCTGCTTGAAAGGAAAAGTTTGGGAGAGCCGTCGGCAGCTGGAAATACATCACTGACAAAACCCGAACGGGTGAGTCTCTTCAACACATCGGGCTTGGCATCCTTAATATGATCCAAAGGAAGCTGATAAAGGAGTCCACGTCCAAGCTCCTCGGCCTGGATGAGCAACGACTTGTCATCGTATGCAAAAGAAATAGTCGACGGACTCAGATCCCACTGTCCCTTCCCATCCGCAGACTCAAAGACCTCAATCATATCTCCATTCCATGGGTTCGGCACGTAAAGAATGCGATTCTTGTCAGACTCATATCCGTCCGTACGCATGGCCAGAAGAGCAATGGAGCCCCCATCTGAAGAAAGAACAGGCGATGACATCGCGCCCCTCAGGGCGTTGACCTTGCAGATCTTTGCATTGGATGCACTCATACTCGTCCAGGAGAACATGGGAGCATAGTAGCAAGAACAAGCGGTGTGAGTAGCGGGATTGACGTCCGGGTCTTTCGCAACAAACACAATAGCAGACGGGCTGATATCAAAGTCTCCAGTACCTCCGAAGGGAGGGATTGGCGACTCAACGGCACCCAGACCCGAGACGGAGATCAAGTTGGTAAGACCTGACAGAGAGTACTTACCCGCCTGTCTACGAGCGGGAGACAGCGGTGCCTGCTCCAACAGACCGTACCAAATGGCATTCTTCTGAGGCTCGACATAAGAGTCCCAGTGTCGAACAAAAAGCTTTGTATACAGGCGACCCGTCGTGTGCGGCTTTTTGGCATCATGGGGATTATACAGGGACCCGTCGGGGTTAGCCTTTCCGCTGACGGCGAATCCGATCTTGCCAGGCTCAATTACAGTCACCTTCAGGTCGGAGACAGGCCCTGGGACAGTCCCAGCAGTGTAAGTGGAATCAGCCTCGCGGGCGTGGCCGACGATGAAGCTTGTGTTGCCGTTGGTCTTGGTTTTCAGCCAGACGAGCTGGTCTCCGCGGCCGAGCCATTGGGGGTTGCTGGCACCGGGGTCATTGGTGATGAGGGCGGATCGTCCAGACTCGATGTCGATGACGCGAATTTCGTTTGTTTTGCTATGTGAATCGAAAGAGTAGGTGGTCTGGGTGTATACAGCCAAGGTACCTGAAGCGTTGGGGACCGCCGAGGACCGCCTGGGGGCGCCGAGGAGGACCCTGAACTTGGTCAATTGGGAGATTTCAAGAATGTGATATCATGATACTGAGTGAAATCTGACTGTAAAAAATATCCATTACTTACTCAGGCGTGAACTTCATGGGGCGAATAGCCATAGCGGCTAAGCTAGCTCGAGATGAGGAGATGTGGAGATAAGATAGCTAGCAAGGAGCTTGGGAGAGAGTGGAGCTTCAAGTAGATGATCCACGAAGATGCCTTCGAGAAGGAAGAACCCTATCAAATGCAAATGGGAAGCAAGATAGAGTACCACTGAGATGAATAGGAGAGAGCGAGGAAGCAGGAAGGAAGGATGAGGTGCTCTCTTCATTGGGGGAGACAACGTGACCCATGCGGGGTTAATCGCCAGGGTCCACTTCACCGGTGAAGAACTATGTAAATCACTACCTCGACTCGGTTATGCACTCGCCACGCTAGAATGAATCGAACAGAATAAAAAACACCGTTTGTATCCTAGGAGCTCCAAAACTAATGTTACAAATGAAAAATCCACAAAGTCATAAATCTACTCCTCTTCCTCCTCACTCTCATCTTCCTCCATACCTTCAGCTGCGGTCACTGAGAAGGTAGGTGCTTGATCCACTCCAACATAGCTGTCACTCATGAGATAGAGGGTCAGCTCGTGCTCACCAGGAGACGGAACCACATATTCCAAGCGTAATTCCAGCTTGCGACCGATAGTAACGCGCTTGATGGCCAGCAGGCTCTTGGATTGCTCCTCGCCGACCACCAACCACCAGTTCTCCATCTTCTGGTTGGGGTAGAAGGGTGCGTGGACGACAGTGTCGGGCTCTTCGTCTTCTTCTAACTCCCGCTCAATCTTGATCTTGAGATAGGCGGGCTCGCCAGAGGTGATGTTTTCGGGATCTTCGACCTCAAAGTCCATTTCGAGGTTGGGATACTTCTCGTTCGTAAAGGCGGCTGCTTGTGCCAGCTGCTTGTTGTCCAAGTTGAGACGCTTGACAAGAGCGGCGTAATCCTTGTTCTCAGTAGGGTCCATAGCGTCCATAAATTCGAAAATATCGTTGATCCTGTTATTCGTGTTAATGCTTGTTCGTTTACTGGGCATCGTATTAACGTACTTGTACTCATTGGCCACCTGAATAACCTCAGGCGAGAAGTGAGGAATCTGTTTGAGAGGACTATCGCGGTCCCACATAGCTTGAACGACCATCTGCGACAGCTCCATGGCGTTCATGGCATTGATGTGACCCTCGGAGGAAAGCACATCGACACAGGCGCTCAGCAAGTTAAGAACCTTGCGGACGATATCTTCCTGATCCTTGGCCAGGTCGATAGGCAGCTGCATACGCGAGAAGTGCGCCTGGAGCAGAACAAAGGCCTTGAAGTGGGGCGAGTCAAATGCGGGCTCGGACATCTTGACGGGACAGCGATCATACACACGGCGGAGAATGTGATCCTCGTGGCGACGCATCTGGACAGACTCAAACTCGGTGGCTGAAGTGACAATCTCCAAGATACCCTTGAGCTTGGTGCGAGCGGAGAGAGACAGCAGGAAGGTCTGCATAGTGATAAAGGAAATGTTATAATAGGCGCTGATCATGGCTGCGTTGAGAGGAGTAACGCTATCATCCTCCTCATCCAGATCGATAATCTTGGCCTCCGACAACTCCTTCAGCGTGTTCTCAACAAGCTCCGATAAGAAAGTACTCAGACCCTCGTGGCTGACATCACTTAGACCGTAAAAGCTGGGGTTCGCAAGCAGACGGCGGTAAAAGTAAGTGTAAGTCATCCAATCAACTGCATCCTGGGTCGAAGAGATAGTCCTTGTGCTAGCCTCGGTGACGAATGCGTCGTGCAGGTAGACCTGAAGATGACTCTCCACGGGCATAGCCTCGTTTAAGAACTTCTTGTAGTACTCGCGCTTCACAGCAGGCACCATCAAAACACCCCGGCCAAGCTTGTCCTGACCGGGACGAGAAGCCTTGCCAAACATCTGAAGGATCTCACTGATAGGGTAGTCAATATAGCGATGCTCACGACCATCAAAGAACTGGGTATTCATGACGATGACCAGATGGGCGGTGACATCCAGCTCCCAGCAGCAATCCCGCGAGGCCAGAAGGACTTGGATAGCTCCAATCCTAAAGAGATGTGTAACAATACGCTTATCACCCAGGCTCAGGGCCTCGTGGTAGTAGCCAACACCGTGGCTCAAAGAGGTGGCAAGGGTCTGTTCTTGTACACGACTCAGCAGTGGGGCTAGCTCCTCTGCATCTGCGTTCAAGAAGCGATCTTCATCATCATCCATGGAACACGCTGCCAAAAGATCCATGGCGGTAGAGCGGGTCTGCTTGCGACTGGGCACAAAGACCAGAGCAGGCTTGTCGGGTGAAAGAGTCAGGATTGATTGGTAGGCAGGACGAGACATCGCAAGCATGAGGGAGGGGAAGTGAGGGATAGTGAAAGATTGGATGTGGAGTTCAAGAGGAACAGGGCGAGCGTGCGGGCTGAAATTGTAAATGGTGTGCTTGTTGGCACCGATCCATTCACCAATGTCGCGAGCGTTGGAAAGCGGCACACTCAACCCGAGAATACGCATCTCGTTCTCAGTCTGGAGAGCAATGTAATGCATGCGAGAGACGACAACCTCGTACACGTAACCACCAAAGCCACCAAGCATGTGAAGTTCGTCAGCGATGAATAATTGTACTGTCTGAATGTTCTTGCGTCGCTGCCACTGGCGAGACAAAACATCCCACTGTACAGGAGTGGCGAGGACAAGGTCAGCCCGCTCAAGGAGCTTCAGATCCGCAGTTGTCTCGCCCGTAAGCTTGACAATGGTCTTTCCACCTCCAAGGTTGCCGAGACGCTTCTCCCAGTCGGCAAGACGGAGGTCAACCAATTCTTGGAAGGGAGCAATGTACACTGCACGGCCATTCTTCGCGCTTGACCAGTGACGCAGCAAGGCTAGCTCAGCGCACACAGTCTTTCCGCTTCCAGTGGGTGCCCCGATGAAGACATTGTCGTCTGAATCAAACACGGACTTAAAAACCTGAGTCTGGATCTTGTTGAAGTGCTCCCAGTTGGGGTACAGCTGCTGATACTCCTCACGTTTCAGGGCCTTGACCGGAGCACGTTGCATATCGAGGAGAGGAGTGTGAGGGGGGAAGCGCTCAGGTAAAATCAGCTTTTGGAAGGAGACAGCGATCTTGGTCTCAGAGTGCATCCAGCGGTCAGACACTAGAGAAATGAAGTAATTAGGAGGCATCGGCTCGGTAATTGGGACTGTGAACTCCACAAGGTGTTCGTTCATCTCAGATTGAGCAAACTCGCGGCGCAGCAGGAAGCGGTCGTGGTACAAGATCTCTTCGCCATCACAGTCTTCAACAAGGATCCAAAAGTCCTGCGCATTGCCATGAATAGCATCATCCCAGACAAAATTAGGGGTTATCGTCAATTCAACACGAAGCATGGAACGAGTAATAGGTTGAACCTGAGCCTGAACTTCAAGCCGGGGGAACTTCGAGACCAAATCGCAGACAACACGTCCAGATTTGGGCATGCCAAGGAGCTCTCCCATACGCGGAGGGTCTAGATCGAAGTAGCTAGCCCAAGGCACATCAATGCGCTCGGCCTTCTGCAGAATATCACGAGGGCAGTGAGGGAATTGGCGCAAGGGAGACATGGTTGGCCACATGCGCTTCTCGGCCATCTTACAGAGGTCAAGAGCACTCTTGGCCACAGCTGACCAGCCCTTCTTCAAGCAAATCTCGAAAAGCGCACGAATGATACGTCCGGCAGACTGAGTGACATAAACCAGATCTGCCATCAAGGCAAGGCCATCAAGGCGAAGACGGGAGATATATGCCTGGAGGAGGACGTTGATCTTGGCATGAGGCTCATCGATGGTCTCCTTAACAGGTACTGGTACACGACCAAGCAGCTTTCCAAGCTCCAATTTCTCGTCTTGGCGGACAGGAATGTACTTGAACTCATCACTCAGAGCGAAGATGCGGAACAACTCAATGGTAGTAATGGATGGCTGAAGGTGCTGGGCATAGGTGAGCATCGAGTTGTGGCTGATGTAGTAGTGGGAAGCAATCCGGCCCAGCTCAGTTGCTTGCAGGCGACCAGTTTTCTTCTCATACTTAATAAGACCAGATCTCTCGAGGATGGTAGCAGCGGAGTGAACGAGATCAACTCGCTTCTGCTCGAGAGCATCATCGTTCTCGTAGTCTGCCCCAACACTGTACAAGCCTGGTGATCGGAGCATGCGAACATAAAGGTAAGTGTAACCCAGCCACTGCACACCCTCATCGCGGTCTCGAATGTTGCCCAGAACAATTTCCGCGTTCATGTTGTCCGCAAGCTTGCTGACAAGCTGGGACTCAATTGGCAGTTGCTGGTTCAAGAGCGAAAGGTAGTACTGAATCTCTGCCTGGGTTGTGATGATAATACCTTCACCAAAAGTGTCGTATTGAGGTCGACCGGCACGTCCAAGCATTTGTAGAACATCCTGAGGACTCAGTTCAACCCAGCTACCCTTCTCGGGGGAGTAGACTTGGGTTCCTTTGATAATGACAGTGTGGGCGGGAAGGTTGACACCCCAGGCAAGGGTTGCAGTACAGACGAGAACCTGGATGCTGCCATCGGCAAAGAGTGCCTGGACGGAATCACGATCCGCAAGACTAAGACCAGCGTGGTGAATACCCAGGCCGTAAGGCATAAGATCCTTCAGAGAGGCATCATCAACGGACTCAGCTTCCTCAGTCAGAATTTGACGACTAGCAGCATCACTGCGCAGAATCTGGCCAATCGTCTCATTCTCAATTGCCTTGTCACGGATATACTTGGCGGTCTTGGCGGTCTCTTTTCTTGAGTGGACGAAGATGAGCATCTGGTTCCGGTTCTGGCCAACCTGCTCCAGGACCTTGTTGTAACAGATGTCATTCATGGTCTTTAATTGCTTGATGGCCTTCTTGTCGGTGACACCAATGAATTCCTGCTTCAGGGGGCAAGGTCGGTAAGAGCCATCGAAGTGGAAGACTCCTTTCTCGGGATCGGCACGGAGGAAGTTTGCGACATCGCGATAGTTGGGAAGAGTAGCACTGAGACCAACGATCCGCACCGGATCACCAGTCTGCTCGACACGGCGAATGATACGGCTGACGATGCTCTCAATGACAGGGCCACGGTCGTCGTGGAGAAGGTGGATCTCGTCGATGACCACGAGACGGACGAGGTTGGTATAACTAGTTTCGGAGGCCTTTCTGGTGATGACGTCGAATTTCTCTGGGGTAGTGACGATGATCTGGGTATCGGCGATCTGCTGCTTGGTGAGTTGGCGATCACCACTGAGCTCTGCTACTTTAATGCCGTAAGGCTCAAGACGCTTGCCAAGGTTTCCGACCTGCTCCTGCACCAAGGCCTTCAAAGGAGAAATATAAATGATCTTGAAGTCATCCAGCATGATCTCGCCGGTTTCCGGGTTGCGGTTCTTGCCAATCTCACGGAGAATAGTGAGCATAGCAACGTTGGTCTTTCCAGAGCCAGTCGGGGCACAGACAAGCAGGTTACCATCATCGTGGAAAGCAGAAGGGAAGCACTTGGTTTGAACACGGTTCAGCTCCTTCGAGCTTCCGAAGCCAACACGAGCCCAGTCTGGCAACTCGGTAGTTGGAATGTTCTTTTCACCGGCATCTCGCTTGGCCTTGGGGGGCGGAACATGGATCTCTTCGTAGCCTTTGAAGGTACGCTTTGTTGAGCCTTGAGGAAGCTTGACATTTGGGTTGGTCATGAGATGGTTACCCTGGTGGAAGACCAGGTTCTCAAGATTGATGAGGCGCTTGGGTTGAAGACCACCAACCAAACCGCCTTCGGTGGCAGGCTTCTTCTCGTCTTCTGCAGCCCCTGACGGGACGTCGACGTCCATCAGATCAAGCTTCATCGTCTTCTGGGAGCGGCTGCCGAGATCATCACGAGCAGTCTTTCCACGAATCTCATCCAGGATGGCACGATGTCCAGCTTCGACCATCTGGCTTTCTACAAGGTTGCGCGCGTCTGCATCTTCGGCCACTCGTCTCCAGCGAGTCACCCAGACAACCTTGTCACGGTTTGTGACCAATTTAGCGACAATTTCAGGATGGTCGTAGTCGAAGAGTTCCATCAGGTCGTTCTCGACATCACGGAGGGGCCGTTCGGATCCGTCCTCGGTCTGACCACCCATGAGCTCAAGAGCCTCTCGCGTCTTTTCTTGTTGTACGTGTGCATCTGAATACAAGGCACCGATTTGACGTTGGAGCCAGTACGCGTCGATCTCGCGTACAAGAACGTTCATGTCTGCCTTATCCTTGGCCTTGACCTCCCGTCCGATACCGCCATCGATGACCATCTCGTCGTCCTCATCCAGTCCCTCGCTTGTGGGCTGATCGGCATCGGGTCGGTCTTGGTCGTCTGCTTCGTCTTCGTCGGAAAGGTCGTCTTCGTCTCGGATTTCGTCTACGGTGCCCGTGCGTTCATCGTCTTCGTCTTCGTCGAAAACAACAGCAACACCTTGACGCTCGTCAAGCTCTCCATCCGCCTCATCCAAGCCACCCTCCATGTCTTCATCTTCATCTTGGGCATCGTAGTCGGTAATCTTCTTGCCCAGGTTCACAAGCTCATTAAACTCCTTCGGGTTCATTGAAGTGCCCAAAAGATCGTCGATTTCTTTCTTCTTGTCAAAGTCTTTCATGTCTTCATCCTTCAGAAGCTCTAACACGGCATCGGCGGCACTTCGTACGACTTCATGGGGGACGTCGCCAAGATTTGTGCCAGTAATCGTGAGGATAAGGTCGTATGTCGCTCTCGTCGCCGGTGTCCGCGGACGATATTTCAAGCCTTCAATGAGGGCATCGGATGCTGAGAGAATACCCTGGCCCCGGAGTTGTGCCGGTTGGCCACGTTGGCGCTTCTTCTGTTCTCGCATGAGGACATCTTCACCCTCGTGAATTGCACCACGTTCGACTCCTGGCCCAGCGGCCTTCTTGGTCTTCGGCGCATCGTCGCGGGCTACTCGCGATCCCATCTCTCGAATACCGATACGGCCCGCAATAGACTCGGGGTCTCCAGACGCTTCATCATTGGAACGGCTGATAAAACGACGGTCCGCCTGGAGGACCAGGTTGGACATCGCCGAGTACTTATATTGTGATTGATCGGCCATGTTGATGGTGATGTGACCGTCTCACGAAAGCGATCCGAGAAGAAAAAAACGAATGAGTTGCGACGGGGATCGGCTTGGATGCGCCGATCAAACTCGTCCACGCCGCGCGATAAGTTGAAGCAATTGAGAAAACTTCAGAAGAACTCACAAACCTGACTCATTCTCCTGGCATAAGCAAGCTGACTCAAGGGGGAAGAAATGAAGATCAAGGCTAATAGAAAGGGTGGTCGGGGCCAAGAACAGAAGCTCGGGAAGATTTCGGTGGCGAAGGCGGAAGGCGGGGAGCTTTCACGGTTCTGCCGCTCCCTCAATGACGGTGTTTATGACCTCGCAAAGATGTACTTTCATGGGCGGTCGGTCTGGTTGACATCTTCATTACGCTCTTCTCAATCGTCACTGCTTTCATCCTATCATTGTCATGTTCACAGAACAATTTGTCACCATGCGCGTCGCGCACCCGTCCGTCCACGCGTGCCCAGCGCGAAGCCGCCGTTTGAACTACGGAGGAGCGCCAAAACCAAATCGTCTGTACAATTGAAAGACTTACCACAAGGTGTTGTCAAGCTTGAAGCATATGATGATAGACAGGATGATGCACCTCAATATCCAACTGTTGTACAGGGGCATCGTAATAACATGCAGAAATTCGACAACTGTGTTGTTCTCACCAGAGTTGGGGGGTTCTACGAGGTGTGATCATTCAAAGCGAGCTGTTGATACAATGTAGCTAATACTGGCTACTTAGCTCTACTTTGAACAGGCTGAAGAGCTTGCGCCATTGTTGAATATAAAGCTTGCAAGCAAAAAGACCAGCGCAGGGCCAGTGCCGATGGCAGGCTTCCCTTTCTTCCAGCTCGATCGGTTCCTCAAAATTCTCGTTCAAGACCTTAATAGATACGTGGCTATAAGCGAAGAGTTTGCGATCGGTGAAGAAGAGAAAATGCGCCCTGGCGGGCTGCTATTTGATCGGAAAGTGGCCAGGATTATCAGTCCTGGTACATTGATCGATGAAAAGTTCATCGACCCTTCTGAGAACAATTTCCTGCTGGCCATATATCTAGATATTCCCTGTTTGGAAGCACAGTCAAAGCAACAGGCCGATAATCCGTCTTCACCGCACATATTGTCCACTGGCCCTCAAAGCGTAGGACTGTCGTGGCTGGATTTATCCACAGGTGATTTCTTCACCCAGCTAACAACGACGCAAATGCTTCCATCTGCCATTGCCCGAATCGGTGCCCGAGAAATTCTTGTGGACCAGAACGTCCAGGATATCATCGGACAAGAATTACAACTCTTGGTCGGGCAGGAGCACCGGCTTGTCACTTTCTTCCGATTTCCCAGCTCGATCGCACCGATGTCAGAATGGGATGCAATGCTGGACGCTCCGATTCCTGAAGAAAGCCACACATCTTTCACACGAGAAGAGGTGGCTGCAGGTTACAGCTTGCTAGAATACGTTCGTGTACAGTTGCAGCGGTCTGATCTCAAGCTCCAGCCTCCGCGAAGACGGCATCTTGATGAATCGATGAGTATTGACCGCAATAGTCTAAGAGGACTCGAAATCTTAGAAACCGCTCGAGATGGATTTGGAAAGGGCAGCTTACTCCACGCGGTTCGCAGAACAAGTACCAAAAGTGGTGCACGCCTTCTGCGGGACAGACTGAGTATTTATCCACAGGCTTGCTGCTTACCACATGCTGATTCTCGTTTGCAGCTTCCCCGTCTACTTCACTTCAGGTTATCAATGGGCGCCTCGACTTAGTCTCTGTTTTCATTGGAAATGAAAATCTTCGTGAGAGCGTGGTACAACTGTTGAAACGAAGCTATGACTCCCAGCGTCTGGTTCAAAAATTTGCCCTTGGCAGAGGAGATGCAGATGACTTGATTTGTCTTTCCCGCGCCACCGAAGCGTCCAAAGGCGTCAAACAGGTCCTGTCTGACCACATGAGGCTCTTATCTGCCACTGGAAATTCTGAGGCTCAGCGCAGCCTCGAATTCGTGGTTTCACGACTTCGTCTTGACGGGCCTTTGGCCCTGGCAGAGCGCATACTTGCAGCGATTGATGAAGAAGGTCTACTTCAGAAACAGCGCATCGAGGATAGTACAGCTGCCGAAGCAGCGAGCTTGGCTCAAGAGGTCACCTTGAATGAGGGCACATCGAGTGATATGGAGTCTTTGCCCAAGAAAGTGCGGACGAAAGTGCCTGAGCGGGCCGCAGCGACAGATCCTGACTCTGGTCCAGTCGAAACGTGGATCATGAGACGTGATGCTAGCAGGATTTTGAACAGTCTTCACGAAGATTTAGAGCACCTTGTAAAGGACAAGTCTGACCTCACACAGCGGCTTCGGGATACAGTGGGGTCTACGTCCTTGAATCTCAAATGGACTCCCGGTCTGGGTCATATCTGCCATGTCAAAGGTGCCAAAATCTCCCAGCGGGCTATCGAGGACTTAGGAGTTACTCGGAATGTCTCTTCAACCAAATCGACTCGCTCATTCTACCTCCCTGCATGGACAGAACTGGGAAACAAGATGGACCACATCAAGATTCGGATTCGCCAGGAAGAGCAGGCAATTTTCGAACGTCTTCGTCGGGAAGTTATTTTAAATTTGGTCAAGATTCGCCGCAACGCCGCAGTCATGGACGAGTTGGACGTCGCCTGTTCATTTGCCACGCTGGCCCAGGAGCAACAAATGGTTCGACCAATCCTGAATGACGGAAGGACGCACAAAATCGTGGGAGGAAGACATGCCACAGTCAAACTTGGTCTTGAGGAGCAGGGACGCTCGTTCGTGAGCAATGATTGCTTCCTCGGTGAAAAGGAGCAGATATGGCTTATCACTGGTCCTAACATGGCCGGCAAAAGTACATTCCTTCGGCAGAACGCGTTGATCACGATCCTCGCCCAGATCGGGTCTTACGTACCTGCAGCTTACGCCGAGATCGGAATAGTCGATCAGATCTTCAGTCGTATAGGTGCAGCCGATGATCTATTCCGCGACCAGTCGACATTCATGGTGGAGATGCTTGAGACAGCTGCCATATTGAAGCAAGCCACGCCGCGTTCTTTTGTAATCATGGACGAAGTTGGCCGAGGCACAACCCCCGAGGACGGCACTGCTGTTAGCTTTGCCTGTCTTCACCATTTACATTATCACAATCAGAGTCGCACCCTCTTCGCGACTCACTTCCATGGGCTCGCGGATATGACGCAAAACTTTGAACGTCTCGAGAGGTACTGTACAGATGTGAAGGAGTCGCCATCGGGGGCATTCTCGTTTGTTCATCGCCTCCGGAAGGGTGTCAACCGCGAGTCGCATGCCCTCAAGGTGGCTCAGCTAGCGGGTCTCCCCCGAGAAACTATCGACCTGGCCACCCGTGTCCGCCAGGAGATGAAGGACAAGATGGCCTCTCATCGAGCCTTTGACGAGGACCAGCCTGTCTCACCTGGAGCATAAGCCAAAGAGGTCCACTGCTCTCATAATTCGATCCCCGCGCGCTCGTGCATGCGGGACGGCATTCTGAGAATAATTGATTTCAATTTTGGAGGCGAATCTATTTGCCATCTATTGTATTTCATTTCATGTACAATACCCGGGTTATTTGTCCAAATGCCACCCAACTTGAATACCCCTCGTTGATCTCAAATCTTGTAAATTCTCTTCGCTCTCCACAGTTCCGGGCCTTTCGCCCTCCCATGCTGCTCTTTTCGTCCCAAATCAACGACCACGCCCTCCCCAAACGCAGCCTCCTGACAATCCTCGTCCACAACCCCATTAACATGTTGCACAACGACGAAATCCACCCTCCTCTTCCCAAAACCACCATAGGCGCATGCCAGGTCCCAACACCATAAGTAACCGCCTGACCACCATGCGCAATGAATGCCTTCACATTCTTCAAATCAGGCGGATCGCGAATCGTAATCGTTTCCCCGGTCTCATTCTTCGCCGTCGCAGTCTCCCCTTCAGCGTAGGCGCAACGACAATCAAGAAATTGGGCTCTTCTTCGCCATCTCCGACCTTCGAATGGCTCGACAAGTCGATGGGAATAAACGTCTGGTTCGTGAACGGGTGGCGCTCGAGAATCCGCACATCGAAAAGTTCCTTCTCTGGTGAAGCCGTTGTGCGTAGTTTACGCGGGAAGCAACAGAACATAGTCATGCGGGCTTCGGATGCGATTTTGTTGGGACCTTGCGCGTAGCGGTCGATGAGCGGGGAGATAGGACTGTACTTCAGGGCAGAGTTTTGGTTTGCCAGCACCGGGCTTGGGTTGAATGGTGGGAGATTTTTGGGATTGGGGGCGATGTTGAGATCGCGAGGAACAGGCGAGCAGATTGCCGTACCGAACTGGGCGAAGTTCTCTGGGGTTAGAAGTTCGGGAATGATAGTTATTGAGGGGTTGGTGGTGAGTATGGGAGCCATGGTGAGAATGTAGCAGGCTGGTGCAGACTGATATGGGCCGATAAGCGAGAACCTGTCTCTGCAGATAATTTTCGACTTGGGTGAAGCACTTCCAGATAATCTTGAGCAGGGGAAAAGGGAAGGAGTAGAATAGTTGGAGATGCGGAGAGCTCGTCGGCGCTCCCCGGTTATGTGAAGTCGATAACGATAAGCGGCCGGGGCCGACGGGGAAGCACCCGCATTGGGGGTTCTATACTTCGGGCAACTCTTGACATCTCTTAACCAGTTGAGACATCAAGCCTTTTGCAGACTTCATGGCTCTGAAGTTATCGAGATCTAGCGCCATCTGGATGAACAATGTTGTGCAAATGTTCGAATGTATATTTCCAGTCCACATCTCCACTACAAGGCTGCTTACTTGCATATGAAAATTTATTAAGCTGGCCAAAGCATTGTGCTGGGCTATCTGGCTTTCTCACTTGTTCCGACTCACCACGGTGATAGGCAAATTTGGCAGCCAAGATGTTCAGATTGATGCCCAACCAAGCAGCATCCATGATAGTGTGCTTCCATGACAATGGTAGAGATCGTCTCGGTTGACGTGAGTGAACTAGAGCAAGGCAAGAAAGATTGTATATGCGGGAAGAACCATTTCAATACGACGATTGCTGCACAATTTGCAAGGTTCCAGGGTCTTTGCGGTCGGAGATGTGAACCAACGTCTTGATAGTCCGACGCTACAGGCTCCTTCTCCGCGTCTCATGCAATCCTAGAAGCGGCAGGTTGCCTCCACAAAACTCCACCGAGAGGTCACCGACCAACGACAGTGGACTAGAAATCACGAGCACGCAAAAAGAGGGGGTCCTGCTTCTGGTCCGCACTCCCATCGGTTGCCTTTTCCAGCGACTTGGCCCGTTCGATGAGGCTCTTGTTGAGACCTTTGGGCATAGCGATTCATGGGATTTCATGGGACACTCGGGATGGCCGCATCGGAGCGAGAGACTATTGGGTCCCTTGTTGTCGGAGTGTATCATCAGTGGCACAAATCGTTTCATTCGATGCTCTACGTGCCCAATTCCTTGCATTCGATAGCGATCCAAAATCAACCCCATCTCGAAATGGCGTCCCTTTGCGGTTCCAAGTGTTACTTCATCTCTGGTACTTGGGGATGCGTTGGCCATAAAAGAAATGGCACTTCCCGACCATGGTGGACGGTGTCGGTCGTCCTGAGAATGCGCTTGTTATTCTGGCACTTTCACTCTCCTTGAATTGTTCCAAAATTCCTCGTGCTATAGTCACACAAACCAAGCTCAACTCATTGACATTTGAAAGCTCAACTTCGACCATGGCTGAACCAACCAAGACACCAACAAGCAATCCTCCCCCTAAGCAAGGCTCGACCCCCCGAGGTAGCCCGGCATCTGGGAGCTCAAGTACAAGGTATGCAGACACTGCCTGGGATATTATATTTTATTGCATCCGATAAAATTTCAATTCTGACTTTTAACAGTAGCTGCTCCGGTATACAGCGAGACACGGCGGAAATTGGGAGCTGGGTGACTATCCCTGGCCTCGACGAGGCAAAGACCCCCAACTCGCTAACTGTTACAAAAGATGAATGATAAGTGATGATGTGCCACATCAGCAAAATGCCATGCGGGGCAGGCCTCTGGGAGAGCCCTAGGAATGCAGGATGAGAGGGGACAGGAAGGTAGCCGGGAATACGGAACAAGACGAGCAGAGGCAGATGACGTTTCGCTTGTTCCAATCTGATCGGACAGGCGCAATTCATGAAGCCTCGGAGTGAACGGGGATCATCTCCACAAGCCCGCATTTCCCCTCTTTTCACTTGTGATTCTCGGGTATTTTGTCAATTTATTTGCTATTGATATGTCTGTATCCATTGGTGATCCACAGCTTGGATAATAAAGAGCCGTTCATTTGACAGACGTCGGTTGCGTTTTTGTAGTACTCTGGAGTTGCATTCAACGCTGCAGACATTCCCAAGCGAGCGTGTAGGTCCCCGTTGAGGTCCTTGGTAGTTGACTTAGGAAGTGGAGCAATGGGAAAAACTCCATCCAGAGAGAATCAGCAAATTTGATTTGACTTGAATTTGCAAACCCCGTAATAGGGCTGAAGGTGGATACGTCTGTTTCCTGGAACTGGGGATCAGCATCATGCGCGAAGATTCGCCAGATCGAGATAACCGCCACTAAGACTAACAAAGTACCGTACATGGAATCTGATATCAGCATGAAAAAAGAACCCCCCAAAAAAACTTGATTACCTCAATCATCTTTAAAGAGACACAGCAAAGACATTGTTGATACCCTTATCTCTTTACTTGGCTCTGAGCGATGAAGCTTTGACAATACCCGTCAAGTCAATCCCTGCTTTCAATTAAGGTTGAAAGATGCCTAAGCCTTCACGACGTCCTGTGGTCATCAAAGCATCTCCTAATTCTACGAAAACTGAATGGTTCCTTTGCCCGGGGCCTCTCGACTCTCGCTGTAGCTGATATGTACCCGAGACCAAAACATCCATAGGCAGCATGGGGACCATGATCTTGATACTCAGAGGCCGGGAGTGGAGAGCTCGCCAATGAAGTCGCTGTGAATCAGAAGATAATTTCCAATGTGACTTGGATAAGAGAGGGCCCATCTGAAGATGATTGCGTTGAATATTTGTGAGAGTTGCAAGATGTTGGTCGGCTAGACGGCGTAGTTTTGATGGTCGTGAAGAGGTAAATGAACGGACGTGGGAAGAGAGGGTTGAATTTAATTGGGCTTACTAGGGCCAAGAAAAACGAAAAAATGCAAAGATAAAGAATTGACTCTCGAGGCTTCTACCTGTATAGGTCTTAGCGTTTCATGCATTCTGTTTATACATCCTGTATCGTCGTAGACGGGGACATCATGTACATAAAGTTTCAGCAGAAAAAGGCCCACATCTCTATCTCTTTATTCCCACCGCCAGGTGTGGTCTGTCAACAAAATTAAACATAGTGGCAATGACCACTCGCCGATGTTGTCAAGCATCCCAAAAAGAGAGGGTGTGAACCATATTGACTTACTGTGGTGTGGTAGAACGGGACTGAAGGGAATGTGAAGTTACCCTTTCATAGATGTACTATTCTTCTACGCTTCACTTTAGGTACTGAGGACTTGACGCATGTGAAGGCAACCGTCATGACCGTCTATATGGATTGAGCAAAGCACCGCCGTGGGACTGACTTCCCGTATGTCAAACATGGCGGAAGTCGAGCTACTTTGTATACTAGCTAAAACCAGCCTCAGGCGAGGCTGGGAATTGAACACATCAACTTATTGATGATGGTAGGCATTGACAGAACTCGTGACATTTTTATCCTCGATCACCAAGTAAAGGGTATGTGTGACCGAGGCACAAGATATGAGTACGACCACAATGGTTTTCCAACAAAGAGTCTCAATGCCACGGCCTTCATGGCTACGGAGACTGTAATCCAGAATGCGACGTCGCGGGATCCATGCAGTGTGGTCATCAGAACAAAAAGGTCAGATATGCCGGAATCCCCTACCACGCTCCGTAGCCGCGCCCTCCGAAGGTGGTAAGTGACGGGTATGGTTGGTCACCCCTGTTGCGAGTTGCAAGACAGGATGAAAGTGTTCCATATTGGATTCACAAGAATATGAGAGTGACGAAGTTTGTGATGTCCTTGTCCGATTCGCGATTTGCGAAGACTCAAAACTTCTTCATCTGTAACACGTAAAGGGATGGGCCGTGATCTCCGCCATTTGAAAAATGATAGCCTCTATTTTGAGAGGCAGAAAGCAGCGTTGTAAACTCAGCTTGTGTCTCCTCCCCGTGACTCAAATTTGGCTTTTTTTGCGCGTCTTTTCATCTCTCTCTTCGACAAGGCCTTCTCCGGCTCCTCGATGATGGTCTCCGAACCGAGAGATGCCTTTCGCTTGAGAGTCTCGCCAGCAGCCCCCAGCTGTGCTGTATCCGGAGCTTGTTCTTTAGTTTTTGAATTATGTGGGGAATTTGCGGGTTTGGATCTCTCGCCCCCGTGAACGATGTCGACAATCCCGCGCCAGCTAGTCCGCTTCAATTTGGAAAGCGCCACAACCTTCCGTGCCTCCTCACAAATAGCTTCCTTGCCGCGTTCTTGTGACAGACCCCACACGCAAGTCAAGTTTATCACATCCCAGGGAGCTCGCAGGCCAAGAGCTTGCCGCGCCTCACTTGACACAATGATGCCGCGGCCGCGTGTAGCTCGGATCAGAGACATGGCATTTCCAATGAGATTCCGGCGAGCATCCAATCCGCTCCCCGTGACTCCTGGACCGTAGCAAATCTCAAGCCGAATACCACGTGATATTGCAGCCGATAGCATTTTAAATTTGAAATGATATGGGAGTCGCACGGAAAGATCGAGCGAGATCACGTCGCATTCCAGATTTGTACAGGCGTTGAGGAGCGCCTTCTCGTTCGTTGGCCGGAAGGCAATTATATCGTAGGCCTGAGTCAGGGTGTTCAGGCGCTGGTTCTGCGCGGGATCGGCCAAAGTCAGGTTCAAACGAGTCAGCAATTGAAGAGGTTTTGGCGGATTTGATGGAAGAGCTGGCGGGTTAAGGCTCGGAGGTAGCTTTCCAGTGACGGACTGGGACAAGGCGACGGTGGTATAACCGACTGAGGGGGGGTCAGGTCAGTACCTCATGTGGTCACGATTCAACATGCGATCTTGTGCCGGCCGCGCGAGAATGACTTACGTTCCGCCAGAAAATTCAGGGTGTGCGGGGCCTCCGAGTCATCGGGGCTGTATGGGACATTCAAGTCGTAAAACATACTGCCTTGTCTGATTTAAAAGGCCAGCACTTGCTCCTGCCAGGTACATAAAAAAAGAAAGCCCAAGTCACGAAACTGTCCAAAAGAGGAAACTAGAAAATCGCCCGGAATAACTCGATACCCGACACTAACCTGATCGAGACTGCTCTCCACAGCGATCCCGTGACAGGGCGGAACAGATCTCGCTCTCACGCAAGGATATCCCCCTCCAAATCCCATTGTTCCAGAACGATCGATAGCGAGGCTGCATTCGGGCTGTCAGTTGCTGGGCCTGCTGCTGCTGCTATCTTCCTCCCTTTTAATCGTCTCCCGACCCACACCCCCCCTTTCTCTTGTTCGGTCGCACCCGGCGTGACCCCGCCGCATCTTCCATTTGTGGGCGGGCTCGGAAGCCATCCAGTTTCAATATGGCGCGCGTTTACGCCGATGTCAACGAGCACATGCCTCGGTCTTACTGGGACTACGACAGTGTGAACATTTCTTGGGGCGTGCTGGAGAACTACGAGATCGTTCGCAAGATAGGTATTTTACACCTGATTGGGACCATCTAACCCGGAGAATGGCGGTACCATCTGTCGCATTCCCTACTTGGGAGCGATGCTGCCTGATAAAATGCATGCTGACCGTTTTCGCTTAAGGTCGTGGAAAGTACTCCGAGGTATTCGAAGGTATCAACGTTGTCAACTATCAGAAGTGTGTTATCAAGGTTCTCAAGCCTGTCAAAAAGAAGAAGATCAAGCGTGAGATCAAGATTCTGCAGAACCTCGCCGGAGGCCCTAATGTCATTGCACTGTTGGATGTGGTCCGCGACAATCAGAGCAAAACTCCCAGTCTGGTTTTTGAGGCTGTCAACAACACCGATTTCCGGACCCTCTACCCTCGCTTCTCCGACTACGACGTTCGCTTCTATGTCTATGAGCTGCTCAAGGCTCTGGACTTCTGTCACAGCAAGGGCATCATGCACAGAGATGTCAAGCCTCACAACGTCATGATTGACCACGAGAAACGCAAGGTTTGTCATACTTGCTGTGTGTGGCGTGATTTTATGTTCTAATTTGATTCTTATAGCTGCGATTGATTGACTGGGGTCTGGCTGAATTCTACCACAAGGGCACAGAATACAATGTCCGTGTCGCATCTCGCTATTTCAAGGGTCCTGAGCTACTCGTGGACTTCCAGGAATACGACTATTCATTGGATATGTGGTCACTGGGCGCCATGTTCGCATCCATGATCTTCCGCAAGGAACCTTTTTTCCACGGCAACAGCAATTCTGACCAGCTGGTGAAAATTGCCAAGGTTCTCGGAACCGAAGAGCTCTTCGAGTACCTGGACAAGTACGACATTGAACTCGATCCGCAGTACGATGAAATCCTTTCCCGCTTCCCTCGTAAGCCATGGCGCTCTTTCGTCACCGCCGAGAACCAGCGCTTCATCAGTGACGAGGCTATCGATTTCCTTGACAAGCTTCTGCGCTACGACCACGCTGTATGATACTCCCAAGGTCCCATTACTTATCTTCATACTGACCCGTTGTAGGAACGCTTGACTGCTCAGGAGGCCATGGCACACCCGTACTTTGATCCCGTGCGAGCTGATGCCAACAGCAACGCCCAAGCCCAGTCGTGAGCTGCCTCTTGCGCTGGTTGACAACCGTGGCTTCCCTTTTTCATTTCCACTTCTCTCCTACCTGCATCATTCCCCTCTTCTCTCTTTCCATGCTGCCTGTCAACATAACGCTCGGCCTCTTGGTCACCTTTTCATCTGAGTTTGACATTTACCAATATGAGCGGCGCATGATAGCGGATTGGGAGAAAGAAGAATGACGCAAACCCCTGGCCATCTCTTCTCTGAGCACCCGGGAGAAGAGTGGCTTCGATGAGTGACCAAATCCCGAACGAAGACGACGTTGATGACAAGATATGACATCTAATCTTTTTAGGCCGAGCAGCCCTGCATCCCTCGGCTCGGGCGTGTTAGTGAGCGCAATAAATCAGTTGACGTCTTAGAGCGGAGGAACCCTGTCGAGTCTCCCTTAATTGTATAGCGCTGCTTCTTCCATTTTATTTTCTCTCGCCCTTCGTCCCTGGTCCGGTGTTCTGGATTTCTCCGATGCTTTGCTTTCGTATGTTGAGTTTCCGTGCCTCTCCTGTTTTCATGTGCACATTCCGGAGTGATGGTTTGGGGAAGCACATGTTGCTTGGTGATCATGACAAGAGTTTTGAGGAGACAATGCATGCGATTTCAATTTTCCTCCCCGCTGTATTCAATATCACTTCTACGCCAGGGGTCGTTTAGATCCTATACTTCGTAGTTGCACGATCTTATCGCGCGACGATCGCCCGTTGGTACCAGCGTTTGTCACGTGAGAGCAATCTCAACGCCATTTGGCGTCAACTAACAACCACAAGGCATTGTCTAACGCGTCCAAACTGCATAAATCACAGCTATTGAGGTCAATGGTGGGTAACGTGACTCATATGAGCCCGACAGCAAGTCCATAGTCCAGCGCCCGCGTCTCCACCGATCCTCTTTGGCGCTCCGCCCTCTCATTCGTTGCCTCTTGCGTGGGAAAATTGATTTGCCCGCATTTCGCACAACCACCCCTCCTTGTCGCATCCCACTCTCTCAAGATACTCATCAGGCGATTCGTGGCGCGATCGGCGCCTTGGAGATTCACTCCGCAATATCGATCATTCTCCAGGATGGCTCAGAACTCTGCCTCCCAACTCCCAAGTGTGTATAACCTGGTGACTCACCCCGCGCATGAAAGAAGCTCACCTTGAAAAGCCGGGGAACCCGTTGCCCAACCTCAGGATGCCTCCGGCGGTCCTAAGGTGAAGTCCGAAAAAGAGTGTACGTCGACCCTACGAACTCCCTACCGCGTATTCGACATTTGGGGTGGATGAATCGGAGTGGCTCGAGGAGCATTGGCTGACATTGATGTTCTCGTACAGTGGAGCGTGAGCGCAAGAAGGCCGAGAAGGCCAAAAAATTTGCAGAGAAGCAGGCCAAGCAGGCCAGCAAGCCCGCTGCTGCGCCCAAGGCCGAGAAGAAGGCCCCCAAGGTCGAGAAGGACAAGACTGCCGACGCATATGACCCCAAGGTCATCGAGGCCGGCCGACTCGAGTGGTGGGAGGAGCGTGACCTCTTCAAGCCCGAATGGGGTCCGGACGGCCATGTCAAGCCCGAAGGCTCCTTCGTTATTCCTATCCCACCTCCTAACGTTACCGGTTCCCTTCACATGGGTCATGCCCTAACCAACGCCCTCCAAGATACCATGATTCGTTGGCAGAGAATGAAGGGCAAGACCACTTTATGGCTTCCCGGTATGGACCACGCCGGTATCTCTACTCAGAGTGTTGTCGAGAAGCAGTTGTGGAAGAAGGAGAAGAAGACCCGTCACGATATTGGACGCCCCGCTATGATAAAGATGATCTGGGACTGGAAGGATGTCTATCATGCCAACATCAAGAACGCTTTGCGCCGAGTTGGTGGTTCCTTCGACTGGTCTCGCGAGGCCTTCACCATGGATCCTAACTTGTCCGCTGCCGTGACTGAGACCTTCGTCCGTCTCCACGAAGAGGGTACCATTTACCGTGCCAACCGCTTGGTCAACTGGTGTGTTGCGTTGAACACTTCTCTTTCTAACCTGGAGGTTGAGAACAAGGAAATTGAGGGCCGCACCCTCATGGATGTGCCTGGTTACGAGCGCAAGGTCGAATTCGGTGTTCTTACTCACTTCTGCTACGAGATCGATGGCACCAATGAGCGCATCGAAATCGCCACTACTCGTCCCGAGACCATGGTCGGTGATACTGGTATTGCCGTCCACCCCAGTGACAAGCGCTACCAGCACTTGATCGGCAAGAATGCTCGCCACCCCTTCTGTGACCGTCTTATGCCCATTGTTGCCGATGAAGAGGTTGATCCTGAGTTCGGTACTGGTGCCGTGAAGATCACCCCCGCTCACGACTTCAACGATTTCAACCGTGGAAAGGCTCACAACCTCGAGTTCATCTCCGTCATGAACGACGATGGTACCTTCAACAAGCACGGTGGACGCTTCGCTGGCATGAAGCGTTTCGACGCCCGTTACGCCGTCATTGAGGCCCTGAAGGAGGCTGGTCTGTACGTCAAGTGGGAGCATAACCCCATGAAGATCCCTCGCTGTGCCAAGTCCAACGACGTTATTGAGCCCATTCTCAAGCCCCAGTGGTGGATGAAGATGCAGGATCTCGCTGAGCCTGCCATCAAGGCCGTTGAGAATGGCGATATTATCATTCGCCCGGAGAGCGCCGAGAAGAGCTACTTCCGCTGGATGCGCAATATCAATGACTGGTGTCTGTCCCGTCAGCTCTGGTGGGGTCACCAGGCTCCCGCCTACTTCGTCAAGATCGAAGGCGAGGACAACTCCGAGAGCGATGGCGAATACTGGGTTACTGGCCGTACTGAGGAGGACGCCCAGAAGAAGGCCGAGGTCAAGTTCCCCGGTAAAAAATTCTCCCTGGAGCGTGACCCTGACGTGCTCGACACCTGGTTCTCGTCTGCTCTGTGGCCCTTCTCTACTCTGGGCTGGCCCAACAAGACTCATGACTTCGAGAACCTGTACCCCACCTCCGTTCTGGAGACTGGTTGGGATATCCTCTTCTTCTGGGTTGCCCGTATGATCATGATGGGTATCAAATTGACCGGCCAGGTTCCCTTCCGCGAGGTCTACTGCCATTCTCTGATTCGTGACTCCGAGGGCCGCAAGATGTCCAAGTCACTGGGTAACGTCGTTGACCCCATCGATGTCATGGAGGGTATTCAGCTTCAAACTCTCCACGACAAGTTGTTACAGGGTAATCTTGCCGAGAAGGAGGTCGCTGCTGCCACGAAGTACCAGAAGAAGGCTTTCCCCAAGGGTATCCCCGAGTGCGGCGCTGACGCTCTTCGATTCGCCCTTGTCTCTTACACCACCGGCGGTATGTACATTGTCCTTGTTATTGTCGTTCCCGTATACTAATCGTTTTTGAATAGGTGGTGATATCGCTTTCGATGTCCAGGTCATCCACGGATACCGTCGCTTCTGCAACAAGATCTACCAGGCCACTAAGTTCGTGCTCGGAAAGCTGGGCGACGACTTCAAGCCCCAGGCTACTCCTACGAAGAATGGCAACGAGTCTCTGTCGGAGCGTTGGATTCTGCACAAGTTCAACACCGCTGCCAAGGAGATGAATGAGTCTCTCGAGGCTCGTGAGTTCTCTCCCACTGCTATCGCTATCTACCAGTACTGGTACGCTCAGCTGTGCGATGTGTTCATCGAGAACTCCAAGTTCCTGCTGGCCGAAGATGCCACGCCCGAGATGCAGGAGTCCGCTAAGCAGACCCTCTACACTGCTCTTGAGGGAGCGTTGTGCCTGGTTCACCCTATCATGCCCTTCGTCACCGAGCACCTGTGGCAGCGTCTCCCGCGCCGCCCCGATGACAAGACCGTCTCCATCATGAAGGCCAAGTACCCCGAGTACAAGGCTGAGTTCCACGACCCCGCTGCCGAGACTGCTTACGAGCTTGTGCTGAACACCTCCAAGGCAATCCGCTCCATCTTGGCTCAGTACGATGTCAAGACTAAGGGCGACATCATCATCCAGACCTACGACGCTACCAGCCACAAGACTGTCTCCGAGGAGATGACCAGCATCAAGTCTCTTGGTGGTAAGAATCTGGGCGAGCTGTCTCTGCTCGGACCTGAGAACAAGACTCCTCCCTCCGGCTGTGTAGTCGCTGCTGTTGGCGCCGAGGCTGCCGTCTACCTGCGTGTCTCCAAGGAGGTCGCTCTCGAGCAGGAGGAGAAGGCCAAGGAAGCCCTTGAGCGTGCTCGTGAGGCCGTGCGCAAGTCGCAGGGTATCATGGCTGCCCCTAACTGGAAGGACAAGGTCAAGGCTGAGGTCCGTGAGGCTGAGGAGAAGCGTCTCCGTGATAACGAGAGCGAGACTGCCCGTTTGGAGGAGCAGATTAAGGAGTTTGAGAAGCTGCGCTTGGAGTAAATTTATCAATAGACTCAAACTGGATCATGAGAGTACAGACTACATAAAATAAATTCTCACTTTTAAATCATTGAAGCTCACTTGCCGTTGTAATTGTTAGTCAAGTCAACATCTTCCGAAGTGGAACCGAATGTGTTCTTATCGATAAGCGTGCCAAGCCTTCGCCCCAAAAGTTTTCTGCGTTTTTTACTCCGAGCAACCACGACATATCAAACCACCGCCATCATGTTGCGTGAAGTGTATGTACATGACAATCATCCTTATGGGAAAACGGCAGCTGACGATTGCTTTCTAGCAAGCCCAAGAACCCCCGCACCGCGCGCATCCTCAAGGCGCGTGAGCCCCAACTCATTGAGGGCCCGAAGCGCACTCTTATCCTGCACGGCACCAAATGCCCGCAGGCGCTCGACACTGTCCTGAAGACCTTTCACTCATTGACGAAGCCCAACTCCGTCCTGTTCCACAAGAAAAATGAGAATCTCCACCCGTTCGAGAACGTCGAGAGCATCGAGTTTCTGGCCAACAAGAACGAGTGCGGTCTGGTCGTGTTCGGCAGCAGCAGCAAGAAGCGCCCCAACGCCGTGGTTCTTACCCGAATTTTCAACTCCCAAATGCTCGACATGTGTGAACTTCTTCTTTTGCCCGGCACCGACGGCGCCATTCCTCCCATCAACGAGCTAGTCATGCACGTTGGTCTCGGTTTGCGTCCCATGATGCTCTTCGCCGGTAGCCCATGGGAGGACCCGTCCTCTTCGTCGCACGTCATGCTCAAGAGCTTCTTCCTCGACATGTTCAAGGGCGAAGAGACAGACAAGATTGACGTTGAGGGTCTTCAGTACATTCTTATGGTCGGTGCCGAGGAGCCCCGCGAAGAGCTCAGCCCTATCGTTCACCTCCGGTGGTACAAGGTTGTTACCAAGCGCAGTGGCCACAAGCTTCCGCGCATTGAGCTGGAGGAGATTGGCCCCAAGTTCGATTTCAAGATTGGTCGTATGCGTCCTGCGTCGCCGGAGGCCATGAAGGAGGCCATGAAGCAGGGCAAGCGCCCCAACGTGGAGATCAAGATGAAGAAGAATATCACCATGGACAATATGGGTGACAAGCTCGGTCGCGTTCACCTCGGCAAGCAGGATCTCAAGGGTATGCAGACCCGTAAGATGAAGGGTCTGAAGCGTCGGGCCGGCGAGAGAGTCTGACGAGGAGCCTGATGTCAATGATATGGAGGTGGATGAGATCTCCGAAGACGAGGACATGGAGAGCCACAAGAAGGCTCGCAAGAACTAAATGATTGAGCTACTTGCATAGTTGCGTCTGATTATATTGTTTGGGCGTTTGGGCCGGCTGGGTTTTGTGCTTAATGCCTATACTAGAGTTGATTTGCCGGCATGGAATAAAAGTTGCATCTACATAGTGATCTAAATGACAAACTCTTTCCATCTCAGTTACTTTTCAGTATGGATCCATCCGAAAGGTCCATAGACATAAAGTTGCCCACAGTCGAAGTCATTCAAAATGATCACGTGGTCATGACGTCGGCCGTCGGCATCATCTCACATGCCGAGGCCCTTTCTTAAATGCGGGACCGACGTAAAATGCCGTCCCCCTCATACTCTACTCCTCTCTATCCTCCATGAACTCCCACCTGTCAACTCTTCACGCCGCAATCTAGTAGCTCAACTACGAACCCGACCTTCCTTCAAGGTCCCGCGCCGCCATGGATGCGCTCCTGGTCCGTACACTTTGCTCCGTACTTCGCGGCTAAGCACATGAAAGACATGGCATTAACAACTCCTCCAGTCTCGCCTCGAGCAACTCATCCTCCAACCTGACCTCGCACCATTCCTATCTTTAGTCAAAGGCGCGCGCAATGGAATCGTCTATGGATCGAAAGTGCGGTTTCCGCATGCGTTGGTGTTCGTCAGATCTCGGATGGAACATACGTTGATATAAAGCTGACATGTTGATTTTAGCATGATCATGCTATTCCGATCCGGATCGTATGTCTACACTTTCTTCCGCATGGGCTATGGTCTCCGAGTCTCGTACTAAACATCGCAACAAATAGGTTCCGCGACAAAATTAAGCTCGTCCTGAAAGCAACGCGCCAGCACGCTCGAAACCTCTCCACGTTCGCAGTGATCTACAAAGCATCCATGATTCTTCTTAGGAACATCAACCCCCGCGGCGCCGGCAAGGAAGGCCGGTATGACAGCTTCTTTGCAGGCTTGTTGGGCGGGTATGCCGTCTTCGGTCGACAGCGTGGAAGCATCAGCCAGCAGGTACGATTCGTACACCCCAATATGATGAATATTCGAAGCAAATTCATAGACCCGATGTCATCTCAACACAATGTCCATACTAATATAACTAGATCGTCATCTACGTCTTCGCGCGCGTGATGCTTTCCCTCGCCAAACTCGCGATCCAACCCAACATGCACCCTCTCTCCTCCCTCATCACCCCCGAAGCCCGCACCACAATTACCGACAACGCATGGCCCGTCTTCGCCAGCATGACCTGGGCCTTCGTCATGTACCTTTTCCGCTGGTACCCTGATACCCTCGTCTCGAGTCTACGGAGCAGTATGCAATATATGTACGTCCCCTCCGTCATCACGATATACTTGGATGGAATAAGTACTAACAATACTTAAGTTATGCGGACTCGGATCACTGGGATTCACTTCGGACACTCTTCATACATAACAAATGAGGGAGATCTATAGGTTGATCAGAGATCCCATCTGCACATTCTCGATTGCTCATTTCCCTTCCAACTGGTTTTGGATGTTGGCGCATAGATTGGCGTTTTACTTTATTCATTCTTCTTCCTCTTGGGTCGATAGCAGTACCGCTTCTATATGACGTGTACAGAATACACCAAGCGCGGCCATGCTCTAGATATTTCTACCCTGTATTATGAGTTATGGCCCGTTCAGCTCTGCTTTCCTAACACGGTGACAGTCTTGTTACAAGTACTTTAATTTGAAGTAAATACAGCGATAGTCGGATATCAGAAACATTGAATCAGATACGTCCCATTGAAGAACCAGTAAAATAATACACGAGACCCATTTCATGGAACAAATGGGCTTCAGAAACAAACGGAGTTTAAGAAAGAAAATAATCAAGACAATGAGCAGTGTGATCTACTGCTGGGTATCGGCGCCATCAACCTCAATCAAAAGCTTCATCTCCCCATCCATCCACTCCACCGTCTCCGCAGACAAAAGCGCCAAGACCCAGTCTTTTTCAGTCTGGATGGGGAACAAGCCGTCCGGAAGCCAAGCTTTGACTTTCCAGCTATCCCGCGATACATTTTCATCCAGGCCCGGATATCGGCGGAGAATCGATTGTTTGAGATGTTCGACGTTGGAACATTGGGTGGCTTGAATGTCTAGACGGGGAAAATACGTTTGCCATGTGAGAGGATATTGATGCGGAGGAAGATCTGAGAATTTGTGCTGGTTGCGGGTGAGGCGTCGCTGTTCGAAGGGGCGGGTGTGAATGGTTGTTGGTGGAATTGTTGGTCTACTTGCGGTGGAGGGACGCCTTGTCTGGAAGCGATGTTCTCGCGGATAATGCGCGAGACGTCGCGGGTGATGCTACTTGCGCTATTCGGGGGGTTAGTAAACGTTTCCTTAATGGGGTGGGGCAAGGACGTACAAATCGTCTCGTGCTGGGGTGTTTCGGCCTCCGCCGATACGCCAGGGGAGACTTGAGACCGAGTCGGCGTGGATGATGCGATCGACATTGTGGTCCTCGCAACCGGGCGGACAGTCGAAGGTGCCATTGTGGACAACTTGGTAATGACTATCAACGGCCGCGACCAGGCCGCGCCAATGGGGCTGCTGAAGACCGGAAAGGGACCACAAATTATCCAGTTGGAAGTCGTGATTGTATTCGTCATAACATCTGGACAGCTCACTCCAGTCCGGCTGGTATCCGTCCAATATAATGTCTGTAAGACCAAGTTCCATTGCCTGGCTGGGATCCATAGGCGCCTGCGCCTGAGGGGAGGAGGAGGTGGTGGTGGAGGGGGGAGGAGGCGGCATTGACTGCCTATGTTCCTCTCGCTGATTCGGGTCGTGCATCTGCATCTGTTGATCAGGAGAGAAGTGCGAGCTCTTGAGATCTGGAAAACTATCGTCCGTTTTACGGCGACGCCGCTCATCCGTTCCGCCTCCTTTGCGAGTTTCAATTGCATACTGGCGCTGTCGTTCATTGGTGACCATTCGTCGGAGGAGAGGAATGACCAAAGAAATGATCTTTTGTTGATCTCGGGGCCAAATATATGTACGAGGACCCATACCCTCGTTGACCACGTCCTCTCCAAAAAACCGCTCACCATTGCCCTCGGCTTCAAGGAAATGGCGAACACAGTTCCATAACCGTAGCTTTACCATCTCTGTATCTCCCTTGCCACGCTGACCGACACATTCCCTTCTTTCAGGGTGGTCGTCGTCCAGCATATATCCCTTAGCCGCAGCTTGGAGATGGAGGAAATTCTCCGGCGACAACTCAAGTGATGAAAATAGCTTGGACATCGGAGGCCGAGTGTACTTTTTGTTGCTCGAGGGCTGACGGAACAGTGCCGCAGCAGAATGCACACCAACCGCACGCGCTTCTGACAGAGACGACGGAGGTGCAGAACGAATATCCATGTTTTCACCAGAAAATCCATGGTTGTTTTGTTGAGACTGTGAATGCTGCTGCGACCCGAGACCAGCTCCAGCCAGGGCAGGATCAAGGTTGTCGTCGTTTCTCTTTCTTTTCTTCGACACAGTACGAGACAACCCTACAGACCCGGAGTGATCATTCAGATGTCTTAGATGTCTTCCACTTGCCATGCTTGTGACGAAGCTGGCATCGCCAAAGCCGTCGTCTCCCAGTTGCATGTCCGCACCATAGCCATCCAGTTGATGGTGAGCAGCGGCGGCAGTGGCTTCTACTGCCCATTGAGAGACATTGTGATCCTGGCCAGCGGCCGCGGTTGCCGCTTCCACTAAGCCCGCGAGCTGGCTATCGTTCGGCACGTATCCATTGTTGGGGTCGAGATGGGCATTTGAGGCGCCTTGGTCGCCAGAGGTCGCAGCCTGATGGTTATTGGAATTCGAGGACATAATGGAATATCACTTGAGCAGTGCGGCGCGATACCTGATCTGGTATTACCGGTGTTGTCATAAGCTGTAAAGGAATCGGTGGATATCTAGCGCGTCTCGAGATATCAGGGCAAATGACCCTGAGCGACACGGAATATCCGTCACAAATAATTTGGCTCCTCTGAAGAGCAAAGCTACCTCCGAATATAGCGGCCAGCGTCGGAAGTCAACGATGTTACTTTTCGCTGATAGATCACACGCGCGTGAGGTATCGTGGGCCGGGGGAGTATCGGAGACCTCACAGCGCCACACCCCTGGAGGGGTGAAGAGCGTGCTGAAGATTAGAAGAATTCGAAGCTGATCGGACTTTTGGAGGGAGCTCTTGAGCTCCGAGCTGATAAGGCAACGCGACGAAGATGATGTTTGCGCGGTTTGAAGGAGGAGCAGACAGTGCAAACCTTGCATCGAGTCACGTGAGCATCGCTGATGTATTCACGTCGTACTCGGAATGTCCAATCAGCGCCTCGATCCTTGCTTGTTGAATTTTCTGGGCAGGTATTGCTTTCAAGCTAGAATAATACTTCTCATTCCATTGATTGATTTGAGCAGCTCTAAAAAGGACATGGTAGATGGTGGTATAATATACATCAAAAGGAACAACAAGGTCTAGCAGGGTCCCAAATCCGTCTCAAAAGGTGGATGCGCGCTATACAACATTTTGATATCCAGGGGCATACGAGGACAAGTTTAGTTTATATAAGATCAGATCCGACACCAATATATGGGAAAACAGCACATAGTCAAGTCGAGCTAAAAGCCATCGCCGTCATTCCAAGGGCGGCCAGCTTCTAAGGCTCGGTTTTTGGGATTCTTCCCACGGTCGATAGCCTCAGCGAGCATCTGTGAGACTTGAGTCTCTTTTTCCATCACCGCATCCTGGAGTTGACTCTTGCGACCAGGCGGGAGGGACTTGCAGGTCCTGGGTCTCATCGAGTTCGCCGCTGGCCTCAGCAAATGAAGTATCGTCTTCCCAAAAGATCCAATCCTCGAGCTCTTTCTGCATATCTTTTTTCTCTTCGTCCAACGCTCTCCATTTCTGGAGCTCTGCCGGGCCACCGAAGCAGAACCCGTAGCCGTCACAGAGACAAACACTTTCTTCCACGCAGACCACGGGCTGACCGGTGAACACGTACTGCCAGAGGTATTCCCAGATACGACCGGCGATATAATCGCTGAGGTCCGTCTGCAGGAGCCAGTCGCGATAAAATATGAATCGGGAACGCGGGATAGTGCGAATACGATCACCAGATACGGCGAACTGCGCACAGCACGGCTGGGCTAGAACCGACGGGACCGGCTCGTCGGGGAATAGTTCGCCCCAGGCGCGGGCCAGCATGACTTCTTCCTGCTTGGACTCATCCTCTACAACAGCACCGGGATGCATCCAATCGGGGCAGCCAGGACCATGAGCGCAGCGGGTGTTCATATATCCTTCTCTGATGACACGATCCAGGCTGAGACTGCGAAGGATCTCCGCGGTGTCTCCGTTAAAGATTTCCTCGTTGTGCCAGGCCTCTTGGTGCGAGTGAATGAACACCGCGACATCAGGTAGTTCGTCGTAGAAGTCGATACAATAGGAAAGGTAGATCATGACCTCGTGGCCCTTATTCTTCGGGGGGTGAAGAGGTGCCCTTGAATCATCGGCGACGTATATAGCGGTTTGCCATCCTGGCAACTCCTTCTCAATCCAACTCACATCCTCCTTTTTCGTCGTGGAACCACCAACACTTTCGAATACGCCGAGCCTAAAGGCTTGGGGATCCCAGGAATAAAGTTCGGTGGGGGTGCGTAGAGGGTTTTCTCGTCAGAGGCACTGTGATTGAACGTCCCCGTCCAGCTCGTATTGGTATTGGAAAATGGGTAAGCGGCATAGTATTCGCCTAGTCCCACGACTTGGGAAGCATTACGCCATGAATGCGAGAGGCTTCGGGCTGTGAGGTAGAAGCCGAGGAAGAAAAAGAAGCCAAGGAAGAGGACCGATCGCCGTGAGAGAATCATGGACGAGGGCAGGTGGTACAATTATATGCGGAGGATGGATCTGTCGCACAGGCACAATGTTAGCCGTGGGGGTTCTTCCCGAATCAAGGTGTCGCAGTGCGCGAGACAGCGAGATTATGGGTTTTCCATCCAAAATACCCCGTAGAAAGGACTTGGAGGTGCTAGGACGTACTCGTTCAAGGGGCGATCATGGCAGGGCAGAGAGGAGACTCCAGGAAATAAGGAATGTGAGGGAGGAGTGACAGGGGAAGAAACCGAAAGAGTCCCTATCGCGGGGGCGGACAAATTGACTGTTGAAACATTGAGGTGGATCTGGACCGCGCACCGCCCGATGACGACAACCGTTGGTCAATGTAACGCGTCTCAACCTTGACATCGGTTCTCAAACTTTTGCAATGATTACGGGTGCTCGCTGTCACTTCAGCTGATATTTTTTACAGTGGACAACCCGGGGTAGTCTCCCTGCAATGAATGAAACAATGTACCGGGCCCCGTCGCGAAAAGGAAAAATGTAGGCGCGCCAGGAGATCGTCGCCCCCCTGAGATGCTCCACTTATGAAGATCCGAGTGGCTGTGGCATGGCCTGGTTCCCTCCACTTCGATCGAGGCTTGGCCTACATGATTTTCCAGAGATGGTTCATTTATTTTATAGGGTTCGATTCTTTCATCTTGATCGCATTGATTAAGTAGAAGAGATAGTATCGTCTCTTCTTCCCATACCCTAGACAGGAAAGCTATGTGACGATCGTTTGGGATACTTTGATGTATCTATCTCATCCGGGTTACCTCCGATTGCTTGTTTTCCCCCATATCCTCTTTGGAGCCTACTTTATGTCGGTGTCATGTAGGTCTTACTGAGGACTTCGTAGACAAAACGAGATTTCTTACTTCATTCTATAAAGCCTGCAAGACGTAGAGTGCGTGGCTTTCTTTACCTCAACATTGTCATGTTTTGAGAGCAGGCACGTAAGTATATTTGAAGAATCAAATTCATTGAATTTGAATCATTGCAAAGATCACCGTCGCAATACGAATCTCCTCTTGAAGAGCTATGGGACGTCTCTATGGATACTATGATGGAAGAGGGAAGACTCTATACCTAGCATGTGTGAATATGAAATGGTGTATTCTCCGAATCCGGAATCGATTTGGGCGCACGATCACTGACCGAGGTCTACAAGTATAACACTCCATGCGAAAGGGTTGCAAAATAGAACATTGCAAAACGACCTTACATATATAGACCAAATTGGGCGGAATAATATTCAAGCGTTGAACCCTCTCGGGTCACACTAGGTACATGGCTACTAATGTGTGACACTCGATCATAATTCATCGAAGGCGAGGATATGCAGGACTTTTCACGAAAGAACGATCTCGGAGGAGTGACAGGGTTGACCATAGAACAAGTGCATTCTTCGGAACTGTACAACACATGACGATCTGAGATCTACGTTCACGCATGCTTTTACTTCTCAACACAAGTGGCCCCGGTAGTATCAATGGATCTATGAAAACGATGCTTGAATCTCACATGTCACCAATATAATAAAGCACATTGTACACATCTAGGGGTAAAAGGGAAAAATAAAACTTAAAAGGGGACGGTGGCGCCTATCAGACATCCGGGATTTGTTATCTCACGTGATAGCGCGAAAACTGCGGCGCCAGACATCCCAAATTGGAAATTTCCTAAGATCCTAACTTGTCCTCTCCCCAGTATGTGCTGTCACGATGCAGCAAAGCCCCAAGATCCACGGTCAGCCCGCTGATGAGACCCGGTCCACCCGGGTCCCATCAACTCAGAAAAAGTCTCACGACCCATTGGTGCACCTGCTCGCCGGCGCGTAAGTTTTCCATATCGCCGCCGTCAAAAATCCGACTAACACGACCGCAGGAGCGGCGGCTTCGCAACAGCAATCGTCACATCACCTCTCGATGTCCTTCGAACACGTCTCCAATCGGATTTCTACCAACGTCCTTCTCCATCTTCCCCCGATGCACCTCTCCATAAAAGTCACAAAACCGCCCGAATAATCAGCAACATCTACCGCGCCGAGGGATGGAAAGCATTCTTCCGCGGCCTAGGTCCCAGTCTCGCAGGCGTGGTTCCCGCAACAGCGATCAAATTCTACGTCTACGGGAACTGCAAGCGCATCGGCGCCCAAATGACAGGTTTTGGCGAAGACTCAACCCTCATTCACGCGCAAGCCGCCATCGCCGCCGGAATCGCCACAGCCACGGCGACAAATCCGATCTGGCTCGTCAAGACACGGTTGCAACTGGATAAAAATCAGGCTACCGGAGGTCGCCGTTACAAGAACAGTCTCGACTGCTTGCAACAGGTCCTTCGCCAAGAAGGTATCCGAGGTTTATACAAGGGTCTCAGCGCGAGTTATCTCGGTTCAGCGGAGACAGCACTCCACTTGGTCCTGTACGAGCGTTTGAAGACAATGCTGCATAGCTCCCTCGGATCACCGGATGGACAGGACACAGCTACGCAGCGGGAGATCACAAGCTGGATCAGCACGACTGGAGCGGCCGGTTCTGCCAAGTTTGCTGCGGCACTGCTTGCTTATCCCCATGAGGTACGCAACTCAAGATATGTACTGGATGAATAATAATTTGCTGACATGCTATCGATCCAGGTTATTCGAACTCGCCTCCGCCAAGCACCTCTCGAAAACGGAAAACCGAAATACACCGGCCTGGTGCAGTGCTTCCGTCTCATCGCCAAGGAAGAGGGAATGGCTGGCCTTTATGGAGGTCTGATGCCTCACATGGTGCGATCCATTCCGTCGGCTATCATCACGCTGGGCGTATATGAGTTCGTCCTGCGCTTTGTAGGCACGTCGTAACGTGCCGGCACAATTGTACACTATCATCAAAAAAGCGGCCTCGTATTGCCAAAGGGGCTGTTACTTAATTGCATGTATTCTATCTGGAGTTGGGGTTGGGTCATGGAGCTGTTAATAGAATCTCCTGTCCGGGAATGTACCATATTATCATCATCGTGATTGAGGAGGCTCAAATACTGTACAGTAGCTGCGAAAAGGATTTCACATTGAGTAGTGACATTCAAAACACCTAATTCAACAAAGGAATTTTCAAATATCCAAGGTTTCCATTGGACGTCTGGGAAGTGTGTGTAGAAAAGTAGAGACCGGGTATGATATTTTGCTCAAAGAAACGCCAATGCAACGCTGATCCAATAGTATGTAGGGAATGCGATCAGGGAGCCAAGAGGAAAGTACAATGGGTAGGGGACTAGCAAATGGAGGCGTAGCTTCAAGACGCCTCTTCCTCGGCCTCTTCCACAGTAGGACCGCGAGCCTTACCCTTTGAAGGGTCCCCGGGTTGTTCACTGCCTATGGAAGCTTCTTTGGCTTGGCCGTTGTTACCCCATGCTGGAATTGTAGATGGTCCCGCTTCTGATTGGACGTCTGTCCATTCTTGCGATGGGGACTCCGTCCTATGTTCTGGTGGAGGTGCAGCGAGTGTCGACCAATCGAATACCGTTTGAAGGGGTGCGGCTGGTGCGGTGGTGTTCAAAGCTGCAGCGCTTGGAGCTGAAGTATTGTTCTCGGCAATTCCATTTTGAATTGGAGTTTCAGAGGTCGCTGGAGCTTGAGCTGAGATGTCGTTTGAGGGAGGGCTGGCCGTCGAGGCTGCTGAAGCTGTAGGCGTTTCGTTGACGCCTTGATCTGCGTTACCGTTACCCCACCCCGAAGGATTGAGAGGCATGAGAGTCCAACCTGTTGGAAGATTGAAGCCTTCTGGTAGACGCGGATCCCCGGGTCCCATAGCAGCCTCGCCGGGGCCAATGGCGTAGCGCTGACCAGTCGAAGATGTGAAAGTTCCAGACAGCGATGAAGAGGCGACAGGTCTTGTTGGTTGGAGGAAGGGGTTGGCCTGCTGAAGACGAAGTCGATCCAACTCCATTTGAAGGTGACGCACACGCTGTAATTGCTCCGTGGCGACTCGCAGAGAGTTGATTTCTTCCGTAATACGCTGCTCAATCTGCTGCAATTGTGTATGGACATCGGCATGATTGGATGGTTCAGCGGTGGGAGGAACCTGGAACTGCTGAGCAGGTTGAGCAGGTGCCGGTGGCCGGCGTCCGAAACCGAACCCAAATCCAATCTGTCGCCCATTTGGCTGGTTGGCATTCATGGCAGGCTGTGGTACATTGCCTTGGTGAATTTGCTGGTGCAGATTATGGAGCATGTCGCCCCGCACGGCCCCAAAGCCAATTCTGAAAGGACCAAATTGATGAGACGCGAGGTCTGGGAGCTCCATCGGCTTGACCTGCCTGGCCAGGAGCTTGATCTCCAGGCTGCACCCCACCAGGTCTGTTATTGACATTGCGGCGAGCAGCTGCTTCTGCGCCTACCACAGGACGTCGGCAGGTAGGGCAATTCTGCTGCCGCTCCAGCCAACTGCGAAGACAGGCGAAATGCAGAATATGGCCACATGGAAGCTTCTTGGGGCGTAGACGATCGGGAACACGTTGCGTACGTTGCGCACCAACAGGAGGCCGTTCACCTTCGGCGGGAGCATCAGGGGCGGGCAAAACCGAGACCATCTCCTCACGACAAATGATACAGACTTCCTCCCTTGCCACTTCCTCGTGGGTCGCATCAGGATATCGCTCGTTCATGTCCCTGGTGGCGTTCCGATATCGAACGAAGTCCATAATCCGCCGAGCGAATGACCGAATGGTCACCACGACGTCGCGAAGGATATGAATTGGCAAGCCGTAGAATGTGAGTAGAATGGCAAAGAAGCAAATGTAGACAAGAAGTTTGACGAAGTCTGTCAAGAGGTCTAGGTAAAAGACCCAGCGACCCTTTTCTTCCCATCCGGGGACATCAATTTCTAGCTCGTTCACGTCGTTCTCGTGGGGCAGGTCGGTAGGAGGGGAAGTAGCTCCCGCACGAGCGTGCGCCTGAATAGCCTCGAGGCGAGCTGTTCGAATCTCAGCCCGGCGTTCATCCATCTTCGCCTTCTTCTGCTGGTGATTAATATAGATCTCCACCAATGCGATGCAATAGCGAGCAGCCGTCGAGGTTGAGAGTATGGTCAAAATTGCAAACTCAAACCCAAACATCACCATCATATCCGGCTTCGCTTGGTGAATCACAGTATTGATGCAGTACCGCAGCATGAACGCGTTGAAGAGGGTCGTAAGAAGCAGGGACAACGCCAAGCGGGCGTGGAACAATCTGGGGTTCGCGGGTGGTTGCTGCTCGAGAAACTCCACGCGCCCCTCCCCGATCCATCCCCAAACCTTTCCGACCAATAGCGAGATAAACATGACCAAGAACCAACCCCCGAGAGAACCCCGGAAGATGGTCATAGCCAGACATGTCTCTGTGACAGCAAACCACGCCCGCTCGTACAGTTGTTCGGTCTCGATGGGGCGCAAACGTCCATAGAGAAGTCGCTGAAGCCAGAAAAGGACGAAGCCGGTAATAAGGAGACACAAATTCGTAAGGATCTAATTGTCGCCCGATAGTCAGCCACGGCCAAAGAATGGGGAGTTAAATGTCGTCAGGGCAGAGGGCAGAGGGCAGACGCACCATAAGATTCGCACTACTTTGCGAGAGATATACACATGCCGCATAGAAGTTCGCTCTTTGATGGAGAGCTTTCAGGAACACGCCGGTGGCCAAGACCACGGAGGCCTTGAATCGAGTCAGCGGGGGTTCAGGTCAATGTGGTGGGAGTACTCACCCCAGTGTACGCGGCCAGTCTCATGGTGGATTGACTGAAACTCGCGGGCTGAATGTCATCAGAGGAGGAAGGGGGAAAGCGACTCTAGGACATTGGGAGACGTGGAGTATGTCTCGATCTGGACAGCTTTCCAGAATAACCGCACCTCCGCATCTTATGTCAGCGTTTTGACCCGCACGTGCCTTAGATGTGCTCATACTTGTATAAGACCTGTCGAATGAGCTATATTTTATTAAATTGATCGATAGTTCAGAGAGAGGATAGTTTATGATGAGTCTGATTTTTGAGTTGTTAAGAGTATACTCGTGCTTTGGATTGACAACCCAGGTGATTGATCTATTGATCCTGTCTCCGCGCCTTATCCGTGCTTTTGATTCTATAGCGGATAAAAGCACTAGAAACAAATTTACGTGACACGTCAAGAGTGCTCATCACTCTCGGCAAAAGAATCGGTGCTTCATACATATTAAATTTTGATTAACATTTTTCTCAATTCACATCGGCCAAGATATTTTCGAGTTCAGACTCCTGTCAGAATGTGTAACCAATAGATATGATTAATAACACTAAAAAGGATATACGCGACACGTCGAGAATCATCATCGCTCTCAGCCAGCAAGGAAGTGAGCACATTTTAAACTCTACGTGATAGTTCCCCCATATTCCTCGTACAAGGTGTGTCCGCATTCAAGATCTCGTGAAATATGTGATCAAAAGGTGCGATCGAAATCAGTCATTGTGATTCAAAACCTATTGCCATCAGTACAATATCACATTCAGGTTTCATGCATTTTATTGTCAATGCCCGCTATTTGATTTCACCTCGATCAACTACCTCATATTACCCAGCAGGAGTCATTTGAGCCCTACCATAATACGCGGTACATTTTGGAACTGCACATTGGCCATCTCAACAGACTATTCGACCTTCAATTCTACTACCAGCTTCTGATCTTTTTATCGTTTATGATTTACAGTCGATCAGAGAAATCACAAGAAAACCCCATGTTGAAGATTGTTCTTGGTGATGGACATCCCGATAGGCTATTGCCAAATGACGCCTAGCGTGCTTGTGGCTGAGTTATATTCAGCACAACTCGCGACTCAAGCAATGTTGGGGCTGGGGATGTAGTAAGATGATCGCGATTTTCGAAATACCAATTCCGTACCATACAACTGATCTGGGACCGCCGAACATAAGCCGAGTATGGAGCAAACTTGTTTATCTGATCGCACGTGACACCCCGCCCATCGGTGACACAATTAGCTGGAACGCGCCGATCCCGAGCCATCCACATCTCAACTTGAGCAATGCCCCTTCACCGGAGATGGCATCATCGGCATTGTTCACGGCCTCAAGGCGACAGACACTAACCTATCTATTGGCAGTGTGTCCCTTCTCTATCGCGTTCCTAGTATTCATCAATTCTTCGGTCTCCTTCGTGGTCACCGATCTTATCGGGCTGACTGATGGCGAGGGCGATGCCGTCGGCACGCTAGGGTTCGCGGATGAGTTGCTAGCATTAGCAGCGTGTCCGCTATGGGGTGTTCTTTCGGATCGTATAGGCGTGCGAATTGTATGTTGGTCCTGGCCCTGTACTGGTCAACGACAGCTGACCTCATTAGGTATGTACTCTTGGTTATGCGGTGATTGCGGTGGCGTTGGTTGTCTTTGTGCAGTCTACGAATGTATACCCGCAGCTTCTTTTCGGCCGGCTCCTTTTCAGTGTTGGTGGGTCGGCTGTCTCGACTATGGTTACCGCAGTCTTGCCAACAGTGACGGGCAAGGCGTTCAAAAGGGAGGCGTATCGAGCTTCTGTTTCTTCGGAGCTCATCATTACTCCAGATCGACATATAGCAAGCCAGGGAGATTCCAATCCCGAGGCATCGCCATCTGCTCGGCTCTCTGGGTTCGTTGGGCTGTTCGCTGGTTGCGGCGCGCTGGTCTCGCTGGGCGTGTTTCTTCCTCTGCCAGCCCGGTTCGAAAAAATGGGTCTCTCGCCTGCTGAAGCTCTGCAGCGCAGCTACTACCTGGTAGCTGTGGTGGCTGTCATCATTAGCTTGGTCAGCTTTATCGGTCTTCGTGATCTTCCTGGGGAGGAAGAGAAAGGATGGAGTGCATTGTGGAAGACAGATTCTTCTTATGAATCGGATGAACAAAATGGAGAGGAAGTTCATCCAGCCAACCTGCCATACTGGAAACAGTTGACCACCGCGATGCTTTTGGGGTTCCGCAATCGCAGCATCGGGCTGGGGTATGTCGGAGGATTCGTTGCTCGGGCATCCTCGGTCGGCATCTCACTGTTCATTCCTCTGGCCGTCAACCATTACTACCGCGGGTCGGGTCTATGCCATGAGAACCATGACCCGGTGCCAGGCTCCGGTCTCGGCGACATCAAGAAAGCATGTCCGCGCGCGTACATTGTGGCATCGATTCTGACCGGGGTATCTCAACTGGTTGCGCTCATTGCGGCGCCAGCGTTTGGCTACCTCACCGACAAGTCCCGCCGATACAATTTCCCCCTTCTCTTCGCTGCTCTCGTTGGAGTCGTGGGATACTTGGCATTTGCACTAATGCCCAGCCCTCAATTCCAAGGCCCCGACGGTAGCGCCGGCGTGTTTGTGATTATGGGACTGGTCGGTATCAGCCAAATTGGTGCGATAGTCTGCAGCTTGGCAGTGCTCAGCAAGGGCATCCTGCGAGTGAGCATCGACGACGACGTGCTACGCAAGATCACCGATCAAAGCGAGGAGAGCAGTGGGGACGACGAGGACCGCCCGCTCTTAGCGGGGTCAGTCAACCGACAGCTGCAGCACCTAGCACACCTGAAGGGATCCATCGCCGGAGTGTACTCGCTCTACGGTGGTGCGGGCATCCTTTTGCTCACCAAAGTAGGCGGACTTTTGTTCGACGTCTTGTCCTCAGGCACCCCGTTCTACATCATGGCGGGATTTAACGGAATCCTCTTGGCGACGGGTGTCGTGTGTGGAGTTCTGAATCATGTGGCTCGGGTCACCGTGTAAGACAAGGCATCAATATCAAACGGTTGCTGTTCTAGCTAGATCTAAATATGGGAAGCCTGTATCCCCAGTGTTTCAACCTGAGTTAGCTGCATCGGGGCGATGCAGCTACACTCTTAGCCTCATCGTCCAGCGTCCAGAGCAGCTGGGGGGGCCAAAATCCGAGGTTACTCACGCTAAATGAACCTAGGGTCGCAAAAGGGAAATTGCGACTCGGGTATCGGACCTGCGTGGCTTTTCTAAGGTTCTATTTGCTTGTTCCCCACCCGGGCCATAGGGTTGAACCGCCTCTTTCCCTTCTCCTAGCGAGGGAGAAATAGCAATAGACGATCGCATAGATCTCGCCGCGGTCATTTTCCACGACATTGCATATTTCATCCTGGCAATGACGGACCACCTGCCAGCAAAACACGGGCTATAGCTCTTTGTTTATGACGAGCGACCAACAACCTACCCGATCAGGGTGTTTCGGAGCGAATGATCCGCCAAACCCTGGGTCAAAGCCGGAGCCTAAACCAACCCCAGTTTAGTGGAGGAAATAGCGTGCCCCTTTCTAGTGTTTGCGCCCGCTTACTGGGGAACCCCTGGGGCCTGTTCATGGTTCTGTCCCGGACCCGTTCTTGTGTTAGCCGCCCACTATCACTTCATCCTCCCCAATCAGGGTCCTTGAGGTCGTTGGAAATGTCCCTCAATGACCCTAAAGCCTCTTGGCGCCCCTGTGCAGGATTCGCAGGCCATACTTCGCTTTTATGGGCGTATCGCCCTCTTCCACCCCCCCCCGGGATCCTTCTCCTCCTCATCTGGCTTCACTCTGTCTCTAGGCGTAACGCCCTTTTATTCTTTTCAGTCTCTCGTTCAACTTGTTAGACCAGTCCCCTCGTTTAAAACTGGTCGTTGCTATTCCAAGTCCTACACTCTTTTGAAGCCATTTCTAGTTCTCGATTCGTCGGATCTCAAACATCTAATACGTTCAATATCGTCAACATGCGTTTCCACACCGTTGCCCTCTTGACTGGCGCTACTGCCGTCGCCGCTGGCAACACTGCGACTCTTCTGCTGCCTGGGTTTGAGGGTCATGATCTTCAGGCTGGTGTTCTCAACTCCGTATGTAGCCCATCGACGTCGAGGTATAAATAAGAGTGTTTCAAACTAACATCACCATCAGAACGGCGAGACCACCACCTACCTGATTACCTGCCCGACCACAGTTGCTGCCTCTGCCTGTGGAATCCTCGGCACTGGCATGACCGCCATGGCCGCGCCCACCACCATGTCACTGGTGAACGCTGACAGCAACGGAAAGTAAGGGAGCCTCATTAGCCGCGCATACTCCAACCTTAAGTGACTATTCTAACGTACATCACAGCACTGCATCCATCGGCTGCAACCTCTCTGGCACCACCTACGCCTCTTGCTTCGCCCAGGAAGGCACCGTGACTGTGCATCACACCTTGAACAGCAAGGACTTGAACTACATGCCCGTGACGGTGACGGGTCCCTGCTCAACCAGCACCCCGACCCCCACTTCGACCCCCACCCCGACTTCGACCTCGACCTCGACCTTGACGTCCACCTCGACCGTCACCCCAACTTCGACCGTCACTCCCCTCGACCCGGACCCCGATCTCGAGCCCGAAGAAGTCCACCAGCAAGCCCGCTTCGTCTACCCGCATGGTGACCAGCTCGGCTAGGCTCCCTTCCAGCACCGGCACCGTTATCACCGGCACCCCTCTTCCCGCTGCCTCTACCGCCCCGGCCTCAGCTACCCCCTCTGCTGCTGGCGCCGCCGCTCTGTCCGGCAACGGCTGGGCTCTGGGAGGAGCCGTAATGGCGATGTTCTACGCCCTCGCATAATCGACGCGACCCTTTTGTTTTCCTTTACATGTGCAGGATTCTAATACCGAGTACCCACGCGGGGCTAATGATGTGGCTGTCTCCATTGGGGTTCCAGCTTTTTGCGCCCTTGGAGCCAGCCACGCTATTTTCTAATTGGATGTTTATCATGTAACACTATGTGTACCACATCTACTATTACTTAATGATTTGATATTTTTCTACACGACTGCATGAACCAGCGCCGGCTCCTGTATTTCTTTTTTTCTTCTTCTTCTTCTTCTTCTTCTTCTTCTTCTTCTGATGTGTCACTATTATTTTGATGGAACTGGATATACCATTCTTACATCCCTGCCTGTACCTTCATAGTGACATAGTTGATTGGGGTTTCAACGTTCTCATTCCCTTTTTCATTTGTGAAGGGTATAGATGTTCCATGGTGTTATTGGATCTCCTTGCTATCACGTACAGAAGAGGTTGGTCCTGGCCTTCTCTACCGAACAATTACCAGGAGTGTGACTACATAGACCAGAGATAGCACCCGCGTATGTATTATCTAGAAACATACAACTCCATGGAGTCATCCAGATCCATGATCAACAAACTGATATTTGAATTGCGGTTGATCAAAATTTTTAGCTATAAATGTTAGTTGGCACTTCCCAGGCGAGGCTTAGCATATTCTGTTCAAATACATCTGAAATCGGGTATATATCATTCCGGAATGCCCTCGGACAAGAAACTAGATCATACAATAATCATAATCTCGCTGATTGAGATAATTCTCTTTTAAAGTGAAGTCCGAGTTATGTTCATATCATCATATATACACGCTATCATCCATCATTCTTTGCCCAGCCTGCTCACTCCGATCTAGTCCAACTGCGCAAACACCTCTAGAGCCTCATGTAACTTTCCAAACACACCATTATGCCACCCCGTCATCGCTTTCCACTCCTCCGCCCGCAACATGCCCCAATACATGCGCAACCAACCCCCGACAATGAAATCCGCATAACAAGCTCGACTTCCCCTCAAAAACGGCCCACTCGCGTCTCTCGAAAATAACTCCGCAAGCCCCGCCAGATCGTCCTCAAACTCCTTCACCACCTCCTTCCTCTTCTCCTCACTGATTTCCAAAGAATCCCACGGCACTCCCGACCGACGCGAGAACTCCGCCTTATCTTTCTCCGCAGTCGCAGGATCAAACGGGAACCCCTCCAGCACTAGCTGCGCATGCGCGCTAAAAGCAGCATCGACATTCGTGTTGAACTTCACGTACGCCGTCACATGTCCATCGGCGACTTTCGTTTCCGCGATCGGCGCGGGCAGATTCAAGACTTGCCCGAATTTGTACTCCAGCTCCTGCACAGGGAACAAATCTCCGGCTCCCGAGGACGGGTATTGTTCCTGGAGGTATACTGCTATCTCAAACGAATCACCCACTACACGTCCAGTTGCTGGATCGGAGATCATGGGTAGGGTCTGATAAGGGGATCCATCGGCGAATGTGCGCGACGCGGGGATGTTGAAAGCGCCGCGGACGGTGCTGATCTCGCCCAGGGGCACCCAAGTTGTTTTGTAGGCGGTTTGTTTGAAATTGAGAGCGTAGCGGGTTTTCCAGGGGTTTGGAGAACAAGCAGTTTTCTCTACCGGGGGGCGGAGGGCGATGTCGTAGAAGGTGATTGGGGCCATGGTGGACGATGTGGTTGAGGTCGTGATTGCGGTTATCGTTGCCGCGGTGAAATCGAGAATGGGAACAATTGGCAATGGACTGTGATGCACTCTATGAAGTTTTGTTTGAAATGTTGTCAATTAATCCTTGAAAGTCCTGTATCCTATTTATACTACAGTGGTGCAAGCAGCCAGTGTTGAGTCACGGCGAGTCATGCACGATTCATGTGGACCATGTAGACCAAGTGGACCAAGTGGACCAAGTCGGGGGGGGGGGAAAGTGGAACTAGGCCAAGCGATGTAACCAGCCACAGGGAGCAATACACAGTCATGGTGATTCCAAGATAGAAGAGGAGCTGGATTATTTTTCTGGTCAGGGTTCTCGTAATAGGGTCACTATGGTTCTCCAGGGATTGAGATTTATCGATACAGTCGGGGTAGATCCACGTTGGTTTATATGCAAATGTGGATTCAATTATTCACGCCCACTAACCGAGGCCATGATCGCCTTCCATACATCCTCCGACTGCAACAGAGTATCGTGATCTGTCCCATCGACCGTACTGGAGACAAAGTCAATGGCCTCTACACCGGGTGCCTGCCAACAGGATTCAAAATAGTGTTGTCCCCGTCTACCCACTAAGGCATCGGTAGCCGCAAAATAGACACGAACACGCATTCGATCATCCATGGATTGTTCGCGTGCAGCCAGCGTCTGCGCGCATTGAGCATAATCCGAGCAGGCCCCCCAGTCACTGTCGCCCTTGCGAAGACACTGTAAAGCCTCGCTATTCGCGCCAACAGTACTCTCATCGTACATGAAGCGAAGGGACAGGCGAAAGAGCTCCGCCTGTTCCGCGTGGGAAATACCAGAATCATGCTCGATGCCCTGCTCAGTAGCATCAAGAGAAGAACGGGTTTCCTCTGCTGCGCTATTTCGGGATGTGATCTTGCGAATCAACCCTCCGCTTGTCGCAAGCATAGGGGCTCCCTGGGTTACGAAGAAGCGCGGGATCTGGTGCCAGAATGTGAAGGCTTTGGTGGGAATATACTGGGCCATTTGCATCACGGTGACATGGGAATGGGCGGTATCCACCCAAGGGGCTGGAAGCGGGGTTCAAAGTTAATCTATTACTTCTCCCAACGAAGAAGGCATTGGAGACATTTACCTAGTAAGAAAACTTCGGGGTTCAAAAGTTCACGGCATTGGGCCCAGGTATTGAGCAAAAATACCGTGCCCGCACTGTGAGCGACCAAATTGACGCGCGCAATACCGAGATGTGCTAACAGGCGCGGGACCAACTCGACCCAGGTGGAGACTCGCTGGTGGAGGGGCACATCCGTCGATGCGCCCATGCCCGCTCGGTCGACGACGAGCAGACGCACGCCTGCGCGCTCGGCAAGCGCGTGCAGAGGGATGCCTACATAGCGCGAGGCGAACATCCCCGGTAGGAAGAGCAGGGCGGGCCCGGTGGCGCAGCCAACCTCGGCAAAAGAGACTGTCAGCGAGCCACATGCGATGTCGAAGGTGACACGGCGGTGGAAGCACGAGTTAGAGATCAGCGCGAGAGGATCTGACATGGCGACCGGGGTATCGTTATAGGGAATCAAAACCTCTTGATATCTCATCCAACGTTTCTGGTGACGGGGAGGGTTCAGTAATGAAAGCTAGAGATTCACCTAAGACACGGTGAGATTTAGCGAGGCTGAGATTGAGGCTAAGGCTTATATTGCTGACATCCACCAATTTAGGCTACAATAGTGCGCTTCTTTATGGAGGGAGTCCTCGTAACTTACAATGTAACGAAGAACAGGAAATAATGACAATTAGAGGTTTATCAAGGATAAGTCAGACCATTATCAAACGAATAAATATTCCTGATCTAGATTTCAAGGTTGTCCGGCCAATGCTGATATTGATTCTGCTCTGATTCCCACACTCTCATTTCTCATTCCCTCGTTCACCTAGATAATACTAAATAGACACGTTCATGGACAAAATCACTTTTAGAACATGCACTCGAAATACAACACCAAGTACATCTCTGAAAGTACGAAAGGAACTCCGATGAGGATTCTCGAAATGAAGGGCCCGAAGGAATTCAATCACCGCGAACAACATGGTAACTTCTATAGCAGTCCGAAACACACCTCCCCATGTTAATTGCCAGTAGAAGTTATTCGCCAAAGATGCTAGATGTACCCAACTGACAACACAGCCATGTAATTGGTGTACAAAAAAAATTACAAAACTCAGCTTTTCATTTGGACTACCCTGGTGTAGTCCCGATTTCATGAGTACGCTTGGTCTTGACCTCGACATTGGAACAAACACTGACTCAGGTAGTAGGCAACCATGTGATTCTTCCTCAATGATGACGGAGAAGAAGAAGAAGAAGAAGAAGAGGAAGAGCAGTGATTGCTTCACATGACCAAAGCCCTCCATGCCTTTTCGAAAGATAGTATCATACTCCAAGATCGCACACTAGAAGAGCCGACTTCAAGGCAAAAACAAAAGTGTAAATTCCGCGCTAGTCTTGTGATTCTATCTCGATTCAATCTATGACAGTCACTTCTAAACCAGCCCGAGTGACTGCAAGAAACGCTGGCTAAAAAGCAAATGATGATTCCGCAACGCCTAATTAGCTCATGCATCCACTTGAAATCGGAAAAAAAAGAACAGCCCCTCATGCATCCAAGTTCCACTTTGAGGTCCAACCCCCCCCCAATTCATGATTGCAGCGTCACAGCTATGAAAATTTAGAGAAATGGACGCCCCCCCCCCCCGGCACATTCAGGTCTTGCAGAAAAATAAGTTAAATCGAGACCTCCTCTGTCTTCTGGAATCGGTCCTTGAGGGTCACCATGAGCGGCGGCTTATCCCAAAGGAAATACACTTTCTGGTTGGTCCAATTCGTACTGTCAGCACAAAGGGTGAGATCGAAATGGTACAATAGTTTGCAGATGATGAGGCGGATTTCGCAGTATGCCAAGCTGTAACAAAAGCATTGTCAGAATATACCTTTGAAGTGGTCAGGGAGCACATACTTCTTTCCAAGACAATTTCGTGGTCCAAGGCTGAAAGGCTGTAGCACATCTTTTTTGTCTTGTTCGAAGCGTGAATCGTGGCCGAGCCATCGCTCAGGGAGGAAGCTGTGGGGCAAGGTGAAGTTTGACGAGGAGCGATATGAGGCGTAGTGATGGCAGGCGGCAATGGTCTGATTAGAACAAAAGTCAGTTAGTTGTACTTAATTTCAATGCTACTGCAGACATACCCCCCCAGGCACATAATGCCCATCAACCATCGATCCACCGGAAGGAAAAACGCGCGCGAGACTTGTGACAAAGGGCGGGTGCATGCGAAGGGATTCTTCAATCACGGCTGCGAGGTACACCAAGGAAGCTGCACTGCGAAAAGTAATATCGTTTTCCTGAATAAATGCAGATCGAATTTCAGAGACAAGCTGGCTCATGACAGCCGGGTTGCTACACAGATAGAAGATCGCGCCGGAAAGCAAAGTGGCAGCAGTTTCACTGCCAGCCACGATGAGGATGAACGCATTCGAGTGGATCTCGGCTCTGCTCATGATCCGCCCTCCATCCAAATATTGGCCCTTTGACTCGCTGAGGCCATTCTGTAAGATTGCCGAAATGAAATCAGGGCGGGTCATGTTCGTCTCCAGCCGTCGATCAACTTTTTGAGCTGCCAGATCGAAATGCTCAATAGCCTTTCTTTTCACTTCCCTCGGGACTAAAGCGTAGAAGACACTTCCAAGCACTGGGAATTGATTTGCGACACCCGCAATAGCAAGTGCTTTGATGGAATTGAAGACCAATTGAATCCAAGGATGCAACCGGCTGTCTTTGAGACAGTCGAAAGACTCACCGAACATCAGATCGCCGGTGATGTCAAAGGTCGTGTAGTTCATCCAATTGTTAATGTCAATACGAGATGTTTTGGTCATCTCGAAACGAAGCTTGCCAATCATGGTGTCCACATAGCCCTTGATCAAGCCTTCCTGGTCTCGTAGGGCTCGTTCTGAGAAGGCATGGGCCAATAGACGCCGCTGACGCGCGTGCACAGCATTGTCCACTGCACAAACCATGTGATCCACGCCATTCGCAGGCGGCAAATAATGACTTCGATCCTTGGCAAAGCAGCCCCCGGGTCTAGCACCGTAGATATCACGAAAAGCCTGTGGAGTGTTGAAGGCAAGTTCATTGGGGCTGATCCGGACAACAGGGCCATATTTTTCATGTAAAGCCAAGACATCCAAGTGATTCCGACCCCTCAAAACAGACAACTGTCCGGGGATACGTGAGATGGCCCATAGCTTTGGACCAGGAAAGTGACTGAGCGGAGACAGGTAAAGTTCATAGATGATGCTGCCGGCGCATGCAAGCAAGAGCTAGTTGCAGAACATGCCAAATTAGCGAAGCCCAGATGACGGAGCGGAAAATAGGGCTCAGAAACAGCCAAGCAGGAATTGGGCTGGGTGTGATTCTGCTGTAGGGTCCTGCAGCTCCCACAAACGAGGGCGTACGGGCCATGCAACTTACCAGCAGTGCTGCAGACAGGCACCAGAATGGGATGATGGAGACTGATGCTGTCCAAGGCGCCATTCTGAAAGTGCGTGACGAAGGAGGGATGGAGTCCGGGGGCTTGCAGAGCCACAAGCCCATATAATCCACTTGTTTTGGGCGCTATCCCGTTCCCCCTTTGGGGAAGTGGGCCGATGGAGAGGGTTCCCTGTGTATGAAGATCGGATTATTGAGGGCAAGTTTCCAAGCAGAAGCCGAAGTAACACTACTTTTGATGAATTGTCGGAAGGTGACAGGTTTGGAGGCCGTGATGGCTGTGATACAAAGGTAAAAGGTGATCTTCATTTTGTTCTAGGCTAGCATTCAAATCAGTTCTCCATATGTCTCCGAATAGGAGACTTTATTCTAGCCCAATTCACGACTCAGCTAGCCCCGATACCACGGCTTCCGACCGTATACAATGTGCAGATTGCAATAGGTGTGGACATCCGGATTTCTCAGATCCCTCCGTACACCAGCCAGGAACACCTGGGTCTCGTTGTTGGACCATCCTAGCACTCGAGTAAACAGAGCCAGCGAATACGACTCCACGGCCATCAAGAGGGAACACAGGTTATACCTCCCAATCTCTTTTTGTACAGGGTCCCTCGACCAAGCACTCGACGGAACCTAAGAAAGCCAAAATATCAGTTCCCTCAAATTCCCTTTTTTTTTTTTTAAAAAAAAAAAGCAACCCACGTCCTTCAACTCCCCCAAAATAACCCGAACAAAGACAAATCAGCACCTGAAATCATGTCGTACCTTGTACACCTCATCTCTGACGTCTTCAAAACCGGCCTCCATCAGTCGTTGCCGATGTCCTTCGGCGATATTCATAGGTCGGTGGAACGCCTCACTGGCCTCATGCAGCTGTCCGAGGAATTCGCACAACGTCGGTGCCAGACGCAATGACTCGTCATCCGATCGAAGTGTTACCTCAAACTCCTGCAATTCAATCCAGCCTCCGGGACGCAGATGCTCGTAGGCCTGGCGCAGCAGCCGCGGCCAGTTAGCGATGGCCCCACCCAGGTCGCGCGCATGGATGAAATCAAATGGGCGGCCAGCACTGTACAGCCAGGGGGATTCGGCGTCGTCAACTAGGAATTGGAGATTGGGCGGGACCCAGGATGGTTGGATTGGGCTGAGGTCGGTGCCGATTACCTCGGCGCTGGGGAAGGAATCGGCGAAGTCGATGGCCCATATTCCTGTCCCTGTGCCGATATCTAGTGCTCGTTGAATGTTTTTGTCCACTGGGGCACGGAAGAGAGCACCGTTAAGAGCGAGGTTGCGCACGTGGTGAAGGAGATCTTGTCGGTCTTGTTCTTGTTCGTCGTTGGGGAGGACGTAGTGACCTTCGCGGTAGGAGTGGTATCTTCGTCCGTTCTCGTAGGCGTAATTCTTGACGTCGGAGAGGAGGGATGCTGTGTAGTTGGAAGTGTCGGAGTAGTAGTCGTCGTCGAATACGGAATTTCTTTCTCCGCCCGTTGAGGCTACGGAGGATGAGTCTCCCAGGTCCTCTGAGTATGGCGGAGTATCTGAAGATGTGGGTATAACATGGTTGGAAATGTATTGAGCTTCGAGGAAGGTTTGCGGTGCTGCATGAGCTTGTAATGGGGATTCTGCTGACATTGAGGGCGCTGTATCTATACGCGCCGCCAGGTCTGATCTGTAGGACTCATCTGGTAATTTTGAAGGTGTTGTGATCGATGCTGAAACCGAATTGACTCGAGAGTGTGTGATCTTGGGATCTTCCTCCGCGTTCTTTTCAGTTGTTTCCTCGGGTATTGAAGCTAATTGAGGATGCATGGCAAATGTGTGCTCTTCCAATGCTCTCTCTGAATTCCCCAAACGCTCTGGCTCATAGACAAGCGATAGCTCTGGTAATGCTGTGATTTGAACTTCATCATCCACGTTATCTGGAGCTGGTTTCAAAGGTGGAATTGAGCTTGGAGATACCGGCGGGCTTATTTCCACTCCGTTGACCAAGGAGTCAATGTCTGCACATTGTGAAGGCTGTGGAGCCAACGGCGATGGAGATAAAAGCACTTGTTCTGACCTCCCCTCGACCGCAGGTGTAGCGAAGTTCGATGCTGGAAGCAGACGGGCTTCCGTCGTGACATGTCCATTCGCAATGGTATCTCTCCCAGTCCTCGAAGAGGGCATCCTCGTATCCCTCCCAAAACCAGTCACGAAAGCTAGAAAGGAGAAATCTGAGCACATAGTGGGATGGAAGCCCAGAAAAGTGAGCGGGGCCGGCATTGATGAGAGGTCGTCCTGTCGGACGCTTATGTTTGTAACGTTTTGCCTGTTGGACAAGCCGATGGCGAACAAGACCGATGTAGTAATCTGAGCTCACGGCATCCACTCAGACAACCCGATGTACGTGGAGGGTAGGACTAAGCGGAAAGTGACAAAGTGCTGGCTAGGAGCTGGTGACAATGCAAGCCCTAGAGATCGAGTTATGGGCTGTGATTTGGAACGTGGTTGGTTATAAGGCCAGTGTAGTACAAGAGGAAGGGGAGTTGCCCGTGTTATATCAGTAGTTGGATGGAATCTCATAGAGAGTGTTTAGGTACACCGGTGGTTGTCCCAAGATATGTAGCAGTCCCCTTAGCCTTGATCCGGCCGTTGTTGAAATTGTTGCACCCTATGTTCGGCTATGCAGGTTGTATGATCAGATTGGCGATTTTGCTTCTAACCGGCGCTGTAGTAATCTGGTTTGTAGAATTGTGATGTTGTTTGATCCATGTCGGGTTACACAAAACAATTGGTTGAACACCGCCTGTCCCTGGCCTCGTCATGCCCCAATGCCGCAGGTCTTCCATCTAGTGATATCTACACTTCGCAAGAGGAAGAAGTTTTGGAGCGATGTATTCTCTACCAGGGCGCCATGCCCAGCAATGCTCGCAGCAGATCGGGTATTATCTCATGCCTCATTTACACGTTTTCGCTCCCTTGGATGTTCTTGAGACCCAAAGGCCGGTAAATCATAAGCCAGGATTCGGCGAACCAAGCACGACTAAAAGTGCGGTGGAGCTCCGGCTCCGTCGCGTGTATCCATCTGTGGACGGCGCCCAGGCTTGGGAGCGGCGGGCACTTGTAAACCAGCTTGAAGAACGGTCGCATGCAGAAGGCGAATGTGAGCTTCTTCGTTAAAGGCCTTCATGCTTTCCAAGGTTTTGGTCTGTACTTCCTCCCGCAAATTAGTCTCATTTGACACAAGCACGCCCTTTTCGAGGTCAATGCGAGCGTCCAGAACACCGCGCTTGATGAGATCGATAAGCTCTTTCACAAAAGGTGACTTGGACCCGGTTGGCTGGGCTTCTCCGCCCACAACGTTGGGGGCAAAGATGGTTGCCATTGAGTCAAGAGTGACTCGACTGAAGGGGACAAGATACTGCTCAATCGATTTCACACGAATTCGAGAGTAAAGCTCGCTGACGTGACGCTGGAGATGAACGTCGAGAAGATAGTCGACGCGGTAGGATTCCAAAATATCGAGGCAAGGACGGAATTTAGAATTGCAGAAGAAGCCAATCGCCCGACGAATGTGTGGCTCAAGCTCGAGAAAAATGCGGAAGGAGCTGTTGTCCAACACGCGACGCTGTAGTTCGTTGCGGTCCATGGATGCAAGGGCACAGAGGCCGCCGTACACGGCGACATCGTTGGGTGTAATGACCTCGTTGAAGGTGTCGGCAAGGGAAGAATCGGTCGAGAGGAAACTGATAGCTGCATCATAATATGAGCGTGCATGCATCAGAGCTAAGCCCTGGGCTGCCATCATCTTAGGCTGGTCCTTGACGTGTTCGTCCGGCTTTGTTTGGGCGCTGCTTCGCAGTCGGTGAACGTTGGATTGAACATTGAGCCAATCCTCGCGTTCAATGCCCACGTTGATTAGCTTGAACAGCATGTTGGCGATGTGATTTGGTGTGGTGCAGTAGTCTCGCATGCGGGAGTAAGCCTTTGCCGCGGCGATCAGTTCACCAGTTTCGTAAAAGTGATTTCCCAGATCCTCATTGCCCATCTACGTATAGGTTAGCTTTGACAACCCAATTGTTTGGACCAATTCATACCCTAATGCTTTCCTTGATTAAATTGTTTTTGTATCCCCGCAGTTCATGCTCCAAGCGGTCGGTCTGTGCCCGCACCGACCGTTGAACTTCTTGTACCCATGACAAGTCGAGAGAAGCTTCAGGCTCCGTGGGGGCAACTTCTGAGAGCGCACGCACAGCTTTCTCGTATAGTTCTACATTCTTTCCAGCTTTCGCTTCGGCAACTGCGGCTTTGAGGACGTCCGTGGCGAGCAATGTAGAGGTAGTGCCGATGAGGTAGAGGCGGTGGAATCGGGTCCGGCCTGGAACAGTGTTAGGTTTTTCTCGAAAAACATAGATGATACAGTGTTACACCGACCAGTGTAATTCGCTATGTAGGATTCAACATCGAATTTTGGCGGGTCTATCAAATCGTCAGTCAGCCCTGGCGGCTCAAGCTGTCGGCGGCACGGGCCCGGAGCCTCCTACTTCGCAGTATTTCGACGTACCATCAACCTTGATTCTTGGAGCAAATGTGCCCGCTTCATTTGAAGCTTCATACACAGCAGGAGCTGAACCTTGTGCCGCCGAAAAGCTTGCCTGAGCTAAACCAGCGTCCGGCAAAGTAGTGTCCATCGTGCTGCACTGCTCGCGGCGGACCACCAACCCTAGTGAGCGACCTGAGAATCGCTTCGTGCCAAATGATGTGTAGCGCTATCAAGCAGAAAGATGCCTCAAAGCTCCGATAAGAGCAAGGGCGAAGGTCAAGTGTAGCAGGAGAGCGTTGATTCACGAACATCACAATGATGGCTGGCTGGGGCTGATAGGCAGTACACCTACCGCCCTATTCACCGCCATTTCGATATCTCGTCAGCTTTCTCGTCGTTTGAAGAGCTGCACATTCCTTGAGCTAGGTAATAAACTTTACAAGTTTTTTCGCCTTTATTATCAGCATAGGCTCATTCATTCATGTGGAGGGAAAATCCCAGTCGATGCCTGAGGCGCCTGAGATGACGTCTCTGCCGAGAGCCGAGGCGTGAATAATCACGAAATCATCGGCATCGGCCTTCGCCTTTCTTCCTGTACCGAATAAATCAAAATATATTTTTCGGGAATGCATTAAAAGCTTGGGTGATCAAGTAAACCATTGAAATGGCGATCTCGGCCCTTGGACTTCAACTTCTGGTAATCTGAGGAAGCTTGAACACATAAAACGGCGTCCCCCAAATCTGACCCCAACTTCTCCGCATCTCAAGTAACAGACCAACATTCAGATTGACAACGAAACTACACGCTTTCTCCACGACACAATGTCCTCTTCACAGCCTGTAGCCTTAATTATGGGCGCATCCCGAGGCATCGGCCGTCAAGTAGCCATCGACATGGCTAAAAATGGCTACACTGGTACATACCTACCCCATACCCCACACTCTCGATACCAACATCAGATAGTTGAAGACTAACGCACCCCCAGTAATGCTAGCAGCAAAGACAACCTCCGACGCCAGCAAAACAACTCCATTCCCACCCGACCCGAACTCCTCAGCCTCAACAATCAGCACCGTAGAGCGCGAGATCACTGAAAGCGGCGGACAAGCCGCATCAGTTGCCGTAGACGTGCGCGACGCCTCGCAAATCCAAAGCGCCGTCGACGAAACAGTGCGCATTTTCGGAAAATTGGATGTGCTTGTTTACAACTCTGGTGCAATCTGGTGGTCATCTGTTGAGAATACGCCGTTGAAGCGGTTCAAGCTTATGCAGCAGGTAAATCCCGAGGGGCTTTATGCTACTGTTCTGGCTTCGTTGCCACACTTTGAGAAAAATGGGTGGAAAGGACGGATTGTTGTTGTTTCACCGCCTATTTATTCCAGGTTTTTCAGGGGAAAGACTGCTTATGCTATGGGTGAGTTCATTTTCTGATGGGGCGAGGAAACCTTGTTGCTGATTCATGCTTTAGGTAAGGTTGGGATGAGTGTGTTGGTAAAGGGTCTTGCCATGGATTTTGCGAGACAGGGCCGCGGTGAGATGGCCATTACGAGTATCTGGCCTGCTTCGGTATGTTTGAAGATCTGGACTGCTTGTGAGAGTGGGAAAGGGCTAAGCTTTTGCAGTCTATTGAATCAGCGGCAACGGAGTTTAACAAGTCCGAGGAGAAATCTTACAAGAAGGACTTGAGAAAGCCGGTATGTCTGTTTACTTCCATTATGAACGTTCAGCGGCTTATACTGTGCTAGACAATCTTCTCCGACGCCATATTGGAGATGCTTCGGTTCCCGCACGCCACTGTAAACGGGCTGCTGGACACGGACGAAGACTTCCTGCGTGAGAAATGTGGCGTGATCGATTTCTCGAAGTATGCGGTTATCCCAGGCTCCACACCACGACGAATCATGCCTGCGAAGTTCCCTGTACTGGAGGTTGCGGAGCAAGATGATGAGGGCCAGAGAATGGATAGCACAAAGCTCCGAGCTAACAAGCTTTGAGTGGATAGCTTAAAACTTGAGCTTTTGTAATACCTATCCTCTGTACCTACTTTGCCAAAAATTGGAAATTGAATTACCGAAAGGGATACCACACGGCCAGCACAGCCATTATATATTTGTCAACCAAAAAAGACACCGCTTCCCATTAATGCAACAATAAACACTATAAGAAATGGAAAAACAAACAACACGCTCGTATGCAAAATACACAATGAACTCGACCGAGACGCCAAAGCACCAGAGCAGACCAATCAAATCACGTTTTCCAGATCAAGCCGCCTTGGTATGTATGGCCTAAATCATGTACACGGACATCACAGAAGAACTGCAAAGCCAGCAACGAAAGCGCCCACGAACGCACACAGGCCGTACAGCTGGCCAAGTTCAAGGGACATACGGACTGCGCCACCAGTAGCAGCGTCGGTACCAATAGGGTTGGAGGTGCTGCTGGCGGTGGCGGATGAAGCAGGGGAGGTGGTGGTCGTAGTGGTAGTTGTCGCGTTGATACGGACGGGGTCTTGAGCTCCACATGGGTGATCGTCACGACAAGCTGCCTGACAGGAGGAGTCGGTCTGCGCACACTTGGCGACGCACTGGTTGCCGGCCTCGGTACAGATGAAGTAGGCCATTGTGTCCGAGTATTGGGAAGCGTTGGGGCTGATGCCATTGGTACAGATGCATGAGTAGTCGAGGGAAGCCTGGGATGTATTAGTCAAGCTAGAAGAGGAGGATATGGGCTGGGGGAACACACGGAATCACAGGTGTTCACTGAAGCACCGGAAGACCCGTTGAGCTGCAGGCAGATCAAGGGGCACGAATTTTCTTGGTATTGGCACCAAGTCTCTGTTGGTCGCATGAGTAAATGATTATTTATCCATCGAAGAAGGTGGATGGGGGTACTCACTCCTCAGTGACGGTGACACGGTACTCGGGTCAATGGTGGCAGACCACTGGCTGCTTACCATGACTACGGCCACAGCCAGGATCAACAACAATTTGGACAACATGGCGGATGAGGAACTAAAATAAAATTGACCGGTGGAATGACAGCTAGATAAAAGTGTCAGAGACGGAGAACAAATCCGGACATCAAATGGCGAAAAGTAAAAATAGAAGATTGGAATGAAGGGAGGCCATCGCAATGTCTTGGACTTACCTCCCAAAAAAGTCAATAATGCGATCGAGAACACGTCGGAGAGTGGACAGTGCAAAGCAGATTACGACGAACGAACGAACGTGCAGCAAGTGGGACAAGTGAAGAAGCCGAAGAGGAAGAAAAGAAACAGGGGAGGAGCGAAAATAAATCCAGATTTAAGTCAACCCTTCGGAAGGGCAAGATCACGCGAGTATACAGAATGTGCTTAGTGGCACCGGCATATGCCGTGGCTTTGGGTGATACCGCATTGGAGCAAGTTTTTCAAACTACTTGGGTCCTTTAGGGGGTTTTAGGGGGTTTTTAGGGGTTCTTAAGGGTTCCTAAGGGTTCCAAGGTTGACGCTAGTGTCTTTTATTGATAGCTCCATCTGGCGGTCAAGGGATACACAGACACACTCAACATGTCGATCTGGGAATAGCATACATAGCATTCATGCTGAATTGCTGTGAAGCTGGAGGGACAATCACTCCCGATTTTCATCAAGACCAGTCCCCGCTGCAATAACGGACGTCGTGAACGATAAAGCGATGTCTCACTTTAGCCCGGCGCCGATCAGCAACGCTCGCCGCTTTAGGTATAGTGTGTACTGCTGGCTTTGAAGGTCTCGGATAACGTACTTATTCATGTACAGTGCATGAGATAGGAGAGTTTACTCATGTTAGAGAGAGGATCTTGAATCAATTTCTGTAATTGCAATGCAGTTGTATTCCACACGAGATTTCCCGGTTGTTGACATAGGGCCTCATTCGTGAACCAAGAGCTACTTGTCCGGAAGACAGCTTACATAACCACCTCGGCACCTGAGACTGCGGATCATGGAGATCGTCTGATTGACTTCACATCTCGAGCTAATCAACACCTCTGCTGGGACTTGGACACCCCGTTCCAAGGTACGTCCGTCATCCATTTTGCGAACCCCTCCATCACCCCTCCCTCTGCTCGCTTCCATCCCACTCCACCCTCGACGCCCCTTCGCCTCGCTTCTATAATTGTCCTTTCGCCTCCCCGCATGGACCCTCGTATCGCGAACCAAACCCGAACCCCTCAATCCAACATTGAAACATACCGAAAAACCCGACCTCCCAACTGCCAGAGCTAACGACTCCCCTAGCATCGTTTCCCCTCCCCTCCAGCCTACCCACCATAACCTAATGGATGGAGCCAGCTCCTGAGGCCGCCTCCCCGGCACCTCGGCCGGACCTCTCCACCCTACCCGACGCCCCCGCATGCAGTGAAAGTCCAACACCGTCTACAACATCCCAGCCCGTCTCAGCCGTCGTTCCACCCTACTGGCAGCGCCACGAACGCAATGTCTCGCGCGCATCCCAGAGTTCGCTCGTACCGGCCATCACGCTAGAAGACCACACCGCCGACCCCGAATGCGAGACGAGTCGTGGTCTCTGGGCGCGCAGCGTCAGTATTGCGGATCATTGCGTTGTGCAGGGGAAGACCGGGGTGGGTGCTTACGTAGTGTGGAATTGTACAGTGCATACGTTAGATGTGAGTCCGGGCTTTCCAATCCTCAAGCTTCTGCAAATGATATGTGATCTATGCGGATTTGAATTCTGAGGTCGTGGTGCATTTTGAGCTAACTGGTTGGTTGGGTAGGGAGGACCAATGGTTGTTCGATTAAGATACTCTGAATTCGACAAGCTGAGGCAGAGGCTCGTTTCTTCGTTTCCGCATGCTAGGAGTGCGCTTCCTGCTCTTCCGCCGAAGAGTGTGCTTTTCAAGTTCCGGCCTGATTTCTTGGAGAACCGGAGGATCGGGCTCGAGTATTTTCTCAAGTGAGTCCCTCTTTCTATTCTCTGAGTTCATCCTGAACGGAGTTGGGACGGTGCTGATTTGTTGCGGTAGTTGTATTCTCCTGAATCCGGAGTTTTCGAGCTCGCCCATCGTGAAGGATTTCCTCTTTGGGCGCATGTCATAATGCACGAACACCGTATATTTGAGCCTAGTGCCTTGGGGCTTTTGTAGCATATTCGATTCATCACTTCGGAATGTTGGAGTTTTGCGCAGTAGGATAGGATATTGAATTCATGGAAATGCCCTTTTAAAAGTCAGTCCACTGACATTGTCAACTCATATTTGGAATTGGAGAAACTTTGCTACTCACTTGGAAAAGGCACAGTTGAAACAAAGAAGACTGATAGAATTGGTATGCAATCTGACAAGTAAGAAACAGAAAGAGAATGAATCAGTCCGCAGAGAAGTACAACAAACACCGGACACCTGGCTATGGTACGAATTCCATCTTGCATATGATACAGCAAACCAGAGACTAAAGACACGGCACTGTGTCTTGCGAAAGCTCTTCACAATATAGCCTGGAACATCAACTCTTCTCTCGATCGATCTCCGGGGTCTCAGAGGCATCAAACGTAGACGTAAGGTCCGATTTCGATTTCGGTTTGCGCATGGTCATCCACGTCCGGATGTCAGCCCAGAGAATCTTGCGAAGACTGATATTCGCCATGTGGAACATGGCCAGCAAATGACGAGGGCCTGGTATGCCTCCAGGGAAAACGAGGTACAGTCCTGAATCTTGCAGAGACTCCGGTCGGAACTTATCATGGTATGCCTTCTTCCCACGTATAGGGAGACGGGAGAATGTATGTCCGTACAGATCTCGCGTGAGACTGGCCACAGTCTTCGGCATACCGGTGATATCCTCAGGTGAAAGTGCACGGCAAGGCTCGAAGCCGAAACCTAGGTATGTGACGCCAGCACGATGCAAAAGAGCCATGGCAGCGACCATGAGCAAATCACTAATACCCTTTGGGCTTCCAGGGGCAGCGATGCAGGGATCGACGTGGTAGCCACCGCAGCCTAGACGGCGCAGGGCAGCGAAGCCATTGATCTGGCCGTCAGGGCCACGGCTATATATGAAGGTCATCAGGTCTGGGAGAGCGAATGGGTCGTAGACTGTGATGAAAGCTTGTGGGCCCGCGGCATCGTTACGCTCAGCCCGCCAGGCATCATAGATGGCGATCAGATCCGCCTGCAACTGGGTATCTGTGCCGTGGACTGCGGGTGCGTATACTCCGAGGGTGATGGCGCCTTTCTGGGGGTTTAGCAGCTGGCGATTTTGTACGGCGATTCGCTTCCCGCTGCGCTCCAGGAGGATATCGTTTGTTTGGGGGTTGAGCACGCGTTCGGTGCCGAATCGGATAGCTGTCCAGCCATGAGGTTGGGCGTAATCGTGGACAAAGGACTTACTAGCACCCATGAAGGCTATTCCCCAATGGTGTTTTCGTCGATATGTTGCGAATTCTTCCATAAGGCCGGCAATCGTATCAGGTTCACAAAGAGGGTCGCCGCCTACAATGGCTATTCCATTTTGCACTTTGAAAGAGACTGCTGCTGTCCGTGCCTTGTTGACAAAGAACCGGTAGCTGGGGTCGAGGATACCCATATGTGCGACTCGGCCGTATTGCGATGTGAGGCGTTGGATGGCCGTCATGGTGGAGAAGTCGTCGAGACAGAATACATCGCCTTGCTCGGATTTGCTGGCCATTTTCTCAAGAGACTCGCTGCTGGTTTGTGGGTGGCTATCGACTCTCAGACTGGGAGTGCTGGAACTGTTGTCACGTTCATCGAGGCTGGTGGGTGGTGAACTGTCCGATCCGATAAGTGTACGGCTGGTGCTGCTTCTTGAGCTGGCACACGATGATGCCGACAGGGCTGTAGTGAAGTCACAGCGCAGGTGCTCGACGACCGAGATCTTCGAAGCATCCTGCTGACCATCAAGCTTGGGATAGATGTAGAGCTGATCGACCAGAGCATCGCCGAGCTCATCCACCAACAGGGACTTTTTCGGTTTTGATCCTACAATGTCGACAGCATTACCCTTTCGCCCTCGACGACCTTTCTTCTTCTTTTCTGGGGATAACTTGATATTCAATGAGGATTCTGGCGCGGTGGTGATCATGATGGGTGGCACAGTCTCGGTGAAAATCCCGCAAGGATTCATGACGGGCAAAGAGAGAGAGAGAGAGAGAGAAGAAGAGAAGTCTGAAGAGACGCGGAATTAAAGGAAAGAAAGACTGAAGCCTGGAACAGATTGACCCATCTCGATGGGAAAGAAAGGAAAGAAAACCAGGGAAAGCGCACAGGATGATCGGATGACACGACCACCATGACACTTTCGGCGAACCCTTTGCTGTGTACCATGCAGGTCCTGTTTCTTCCACATGTCCATGTTTCTCATCCTAGGCAGAGGTATTCTACGTATTGCCCTTACCGATGAACAAGCCTCTCCATCTCCACTCCTTGCCTTGGAACCACTCCCTTAGCGACCTTCTACCCGCGGACCCTGAATGAGAATGCCAATCACTAACGGCGGATCCTCGTCAGGAACCGGAGACCAGCGCCCAATGGAACCCAATTTCGTCATGACGGATGGACCACTAGAGAAAAGAAAAAAGGAATGAACCAGAGAAATGCTGGTGCCTGACGCGTCGAGTTAACCTTCAATAGGGTTGATGACAAGCTATTCGCTATTTCAAGGGTCTCGGCCCTAACTACGCCCTACGGAGCAGCCCCACTCGACCCGGATGCTCCATCTGTGGGGCCCCGTCTTTGTGATGCGAAGTCTGCTGCCTAGCACGGAATTTCGGAAGGATCGTGAGATCCGTCTATTTTAACTCCTCGGCCCGTAAGCAGAGCCCGCGGGCCCCGTCTGGCCTTGCTAGCGCCTTTAACCAGCCTCGCGTGAGATTGCATGTTCATTGGGATAAGTCTGACGGGTAAGACGTGGTTCGACAGGATTTCCTTAATTACCAATCTGCATGTCATGGTAGACATAGCCTCTGTGACGATTAGGCTTCCGTTTTGATTTCTAATCTGGCATCGTCGAAGGAGCCGCAGCCGGCAGAGACTCGAACCATGCCACAGGTAGATGCTTATTTTTGATGTCAAGGCTGTAACATATCGATGATCTCCCCGTAAAACGGTCTGGGAAATTGAATCACCATATGAGTGCCTATTTGATGACAATACATGAGCATGCAGTGGCACTGCCTTGAAAACCGAATCTACGGTACAATAATACCTATCGCGGACCCGCAAACAGACCACCGCCACTGCTTATAATTTTGTGGCAAAAGCTCAGCCAAATCTTTGCAACCACTGTTCCCATGCCCGTCTGTCGGGCGCATCTCGGTATAACTCGGATCCAAGTGGACGTAGCACTCTCATATAGAGACAGGGGCGGGCTTTAAGAGTATTCTCGAACCGTTCCAAATCACGTGATAACCTCCGTTAAAACGCTGACAGTGCTTTCTTTGGATCCAAATACGATTTGAGAGTAGTCGTATGTCAGATATCGACAAATCCAGTCCCAAACGCGAGCAGTGAGAAATTGGTAAGCAACCATGAGATTTGTCAAGGGGTGGGCTGTGAGATTTGAAGGAAGATTCGAAGGCAGTATTATTAATACGTCCACAAGGAAGATCGAAAGTAACTACATGATATCACTTCTTTTAATCTCGCCACCTTGAGACAGTATCAAATCTATTCTTCTATCGCGATACAATGGACAAGTTATCTGTAGACAGTAAAGGGTCTTATTATTAAGTGCAAGAAAGATAAGTTGATTGTCTTTCCCATTGTGCTAGTCTAATATCTAAGAAGAAAAAAAAAGAATTCATGACTGGACTACTTAAAGCTCTCATACTGTTGTTTATTGTCCGTCTTCTTATTAAAGCAAGATAAAAACTTCTGTACCTTTCGTGAATTAACATTACGAACGCTTCTGTTACGAAGTACATAGGGGGTCAAAAGGCTGTTTACATATCTGAATTTATACCCACCCCCCCTTTTCCAATTAAACTTCACCACCCCATATCTCCACCACTATGAGGTCTTTCGGCATCGAAATTAGTGGTAATCGGCCGCGTGGAGCTGAGCTTTCGGAAACCACTCGTGCTGCTATTGTTTATGCCCTTAAACTGGGTGGAAACCCCACCCAAATTGCAAAAGATCTACATATATCGCGTTAAACTATCTATAACACCAAAAACCACTTCCAAAAGTATACATACGTCAAAATAAACCCCGGATTAGGCCGCCCACTGAAGCTTACCCCCTCTGAGCGTCGATATATGTTCCGTCTAGTACGCCGTAGCCCTATAAAGCTATAAAGCCCTTTTGATTGATACCGACTTTAAAGTATTAAAATCAACATTAAAACGCGTCCTAAAGCGCTATAATATCCGTAATTAGGTTAGCAAGAAGCGTATCTTTCTTAAGAAGTATAATATAAAAATTCGACGCGCCTTTTGCCGAAAATGGGGTAGTGTGCTATATTTTGATAATATGATCTTTTCCGATAAATATTCCGTCTAACATAAGTCAAATTCTGTCCACTAATATATATTCTTATTTAAGAATAAGCGATATAGGAAGGATCTTATAAATCTTATAAATTATAGCCAAGATATCCGGCAGATAGTTTAGGGATCTATCTGGCTTAGTGGTCGCTTAAAGTTAATAATTATGGAACGCGATACCTTTTTTCGAAAAAGAACGGCTACACCACGAATTCATATCTTAATACCCTCGAGGAAGCGCTCCTACCTATATACGAGCCTAGCATAATATTCCAGCAAGATAATACGCGTATCCACGTAGCAGAAATTGCAAAAGAATAGTTCGAAGAGTATAGGATATAGGTAATAGAATAGCCGCCGTATTCGCCTGAATTAAATCCTATTAAGAATATCTGGAACTTACTAAAATTAAAGCTATTCGAGCTTTATCCACAGCTTGCCCAGCGTGGGCGTTCTAAGATAGATTAGAATAAATCCCGCAAAGCCCTAGTCATCGCATAGGATAGTATTAATCAGGCTAAAATTGATAATTTTATCAGATCTATGCCTCGCCGTATTGCCGCGGTACGAAAGGCAAAGGGCTAGTATACGAAATACTAGATAGTTATTATATGCATCCAGTTTGAATTGAATATCTTTTTAAATGGTGGAGAAATTAAAGAAAATAAAATGGGAAGATAGAGGCGAAATTGGTGTGTACACAGACTTTTGACCCCCTATGTAGGTATGCACTACGTATGTCAGGAATCGGTTCTACTCTAACTTTGAATACGGGAACCTTAAACTAGGATTTCCTGATCTACTGCTCCATAGGAAGCCGAGAGATAATCAATTAGAATCAGATCAACTGTCCAGAATTCAGTACAAATGTATTGAATATGTGTATCAAGCTTACATAAAAGTTTTCTTAGGTCTAGGACCAGTATGAGTGATAGCTAAAAAAGCGTGAGTCTTATTTAGCGAACTCCATTTCGTACTTCGGCAAGTAACTAACACCATTTCCGGGATAGAAACTGTTTCATTACGAATTTACAAGTTGTTAATTTTCGTATTTTAGTACGGTTGATTCAGCGCTCATCGCTTACTTGGAGTAAGTTTAGCAATGTAAGAATTGAATACCGTGAAGCCCACATGAAGACGAACCCACTTACAATGACTATTATTGAATCATTATCTGTCACCCCGAAGGTTTCTGCTCATGGAAGGCAGATAAGTCCCCATCTTTCATCGAATCTACTATACAAATTAGGACCATGTACAGCCAAAAAAGAATCTACCTCCACGAAGCCATATTAAGACATCACTACAAAAGAACCTAGACTCTACTAAGGCAAATGGTTCGGCCGACCAATGCTGATCATGGGTTAGAAAGGATCTCAGACGACGGGGACAGAGCCTCACCTCCTAGGAGTGACATGGAGTTGACGACATGGGTCGAATATCACAAGCACGAGTCTGTTTCAGGGTCAAGAAACAACTGAACGTCTTTCTCCTTGGAATATCCCAGAAAGTCGTGAATATCAAAAAGCTCCCCTGCCAGCCCCTGTTCATACTCCGATGATACGCGATACGTGCCACTTTCCATTGTACCCCACCCCTTAGACAGTGGCTGAGTTTCAACGGACTGGCTTTGTATCAAGGGGCATGGATAGTGAGTTTCCGCACCACCCAGTGGGAAAATGGGAACTTCCTGGATCCATAGCCGAAGCCATACATGTCTGTAACATCTCGCACAGCCGGTCGGTCATATCATCATGTGCCACGAAAGCTCCCAGATTCGACAATGGCATCGCTGAAAGAGACCAGTGGTGCGTTTAGCTTCTGTACTATCGTCGCTCATTGAACGATTTGATCCATCAGATGTTCAAAATTGGCCGCAATTCGCTGCCGGTACTCCCGCTGCGCTAGCCGGATTTCATTGATCAACAAGGCCGCGGTCGAAAACATTCGGGGGAATTGTTCCTCGGGCAAGACATCACTTTGCGATATTACCTTCTGGCGAGTATTATGCTTACCAAGCTTGAAGTGGCAAAGGGATAACAATATCACACGAGAAATTGTGACGTAGAATGGAGGGGTTTAGAGCCGTCCCGCTGGGTGACGTACATAGAAACCAGATCACGATATGATAGTTCTCGAACTCAGTCATACCCACCACAACCTGACGAGATCACTTGATAAAGCTAGATGAAGGCTTCGCTAATCCATGTTGGCTCACCATTCCATAGTGCGGGGAATGTGCTCTAATGATAAACATGACGTCGACGGGTCATCCTCACAATAAATATCTATATTCGAGTCCGGCCTGCCTGACCAAGCAAAATTCACATATGTAGGGCAGTCTAACTAGGATCACCTTGTTAGGAGCTCCACGGTTGACATAGACCTAACCCTCAGAAGGGGCCCAAAAAGCGCATAGACGACGCACTTGCTGCCATCAAAATTTCTCGCGTTTCCATGTGTTACATTTCGGAAAACAAGGAGTCTACGTGGAGGAGAGCCAAGTGGGTACAACAGAGTCAGCATGAGGCTAGATAATGAAAACTATGAAATCACTGTGTTGGAAAGATCGGTATGTCGTGCGAAGAAAGGTGGAACGTCTCAAATAACGATGGTGCCTAATTTAGTCCGACGTTGAAACATGACATGGAATCAATTCACAGAACGTACGGCGCGTAGTCCATGACCATTCTCGCCGCTCCAAATCCGGAACCTGAAGAAGAACTCAGCTCATCCCCGCAAAGCTCGATTTATTCGCCTAAGAGTGATAATTTGAATATTTGGTCCAAACGGGTCAGTTTCCTCCACAGGATCATTGAGAAATTACAACAGCAAGATAGAGACCTTGAAGAGAATCAACCCAAGAAGTGTGGCCTTCCATTCTTTGTTCAATTTCCCTGAATTGTCTTCTAGCTTGCTTTCTTCTTTTCATCTTATTTCTGTGTTGCTTTAATCTGTTGCTTTCTGCTTTCTTTGTAGCTTTTCCCTGTCTGAATAAATACGAGGGTAGTAAGTTCTTTTGACGCTCACGTTTTGGTTCTAGGTTATTACTCGAAACTATGCTCATCAAAGTTTAGTGACTTCTAACCAAGCTTCGCTTCGCTCTATCGTAAAATAGATCATACTGGACGTCAATCTTGTAGGAAATCTATTTAAGCACTATGGCATGCATTGAAAATCCAGATTCAGCAAGTTACAGGAAACTATGTTGATCGAATCATATGTAAAATGTGAAACGGAGTCGATGTCAACAATTGGCAAAGCTCACCTCTGAAACTTGTCTCAGGCATGATAACAATGTGAATAGGCTCTACAGATTAGTGCTGTGGAGCAACTATCATGATTAAGCTCTTATTCAGGAAGGTCCCACGTCGGCGAACATTCGGACTTTTATAATGCGTAACCAAGTGGAGTCGTCGGACATGATTATTCATACAATATCCTCTCTCGATCCTTGGCAATCACACCGCCTGTTAGCCCTCTGGATTCTGCCGGGGTGCTTAGGACCCGTGATAAAGCAGCGGATTCAACAAGTAATACAATATTAGTAATATTATTTTTTGAGTGGCCGAGTATGACTCAGATTACTATTCAAATGTCTGATTGTTTTAATCTCGGCTTACCCATATATTTACCAAGCAAATTACTCAATCCAAGGGAAGCTAATAAAGTTTCCGAATGACAGCGAAAAGAATCCAAACAAAACACATCTTCGACACTGGAGCGATGGTCAATGCATATAAATTGAGCGTCAATGACCCCCGTGTCAAGCGTGACGTAATAATTGCCAACGGAAAGAGTTACGGTGCCCGCCCCAGAGGAAGTTGAAAGCTCTCTTTAGTTGCTTATATGAATTTCCCGCGTCAGGTTACCTGTCATCTGTTCCACGGAATGGATTTCAAGGAACCATCTTTTTGATAAACAAAATTTCTCGTTCAACACAAGCTACGCCCCTGAAGACGAGAAGGGGGTCAAGAGATCGCGTACAATACCGACTAATTAATTTTGAACATGTCCATGGATTTCTCGACATATCCTTCGGGTGGCGATATGGAAGTTCCGCTATTCCTTGATCTTGGATATCGTGTAATTTGTCCAGATTGCTGCGGCTACGGAAGATCTGTGGGTTTGACGATCACGTCCCTGTTCTCTGAGCCAGTTGCTCACAGTATTGTTCAGGAAGCTCCCACCGACTCGATCATCCCGTATACTTTCAAATCCCTCGCCGATGATATTGTTCAAATCGCAAAGCAGTTGGATTGTGAGAACATTATCGTTGGTGGTCATGACTGGTGCGAAAACCCATTGAAGCTATTCAAAAGGCTGAGAATGGATTATGCTGATGTCTTTGTCATCTGATACAGGGGCGCCATGGTCGCTTATAAGATGGCTTTTTGGCATCCTGAGTTTGTGACCCACATCTTTACTGTCTGCGTTCCGTACAGTCTCCCCAGCCCACAGTGGGTAGAATTCGAATTCGAGATAGATGCCACCATTTTCCCGACTCTTGGATACCAAGCTCAGTTTAGCAGTGGGCTGATAGAGCAGAAGACGCAGAGTGCGGACGGAATCCGCCACTCTCTCACCGCACTCTACGGAGGACAATCCAAGGGACAGTCTGCTATGAGTGCCTTCACTGATGTGGACTTTGAGAAGGCGCGCCATCTGAGCAGACCGCAATTTGTCAATGAGGAAGAGATGGAGTATCATGTCCATGAGTTTTCAAGGAATGGACTTACTGGACCTTGTACATTCCCCTGTAGCATCGCAAGCAATGATTACTTTCTTTGTTAGCTGACTGGTCTGAAACAGGCAACTTCTACCGGAACTGGCGCCAGAATTTTGAAGATGATCTGCCGTTTTCAAAGGAGGAGAAGAGGGCACAGGCAGTTCTTGAACCCCCTACATTGTTTTTATATGCAACTGAGGATGTGTTCATAAGGCCTGAGATGACCAAAGGGATGCTTGAAGCAGTATCACACTTGACCGTTGTGGATATTGAGGCTTCCCACTGGATCTTGTGGCAGAAGCCCGAAGAAGTGAATGAAGCGTTAAGACACTGGTTTGACAAACAAGGCTTGGCCTCGAGGAATCCTCGCACCACTTAGGTTGGTTAGATATCATAGAGACTCTACCTCATTGCATTAGACCGTTACATGCTGTATGTTCCCTAAGCTTCCCTATAAAGCGTTTTGATGATTTGATCCTTCCAAGGAGGAAAAATGAAAGAAAAAAGGAACAGATATACCCTCTGCAACCTCCTATTTATCCATCCTGTATTCTGATTCTGGGGCCTAGCGGAGGTAGGTTGAAACTGTACTCTTTCTCAGGCTTACCGCCACAACCGAGAGCTATATAGAAGATGAAAAGCGCTCGTTTCTACATGGCCTGTGCCTATGCACAAGGCCCAGGACTTGATCCCATGTCCCGAAGGGATATGAGCTGGAGCTAGTGCCAAGCGGAGTTCCCGAAATCTTAATTCTTGGCTGTAGCCCCACGGCACGAGCTTGCCTGGCCAATAGTATGACTGTTTTGTTGCCATAAGTGGATCGGGCCCAGGGTGGAGCTCCCATTACTCACGATATACTTGACTTGCGATCTGTCGAAACGAAGACCACTCGAACAAAAATGCCAATGACACTTTTAGCTTAGATAATCGTATTTCTGATGCCGACACGATCTGCTGGCAACCGCTTACTAATAAATCACAAGCTTGGCTCCCGCAGGACTGTACCCTTTGCTGAGCCAGGTGATGTGACTCCTTTTTCACAAGCTCCCTGCTCTTCTTTGTACGTTGACAAATCCAGCGCAGGGGATAAGGCCTGCTTTATATCAGCAACAAATGGAGTCTTCCCTATCGCCCGTCAAACCTGAGGATGTGGATGCGCTCGTGCGAAAAGTCGAGTTTCCTGCGGACCTAGACAATCTGTTGCGTCGCCTGATGTTCCCACGCTCGACGGAGCAGTGGGATTATAAGGAAAATAAAATAAAATGGGCAATCGATGGTATTTATGAGGCAATCGACCAAGAGAACGAAATGCTCTATAAGGCATGTGGAACAGATGGACTACCAGTCGGACTCATAGGTTGGACCACCAGCTTGGATGCCCCATCAAAAAAGACCACAGATGGTGAGAATTGTGTCCTTTATGACTCGGAAATAAACATTGGAGAAAGACGAAGAAGGAAGGCGAGGCATCGCGACTTTTGGACTCCGCCCTCTTTAGATGTGCCTTCCTGGCTTGACGTCTCAAGACTGCTGAGAGCAGAGAGGCAAAGAGTTCTTCAAAACTGGCATGGCAATGGGATATGCAGTAAGCCAACCAACGCGCTAAGGATTACTCAGGCTTCGTTAACCTATCTTTCTTAGGGATCATATTCATGGCTGTGGATCCAGATCACCAACGACAAGGCGTTGGGTCTACACTCTTGAAGATGTTCTGTGACTTTGTGGACACGAATGCACTTGACGTCTTCGTTCTGTCCTCTCCTGCCGGTATCCAGCTCTACTCTAAATTTGGATTCAAAGCTGTCGGAGTTGTGGAAACAACAAAGGGAAGTTTTACTAGCATGCTACGGACTTCAGGCTTGGATTCCAGGCGAAATTTGGCATCATCATTTGTTAGTAATTGAAATAGCTCGATGGTAACTTTGCTTTCATTCTTCTAAGATAGTAATTATCAAGAATGTCGTTCACATTAACGGATACCCAGAATCGTCTACAGCTTCAAGAGCACCGATGATCTACGAGATGCTGTCCGTCAGAATCCTTCCAGCAGAACTCTCTGCAATGGCACCTCTGGTTATCGTCCGTGCTGAAAACCCAGAAAGCTTCAATGAGCTCAAAATCCTGGACCGATCCCCGCGGGATCATAAGGTTGGTCTTGCCCTCGGTAACCTCCACGGATAGCTTCGGGTCAAACGTGTCTAAAAATCGTACGCCAAGCATGTTCTCAAGGTTGTGATCGTGAAGGAGTCGCGACAGCCGCTCAAAGAACTCAAGGTCGTAGTTCCCGTGAAAGGAGGAGAAAGAAAATCCAAATTCGAATGGTGCCAAGTTTCCGTTGAAGAACCTGAATGTTCGAGGGACAATGAAGCCTTCGTACTTGGGCACCATGAAGTCTTTGTCGTTGACAGTCCAAGGTGCCGAGACGTTTCGGTAGTCTACGAGCCGCTGGTTCGCCTCCATCGAGAAATGCTTGTGCAGCAAACTGATCCCGTAACGTTCATGCATTCCGAACTCAAGGAAAACTTGTCGTATTGGGCCCAGTAGGATTTCTTCAGCCTCCGATTTCTTGAAGATGCGCGCGGCTTCTCGTAGGGATGGCAGCGAGTCGTAAGCCTCGGGAGCATAAGATGCCCTTCCAGAGTCAGCGCGTCCTCAAAATACGATAGCATGAGTTTCATTTCATACAGTAGACAGCTTCTTCCGAGATCCTGGAATTCAAGGACTCCATCGACTGCAGGGGAAACGGAAGGCGTAGGAAAGAGAGCTGACATTTTGGTTCTGGTTCGTGCAGTGCGGTCTCAGTGGGCAATTGAGATGGTGTACAAATCAAAAAGGAGACTGAGTGAAGATTCTGGTAGTGGAAAAGAGATGTCGAGAAAAGTGTCTTCATTTACTTCATCGCAGTCGGTTGGCCCCTGTCATGGCCGTTATCTCAGCCGTGCGAGCCGTGAGAATTGAATACTGGATAACCGGGAACTCTTGCCCCCGCAAAGCTGCCTACAGCGCCCAAGCGTGTTTAACACAATGAAGTTGGCCGAGTTAAGGGTCAAGGCAGCCAACACTTCTTCTCAGGAGTCATGCTCTACTCGGGTAAGAAAATAACTGAGCCGCATCTTCGAATTCCAGAGCCATAAAAAATCTATGATCGGTCTGAGAGCGTCCGTGATGGACGGTTGTCAGTGGTAGCCTTGTTGGACTGCAACTCTTCCTTGTGTGACTGAGCCTGTGTGTGCTAAGTAGGGATATGTTTACAACGATACCCCGTTCGCGCCCGTCCAGAGCAAGAAATCCGGTTATTATAACCAACAATGAGGCGACTACGTGAGTTATTACAATTTCCAGAGGGTATCTACAGATAACCGGGCAGAACACCACGTTTATCTTCCTCTGTCTCATTACAACCACCTGTTGTACAATATTAAGAGTAGACTGGCTTAACTTCCAAGTAGGTTCTTATAACGGACTCTGATCTCCTGCAGAATAGGATGATAGCTTGCCATCCTACTAATCGTAGTTTCTAGTTTTTTTGCGTCAGCTTTTTCGACCACACTGTTTCTTGCAAAACATCCGACTTGACCTTCGTACCCGACTCCGGAGCCGAATGGGGAGATGTCGAACCACCGAAGATCAAACCCCCCCTATCGAAGCCTCGGTATCAACGTTGGAAATAATGAAGACTTCGGTTTGGACATTTGAGCAACAACTCAGAAAGAAGAGGGACCGCCAAAGATCAAAGGTATGAAGACAAGGTTCCAGCAAAGACGCATCGCCGATCCAAGTGTAACAGCTCGGATTTTCTTCGATAATGGAGGGCTCAAAGCTTGGATAGCGTTGTTTTGAGCGACAGAGAAAAAAGCCCATTCCAAACGGCGACATGATAGGTCCGTCGCTATCACTGCCTTTCAATCAGTGTCTGTGGCAGATAAACTGCCCAATTATGCTGACTGATTCTAGGAGGCAGGGTACACCGTCGTCCTCGACGAGCACAGAAGTGGGAAAGAAGTGACGGGCTACCTAGCTATCATTCGAACCACTATGAGTAGACCCAAGATACGCCTGATGTGATTCATAATATATTGACTCAGTTGAATATTGAACCGGCTCACATCGCATTGTGGGGCTCAAGCTTTTCGGGAGGCATTCTCTGAATTGCGGGTCACAATTGATCCACCCATTAGTGAGTCAGGTACCGTTTATTACTGGCACTACACCAAGGCTGCGCCTTTCAGAAGCTACTCTTCCCAAAATCTTCGCGAATAGAGGTCAAATCGCCAGTACAAACCCTACATATATTTCTATGTTCCCTGATACATGGGAGGAAGCACAGAACCCGGCGAATGAGACTATGATGGGAACTGAGGGTTCATTTCGTCATTACGTGCAAATCTAAAGCCTCGAACCTCGTAAGAAAACCAAAAATCACTCTTTAAACGTTTTTCCATGCGATGCAATCCGAAACGAAGAAATATGTTCCTCAAATCTCGCCCCAGCCGCTGTTCATAGTTGTGAGCTTCAAGGACTGTCTGATCGATCCTCAAGTACAACTGGACGCTTCCAACAATGCTGGGGAACCTAAGGAGTTGCTCAAGTTTGACTATGGTTACTTTTTAGTTTATCGAACCGGCTACTTCGAGGAAAACGTTGCTGCCTTCCTTCAAAGATATCTTGAGTCTACTATCCACCTCGTCGGAAGTGAGGAAGTGAGTATTTGCCGCAATACATGATATGATTATCAATCCCCTTCCCAAGATGCAATCGAATCCATCGAAGTATTACCCACTCGCTTGGACCAACTGTACACGGCTTTTTTACTGTCCTCGAAAGAGGAAAGCGAATAAGAGAAAAAGATTCATCACTGCTGACCAGGTAAATCTAGATGTTATGAATGTATCGGAATCTCGATACACGGGGGAGTCGACCCAATCATCGAGCCGCTGGAAGAATCCTGCAGATACTGTTCCAAGGTCTAGAGCAAGTTTGCATGGACAGTTTGCGCACTCACAGTTTCCCCGATTCGCGAATGTGAATATTGGAGAGGGGCTAGCTGCATGAATAAGGCTAGAGAAATGAACATCATAGCACTTAATATCGCCCTAGGCACGTGGAACGGCAGCATGGGCGGACTGGCGATGATGATTGGCGAATTGAGGGTCAGACATCAGCCGGGCTTAGAAGAAGCCATTGGCCGGGGAAAGCCTTAGGCCCACTGTGCCCCGCAAATCCTCAGGCACGAAGACGCTTAGTTCCGCCACGTCAATATCCCCTTCAAATCACGCTTCTCTCTTGCGATATCACTGCATACACTAATCGATGTGAGCGAACATTCCATGCAGATGGATGTTTTGCCGAGTTCCGGTTCGGAGCCCTACTCCACGCCAGCTGCCCGGCTTTTCTGTAAGCCGGTTCAATCCCGGCCTATTACGATCAAGTGGCCCAGCATGTGCTTGAGCGGTGCAACCCTCATTTGCTTATCCCCACATGAGATGACATTCCATATGTGGAGAGCTGATCAAACATGATAGCAAGGCAGCGATACCGGGAGGCCCCCGTGCGCAGTTATAAAGTACATTCCGCGGTCGTCTAGGGCAATGATTCTCGCATTCCCTTCGCCAAGTTCTTTCCTCCTTCAGCCTCAACTCAATCATGAAGGCCAACACTCTCCTACCCATTCTGGGTCTCTCTGGCAGTGCTTTGGGTGCTGCTGTGGCCCGTAGCGCCCAGGAGCCTTGGGGATACAAGTCTGGTTCCAAGGAGTCTATTGCCAACCTGAAGGACAAGATCGAGAATGTTGTCTGGATTCTGCTGGAGAACCGCGGATTCGATAACATCCTGGGTGGTGTTCACAAGGAGGGTCTTGACAATGTTGTCAACAACGGTCCCTTCTGGAACCCTCAGCTTGTCAACGAGACAGATAGCAAGAAGTGGTACAGTGTCTTCAAGGACTTCGACTCTGTCCTTCACGACCCTGACCACTCTGTCACGGGTAACAATATGGAGTTCTTCGGAACTTATCACCCCGATAACCAGGCTATTGCCGATGGCACCCTGAAGCCTAACCTCAAGGGCTTTGTTGAGCGCCAGATGGCCGTCTACCCCGGCATCTCCGCCCAGCGTGCCACCGAGGAGGTAATGGGATACTACTCCGAGAGCGAGATCCCGACTCTGGTGGATCTGGTTGATGAGTTCACTACCTTCAACTACTGGCACTCTTGTGTCCCCGGTGTTAGTTGCTCCCAAGAAACCCAAAGTATACTGTGTATTTTGAAACTGACAACCACCTAGCCTACCAACCCCAACCGCCTTTGTGCCGTCTCCGGTACTTCGGATGGCCACGGCGAGAATGACAACGATTTTGATGTCTCCGCTATCGACACCTCGAGCATCTTCGAGGTTGCTACCTCCAAGGGTATCTCGTGGCGTAACTACGACGGCACCAACGGCGACTTCTTGCCTGACTCCATGTTCTTCAACTGGACCGCTCAGAATGCCAAGGAAAACGTTGTTCCCCTCGAGAACTTCTACCAGGACGCCTATCTCGGCCTTCTGCCCCAGCTCTCCTACATCAACCCTTCCTGCTGTGGAGAGAACACTAACTCTATGCACCCTTCCGGTAACGTCTCTTTCGGCCAGGTCCTGGTCAAGCAGGTGTACGAGTCCCTCCGCGCCAGCCCTCAGTGGGAGAAGACTCTCCTCCTTCTGACCTTCGATGAGACCGGTGGCTTCTTCGACCATGTCCAGCCCCCTCTTGCCGTTCGGCCCGACAACAAGTCGTACACTGAGACTGCCCCCGATGGAAAGAACTACACTCTGAACTTCGACCGCCTTGGTGGCCGTATGCCCACCTGGTTGATTTCTCCCTACGCTCCCCAGGGTCACGTTGAGAACTACGGTGTCAACCCTGTTACTGGCAAGTCTGAGTCCTACAGTGCTACTTCAGTTCTGAAGACTCTGGGCTACCTGTGGGGTCTCGAGGATGCTACTCCTCGTGTCTCGCACTCGCCTGCATTTGATCACCTTATTGGTCCCAAGGCCCGTGCTTCTGCCCCTAAGACCCTGGCTGTTCCCAAGGTTTTCCCCGATGCGGTTTAAGCGGTGGAAATGTGAATTTCATTGAATGCTTTAATATAAGGGAGAAATCCCATGAATGAGTTGTAAGGATTGGTTGATCTACGAAACAATGTGATAGACAAAATATTTAATGTCGAAATTGACCACTTGATGCATGCATTTATGCTGAGATCTTTCTGGGATTTTCCAACGTATTTGGAGCACAGAAGATGTTTGTAATATCTTTCAATGTGCTGTGCTCGTTGAAGAAGACTATTGAATATCTCACCGCAAATGTACGATGACCGCTTCAGGTCATCAATAAACCCCTCTGCAATTTGAAACAATGCATCTTCTCCTATTGATGTTTGCCAAGACCACGCAACGAATTAAGCTCACGCTAGACATCCTTGTCTTGACTGTGCCGTTTGTCAATGACAATTGCAGCGGTATGCGTTTGCAAGCAAACATTGTAGACAACCTCAGGTCCATCCCGGTCAGATGACCATCTACTGTCTATATAGTCACAGTTTGCACTTCAGAATTTTTCTCTCTTCCAGACCACCAACGTTCACAATCATCTTCTTCCTATTACCATTATTCTCCTCCAAGATTCAAGTCAACATCCAAAACACATCAAGCATTGACACCTCAAGAACATCTGATACGTATCCCACAATGACTTTATCCAGTGACAAGAACAGCCATGGAATGTCCAAGTCGGATTCAGGAAGAATTCAATCTTCTCAGGTACGTTCTCTGATACATACATGACGGCCCAAGGAGATCTTCTAATGCCTTGTAGGCAAAGGGTGGCGGCAACATGTCGTCTGGCGGATTCGCCTCGCGCGCCCAGGCTGCTGGTGATCGCAACCAGGCCACGCAATCATCCAGTGGTGCTGGCCATTCTGGAAGCCAGCAAGCTACTGGAAGCAAGAGTGGCGCGGGATCGAGCAACATGAATACTGGTTCGGGGGCAAAGAAGTAGGGGAAAGTTGATTAGGAGTTGAGGCTGTCTTGTTTGGCCAGATGATGACATTGGACTCGAGGGAATTTGGTGGCGGTGAGCTTTCGTGAGGTTTTTTTCTACGACAATTTGATACTTTCCAGACTCTCCTCATCTCTTTTTCTCTGTCACATTCAGCATTCCGTAGAACATCTGGCACTGTACGTTCTGAATTTTAAGTAACGGGGACATTGTTGGATTTTGCTGGTAAGGGCAGAGTGCTCTCTTCGTCATGGCATTAGAACAAGGAAAATTAAATTCATTATGTTTATCTCTCCACATGTGAGAGAAGGGCACGGCTGTCCTCCGGCCTTATTAATTGCTGGTCGACATTGACACGCTCATCGCGACATCTTCACCGTCGACATCTTCGCCATCGCTGCCCTCACTGACCACAATCCTAAGATCGAAATCGTCACCCAGAACAAATATGTCGGCGCCCAATCTATCGTAGTCATTGCCTCGGTGCCACACAATGACACCGGCTGTTACGCCGGCCAGGAAAAGGACACCCAATCCAGTACATAGTAAAGCCCATGCCGTCCTCGACAAACGGTGAGACGCCGTAGGATCCAGGTAGTCCCACGCCACGTCCTCTGTAGGTTGGAACATCGAGCTGTTCACGCCATAGAGGTCGAAAGCAAAGGAAAGTTCTCTAGTGCCTGAGACTGACGACTTCCGTTGATCGAAGCACGTTCCCATGACGATCCATGGCGTCCGCCCAAATATACTGATGACTTGGCCACGCAATCGTCAGTTTCGTTTCAAATCCAGTCCGCCGGGATGTCGCCAGCACCTGGTGTTTGTCCAACGAATCGGTTTCCGCTCCCCGGACGACCCAGCCCGCCACCTCGGTCGCACCATTCCAGCTGACATAGACGACCAACTCGTCCTCGAGACTCAGCTTTGGCACAATTGCGGGGTCCCACCATGGCGTGGCGGACCAGTCCATCTTATATGCACGATAATTGTCGAGGGCGTCAGGAACTTCGGCGCTGTGCCATGGTGAAAACTGTACGTTCATGACGATCTCGCCCGTCGATAAGTGCTCCGTGAATGAAGGACACCTGCCCCAGCCGATGAATACGTTGCCTATGTTCCCCGAAACCGGCGAAAGAGGTTGTATGCTTCCTTGGCTCTGGGCCTGAAGGTCTGCCGGATGACGGAACTCGCGCAGGAGCTGGACCGTTGGCGGCGAGACGGTATCATCGATGGCGATGTGGAGACCACGCGAGCAATCCAAAGTGCATTCACCATGTGAAGTGACCTTGACGTGGTTATCGAAGAAGGTGATCTGCGTCTCGTTGGTTCCTGGGACGAAGCGAGCGTGATGTTGCCAGCCCATTGTCAGCACAGGCTGAATGGGATTGACTCCTTCAGGAGGAGGCAGTTCGATAAAATCGTTCTTATTGCCGCCTAATGTCCAAAGAATATCGCCCGTATTCCCATCGAGGAGGAGAATGGAGTGGATGTGACGAATCGAGATAAGATAGTTACCTGCTTTAGTCTAGATGTAAAATGTCAGGACGTGTCTCTGCTGTCTTCTTCATAATACCCTCTTACCTTCTCGATGCTATTCAGATGAAAGGCATCCCAACCAGGGCCGCTTGGCTCGTGTGAATCCAAAGGATTGAGATGATCGATGGCTCGCCAGTGGAAAAGTACATCATTTGTCCCCAACTCAATCTCCTGGAAAGCGGCGTCCAGAATTTCAAATCTGTCGGGCAAACCCCATGTTTGATTGAAATCAGACCCACGTGCAATCATCTCATTAACACCAGTGACCAAAGCCGTTCCGTTGCCGGTGAATGCGAATTCATGAAGGTCACTGTGGACTTTTAAATTCTGCGCCCAGACTTTATAAATCAATCGATAGGTGTCGTCGTAGACAAGTCCATAACCATCTCCAATTCCGTTGTCCTTATAACCCTCCCAGAACGTCAAATACTTCTTCCCGAAATTCTCTTGAACGCGGGTGCCGAACACATTCTCGAAAGATCGATTCATGAAGACTGCACTTAAATCGTTGGCGTCGAGAATCAGTGGCGATGCTAGCGGCGAGGTCGAGTTACCATCATGTCGCAGGAATATATGGGAGCCGGTGTCTGAAATGGCTGATCGATTCCATATATTTACTTGCAGGAGAGGTGAAAATTCACTGCTCGAGTGAAATTCCAGATGAGGGCGATGACCTAAATCTCCGTTATTGTATGATTCGTATTCGGTGGACACGAAATCCCCATAAACTGCCCGCGCGAGAGCAGCAACGCAAGTGCAAATGATCGCAGGGCCAACCATTCTGGCCTTATCAGTCAGAGCAGGGGTCGCAGCAATATCTCGTTGCTTGCTCCCAGATATTTGTTGCCGTCAACCACATTGTCAAGAAGCGACTTGAATCTGAAGCCACCTGACGCGTATTTTGAACTCCAGTGATCCAGAATCAGCAAATATGAGAAGCCCACATTCATTTTAGGCTATAGAAAAGCATGTAGCCAAATGGTAGCCAATTATCTTTGAACGCCAAGAGGCTTACGCGTGCGTCGTCAGTGGCCAGCGTCATGTCCACGAGTTCCTCTGAGCGGAGCGGGAAGTTGTGGGTCAGCAACTCCACTGCAAAGAGAGGAATCCCGCTCGGAGTGCGTGAGGGCTTCCTAATCTAGTACCCGGGTGCCTGGGCGACCATAGAAATTACCACGATATGACTTATTATTATACGAGACCTATACCACTGCATTTTACTGGATACTTGATGCTGCAGTCCGTTGAAAAGCCGGGATCGGATATGCGGCCATTGAAGGCGAGTGGACATTGGCTCGGTGGATCCACTCGTACTCGTTCATAGGTTCGTTACCTATCTCGCGAATCTTTACTCAACAGAGGATGCACATTCATGGCATAAGTAAAAGATTCTAGGAAAAAGTAGTAACCCGTGGTAGAAGCCAAGATGGAAGAACTCATGATTATTATTGAAATATTCCAGAAGAACGGCCAGTGATTTCTAAAGATAACGAAAATTTGGGCGGACGCGTCAATCCCATTACGGTTAGAGTCTTCAACCTCTTCGTGTACTCGTATGCTATTCATCTCAGCCTCTCAGTAGACTGTACCAGAAAGAAAAAAGCTTGTCCCGAATCTAGATTGACAAGTGCCGATGGGGGCCAAAAAGTGTTCTTTCCTGTCTCATGGAGCTGTCAGACGGCTTTCAAGGGTGTTCCAATCCATACGAAGCCATACTCCGGGTTATGTGTCTTACGCATCCTTACCTTCTCCTGAATTTCTATGGATAGAGCACATGATTCATTGAAGTCTGATATCGCGATCTTGAATGGTTTAGTCGATGGGACTAAGGCATTGTAGAAAAAAAAGTCTATGTAGCATTATAGCTACTTCATCCTGTTGCGACTTGATCCGCCTATTGAAGGTGAGAGTATTTAGACTGTTCTTCAAATTTTCCATGATCTTGTGCCTGAAGACTTGTTTGAAAGCAGCCCTGGAAAAGCGATTTTGTCCGTGAAAGCGTAGTTGTAAGTGTGGAGGTGTACACGACCCCTGATCTCCCATAATTCGCTGTAATGGTGTCTGGGCAGGGGGGGGGGGGCAAGATAGTCAATGTCTGAAGTCCAGGACGCGTCTTCCTGCTAGTGAGAGTACTGATAGGCAGAACAGAACATACACCGCCATTGAGAAGCGGCGGACGTATTTCATTGCCTGACGAATCGGGCGCCAGCCAGCAGCTATCAACATCCAACCTCATTGTTTTCCCCTATCAAGCATGGACAGAGTGACGCCAGCGACGCCGCGAATCCCAATCACCCCTGTGGCCTCGCCCCGGGCCGCACAAGATGCCTGAAAGGACCTGGCTGAGCAAGCCGCTGCAGGACAGAGGTGTTCATCAACCCCAACTCGTCGTCTTCTACATCCACCATATCTTGACATTCACTCCCAGTAAGAAGAAGACGAGTTTACAGCGTGATCATTTGAATTTCAACGCGGTTATCTTCCAGGAAGAAATTGCTGGGCTAGTTTGGCAAAAGCTGAATCTGCGAAATATTAGCCGCGCTTTGAAACAAAAGCACGGTGTCAACGTTTCGGCAATTACAATTCAGCGCCGTGTATAAAATCGGAGATTCCCTGGCGACAACTTGGACCACAAAGATTTTTTCATTGGCCGGATCTTATTTTTCGAGTAATTGCACTTCTCACTGGATTTGAAGCCAAATATTCCACTAAAGAGATTCTGGACATGCTGTCAAATGAAAGATTTCCCTGTTTATGATCGCACGCTCGTCCAATGAAAGAAGCGTCATCACCATAAATTCACGACATCAGCACCCACTACCTCCTGCACACGTCGCTCGCTTTTGCCCGAGTCCCTCCTCCATTCGAGTCTTACGACACCAAGCTTCGTGATTCCGCAAATTCATGCCTTGCCATATGTGGTCAACGTAGATATGACGCAGAAAAAACCCGATGGCAATGATTTCGTTCTCAGTTACGTCGAAGTCTCCATTCCACGGGTACCTGGTATCTTACGCATCGACCGTTGAATCAGAGTCATGAGCTGAATATTCACACCGAGGCAAAGGACGGGTAATATCTCCAGGTCGCCCAGAGGGCAATTCCGAAAGTTGGCACAGCAAGCAAACTGAGCCTGACCACAGCTGCTATTAGCTTCGGCTGCAAGAAGACCTGCACCAAGGCTTGAAATTTCTCAGGCTCGTTTCGATCAGGGTACTCTTCCTTTGGAATCGACACTCCCAAGAACGGACAGATCTTTTCCCAATCGAGACCATCCTGAAGCTGAATCAGACACAGGCGATCGGCGGGAATGATATCTTTCACTTCTTTCATGCTAGGGCATAATGTTAATTCTGATCTATCGGGCCCACTTCAGTGGCTGACTCACTACTCAATATACCACCTCTGCAGCATTCTTTCATTGTCCGGATCACCAGGCATCGTCCTGTCGGCAATTGCACGATAAATGACCTGATTGAGGCTAAAGAAGTGATACAGAGTCGAGTCGAAGTACTTCAGGATCGAAATTGGAAAACGGTCGGCGAGGGTCACGACTTCGGCGGCCGTGTTATTGACAGAAACTGCCCATTTTTGGGGTGACCTTTCGGTGAGAATGAACTTGACATCCGGATCTTGGGCATATGCTCGGACCATGTCCATTCCTGCATAAGCCGGGATCTCGATCAGACACTTCCGAAGTTGTCAAAATTAATGCTCTTGATCATCAATGAGAATTGGAAGATGACCGCTCACGTCGTAGTCGCCCAACCATTTATCGAAATCAGCCCTCGAGTATCTCTTCGTCCCAGAGAGTGGGTCGACTTCAGCGATGATTCCTTCTTTGAATGTCTTCATATGGGGAACGCCGCCAATGGCGCAACACTCGTACATGTGGTACGGTCTGTAGCCTAGGATTTGCATCGCCTTGTAGAGACCGAGTGTGCCTGAGCTAACGAATCCTAAACTTATTTTGATGCCATGACTGAACTGGGTCTCAGGCCTTACCGACTAGGACTTGCAACGATCACTTTCATCTTCTTGACTTCTCTCGGCTCAGGGAGCTGATCGATACTTCGAGACATATCGGCGTATTTCGTAACAACGATGTGTTTAGCAAAATTGAGATGTTTTCCTGGCCTGTATAGCAAATACACAAAAAAGCTCCCCTCTTAAATACCAGCAGAGAAGATCAAAAGCTGGATTATATCAGTAGCGGAAGCTAGCCACACAGGCTCGTATCAGCGTCAGCAGTGTGAACTCTATCGTCGGCTCTGGGTAAGTGTTGATCCCCCTAGACAACGTGCCGCGTTCCAGGCCCGAGCAAATCGTGCATCGTGGCACCAATGCCCGAAAGCGGTTAATCCTCAATTTCAGGCGCCCGGGCTGACTACATTCTAATTGGCTAAGGGCGGCTAGAGCCGCAAATCAACTCATCTAGTGTCTCAGGGAAGGTTTTGTGGATTCACCGTCATTTCCTACGCTTGCGCCTCTTCTGCCTTTGTCAACAGATCGGACTTAGCAATGTCAGCCGCAACCACCCAGTTTACACTTTAGCTACTCGGTTTTCGGACTCACGCTGAATGAATTGATTGAGGATCTAGCACAGCCTTGCGCAGAGAATACTCCTGATTGTGAAGACAGGTCGGCATCACAAGAAATGTTTCAAAGTCTCGAGGTACGCTAGACGCGCACGACCGTGGGAACGTGGTTGAAATAGGCCTACTCGACAAGGAAGATGAGTTCCAAGTCGTCGGGGCATCTGCAACTTTTACACAGGGCCGAAGTAATTATATGAGCGTGCAGCTGAAGACGTCATGGGATCTATCTTTCTCGTTGAATGGAGCAAGAGGAAGAACTTGACTCGTCTGAATGAGCTAGTGAGCCTCAATCACTTACTTGGGACCTTCTCATACATGTGACATACGGTCTGATCTGATTGGCTGTTCTAGTTTTCTTTCTATTGCGCACGGATCTCTTCGCCTTTCCCGGAATACTGTCAATCTGGATTACATGACAAAGATCTATAGAGGAACGTGTTTCAGTCACCAGTTTTCGGAGTTGACCCATACACTGCAATATCATGCTACCTACAATGCTTCCACGTGCTAGATGGTTGAAATCATCTGCTCCTTACCTGTCCTGGGCTTAGTCTGCTTGCATGTAATTATTCTGACACAGTTATCCTTCAGTCTCATTCTGAGTTTCTTGATCAAAAGCCTTAGAATGGTCAGCCGGAATGATAAGACACAACTATAAAAGATAGCCCGTCGCTTTTGTAAAGTGTATGCAAGGACAAAGACGGAGAGTAAATGGCAGCAGAACGTTGGGAGAAGGAGAAAGTTCAGCGCCACACATCTGCCGAATTGTTCGGTTCGTCATCATGCCTTCATGGTCACTTTTCCCTCTGTCCCTGCCGTCATCTCCATCTTTCTCGACGTTTCCTTTCCTTGATGCCTTGTGGAAATAGACGAGCTGTTGTTTTCTTCGAGTCTTATTTTCTATCACCATCCAGTAATTTCATTAGATCTTTTGAAAGCTCCACTTCAGGGTGGCCCTCTCTAGATCAATGATGCAGGTATCATAGCCGGAATCAAGTAGGAAACTTGCTGCCTTTGTAGCGGCCCAGACAATACTGCCAGCGTACGAATGGGCCGAAGGATTTCTACCTTCAAAAGGAAAAGACACACGCTCCAACTCGGAGCAACAACTTGATTCATCCTGGAAAGCCCTGAGAGCCCATGTCTCATTAATTAGAGGCTTCCCAATTGCCTCAAGTCACTTAATCTCATAAGGTTTCTCACGTGCTGGGGGTATGGTGTTCTCCATGCAAGCAAACTTTGTAGCCGGGTTCATTCCATGCAGACTTGGGACCCTTTCTTTTCTGAACTGGTCCGAATATTGAAAATTCGAAGTCTCTCATAAATCAAATAATTCTCACCGTGCTGTTGCACAGCATTTCACTTGTGCTTGTATCAAAATGTGCGTTGACAAGAACAAGGCACATAATATGCACGAACCGATACTTCTAAGATACTACTGCTTGATGAAGCCTCTCCAATTGGAGCTCGCCCACAAAAAGCCAATACAGTCTCACAGGCAAACGGACCAAGAAAAAAGACCGTGAGTACTCGCACTGGCCTCAGGAAGAATCGTATGTGGGGCTTCCCCGCGCATTCCTTGCGTAAATATCTGGGGAACCGAGGCAGACGACTCAATCACAAGTACTGATGATCCCTGAGCTGGGATACCCCAACGCTCTCAACACTATGTATAATTTTCTTCTCTGATATAGCTACACTGATTGGTTCGTGGGATATGATGATCTCGCGATGGTATCCACGCTTGTAATCGTGGAGTGATGATTATGACTTCACATGCTCTGACCGCGGCCGGCAACCCCATATGCTTCCAGCCTTGTAGGTATAGGTTCATTGAAATCCAAATGTTTCATCTGGCACCTCTTCATATTTTGTCTTTTTCGATCGTCATTTGGAGAATCTGATTCTGAACGATGTCGACCCAGATAACGACCGCCAAGCGAAACCCCGGGAATTCAATGGTGTCTACCTGGCGCCATGACCGATCTCAGTGGCAATTATGGCACTGGATGATTGAAATTCTTGGATTACACCTCGTAGAGCTTGATAGAGAAGTGCCAGTCTTCTCCAAAAAAGACAAAATCCACGCTGTTCAAGAATGGACACTCCATGTGTGGATTCTGGTACACGCTGCGATCCCACTCGTTCTTCACCACGCCTACACGACTTATACTGGCAAAAATCTCAGTTTTTTTGCCGCCTTCGCGTTATATTCGAGTGCATTCAAGTTGAACGGAATTCACGAAATGCACATCATGCGCCGCCTTGGTCAACGTTATGGTTTCTTGGATGGTGACAAGCATGCACGCGACGATATTCCCGACGTTGGAGTTGGCAAAGTCATGCGCGAACTCATGTCCACTTCGACCTTCCGCATGATAATGGCCATCTATCTCACCTATCAGCCAAGTGAAACACCAGCAACAATGGAATGGGGATGGCTGCCTTTAGAGATAGGCCTCTACAGCATCACGGTGGATTTTTGGTTCTATTGGTATCACCGATTGATGCATTCGGTGGGACCATTGTGGAAGTTCCACCGTAAGCACCACCTAACGAAGCATCCCAATCCCCTGCTCTCTGCCTACGCGGACCACGAGCAAGAGTTCATGGATATCACTGGCGTCCCGCTTCTTGCATATACGACTTTGAAGTTCCTCGGCCTGCCCATGGGTTTCTATGAGTGGTGGATTTGCTTCCAGTACATTGCTTTCTCGGAGTTTATCGGACACAGCGGTCTCCGAATCCATGGCGGTGCGCCCTCTACTGTCAATTGGTTGTTGGAACTTTTCGATGCAGAGTTGGTGATCGAAGACCATGACCTTCATCACCGGTATGGATGGAGAAAGAGTCACAACTATGGCAAGCAAACTCGCCTTTGGGATAGAATATTTGGGACTTGTCTTGATCGTATCGAGAGCGTCAAGGACAACGTTGATTACACAGATCGTGTCGCTATGCCCCTAATTTGAGGCTTGAAGAAGAAATGGATAACGTCACCGCTGATATGTATAAACATCAGTCAACAACTTGACACAATATATTGGCTGAAATGACTCGGTTTTCGCACTTGAACAAATTAATGATCTCTATTGTAGCTTGCCTACGTTCATAATTAATCACTAAATTTCGGATACTCAGCCACTTGACATCTATAAGCACTCATTGAGTCATCCGTTGGCATCAGACAAGCGCTAAAAGGTAGTGCAAGGGCGCTTTCAACTTCTCCACATGCCCCTTGATATCTGTGCGTGAGCAAGTTTGTTGAGTGACTAGCCCTATCCCAATGTTACATCAGCGCATTAGCTGCATGAAACTAACCACATCTGTCCATATGCTACTGCAAAATCTCTGTGAACGAGGTTTCGCGCGCGGGAGCCTCTTGAAAATTGCGCGTTAATTCTAGCCCGGGAGCGGTATCCTTTATTTACGAGAGCCTCGTGTATCTGACCAGTTTAATGCTCCCAATCACTACATGCTTCAAGCCAAGAGACTCGCGCACACACCGCCCAAGATGACAGCCCTCGTGATCTTCGACTTTGATGGCACACTCTTCGATACGCATGAGTCCATCTCCAAAACCATCAAACTCACCTTCGACGCCCTTCTTCCCACCCACATCCCTCCTGAATCTCAAATCCAGCGCCTCATTGCCCGTGGTGCTGGCCTGACAGACACTTTCCAGGCCTTGCATCCCTCCCCTGCTGAGTTCACTTCGACCGTCGAGATCGAGTGGATTGAAAAATACCGTGCCCTCTACGCTGCCCACGGCCAATTACTCATCCGGGCCTTCCCTGGCTCCAAGAATCTTTTGACTGAGCTCAACGCTCGCAAAATTCCCATTGCCATCGTGAGTAACAAGGGTGTAGCGGCGGTAAAAACCGCACTGGAGCGGAATGGCCTGGATGGCTATGTGCCGGAAGATCTGATCGTCGGGGACAAGACCCCTGGGGCGAAGCGCAAGCCGGACCCTGCCAGTTTCGTGGATGTTCTGATCCCAAGATTATTGGAAAGATATGGGCTAGGAGACCTTGAGTCGGATAAGGTGCTCGTGGTGGGTGATACAGTGGCGGATATTCAGTTCGCAAAGAACATTGGGAGCAAAGTCTGTTGGTGTCGGTATGGTTACGGAGATCGGGCGGCTTGCCAGGAACAGGGGCCGGATTTTTCCATTGATTCTTTGGAGCAGATTGTGGAAATCGTAAACTCCTAGGCTGTCAGCGGATATTCATGGAATCACGACGGTTAAGCTGTCTGAGCTCGCAATAAAGTGGCGCTCATAGGTACTCGAGCGGGAAACCTCCTGTCACGAATCCGCTGCACCACCTCCGCGCCAATAGCCTTAGCTGTAGACTCTTTCAACTGGGCATTTCTGGATATATCTCGAGCAAGTCTCCTGCTACTCCATTTGAGTAGGCCTTTATGTCATCCTTTCCCAGGTACCCGTATGACACAGATGCACATGAGTGGCTCCTAGCTGGAGATGGAGGCTGGGAAAAATTAGGCGTCCGAATCTTTTGAGGGCTATTTGGAGATTTTGGCCTCGAAACTCTGCCGTTCAGAGACCAGTAGACTTGTAACAGGGGGCACAGCTAAATGTACTTTATAAGACGGTGCTGCCACCCTATCAGTCCTAGGGGGAAACAACTAGAGTAAAAATGAGACTCGGGCAGGCTGAGAGCACCAAAAATTTGGGTTTCCATGTTCGGGAACGGACCAAAAAGAAATATCTCAGGTTTTTTGTAGGAATAGCCGAACGCGGGGGTCGAACCCGCAACCTTGAGATTAAGAGTCTCACGCTCTACCGATTGAGCTAGCCCGGCAGGGCTTGGTGAAAGACAATTTTGAAAATGGCTCCATGAAGCAGAAAATCAGTTTGAGCTGATAGATAAGGCGATTTAGATTGAATTGAGCCCCACTTGGCGATGTCAACGTGCAAAGTCAGGCGATCGAAGCTTAATCCGTCCATGAACTCAATTGAGATGAAATGGACTGTAACCAGTAGTTTCATGCCCATCATAAATGCATCGTATTTTTACTATTGACGTGATAGGTGAATGGTGGGGCTAGAAGGGTTCGGACTTGAGCAGCCCGAGACATTTTCTATGGATAGTATGTATCTGATAACATTGTGCAGACTTGCACCGGCTGGCAGCCGGTGTAGCACCCCGTGGCATTACGTTTCGGAATGAATAGCAGATAGAGAACAGGGAAGGTACCAGGACGATCCAAGGAACAGAGGAAGTTGCCACTTGGAAGCTTCGAAGTTTCGGACCGATCGAACCCCCACCGCTATCGTATGACGTCAACACCCCTCCGGCTGAAGCAAAGAGTTACCGGTTTTTTTTCTTCTTAGGGTCTGACATTTGTTCTCTGCTACATAAGATTTTCCTGTCAAAGAGATCTTTCTCTCTTCATTTCCCGTACATACAACAACTTCCGTCAAAATGGCAGGTGGTCAATTCCCAGTGGATCTCAAGCAGTTCAAGCAACTCAAGCTTGACCCAAAGAATGCAACCCTCACTGCCGAGCAGAAAAAGGATCTTTTGCACAACATCAATATCTTCCGTGATGCTATCATTGCCTTCACGGCGACAGGTGCTGCTCGTGGCGTGTCCGGCCACACCGGTGGACCATTCGACACGGCCCCCGAAGTCTGTGTTTTGCTCGCGATGATCAACGCCAACCCTGATAACTTTGTCGATGCCATTTTCGATGAGGCAGGCCACCGCGTTGCCACACAGTACCTTCTTGCCGCACTGGATGGCAAGATTGATCCTGAACACCTGTTGAACTATCGCGATGCCAACTCCAAGCTTCCCGGTCACCCCGAGCTTGGTCTCACTCCCGGAGTCAAGTTCAGCTCGGGACGTCTCGGCCACATGTGGGGAATGGTCAATGGTATCTCCATGGCCAACAAGGACAAGAATGTCATCATGCTGGGCTCCGACGGCTCCCAGCAGGAAGGAAACGATGCCGAGGCCGCGCGTATCGCTGTTGCCCGAAACCTCAACGTCAAGTTGTTCATTGACAACAACGACGTTACGATTGCAGGCCACCCTTCCCAATACTTGAAGGGCTATGACATCGGTCGTACCCTGGAGGGTCACGGCCTCCACGTTGTTCGTGCCGAGGGTGAGAACATCGATTCTTTGTATGGAGCTATTGCCGAGGTCATCAACCACAAGGGCCCTGCGGCTGTTATTGTGAACCGAGTCATGGCTCCTGGTATTGAGGGCATTGAGGGCGAGACCCATGCCCACGATGTGATTACTGTCGATGTCGCTCGCAAGTATCTCACCAAGCGGGGATACAGCAAGGAGAGCCTTGCTTTCTACGACGATATCAAGGGTCGTTCTAACCCTCACCAGTATCAGGGCTCCACAAAAGAAAAGGGGGCCAACCGCTCCATCTTCGGTGAGGCAGTCAATGCTGTTCTCGACGGCTTGAGCAAGGAGGAGGCTGTCCGTCGCGTGATGGTGATCGACTCCGATCTTGCCGGCTCAACCGGTCTGAAGGCCATCCAGTCCAAGCACCCCGAAGTCTTCGTGCCCTCCGGTGTTATGGAGCGAGGCAACTTCTCCGCCGCTGCCGGCTTTGGTTTCGGCAGCAACGGTGAGCGCCAGGGTGTTTTCTCTACCTTCTCCGCTTTCCTGGAGATGTGCATTTCCGAAATCACCATGGCCCGTCTGAACAACTGCACCGTTCTGTCCCACTTCTCACACAGCGGTGTCGATGAGATGGCCGATAACACCTGCCACTTCGGCTTGAACCACTTCTTTGCCGACAACGGCCTCATGGATGCGGAGAGCACCACTCTCTACTTCCCTGCCGACGGCGAGCAGATGAAGGCCGTCGTCAACAAGGTCTTCTGGGACTCGGGCATGCGTTTCATCTTCTCGACCCGCTCCAAAGTTCCCTACATCCTGAAGGAGGGTACTGAGGAGAAGCTCTTTGGCGAGGGCTACAAGTTTGTCCCCGGCAAGGAGGAGATCATCCGCAAGGGCTCTGCCGGTTATATCGTCACATATGGTGACATGGTGTACCGTTCCCTCGACGCTGTTGAGCGTCTGCGCAAGGATGGTCTTGACATTGGTCTGATCAACAAGCCTACCCTCAACATCGTCGACGAGGATGCTATCCGCACATACGGCTCCACTCCCTTCGTTCTCGTTGTGGAGTCCATTGCCCAGAAGACCGGACTTGGCTCTCGCCTCGGTACCCATCTGCTGGAGCGCAAGCTCACCCCCAAGTTCAAGTCGATGGGTGCTGTGAAGGAGGGCTGTGGCGGTCTGTTCGAACAGATCAACGGCCAGGGTCTCGGTCCTGACGACATCGTCGCGGCTGTGAAGGAGATCGCGGGAAAATAGATGATTTACGACGGCTGTAGATATGATTATACATGCCCTAAATAGTTACGAGTTTCAAATTTCATTGTACATTCTTAAAACTGATACAAATCAGACAATCTGCCAAGTAATAGTCCCAATACCCTATGCTAATCTCGTTCTTGACCTCAACCCTTCACTCCCGATCCTCAGGATGGAAGACCAAGGCCCGCACCTCAATACTCTCCCTTCCATCTTCGTTCTCGGTCTCGGGATTCACAAACGCCGAATGAGGCACGCGTCTAGCCCTACCATCTGTCTTAGAATCAAAGCATTTGATCAACGTAACCAAGTCCGGAGTCTGCCCATAGCGGTAATACCACTTGATATCTGGGTCCGGCTTCACGGCATAGGTCTCACCCTCCCGATCAGGATAGATGAGTCCCACTGGCACGAGATCGCTATCCGGCACAGTATGAGCATCTGCCACCGTCAAGGGATCCTTGAGGATAGTGCGAATAGGGCGCCAGACGTTGATGATCTGATATCGACCCTTTAACAGCTCTTCTTCTTCGTTTGGGAGGTGGTGGGAGACTCGGCTTTTTGAAGCTTTATATGATTGATCGATGTGGACGCGTTGCACAGGGCCGCGGAGCTGCTGTGATCCGTCTCTGGTTGGATCTTGGGAGGCGCGACGGATGGTGTGGTCGAAAATGAGAACACGAGAGGCGCCAGTTCTGCATTGTTGAGTTAAGTTCAAATATGTAATGCTTTGCTGTGAGTCTGATATAAGAGGACGTACACATCTTTGAGCAACTGTTCAGTCTCTGGATAATACTGTTGTCGAATTTTTTCATCATCCAGAAAATCCTTTTCTGTGCTCTCATGGTAATGAAATTGGAAGCCATTTCCATCAAGGGAATGGTCGAGCTCGTGCCCGCTGACGTTGTGAATTGTGACAGGGAGAGAGACGCTCGGTTTGTTGAAGGTTTCTGGTCTGCCAATGATGGTAGGAGAAGGAGGTGAACCATCTTCGTTCGCTTTGTAGAAGTTTAAAGTTGTATTGACATGATGTGGTTTCTCAGAGACGGGAACCGCAGGCGGTTTCTGGTTCAGGGTGAAGCCATAGTTACCGGAGGATTGAACTGCGATAGATGCCATAATGCAATATTAGTTGGAGCTTCGAAACTGAGAATAATTCTTGAACATGTTAGTTATTAGAATTATTTCTTGCCGAAGAGTCTACCATCCCTTATATTCAAGTTTACTTGCGGGGTCATCGTCGCATTTGTCAGGACAGCACGCAATATTGGTCGAACATAGCCAAATGCTGATAAATGCACCCTTGCGGCTCTACAAATAGCATAGAGTGACAAATGAGGAGGTCAACATGTGATAGTCTTCCTAAACTCCAACAACTACGTTCCTGAATCACGCCATCCTGATGTCTTATTTTTATTAAGAACGGGGTCAATATGCAAGGTCGGGGAGATATTCACACTTGATATTCATTCGCGCTGATTGACAGCAACCTGGTTATAAGGCTCCTGTAATCACGAAATAAGTTGACCAGGCAGTCTTGATGGAGACAAGGTTTGAAGCTGTAGAACATGTCTTCTGGCGCATCAGCAACGAGGAGAAACAAAGGCCACTGGGGGGGGAGATTTCGTCCATGCAAAGCAAAGCACGTTGAAACATAGGCATACATCAGCCCACTCTGTGCAAGGACTTCCATCTCTTCCCTTAACCATATCACGTCATTCTTGAAATACCGGCTAAATGATGTGGGTCCCAGCATCGGTCTCTACGGCAGCCAAGAAGGCTCTAGGTAAAGGTTGCTATTGTTGAGGATCGGGGGCTGAGCCACTAAAGCGCTAATTGCCTGCTAAGAAGGCCAGCGTGCTCGATGATCTTATGCTTGGCGTTGCATTTCTTGCCTCGTGGTATCTTCTGTATACAGCGAATACATGTTATCGTCGCCTACATCTTCTTTCGGCTTAGTTCTCTTTGTATACCCTGGTCAAAACATATTTTGACTCCGAGGGAGATGTTTATTCCTACGCGGGTGCCTAACAAAGGCATAAGAAAAGGAATGAGCAAGACCGAGGAAACTAGATCCTTACAGTTGGAAAAAGCCTCGACCGAATGTACAAGACTCTATCGCTTCAACTCAGGAAAATTCTTTAAGTCTCATAAACCGGGGGACAATGAACCTATGAACTGATGAAGAAAAAGAAACAACGGACGTATGTCTCATTAAAGTAAAGCAGGATCTCGAAGGAATGTATCAGAAGGTGTCCTGCAATCTAGGGTCATAGCATGGTCGTAGTGCCCTCGCAACGCACATGGAGCCTTGGTCAAAAAACAGTCGCACCGAACACAATGAAAGCAGCTGCATCGTACACCAACATCAGGAAAGAGCACAAAAATGAAGAGGAAAGGAAATGGTTCTCCAAAGACAGGAGGAGAAAGTGATATGGACTGACATCCACAGGGGGAATAGAAAAGGTAATTGTGACAACTTGACATCATGGACAGGAGAAGTGAAGTGTTGGCTTTTTGTTCAATGGAGGTATCTCAGGCGCTTAGAACATGAGAGAGCGCGTTTTCTGCCGGCGAGCGTCGATACCGCCCACCTCGGGCTGGGATTGGGTGTGCTTGTGTCGGGGACGGGGAGATGAGGGCGCCTGCGCCGCAGAGCCTGCTGAGGCGGGAGCGACCCCTGTGATGTTGCTTTGTCGCTTTCCAGTGGGCGAGGGGGGGCCACCTGGAAGACGGTCGGTGGTGGAACGCCGAGCCTTCATGCTTCGTTCACGCTTGAGCACAAGTTCAGCCCAGGGTTTGACCGCACCGTTCCCAGAGGAAGATCCCTTTCCGACAGCCTCTGACATTACTCTCAGCCAACCATCCTTGTCCGCTGCGCTGTCGGCGTAAAAGTCAATCACTTCGCCGTTACCGAAACGAATACGGAAGCCTTCCTCGACGAACATATAGCCGTCCTCCTCTTCAGCGAAAGCCGACTTCCGGCGACCACCATTCTTAGTGCTGGTCTCCTTCTGAGTAAGAGACGACCGGTCATCGATGAGCTTGGAGGCTTTGGCCAGGTTGATAGTTGCCCGGGGTTGGCGTGTCGTCTCATGATAAGCAGTCAACTTGGAGCCCTGGAGTTTGAAGTAGCGACGACGCCAAAACTAATACGTGTCAGAATACGACAGTGTCAGGGAACTAATAGGTCGAACTTACGGGACAATCTCCTCCCTGTTGAGAAAGGAATCCTTCCCAGCTTCGAGCAGCAACACTCTCGGCATCCCGCATCTCGCGAATACAGGCATTCATGCTTTTGGGCATGTCGTCTTCTTTGCTGCCTTTGGGCTTGGGGACAAACAACAACTGCAATTCCAACTTGCCAATCTTGTATGGCGGACGGCGCTGCGCAGTCATGCTTGTGGTGCTCTTCTTGCTTTTGACACTACTGGGCTGCTCGTCGACGGCCCATTCGTTGAAGCAAGCAACATCGACAACATGAGGACGACCAAAGGACTGCTTTTCGTGGTCGCTGAGAGCAACATAGGCACGAGCAAAGCTTCCATCCCGAGCAACAAGGTTTCGAAGGCGGTCATAGACGGGCGCGTTAACATCCTTCGACTGTTGGGTCTGCATTTGCTGCTTCAGATCGAGCTCCTTGCGTCTGCGGGGAGAAGCGAAAACACGACTTAGAGCTGATGTCTTCTGGCGAGCAGGAGAGGCAGCGGTCTCCTGGGGATAAAGCTTGTTTTCATCGACCTTCATCTGCAGAGTCAGTTGGAATTCAAGATCGTTCTGGACAATGAGCTCAAATTCTTGGCCGATCGGAGCTGACTTGCCCAGCTCAAGCCAAGACGTTGTCACACAGTGCAAACCATTGTCCAGTGTGAGTGAAAAGTGGGAGCGCTCGCCTGGAAGAAATTAGCGATCAAACAAGATTGTGGATCACCTTCTATGGTCACTTACCACGCGGAAGAGGAAGATCCAAGTACTTGATTCCGACAACCTTGACAACGAAGACGACCGCGTTCTTCTCCTTCCTCGAAGCTGTCCTGTGCGAGTGCCTCATTTTCGTCGATAGTTGTCTGGGCCTCTTGGACGTTGCTTGGTTGACCAGGAAGGGGGGGGCACAGAACCAACACCAGGAACAGGCTTCTTCTTTGGTACAGCACCAGCCATCTTGATACTTGGACGTCGCGTGGAACCATTCCATGGCTCGGTAGTCCAGGTCTGCTGGCTCGGCTTGCGAGGGGAAGAGCCCGCGGAGCGGGTGCCGCGCGGATCTTGCGTACAGTGTTCGCTCGTTTTCATGGGTTCGTCTTCGTTATCGATACGGTTGTTGGCGATGACAACCTTAGTATTTTGCCGCATGAGGTAGCCTCTCTGTTGATTGCAAAGTTTGTTAGCGGGTCTGACAAAGTCGGCAAATTTGGGAAGTCCTTGGGTTCGAGAGGCCAGCGGGCGATCCGCCTGGGAAGCTGGGACTGGAGAATAATCAATTTGGGAAAGAGCGAATTGGAACGCAACCTTTTGAGATTCAATGACGCGGTCAAACTCCCTGTCGAGGCCAAAGCCAAGACTTTCCTCCTGAATGCTGAAGGGTATGTCGAGTTGCATCAGGCTTGACTGGCGTTGAGATGGGTTGGTTGGAAGTGTCAGCTGCGGTGCCAAATCGGTGAATTTGTCTTCGCGCTCAGTGTCGGTGGAAGACTGCCGGGTGAGAGACGGCATTGGAGGCGCATGTTGGCCGCTGATCTTGCGACGAGTCGCAGCCATGGACTCCATATCAGCAGGTGTTAGCGAGGGTCGAGTTTTGAGACCAGCGCCAGGGGCTTTGATAGTGGCGACTGGTTCAGGAACGGATTCATCGGAGGAACTTTCGAAGGCTTCATCATCCTCCTCGACTGCATCATCACCGTCCTCAATGGGATGTCGAATGACGGACTCTGGCGTAGAAGGCTCGGAAATCTCATCTTCGTGCTCCTGCTTGATCTCGGGAGTCACAGGACGGCCAAGGGATTGGCGAATAGAAGCCATGTCAAATCCATGACCTTGGTCAGCCTGAGGGATCTCTTTTGATTCCTCAATCTGATGTTCAGATACACCTTCATCGTTTTTCTCGGCGATGGGGGTGGTCTGACCAGAGTTGTCCTTCACAGTAGCCTCCGTAGCCTCCGCAGCCTCACGCAGTGAATAATTGCTATCCTCGTCATACTTGGCTCGCTGGTCTTTTGAGGACAGGCTATTATCAGAATAGTTTTGATAGTAATCAGGGATGGCATAAAGGTCGTCGTCGTGCGCCTCCTCTTTAATGATCACACTGGAACAATCGTCATCGTCCTTTTCCAGAGACGGAATGGGGACATCTGGGTCATAATGGTCATAAGGGTTGGGGCTAGAGGCAATTTGAGAGTCATCATCAAAAGCATCATCATCATAGCTGTCGCTCCTGCGAATATCCCGTAAAATGGATTCGCGAGAAATGCGTGGAGGAGAGAAGACGTCGTGCCCTGATGCTTCTGCGCATTGTGTCTCACTTTCAAGGGCCGACTCCGCGAGTTGAGACTTGGCTGATGCTTTCAATGGCTCATTCGTCTCCTTGTCGTTGTCATCTCCATCCCCTTCATGCTCATGGAGCATCATGAGCTTCAATCGCTCTTCCAAGGACACGCCGCCGTTGAGGTCAGATTTGCTATACGATGCGGGACGGGGAGCGGCGGGCAAGCCACGCTCACTACCACTGCCACGTTCGAAGGCGGTGGCCAACTTCTCCGGCGAAGTTGGCCGAGATCCAGACAAGGACATGCGTGCAACTGAAGGCAGCGGCGGTAGCGGACGACGCTCGCCATTGGAATCAAGAGACTCCACTCGAGAATGACTGCTAGAGTCTCCTCCGCGCGACACGGGACGTTCGTCAGAGGTGTCATTGTCGGTGTTCTCAACGAAAGAGTCCTCTTCCTCATTTCCACTTTCAGGACTCATGAAACGCCAATCCTCGGGGAGAACCACTGGGGTCTTTTCAATATCCTCGAGTGAGGCATCAAAGCTGTCGTCTCGCTCAATGGATGACTCATGCTCGAAACTGACATCCACATCCTCCTCCGAGTCATAGCTATTTTCACGGGACCCTGAAGCAAGAGAGGAGGGGTCAGGGGTGCGCATCTCATATTCATTGACTTGCGGGGGTGCAGCGTCGAACTTGACACTCTTCCCGTAAGCAGCGTTATCATGCTCGGACCAAATGTCATGCGACGGATCAAACCCCTTGCCATACCGGCTGCCCTTAGACAGTGATGACTTTCCAGGGGAAGGCTGATCTTTACTTGGAGAAATTGGTCTCGGAATGCATGCCGCATCGTCCTCGTCAACGAATTTTGACTTGGCGAGATTCATTTGGCTATCGCGGTTCGGTGACCGATCAGCGGCCATTGGTCTCTGTGGTACATTGACATTGGCTGGGTCATATTCAGTATCGCGAAACATGCCGGCATTGTTCTTCACTCGCGACGCGCGCTTGAGGTCCTCGAGGGATGGGCGACGCGCAGGGAAGTAAGAGGATTCCGGGTCATATGGCATACGGTTTTCGGCGCCCTTGGCAAACGGAGTAGGAGATTCGCGACCCTTCCAGAAGAGACGCTGGGCAGATGTGTTGTTTAGAGGGGAGACATCGTAAGCAGCGGCTTCGCCAGCCGGCATCTAATAAGAGAATGTCAGTAAGGTCTCTTACTCAGTTGCTGCACCGGTGTGATATTACCTTGGTTGTTTGGTTCCAGATAGGAGAGTTGCGTCTCTGCGCCATGGGGCTTACTTCAGAGAGTGGTCGCTGACCAACTCCGCCCATTTTAATGTTGTTCTGCTTGAGACGATGGATGTGATGAAAAATCAACGGTTTGTCTGATGACGTGTCAGCGATTGCTCATTGCGGTCGAGAATTACGCCCAGTCCGAGGCGAAGCGTAGAAGACAAGCCTTGAACAAAGCCAACATGCAGCATACCTTTGTAAACAGATACCAGGCGTCGCGAGGAAAATCAGCGTGACCCGGTACACAACACTGAGAAAAGTCGTGTCAATCGTCTGAGGAATGCGACAGCAACAGCCACACCAAGTCAAAAACAGAATAAACAAAGAGTCTGGTGGTAAAGATGGAATGGATAACGAAGGGATAAGAGGAGATAGAGGATAGAGGGTAGATCTCGATATCTATTCCATGGATCCGAGAGTGGATTGTTCCCCCGAAGCAAGTTACTGATGTTGACAGACTGGCGGGAGTCTCCATAGCAACGCGTCTACTCAGATGTTTCAGGTGGAGGACGTGCGGCTGACTCATCCCAGATAACGGTCACCTGATATTGGTGCCTGAGACGTCAGGGTCCTGAGATCGGCACTAGTCTGGATAGGGGATGGTGCGAGAACTTTCTCATAATCTGGTTTTCTCTGGTTCCAGTTCACTGACGCAAAACGCAGTTTTGCTGAACCATCACCTCTGTTTATCAAATTGACCACAGGTAGGATGCCTCTGCCGGTGCGCTCTTCAATATGCTTCCTGTGCAAATCGAGAGCATCTATTGCCCCAGTGCCGGCCCTGATCTCGGCGTGGCAGGCTTCACGGTCCATGGCCACGCTGCGCCGCAAGCCCTCTCGCATGACACTATCGCCCAACGTCTCGAAGCCTACCTTGAATAAGCCCCGCTCAGGTCGATCTAGAGATGGCCCTTTTGCTGGTATGAATCAGAAAGAGGCTCGAATTCGAGACACTCCACGTTCCAGGTCCCAAGCAGCTCTCAAGCGATCTGGCGAAGAAGGCAAAGGCAAAAGCGAAAAGAAGGAAAGCCCGCTCTACAAAGCATTGAAGATGCAGACAACTCTGTCGCCAGTTCCTTACGCTCGTCGTACTGCCACCAAAGCGAGGTTGGCCAACGTCACAAGCTTCGACCACTTTCCTCTCTTGCCCGCAGTTCGACAGGCGATCTTCGCTCAAGCCCTCCCTGGTCTGGCCGACGTAACGCCAACTCCAATTCAACGACTCGCAATTCCTCGGTTACTCAAGGAAAACGATGGCAAAAAGGATATCGTGAAATCGACCAACGAGGAGGCCCCCAAATATGAACAATTCCTGCTTGCAGCGGAAACTGGCTCGGGAAAGACTTTAGCCTACCTCTTACCGATTGTAGATGCCATCAAGCGCGCCGAGAGGGTCGAAAAAGAGGAACAGGAAATCATTGATGCACAAAAGGCGAAGGAGCGGGAGGAGAGATTGAAGAACCGGACATTCGAACTGGAGCCCGAGGAGCCGCCCATGACTGATGCCGGTCGCCCTAGGGCTATCATTCTTGTGCCTACCTCAGAATTGGTGTCGCAAGTCGGGGCCAAGGTCAAGGTCCTTGCTCACGGTGTCAAGTATCGTTCCGGAATGATTTCATCGACCCTTACTCCTCGCCGAATCAAGAACACCCTCTTCCACCCGGACGGTATCGATATTCTGGTCTCCACTCCCCACCTTCTCTCCTCCATCGCCAAAACGAATCCCTATGTTCTGAGTCGTGTCAGTCACCTCGTGCTTGATGAAGCCGATTCTTTGATGGATCGGTCATTCCTACCCACAACAATGGAGGTTGTCGACAAGGTGACGCCTTCACTCAAAAAGCTCATCTTCTGTTCCGCCACTATCCCCCGCAGTCTCGATAACCAGCTTCGCAAGAAGTTCCCTGATGTGAAGCGCCTGACAACCCCGAATTTGCACGCCATCCCTCGTCGTGTACAGCTCGGCGTGGTGGATATTGCCAAGGAGCCTTACCGAGGCAACCGGAGTCTCGCGTGTGCTGATGTGATCTGGTCGATCGGCAAAGCAGGTGAATCCAGTGATGGCGAAGACTTTGGTCCTTTGGCGAAGTACATGGGCCCAAAGGTCAAGAAGATCATTGTCTTCGTCAACGAGCGTGAAGAGGCAGACGAAGTTGCTCAATTCCTGAGCTCCAAGGGTATCGATGCCGTGTCCTTGTCTCGTGACTCCAGCTCCCGCAAGCAAGAGGAGATTCTCGCGGAATTTACTGAAGTTGAAACTCCTCCCACCTCGGACGAGATCGTGCTGGCCCAAAAACAGCACCGCGCCGACAAGTCTGTTCCTTTCGACCTTCCCGATTCGAAATCGGAGGTTATGCGCCGCCTGCCCAACACTAAGGTTCTTGTCACTACCGACATTGCCTCCCGAGGCATTGATACGTTGGCTGTGAAGACCGTGGTGCTTTACCATGTTCCCCACACAACGGGTAGACTTCATTCACCGCCTGGGTCGGCTCGGCCGTATGGGCAAGCGTGGCCGTGGAGTTGTCCTAGTCGGCAAGAAGGACCGCAAGGATGTCGTTCGCGAGGTTCGCGAGGGCATGTTCCGTGGCCAGGCCTTGATTTAGATACATTGCATTTACTTGTATAAACCATATACCGTGTACCATATGTGGCGTTCCTGAATTTTGGGGTGTTTTGCGATTTGGAAAAAGACGAATACCCGGCATTCTCGGATTGGAAAGTCATTGTATGATAGTGGATATGAAAGCTCAATTCCTACTCTTTTGGTAAATTCTGCGTCAGAGATAACTTGACCTCAAAGTATATGTAGTTGTCGGTGGCTTTCCAGCTCACTCGAGGATATTGACGTTTCCGCTGAGGTTCCATTGAGCTCTATCCTCAGTCATTGAGATTGTGATATATCTCTCGAAGCTTTGGACCTCTCACTTTTCCCCCACTGCCTCAACTGCAACAAGAGCGACAACGAAACGGACCCACTAAAACAATGTGTTCGATGCAAATCAGTACGCTACTGCTCCCGAGATTGCCAAAAGGCAGACTGGAAGAAGCATAAGAAAACCTGCGTGGAGTTTGCCCAAGCGGCTGGCGAGACACCGAGTGCCCAAGGCACTGCAAGCAGCAACAACAACAACGCGGAAAGTCCCTTGGAATTCCAAATGGATAAACCATTCACCCAACTCTATGCGAAGAAGTGGCTTCACGGCCGCCCCGAAAAAGATGTCTACAGACTTCTGATCGACACATACCGACTTCGAATGGAGGATGATTACACCATTAAGGGAGACGTGGATGAGGACAGTATCTACAAGGGGAGAGCAAGTGGAGTAAGGGGCTTTCAACGATTCTTGCGCTTAGCGGAACGGAGAGGACGGGAACTGTTGCCTGACTGGTGGTCTCCTGCCCAGGCTAAGGAATGTGTAGCCTTGGGTTCCGGACGGGACGAGGATTACAATTTGAGACACGCCGTTGAAAAGTCGGATATCATTGAACAGTACGGGGAGCGGCTGATGCCTATGCAATTGCGTATGCTTGGTGAGCAGATTTATGGGACTGGCCCGAGCGGAACATCTGGGGCTGGTATGCTGCAAATGCAAATGGAGGCTGAGAATGGAAGCGGCTCTCTCGATTCAATTTTGGATATGAGCCCGCTTCTGAAGAGTTTCCCAGGGTCCAGCCTCTGAGTCTTTAGTCCCAAGGTTCTTGAGCATACGGACAAGTGTCACGGTGCCTGTTTTATGTGAACTCCCCTTTTCTCGGTGTCTTTCCATAGCTTAAATTCATCATGCTTTACACCTTGCCTCGATATATGTAACTCGTTTCTCTGGGTTGAATATATATTTAGTAAGGCCCACGTCTGTGCAGTCTCAAACAAAAAGGCCTCGATGTCAACTGAGCTTGTAAGACTTTCTGGGAATACAAATGAAGATGACTTTAGGTTGCCGAAATTGAGGGCACACCAAGTGCATCAACATGTGCAAATATGCAAGGACCTCAAGGAGTTGGTTAACCCGCTCCGATAATCTAACTTTGTTTCCAATTTCAGCTGCTTCTTTCATACCTTTAACCACTGTGAAAAGGAAATGAGAAAATGCAAATGATATGAAGGGTGTATCGGTCTATCGATTTATATCATGCAGGATTTCGGGCTTGGTGGAAGTAAAAGCCAGGATAGTGGAAGCTCGCGGGGACCTATCGGCAGCTGACCCTCCGCGCGCGGTGTTTTAAGCTTTACTTTGACTTTCTGCCGCACCAGGCTGAGTGCATATGTGTTATCGCCACTTGGGAGGTCTTCATTGACTAGGCCTGATTAACCCTCAATGGCGGCATCGCCCATTACCGACGGTACTCAAAGAACTAAATTACCTGTTGGGTTCCACCTGACGGGACCCAGAAGAGGAAACGGGGACCAAGGGATTTATGACTAAATCCTAGGTCCTCGTTAGCTTTTTCTGGATCCCCATCAGCTACTTGCCCGAGCGAATCCGGTCACTCCCTAGTCCGCAATGAAGTCATTAGCACCCTGTCGCGGCGAGACCGGTCGATCGACGAAATCGAGGGCATACACTTGACACACCCTTTTCTTCTCGTGCCCCAATCTAGGAATTCACAACACCACAGTGAAGAACATCTATCACTTTCGGATATCGTCAGTCCGCAAATATGGCCAACTTCATTAGCCAAGCGCTTTGGACTCAATCCTTTTGCATCCCTTCGCCTCCTTTGACGGAGAAGAACCTGCCGGACCAGAAAGGCAGAGTCCATATCGTCACGGGTGGATACGCTGGTGTTGGTAAAGAACTGTCTGCGATTCTTTACGAAAAGGGTGCGACCGTGTACATCGCGGGCCGCAACGAGCAGAAAGCCGAAGACGCCATGCGTCAAATCGAGGAGGAATATCCCTCGGCTTCGGGTCATTTGCGCTTTCTGCTATTAGACCTCAACGATCTGACATCCATCAAGGCGAGCGCCGAGACTTTCATGGCACAGGAATCTCGCCTTGACGTTCTCGTCAACAACGCCGGTGTGATGTTCCCTCCGGAAGGATCCAAAACAACCCAAGGCCATGACTTGCAATTTGGAACCAACATGCTGGGTCCGTTTCTGTTCACTAAACTCTTGATGCCCATCCTAGTGGAGACCGCCAAAACTGCTGTCCCAGGTTCAGTGCGGGTTCTCTGGGCTTCGAGTTTAGGAATCCAGGTCTTGTCTCCAAACGGGGGTGGCATGGTGCTTGATGAATCGGGCGCACCCAAAGTTCTTGATAATCAAGAGACCAACTACGGGCAGACGAAAGTCGGCAATGTCTTCTTGGCCGTCAAACTGCAAGAGCTGTATGGCTCTCAAGGTGTTCGAAGTGTCTCCTTCAACCCTGGAAACTTAAAGACAGAGCTTCAGCGTCACTCTACCGGATTAATGATGAAATTGGCGGATTTGATGCTCCACCCAGCAAAATTCGGTGCTTATACTGAATTGTATAGCGGCTGGAGCGAGGAAGTCGGTGCTGATAAGAGTATCACGTATGTGATGCCTTGGGGAAGGGATGGTACACATATCGTCAGGTCGGATATCCAGAAGGCTATCGAGAATGGATTAGCGGACAAAGTCTGGAATTGGTGTGAGTCGGAGACTAAAAGTTACTTGTAATTGTCAGACTAGTCCAGAGCACGCTTGTATTTATTCTGTAATTCATTGATTGACTATATAGGAACATTGAAGATAAACAAATTGTCAGCATTTGTCCCTTGCTTGAGGATTAGCTATTCTCATGTCTTTCGTTTCTTGTTGATATGTATCTTTTCCACATGGACTCCTAGAATCAGGGTTGACCTCATTTCTCTCGCGCGTCACACGCGTCAACGTGTTCTGCCACACTATACTGCCAATCATTCGTGCTTCAATATCTAACGATGATAGATCTTGAATAGAGGAGAACACCTGAATATAGACAAACAAATACACATATTTGATGTTTTGTCTCTCTCGTAAATTTATTCATGTCACAAGTATGCCCTTGATCTTTCAACTTGTTCTTGACATCATTTTGTGTGCCTCTCCCGAGCTCTGGTTAGAGGTCTTTAGATAATTTAAGACACCACGAGATGGCCTTCCATAGCTCTGATGAGAGTAGCAACAGAACTAAGTCGTGTAGGAATTATCTGCATCTGTAGAAGGGGTTCGTGCAGATGACTTTGCCTCGTGTCTTTGACTATCTTAACATCTACCAGCAAGATATTATTTCTCCTTAAAAGTCACAATTTTGGTTCATCAAGCCAAGTAACTTAATGGTTGGGCATGAAAATCGTCTTGATTCTGAAGGAGGCTGTCGATAAAAAGGGGATAAAGTGAATCACCATCCGCTTGACCTCTGGCCGCAAGGCCCCGTGGCGCGGAGATTGGTGCCTCATGTTCGCATTATTGATGAGTTGCAACGAAAAATGAAGATCCCAGATGCCATAGTCAACATTCATCCGCATTGTGGGTCGACCGTGATAAGTTGTGACCACGGGTGCGGAGTTAGAGCGGACATGACTACTTCGACTAGATTATAATGCCTTTCAATTATTTTTCTTCGCATAGTACGGGCATCTCTTAGAAAACAAAGACGGATATATTATACCGTCTTCTTATGTGGATCGTATTACCCAATGAAAGGGATACTACATTGGACACGATTTCAGAATGTCAAAAAAATTCACAATTCATCCAGTGATTATATCCAATTATTCATGCACATATAAAAATTAATTTGAGACACTGTGACAATCTTGCAACGGAGCTATCCCATTACAGGAAGGCAAATTGCCAAGCCTACAAAAGCATGAAGACTGAATTTCAACATCTGCATCCACAAGGGCAATGAGAAGCTGCTCCTTGATAATTTCGGCCTCTGTGTGGCGACCTTGAAGCTGGAGACACTCATGGTAGCCATGAAGAGCCCAAACATTGTTGGGATGTTGATGGGCTCGTGTGGCAGTCGGAAGAAGTCCCAAATCTTCGGCATAGGCTTGTGCAGCCTGCTCGACCATGCCTTGCTCCAGAGAGAGGGCTGCATATGCATGCCGTGCTGGAAGCATCCACCCCCATGGCTCAGCAAAGGGCAATGCGTCTTCCAGAACAACTGCGTCCGATAACCTGCTGAATGCTGTTCTGTAGTTACCCCGTCTATACTCGATTTCGCCGTCCAGCATAGCCGATGCTACTTTGAGAATGTCCGTGATTTTGTTAGGAAAGTCCAGGCGAGTGGGTGGAACAAGCTCAGAAGCGGATTTGAAAAACTTTCGCTCCTTGTCGGCTTCGTCGAGCTGTGCTGTAGCCGCATACGCGATACCCTTCCCATAGTGTCTCATAGCGTTGGTGACGCAATAGAGCTTCTTGTCTTCAAGCGGGTCGAGCTTCTTGAGCTCGTCCCACATTCCAAAGCGAATCAGAACATGAACTCTAACAGCTTTGAAGAATTCCATCCAATTCACAAGTGCAGGCGTTTCTACCCGAAGCATTTCTTCCGTGATAGTAGCCTCCATTCGATCTGTCGCCGAAAGTGCAACCTTCATCTTGCCACAAAGCATCGCAGCATAAATGAGAGAGTGATAGTCATGGAGACGATAATAGCTGTAGAATGTCAAGCCTCCATTTTGTTGGAAAAACTTATCGTCTGCAATGGTCGCCTTTAAATTGTATTCGACTGCGCGCCGATAGTCACCCACGAGGACGTCAATATGGGCAGGCATGTGGTAGGTATGGCCTGCGTCTGGGAACATCTCGCGGATCATCTCTGCTGCAGGCAGGGCAGCCTCCGGAGTGGCTGACATTTCCATCAGGTGAATGTACATGTGCGCGGGACCCGGGTGCTGTTCGACGCCTGGCATTTTCAAAGTTCGATCAAGCAGGTCTTTCACTTCAAATACCGGGGAAGACGCTATAGGGAGTCCCGTAGAGGCGTCAAATAATCTTCGTGGAGCACAGTTCATCAATGCATCAACAAAGAACGTGATGATGTCAAAGTCTTCACGACCGAAGCTGAGATAAACCTCTCTCATAGCATCGGCATAAGCTTTGCTACACGCAGCAACGTCGCTGCCAGGATCGTCGTTGGGATATCGTTTTGCAAGAGCCTGGATGATCGCTTGCTCCCAATTCGACGCATTCTTAACTCTCTTCAGGGCTTCTTGAGAAAATACATAACACTGTTCGATTGCTTTGAATCGGTCCTGCTCGTCAAATAACGCCCATGTCTTGTTGTAATTGGAGCCAGAACAGAAAGACACCCCCCAATACGCCATAGCACAGTTCTCGTCGTGCGCAATTGCTTGCTTGTAACAAGTTATTGCTTCATCATGATTGAAGCAGTACGTCCAAACAAGTGCCCTATCAAACCAGATCTGGGCGTCCCTAGAATTGGTACTGACTTTACGGCCCAGTGTTCCTAAGTCGAAGTAGGGGTCACTTGTGGCCCTTGCAAGCGGCTGTCGCTCACACGCGTTCATTTTTTAAAGATGTACAAGCCGATCACAGAGTGCACTGTGTCAAAAACCTCTCTGTTGTCGATACCAAGAGGTAACTTTGACCCTGAAAAAGGTCACATGAGCCATTTTACGAACCGTGAGGGGTAACTTATGCATCGGTGGTAATCTTTAGCGCCGGTCAATTCGCGCCATCCTGATTCGGTAGTCGAACCAATCTAAAGAACGTTTCGCAAGATTCGAAACCGACCAAGCGCATGGTCCAGACTTTTTGAATATTGAAATATCATTTTACAGTGAGCATGAATCAGTACATACGACCATAGGGTGTGGAGAACAGGGCTTCCCGTCCGCTCAGCCGTACTTAAGCCACACGCCGGCAGGTTAGTAGTTGGGTGGGTGACCACCAGCGAATCCCTGCTGTTGTATGTTTTTGTTTTTGTTCAGCCCTGTACTGTATAGACTTGTTGTGGCGAGTCCTGTCGCCCCTTTACTCTTTTGGTCCACTTTTGCTTATATTGTCCCCATTTCTTTCTAAGTGTCCTTAAGTTTTGAGACAACAACAATTGATTTAGTCAGATTGAACAAAGTCTGACTTCAGCCCTTCACAATAGGCTCTCGCCAGTGACACACGCACGTTAGGGGCCGTGAGCTGTGGGCGCTTGCATACCGAACCTTCTAGCTGGCTGGACGATGTGATTGGGCGTCGGGCTCTGAGAACGGTCTGCTGAATTAGCCGAACAACGGCAATTTGGAAACGCAAGATGAATGAAACATTGGGAGCCCTTTACCCCATTCAACCTTGCCGAGCTTTCCCCGAAAGGGAGTAAGTTGGCAATAAATGTTATTTCAGCGACCTCCTCGATCGTGTATTGGAGTCATGGAGAAAGATGGAAAGGCTGTAAATGGTCGGGCAAACCGCGAAAAGAAATTTCAACCGAAGAAAGACTATTTACGAATAGGCGACGTGGTCTTTCCTTGTTGTGGCTACCATGTTTCTATCTCCACCCTCTGCCCGAGGAAGGACTGATCTAGTACGGACATATTCGACTAAGAGAACCCGAGAAGCAACTTCCCTGGTATATAGGATATACAGGAAGAAGACGAAGAGTATGGAGAAATCCTGGTGAGCCAGGTAGCCTATGCTACCTCACCATATCATCAAGCAGTAATGTGATCTTGAGCATGACCTTCTACACTAAAACTAGGTATTCAAAACGAGTTAGCGAATGTAACTCTGGAACGCGAGTCTATCTCACTCTCTATCTTGCTGGGATACAGAAGCAAGAGTAGGACCTCGATCCTTTCCACTTTTTTCCGCTTAGGTTTTGTTTCTCGTCCTTGTCCATTCACTTCTAAGCATATCACTAGTGGTCAAAAGGTCCCAATTTAAAACAGAAGCTGTGATACGTCCGTATTCTTTTCGATTTTGATATTTTTCATCATCAAAACCCACGCAACGGAAAGTGCCATGATAGAGGTCCCGGCAATCATCATGTTGCGTTGGCTTACGGCATATGCGTTCTGAATGGCAATGCGAGTAGCCGAACCAACAGGATAGCTCAGCTGAACATCCAATGATTCATAAATCTCCGACCATTGGTCTTGAACATCAGCTGGTAGATATTCGCGCAACTTGACAGGAAGCGTGTTGGTCTAGATTGCACCCGAAACACTGCTGCCAACAGCACCACCCAGGTTACCGAATGTGCTAAGCAATGCCAGCATGGCAGCGTATTCTTCGTGCTTGGAGGCAGCCAGAACCGCAGCCTGCTCGATAAGGATGAAGGTTCCACCGCCGACTGCAAGAAAGATCTGGCACATGCACATGTATCCGAGACTATGCCCGGGCTGTCGGAAGTAGATCATTAATCCGTTGGCAAGAAGGTAGAGGAGCAGTGCACCCATCAGCAGCCACTTGAATCGACTGGTGACTCTGATGAGGTAGCCACATCCAATCAACCAGATAGGATCCATCAGATCGAAAATCGAACTAATGTACCCAGCCTACGTCAGGCTAGTGTTATAAACGACCTGCAGATAGGAGGTAAAGTAGGCGTTCCAACAGTAGTAAGAAACTTGGTAGGCAATGTCTAGTAGACAGCACCAATAACAGTACGGTTGGTGAGCAAGTGATACGGAATGAAGGGCTTGGGTGCCCCCCAGCGCTCGTAGACAACAAAGAGCACAAGAACGAAGAATCCGACGATGATCATAGAAATAATCTTCGCTGATTTCATTCGCCGGTGGTATTCCCGGCAATATTGAACGCAACAAGAAAGAGGATCAGACCGCCAGTCATGAGGAATATACCTCCACCTGTTGGGATAGTATCAGCCTTGTGGGCAAGATCTTGCTTTTTAGAAGCTTCATTCGGGGATATTGAACCTACCATCAAATTCAACAAGGTAATAATGAACGCTTTGTATCCAGGTACGAGTGCTTCGCGGCTTATATTGTAGTCGGCCCTCTTTGTCTGCCTTCCGCTTGGCAAGCTCCCAAGTGACTATCAACGGTAGTGCGACAAGAGGCAGGATAATACAGATGGTACCGTAAGTCCAGCTCCAGTTGGTCTCATGAGTTTGGTTCGACAAAAGGGGCACCGGCAAATGCGGTGATGACATTGGGAGAGGAAGTGAAGGCAAAAGCGATGCCTCGATTGCGCAGTGACGATGTATCCGAGGTGATCACGTCGACGCAATAGATCACACCAGTGAATCCGATCGTGTAGAATGCCTTGATCAAAGAACCCGTCAGCTTCAACGGCATAATCATGGTCGGGGGGGGTTCCTGAAGGTTAGAAAGGAGCTTACTTGAGCAGCGCAATAAGTTGCAATGTCGTGACAGCAGGCCATCATAATGAGACCCATGATGGCAATCACTAGCATAATGAAGATGCCGAGGGTCCGATCCCACAGATTCAGCACTTTGGCAATTGGCATCAGACACGCTGCGCTCATTACGCTTGTGACAACGCTGATCACGGTGAGCAGCGAGTGACTGGAAAAGTCACTTATAATGTATGCGGACAGATTCGACGTCAAGTTGCTGTTGAGTCCATGGACAAAGTAAAGCATCCACATGCTATGTGCTCGTTAGTCATTCTTCCTCAGACTTGTAGAGACTGATTTTACTTACCATGCATATGCGATAATCAGTGACTTCTTGGACCATGAAGAGGTAATTGCTTCAGCGACACAAACACCATCCTGCTTGTCTTTGTCCACATCAACAGGTCGATGTTCGCGATGTAAAGGAACCGGGTCTTCGTTGACTTCAGTCATAGTCGCAGGCTTAGAAATGGTCATTCTGACCTGGATTGAAGCAAAAGAAATTGACTGATAGACCTGAAAGTTGATTTTTCTAGGGAAGCTAAGGCTATTTTAAAGCCAAGCATAACAAGCGTCTGTCTCCGAATACTTTTCTTTACGTTGTACGCCCCACTAGATTTCTCCATCTAAGTAAAATTTTCCACCTCCCAATACTCCGGAAACAGACTGTTCCGGGTGGGTTTGGGGCTAAAACTTACTGATTATTGGCACTTGCTCAGTCTCGCCTGCCTGCCTTAGAAATGGTGAGTGGATGTTGACCACTGATGGCCTGATTTTGGTAGCGAAACCAAGGGTCGCACCATTTCACATCTATGATCTCAAGCTGGAAATGCTTAGGCAATGGCGATAAGGTGAACTTATTCTCACATTCTCTCCTTGAACCTGGGGGTTCGTCTTCCGATCTTCCCTTGGCACTGATTGATAACGTCAAGACCCCACTATCTAGCTTGTGTTGATGGCCCTCGCCGAAGGTACCCTATGGTCTCAATTTTCAATCATGGGGTCTATGGAGCCAATTTGCGGCCAATTTGGGACGTCCTCGTGTCATAATTGGCTATGACTAGTCAAGGCACGATCATACTGTAACCCCCAGAAAACGTGGCGATACTTTGAAAATTGTCGCCTAAAAGTTGTGGAGATCCTTCTTCGCAGGCATGAAGGCGACATCGATCAGTCGAGAGGAATCGACAAACATTGAATTCTTGAGCCGCAGGTCCAAGTAGGCTTAATTTGGTTCATCATCCCACGAACTCACAACCGAGTAAATCAGTAGACCGTCAAGGAGCTGTGAGACTGTCGGCGAGGACAATGCAGCGGAAAGGGTCACCCTCTTGGCTTCTTGGCACGACTGAAACATTTTTCTCATAGCGGGCACATCCGAACGAAAACTCCGTTACTAGTGCAAAGAGCTCGATTCGGCGGCCGGACCCTGAAAATCTTATCAGTCTTATCAGATGCACCACGATCTTGTTAGGGATTTCCTCTATGAGTCCAGTGATGAATGCATCATGGCGAGAATTCCTCATCCATGAAACATTTGTGCGGAAGCCTCGGGTCCATCTGGTAAGATCTTTGCCAAGCGCAGAAGAGAAGAACTTCATAGCATGTGTTGCTTCCCCCTTTCCACTGACTTTTGTTCATTATGAACAAATTCGGTAGCATAAAAACGAAACTTCCAAAATTCATTCCGACTCCAAACACAATAGGTGCGAAGCCAGATAGCATAATCAGGTCATGGGGGAGGAGAATAGAAAGCGCCGGAGTAGATTGAGGATCTAAATTTTCCCGACATACTATCACAGGCGATGCTTACAATTCCCCCATTGAGAGGGACTCGAAATAGGTGCGGTGGTTATAAGCACATCTTCAAGCAAAATTTGACACCATGAAGACTTTCATATGAGCAGCTGGTACAAGGGGTAAGGCTTGAGAGACTCTTCCACTCTTGCGTGGAGTGATAGGAAAACCTGCGCTGTGAAAATGTGCTTCGCCAGACACAGCGGCTGGACCATGAGAAGAAAACTATTCAATGGCCACTTTTCAGGGGGTCGTTGGATGCGCCAGACAAGTTCTGTGGTCCGTGCTAACACTGCCACGGCAGCTCGACATGGCTCAAGTTTCCCAGGTTCTTGGCAGATACACACAATAGGATCAGGTGGTCATCACCCCATGTCGAGCCAAGGGACATATAAATAGCTCCAGCTCTCCTAGCGTCCTCGTTTCCTCATAATTCCCCGTGATTGAGGCCCGCGTAAAATATCCGATTGTAGACTGTCAGATCGAGAGCTTGGACCGCCGAGCCGCAATCCACGGTTCACGGTCCACTCGACGGCGTTCTCCTCCCCACGTGCACCCGATGTACCTCTCAAGGACCAAAGATGCCTCTCGAAGGCTGTGCGACATTTTATTTGGCGGGGCGTCTCGTGTCACGGTTCTATTTAGATGGGCGTCTTGCATTCTGATATTCTCCGCTCCACTCATCGATCGGCCATGCAGCCTTCTCGAACCAATATTGCAGACTTCCTCTCCTTTGTACCTGATGCTGATACAGCAAAAGCGGTCTTGTTTCTCCAAGTACGCACTGAACTCCCCCCCCCCAATGGGGAGGGATCGATCCTGAAATCCCGTGACTTTGCAGCTAATCGTGAGGCAAGGGTGCCGAAAGTGTCAATGAGGCCGTCGATCAGTATTACGAGAATTCACAAAGATATTACAACAGAGCACGTCCAGTCATACGCACATCGATGAGTATCTCTGTGACTCAGCGGGCGCAGTCTGTCAATGGCAGTTCACCCCGGAGGTTGCCTTGTCGCCTACTTACCCTCCTTCATATTTACTCGCCATGAGAAGTCCACCCGCATCCACCGCAAGTCAAACAAGCCCGAGGCACTCCCTTGCAACAATGAGTAGTGAATCTTCACATCGTCCTCATACAAATGTGTTGATTGAAGCTTCCAAGCTCCGCGCCCGAGATGAGCATGAGATGCAAAAGATGCTACATAGTGCTCAGCTTTCAGGTCGGGTCTTCAATCCTGAAGTTGAACCCGAACATGACACAACTGATCTTTGCGACTGTCCCGTCCATACGTATTGGAAACGCAAAATTGAGCGACTCGATACGCACGAGACCTGGTCCAAAGCCGTCATGTATCCTGGGGAGAAGTCATATCATGAATTCACCCACCTGCGATTTTTCAACAATAACCCTTATTCCGAAGTCATGTCATCATACGCACCTAATGGGTCTGCAATTTACGGAATCCCCAGACCTGACCCACAATTCCACGCTCGATTCGTCGAGCAAACCATCGCATTAGATACGAGCCTCAATATCAAAGCACAAGCGGCTGTCCAAGCAACAGAGCCGTCTTTCAATATCTGGGAGCTCGAACAGCTCGAGTCTCTGGTATCGACAATGTCTCCCACGCATCACCTGTCCACGGACGGGGATGGGCATGCAGAGAAGTCGACAAGACGCTCGAGCTTCAGAAAAGTCTTGTCCGTCAAAAGCTCGGACGAACGAACAGCTGGCAAAATTAAAAAAAAATTGGCAGGGTCATTCGAACTGCGCGCTGACATTCTGAACGAAGAGAATGGTCGATGGCAGTACGACTCGGACAGAAAGATCGTTGCAGCTTACCAAGAGAAGGTCGGCATGGCTCGACAAGTCGCTGAAATCCGAACACATAAACCTCAGCAATACATACATCTGCTCCGAGCGGGATATTTTGAGCCAATTCCTGTCGCTTGGCAAGGCCAGGTTTCCAATCCCCTCGGGTTCACCATTGACTCTGCGGCGGGCTGGAGAGGGATCACACCTGCATGGCGAGGTTACACGAACAATGCCGAAGAACGACTCTACTGGGTTTTGAATCACAGGGAAGGAGGCGGGGGTGTGGTCAAACCAAACTTGTTTCGAGAGTTCGAGATTGCAACCGCGCGAATGGCTTCGGCGGAGGAAATCAATCCTCGATATCATACAAACGACGATATCTGTCATGAGAGAAATCCTGTGAATTACACGAAACAAGTCAGAGCCCCTTTCATACTAGGGTATACGCCCAAATTGCCGACCGATGAGACGATGATTTTGTTGGATGCTTCAGGTTCGATGGATCGTGATCCTCTGCGACCGGAATTTGCTAAATATCTCGTCACGGGGTTCTCGAAATCCAAACAACCGAGAAATAAAGGTGATACCCATTCTTTGAAATCATTGTCAATCTGCTGGCTGACCCTTGATGGCAATTCAGACATCGCAAAGGCCATCGTGTCTCGCTTTATTGAAGCTTTAGGAACATACGAAAACAACGGACATGGCTACAAACTTACAACATTCTCCACCGATGCCGAGTACATCGACGTGATTCACAGTTGGACCTTAAATGAGATCTGGAGGGAGATCATATTCAAAGGTCGGGCCCGAGTCATGGCAGGATGGCAGAAAATCAAGGAGCTCCACTTTCAAAAACATTCTGCGACAGCCACATACCATCCAGTTTATGGCTGGCAAGCGGGTCCAGAAACGCCGACAGCCCGACTCCTTTTGATCCTGGATGGTGAAGCCAATGACATGGACGAGTTTGAGCTCGAGCTTCTTGGCGTTTCATGGGCTTACATCACCATTTTCTTGATCGGTGTTGATGGAAGTCTCCATCACCATCGACACGCGAGCAGATTGCAGCGAATGAGCGAACATAATCCCCGGATATCTTTCTTCGACGCGCAAGGAAACATTCCTGAACGAATGGTCACGCACGAATTGCTGAAGCGGCACCTTGGTCGCGACCTCACTATTTCCCAATTCGAGGAATTGGAGCAGACCGCGGCGGAATTACCATCTCCATTGCGTCCACAGCACCAGAGAAATCGCTCGAGTCAGACTACTCTGGAGCACTTGCCAGTTGAACTTCCCTCGCCAGAGGAAACATCACTATGGCAGAGAGAGCAGCTTTCGCCACAGAGACGTGGGCTCTTCGAACTACCTGCACAGCAGGCGCCAGTGGAATTACCTACGAGTGAGGACTTAGTCACCCCGATGCGGCCTTCTAGACAAAGGCCTCCTATACCAAGACCTCCTATGCCATCGCGACAGCCGCCGGTGCCTCCACCATTACAGTACGGGCCATCTGACCCCCCGCCGCCTTATTTGGAGACTGTATGATGGTATTGCGAGAATCCCGAGATGATCTCATGATTTATGACGAATTGGTTCTGTAAATATACCCTGAAACGCATTATTTGTCCTGCAGATCCCCTTTGAAAGAACGTAGACATCATAAGTGGGATACCCCAGAAAACTGTCGGCAACCTAATTAAACATGACACCATGCTCATCGGCGATTATGTGCGGGGTCTCATTGTGAGCGAAATTTCCCAATATCACCATAGTATATACTATTTACTATTCCTTCTCGTGGATCGTATTGCTGCCCGGAATGCGTCTCGTCTCATCCCTACCCTTCAAAACACCGCTTTTCTCCGAGACCTCAGATACATGCCGGCTGTGCAGCAAGTTTGCGCTATTGAACTTATCAGAGAAATACGAGCCTTGGCCTCCCACCATCGGAGTGATTGACAGCCCTTGTGGCCTCGTGATCGGTAGAGATAACGGGCGCCAACGGCTAGTGAAAAATATCGAAGATGTTCCAGAATTAAACCCAGGAGTCTCTGGTGGGATGAGGGACTGTCCGCTATAGGCTGAACTGGGTTGTAAAGGTGCGTTCAGAAAATCAGATGATATATTATATGGGGATGGCAGCTCGACGGGAGAAGAATCTTCGACAAAGGTCAGTTAGTTCTCGATAGGAGATCGGTTCTCAATATTAGATCGGACGATTACAAGAATGAACTTTGGAAACATACCCTGGATCTCATAGATGGCATCTCCTCCTGATTCCACAGTGACGGGAGTTGCTGCCGATATGCTCGAGTTTTGTGTAGTCTCCACGCCTGTGGAGTGGGATGGCGGGCCGGGCCTTGGGGAAATTGCACCTCTTTCGTCCGTAAGTTTGTGATCTTCGGTGTCAGTAGGTTTTGGTTCCTCGGCTGGTGCGGGCTGTGGCTTGATTTCTGTGTCGACGGTACACCCAGAATCCCACGAGTCCGACTACAATCAGGCCGCAAAATACAGCGATGATTGCGGCAGCCCATGAAGGGATTTTGCTGCCTTGCTTGTTTTCCGTGGTTATGCTGGTTCTGTTATATGGCCAGTAATTTGTTATGGTCTTGTTATACTTCTTTTCAAAAATTCCAGCCAAGGAGCTATTAGTCCATGACGATGGAGCAGTGATAGTGGCGCCTCCTGAGGAACTAGACATGTTGGATTGATTAGCTATGACCATGTCGTATTCAAAAAGAAGAGCTGAGAAAGCTGAGATATATTCTCATGACTCTGTGCTCACCTCCCGCCAATCTCTGCTATCAATATATCCGGCACTTTGTACTCATTCCATTCCGCAGGGTCATAAGTACTCTGGAAAACTAAAGTATTGAGGTTGAAGTTCACAATGATGCCGCCATCTACACAGTTCGTTGGGTCGACATGCAGGCCTCCAATAGCAAGCATCTGATTCGGATATACCTTGATACATCGGTGCCCACTGCGGCCGTGTATTGTGGTCCCGCTGTAAGCCTTGATCCACTTGAAAGAGGGCAAAGACAATATATAAACATCATCTGATGGAACTGAGTCATACTCGTAACCATTGTACCCACCGTAAATGTAGACATTATGTGATGAACCATCATTGGCACTGGCAAGAACCGAGCAGAACTGGGTGAGTTGTGGAGGCACCTCACCCGTCGTATTTTGCAGATACCATTTCTGACCATCAACGTCGTAGACAGAGACCGTCTCCATGAAAAATGGGCTGATCTTCTTGTTGAGTGTTGTTTGTGACGGGTCCAGCCCAGTATCTCGCCAGAGCTCGACAGGGTCAACTACTCCGCGAATGGCCACTAAGACTCCAGATTCAGATACAGGAACCCAGACCACCTCGGCACCAGCACGACCGGGAACATAACTTGGAAGGGTATTGTTGGTCCATTCTTCATTTCGCATCACCTTCAGGTTGACAGAGATAAGTGTGTCGGCTGTCATGTTGGATTCCATCCCATCGTAGGTGAAGGAGCCCCAGTGTGAGGCGCGCATACCGCTGAAGAGGAAGCCTATATCCTCACTAGGGGACGGAAACGGAAGCACCGCTAGTGATATACCGTGTAATATTGGTAGGAAGAGTCTCTTCTCTCCAACCTGGTTCCCAGTTATTGCGGTACGCACCATACTGGTAGGCCTCATACCCGAGGACTGTATTATCGGGCGGTGATTCGGTACTATTTGTGAGACGGAGCATGCCCCTGCGACAGTAGCTTAGCTTTTTCGTTCACTAAAAACAAGACAGAAAGTCGGAGGTGCAAATCTATCCGTAAAGGAAAAACCCGTCATGGTTGGCGAACATGGCGCCCTCGACATAGCCTGGTGCTATGTTGTTGGCGGCCCCACCGGCGATAGACGTGTTGGTAAGAACGTCCATGAAGTTCGAACTGGTGTTGAAAGGGGTAGTAAGGTTCAAAGAATAGATAGAACCCTGCAGGTTGCCTAAAATTTGTGAGTTTGACAGAGACACAATCTATTCAAGTTCTTACCATCATTGACATAATTCACACAACCATCCGAATATCCTCTGCAATAATCAGCTTGAAATGGAATTGATCTGGATGGGAAACACCGCATACTGCTGTAACCATAGCTCCCCTCCGTCTATGTAGATTGTGTCGCGAATGATGTTGGCTGTTCGTGGTCAGTACTAGGGGGGATCGAGCAGCAATGATTATGTCTGGACGATGTACAGAGACCTACCTCGAAGGCCTTGCCAGTTACAAATGGATATATTGACCTGAGTCTGCCACGAATTGCATTTCCCTGTGACTGTATCAATCACCACAGCCAGCAGCGTGAGAGCCGCTCCAGATTGAGGCCGCATTGTGACTCGAGGATATCGTGGACAATCTCGGCGGTGTTATTCAGGCTCATAATTGAAATGAAAAATCAAGTTCGAAAATCTACAGGAAAAAGAAAGAAAGAAAGAGGCCTTAGTCGAAATGGGGAGAAAGTGACAGGGAGTGGCGAAATGCCTCGTCCCGACTAGTGATCCTACGAGGTGTGCCTTTGTTTATGTGAAGATAGAAGATGAATGATGAGAGATATGATAGATGATTGATTCTAGAGATGAAGCTATGGATCTAGATATCATGGAGGCTGAGGCAAGGATGCGGTGAAGTGGGGCAGTATCCCAATTCAATGCGAACACCCCCCTCGCGCCGAGCGGGCTCCATGAGAGACAAGAAGCTTCCTGAGGCTATTTTCAATAGAAATGCGCCTCTCCCATTGGTCGAATCAAAATGTGGTTGGAATATTAATGTTGAAGCGTGTGTAAGCATGTAAAAGTGTCAGGTTTGCTGTGGAATGGATGCCAGACCCAATTGCTTCACAAACCGCTGAAAAAGGGTCATTGGAAGTGGTTTGGTGAGGCCATCAGCAGCCTGCTCCGCGGTGGGGACGTACTGAAAGAGGCAATCATTGGATGCAGCCTTCTCCCGCACATAATGATATTTGACATCAATATGCTTTGAGCGGGTGGTGAATTTGTCCGAAGATGCTAGGGCAATGGTGCCCTGATTATCCTCATAAATGACTGTCGGCCTTGGCACGAGGGCTTGCTGGCCGAGTTCTGTAAGTATGAGTTGAATCCAGGATAGATCTTGGCAGCAGAGGCATGCCGCAACGTATTTAGCTTCCGTGGAAGAGAGGGTGACAAGGGTTTGCCTCTTTGATTGCCAGATGATTGCGGCGCCGGCTAGTATAAAGACGTAGCCGGTGGTCGAGAGCCGATTATCGTCGTGCGGGCTTGCCTATAAGGCATCCACGTAGGCGAATAAGGCTAGACCAACCGCAGGATGGTGGGAAAAATAAAGGCATAGACTTTTGGTGCCTTTCAGATAACGGTAGACTCGTTTGATAGCCTGGAAGTGCAAAGAAGACAGATTGTGTGAATATTTCGTAAGCTTACAGACTGCCCAAGAGACGTTAGGCCTGGTGGACACCACCACCCACACGAGCGAGCCGACTTACTCCTGGTAAAGCTGTACTATCTGTGGGGTAGCCTGAGCACCGGAATCGTAAGGGGAAAGAACCTCTTTATCGTTAAAAGGCGTCTGAATAGGTTTGACAGAAGAAAAGGTGAAGCGAGACAGAATCTTGTCGATGTAGGCTTCCTGCGAGAGATAGACGTCGCCGGCGAGGTGCACGATATCTATTGCCAGGAAACGTTTCATAATACCATTGTCCGTGAGCTAGAAGTGCTTCGAAAGGACAACCTTGAGTAGCTCAATGGAACCAGTCCCCTTTGGGGACAGAAGAAGTATATCGTCTATATGGACGAGGATATATATACGTTTGCCCGTATGGGTGAAAACAGAATGGTCAGCATGGGTGCGCGTGAAGCCAAGAGATAGAAGAACGCCTTTGAGGGTGTTATACCACTCAAGAGGAGCCTGGCGCAGGCCGTAAAGGCTACGCATAAGAAGACTAACTTTGCCTAGGTGGTCGTCCTTCACAATCTTAGGAAGTTCAATTTGAATAGACTCCTTTAGGTCTGCATTGAGAAATACAGCCACGATATTAATATGATGGCAATCCCATGAATAAGCTGCATACAAAGCCATGAAGACCTTGAAGCTTATAGGACGGGCAGTGACGGCGTAGATATCGAGGAAATCCCGGCCTGGAACTTATTAGAAGCCACGAACCACTAACCTAGCCTTGTATGTGCCGTCATCCTTGATGCGGAAGACCTAGCGTAAGGTGAGGGGCTTTCTGTTGCGTTCGCGGTCGATGATGCGCTATGTTCTATTGTCTGTATGATTTTTCAATTCCTTATGTGCAGCCTAAAGCTATTTAGCCTTGTCGGGGCAAGCCATGGCCTCAGTCCAGGTGTCCGGGGTGTAAGGGTCGCCGGGGCGAGAGGGCAATAACTCATCGACCGCAGGAAGGACGGCATGCGCCATAAGGATAGAAGATTCTTCTACCTAAAGCTCATGAGTTTCAAGGGCATGCTTCGCTGCAAGGCGTTCCGACCGTCGAATAAAAATATCCGGATGGGGTGGAACGACTGGTGAAATGGCCTGTGGAATAGGGTCCGAAGGGTGTAAAGACACTTTATCCTGATCATAAAGGGTCGATGTAGGACCAAAGGATACAGTATCTAAGGCCTTATTATTCACATCTAAGCCCACCCGTACAGGAATAGGTGGTGGTGCCTGCAAATCCCGTACACCCCCCCCTTCAATTTGTGCCTCCACTCCTTTATATCTGTGTTGAAGGTATCTGAAAAGACTATCGCTAATTAGTGGGAGGTAAGGATTAAGCTCGGGAGCACTAGAAGGACGGTCGCGAGGGCTTGCGGGAGGGGAATATCTAGCCTTATTTCGGCGAAAAGTGTCAGCATGGTCAATGAATTGATCGTCCTGGTGTTCCGCGAAGCCTTCAATTTGGTCGATATCGAAGGTTTGGTCAGTATGATAATCGTCGGCAAATAGAAGAAACTCAGCAGGGGCGAAGCGACGTCGCTGGCGCTCTATCTCGTCCATATTCATAGCCTAATTAGGCGAGGGCTTGTGGATTGCATCCAGATTATACGACGGCTTCGGCAGATCAGTGGGTGGCAATTCCTAGAAGATAACATCGCGAGAGATGACGATCTTCTTGGTTTTGATATCATACAGACGGTAAATACCATCGGTCTAGTAAGCAAGCAGGCGGGCTTCGGCCATGTGTGGATAAAGCTTGGTTTCACGGCGCTGCGAGGGAATGAGATACCAGGCTTGACAGCCTAAGGCACGAAGGTTAGAAACGTTAGGTTGACGTCCATACAGTGCCTCGTACGGAGTTATTTCTATCTTAGAATGCCATAGACGGTTAAGGGTGTAGTTGACGCCCTGAATGAGTTCTCCCCATAGATATCGCGGCAGCTAGTGCTCGGTGAGCACCGCAATAAGTGGTTCGACGAGCCAGCGATTTTTGATCTCGGAGATACCATTCAATTAATAGGCATACGGCGGTGAGGCATCCTAGGTAGTCCCCTTGGACTTAAGATAGGCTTGCAATAGACCGATAAATTCCTTAGCCCAATCTCTATGCACTAACTTGACTTAGTAGCTAAACTGGGTAAGAAGGTAGCTTTCGACGACCTAGTAGCATTTGACGACGTCCGTACGGGCCTTCATAAGGAAGATCTAGCAGAAACGGGACGCCTCATCGGTGATAGATATAAAATAGGTCTCGCCTTCCTTAGTGGCAATAGAAATAGGTCCCCAGACGTTAATATGCAGAGAGTCGCCTGGACGGACGCGGATAGATTTGTTGTCGCCGTACGGAAGTTAATGACCTTTGCCAGCGAGGCATGGAGGACATAGAGTCTTCAGGGCGGAGCCTTTAATTAATTTGATGCCTTCCGCGAAGGCAGGCATGCGGCGAACGCGCTGCTCGCCTATATAACAGAAACGTCGATGTGCGAGGTCCATAGAGATAGGTTTAACCTCCATAGGCATAGCTCGCACCACTGAAGCCGTGGCGGACGTCGTGAAGGTTGCGGAAGTATAAAAGGTCTCTAATTGGTGCTTCGAATCAGTTCGTAACCAGTAAAGATCATTGTCGGCGTCTCCATAACCCACGACCTCACCGGAGCTGACCTTTGTAAGGGTTGCATGGTCAGAGAGCGTGCAGGCAATGCTATCGTCGCGGAACATAGTGCGACACGATATAAGGGAATTCTCGAGGTCCTCGGCGTGCCAGACGTTCTTTAAGATGATAGAACTGATGATCTGGCCGTCCTTGCCGAGCGTGGTCAGATTGACGGTGCCTAGGCCCTGAGTGTAGAAGCGTTTCCCATTTGCAGCCTTCACGGGGACTCTGCATAGGGAATATTCGATGAAAGCGTGACGGTTTGGCGTTATATGGTGTGAAGCGCCCGAATCTAGCATCCAACGAAGTGGATTGAGACTAGCATTCGCCGTGGAGATTGTGGAGATGTCGATAGAATCGATCTGGACATTAGCAGTGTTAATAAATATATCCTCCGGGCTGGTTGGAAGCTCCGCAGTCGCCTTTGCCGTGGTGGTGCCCTTATTGAAGGACTTGCCGGCATTTGCGGGATTGAGGAAGCATTGCTCGGAGGTATGTGCCGACTTTCTATTGTGGAACGTACAAAACCACTTGCTTCGGCTACCCCCCTGATTGTTGGAAGTCTGCGAAGCTTGATGACCTTGCTGTCGGCCTAAATAGTCTTTCTGTTGGTAACCAGACTGCTGCGAGGACTGCTGGGAGGACTGCCGAGAAGTCTGTTGCTGTGAGGACTGCTGCTGAGCACCTTTCTTCGTAGTGTTAGAAGAAAGGGTAGGATGTTGCTTGGTGCTATTGTAGCGCTGGTCCTTAGCAGTGCCAAAGTTAGCGAAGACGTTCTCCATGAGTCTGTCGTCCTTTAGGTCGAATTTCTGGGTGCCCTGAAGCCAAACCGTGGCATTAGGGTGAAAGCCCACAGCACGGACGAACATAGAGAATTGAATGGCGACAGAAAGATACTCGTCGCCTAGTGCTTAGTCTACTTCCACGTAGGCACGCTGCCAGTTTGCCATAAACTGTGCGCTTTGAAGGCCTGGTTTGTAGACGGTAGACTTAAGCTTTGCCTACTTAGTGGCAATAGTCTGTTATGTGGGGCGGCCGTACAGCTTTTCAATAATTCTGAAGGCTTCAGAAGCATCTTCAGTCTGTTTGACATACTGCATTGGGTCGTAATCGAGGCAAGAGACGAAGATGTTAAGGACTGTGAACATAAGAGCTTCCCACTCTTGAAATTCCTTGTTTGGCTCATCGTAATACTCATAAATGAAGTCCTCAAGCTCCTGAACAGACAGTGTGTCAGGGAAGATGGTGGCCGGCGGCTCATCATCCTCATGAGAGCCTAAAAGAGAGCGTGGTCGTCGTCGATGCTCACGCAACGCCCTGTTATTGTGTTCCTTTGCGATATACTCACGAAGCGTGCGCTCGCTAGGGACAGTGCGATAAGAAGTGAATTGGGGACGATCCTCACCGATAAGGATCTCCCAGTGGCGTACACCGCGAGACTTGAGAGCTCGCTTGAGTTTGAATAGCCAGTTAGAATAGTTTTGGGAGCCTTTGAGCTTCCCCACACGGTCGGTGATCTTGCCGTAGTCGTCCGTAGCCATTGTAGCGACAGAGAGATGCAAGAGAGACCGTAGAAGGTGCCTGAATGAAGGTCTTTGATGGAAAATGCCTCTGGTCGAGGTCGTTAAATGAGAAAAGGCCTTCGCACGACACTCGCGGCGGCGAGGTCGGCGACGGCGAGGTGAAAAGCACTGGTGAAGGGTGTTGGACTGTGGTTAAACAGCCTCAACAGAGCAGAGGGCTCATAACCTGTGAAGATAGAAGATGAATGATGAGAGATATGATAGATGATTGATTCTAGAGATGAAGCTATGGATCTAGATATCATGGAGGCTGAGGCAAGGATGCGGTGAAGTGGGGCAGTATCCCAATTCAATGCGAACAGTTTACTTTCTTTGTTGCCCTAGATCGCCATCTCGATATCACGCGGGAAACAGCCAACGACAACCTGGAGCTCTGCATAGCCTTGAGAATACGTCCAAATGAAGGAACATTAAATGTGATTCTCATCCTAGTCTTTTCAATCCAGGCCAATCATGTATAGCTCGTGTCTTATTCAGAACCTAAGGGAAATTCGAAGTTGGTTCTTGAAGGTGAAATGCTTATGTATATGGGTAGTGCTGTCAAATACGAGCTACACGAAATCCCAAGGCCAAAATTTTGCTTCTTTGTCCTCGAAAAAGCCACAGTCGCATATAGGGGCTTTGGTGTTACGAGTCTGTCGACGTACTAAGCAGCCATGAATTTCCGCTGCATTTGAGCCTTGGACAATTCTTGACTTTCAAAAGCCTCTAGCCGATTGTATGAGTCGCTTCTACTTTGCTTTCTTTCATTCTCCGGTCACATTGGGTCTTCAAATCGTTCTGCAGAAAGTCGAGGATGAAGGTCATGGCTAGATGGTCCGTATTGCTGGTGGACTTTGCGTATGCTGAAACTGTCTCAAGCTACATTAGCAAATCCACCACAATTGCTAGGCCGCTACAGGGGATTCCAGGATATGCCGATCACATAATTCGGCGGGACAATCTGGCAGAGCTCGTCGGAGAAACAATCACGAAAACTGTTACAAAGGATGTGACCATTACAGAATGCACTTGTGACATCCAAAAAACGACGACTTCAGCTACGGGTACCGGTAGCTTCACCACGGCTTTTCCGAGTGAGACTGCGACTATCAGCACTACCTCTACAACAAGTCTTGTCATAGCAACGAATACCGAATCCTCGACAACAACCCGTGTTAGTGATCTGAGCACGACGAAAATCTCGACTTCAACAAGTATTCCGACAAGTACGAAGACGCGAGAAATCATATCGACATAAAACACTTCTACTGTTGAGCTCAGTAGCACGTCTTCTCATGAAATAGCAACAACTAGTACTACTTCGACTAGTACGCCAGCGTCAACACCGCCTTCGACTACTAGCAGCTCAACGGGTGTAATCTCCATGTCTATGATGAGGACCACTTTGACATCCACTTCCTCAGCTAGTCCTACTTCAACTATGACTACCTTGAGTATCACTTTTTCCAGCACACCTCATTCGAGTCCAACTACTCCGAGTACAACTACCTCAAGTGAAACTCCTTCAAGTACAACTACTTCGAGTAATACCTTCCCGCCTAGTACCACCTCGACGAAACTCACCCCGGGCATACCCACTCCGAGCATAACTACTTCGAGCATAGCGATCTCTGTCGCCACATCGACTGCCACCTATACAGACTCCCCCAGGTCTACCACAAGCACACCTAGTCTGAGTACTTCTACGCCGACCTCTGTCACAATGAGTACAACAAGGACCACGTCCACCACGACTTCGACTATTTCGAGTACGCTCACTTCAACTTCTCCAATCACCTCAGCCTCCTCAATGCTGACCACTTTGACCACACCGATTACTCTCATCTCAAACACAACTGCATCTAGTCCTACTAAGTTGAATACGCCCACTTTGACCACATCAGCCACGACTGCTTCCACTACAATCAGGTCGAGAGAATCAGCATCAAGTTCATCCTCTTCAACCACCACTGCATCTATTAGAATGTCATCGACAATCAATGAGTCGACTGTCTCGGCTTCCTTCCCAGGATCTACCATTACAGATATTTCGACGGCAACAGTGACGACAGGCGGTATTACCGTGACAGATACCATGACTATAGCGACTACCATTGACAATTCAAATTTTACTGTAAGAGTTACTACAGGGCCCCTTGCAGGAATTACTCCATCAGAGAGCACTATAGGATCCCAAACTTTTTCAGGATCTTTAACGACTGTTCCCGCATCCACCATTACAGCAGTCATCACCTGGCGTGATAGCACCGTTACCTTAGCGGGAAGTACCACCATTGTTCCAGCCTCAACGCCCAACAAGGTCATCACGAGTCCTGAAAACACGGAGACTGTCATTGAATCGGCCATATTGGTTAGCACTGCTACTTTACAGGGTAAGTTTCTCTACAAAAGCTTTTCATCGGGTAAAATTAGCTTAACACGTATACCACTACTAGGTATAGATCCGCCCGAAACTGTTCCAACCCCTGTAAGTAGCACTGGGACTGGATCAGAAGTTACACCGACAGAGAATTTCACCGGAACTACGACCATTGCTATGTCAGTCTGCGCGACCTTGACCATCAATCCAACACATACACCCGCCTCTCCTTTGCCGAAAGATTATACTTGGGGTTGCCCGCCTGGCTATCTCTGCAAACCTCCTCATACTGGCGACCGTGCCAACTGCAACATTGAAGCTGGTCTGCCTGCCGCCAGCTACATCTGTAGGCCCTCAGAATGTCTCGTGGCGCCACCCTTGGTCTTTGAAAAAGTTCCTGACCCGGCTGGTAACCATTACAACGTGTCTCACTTCTATTACAATCTCGATCCTGAAGACTTTGGCCTCAGGTACTCGATCTTGCAATCCGCAGAAGAGTCGATCGCGGCCAAGCGCAAGCGTGATATGATCACACTAGATGGCAGTGGCAGATCTCTCAGGAAATATGTCTCGCGCCAAAAATTTAAGGAAGATGTTTCGAACATTCCTGGTGTTTGCTACAATGATTGTAACGATGCGGCACTGGAAGAACAGGAAATGGGCAAGACACCTGCGTCATGCAAAATTGACTCGGCGTTTATGGTCGACTTGGGTAATTGCAAGACATGCGTTGCTCACTACGCCATGTCACCTTCGACCGCATGGTCTCAGATACTTTTGCCTTCATTTGCACAGTTTCTGGATTATTGTTCCGATCAGACGACAACTTTGATAAGCAGTACTATGGAGACAACAGCGGTCAGTACTACGACATCAGTGGTTACAATCATAGAAAGCCGCAGCTGGACAGTCATTCCCGTCACTACTGAAGCATCCGAAGAAACGACGGGGTCCAATCCGGTCACGTCAAACGCTTCAATAAGCAGTCAACTCCTTGGCGAAGCTACAGACACAACCAGCTTCGTGAAATCCACTGGAAGTGCAGCAGGTGACAGTGAGAGCAAAGATAGTGTCACTATCAGCACCAGTGACTCTGATGGCAAGAACATTGACGGGCAAAATGCTGGTAGCATGATCACTGTTAGCACTCATACTGCAAAAGCCGCTAGCTCAATATGGACAACGCGAGCCGCTACAGAGGGCACAATATCCAATCCTTACTTCGACTGGACGTCATCGCGCTCCAGAACTAGAAGTAGGGGACGTCTAAGCGACACCACTCCAACTGAAAGTCCGACTGCAACTGCAGATGGTTCAAGTGGCGCATACGACACAGGTTCTGAAAGCCATACGGGCACAACAAAGGCATCCGGCTCTGCCATTCTATTCACCGGGACAGCACCGGCTATCAATATCTCCCACATCGGCCCATTAAGCTTCTTGCTCGCTGTTGTGGCTTTCCTCCTCTAGAACGCCCACGTTCCCAAACTTGTTCCATACTCAGGATGCATCTTTCGATCTTGAGAATCAAATTGTGTCATGTTTGTTGCAGGAACACCATCCTGTGGAAGGTACAAATGGAGGATTAAGGACTGTTCAGAAGATGGAAATATTTAATCGATAATGTTTATTTTCATGAGTAAAAGCAGAAGCGACTTATCACGGGGCCGTTTCGAATTTCCTGATAATGTAAGAGGCCCTTTGAACACGGGTTTATCATTCCCTCCGGATAGAAGTCAAATTCAACTTTGAGAAGTAAATCTATTGATTTCGACACCTCCGGTTGATGAGGAAATTGATTAGAAATCGATAGATAGTGGGTGTAACCTTGATATACACGAGCTTTTTTCGTACCCCGCCTTGCATGCCATCTTGTATATGCGTGGTGTTCTCGATGAGTAATCATGAATGAGCTTACGCCTACAGGACGGCCTCAAACATAGAACCTGGCCGATGAACCAAGTATTCCGTCCACTGCGTTGCGCTGTATGAACAAGGGAACGATGAACGCCCACCATGCATCCAGCAATCAAGGATTTCAGCCTTGATTTTGCGGGGCCATCCGATGCCGAAGCCATTGAGGGACATAGTTTTCGCCGGTTTTCATGCCCACCCTTACTTCCGTAAAATGATGCCAGATACCCCTCTAGCTCGCAAATCTTAGACCGACCATATAATGCACTGCCTTCACGACCCATGTAGCATTGTGCTGAAAGTGACTGACGTCGAGCTTGATCAGATCATAAGCATGGGGGTCTGATTTAAGCCCAAGAAGAAACGAAATCAGCATCGGCCTGGCAATGAAGATGAGTGAGTTCGACCTTACTTCACATCGTTCAAATTCGATTTGGATGCTTGACTGCGGGCCACCATCATCAGTACATCGTCAGATTGGCCAAACGTCAGTCTTTTTCCAGGTTTTCCTTGAATTAACCTGCAACAAGTGACTATTCTTGCGCTGAACAATTACTGAAATGATTAGTACACCGGTGACTTCATGGCCTGTTGTAACGAAGAAATGGCCACCGCGCTCTTTGGAGCGTTTGAAAAGAACCGGAAGGAATTCATGGGCGATTCGCCCGCATTACTGTATACCTCAAATTTGCTTGTTCAATTTACTTTCTATTATCTTGCGGTTGAGCTGATTCATTAGACATGGAGCTGCTATGTACAGCCGAGTCCTACAAAGGACACGCAGCCGGCGGTCTTATCATGCAATACGGTTGCGACCTAGCCGACAAGGGTCAGATTTAAATTTTATATCGATTCGAGTCTTCGAGGTAAGAGGCTAGACGAGAAATTTGGCTCTGTGTTCACGAGGCAGGAATCACTGCCTATGGCCTATCATTACCACTTTGAAATGAGAAGAAAGAAGAAGAGTGACGAAAGCTCATAGTATTCAAGTGATTTGAGGCCGTGCCGTAACTTTGATGACAAATGAGAAGCATCTTACACCGATGCATTTGGTTCTGCTTAAGCGCCTTCTTATCGGAAGCAAATGTTTTTCAAAGAAATACGCTTAGAATATCAAGATTTTGAATCGTCCCCTTTTAGTCTTGACGATGTCGTCATCATATACATCTTTGACCAATCGGGGGATAGGGGATCTTCACTAAAGGTAGAACCATGGAAACCTAAACACCCGCAGACAGCGCGATTATAATATCCCTAAATGCTTTTGACCTCGTATACCCCGGGGCATGTATGCTGAAACTAGCTGTGGCAATTATAGAGCAGCCTAGGCTCGTATGTCGAGTTTGGTGCTGATGTCAGATTGTGCGACCAGATTCGTGTTTATCAGTGTATAAGAGTACTCCATCTCTGGCTTTCAAACCATGCTGTCTATAGTATCAAAGTATAAGCAATAAATTCCCTACTTGGAGTTTTTGTCAAATACTATGACGAAAACAGTCTTGATTATCGGCGGAACAGGCGCCCAGGGCATTCCTGTGGTCAAAGGTGCGTTCAATGGGGATGGGAACTCAAAACCGCTACTAACATCAGCTACAAGCCCTGGCCACTGGTTCTAAATTTAAGATCCGCGTTCTCACACGAAACGCTTCTTCTCAAGAGGCCAAGGATCTAGCAAGTCTTCCCGGCGTATCAATCTTCGAAGGAAACACCTACGACGAAGCCAGTCTCCGCCAAGCCTTCGAAGATGTCAGCCTCGTTTTCGCAAACACGAATGGCTTCGCTATTGGCGAAAAGTCAGAAATCTACTGGGGAATTAGAATCTACGAGCTAGCCCGAGAATACAAAGTCGAGCACTTCGTCTACGCAGGTTTGGAATATGCTTCCAAGCTTGGCGACTTTGATTCAAAATACCGATGCGGCCACTTGGATGGAAAAGGAAAAGTTGTCGATTATATCTCCGCGCAGCCAACATCGAAAATGGCATGGTCTGTATTGACCTCTTGTTTGTATCTGGACGGCCTGTCAGAGTTTCTGCGGCCCTTTCCCGACCCTGCCGATCCGGACACGATGATTTTTGCCGCGCCCCTTGGAGATGCGAAATGCCCTCTCATTTATTTAGAGGACTATGGGAGGTATGTGAGATGGATGCTTGATAATCGTGCGGAGAGCAACGGGCTTGAGCTACATGTGGCGACTGAGGACATTAAGTGGAAAGATCTCGCAGCTGTCTTCTCGGAAGTCACAGGCAAAAAGGCAGTGTATAAGGACGTGACTTTGGATGAGTATTTCCAGCTTGGAATCCTGGACCCCGATGAGCTCGTGGGTCATTCCAGTGATCCCAAAGACTCGACTCTACAGACCTATAGGGAGAACTTTTCGGGATTCTGGAATACATGGAAGGACGACTTGACTAAGAGGGACTACGAGCTGCTGGATAAGATTTTGCCGACAAGAGTGAAATCTGTGAAAGAGTGGATGGTGAAGACTGGCTATACTGGAAAGCCTACGTCGGTGTTGAAGGACTACCGCGACAAAGCTGGCAAAAAGTAGTTGCGAAGTGCGCTGTGATGGATCACTCTCAAAACAGGATCTCTCTCAATAATATATTGAATTAATTGGTGCTTTCATCTCAACCACAACAGATTGTCGATTCTTCTACCCCTTTAGCCTTTTCATCCACATCAATGCCAATAGTGACCACCATCCAATCGCAGAAGAACTTGCCCAATCCGGCGCCAACAAAGATACAAATAATCACATAGCCATTGAAGTACATCGCCAATAACATGACGATATACGCACCGCCAAATGTCAAGGCATGGATCACCGCCCGCACGAACTGCTGCAGTGGTGTAGTGCGGAAAGTGATCCGTCCCACGCCTTGATCCGAGTGCGGGAAGCGAGCCAGGGCTTGGCGCTGGAATTGGCGGACGAGGAAGGCGTCGTATTCACGCCCGATGCGCCGACAGAATTCCACGAGCATCACGAGTAGAATCACGCCTATGCATGTTGCTGCAAACATGCCATTATTTTGAATCTTCCATTCCGAAGAGAGGAAACAGGCATCGATGGTGTACCAGTTGAACAGCATCTGGTCTAATCAGCCACGTTGGAGCCAAGAAACCAGGCCTTGGCACTCACGGAGATTTTGCATTCACTGCTGCTGGAGCTAGCGGACATATGCATCTTGCGGATATTCTGCTCCAAGAACAGTGTAAGCAGTGGATTGTTGGAGATGTAAGGACACACGATTTACGTTGGGGGAGGGGTGTGGTTTATGGCCAGGCTTATAACACTGTCGCATCGCTGACTCCATACAAAAGCCGTGAAGTGGAGAGAAAGTCACAGCCAAGCCATCAATCTGCTCAATTCTTCTCGACTGCATGAAACGGCGATGGCGTTGAAATCAGGCCATGAGCCGGAACTACGTTCTACAAAACCTCCCCGGCTGGTCCTGTCAGAACAGACATCCATCTCCGACCGTACGACACTGACGTGCACGTTCTGTGAAGTGACTCGCCAGTGTGTTCCAACTATTTCCCCGTTGGGCAGTGACCTGTGACGCTAGTCCACACCATGTCTTTGAGATTGGATGCTCGTCACATCCAAAATTTGAGCGCTGCGACGACTCTAGAGCCTCATTGGGGTTATGCAGAACGTGCTGTTCCCTGCACTAACGATGCGGGCTCTTGCGCGTATCTCGATGCTGTCTACTCGGCTCATGATCTGGGAATGCTGTATACTGGAATAATTTGGTCGACCATCGGTGGTATCTTGTTGATATGGGCGTTTCTAAGACATTTCGGTCACCCAACGACATCACCAGCGCCAACATTGCCTCATTTTTCAGGTACAGAGAGATGCCATCGTGCGTTTGCAGCGTTCATTCGTCAATATTGTCTTCCAGACGCGCCGCGTACAATCTTCGGCCGCACGACGCGGTTACAAGTCCTTGTTTTGGCTGCTCTGGCCGGCTATCTGCTCATTTTCAGTTTTGTTGGCATCGTCTATAACACCTGGGTCACACCCGTGTCCGGGATGGAAGGCGTGCACAACACCCGCTCTAGTATCGGACCATGGTCGGATCGGGTCGGTGTCCTTGCGTATGCGCTTCTTCCACTCTCCATAATGCTGAGCAGCCGGGAGTCCTTTCTCTCCATGATCACCGGCCTGCCGTATCAAAGCTTCAACTTTCTGCATCGCTGGTTGGGGTATATCATCTTTGTGCAGAGCTCCATGCACACGATCATGTGGTGCATTGTCGAGTTGAAACTGTACCAGCCACAGCCATCTGTGGGGATTGAATTCATAACACAACCCTACATTGTCTGGGGTATCGTCGCTATGATCCTGCTGATTTTGCTGTTCGCTCTAAGTACACCCTGGGGTATTCGCATGACCGGCTATGAGACGTTCCGCAAAGCCCATTATGTCCTTGCTATGGTCTTCATTGGGGCCTGCTGGGGTCATTGGGAACAGTTGAAGTGTTTCCTCTTGCCATCTTTGATCTTCTGGTTCCTCGACCGGGGTGCCCGACTCCTTCGGACTGCCCTCTTGCATTACAAACCGGACGAGTCAGGCATTTTGGGATTCATAACCGTCGACGCGACCATCACGCGGTATCCCGATGAGGCGAACAGCGACATCATCCGGCTTGACATGGATAATGTCCAAGAACCATGGGCTATCGGTCAACATTACTATCTTTGTTTCACTCAAGGAAGCATTTGGCAATCACACCCCTTCACCCCTCTTAATGCCCCGATGGTAGTGAAGGGCAAAGTGAGACATTCATACATTCTCCGGGCCAAGAAAGGCGAAACGAAGAAGATGATCGACCTTGCTGCCACGGGTGTCTCAAACACTCCGATTATCATGACTGGGGCATATGGTGAGAAAATCACCGAGTCATTGAGACCGGACACCAACATTATCTGCATCGCCGGTGGTACCGGCATTACCTATGTCCTTCCAGTGCTGCTCGAGCTGGCTCAGCAATCACCATCGCCAGACCGGAAGATGGAGCTTATCTGGGCAATCCGGCACACGTCCAACAAGGAGTGGATTAGTGAAGAACTTGGTGTCTTGCAGAGGGCTCAAAAGGCCCTAAATCTGAAGATTAGAATCTTCGCGACGAGAGATTCCAGCGAGGATACTCCTGATAAGATGAAAGATACTGTCAATATCTCAGTCTTCGATGAAAAAGATGCTGGTCAAAATTCGCCAGTCTCTGTTCCCGAGTCTCAGTCAAGTGGCTGTGAGAATGAAGCACCCGTTGAGAGGCTCGGTGGTGAATCAGAGAAAGACAATTGCCATCCCGATCTGCACAAATTGATTCCTGACTTCCTGGACGAAGTTGTGCGGGGACCTACGACTGTATTTGTTAGTGGACCTGGCGGTATGATCAGTGATGTGCGGGAAATCGTCGCTTCATGTAATTCTGGACCTAAGGTGTGGAGTGGACAGGACAGATTCGACGTTCGTCTCGTATGTGACGATCGCCTGGAATGGTAGAATATTGTAACCAGATTGCCAATAATGAGCAAATACTTTGATACCCCAAGGACAAGAGCCGGCACCGGCATTTCAAGTGACTCAATTCATCCCAGTGATCGCCAAAGCTCGCTGCGGCATGTTTTGTGGCATCGTAGATTTTAGCGAAAAGGACTTGGTCCTGCGTACTATCTGTTCATTAGAGAAACCGCGTCTCTTCCAGGGCTATGAAACTAATCCAGTTCGTCCGGGACAGTAATCTGTTCCGAGGTGAAGGGAGTCAGCCTGGTCCTCCGAGGTGTCGAGCGTTGTGACACCTCATTTTGTATGATTATGATCTACATCGAGATGGTCCCGCATGGTAACGATCACCATGTTAGCTCAGCGTTCACGAGAGTACAATTGGAACGAGAAACATTCTGATATCCCCAGACATACCCTATTAGTCAAACTAAAGGCTGTGGGCAGCTAAAGACATCGGTGCCTCTAGCTGACCTGAAACGCCGTCCCCATCAGTCAAAAAGGCACAAGAGAGGGGTGGCCCGCAGGGATATCTCCACTCATGCACGATGACGAATATTCGGCCTATAAATGATTGTGCTCTCTTGCATACAATTGCTCAATGTGTTCTATCACTTTCAGACCGCCTTTTTGGGCCGCGCGAGGTATAAGAATCCCATATTCAGACTACTTTCAGGCCATCCAGTTCATAATTACTTGAAGCTACACCTGACACCGTTCACAGTGAGTCTCCATTCCCCGACATAGCCATGCCCTACCAGATCTAATAAAGTCCAATCATCGCCAGATATGCCTTCAGCAACAGGAACCATCAGGAAGAACGAAGAAGGCGCCATCAGAGGCCAATTCGCAGTCGATGGATCCACTTATTATTTCGTTGGCACTCTCCTCACTCCAATCTCCTCGTTCGGCATTTCGAACGCTCGTATCACGTATAAGTCTACCGAACAGCTTCAGGAGCAACCTATAATGTTCGAGGAAATTCCCATTCAAAAGGACCAGATCGAGTTCAGGTTGCAGAATGGTGTTCAGGTCTCTGGGTTCTTCGATGAGCCATTCAGTGATGATGTCGTCAATGATCAAACTTTGGTTGCCGGTGGTGCGGCTTGGATGCAGATGGAATCATGAATCGGGTGATCTTGGAATAGTCATGCGTCACTTGGTTTCCCTGTCTTTGCAAGCACTGTTGGGTAGGCTTTTTCGAGGCGATGTTTTAGCGTATGATAGGGATGATGGGACAACTTGATAGGTGACTAGAATGTTGTCATGGAGCCAGCAGTTGGGCTATTCCCCAGATTCACCTGTGTAGAGGCAGATACATGGTATTGTAATGATCCAGCGAGGACGGAATGAGGATTTGTCTCGATATAATATGCGAAGGTCTGCTCGGCGCCAATGCTTTCGACCTGGCCGTCGGGTTGTCGATCTCTGCGATATAGAGCTCCTCAGTTTGTGAACTCTTAATAACAGTTCCAGCGGGTGCAGGGCGTCTTTGATCAAGCTGTCAAACCTGCAAATCAGATATCTTGCCTTCTTTGGTGGTCTCCAGGAAATATTTTTTGCTTTATGAGATCCGTCAATTCAAGCATGACGCTCGCTAGCAAGGATGGTATTGTGAATTACACGCCCGCAAAGTCTGGAAATACAACACCCTTAGACCTGCGCCCAAAAGTTAGTCGACAGTAGACAAGTCTGGGGTAACGGGTTGACAGGGGGCGAGAACTACGGGGTTTGGCCAGATCCGGCAAATCACACGGCCGGCAGTGGAAAAGCTGCGAAGAAGGCTAATCCTGACCATTAATTCACTGCCTCCGGTTATTGTTGTTTTTTTTTTATTTATTATTCCTATGCTTGGCATGATATTTCAGCTCGAGCCCTTGCCGACTTATCCGAATCAGCGCTGCACATCTCCGGAAGCCGTGATTTTGCTCATATATCAACACCTGCATGAAAATTCGGCCTGCATTCGTGACTGTCTTATTTTCTCAATTTCATAATTGTTCATCTTCTTTTTTTGTAATTACATGAGTATCTGTTCTGCTTGATTGCGCCCTCATGATTGTGGCCGGCACGAGCCACGTGTTGTAGGCTTGGCATCAATCTACCTTAAATCAAGGAGTCTTCCACACACATACTTTGTTTTTCCCCTTTGGCTCTTTCTTGCCGAGACTGCCAAATAGTTTGATCCACTCCTATTTTTGTGTCTATAGGCACCCATCAAAAACCAAAGACCTCACAAATTTTTTTGTGTGGAGACCAAAACACTAGCAGCAGCTAACTGAATTGAGTAAGGTAGGGCGGACTTCATCGAGAGTTTTTCCTTCCACAATTGAAGTTCCCACTTCTGATGACATGATTCAGGGAGTTAACGGCTCGATGATATCTAAGTGGATAGTGGGAAATGAGACCCGAAATGAGCCCGACGTAGTGTAACCCACTCCAGAGGCTACCACAACCGGTAGATTTCACCGAACATGATAAATCACACTAGACAACCGGTATCTCCGGTTCGAACCTATTCCGGCCTGATCTATAACAGACACTAAGCTCCAACGGGCATAGATCGGTTCTATAAACATCCTAAAGCTTGTTTAGTCTCGCTTATCGGCCTCTTCTCACCGTGTGGCCGCGCACGCGTAGGCGTCTCTTTTGGAAAGTGCTGGGGCGGGTACCTTGACCCCTATTTTTGAGGGTTTTCGAGGGTTCTCGAGGGTCATTCTTGAACGCCTCTGACCCTCCAGCCGTTCCTTTTGTGTTTCAAGGGTGGTAGCCGCAATTGACGACATTCGTCTAGGTTCGAAGTTGGACCTGACGCCGGCGCATTGCATAGCTCTGCCAACATGTCGTTCTCTATCAACACGTTCATTTTCACCTTAATCGCCTTCTTCGCCCTCCGCGCCGTTGCATCCGAAACGGAATGCAACCCACTCAACACGACTACAACATGTTCCCCCGACCCTGCTCTCAGCACCGAGCATACCTGGTACTTCAACGAAACACTCGATAGTACACTATGGGACATGGCTACGGGAGAGTTGAATTATACGGACAAGGGCGCCGAATTCGCTATTCGCTCTGAAAACGCATCCACTCTTTTGCAGTCCAACTTTTACATCTTTTTCGGCGTCATGGAAGTGCACGCCACTATGGCGGTGGGCCGCGGAATCATTAGCAGTGTCATTCTACAATCGGACGACCTGGACGAGATCGATTGGGAATGGCTAGGCTATAACACAAGCTTCATACAATCCGACTTCTTTGGAAAAGGCAATATTACGACCAGTGACCGAGGAGGAACCCATCTCGTTTCCGACGCCGATACCGTCTTCCACAACTATACAATCTATTGGGATCAAGATCGCATTGAGTGGTGGATTGATAGTGATTTGAGACGAACGGTCAACTACTCGGAGCCACTCACAGTGTATGGCAAAAACTATCCACAGACCCCTTGCCGAGTCAAGATCAGTAATTGGCCTGTCGGAATCGCGAGTCAATCTGTCGGCAATATTGAATGGGGTGGTGGTCTTGTGAATTGGGACGATTTGCCATTTATCATGACTGTGCAAAAGCTCCGAGTCAAGGATTTCCATACCGGAAAGGAGTATAAATACACCGGTACCACTGGAAGCTACGAGAGTATCGATGTTATTTCGTATGTTCGACCCCATGCTCCCCTCCGAGCACGTTGTCTTCCCTATGACCAGGCTTTCTAATACTTTTGCAGGGGAAATTCAACAGCCAAAAACGAGATCGAGAAAAAGCCAGAAGAAACCTTGGCTGAGAAGTGGGATGATCTTGGTGAAGGTGCTCACATTGGAATCTATGTTGGTGTCGCTGCCGCTGCCGCTATTGCCGTTGCTGGTTTCGGATGGTGGTGTGCTCGACAACGTAAAGCCGGTCGTCTTCAGCGTGCCCTTAATGATTCTGCCGCAGGACAGAGTGGTGCAGAGCTTACGCAAATGGAGACTCAGAAGCCCGAATGGAGGCAAAGCCAGTGGGGGAAACAAAGCTACCAAAGAGTCCCGTAAAGACTTTGTTTGAATACTGAGAAGCTCTCCCGGGGCTACACACTCGAGTCCACGAGTTGTCATGCAGGACTTGGTGACTAAGTTGGATGTGGATGTGAATACGATTCTTGTACATTATTTATCGTCAAATTTCTGGGTTTCTTATATTGATATTCAAATGTTGCTTCCCAAGTACACCATTCGGGTTTTTACAATGAGATGCTTTCAATCATTTCTTCGGTCTGCTGACTGCGAATGCAAGAAAAGTAAGCAGTTTGGGCACATCATCAAGCTCACCGTCTATTGCCACCGACGAGGTGATTTTACTCTTAGTCCGCTTGTAGAAATATCCTTCAAAGAAATCGAGAACAGAAACCGGCATACTCCCAATCAATGAAGGCGTTGATCTTCGATGACACCGAGTCAACAATAATGTTGGAGTGAGTGAGATCATTGTGACAAAAAAACATAATTATCGCTCCTGGATGACCGCAGTGACCATCCATCTTGGTCTTTGCATTTTTTTTACTCCATAAGGCGGCATTCCCGAAGGTCCTCCAAGGTCATGAGATCTTAGCCTTCGAAGCGTAGTAAGATGTTGATTAAGTTCAACCACCACTACTGTTTTCTGGTAAGTCTCTCATATAAATGCCCTCGATGTATTCCATAATTCAAGGAAACGCGTCGTCGACCTCGAGGGCATCATAGACAGTGGGGACCGGATCGCCGGCTTGCAGGGGGCTTGAAAGCACGGTGATATATTTAAAGCAATCTCTGGGACAGTTTACGTGTTCGACATGCTCCTTGAGAGATATGAGCATTGAATGTGGAGAATCTAAGTCTTGTCCCATGAAGTAGTACGGAGTGCGCGATTTTTTCAAGCTAATTCAGCGGGGAATGTGTTCTTGGAACCCCGAAACGAAGCAGGTTCGTGTCCGAAGCAAACTAAGGAGATAGTTCAACATTGATTAGTGTTAATCAGACATGTCACCGCCCCTGACCAGGTGTGTCGTGGAGGTCGACGCTGCATGGCAAGGGGCTAGAAAACATTCAGGGATATCCCCTGTATCTGAACACTCAAACCGGGATCTTCTTTCCTAGCCCCCTCCAGAACTCACATCTCTTCTCCAGCTGAGCTAGCTTCACAGTCTCAAACCCATGATCTACAATCACGAATTCCTCTCCTGTTATCCGAAGTTCCGGTACCCCAGGCTCTGAAGCATGGGTTAGCTTGTGCGCATTCGGGTCTCCCGTTTGAAAGAAACTGGCAAAAGCACCAGCATAGCCTTCGTAGACGATCGAATTCGTCTCTTGTACGGAGTTGATTTGATCCCACTGTTTTTTTTTTCTTAGCTCGTATCAATCTTCTTCTCAGGAGAGCAACGAACATAGATAGTGTCACTTCCATGAGTGGCTGGCGAAATGGTATACTCTCCCAGATACCCTCTCCTCTTGGATGCCGACGCCATCCAGTATGCTGGGCAGGCGAGGACCACATCTCGATAGATGAGTCCAGCTCGGACATAGGTTGTGTTATACTCGGTGATGATCTCAGTATATCCGTCGGTAGGATAATACACCTCTTCGACATCCTTGACCTCTTCCACAGACAAGCCGGGTAAGAAACCTGTAACCCATTTATGAAGACTCGCATCCGAGGAGTTATATCCATTGGCCATTACCGTCAAGTCTAAGCCCGGGGCACGAAGTTCTGTCCCTCATGGGTGTTATACATACCCCATAGGAACTCAGTATTCAAAACACCCACACCACCTACTGCCTCCGTCAATGTATCAACCAGAAACTGCCCATCAATCACAGGTGCCCAAGTATACGAGCTCGTAGTCCAAGTATTATCTGCATCGATGATAAGACTCGCCGCACGAATCGACTGCACATCAACAGACTTCAAGCATGCCAATGTCTCATGATCATGGCCATCACTAGCACATCCCGTCAAAGTAGCAAACTGATGATATATTGCTTCAGCCTCAGGCGCATCATACGCATAAGTTTTGCGCCTGAAAGGGGAGCTGGCGAGTGCTTTCGAGAAGAGCTTTGGATTTCTGTTGCGGCCGTTCGCCAGCACCTGCGCGACGACGGAGCCTGCACCGGCAGACTGGCCCCAGATCGTCACGTTGTGTGGATCGCCGCCGAACTTATGGAGGTGACTCTGTACCCACTTGAGAACGTATTGCTGGTCTAACAGCCCAGCATTAAGATCTGACATGGAAGAATCTTTGATTGCTTTTTCCGGGAAGGAAACCGAATGCGTTGACGCGGTAGTTCGGGTATATGACAATATAATCATTGAAAGTGCTTGCGTTGAGGACGGGATAGGAGGCTGGCGGTATGGTGAATGCTGCGCTGCCTTGGATGAAAGCACCGCCGTAGAATACTACTAGGACAGGTCGACGAACTTGTTGCAACTGTTCCCATGGCCTCGAGAAGAGGCCTAGGTAAAGACAGTCTTCTGATCCGTTCACTGTGCGTTGTGGGCACATGTCGAAGTCCTGGTTCGTGTCGTAGATGCTATTTGTTATATGGAGCGGTGGTTGAGGGGCGCGGGAGCGATCAATTCCAGTGGGAGGTGCGGCGAATGGGATCTTACGAAAGTATGAGAGGTTGTAGGTTTTATCGTAGTAGCCTTGGAATGAGCCATAGGTGAGGTTGACGAGTGGATCCTCGTAGGCAGTTGTTCCAACTGTGAGGGCGAGAAAGGCGAGGATGAATCTGAAGAAAAACATGTTTGAAGATTTGCGGAAGTAGACATTCCAATCTTCAGAGATTCGGATCTTGTGCCTCTGATTGTGCGCAGGTCTATATATTTCGAAATAGTGGCCTTGAGGAAAGACGTACTTCGGCTAGATGGACCCCGAGAGGATGTGCATACCATCTCCTGCTGACTCTACGCAGACATCATCAACGGCATATACAAGTAAGGGATGCCATGGTCGTGCTATCATTGGTGCACTAATTGTCGACGAAGATCGCCAGGGTCAAATGCGGGGAGAAGGTGGTTACTTCGGAGTCGGTCAGCCCGACCCCAGGACCCCAGTCAGTCCTGCTAAAAGGTCGTATCGGGGGCACCGGAGAGCTTATTGACTGATCGTTAAATGTTCATTATAATATGTTCGTTGCCGCTGCAATATGCCCCGAAAATCCAAATACTCCCGCATAGATAAGTTCAGAAAATATCACAAAAGTTATGCACCTTGTAAAACCTCGACCCTCCACCTTGAACACCGTGTGCAAAATGTAGCGCAAAAACCAGAATAATGTTACAAATGGTTAGTTCCCAGAGCGCGATAGGCCTGGTCGTAGCCCCACAACTCTCTTTACATCGTCATTCGAAGGCGCCTGTTGGCGCGGGTAATGCGACGAGGCTCGGGTACATCACTCGTCTCGGCCTCAGTGCGCGCATCCGACAACTCTGGAGTTGGGGTGATTCCAAAGCTGATGCCGCGGTCTCGGCGGGAGACGCGAGCCTCTGACTCGGGAGAAAGGAATCGGTGGATAATGCGGTGGTCCATGACTCGATCTTTGCCCTCGGTCTTGGGCCACTGAAAGCCATAGATTTTGGAGTGCCTCTCGCAGCGAGGACATTCACGGCGAGTTTGGTAAGAGTTCGATTGGACAAACCAAGATTCGCAGGTTTGGCAATCGACCCAGCGGTCATATTTCTGGGCGAGGAGTCTCGGCGTTTTAGTATAGTCGCCTGGAGCTCGGACGATGGGGACCTCGGTCTCGACAGAGGCAATGACATGCCACTTGCGCTTGTTGCGGCGTTTAGGGATCTTTTCAGCGGCATGCTGAAGTGCCTCATGCAATTCTAGGGCTCCTAAGCCGGCTTCTTCGATGTTCACGGTCTTGGCCTTGACTCCAGTCTCATCCACCGAGGTGGGGACGCTGGATTCTGATCGCTGAGAATCGCCGGCAGCAGAGTCGGGGGATTCCGGGTCCGCAGGTGCTGTGTGTCGGCCGTTGGTCATCCCGTTCGACTCAATAGAAGACTGAGGTTCAGCCGATGATGTCTCGAAAAGCGGATCCAGCACTTCCGATAGGATGATCTCCTGTCTGAGATTGGACAGTGGTCGTTCAGTCGCAGTTGGGGCGGGGATCAAAGGAGTAGGACAGTCGGAGCCTGGGGTAGGGGGGATTATCCGACTCGGGGGTGGCAGAAGGGTCATTGGGGAGTTCAGAAGCGGAAATCTCTTCGCGCAGCTTTGAGGTCTGACGCTGGAATTTAGTTCGTTTGCGTGGGGTGGAGCATAGGAGACTCGAGTCTTCAGAGTCCAGATCTGAATCCCGCCTGCGTTTCTTGTTGTTGCTATTGCTCTCTGCAAGTGCAGGCGTAGTCTCTTCCACGGAAGTCTCTCTGCTATTTGAGTCTGAGTCCGTCTGTAGAGACCAGCCATTGCGCACTGAACGTTCACATGTCAAGCAGAGGCATTCGCAGTTGTCAATACCAAAGTAATCCTCTCCGTAGGAAACGGTGATCTCTTCTCCCTCTTCAATGTTGCGTGTGGCCATGACTGACATGCCCTCAGTGCCTCGGGTGACCAGGCGGCCATTGGCGTCACAGTCATGGTTGGCAAAGCGGGCGGGGCCGAGGAAGAACGAAGGGGTCTTGCGGCGGCTAGACATCACCACGCTAAAGTCCTTGCGAGTCAGGCCCAGGTCCTGCTCCTCTTCCTTGGTCATGGAAACGAGAGTTCCGCTCAAATATTTGATCTCCTGGCCTGATTTGATTGGCTTGCGGGCACAAATAGAAGCCTCATGCTCGGTGATGATGTATCGGTTTGTGGTGGTCACTTCGTAGGGGCAGTCCGGGTGGTACATTTGAACGTATTTTCGGAGGTGTCGGCGGAACCATTCCTGCTCACGAGGACTTCGCAGCTGGGCGTGGTATTTACGCAGGCCGGGTAGTTCCAGTAATTTGCGCTCGGCCTGCTGGATGTCCTTGGCAACAACCACGTCGTGCAAGAGAATGTGGCCAACATCATCATCGTGAATGCCGCGGGCAGGGCTGTACTTGGTGCGGTTCTTGCGTGTAGTTGTCCAGAAGTACGCCTGTGAATAACAGTCGTCAGTCATCAGCCTCAAACGTCAGGTTGCAGAAGAGAGGCGTACATGATCGACTAGCGCATCGGTTGCGACATCGTCATAACTTGCCAATTTATCCAAAGTGAGGCGTTCGCGGCGCTCAGTCGCAGGCGAATCTGAGCGCGCCTTGTTCGGCGGAGGCATTCTTCGTATTGCAGGCAGTGAAGCACCTGGGGGCAGAGAAAGTCACTGGTGTCATGAAAAGCAGCACGGATTGGGCCAGGTTCGGCGAACGCAGCAGAGATGCGCGCGGAACCGAGAGAAAGGGAGGGGCGAGAGATGGAGAGGACAGCTGCAGAAGATATTGCGACACGATTCAACACATGGCGCAAAGAGATTGGGGCAGCCACGTCGCCAATTGATGTTAAGAGAGGAATGAGTCGCAAGACCAAGGGGAAACGCTTTCCGCGTTCCCAGCTCCGGCCCGTTTCGCCCGCCGCTTTTACTTACGCTGCGCCCCCAGTATTCAGCCCTAGTCGTCATTGCCTTTTATCTAAGCCTACTGAGGATAGAGTCATTTAATCGATCTGTATTGGGACCACCTTTTTCTCTTCGATACACACTTACTCCCTCGGGCGCCCAGCTCGCTGTCTGAACATTTTGATCGGTTTTAGCTATCGGTCAATGTCTAGATGTCCAGCGAACCACGAGACAATTGAGATGCTTCCATTGGCTAACGACAGACTTAGACGATTTCCGTCGTGCTATATATTAAGGGCATTCTCCCATCGTTAGGCACGTACCATTTTCTACGTAGCAGACCTCAGGATTGACAGCACACTAGCCAGTCTCAAATCCAGATGGTGGTGCGCATATGGCTCATTCTGCTTATATCAAATGAAAATGGCATGGTCTCGCTTGTGGCCCACGCATTTATCATAGGATGATACTTCAGATGAGCAATAGTGTGACAATCAAAAACTTGACGCAGGATATGACTCCATCAAGTGTGACACAATATCTGCACGAAGCCACATGTAAACTCCCTCCCCATTGTGAATTATTTTCAAAATGATCAACCTTCACAAGGCTTCTAGTAGATATCCAGATATTTCCAAGTTCCTCAAACACTGCAGAATAAGACCCGAGTAAGTGATACCAGGTCCAAATCCAAGTGGTGTCTAAACGTCGCATCGGACAAACCTTCCGTTCGGGGAAACTCCCTTCCGCCCTCCGAAACAAATTGTCGTGATGCGACTCGCCCGAACGCCTACTCCCTAATGCGCCCACGATGATTCAACTAAAGGTACGGAAATCATTGAGTCAAAGGAAAGACTCTTATACTGACTAAAACCAGTCATTACTAAACTGCATCGACAACTCCGGCGCCTCAGTCGTCGAGTGCGTCAACGTCCTCAAGAAGAAGCGGCCCGCGACGATCGGTCAGTCCCCGAAACGAACTCTCAGAGGAAGCAGTGGTTGGCAATAAGTGGTGTGAGCTAATACGGGTTGGAGCAACAGGTGATCGGATTGTTGTCGTTGTTCAAAAGCAAAGGGCCGCCGGTTCCGACGGTTCCTCCACCTCTCTCGCGAACAAAGTCCGCCGCGGTGATATCCGACATGCTGTCGTGGTGCGCGTGAAGAAGGAGTTGCAACGTCAGGACGGTACAGTTGTTCGCTTCGGTGACAATGCTTGTGTCTTGGTGAACAAGTCCGGGGATCCCATCGGAACGAGAATGAACGGTCAGTAGTCTGCGAGCTCCGTCTCCTATCTTTGTTTACTGACTTTTTTAACAGGGGTCGTTGGGCAGGAATTGCGCAACAAGCAGTGGTCCAAGATCTTGTCGTTGGCGCCCGTGCACGTATAAATCTACGTTGTGATACCTTTGGGAAAGCGTGTTGTTTCTGAAAGCCTTTGCATTATGTATCAATAGAAATAAAATCATCTTCTATCGCGCACTTGAATTGCGTCTTTTTTTTCTCCACCACTTATTCACACCGCCGAACTCCAGAGCATGCAAAATTCGCAAGAAAGATCAAAGGGTATCGGAGTCGAGAGATCGCGCCGTTTCGTTTAAGGTCATCACATGAACACATTACCACAGGCGCAGCAGACGTAATACAGTTTCTATCAATATATGAGTACACTGAAAATGTAAGGTATTCTCGACACAACTCACCATTCCGGTCTCCGCAGATCGTTGTTGCGACTGGAAGAAGACTGCCTCGTTCTCACCGCAGCTGGGGCACAGTTTGTTGGCGCGAGGGAGCTACATAGCAGGACTGTATCAGCAAAAATGGGTCCTAAACAAGAAATGAATCGCTTTGACTAGAAGGCGCAGTCTTCGGAGTGTCATCATCTTCCGGTTGAGGCACATGCGCAACGCTGCTAGCCTTGAGAGAGGTGAAAGGTAGCACGCCGCAAACCCAGCACACGATCTCATGCCCACAGCAAAAACAAAATCCAGGAAATAAGTCAAGGGGGTGAAGGAACTCGGGATCACAAACCGTAGGATCGGAGCTGACATCCTGAGTGACACCAGCGGTGGCGCCGACTTGACTGTTAAGCTTGTTCTGGTAGACACAGTAGGAAGTGGCAGGTTCTCCGACGTGGCAGGTACGGCAGGTAAACATAAGCTGGTTGGTGTGACGGTCTTCCTTTGGGTACAGCAAGTTGGAACTGGCACATAAATCAGCGATCATTCTCAAGACCGACTTTGCAGATTGAAGAACTCACCATTCACGGCAGAAGCGGAAGTGTATCTGGTCGGACTGCTTGGTATCGCCACCAGCGGAAGGTGAGGGGCTTGCTGACATCTTGATAGAGGCTAGGAGATCGGTTCAAGAGGTGTTGAGCGTGATCACTAATGGTCGTGTACAGACGAAGACCGGGGAGTTTAGGCGGTGAAAGTAAAGGAAGGCAAGCGCAGAGTGTTTGCAGCGTTTGCACTCCCCCGCAATTTCGCCGTCAAGGCGTTTCGCGGGTTAATCCAGTCTCTACGATTACCCAACAAGAACAGAAAAATATTCAAAATGGTATTTCACTACTGCTTTGCCATCATGTTTTCCCCTCGCTAAACCGATTTTCTTCCAGGCCGAGACAGGTCTTCCCTCCGGTTGGGAAGTTCGTCATTCGAACTCCAAGAACCTCCCGTACTATTTCAACCCCGCCACGAAGGAGTCGCGATGGGAACCTCCTGCAGATACCAATACCGAGACACTTAAGCTATACATGGCGACGCACCATACCCCGGCAGCTCGCCCCGACGCCGGTGGCCAGGGCGAGGGCAAGATTCGTTGCAGCCACTTGCTTGTCAAGCACCGTGAGAGCCGCCGCCCCAGCAGCTGGAGGGAGGCTGAGATCACTCGTTCCAAGGAGGAGGCGATTGAGATCTTGAAGGGCCATGAGCAGCGCATTCAGTCAGGCGAGACCACTCTTGGCGACCTTGCCGTCTCCGAGTCCGACTGTAGCAGTGCCCGCAAGAAGGGTGACCTGTTAGTTTTACCCCGTGGCTCACATACATTTTCATGAAACTAAATATGCGCAGTGGCTTCTTTGGTCATGGAGATATGCAGAAGGAATTTGAGGATGCTGCCTTTGCCCTCGAGCCTGGTCAGGTTAGCGGTGTAGTTGAGACTGCATCTGGAGTTCATCTCATCCAACGGTAGGCACAACAACATTGACAATCTCGGTAGATGGCTTTGCTAATGATACTCGGTCGAACAGTGTTCAGTGATTTGACTGCCATTTAGTAGGTTGACATTGGCCGAGAGTTGGTACTTTGTCTCTCTTAGAGCCCCAAGTCTTTGGTTACGATCTCGGATTCAAGGGTTTACAATTTGGGCTTCCAACTTGGTTCACAAGCTACAAGACGGCTACATCTTTATACAATGGATCGATACACAGCTTTTCACCTTGATGGGACCTGTGCGATGATGTTTCAGAAACAAGAGGGTTCGTAAAATGACCCCATAAAGCAGTGTCAACACACACGCCTAAGACAAAAAATTAACTATAAAACCCCAAATTTCACAATGATTACACAATGATAGTTGTCCCAAATCCGATACTAGAGATCTCAAAAAAACGACCGCACTGAGATGCTGGTTTGACAATGATCCTTGAGCTACGTGTGATGAAGTTCGAACAGATCCCGAAGTGAAGTTATTTGTACCAAATCGGGTATCTTTTTCAGCTATATCTTCTCTTCTGTCTCTCCCCCCACCTTGATTGACTCCTCTCGCCATTCTAATCAGACGCTTCGCTGCTCACAATGGCACATCGCACCGACTACCATGCATTTGATCACATACCACAACACAAGAGCTCTATTCACGACTACCATTACGATCCTCAAGATTTCCAGATGCCAAATTATCTCAAAGCCCCGATCATTTTACACGAAGCGATGAACCAGCTGCACGACCGCGCACGACTCACCATTACATCCATGAAGCAGCTCTCAATCCGTCGTTCACGTCGCTACGACAACCTCTGCTCCCCCTCACTCGGCCTACTCCACGAACTACACAGGCTTTCCATCCATCGTCTCTTCGACTGGCAAGCACAATGGGACCCCAGAGATCCCACCCTCTCACCCACTCCCAAGATCCCTCGTGAGGTACTCCAGTTCACGCTCGATCCTCGGCACTACGCTTTCTTCTACAGAGAATACTGCCATTGGATTCAGAACTTCATGATTGGCCCTATCAGAGCCTGGGAAAAGTTAAAACCTTTGGTGGCCATCCGCGCCCAGCAAGTTCTATCCGAGACTGGGTATCGGGAGTGGCGGTACTGGTGGGACTCGGAATATATGCCTGCGATGAGCAAGTGGGAGACATGTCTCCCGGATCTGGCTCTTCCGAGCTGGGAAGATATTGTCGATGAACTGTACATGATGATTCTTGAGCGGGTTGAAGGTGCTGAGGAATTCGCCAGCTCGATCTGCACTAATTACTCGCCGTCGATCACTCCACTCGGACAGAAGGGGGAGGATCTTCAGGAGTATCTCCGTTTTGTCTGATGCGAACGCCGTGATAATGGGCCTTTATGGAGGCGCTTATGTTTCTGTCAAGCTTTGGTCGCTTCGGATGATGGGCTAGCGACGTGGTGGGAAAGAATGGGTTGGAAGAGGCATTTGATAAGAAGAGGGTCATCTAATGGTGTTCTTGTCCAGGACATGCTAAGAAGATCTAGTCTATCTTCATGATCATCCTGTTATCCGTTCTTCACCCAGAGCAAAAGCATGAAAGAGTATGTCTCAGGGTTTTTGGGTTATAAAGTAGCCTTAAATTCACAATCAGTCAGACACACACAATCCTTCAGTCGCGACTTGATATCACACGCTCTTTGTTGCGCTTCGGCCTTTATCTCAACATCTAATGGCCTTTGTCCACTTCTAGTAGAGACAATATTACAGTTCAAGAATCAATGCAAGACGCCCTGTGCTGGATATCCGATCTCAAAGTATGACGGTGTTCGTCTTCGATACAAAGGCCTTGTTCTGGAGAGTTCCGGGGATTGATCCTCAACCCCGCATGTCTGAGCCTTGAAGGTATCAACACCTGCATTAAATTCAAAGCAAGTTATAAGAAGCCTGGTTTCTTGCAAAAAAAAAAATGACAAAAATCAACCTTTTCTAAGTGAAACATAATGTCCAAGAGGCCTACAAATAACGGTAAGCCTCCCTCTGCCCGTCCCCTACTCTCAATCAACCAGACCTAGGATCCCTGAATACGATCTCCCTACCTCCACAAAATGTGCATGCTCTGGAGCACAGAATATTACCTTTGCGGCCATACTCGCCCTAATCAGTCCCGAAGCAAACCCTGCCCCCAAAACGCCCACTGCACCCAACGAAACTACATAATCCTACAGTCCAATCTCCAAACTTGCCGAGTCTGCTGGGATGCAGGAGACAGACGAGTGAATGAACCATTTGCTAAAATGCTAGTCAGATACGCCGCTGAGTGCCAAGAACGCCAGCAACGCAAGGCAGAACGATACTTCTTCCGAGATGTTCTTCGGAGACGTCAAGGACTATCAGGGTACCTTAACGCCAGCGACCCCGAAAGATCTACCGGGAAGAGGCAGGGGGCGATGGCCGAGGAGCAGGTGTGGAACAAAGTGGTAGGAGTAGAGCTCGAACGGGGTTGGAGACCGAAGCCCGTCCGGATGGCGAGATTGAATGTGATGTGGAATTAGGATGGGATCGAGTCGAGGAAGGTAAAGATAAAGAGGATACTGAAGGGGAAGTAGACCTCAAGGATGGAGAAGGACCAGACAGCGGGAAGGGATACGAATGCTTAAGCGAGACTGCAAGACCAGAGACTCCTTTCATCCACTGGAAGCTTGTCAGGAGGCATCAACCCCATTATGATGATCTGCCAAGAGTCTGTGATCCGGTAAGGCTGGAGTCTGTGAGGAAGGATTATCGCGCGCGGAGAGGGAGGTCCTGGGAATGAGATAGGTAAATTACTAGTTCTATTTGGAAATTGGTTTAGATGTCTAGATAGCACGGAGGAGCTTGTTGGAACCATTGGAAGTCTTTGGTAATGTAACGCTATCCTGATTTACTGACGTGAATATCGTGAATATTGCATTTGATTGATACTGCGCCGTGTTATCGTCCTATGGGCTGGAAATATTGAGGCATGCCCCCCCACCCTTTAAAGACTGGTATTCAGTCGCTCAAGACGAGCCGTGATGGCATCAATGACAGCGGACCTAAAGCTTCTAGTTAGTAATGCCGTGATACAATGTGAGATAAAAAAAAACTGACTCTCGTTCGACCATTCTCATCGCATCTGCAACCTTGGCCCGTTGCAAGCGGTGCGGCACCTTGGGTTGAGAACTGGGGGAAGCAGGAGTACCGGGCTCCGTGGGGAAGGCATTTTAGCTGCAATAGACTTGGTTTCCGCCAGAAGATCGAAGGCAAGACGTTTGACCTGTGATGCGTTAGTCAAAGATTCCAAGTAAGACTGAAGTGCTGCTTTCTTACCATGTCCAAGCGCTGCGCCATCCGCTGATTTTCCTCGTCCTCCTCCTTTGACGGCTTGTCGTCAAGTGATTCGGAAAGAGTATTCACCTCTGCAACCCATGCCTTTTCCTTCTCGCTGAGGGGGCGGCCACCAGAGTTCAGAACCTTTTTGCGCAAAGCTTCGTATCGTTGCACAAGTTCATCCTGTCTGTCTCTTGCTGCCTGTATCCTATTGTCCAGAGCTTTGCTGTCTCGGACACCTTCCTTGCGATTTCCGTCTTCATCGATCTCGCTCGTCACGCCCTTGATACGCTCTGCAACATCTGAAAGCTGCTTGAGCTGATCCTTCATCTCGCCCTGCAAACGCTCGCAACGACGGAACAGATCCGAAGCCGCTCGCTCGAGAGCATTGGTGTGGGCAGAAAGCACGCGATGGGCAGTAGTCACAAGGTCCAAAGTTGCTGGAGACATGCGTACATGTTCTTTGAGAGTCTGTCGCTGGCGGTGAGGAACGTGCTTTTCGACAAAGGAATCCAATGGCGAATTTGCGTAAAGAACAGCGGGAACTTGATACGGAGCTCGGCGTGGCAAAGGATTGGAACCAGGCACTGGGGACTTGTTTTCAAACAGTTCCATTGCCGCGGAGAAAGACTCCTCGGGAGCATCCATAATCGCGGCGTATGGGCTTGAGGGGTGGTAGGTGATGAGCAAATAGCCAAGATCGTAATCATAGAAGAGAAGGGACGCGGCCAGGTGCTCTTTCTGGCCTGTAATATCCGCTTCTGATACCTGGAGAATCCGCTGTCTTTTGATGAATTCCCCATCGCAGATTACTCCAAGTCGGAATTCCGAGCCAGACGCATCCTCTGACTGCAACTCGGCCTCGAGTCTTTGCGCCCAGGAAGACATGGAGAAGGACACGACGTTGGTCGCCGTCGTGACGAAGAAGGAATACCGTGACAGGACATCTTTCGTAAAGGTGGGCCAGGTACCTGAGCTGGCTTCGGCCGTCTTCAGGGTGTCAAGCGACTCAACCAGGATCATATCAGAGGGCCCTGACCAAGGAGCGTCAAAGGTTGAAGTCTTCGTGGTCTTCGGCAACCACTGGCCTTCAACGCCATCGAGTTCCAAGCAGATGTGGATACGGCCGTTTGTGCTGGAAAGGCAAATAACAGTGGCTGAGAGCTTGTCTTGTTCGGTAATTTCCACGGCTAATTGTTCATCTTCACCCTCCATCAGATCCTCGACGTCGAGTCTGGGAGCAATCACCAGGATGTCACACAGATCCAGATCGTCTGCCTCGACCCCAGAATCAAAGCGGAACGGTCCTTGCAAGCGCGGAATGGCGCTTGGGTTAACAGGTCGAATGAAGACATCAGCCCCCTCAACTGCACCAGAAGATGGCCCCAGAGATATCTGGTTATCAATTTCACGCAGCCAATCAAACTGCTGCCGAGCCGCCGCTAGCTGCTCCTCCTGGTCTTCACCACAATCTTTGAGCGCCGCTAGTTTAGGGCCATTGGCGGCGGAGAGAGAAGGAATTGTGGTCGGAGGAGCCTGCCATTTAGCAGGCAGAAGGGGGCAAAGGGCATAAAGGTCGCCTGGTCGCATTGCAACCCAGAGCGTCATCGGCGCCCAAGCATCCTCTCGTTCGTCTCCATTGCCTGCGAAACAAGCCGAGCTGGCCTCCATATCAACAATGTCCGCAGAGAAGCCCTTGTTGTTGCTGAACTTGGAGGGCGTAAAATCCTGGTCGGATGAGGTTCCATCGATGAGTTTCTTGAGATCCACAGCCAGGGTAGGCTGGTCGAACGACCAGTGGTTGTTTCGGTCCAATTCCCAGACCCGCACTGCTGAATCTGCAGTGACAGTAACAATGCAGCCATTGAGATTTGTGTGTAGTCCGAGGGGATGCCATAGTGCTGAGACTACCGGTGCCTCCGGAATAACATGCGTAGTGGGTCCAAGTTGGTAGGTCTTCAAGCGGATTGGGGATGAGTCGGTCGAGGAGAGATGCGAGGCATCTGGGAGGACCGAGATGTGAACTGTATGCTCAGTGACAATTGCCAGGAAGGCGCCGTTTGGCGAGGGGAGGATCTGCTTGATCAGGCCGTAGACGGGCACAGATAGAACCTGCGCACTGTTAGCCGTGGTCGATCTGTCTGGCTTGAAGATGCTGCGATCGGTCGGTGTGTCCTTACCCTGTAAGATGGGATATCAGATTCATCTGCGGTATCCTTGTCTTGTCCAGCGGCAGTCTTCTTCTGTTTGCTTTGCTGTTCCCATTGATCTTTCAGTCGCGCCAGGTTCGACCAGCGAATTTCGTTATCAACGACGGCGAATACTTCATGTCCTCTTTTCGCGATAGTCCGTGTCGGTCCGTTGGCGCCAGAAGCGCTCTTTCCATTTTGCAAATCCTGCGCAGGGCTTTTGACTGAGGTGCTGGTGAAGAGGCTGGCACCAGGCGAGGCCGGCACAGCCAAGCCGGCGCATAGCTGTTGACCTTGGGCATTGGAAAGTTCTATGATCAGAAGCGACGATAAAGGAGAGATCGCGACAATGCTGAGACCTTCGCCCACGAAAAAACGCCGGCAATGCTGACGTTGTTGATGCGAGGAATTCTTGCGCGCCAAGATGTTGGAGCTCCGAGCTCCTTGTCCGCCTTCTACCTTCTTCAACCACGAACTTCTTTCCTCCCATCCACCCCCATTCTAACCACCTCTTTCAGTATGAGTCTGCTGGCAGTCAACACAGTCGATCGACTGGATCGTCCCAGTGCCTACTACATTGGCAAGGTAAGACACTTGCGCATCACAGTTTCCCGAATTTGCGCAATAGGCGGGTACTAATGGAAAATGCGCAGAATAAACGACGCAGATATAACGACCGTGATGATGAGAAGGCAAAAGAAGAAGATCCCACAGACAAGCTGCGTGGTGCCACTACACTCTATGTGGGCAATCTGTATGTTCTGCCCGCAAATCGGCCCTGGGCCAACCTCACTAACTGATCACAGGTCCTTCTACACTACCGAGGAACAGATCCATGAACTTTTTTCAAAGTGAGTCCTCTGGGACGTCATTTTTTCCTTCTTTTACTAACCCGGAATCCAGATGCGGCGAGATTAAGCGCCTAGTCATGGGCCTCGATCGGTTCAACAAAACCCCCTGCGGATTCTGCTTCGTCGAATACTATACCCACCAGGATGCTCTCGACTGCCTGAAGTACGTTGGAGGTACCAAGCTGGACGAACGAATCATCCGAGCCGATCTGGATCCCGGATTTGAAGAGGGTCGCCAATACGGGTATGTACATTACTTGGAATGTGACAGACAGCTGGGGGCATTCCCGCGGCAAAGATACCAGCTAACATATATTTCAGACGTGGCAAATCTGGAGGGCAAGTGCGTGACGAGTACCGCGAAGAATACGACCCCGGCCGTGGTGGTTATGGTCGTGCCTATGACGAGCAGCGTCAACGGGAGGAGGATGAATACGGCGCCGGCCGGTAGGTGGCCTTTTTTAACGAGAAAGTCGACAATGTTGGTACAGGAATACGGCGCAATTTTCAAAGGCGTAACTTGTTAGAAGAAGCTGGAAATATCTATTCACCCGATACCCTATTTACATGTCTTTTGAATCTTCTCTATATGCTTTGTTGTGCGAGTTTGTTTCTTTTGTTCACTGCCTTCTGGACCTGGTGCAGCCACCATGCATGGATTCTGGAATCTCCCGTCAGTTCCGGATGGAAGCTGGTGCCAAAGACATTGCCCTGTCGCACGGCTACCACGTCACCGACCTCTTGGTCTGGGTTGATATCACGTCCCTGAGTGGCACAGCGAGCTGCTGGTCCTGACAAGGTGGCCAGCACCTCAACATGATCAGCCATAGCAGCTTCGGCCACGGCATCTTTGGCCTGTCGGGATGGTGCAACGACTGTCTCATCCTGTTGGACTTCGTTGACCTGAATACCCTCGTGATGCGGCAAGATGCGCTCCACAATAGGAGCCCGAATGAAGACGGCGGGGAATGGCGGCGCATCCTGACCCAAGAACGGCAACTCTAATGGGCCTTGGAAGCTCTCTGTCTGCCGGCCGAAGTGATTGCGGTTCACTCGAACGTCAAGACCTCCAATGAGCTCTTGGCCTCCCTTCTTGGTCTTGTTTGCAGACTCAGCAAGCAGAATCAGGCCTGCGCAAGTTCCCCAAACGGGCTTGCGATGCACCCTATACATTTGCCACATTAGACTGAAATATCTTTCACACCAAGCCATGAGGCACATACTTGACAAATTCTCTCAAAGGCTCCAAGAGGTTTGATCTGGCTGCCACTAGAGACATTGTTGTACTTTCGCCACCAGGAAGAACGAGCCCATCGCATCGAGCTAGCTCCTGGGGCGTTCGGACCTCAATAAACTCCCATTGTGTCGAATGCTGCGCTTCGGCTGCCTTCTTGAGCAATTGAATGTGCTCGAAAAATGCGCCCTGCAAGGCGAGGACTCCAACTGTGAGGGTCATATCTGTAGTAGAAAAGAGTAGAAAATCTAGATACCATTGCCTCATTCGATATGACTCTTCTAGCACGTGATTCTAACTTTCCGCGGGGAATATTCTTATCCACCAGCACGTGATATCCGATAAGAGAAGTGTGCCTGAGCCCTCGTCAGATCATCGCGGGGCAACAACACTTCCAGATGAGTATATAGAACGGCAAATCTCATGCTGTGTATTTGCTGAAGAACCCGAGCTACTGCAAACATATGCTTTGGGGCAATCTCTTTTTCCTACATGCACCAGAAGAGCGCTTCTAGTTGATACTTCCGAGATCAATTGCCTACTGTGAAATGGCGCTTAACGAGATCAACATTGAAGATATCCAGAAAATTGGGTCCAACGGACAAAATGCAGAGGACACATTGCAAAATCTCCCAACACTAGCACGCTGGTACATCGACAGTCGTGAATGGAACATTAAAGGCCTGAACCTCCCACTTCTGGAAACATTACCCACCCAAGAACAAGAGGCTGTAAAGCGATATTACCACACCGCAGACAAACGCATGTCCCTAGCCTCCCACCTCCTGAAACGTCTCTACATTCACCACGTCTACGACATTCCATGGAGGAACATCACCCTCAGCCGCACCGATCCACCCCAGCGCCGCCCATACTTCAACTCTGGAACAGCGACCAAGATCGAGTTCAACGTGAGCCACCAAGCATCACTTACAATCCTCGCCGGAACCATCGAGCCAGACGATTCACAGCTCCAGAAGCTAGCAGCTGCATCGATCCCAGGAGTACGACCGCAGGTCGGCATCGACATAACATGCGTTAACGAGCGCAAGCCAATCACTACTTTCGCGGCGCTGACAGAACATGTCGAGATTTTCAGCGAAGTATTCTCAATCCGCGAACTCGATACGATGAAAGCTCCACAAGTGGTTCTGTCCCAGGCCCAAAAACTGGGTTACGCCCGGAACTTCTCAATTCATCGCGAAAACGACGTTGTCCGCTTCGGGCTTCGTCTCTTCTACTCATATTGGGCTCTGAAGGAGGCATACGTCAAAATGACAGGTGAAGCTCTACTGGCGCCCTGGCTGCGCGAACTCGAGTTCACGAATGTAATTCCTCCGGATCCTGTTGAGCCATTGCTCGCATCCAAGCCGTATTCCACTCCTGGTCAGAAGATCCCGCAGTCACCGAAGAATTGGGGCGCGCCTTATACGAATGTTGTGATTTCTAGGGGCGTTGAGATACTCGAGGATGTGCGGATTGAGTTGGTTGCGTTTGAGTCGGATTATATAGTTGCTACTGCGGGAAGTGGGTGCACTGTTGGTGTGGTTCCTCGGGTTGTTCAGGGTGGGCCTCGGAGTCGTCTAGGAGATGAAATATGCGTGCGGTTGTCGGAGAATGACATTGAGTTCCGTCGGATTCCTCTGAGTACCAAGAGGTATCTTGGGGATATGGATCCTTGGAATCTGCCCTCTGCACTCAATGATCCGTGGTTGCCCATGCAGGAGGTCGATATTGACCTTGATGTCCGGGCTTGTGCTGAAGGGCGCTGTTATCACCTGGCTACAGGCGCGACTACTTTCGGCGGTTGAGGGAAAGAGATCGAGCGCGATTTAGATCGTGAGCTTCGAAATTCACTTGTGATTTTCAGAACACTTGTCCCCGCACGGGAGTTCATAAACATGACTTATGGATAGACGACAATGCATAGCGATTCAATGGAAACGCGCTTTGGAAAAAAAATTCTTTTCTATCAACTGTTCGTAGCAGGGACACAGCAATGCAATAACAATGGTCAGTTCATGAGGTCTTTTCGTGCTAAGGATATATACATTCACGCCGGAGGGAAGAAATCAAGGGGCTTTGAAGGGTAATTAGTGGTCACAACAATATTGGAGGTACCGAAATGTGCCAAAGAAAAAGCTAAGCCGTAGCTCATCTCAGTAACAGGCCCAAAGGGCTAGCGAGATAAACAAGGTCCCAAGTGATGATTTCAGGGAAACAACTTCCAGTATGACCTGACATCGTCTATCCGCGGCTCTGTAGCGATCAAAGGTATCTATCGAAATGCGGAAGGTGGACATACAGCAGCTAGTTGGAAGTAGCTGCGTCCTGTTTGGTCATATGGTTTAGGCGGGTTTCGGACAATGAGAACGGTGGTCAATTTTGGGGAACAACGGCTGTTCCTGGTTCATGACCTAGACACCGTTGTAGGCGGTTGGTCCGTGCTTAGATCTGAACAGCGGTGGAGACTCCGTTGGCACGGCCATCGGCCTCGGTCTTCTGGGTGTGGGCCATTTCCATAATGTTCTTGAGCATTGACTCGCGCGTGGTTTCAGTAAGATTGTCCACATCTGTGGGGGTCAAATTCTTGGTCTCAATGGGAGGGAGGACTACATATTGTATTAGTGGAGATTTCTTACTGCGGATTCCGTGACTACTTACCCCTGATCTTGATGGAACCGGCATTGAATCGCAGATGGCGAGGCGACATGATGTGGGAGTAGTTCTCAACAACTATAGGCACGATCGGCACACCGGCCTTGACAGCCAAGTGGAAAGCACCCTTCTTGAAAGGCAGCAGAGTGGGTTCATCGGAGTAACTCCGCGTGCCCTCGGGGAAGATGAACACGCTCTGGCGGTGAGTCTTCATCTCAGTGACGGCGCCGTCAAAGGCCTTCATGGCAGTTTCGCGGTTCGCACGATCAATGAAGACAGTTCTGGAAAGAGTCATGAACCATCCCAGGAAGGGAACATTCTTGAGAGACTTCTTAGCCGTGACACTGCAGTAAGGCGGGAAGATTTCGCCCAGCATAAGGACATCAAGTTCAGTCTGGTGATTTCCAATGAAAATAGCTGGCCGGGTAGTAAGGTGCTCCTTGCCCTCGACAACATCAAATTTGACGCCGGTGGTGAAGCGCATCACCCACTTGAAACTACGGGCGGTGGCCCATTGGGAGATACGGCCGTAGCCGACAAGGCGGAGCACGATGGAGGCGAGGACTCCGTAGGTCGCACACAGGAGGAGGGAGCCATAAGCGGCAAGACAGCGCGCGACAAACGCGGCACGAGGCACCTTCTGACCGAGGGCAAAGAGCGACAGTGTCACCACCACGAATGAGCTGATGCCCGAGAGGATGTAGGAACTGATCGACATGATGGGATCAGGAACAGGACTGTTGGGACTCCGTGGTCAGTGGCGTGAAATAGGCTGATGGGCTTTGGGGTTTACGTACTTGAGTACACCAGATTAAGACGGCCACTGCCCAGGAAACAAAAGATATGAGAAGAGCAAATCTCAAGCGAAGGCCATGGGGTTCCAAAGGTTCAAACATGAAGCTGCTTTTTTTTGCCCGCGCCGACTCACCGCCAGCTGACCGCGGCACATGACGGCATCACGGCCTTGCATGAAATACGCCGCGATCGCGGGGTAGTGAGACGATACTTTGTAATCTATTTCGAAGGGGAACATATATGATTATCCGGGGCTCAATTTTCCAAGTATTGGAGAGGACAGTCATATATACACTAGCGTTGGTATCGGTGCTGCAGTGCCATCTATTCAGTGACCCTTGCCAAGCTGGGCCAGATATATAGAGTTGAGGTCAATCCCCAGGTACCGTACAACCACCAACGCCCGACAGAGAGGAGGTACAAAAAAAAAACAAGTACCTGTCTAGATCTTGAATTATCAATAATGGATTATGCTTATGCCATCATCGTCATGATGCCCTTGAGGCAACGTTCACTAATGTACAAAACACCAACCCAGATGCCAGATGTCGAGACCTGGAAATAAACTCCCCAGTGATGCTGTGCAAGAAAAGGACCTGAACGCCGAGCTCATAAGACACGACCCCCAAATCGAAAAGTGAAAAAGCGGTGAGGTCTACGCCATGTCTTCGTCCTCCATTTCATCGTCGTCCAAAGACTCCATCGCATCTTTGATGAACTGTGCAGCCTGCGTAAAACGATCAGTGGAATGTTAATAATCAGAAGATGAAAGGCAGAAAACGCACCTTTGGATCCAAGTTCAAGGCTGTAGTGAAATGCTTGATCGCATTGGCCTTGTCGTGGAGCATTTTATACAGTTTGCCTAGGAGGTAGTGCACGTTCGCCTCGTCGGGCGCCATGTCCTTGAGGACCTTCAACTCTGCCAATGCGAATTTGAATTCTTGCATCTTCATGAGAACACGGGCTTTGCGGAATCGCGCCAATACGGAGTGGGGTGCTAATGAGCAGGCCCGTTCGTAGTGGACCAAGGCATTCTTGGGGTTGTCCATCTTCTCCAAAACCAACCCAATACAGCAGATGAGGACCGCATTGGTCGGATTGATGGTTGCCGCATTGCGGAAATGCTGCTCGGCAAAGTCCAATTTGCCCATTTTATCGTACACCGTTCCCAACCCGTACCAGGCGTTGTAGTGTCGATTGTCAGCTGTAATTCCGTGGCGGTAGGCGTCGAGGGCTTTGTCGTATTCTTCGTTAGCCACATATTCGTGGCCCTGAAGGGTGAAAGCGTAGGCGAATTCGGGGTCAATCATCGTTGCACGTTTAAAGCATTTCAATGCTTGGTCATGATCTCGTTGGTGGGAGAATGAGTTGCCCAGGGCACACCATGCCTGAGGCGATAGTCGGTCGGCTTCCAATGACTGATGGGCCAGGTAAGCCAGCTCCACATCGCTCTTCAGATGCCATAGAACAGTCGAGTAGATTTCCATATCTTCAAGCCGCGACGGTGCCAAGCTTTGCACCCTTGAGAAGTATTTGGCAGCGTCCGTATACATTGCTTGTTCGAAGTAGGCGCGGCCAAGCTGGGCAAGAACCCAAGGTGTTTCCCGTTGACCCTGTGAGAGTGAATTAAAGTGTTGAATAGAGTCAGGGCACCTATAACGGCTCAAAGCACAATAACCGGACGCTAATTTGGTGAAAAGTCCCCAGTAGCCAGCTCAATGCCTCCATTTCCTTGGTCTTTTCGGCATTCTTTGGCAAGGGTGGAGCGGCAAAAGTGGGCGGCACAGATGTCGCTCGATGTTCTTTACCATCATGATCGGTTGATTCCATTGGTTTGCGATTGCCACTCACAACGCGCCCAACCGTCGACGTGGTAGGACGTCCTTTAGAGTGCATACTTCTCACTTTCTTGACTTCGCGGCCGTCTCTGCCGATCAAAGTCGAGTTTGAGAGTTTGCTGGTAGTAGGTTTGATTTGGTTGAAGAGTCTGACGCTACGACGTTGGGGAGCACCTGGCTCAGTCGGTTGAGGAGGTAGTGGATGAGCAACCTGGCCAGAGACGGTGCGTTTGCGATCACCGATTCGGGGGGCAGGTGGAGGTTCTCTTCCGAAGGACCCAGGTGCGGATCCTCTGGATCCGTCCTGGTCTTTGTTCGAGGTCGAATGCCCGTAGGACGCATCTTGGAAGGGGGGTTTCCCGGGTGATCCAAACTCATACTTTGAATTGTACGATTTTTCCTAGTCGGAGCCAAAGGTGGCTCCCATGCGGATTCCGGATCATTTACCCTGTTCGCAATTCGGAATTCATCTGATCCGCTACTTTGCGGTGTTTCCATGCCCTCGTGAATAACTGGTGGTGCGACCGATGCCACGTTGACCGAGCTTCCATTGAGCTTCTCCCATAGCGCAGAGCTTCCGTATGTTGCATCAGCATCATTACGTGAAGCGGAGACCATAAAAGGATCAGGCGCGTTGTGGCCAGTGTGTACAGGAAATGCACCTTCTGCAGGCGCAACACGATCAGGCACGAAGTCATTTTCTTCGGAAGATGACGAAATTATGGCGAGGAGTTCGGGACTGAGCTGGTAGATATTAGGGACTCGGATGTTGACACCTGATCCCAGATTAGCTTGATTCGTCACTGCTTAAGATCAAAGGACGCACCCGTTGCGCATAAACCCAGAAACGCATCCCACATGAAGGGATTGAGTTTCAGCGAGTCCACATAACAATCCACTGCTTTGTTGAGGTCTTTGTGCGTATGCCAGAGCTTTCCCAGTAGACAGTAGACGGCCGCCGCATCTGGCAAATGCTGTCGTTGTGTTTCATTGTGCTTGTTCCAGTTGTTTTTGGTTGCCCACAAGCCTTTGCTACGCTCCAGTGCCGCTATGCCATCCAGGTGTTTGCCGAGATCCAAACAGGCCTGGGCGAAGACGTAAGCGCAGCCCAGGTGTAGGCCTCGAGAGCCGGAACTCTGACTATGGTCAAACGCGGCCTTGATCTCTCCATTGTGTAGGTGACAGAGCGAAATGAGGTATTGCGCTTCAAAAGAACGGGGCTCGTATGCGTGAAGGCGTCCAGCGAGGAACAGAGCGTTGCGAATGAGATTGTTGTCGAGATGGTAGTAAATGAGATGGCGCAACTGACTGGCGACGTGCCCAGTCGACAGAGCCATATTGATAGCACACGCGCAGGTGAATATGAAGTGAAGGCAGGATCGAAAGCAGAGGAATTATCGATTCTTCGAAAGCCGGTGCGCACCTAAGTCCGATCGCAAAGCACCTTCCGAAACGCGGGGAGGTGACGCGATGTCGATGCAGGTACCAAAGCGACGAGGGCCATCAACGCCAGCAGTGAATGGCCGTTCTGCCTTTATACCTTGTCCCGTGGTCAGGCCTGGGTGTGAATGAATCCTACCGATCTCAGTTAAGACGCCCACGGTGCCAGCACGGGAATGTAAACGTCCGGAAATGGTAAGCAAGAGAATATGCCGAGTGAGCGCAGCCAAATACGTGATCTGTGCCAAGTCACGCTATTATTGCGCCAATGTCATCGTGCTGAACTCAAAGAGAAGTGAGGGTTCGCCAGAAATCGAGTTGTTGCGTGTAGCTTGTGCCTTATTTTGGTTGCATTCGCCCACTGTCTGTGCATTCTGCCGAGCGGTGAGTGTTGTGGCGGGCAACAATCGCTGTTCGCGAACACAAGTTCAGGGAGTCCACCTTACTTTTATCGGGTTTTACATCTTTGTCTTCGCCGCATTCCGGGCTTGAGGCATTCAGGTCAGCCTCAATTGTTTTAGCAGCTCGCAGTTCTAGCCTGACTACGTTGTGAGATCTTGTGACCAGCTGCCTACTCCGTCATCTTTGAACATGGCCCAGGTAAACTTCAACGGAGCCTCTATGCAATGAGCTGTCTAACGTACGATTAGAAAGCAGCCAAGTCTTTGGCCAGCCGCAATGCGGCGGTCCTTCACCGTACTCACCTCACCTCGGCCGCAATTCATATCATCTTCCTCGTCCTTCACTTCATGTTCCAGCGCCCTGGCTCTCTAAAACGTTACATCTTCCTTGGAGTCCCGGCTCTCGTCATTGAGTTTTACCTGGACAAAGTTGGCCGTCCGTGCTATACCCAGGATGGTTTCCTTCGCTCGGCCGGGGAAGATCTTAATGCCACTGGCTTGACCGAGTACATGTGGGATGTGCTGTACTGGACACAGGGCTGCATCGTCGCTGTCTGCATCTTCAATGACCGTGCTTGGTGGCTCTGGGCCGTGGTTCCCTTGTACTCAATCTACTTGGCTTATACTACAATCATGGGGGTGAAGAAGGGATTTGCTGGCCTAGGCGGTAACGGTGAAGGCGAGGGCGAAGAAGGTCCCAAGAGCAAGACGCAACAGAAGAAGGAGAAGCGGGGCGATCGACCCAAGTACCGAAGTCGTTGAGCTTACGAGGCTTCGGGAAGTGTCGGATGTATCTAAGATGATATTGCTGTTGGCATGCAGTCATCCTTGTTTATATTTTTTTCAAGCATTCATTCTTCAGTATATGCAGATACCAGCTACCAGATACTCTACCATATACTTAACCAAATACTCAGCCAAATATAACTTGGTCAAACTGTGTGAGATGACTCGTTCCACCAAATTAGGGTACATACATATTGGCTGCAGGCAAGAACTCCATCATATCATGCACGCGGAGGACTGCGCATGATTTTAAACCATCAGTGGCGGAATTCATGTCAATGCATTTCGTTGTGTACTGAAAATACAACGCTACCCTATAGACCTCTCCAAAAAAAAAAGACGATTCAGAAAACTGGAAAAACGAAAGAGACTTGAAAAACACAACTGTGCAAATAAGTCGTGAACATGTTGTCGTTATGACGAACTATATGGGGAATAATGCATCGACAGACCGAGCATCACATGCCGCTAGCAGGGGACCCAATCTCGAGGCGGCGTTTCACAAAAAAAAATACATAGTGCGAAGAAACTCAAGATGAAGGACAGATGAGATTTTGTCCATGCCAAAGAAAGCTTGCCTGAACTCAAAGCTCATCCCTCACTGAAGAGGCCGCGGAGTTGATGCTGCTAGCCGCATGGCCAACATGGGACGAGGCGGTCTCAGCAGCCTCAGATGCAACACTGCTTGCACTGGACGCTAGGTCGGCCAGTCGAGCCTGGGCGCTCTGCACGGCAGCGGCAAGGCGAGCAGTCGCGCTCTCGACAGCACCGGGCTCATCGCCGTAAATAGCTGCGCTAGCCTTAAATTGGATATCCGCGATAGCATCCTTGGCGGCGTCGATATAGCCAGGCTCCTGCCCGTAGACGGCGCTGCTAACCTGTGCAGAAGCGGTAGAGTAAGCGTTTGCCGCGGCGTCCGTAGCTTTCTCGTAGGGACCCTTGGGTGTGCCATAGATTCCGATGCTAGCAGCCTCGACCGCAGCGTGGAGTTGATAGTTCGCGTTTTGCATGACATCCTCCACACTTGGAATGCTGCTAGCATATGTGTTGGCAGCCGAAGAAGCTGTTTCGTAAGCCTCGCTGACATAGCTAGAGGCAGATGACAGAGCTGCAGCCGGGTAAGGTGTCTCATAAGCGACACGCAGCTTGCTCATAACACTCTCGGTAAACGAGGGCTGCTTGCCAACCAGAAGCTCAGAGACCACATCCTGAACAGCAGCGAATTGCGAGAGTGAGCCAGCGGCGACCTGCTGCAGATACGGAACAGGGGTACCATAAATCTGCTCGCTAGCCTTAGCGACAAGGCTTTCCCAATTCTCAGATGCCTGGCTGGAAAGAGACCTCAGAGGACCCGGGGTTGTTCCATAAATCGCAGAGCTAGCCGATGCGGATGCTAGAGAGAGAGAGGCCGAAGCGGCAGATATAGCAGCACTATATCTCGAGGAAGCGTCATCAATGATGCTCTGAGACATGCCATCGTCTGCAGCGGAAATCATCGAGCTTGCGGAGGCAACAACAGCGGCAAGATTGGCAGATGCTAAAGAGGAGGCGAGCTCATATTGGGATCCAGCCTCTTGAATTAGGTCTTGGAAGACGCGAGGGGCCGGGGTGGGTGTCGGGGTACCATAGACTGCTTCAGACGCAGTGGAAACAAAGGCAGTGTAGTGGTCGTGAGCTAGGCCGACTGCCTCGTAATAGCGTCGCTGGGCATCAAGGAGGAAAGGCTGAAGTGCTGCAGAGCTGGTCGCAGGGGCAGTTTGTTTGACCTGAGCCAACTGCGCAGAAGCGAGGCTGAGTCCTTCACTCAATCTGGATGACGCAACAAAAGAGATTTGAGCCAAAGGACCGGTGGGCGTGGGCGTGGCCCAAACAGCGCCAATTCGGGACTCGAACTCTTCGGTTGCGTACTTCACTGCCCCAGAGTAAGCAGATTCAATGGAGGAGAACCTGGGCATGAGTGGGAGCACTAGACTGGGACATCTGGCCCAGAACTTGAGACTTCGCAATGTCGTACAAGATTTTAGCTTGGGCAGTCGAGTCGGCAAAAGCAGAGCTTGCATCCGAGTAAATATCTTCCGCCTTGCTCGTGACCTTTTCGAACACGTCTTGTTCGTCATTATCAAGAATGGGTGCTTGGTGCGAGTTGGCTTCAGCAGCAGCAACGCCGAATGCGGGCCTTGAGGTATGATGGGCTTCCTGAAGCTCATCATCGAGGATAGACTCATCATCAACTTCATCGTCATCCTCAAGATTGGCACCGAAAGTCAAAGAAGCTGACTTCGAATTCGTTTCGCTAGTATCTTCCTCGTGTGCGACGTCATCTCCGGAGGACTTCGAGATAGCATCACCTGCCTCATCATGTTCCACATCTAAGATTTCTTCGGGCTCCTCGGGCTCCTCCACAGGCTTAGGTCGCGGCGGAGGGGCATCAGTTCGCGTATCAAAGTTATCGCTAACTTCACGAGCAGCAAGTTTCCACTGCCCAACATCCTTCAGTCTGATGAGCTCCTTGGCAGTGTCCTCTGCGACCTCCATACCGCTAGCTAAGATGTCACTTGCCACTGTCTTAGCCTCAATGACGGATTTGTGATTCATGCCGACCTCGCGGATTTCGTTGCGCCAGTCATCGAGCTTGGCCTTGAGCGCGTGGTATCTGGCCCAGTCTTTGTAAGTAACGCCATCCATCCATGCCCAGCGCATGCCAATTTCCTGCAAGCCTAAATCTCGGATGTTGTCCAAAACTTCAAGTGTCGAGTTGATAGCGGCGGTAACGCGGCGGATGAGTTCATCATCAAACGAGATGGACCACTCGCGAAGAATATGAGCACGGTCTCTGACCGCAATAGCCGAGTCGCGAATTTCACTGACAAGCTGCTCGCTGGCAGATTTCTCTTCTTGGGGCGCGTCTTCATCTGGAAGAGATTGTGCGAGGTCTTTGATATGCTGCTTGACGACAAAGAGCTTTTGTTCAGCAACAGCTTGGAGCGCAGTGGAAAGACTTTGACCATGGCTCTTGGCACTGCTCGCGATGAGGGCGGTTACGATTTCTTCGATGCGCTCCTCGAGATCCTCCACCCCTTTGTCAGCAGCGAGTGCGAATTTGTCCTGCCATCTCTGGAGATCCGAGTCAACTCGCTCACGAGCTTGCTTCGCTTCTTCCTCGGAAGAGAGCGTCGGCTTCGCAGAAGGAGCCAATACCGTGGAGGTGGCGGTAACAGCCGAAGTCTGGGGCTCAATCTTGGCACTGGAGGCGGTCGTGGAAGTGGATTCTTCGAATGTGGTGCTTGAGAGTTCAAAGTCAGCAAGAACAGTTTTGAAAGATGATTTGGGTTGACAGACTTGTCCATGTCCTCTACAACTGCACGGAGATGTTTTCCCTCCCGATAGCTAGCAAGGCGCTGCCCAATTCTCACCAGTTGTGGCTCAACCTGCTCTGAGTAGAAACCCGTCATCTGCGGCCATAACGAGCTGTTGGCAAAATATACCACTGATGACCAGGTAGAGCGGGCGCCAGGCATAACGTGTGTAGTCAAAATGTTCTGACCAGTGGCGTAGGTCTTGCCAATGAAGGGCTGAGAACGAGTGTAAAAGGGCACAAAGTGATCCCAGTAAGCCGTCTGCGCAGCGCTGGCCGCCTTCTGGTAGTAGGGAGACACCACAGCCTTCCCTCGCTGCACATAAGGATCACATTGGGCCAAGTAAAGCTGATGCGCTTGGTCTTGGACCGCCTCAAGGCGCGGAGTCACATGAACCTTCCATTGCGCGGCGCCGTACGCCTGAGCTTTTTCCATCGCAGGCGCACCGTATTTCTCGTATCCAGACTTGGCGATTTTCGAGGCTGGGATGTAAACTTTCTGGTTGACCACTTCCACGTAGGGACGGGCATGTTCAACGTAGGGTGCAGCATAGGTATCGTAATAGGGAGTGATGTAGGGCTCCACATGCGACCGAGCAATGAGGTATGGTTTGCACACACTGGGAGATTGATCATTCAAGTCCGCAATGTGGGAGGGACAGCGTAAGAAAGGCGTGAGAATCGTATACCAAATACACAGCCTAAAGAGACTAGGGATCAGTTTCGAATGCTCCGAGGGATAAATGCCCATCCATACCGTAGGACCAGCCCTGTCATCCATCGTATTGTACCCTTGCTCTTCCGAGCCTGGCTCATTTCATTTCTTCTGTTCGGCTTGACCGCCGACTCCGATGCATGGCCGTTCTGAGTGCTCATGAGAGCTGCCATGGCTTCCGGACTGTCGAGACTGACCCTTATGAGAAGGTTCCGAGATAACCTCCAAAACGCACCAGAGAGGTGGCTTCGTGAGAAATTGGAGCTAGCAAGCGTGAATATTATTGCTTCATCGGGTGTTGTAGATGACTTGTGCACGGAGGTGGGGAGCTCCAGAAAGAAAGTCGTAGGCGGAATGCTCGCGTTAGGTCTTGGCACTAGCAGATATTCACGGGCGGACGACGGGCCGCGGTCTAGGCGCAAGGTGTGGCTCCAAGGTAAAAGGTGATGAAAGTGTTTTGTTCGTCGACAAGCCTGGAGAAATCAAAAAAGATGTTTCCGGAACCTTGGGTACCTGGTTGATAGAAAAAGGGTTGTTTGGTCCTCGGACAGCAGTGAGGTCATCGGTGGCACATGGTGGCAGAACCACGCAATACAACATTACATGGTTAGCGCGGGACACATCTTCGGGTAATTATGGTAAGTCTAGTAATGACCGTACCTAATGACTCAGCCAGCGGGAAAGTGCAGCCACTTTGGACAAAGTTAAGGAAGTAATTGCGCGCAACTTGGAGATCCGCGACTAACGATTTGGACCATCTTCCCGATGTAAGTTTGCATGCCCATGAAGCAGTAATTGTCAAATCTGACCTGTGATGACAGCCGCTAGCCCTTTCTTGCCTCCAAACCTCCTCCGGTCATCCAGAGTCGACCCTCTCATGCCTATCATTGATAGGAAGGAGCATACGATGAAGATTTGGTGAAGGATATTTGACCGTCGATTCGGCACCCCTCTTACACTATGGACATGTCTAACTCATCTCGCCCTCCCGCCATGTCGACCTTTCCTGACCTCATGAATGACCCGGCTTTGGACGAGAGGGAGAAGGGTTTTGAAGACATCGACACCTGTCGGATCTGTCACGGCGAGGCTGTTGAGCCAGATGACCCGCTCTTCTACCCTTGCAAATGCAGTGGCAGTATAAAGTTCGTTCACCAGGTGTGTCTGGTGGAATGGTTGGCTCACTCGCAAAAAAAGCACTGTGAGCTCTGCAAGACACCCTTCCGCTTCACCAAGCTCTACAATCCGAATATGCCCCAGACCTTGCCCACACCTCTTTTCATCAGACATGCCGCGATTCAATGTTTCCGAACCCTGGTGACATGGCTGCGCTTTCTTCTTGTGGCGTTTATTTGGTTGGGATGGTTACCATGGTCGATGCGTGCAATCTGGAGGGCACTGTTCTGGCTCGCAGACGGCCGCTGGTCGGCGAGCGGGGATGCTCAGCAGCAACTGATGGAATCTTCCCAAGAGGGTGTTTCTCAGTGGGCTGGAAATGGGACGGCATCAAACGCTGTATTCAGTTCGTTGGCCTCGACGGCCGCGAATGTTATGACATCTGCTGCATCCGCTACATCGTTACCGCAAGCTTCAGGGATCAACTTCCCAGCCGGCGACCCACTGATGCTCACTCTGATCAAGAAGATCATTCCGAACCTGTTTCTTCCCGCCTTTTCATCACCGGCTGGACAAAATGTTACGAGTCCAAATGGCACGACAGGTATCACCAAAAACCGATACCCATCCTGGCTGTCTGATGTGAAATTCCTTAACTCCTTGACACGATATCCGACCATCAATAACATGATCATCGATATGTTAGAAGGCCAGCTGATCACTCTTCTTGTCGTCATTGCTTTCATTCTTCTTTTCTTAATTCGAGAGTGGGTGGTCCAGCAACAACCCATGGCTAACATTGCGGAGGGAGAGCGTGAAGCGGCAGTGCAGCTCATAGCCAATGATCGGCTGAACGAGGGAGTCAATCGAGCCAATGAGCTCCACGAGCAACCCAACCGGCTTAACGAGGAAGAAACTGCCAATCGAGAGGCTCGCCTACGTCAGCCTCCAGTAGAGCACGAAGGATTCTACGGCGGTCACTTCCCGAATCGATCCGCTACGAATTCACCTGCACCCTCATGGACAGACTCTGATGATGGACTTCCTGCGCTTGAAAGAGATGTACCTCGTCGCGATGTTGTTGCCAGCGATCTCTTCTCTGGAAATGCTGAGATGGATCAGGGCCGACCAACTTTCGAACATTCAGAGCAGATGCCCCATGCCGGGGCGACAATGTTCCGTGATCTTCTAGCTCGATCAAATGGCGATCGCGGCGAGATGCTGCGAATCATACGGGAGGAAGGCCTTGAAGATGAGCTTGACTGGATAGTTAACGCGCTTACTGGGCCTCTTGACAACGAAAATGTGGCTGGGCCTTCAAATCAGTCTTCTCAGCACTCTGCAAATGCCTTGAATGAGGAGCACGATACGCCTGCAGCCCGATTGCCCGAGTATGAGCAATCGCCGTTTGCTGCTGATGCAAACGTAGCATCATCTACCGGAAATGATCTCGGGGCCACGGACGCCCAAGACATCCAAGATAGCTCGGACATTCGGGACAATGAGCTACCCAAAGGGGTTATGGGGCGACTGGCAAACTGGTTCTGGGGAGATCTCAACTTTTCTGAGCATGATGTTGCCGAAACTCTTCCGGAAGACGATGCCCACGTTGTCCAAGACCCAGCTTTCGAAGACCCATTTGTGCCTGTCCAAGCCCGCGTGGAGGAGCAGCCCCTTGATGTGGTTGCAGATGCTGCAGCAGCTGATGCTGATCCCGACGGTATCGAGGCAGATGATTTTGACGGAATCATGGATCTTATTGGCATGCAAGGCCCGATCTTCGGGTTGTTGCAAAACGCCGTCTTTTGTGCACTTCTGATTGCTTTTACTGTGGCCATAGGCATCTGGCTACCATATCTGTGGGGCAAGATTGCCCTGGTTCTGCTTGCAAATCCCTTGGAACTTATCATCGGCGTGCCGATGGCTGCTGTCACGGTGATTGCCGATATCGCTCTTGATACCTTGATTGGCGTTGTAGGCTATGTCATGTACTGGCTGAGCTTTGTCTGTAGAGTTGTCCTCAGTCCCTTCGGCGCCTTTGTCCCAGCCATCGATTGGATTCCGCGCGGCAAGTCTGTTACCAGCACCTCGCTGTCCCTCATTGATGCCAGTACCAATCGCCTTAATAAAGTGGTCAAGGCGTTCCTTGTCTTCCACGAGTCAGATATTCCCATGTTTTCGGTGATATCACATCAGGCACTCAAGCTTCACCAGGCGCGTATTGGTTCGGTCTTCCGATTTGCATTTGACACCATGAAGTTTATTTTGCACGACTTCCCACTTCGCCTCATTACCCTCGGACTCCCAGGGGCATTGTCCTTTGACGTTGACCTGTCCTTCTTGCAAAAAACCATATCTCAGACTCAGCAACACCTAGGCAGTCTGTTTAAGACGCCTCTTTTCAATTCGGGAAGCAAGTTGATGGATGCAGGCGCCGTAGGCGCAGCAGATGTCGCCAAAGCAACCTTATCTGTTGACTATGACTTGGCCGTCTGGGATACGAAAGATCGAGCTGTCGCCATCTTGATGGGATACACGCTCGCAACCATGGTGGGCTTCCTTTACCTAAGGATCAATGGACTCATGTCTGGGGCGAACCGCGGGCAACGAGTTGAAGGCATTGTAGCAGAAGTTCTCCTCCAGGCAGGCGGAGTCATGAAGGTAATCCTCATCATCGGAATTGAGATGATTTTGTTCCCTCTTTACTGTGGTACACTGCTCGACCTTGCCTTGCTTCCTCTGTTCTCCGACGCAACGGTGGTCTCTCGCATCGCATTCACAGCCTCTTCACCACTCACGTCGCTTTTTCGTCCACTGGTTTATCGGAACATGCTATATGTTCCATTTCGCCTTATTTGTGTCCTTGTGTCGGAAGATCTTGCGAAGCGGGGTCCTATGTGAGTATTTGTTTGAACTGAACATGTCTATCCTACGCTGTGCTGACGCCTTGTGCAGACTTTATTCGCGATCCAGACGATCCAACTTTCCACCCGATTCGCGATGTTCTTGAACGCAGCATCACTACGCAGCTCCGCAAGATCGGATTCAGTGCGATGGTATACGGTGCACTGGTCATATTCTGCCTCGGGGGAGTAGTATGGGGTCTCTACTATGCATTCGACAGCGTGCTGCCCATCCACTGGTCCTCCAACGCTCCTATGCTCGAATTTCCCATCGATTTACTGTTTTATAATTTCGTCATGCCATTGGCAATTCAGTCCGTCAAGCCCTCAGATGGCTTGCACGACTTATACAACTGGTGGTTCCACAAATGCGCTCACTACTTGCGTCTCAGCAATTTCTTCTTCCCGGAGAGACATCCCGAGGAGGAGGGTCACCATGTCCGGCGTACCTGGTGGAGCCTGCTGTCCGGAAGTAAGGGTGACTGGGAACATCCAGTCATTGGGGAGGAGGAACAGGCTGCCGCAGAAAGGGAACACCGTGAAACTTACTTCCTGCGGGACGGCAGATACGTTCGCGCCCCTGCTTCTGATCAAGTCCGCATTCCCAAGGGAACGAAGGTCTTTTTGGAAGTGACTGAAGACAATGAACGTGTCGATGGAAGCCCCGATCCCGACGATGGACTCCACGGTCGGACTAGCAATATGTTCACCAAGGTGTACATACCTCCTTCTTTTCGGACTCGCATCGCCGCTTTCATTCTCTTGATTTGGCTCTTTGCTGCCGCTACCGGGGTAGGCATCACTATTGTTCCCCTGGTCATTGGGCGGAGAATAGTCGCACTTTACTTCTCCAGTCCCGTTCCAGTTAACGACATCTACGCCTTCTCATGTGGACTGTGTGTGGTTGGTAGCCTTGCATACGTTGCCCTTTCTTGCCACGCGGCCGTGTTGGCGATGAAAGAAAACCCGGGCTCATACCTGCGATCCCCTCGAGAGGTGGGCCGGGTTGGGTTTGACCTGACATTGGATGCAGGCCGCCTGCTCTACATGTCAGCTGTCTTAGTAGTCTTGCTCCCGACATTGTTTGCGATTTTGACTGAGCTGTACATTCTAATACCAGCACACACCTTGATGGGAGATGGTCCCTCCCATGTTGTCCACGTGGTTCAAGACTGGACACTGGGGGTCCTATACGTACAGATGGCGATCAAGTTGATCCTGTGGCATCCGCAGTCGCGGCCTGCTGTCATTTTCTACCGCATCTTCCAAGATGGATGGCTGCGACCTGACGTCAAAGTAGCGACTAAAGCTCTTGTGCTTCCATTGACGCTGTTTACTGCTGCAGCAGTCTTCATGCCCCTAGCATCGGTGGGGTATTGCGATGGACGATCTTCTATGCGCAAGGTGAGGCGCAGTCTTTGATCTACCGTTATGCGTATCCAGCGACCCTGTCGGTCGTGTTAGCCGCGTGGACAGTCCACTTGGTTCATCGCCGAGTAGCGATCTGGCGTATCAGCATCCGCGACGACGTATACCTAATTGGGGAGCGTCTGCACAACTTCAGCGAGAAGCGCGCACGGGATGTCGGAGTATCCCGACGAGTGATTACGGGATAGAGTTAGCTCCTTACAGTTTTGTATTCTTGAATTTTCTATTCTACTTTGTACATTGAAACGTCATCACTGCTAGTATGATTTGTCGTCCTAGGGATACTTTGAGAGATTTCTTACGATAATAAATGCTGTTGCCTGAGGCCCGAGCTTCGAGACGACCCGAATCTAGGTGCCTGCCACGTGACCCACCTCGATCCGCAGGCAGCAAGATGATTGGTTAGGCAACAGGATTCCACCAGATCCTCCCGCGATGCTCGTCTATCGAGGCCCTTCATCGCCATCGCCAGGCACCCATTGTTCAGTTTTTTTTGTCCTTCCCCCTCCCCCTATGGATTCTTTACCCTTTTGCGACTCACGACATGGGATTGTGAATCAGTGCGACCCTTGCCTCGGGATTTAAAAGTGTCGAATCTCTTTCTCTGATCCTTATCGAACCGCTATCGCCATGTCCGTCCTGCGCGGAGGAAGTGGGTTCCTCCAACGCCGCCTCACGAAGTTGTATACCGACACGAAAACCTCTTGCGAGAGTGTTACCACGGCCTCGAAAGCTCTTGATGACCCTGAACTTGTCGCCCTACACACCAGTTTCCAGAAACAGCGAGACCGTTTGCTGGCATGGGGTCTCAGATTGGAGTGACGCTAGCGCCGCCCAGCCCAATGATATCGACGAGTCCCTGACCGCAGCTGGCTTCAGCGATGTCGTCGAGAGTGTCATGTCTTCAATTCAGGACCTGCTCTACCGGGCAGAGCAGGTCCAGCATATCGATCCGCCCATGCTCCCCTCCAAGGAACGCAGGATAGATATCAAGGACAGCCTCGGCAGCCTGCCCTTGAAGACACAGTGGACCGATGATGATATTAGTCGTTCCAACACGATCCTGAGCGACTTGACAGCATGCATCGACACTCTCTATGATCTTTCTCGCTCGCGACGTGAGGCGAGCATGTCGAGCAAGTACAACGCCACCGCACGCTCACGGCCGACCCTTACTTCTCCGTACGATTACTCTTACGGCTCCTTGTCAGACTCAAAGGGAAAGGTCCAAAGTCCTAAGCAGATGAGCGACCCTTTCAACTATTCCCCGTCCACCAACAAGCGCGATTTCAGCAATACTCTCGCCTCCCATCCTTTCGTCATCGACCGATCGGCATTGCAACTATACGGAGCGGCCCACGATAATAGCCCCCCCACCATATGAACCAGTCGCGGCTTCTTCAAACTCTCGGGCTATTGGCCGATTGAAATCATCGGCCATTCCGTCTATTATCGGCACGTTCAAAGAATCGCATGTTTCTGTTCTTGTCGAATTCATGCCGATGATGGCTGAATCAACCATGAACTCCAAAAATGTCAGACTTGAGAAGCTCCAGAAGTCGCTTGATCAATTGCTGCAGAACGCCAGGATCTCCCACCTAGGTCTCCTGCGCTTCCTTGGTTACTCTCTTGATGAGCCCAATGCCCGTTATGCCTTCCTCTACCAAATGCCTGTCGATTATTTCCCCTTCCTGCAAAACCCTAGCGATCTTCTCAAGGAGCTCAAGCCAGTGCCTCTTGTTGCCATGCTTCCTTCGGCAGAAGATTATCGCGAAAAGCGGATGCCGAACCTCGAGACTCGGTTCCGTCTTGCTTATGATCTTTTGATGTCTGCTTTGCATCTCAGAAGTCAGAATGCTGTGCATGGCAACATTAACAGCAGCAACGTCATCTTCTTCCCCGGTCGCACAGACGCGACCAACGAGGAGGGCGGCCTCTCGCCTGACCTTCGTCGTGCTTATTTGACCTCTCCAGCTCGCTTCTCGGGCGATGGTCCCACGCCGGAACCCATATCTACCGCAATGTATCGCCATCCTGAAGACAAGAGAGTTGTCGAGGAGGACTCCGCCTGGGCGTATGATCTTTACTCTTTGGGTCTTGTCTTGCTTGAGATTGGGTTGTGGGCACCGATTGGGCGGCTTTGGAAGATGAAGTATGATCGCACATGGTTTAAGCACCGCGTGGAGGATTTATACATCAAAAAGCTTGGCGCCAAGTGCGGTACTGCATATATGCAAGCGGTGCAGCTGTGCCTCGATGCACCCAATTTCCACCTATCCACACAACCTATGACAGATCTCTCACTTCGCGTGCCTCAGATTTATCATTACCCCGTTCTTGATTTGTCTGATCCGGATGGCACATTTTCCTTCTCAATGAACTTCATGTACACGATCTGCAAGATCTTGTGGGCATGCAGTAGTATCGACATCTTCAACCCTCCCTCGGCGGAAGAATTAGACGACTGTCTGCCGCTCGCTCTGGTTCCAACTCCCGAGCCAACGCCCGCAGAGGAGAAGCCTGACCCATACATTGCTGCGCGTCTACCGAGCAATTTGGATAAGCAGCTCCCCTCGATCCCAAGAGCATGGGGCGTGATGGCAGAAGAGAAGAGCATGGACAAACCCGCCAAGAAACGCACTGTCAAGCGCATCCCCAACATTGAAATCCCCGACGAGCATCTTCAGGAATGGAATTTTCAAATGATGCCACAACTGAGCCGACTTCTCCAGAAGATCCTCAAGGACTCGTCGGAATCGTGTGGAGCTTCTCTTATAATGACTGGCGAGTCACCTGAAACTGCACGGACGACTATCTGCGTAACCTGCGCTAGCGTCAAGAAGGTTCGATCCGCCCTGAAGAAGCACTTTGTTCTGGGTCGGGACGATTGGGATCTCATCGTAATCCGCGGCGATATTGAGCGGTCCAAAGTCCCCCGCAACACGCGCCGCAAGCCTGCCAAGACTCGTCCGAATGGATCCAATCAAACACCCTTTCGCCAGCGAGAATTGAACCCCTGCTATCAGCAACGGCCCCTATGCGGTGCATCGATTGGTGCTTTCCAGAATGAGGAGCACTTACCCCCTGTTTCTTATGGTGGTGCCGTCCTCGTGGATGGCTTACCCTACGGATTGACGGTTCATCATATGTTGGAGGCCCCCAGTGATGATGAAGATTCTGGAACTCAAGAGCAAGACGTTCCCTCTCGATCAGCAGGCAACTACCCTAGGGACACTACAAACATTCCCAATCAAAACCTCATCCCTACATACGGCGAGGATGCTCATTCTGACGCCAATCTCGATTTGGAGGTCTCAGATACTGAGGACGGCGATGACACATCAATATCGCAAGGTGATGGCGAAGACGAATACTGGCTTTCTGATGAAGACTCCTCCGATGATGATTCTATTGACGGCGATGATAACGACGATGACGATGCTGCCTCTATCGGCGATACTGCGGGTATTGAACCCGGTGAAGAGCCGCGACTACTGGTCACCCAACCAGCCATTGACGATGTACATGATGATTTTTTTCCGGCGCCCGAGGACCGTGATGACGAGCATCTTGCCTCGCATTCCCTAGGCTATGTTCATGCCTCATCCGGTGTGCGACGGTGGACACGGAAAGGTATCAAGCACGAGATTGATTGGGCTCTCATCAAAGTTGATGAAGCCCGCATGGATCCCCGCAACATCATTATTGAGGCCAGCTCGGCCTCGCCTGTGCGACCTGGCATGGGACGAGCCGCTCCACCGCAACCCATCTTTCTCAACCAAGTGGCTCGAATGGAGGAAATGGGCGGATTAAATGTCCACTGTTGCGGCCGCACAAGTGGGCTACAAACCGGCCAAATATCTAAAGCTCTGACAATAGTCAAGCTTCATGGCCGACACTCATTTTCCACAAGCTTTTGTGTCAACGGGAACTTTGGAGGTAAGCGGAACACTGCAGATCATGTTTATGTTTATACGATCCTTAATTAGATACCCTTGTTTTCTTTCCTTATCATACCCCTTCTGTCTTCCCCCTCCATCAAGTTGGTAGACCATAACATTCATCGGGTCGCATTCGGCCCCCCCCCCCCCCTACCTTCCCCGCCGGGTTGTATTGAGTAAAGACCAAGCTAACATAGCTTCCCAGCTCCCGGCGACTCGGGCGCATGGGTATTCGATAGGTCCACCGGTCGCGTCTGTGGCCACGTTCTGGCATGGTCTGAAAAGAGCAACACGACCTACATCTCGCCGATGGAGGTCACATTCGAAGACATTGCCCGCACTCTCAACGCTTCCTCGTCTCCCTTCCCGGCGACCCATCTCGCTCAATGGGCTACGCCGGCCCTACCTCCCAACCTCCGGGCCAGTACCGCTATCATACCCAGCAACTGCCGGGCGACTTTGACCGTCTAAACGTCGGGCCACCGCTGCCTCCTGGGCCGCCTCATTCTCAGTATGCGCGACATCCTCACCACCCGGGGTTCGGCCACCCTCCTTCGCATCCCCCTCCACCCCCTCCAAGGCCCGGCAATAGGGAAGCTTCTGTCTTTCGAGGCCCCGTGCCTCCAATCCCACCATCATTGTTGACGGGTCCGAGGAATATTGAGCGTCAGCTCGCTTGATTTAAATTTATGACTATGTTTGGCTGGAATACCTGGTTCTACTACGACGACGCATGTTTATGATTTATATTGGTGAATACCCACGGTGGAACAGCATCCTTGATGGAGTAAATTTCAATCTCATTTTTTTTTCAATTCTATTACAATCCTTCCTTTTCTTTTCAGTCCAACCGCGCATGTGGCGGATCGCATAGTCGAGTGTTGTGGCTCACCTGTAGCTCCAAAAAAAGAATGCCTTGCGCTTTCTTGATACAGACATTTTCGAGAATCTATATGTGGATCTAGGCAGCCTGGAGGTGCAGTTTAGAGGCATTTTTAAATAATAGTATCAAAGAGCTAGACTCCGAGTACACGCCAGCTGTAATGTATTCATGCCCGCCCCCAACTTTGCTGTACGAGAGGGGGCCACTCGTAAGCATCGCCAGGGCCCTATAGCTTTGCCAAGATGGGGCTGAGCAGAGGCCAAAATAAGATTGGCGGCCTAATTCCCGGTCGTCTGTGCTTTGCATAGCAATCAATCGGATCTTAAGATCATCTTGTTGAAAAGTGTATATGCTTCAATGCTGACTACAAAGTGTTTCTCGGTACCGGTCTATTTTGTCGCAGCTATTTCTAGACCGAGATCTACACAGCCATACCGACATGTGGAGCTCAGAGAGAAGCATTGGAGATTTTGTAACCTACAGAGTAAAGTTGGAATAGGCTGAAGCTTTTAGTTGCTTGCGATCGAGAGCTTTGGGGCATAGATCAGTAATTATAAAAGTCAAGTTGCTTCCTTTTTTCTCTTAAAAGCTTCATCTTGATCCAGCTATCACGATCCTCTTCGTTCAAGTCACACCGATTTGCCTTTTGGATATTAGTTCCATCTCCTGCCCAACTATATACCTCGCTCGAACTGTTTTCATCTATATCTCGATATGACAACTCCCAATGATAACCTCTACATTGGCTGCAAGGCTTACGTGGACGGTATCCAGACCTCATACGGATATGTGCCATCAAAAGCAGCGGGCATCGCATTCTGCGTGCTCTTTGGTTTATCAATGATTGCTCATATCGTACAATTCTGCTGGAAAAGAACATGGGTGTACAGTGTCTTTGCCATTGGATGTCTGGGTAAGCAATCACTCCCGATACCAAATCCGGTATGTCGTGAAGCACATCGAGGTATCTAATACTGCAAAGTGGAATTGATCGGATGGGCGGGCCGGACCTGGTCTGCTGAATGCCCATATAACTCGACTGCATTTCTCATGCAAATATCAACTTTGATCATCGGTAAGCAGAAATCCATTCGAGAGAAACCTTGCTTTTTCCTTAGCAGCTCCTGATGATGTACACACCAGCACCGACATTCTTCACAGCTGGAATCTACGTCCTTCTTGGCAGATTGATTCAGCTCTACGGTCGTGAGTGCTCGGTGCTCTCACCAAAGCTTTACCTTTGGATTTTCTGCACTTGTGATGTCATCTCACTAGTAGTCCAAGCCGCTGGCGGGGGCATGGCCTCATCCGAGTCCGACAACAATGGTGATACCGATCCAGGCACAAATACCATGGTCGCTGGTATCGTCTTCCAGTTATTCTCAATTACGGTTTTTGTGGTCTGTGCCATTGACGTCTTCCGCCGTGAGAAGCGCCTTGGTATGCTTGGTATGGCAACCAAGGGTCCTCTCCGTCCTCTTCTCGCGGCCATGGTGCTTTCTGTGGTCTGCATCTATATTCGAAGCATTTATCGAACCATTGAATTGGCTCAGGGCTGGAATGGGTATTTGATTACCCATCAGTCTTACTTTATTGGACTTGATGGCGTTATGATGGTGATTGCTGTTGGCATCTTCAATATCTGTCACCCTGGGTGGTTACTGCCTTCGGATGCCGAGTTCACGTTGCCGAAAAACAGACCGACTGAGTCGTTTCAGACCGAGGCGCTAAACTTGAATACTATGACAGGCTACAGGGGCTATGAAAATCATTCATAGGGGCGTGAGAGGAGGGCTTCGGAGCGTAGTGTCTTAGGTTGTCCATGTTTTTTGAATCTTTGATACGGTTTCCTTTTGCGTTCACAGCGAGACTGAATGATTTTTGACTTTCTAGCATCAATAATGAAGACTTGGCATCTTGAATCTTCTCCACGTAATGCAGCCGACCTCTATGTTTCTCGATGATCCTGGAAGCAATTTGAAAGCTTATTCGAATTGTTTACGAAACTCTCAGTTGAGATAGCACAATCACACCAGCCCTGTAGGGCTGAAACCTAGCTAAGCCTTCATGTTACGGTCTTTCAAACTTAAATTTGCGGAGGAAACAATGTCGATACAAGCCAATCAGTGGACTACGTTGGCTCTTGAGTTAGAAGCACATCGTCGCAGTAGGCCTGTGTCACAATGGCCCGTTTTACCCAACCAAAGAGTGACAATAAGCGCCCTCTCACCAAGGTCCTGTACGAAAGACTATAGCAGAGGGATATCCAGATTATAAAACTCCTTCAGGCTCGCCGTTCGTGCTAATCATCGTCAGCACAGACTACACCATAGACTGAGACCCGGCTTTCTTCGTTCTTTATTAGATAAACGTGCTTCGTCCAGATGGGCCTCATCAAGATTCTTCTCAAAGCCATCCTCATTCCCATTGTCGTTCTCGTCGTTATCACCGTTGTTGTGATCGTTCTCATCAAAATGCGTCGCGAGAAAAAGGAGGAACAAAGACAGATCCAAAAACACTCGTTCCAGCCACCTCCTATCACACAGTGGGCCAACGACAATTATCCTCAAGAGCCAGAACCGGTAGTCTACCCTGCAGCTACGCCGGGTCAGATGGAACAGGGAGCTTTCCATGCAAAATGAGACTGTGCGTACATATTACACTGACCTGTTATTAGAGCAAATTGCTAACCCTGCGGGGCTTTCTAGGTGACAACCATCATAGCCCTTTTTACGTCGAGTATGGTGATTTCTATATGACTACTTTTCGCTTGAACATTCAAGTTCGGAACCCGCACCACTGTTGAGATAAGACCCTGATCGAAGATTATTCTACTTTGCTTTCCAATTCATCTTTCCAATATCCTATTTCCTGTAAAGTCTTCAATGATCTGGCGGGGCCAATTCTTTTTACATTCCTCTTCTCTATTTCCTCGGCTTAGGTGGCTTTCTTGATCGTGGTTCTCTCAAAACTAAATGGCACGAGTCTCCGTTGTTTACATCAAGTCCAATCGTCCACAACCTTCGTGCATAGTCTCCCATTGATCAGTGATCAGCATGGACGACGGCAGAAATGTCGCTGCCTATCCCGGGGTGATGAAAGTGTGCGTGTTTTAGACAGGGGTCTTCGGGGCGTTAAGAGAGGAAAGCCTATCTAAATAAAGACCTCGTGGTGATACGATGCCAGGCAACAGTCACGTCTTCGTGGTTGCATCTTGCGTTGGGATTGGGTCGCTAGTGATAGAGACCGTCATGCTTCATCCCGCTCCAAACCGCAGGGCTGAGAAGACTAGGGGTAATCTGGACTAGTCTCAGATTCAGTAACGCCCGTCGCTAGCGCAAAGTGACTTGACTTTTCCAGTTGCATCAGCTCATAGTCATTTGTGGAGATCAGGTTCATTGCACGACCTAGAATCTCAGACGCAAATTTATTTTCTTGAGGTAGAATTCCCACATCGTCTTTCTGAGCCTGCTGTAGCTGACGATGGTTTGGGCATTTCGACGTTTGTGACACGGAAATATCATCTTTCTTCTCCGACTTTTCGCTCCTTTAATCCCTGACGCCCGCCATCTTAAACATCACCTGCGCAGTTTGTCTGGGTCAAGAAGTACTCAGATGTCAGGTGTCATCAGAACCCGCTCAACTGGGATTCCTCGTCGGGCGCTAAGCCTGTGAGGTAACTAGCATGTGGAGTCATCAGCTAGAGATGCAGCAGACAATTGAGGACTTGACCTGTTTACCGTAAGCCTAGCGAGGTAGAATCCATCTAGGGTTAAGCCAGTCGTCTGGTCAGCCCCGGGCCGGGTCTTTCGCGACTTTGATGAATGTTACCTTTCTGCTCGTTCGGGACCTTTCTTGTTTTTCCTGCTTCTTACTCTCTAGAAGAAAGAACGCAGAATTTCAACATCAATTGCTTCGAAGGGCGAATTGAAACTGTGCTCCGAAAGTGATACCCCATGTTGAAGCTATGAAATACCCAGAGAATCAAACCACACGACAGCCGACAATAAAGTGATGGAGCTATAGCGAGTAACTCGAGGTTCGACCGGCTGTCCCTGATCCATGAGTCATCCAAGGATCATGGTTCAGATGGGGATCTATTCTTGCATACTCCTACTCTATCTGATCCTCGCGTCCAGAAATTGATATTGTTTACAGAAAAGCCCTTTACCGAATACTTTCAATGAAAAAATCCGTGTTTGCGGCTGGCAGTCTTAGCCGTGCCTTTTAGCCTTTGGAAAACGCTTCACGTCTGACAAGTTTCCAAGAAGTCCACACCGCTTTTGCATATTTCACTGTGCTATTTTTATGTGCACCGGATTTGCTATTAACAGATTCTTGGGACTCCATTCAAAGGAGAGGCCTGGCAGCTAGGTAACTTTGCTGCTCTTTCTGGGCCCAGGCAAACCTGGCCATACTTACTTTGAAATTTCAGATCCCGGAGCTATGAAAAGAAACAAAGAAATCCACCGGGAGATGATCCATTCATTTTCCCATATAGTGTCCAACACATGGATAGCTGACCTCGGAGACCTTCATGTCATGATATGTATTACAATCAAATCACAATAGGACTGAGTAGGACATGTCCGATACAATCCACAAAGTACATGGGGAACCCGACGGAAAGCCACCACGCCATAGGTCGATAGATGCAGGGCGAGAATCAGAAATAGGGATATTCAGGAACCTAGTGACACTATCCGGTATCCAATATGGCTCTCGCCAATAGCGTTATCCGACGCAAGGAGTTCATGTCAGAATATTTCAATCCTAACTTCGGGTGTGAGGTATGAGCTCCGAGACTGAGATGTGCTTAACGGATAGATTCAAGACCCGAACGAATACTAGGTACGCCTGTTGATGTATTCTCTAGTTCCTTTGGGAGAATTATGCCGACGTATAAAAAGGCTATCTACTATGTGAGCTATTTGACCCATTCTCTACATTGTAAGTCTATCCGCATATCAACATAGTCAATTTGTCAGACTGCGTACTCCCAGTGAATCGGTGAAACGTCAATAATAGGCGAAATTTCCCAGCACACGACACTATGCGACGAGATTACTTCCTCGCCCTTGTCGGGCTCCCCGTTGACTGCTCAAGCTGCTCCCACTTTTCCACTTGCTGGTTCGTAACCCTACTTTTGTCTTGATGATTTTGATCTATAACTCGAATTCAATTAGGGTCCGTCGATTCTCATCTGGACGTCGGCTCGAGTCTAGGTGGAGCTTACATTGAGAAAGGCGGAGATTTGCATGTAGGTGCAGGCGCCAGTCAAGGGTCTGGATTTGGCGAAGGGTCTGGATTTGGCGAAGGGTCTGGGTTTGGCGAGGGGTCTGGTCTTGGAGCTTCAAACGTCGAAGGGTCCATTTCTGGAGGCTATGCCAACGAAGACTCTTCTTTTGAAGGAGCTAGCCTCGAGTCCGGTCTGGGGTCTGGACTAGGAGCCGGACTAGGAGCCGGGCTTGGACCTGGCCTTGAAGGCTCTGCCCTAGGAGGACCAGTCACTGGAAGCTCTGGATATCAAGGCTCTGACATAGGTCCCAGCTTGGGAACTGCCGGCATCGAAGGCTCCGGCAATGGTGCTAGCCTTGGAAGCTATGGAGGTGTCGGTCTTGGAGAAGGCCTAGGTGAAGGATCCGGGACTGGGCAAACTGGACATGGAGGTTCAGGTATAGGAGGTGCCAGTACAGAAGGAGCTGGTCCTGGAGGTATTGAGGGCACCGGTGGCGGATCAGAACTGCCATTCACCCCGTCAGTCATACCCATTATAATGACCTCGGTGGTGCCGAGTTTACCTGCGATAACCCCTTCCATGCCGATTTATCCTACACCGCTTGTGGTTCCATCAGCTCCTAGCATTGCACCTGCTCCGTCTGAAACACCACTTGTCGTTGTTCCGGTACCTTCAGTCGGTCCAGTTGTATCTTCTGCACCAGCACCAATTTCTATTGCAGCTCCAATGCCGTCAGACACACCACCAGTTGTTGCTTCGGCTCCCTCGGTTGCTCCACTTGCTCCTGTTACGCCGAGCTGTATTCCGTGTGTTTCAGTTGCACCAGGCCCCTCTGAAGCACCATCTATTATTGTCCCTGTTTCTTCAATTGCGCCGGTTCCATCTATTGCGCCGACTTATGCTGTACCGCCTTCCTCGTCATGTACTCCAGCTTTATCATCTACTCGGCCACCGACGGGATCATCCTCCATCGGGCCGGCTGCAGTCTCACTTCCTCTGGACCGGTACAGAATGTCCCGGTATCTACAATTGCATCAATTGCAGGACCATCAGCGAGCATGATTCCGAGTGACACTGGCGGGCCCAGCATCGCTAGCGCAGAAGAAAGTGGAGAAGGAGCTGCAGCTGGTGTGGGCGAATCCAGTACTGGTGAAACTGCTGCCGCTGAAGTTGGTGGGGCCGACTTGGCAGGAATAGGTGAAGAGGGACTCGGTACAGGCCTAAAAGGCAACTCTCTCGGGGAGTCCGAACTTGGTAGTGAAGGTGGCCTGGAAGGTGGCTCCACGGAGGGAGTTGGTCTTGATGGAGCCGGTGGAGTGGAAGAGGGAAGTATCGAAAGTAGATTGGAAGAGGGCTGGGAACACGGGTGCAAGGAAGGAGGCCTGGGCACTGCCATCGGAGTCGGCATCGGGAATAACGGGGGTACTGGGATCGGTGTGGGCATTTGAAATTGATATAATCACTGGACTGGATGTTCCACAGGGGGAATGTAGTAGAGTCAAAAGTAGTTCTAATCATCTTTGTCGTCTATCTCTTCAACCCTACATATCGATACATCCCAACTAGGAATCATGGCGTGAACAAGAGCCGCCCCCAACGTAAGGCTGACAGCGCCCCCGCTCAGGCCTTTTAAGGCCCCTCAAAGACGAACTCATTCTCGTACAATACATCCTCTTCGCAAATCTCCAAGGTCACCATCAATATGCTGGCTTGGTTCAAAGGTCTGTTCGGTGAATCGGACAAGAAAAAGAAGCAACGCCGAGACCGCGCATATCAGAAACGCGTGCGAGATCGTGAACGTCAACTACGAAAGAAGCTTCTAGGCGAAGAAAACGAGAATACGTCTTTCTACTTCAAACCATACGGTACTCCGACTATAAGAGACGGGAGAATTTCTTAACCTTCCAGCGAGATCTCTTTGAAAGTTCTTCGGGTGTTGAGCGCTGTGAAGAGTACGATCAGGCTATACTGGCAGGAGTGAAGGCAGAATTATGGGAGTGGAGCATTAAGAATTCCATGAATATGATATGACGGACGCTATCTTTTGCTGTACAAACCGATACTTGTCATCACGCAACAATCTCGAAATACTTCAAAAACTCCGCATCCTGCCTCAACAAACCATGCTCCTCGACCGCCAACTCGACAAGAACCTCAAAGACTCTTGTTCCTCTGCGCGAGAAATTGGGCAAGATTATGGAAGCCCCGGCCATGGTAGACGGCAGGCGTACCGCCACCGGAACGGCCCCAGCGCCAACATCATACTGCTCCGCGGTACCTGAGTACCAGCTAGTCATCATCATATCCATATCAGCAAAGTCCGCATGAGAGCCTAACATCTCTCCTAGGGAAAGTGATTTTAGAAGCGAAGTCATATGACCGATGGAATCCATAGTGATGGCGTTTACGGATTCGCGGATCAAAGCTGCTGTCCTTGCAATGCCTTGGTCGCCGCCGAATGCCACGTCACGAGCTGCGCGAGGGCCCGCCTGGCTTGCAAGAACGGCATTGCCGAAATACAAGTCCGAGGTCTTCTTCTCTGGGTCTCGAGTGCGCACGTTGATAGGGTGAATGAAGCGGGATGGCGATGTCGCTTTCTCGGGATGAAGGTGAAGTCGGATGCGCGTAACTGTTGTCCAGATGAGAGCGGAGATGCAGCCATATGAGGTTATGTAGTCTCCTGAACCCAGGAATGGCGCACATTGAGCTTTGAGGCGTTGAATTGATGGTTCGGAGATTCTGTAAATGCCTGATTTGGACGTAGGTGGTGGTTTTGGTTTGAACTGGCTCATGTCCATGATGTGAAACATTGGTAACTTTTCCAATAGCTCTGCTCTCGAAAGGGTTGGCCCGGATGCCGAGGCATTGTAAGGGGCTCTGTTTAAATCTGGAGTATGCGTGGGCATTTCCAATCCTTCTTGATGGGCCTTGCTACCTTGACAGACAAGAGAAAGGAATGTATCAATTGAGGACCAGTCTCCAGCGGCGTGATTCACTCTGAAGCCCAAGATCAGGCCACCCTCGATGAGACTTAGCTGCAAACTGCAGACCGAACTCGTGGCGGTAGACTCTTCGGGTAATAGCTGACTGGGATCCATGTCTTCGGGATGAAAGCCACTCGCGGCAAGGACGGACAGAGGCTTGTGCTCCGTGGGCTCGAATCGGCGGATGTTGACATCGACTTGGCTTCCTGGGGCTGTGACGATGAAAGCTTTGCCAGAGCTGTCAACTTCAATATTCCCTGCCATCATCGGCAGTTGTTTGGTTGCATTGCTCACGCCTGCCGTGATGGAGGCGAACAACACGTCTAGAGCAACTGTAGGCTGAAGCTCGTAGACTATGAAGAGTTTCACAGACTTGCGAATGCCCATTTTGTCCATGTCGGACAGATCAAACTTTCTTGCAGCTTCCATGGCTCACTTCCAGGTATTTCTCGGGTTTTCTGGTGATTTGATGCCACCATCAATAGGACTTCGCTGATACCGAGCACTGTTTTTAAATGTAGCCCCACGAATTCACGCTAGACCTCATAAGGAATTTATGCCTGAATCTCAGCAAGACATCCCTTACCGAACAGGGTGTCCGACAATGCAGTTCAACAATCGTTTTATAGTCTCACGTAAGAAGTGGGTTTGGAGCCCAGTAACCTTATGAGAGTACAGTGAATATATGAATATAATCATTTGTCGGGTTGGAATCCATCTTCAACTCACCTCGAGCAGGCATCACCACTGGCCACCTCAATAAAGCTCTTAAAAGTTATTTCCAGGGATTCGAACAGCGCAACGTCGCGGCAAAGTCTCCACTACTCTCCACCATGGACAATGCATCGTGCAGGCAGCAGCCGAGCTTCATAATTACGAGTAACTCAGTCCGAACGTCCAAATTTTACTAAGTGAGATATTGTGGTACACACAAATTAAATGTATTGGAAACTAAACATTCAAGACAAATCATACCGATCACGAAAACACCGATGCACTCTTGGATAAACAAAGAAAAAGAGAAAGGGAAAAGAGCATATCAAGTCATGATAATGGAAGCCCAAAGTACTTCCCAAATTTCCGAGGATCGGAAACAGTTATGCGGATCCAAGGTACTTGAGCACATTCTCGCGCTCCTCAACAGGCAACATAGAAAGCACCTGCTGCACACCACGAAGACCACCCTCCTTGTTTCCAATAAGCAGCTGCGCGACCTCAGAGGCAACGCCTCCGTGCGCAAGGCCTCAACCTTGGCATGCACGATCTTCTTGTTCTCCTCGTACCAGGTGGCGACCTTGAGGTCATCATGCTCGAGCTCCTCGTCCAGCAGGCCGGTCCAGGCGTGCAAAGTGCGGAGGTGCGCGGCACGGGGTGTCTCAGTACTGGTGGAGGCCGCACCAGTGGAGGGAATGGCGCCACCGGCACCATTGCGAGGAGCAGGGGTGGCAGAAGCGGCGACCATGCGCTTGACGATCAACTCTTCACTGAGACGGCGGCGTAGGCGCCAGTAGAAGAAGCGGCGAGCGTTCTGCCACTTCAGGGGATGGCGAATGGTGTTCTTGGCTTGCATGCGGCCGGCGCGGTCGTGCAGGTCGGCGAATTGGAGAGCGATCTGCAGGTAGACAGGCAGGAGCTGCTCTTCACGGATGGCCATCTTGGCCTTGATCTCGGTCAACTGCTCATTGCTGAGGGAGGTGTCTTCGAGGGAACGGCGGAGGTCACCATAGGTGGTGTCCAGGCGGGCCATGGTATCAAGCTGCTTGTCGCGGCGGTACTTGATGTTCACAATACCTTCGGGCTCGAGGACACCACCGCGGGACTCTTCGTCGGCGTACATCTCCATTTGATCGGGGTTAATGGTGGGGTCAACGACGACCCACGATCCACCACGGAGCTCACCGTGAGGAGGGATGTACACGAAGATGGGCTGCTCGTGCTTGACGAGAGCATCGACGATGTACGAACCGTACTTGAGGACCTCGTTGTACATGTCACGCTGACCACCAGAGAAACCTCTCCAGTTGGCAAGGATCATGACGGGCAGCTGCTCACCGTTGTTGAAATCACGGAGAGCCTGGGCCGTCTTGTAGGCGGAGTTGGGGTACCAAACACCACCAGCCTCCTGGGTGATCATCTCCATAGAGTCGGGGTTGGCTGGGTCAGCAGGAGTAACGTTCTCAACAGAGCGGGTCTCGACAGCGATGACACCCATGGGAATACCACCAAGGCGAGCACGACCAACAACAACAGTGCGAGCCCAACCGCCGAGGGACTCTTCAAATGAGTCTTTGTCGAACAGACCAGGGAGGAAGCCTTCTGGTTCCTGCTTACCACCAATGAGCCAGCGGACATCGTAGGACTGCTTGGGAGGCGGGTAGTAGGCGACATCACGATCCCAGTTATCAGACCAGGGGCGGATGGGGATAGGAGCACCCTTCTTGTCGGGAACGAAGGACATCCACTCGACGATCTTGCGAACACCGTCGAAGTCGTCAGCCGCAGTCATGTGGGAAACACCGTTGTTGTACATGATCTGGGTACCTCCAAGCTGCAAGTTGGAGGTATAGACCTCACGACCGAGCAGCTTGTTGATGGCAGGAGCACCAGTCAGGATGATGGGCTGGCCCTCAACCTGGATAGCACGCTGACCAAGACGAACAAGGTAGGCACCGATACCGACGGAACGGCAGGTAACCAGCGTGATGGTGAAAATGTCCTCGTAGGCCTTGGAAGTAGCACCAGCGATGAGACCGGAGCCCTTGAGACACTCAACACCAAGGCCGTCCTTGGCACCAATGATAGTGGTGATCTTGTAGCGATCCTCACCCTCGTCGTGAATGAGCTCAGTAATGACCTCCTTCTTCTTGCCAGCATCGAAGCGCTTCTTGACCTCGGGAGTGAGGTAGAGGTACTTGAAGCCAGCCTCAGGTTTGGAAGCATCGTTCCAGGCAACGGAGAAGTATGGGATCAGCTCATCGGCCATACCGATACGGGCACCGGAGTTGGCAGACAAGTAGATACGCGGGATACCAAGCTTGCGAGCGAGCTCAGTGCACTTGTGGAAGAATTTATCTTCCTGGGGGCCGAACGAACCAATCTGGAAGGTGATGTCGTTGGCAACAATAATGAAACGACGACCCTTGGGGTACTTGGGGTACGGGCAGTGACGATCCAGCCGACCATACCGTGAGAGTTGGTGCCGGGCTCACGGGAGACCTCAACCAGATTGTCAGTGTCATCGAGGACCAATTCCTCATAGTCAATGCACTCGCCGATAGCTGGGCGCTGAGAAGACAGCGAGGGGATATCCGCGACAGCCTTGGTCCAAGCGTTCTGGAAGGCCTGGCGGAACAGCTCGGGGAAATCGTACACGTACTGAGTTCCCATGAGGTGAGCTTTGTAACGCTTGGGCTGCAGCCACTCCTTAGTAGGGTAAGGAGTAGACACACGGGCGCATGTGCATGGAGCCGAGCTTGGTAGTACCACCAATGCTCTGGAAAATCCACTCGCCCTTCTCGGACTTACGCTCGATGTACAGCTCAACCTGGATGATGAAGCCGTAGGTGTTGCTGATGATAACACGCAGAGGGTAGGGCATGCCGGTGGAGGGATCAGTGCAAAGGATGCGAATCTCAGCTCCGGTGACACGGAGGCGCCACAGGCGACGACCGAAGCGGTCGAGGAAGCCAGCAAGAGCCTGCTCGACATCGATGGGCTGCAGGTTGAAGACGGGGAGAAGTTGATGAAGATGTGGTTAAGGTCAGAGTTGTTGTTGCCAATGATCTCAAGGGCATCCAAAATATCGTTCATCAGGCGATCAGCCTCCGAGATCAGGTATTCGGCTGTGGGAATGTCATCACGCAGACGACCAGGACGGACGACAGCGCGAACAAAGTAGCGCTTGTCGACGGCCTTGTCGCTTTCGGGACCCTTTCCAAGCGCCTCGTAGACGTGAATGTTACGGTTCTCAGTGAAAACGGGCTTGATCTTGAACTTGGACAGACGGCCAAGCTCAAGCTGGAAGGCAAGAGCAGGCTCGTTGTGGCGAATGCTCTCATCTTCCTCATACTTGGGGCCACGGAAGGTGAAGTATCCGGGGTAGACACCGTTCTTGGCACAGATGAAGGTCACCCGGCGGATGCGGCGGGAGAGCAACTCCTCCTTGTTGTCAGCTAACAGTCTCTGCATCTGGGAAGCGATCTGAGAGTCATCCTGCTCTTCAATGTCACGGATAGCAATATTGAGGACACCAGTAAGCTCGTCATCGTTCTCCTTAGCACCCGGGGGTGCAGGGCGACGCTTGCCCTCAAGATTGGCAATCAGGCCGTTGTCAGCCTTATGGGCCTTGGCGCCAGCGCGGTTGAAGGCCTCCAGAGCCTTGGGTAGGAATTCCTCTGCATCCTCCAGGTACTGCACGGGAATAATGACACCGCGGCGGATAGGGTCGGTGGAGGGGTCGTTGACCAGGTAGGACATGTCACTGATGGAGTTAATGCGCTTGAATGGGTTGCTTTCAGCGGTAGGGGTGCCGGGAGCCGAGGGCTGAGTGGAGGAGATAGGACCAAACTCAGCCTGACCCAGCTTGCCGAGGGTGAAGTCCCAAGACAGGAGGGGAGGCTCACCAGCGGCGCTGTAGTCAAGGCTCTTGACAGTGTAGGCACGATAAGCGCGGCGGACATAGACCTCCAGAGCAGCGAGGGTGACCCAGGGGTCCTGGTGGACGAAGAAGCGAGGAAGTACATCAAAGACGGTATACTTGGAGTCGACGACCTCCTTCAAGATACCAGCATCGGGCTCACGGTGGTCCCAGCCAGTCTCGCCGTAGCGGGACTCGACAACAGAAGAGCGCAGGATGTGCTCCATCTGGGACAAGCGTTCCTCCAGCGATGGCATAGCGCACTGGATGAGAACCTCACGAGCCTTGAGAGTGACCTTAGCGGTGGAGCGAGCCTCGAGGTCAGTAAGCTTTTTCAAAATAGGCTTGAAGTGCTTGCTGACATTGCCGAGGTTGGGCTGGTTGGGGCGGTACATTTCCAAGATGGCCAGTATCAGGTTGTTCTTGGAGCCAACGCGGCTGTGAGAGAGGACAGTGTGTACGACCTTGGTGATATCGTCCTTGTTCTCCTCGCGAAGCTTGAGAATGACATCCTCGTCACGCTTAGTACCGGTGGAGAACAGCTTCTCGACACCGTAGTACTGCTCCAAGAGACTGATGAAGACATTATACTCGTTGGTCTTCAGGCCGTCGAGATACTTGTTGATAACCAGCGTCAAGGGCGAGAGAGTGGTTTTAAGGATCTCGGCATCGGCGGGGTTAACGTGGTCCTCAATGAAACGAGAAATAATCTTCTGGAGCTGCTTGGCAGGGAATTCAGCCTTGCGAGACTTGGCCTTCTCGACGACGCCTTCGAGCTGGGCATCCAGCTTCTGAGGCATACGCGAGTGCAGAGCGGATGACTGGGCATTCCACTCTCCATAAGGAAGCTCGGGGTTGCGAAGGACCTCAACAAGCTCCTTCAGAGTCTCACCCATAATGACCTGGTTGTCGAAACCACGAAGGATGTTCTCCAGAATGGTGTACAGTAACCAGAAGCGCTGCGGGGGGTTTCATACCGACAACGACGGGAGGGCCAAGGTCGGGCAGCTGGCCAGTGAAGGGGTGAGCGTGCTTAACACGCGAAGGGTCATCCAAAGCGAGAATACCGAGGATATCACCCGCTTCCAAAGTGGCTCCGGGCTGCTTGAGGAGCTGCACCATACCATCCTCCTGAGCGATCAGAGGCATGTACATCTTCATGACTTCAACCTCAGCGTAGGCCTGGCCAGCGCGGATGTGCTCACCGTTCTGGACAGTGAACTTGACCAGCTTACCGGGAGAGGGGGAGCGAAGCTGAGTGGGGTCGTTCTCCTGCTCCAAAAGGCAGGTCTTGCCATCCACACTCAGACGAGTGGCAGCAGGCTCCTCCTTCCAGTAGACATTGTGACTGCGGCCGCTGAGCAAGACCAGCAGACCACCGTCAGCCAGAGCACGAACACCAACGGAGCACTTGGAACCGTTGATGAACAGGTGGTAGCTGTCCAGACTAGCGCGAGTGGCAGTGAACTTGTAGCGAGCACCCTCGTAGATGAAGTCTACGGGGAAGACAGTCTTGAGGACTTCCTTGGAAGGAACTTGACCCTTCTCCAGACCCTTGCGGTACTCCTCAATGCCAGCCTCACTGGCAAGGTGGGCCTTGGTGACGGCACCACAGATAACAGCGACAATAGGGTCAGGGCGCTCGGCTGTCAGCTTGTTGGAGATGAGCTGGTCGAGCCAACCGGTGGTGATGGTGTTGTCCTCGAAAGCGGGAGTTTCCAACAGCTTGATGAGGTACTCAACGGTGGTACGGAAGTCACCACGAATGCTCAATTCCTTCAGAGCAACAACCATGTGCTTGCGCGAGGCAGAACGATTCTCACCGTAGGCGAAAATGTGACCGAACTGGCTGTCCGAGAAACTGTGGATACCACCAGAGGTTCCGACGGAGAAGTAACCCCAAACGTTAGAAGAACTGCGGAAGTTCAGCTCGTGCATGGTACCACTGGAAGGCTTGAAACCCTCGCCGGGATCTTCAGAGGTAATACGGCAAGCAGTGGTGTGGCCCTTGGGCTGAGGGCGGCGCTGAGTCTTCAGACTCTCCTCGCTGGAGAAATCGAAGTCAATCTCGCCGGTGGTGTTGGGGTCAACACCGTACAGGAGACGAATGTCGCGGATCTGGTGCAGAGGAATACCCATGGCGATCTGGAGCTGGGCAGCGGGCAGGTTGACACCAGAGACCATTTCAGTGGTGGGATGTTCCACTTGAAGACGGGGGTTCAACTCGAGGAAGTAGAACTTGTCATCGGAATGCGAGTACAGATACTCGACGGTACCGGCAGACACGTAACCGACCAGACGACCAAGGCTGACAGCAGCCTTCTCCATTGCCTGGAAAGTGGGTTGTTTGGCAATGGTGACGGGTGCCTCCTCAATAATCTTCTGGTGACGACGCTGAACAGAGCAGTCACGGCCGAAGAGGGAGATGTTGTTACCGTACTGATCAGCAAGCAGCTGCACCTCCAAGTGGCGAGCGTTACCAGCCAGCTTCATGATGAAAATAGGAGAACCGGGGATCTCGTTGGCGGCCGCATTGTACAGGGAGACGAAGTCCTCCTCGTTGTCGACCTTACGGATACCCTTACCACCACCACCCTCGGAGGCCTTGACCATGACGGGGAATCCAATCTGCTTAGCCTTCTCCAGACCTTCGGCGGGGAGAACGTGCAGCCGCGGGCGTAGACATCGTCCTCGACTGTCACAATTCCTTTTTCATCAATCGTCACCTCTTCGACGCCGGTTCCCGACCAGGGGATACAGGGCACACCAGCATGCTGTGCGACAATGGTGGAAGAGATCTTGTCACCCAGCGAGCGCATGGCAGATGCGGGAGGACCAATGAAGATGATCTTCTTGGGCGAGGCCGCTAGGGACTCAGGTAGCCGAGGGTTCTCAGAGGCGTGACCCCATCCAGCCCATACGGCGTGAACATCCATGCGCTCGGCAACATCGACGATCAGCTCGACGTTGGCATAATTATTATTATTCGTTCCGCCAGGAACCTCGACGTATTGGTCAGCCATGCGGATGTAGTCGGCGTTGGCGGTAAGATCCTCCGGGGTGGCCATGACAGTGAACTGGATGGCTCGCTCGTTGCCAAAGGTCTCGTAGGCCCATTTCCTCACTGAGCGAATCTCCTTGACGGCGGCGATACCGTTGTTGGCGATAAGCACCTAAAAATGAGAAAAGAGATGAAAATCAGCCCCAAGTCCTTCCAATTGAGTTTGTGAACTCATAAAATCATGTTTGTCGTCTCAAACTTACCGACGTAATGACGGAGTGACCGCCATGCTCGGCGACGAAGTCCTTCACGGAGCTCGGAGGTGCTACTTCGAGGTGGTTACCACCAATGAAATGTGAAGGGAGGTTGTATTTGGCGGCATTGGAGCTGCCGTGGCCGTTGGACGGCTGATTGCCGTTGGGGACGCCCATGGTGTAAATGGATCAGGCAGTCTCAGATCCCATGCGAGAGTTGAGGCGAAAGGAAGAGATTAAAAGAAGTAATGTACAACGTGGCGAACCCGGAAACGGTGACGCGGGTAGAAAGCAGAAGTAGGAAAGGGAAAGACTGGATAATGTCAAGTCAGCCCGGGCAACACGAAGATCCCAATGCGGCAGCGTCGGAGCTTGGTCGCAAACGGGGGCAGGATCGCGAGGTAACAAGGAGGTTGCAGTAACACTTACCGGGACCACCGAAACCCGACTAAGAAAAGATGAGAAAAAAAAATTCGTTTCTCTTGGATAGCAACGAACTAATACTCGATCGAAGACGCCAGAAGAAAAAAAATGATGAGGATGATTTTCTAGAGTCCCACCAAGTGGAGAATCCCAACTCGTGCACCGAAAGTACCTTCCCATATTGTTTAGTACTGTCAGGTACATCCAGGAACACCCCTTCCCCAACTCCCGCGTCTTTGTTGGGCCGGTTCCACTGTGTCTCTACGTCCCACCATTTCGACCATGTCGACCTTTTCGATGATTTCGATAATGTCCTCATCTTCTTTTCTCTCATTACCCTCTTAAAACACCCTCATCAGTGTCATCACTCCCTCATGATATCGATCTCTTCGTTTCCGCTTATTTCCCTGGCCCCTTGACGAGTTGGGTGGCTGACGGTGTCCGCCCCCTCAGCCCCTCCATAGATTATCCCGGGGTCGGACACCGAGTCGGCAGCTTAAACCCCCTCGGACTACGAGATGGCGCTAACGGAGTAAAGTAACCACGTAGTAACCACGTAAATTATCCGGGTCTATACATGCCCGAGTTGTCGCTTTCCGGCCTCGCTGTAAACCGGTGGGGACCCTTGCCAGGGTAGGTGACGTACCGCTAGCTCCCAACGTGAGATCGGCGATACGGGACGGGCTGCCCCATCGGCAACGACATTGATGTACAAATGGCCTATACTACCCAACATGTCTTCGGCTCTAAATCCCTCTATGGTCTAGTGGCTCGGCGGCTGGCTGGGCTGAGGAAGAGTTCCCTCTCACACACCAACCTTCAGAACAACACTTCAAGGACGTAAACTCGTGGGTATTATCGAACGCCTCGCGACGTAGAAAACAAGAAACGCTGAGACACAGCTTAGGACGCCTCGGAATCCACCAAAGGCTACATCAAATCAAGGTAAAGGTCATGGTAAAGGTCAAGAGGTGAGCAATGCTCCACATCAGCGCCGAGTAGAACTGTACAGGATGGCGCCGGTGCGGAGTCTCCGTGGCCACGAACCAGGCGGCCGCTATGCACAAAATGCAACACCACGATTCCCAAACTGGTGTCGACGAATAAAGCACTCGCAAGAAGCGAAATCTAATGGAAATATCGCACATCTCAGCTCAACGCCGCAGGGAGAGGTACCGGGGAAATTCTTTTTAATAAGTTTCACCCAGGTCATCCACTTGCATCTTTCGCTCGGACGGTGGCATGCCCCCGGGGCCGATGCTGGTCTTGAAATTCCGGGGAGTGGGGATGGCGGAGACACCACTGGTCGTGCGTTTCTTCAGGGTCGGGGTGGCTGAGAAGGATGGCCGTCGGAAGTCCTGGGGAATCCGAGTAGTGGTGGGGGTCTGAGAAATATCTCGATCTTCATCAATACCAGACATGCTGCCGACAGATGAGGTCTGGCCCGCATTGTTGCTCAGAGAAGACCGCGGTCGGCGGCTCTCCGTCGTCGGGTTGGTTGAATAATGTCCGAGGGTGTTTTAGCCCCAGGGCGGCTCTGCCGACTTTCGGGCCGCGCATTGATTGGCACGCCTGAGTGGACACTCTGGCTGAAGGAGCTACGACTGGAGAAGCTGGTTCGACTGCTTGGGCGGCTGTCGCCCTGAGTTCGAGCTCCAAATGATTGGCGGCTCTGCGGGAGATAGGACGGAGTGCTCTCACTGTCTCGTATCGATGAACCGAAACTGCTGCCACTCATCCGCTTGCGAGAGCTTCTTCGGACGGTCACGCTAGATGGGACCGGGCTGTCTCCAGCAATAGACCCCGAGCGAGGGGATCCATGTCGTGAAGACGTCTCGGACGGCGCAGGAAGTCGCGATTTGGCAGACTGGATTCGCTCCTCGAGCGTCTGCATCTTGCCAATAAGGCCACGGATCTGATACAGTGAACTGGATTTAGGAAGCCCAGGAGGACGCTGCGTAGTCGATCTCGATAGGCTAGCACGGGAGGAAATCGACATGGAAGGAGTGGACCGTCCGCCACCATTATTGCTAAAGGCGAGAGAAGTGGCCCGGGAGTGAGTGGGACGAGGCGCAGTGCGGGCATTGATCAAAGTGCGCGAATTGATCGGGTCGGCGCCTGCTGCCCTGCTTCGAGGGAAGGTGGGGGTTGCATTGATCGACCTGCGCAGGCTGGCGGAGGACTCGGAGATAGGAGGTGAAGGTGGGGTTTCGGCAGACATTGCCAGCGATGATTTGGCTGGCGGCGTCGCAAAAACAGGAGAGGATGTCGCGGTTCCAGGCGACCGATCGAAAATCTCCAGGTGCTGGGGGGTGGATGGGCTGCGGTACAGGGGGGTCGGCTTGCGACGACGGAATCCGTGCCCCTCGGTGTGTCGCAGCTTCTCTTGAACGATCTCAGCTTCGACCTTAAGATCAGATAATTCATCACGCAGGCGCTGGTTCTCGATCCGCAAATCCTCACGCTCCTGTTCACCACTGCGCATTTCTTCCTCCAGCAGCACTCCGCGCTCGATAGCCATGTTGAATTTGGATTCCATGTCCTCCAGGGACGAGGAAGTATTTCGGGCTTGTCGCTCATAGTCATCGTTGGCAACTTCGATATCGCGCAGCTTCAACTGCAGAGTGCGGCTCGTGTCGCGTAGGGAAGTAATCTCCTTTTGCAAAGTATTTTGCACTGAGTTGGCTTCAGCCTTGGACTGCTTGTATTTGGTCTGCCGCTGTGTAAGTTTCCCATATATCGGCCAGCAGAATGAAGAAGTACCATACCTTCCATTCCTCAACTTCGTATCGCAAATTATCGACTTTCTCTTTCAGCTGGCGCTCCCGCTTCTCTGAGGCCTCAATGTCTTTCTCCAGCTCAGCCTCCAGCTCCCGGCTGGAGAGTTGAAAATCCGCTAGCTCCGTTTCAAGCTGCTCATACTGGGCCTTGTAATGCGCTAGTTCGTCTCTGTAGGAGCTGCTGGTGTGCTTCCGCTCGGAAGAGGAATCATCGGCGGCCGGCATCGTCCCGTGTTGGGCACCCGGGCCGCAAAGACTTGCGCGAGTCCAACGTCAACCGTTTTCTTGCTTCCTTTTCAAAGGGGCCAGATGATAGATCTGCCAATTATGACGAAGAGCGAACGAATATTTCAACGGGTCATAGGGCTGCGTTGGTAGCGACGCACGGTTGTTGATAAGAACCCCTCGGCGAGGCGGTGACGCAGCGGGATCGGGATCGTTAATGAGTTCAATGGAAACCCTCCACCGAGAGAGCACGAATGTATGACTGAAAAACTGAAAAAGCCCCCGGATTGGTGTTTGAGCCCCGATAGACTTACCCTATCCTATAGGAGTGTGTACGCTCTCACGGTGGACGGGCAGGCGTCGCAAGAGGCGGGTTTGGGTTGATTAGATCGGGTGTTCAGTTGTCAACACACGTTCCGGTCGTCAGGGGATCCAGCAAGGCGCTAAGCTCGATAGGGAGCTATGTCTTAGTGCCTGAGGCTAGCAAGTCTAACCCTCTTTGGGCAAGTGACTCTGATCAGCGATCTGGATTCATCCCGAGGGTCTCTTTTTGGGCCTCCTTGGGTCTCCGGGGTAGATCTTACTGTCCGCGAAAGGGGGAAACAAAAAGTGCGTCTCATTCAGTCGATTTCCGTTTCGGTGGTTCAGCCTCTCTTCCACATCTTCTTCCTGCCACCGATCTGGTAGATTATGCCCACGCACGGCATCCTTGGATCGGAGGCTGATCGTCAACGCTGCTTCCACGCACTTGTTTACCCTCGCCCCTCCGGTTCCCACCAGTTGCTCCACGTTGTATATCATGCTCGCCAGCTTTAAATGATGATGTGACGCGCGCGCTGACCCTATCCCTTACCAGGCTACTTGCGAGACTGGGCCCATCCACCTCGCCCATCATGGCGGACCCCACCGATCTGAACCTGGACGCGCCGAGTGACCTTCAGGACATTCCTGAACTTGCCATGCAATTGATCCCCCCGCCGGAAGGAACGTATCCTGATAAGTGAGTGGCCGACTTCCCCTTGCATCCGAAAGCGTTCCCTTCTAACCAGCACCTCCCCGGGTTAGGAACACGCTCCTCGCCGCCGTTCAAGCACATGGCAAAGCACATGGCTATAATGTTGTGGTCAAATCGTCAAGCACGCCCACCGAGAAGAAGCCAGGACGGACTGCCAAAGTCTGGTTGCGCTGCGATCGCGGCGGACACTATCGACCTCGCAATGGGCTGACTGAAGAGACACGCAAACGCAGAAGAACATCACGCTTAATGGACTGCCCATTCATGCTTGTCGCAGCTGGTTCTCCCGGTATCTGGACTTTAACCGTTCTTAACCCCACACACAACCATGGTCCCATCGTCGAGAAGCCCCGTCAGGTGCCTCATCACAAGGTGCGCAAGGGTCAACTGCCTGCAATCCCTTACGATTGGCCTCATGATGCGACCTTTACTCCGTACACGACTGCACTTGTTATCATTGACATGCAGAAAGATTGTAAGTGCGCTCGAACGTGATGCGCATCATGTTTGGGGAAATATACTTATGTTTCTCTTTACCAGTCTGCGCCCCTGGTGGATACCTCGAGTATCAGGGTTACGACATATCTGCTGCACAAGCACTAATTCCCAAGTTGCAGCGGCTGCTTCACTCTTTCCGCTCTGCCGCTTTCCCTGTATACCACACTCGTGAAGGTTCGTACGCGACGCCCGCATTTCTCTCCTGTTTACTTCAATGGCTAACCCATACTCTAGGTCACCGTCCCGACTTGTCCACTCTTTCCAGCAGAGAATTATTCCGTTCCCGTAACAACGCTATGGGCCTGGGAATCGGCTCTCAAGGCCCCATGGGTCGCCTGCTTATCCGTGGCGAGCTGGGTCACGACATAGTCGAGGAGCTATATCCTCTGCCCGGAGAACCAATCATTGATAAGCCCGGTCGCGGTGCCTTCGCTCACACGGATTTTGAACTGATACTACGAAACAAAGGTGTCAAGAATCTCGTTATTGCTGGTGTTACTACCGATGTCTGTGTTTCAAGCACCATGCGCGAGGCTAACGACCGTGGATTCGACTGCGTCCTGCTGGACGACGCTAGTGCAGCCAGCGAGCCATCCCTCCACATGAGCACCGTCGAGTCCATCAAGATGGGAGGAGGTATCTTCGGGTCTGTCGCCAAGCTTGAAGATGTGATTCAAGCCGTTGACAGCTTCAAGTCCGTGACTATGAAGAAGCTGGCTCCTCAACTGACAGGCTAAACATATAAAGAACACCCTCGAATTGGTGAGTTTGATTAATTGCTGGGAAATGGGCGGAAACAGGCGTTTTTCGGGATAAAACTCCCTTTCTAGGTGATTCAATTATCCAAGAGCGTCTTTCGACCCTGGGTTTCAAGTTTCGGGTTTCAGGTTTTAGGTTTCTTCTTGATGGAATTAGCGGGATATGCAATTTTTTTGGTCTTTCTTTTTGTCGAAAAGTCATAGCTGATCATTTTCTTTGGAGGGTTTACTGTCTGGACATTATCATAGTGTGCATTGACCAACAAACTGCCCCTATTCTTTCCTGGGTATCATACATCTTTGCTGTTCGCTTTTCCACTTGCAATGGCTCTCTTAGAAATTGTATCAAGTACACAGCATATGCAAGAGCAACGCAATTTCGATCTAATGTTCACGCAAGTCCAAAACGCCTCGCTCCATGATAAAGAAAAAAAAACAGAATCAGTCAGCTTACTCCATTACAACCACTTCTTTCCGGCGCCTGTGACCTTTGCACGGAACACGGGGCTCTTGATTTCCATTCCTTGTTTGTAGAATGGGCTCATGGCTGTCTTAACATAGCTCTCGTACACTTCATTCATGAACTGGCGAACTGCTTCCTCGGTCTGAGGGGAAGTCGGGTTTGCAGCGATGGAGCTCGACGAGGTACGAGTGGTTGATGCGGATGAGCCGAGAAGTGAGGACGATCCAAGACCACTGGATGGACCTGAGGGTAGTTGCGGAGGTTGATGTAGAAGGAGGAAGCGGGCGCCGCTAGGTGTGAGGAAGGCGGAGATGTAGGCTGCGGCGGGTGGATAGGTGTCGATGTGTTTGAGATACCTATTCTAAAGCATTAGCTCTGGGTGTGGTGCTGAAAGAGTCTACGAAACAACTCATGCAAGGCGAGAAACTCACATTCCGCCATTGGTCCACTGTGCCTCTTCGACAATGTCCAGACTGGAGTGGATGATGAATTGATTCATGTACTGCGCTGTGTCAGGGAAACGGAATCGGGCAATGCCATCGCCGCCGCCTTTCGAGGTGCCAAATGCGATGTTGAAGATCGGCGTATCGGTTGGTGAGAGAATGGTGAAGTAATATGACATTTTGGCGGGAAAGTGAGTGCGGAGATCCGAGTTGGGGGCTTCGAGGGGAGACGAACTGCTGCGGCCGATGTTTAGTGTCGGGCACGTGATTGATAAGGGACCAGCTTCCAACTAGATATGAATTGGGAACGAGAGCTTGACGCTATAGGGCATGACCTGGATTTTGAGTCCACATCCTTTGATTGTTGTAAGGTTTTAGAAATGAGTCATCGGATCGGAAGCTTGTCTTCACTTTTGACATGTATTGCCTCGATACTGGTTCATTTGTTCGCTCTCGACTCATATATATTCCTCCGATCGAAATAGATTAAGCCGGAAAATCTAGAGCAAAATGGAAAATATACAATCATCTATGAAGCTTTCAAATCATCTCAAAAGCATACTCGTATATCACTAGGAGGTTCAACCAGGAAGACAGAGCTTAAGTGCTACTTCCACAAGACTTGACTCTACTTCCCCCGCAAAATACGGTCACATGACTGATAGCCAGCCCCTACTTTATCGCTATCGCGACTTTTTGATCTCGACGTCACTCACACACACCTCAGCTTGCGCCCGCTTGAAATTCTCCGCCATCCTTGCATGCTTGCGTATAGCGCAATTTTGCCAAACGACCAGCCAGATAAGGTCGAAAAATGGCTCCGCAATTCGGCTTAAACCTCACTAATAAGAAGCCTTTGGGGCCAAAACTGAGCAACCCTCTCGGACAAAAGCGCAAGAAGAACATTTTCGATGACGACTCGGAAGATGACAACCAGAATGGAGATGGAGCAGTTGAAGTGTCGACACTGGATGGATTCGATGCGTCGGCTCCCAAACCCTCAAAATCATTTACGACAGCAGGGCCGCCATCTAAACGAAAGATGCAATTGGGAAGTGGCAAGCCTAGTGTCAAACCATTGAACAAGAATTCAATATTTGCGGATGATGAGGATGAGGATGAGCAGAAAGATAAAGAACAACAAGGAGAGGTGCGCTTCGGACTTAACCAGGCGCAGTCGAAGCAGCAGACGGTCCCAGGTAGGGACTTCACCAACCTTTCTGCAATGCATAGCAGCAAGAGACATGCCAAAGAGGCGGAAGAGGTAGATCCGTCAATCTACTCCTACGATGCAGTGTACGACAGTCTACACGCCAAGACAGAGAAGTCTGCGACCGCCGACAAGAGTGAAACACCGAAGTATATGGAAAACCTGCTTCGGAGCGCCGAAATTCGTAAACGAGACCAGTTAAGAGCGCGAGATCGTCAACTGGCCAAGGAGAGAGAGGTGGAGGGCGATGAATTTGCGGATAAAGAAGCATTTGTCACGAGTGCGTACAAAGCCCAGCAGGCAGAGATGCGGAAGGTGGAAGAAGAGGAGGCACGTCGGGAAAAAGAGGAGGAAGAGCGAAAGAAAAGAACGGCGGCGCTGGCATGGTCGGCTTCTACCGAGATGTGCTTTCACGAGGCGAGGCAAAACACGAAGAGGCCGTCAAAGCCGCCGAGGAAGCTGCGCGCCGTCTCAAGGCAGGAGAAGTCACGGAGGATACTGTGGAGTCAGAAGAGAAGAGCGAGGCTCAAAAGATCGAGGATCTCAACGCTCGTGGCGCTCGTGTTGCGGTCAACGACGAAGGCCAGGTAGTCGACAAGCGACAACTGCTATCCGCAGGATTGAATGTGGCGCCTAAACCCAAAACTACTCCATCGGCTACTTCTGTAGCGGCCGCCCGGCCCGCAGGACGACCTGGTGCCAATGCTGGCAACCAAGCTGGCCGTGCTGGCCAACGTTCTCGTCAGACCGAAATGATTACCCGACAGCTCGAGCAGCAGGCCCGTCAAGAAGAAGAGGCAGAGGCAGCACGACAAAAGGAGATCGCAGAAAAGGCTCGCAGCCAGAAGACCGCCAGCGATGTCTTGAGCGCGAAGGAGCGATATTTGGCAAGAAAGCGGGAGCGGGAAGAGGCAGCTGCGAAGGAAAAGGCCAATGCCAAGTAAAGGAGACCCTGAGAATCTTTATATTTGCATCTACTGTGTTCGAAAGGGAGTTCAAGGTTGTAAACTTCCACGGTGTTTGGATTGAACTTGTAGAACTGGTTGTGTTATCCACGGAGAAGGTATTCGAGTCTGGAGCTGCTACAGCCAAAGTGACACATGGTCTTGGTGCCTTTGTCATTAAATAAAACAAGAACAAAAACAGAACAAAAGATACCGGAAAGATCTAAAGACTATAAGATTGATACCTTGGACCAGAGCCCAAGTAAATCGTCAGTGAAAAAATCAAAGATCTTCATGTACTTCGGAGGAACCGGGGCTTAACTCCGTTAAGTATATCACGTGACACCACCAGACCGACAACTCACACGTTGACTCATTCGCTGACTCATCCGGCTCACCGCAGATAAATTGATCCGCACCGACGACGCTCGCTAAGCCGCCCCACAGTCGCACTGCCAATTTTGAATCCCTATCGTGCCTCGATCGCCTCGCTTCATCCCCCTTCAACAACGCACACCTCTTTCGTCCATTCCCATCAACATCCAACATGGGTAAGGTTCACGGCTCTCTCGCCCGTGCCGGTAAGGTCAAGGCTGCCACTCCCAAGGCAAGTACCCCCGTGAACCCATCGCCACCGTGTCCGCCGCGGATTCATCCAGCGTCAGCATCCTAACAGCCATCCGCGCACAGGTCGAGCCCCAGGAGAAGAAGAAGCAGCCCAAGGGCCGCGCCTACAAGCGTATTCTCTACACCCGCCGCTTCGTCAACGTCACCATGACTGGTGGCAAGCGCAAGGTACATACCGAATGAGATCCCCTCCAACCACAATCACGCACAGCCCACTCGAAAATATCATCAAACCCATCACATCCACCACCTTGATCATGCACAACCATCGATCCCAGGATAGGATAGCAAGACTGACAACGGACTCCACAGATGAACCCTAACCCCGGCTCATAAATTGCCCAACTTCGCTAAAGAAAACACCCGAGTCGTGGAGGATCGTCGAGGTTTTACGCTCTTGAAAGACATGATCGCAAAGCACGACTCCGCCATGGCCCCATCGAACGAAGACTTACCGGCCGCGGCCGGCTACTTGTACGGATGATATCATGCTTCGTTTTCATTTGAATTTTCGGCAACGGATTGGTTTTTGAGGGGTGGAAAAATCTTAGGGAAATGGATACTGGTAGCTTTGAGATGGAAAGCCATGGCTGGGGGCCAGCTGCATACGCAGGCTGTGCTCAGGGTGGTCGTTTTCGCCTCTTTACATAGGCTATTCCATGCATTGCATTTCCAAGCCAGGAATGGACTCGTTGTCGCTCCTCTCTTCTTGTTTCTCTTGCGGTTGCTAGGCTCTTCGAAACCTGGTCAGTTGAGACTTGTTCCCTCATTGACTGGCGTTTTCTGGCACTGCTCTGTAGGCATCACCTGTATAGGATACGCGGATTTTTGCATCTGTGCTCTCCAAAATTACGAGCCCCGGGGACTATGGTCCTCAGAGTCCATTTCAAGCGCTAGCAGTATCATTTCCGTTCAGCAAGATCCGGGGACTAATCTACCAGACGATGTGATCAAACCTGCGGAAAACATTGATGACAGCATGTGTACCTCTCCAGCGTAAAATGACCATTCCAATATCTGAGCCCCGCCCCCGCCGCTCGGAATTTTGGCCTATATTTAGGCTCCGCCACTAAGTAGCTAGTCAGGCAGACTGGAGGCTCTGGGTGGCCTGACACTATCATTTATCAGATATGACCGCAGACTACAAATTCACACAGGAGGAGCACGATTACTACGCGAGGGCATGCCGAAGCCCTTTCTGTTCCCATGTTGAGGACTTTGGATTGAATACTTTAGCTTGGGAAAAGAAAGACCGCCTGGTCTCTCAGGCTTTCACTTGCATGACTACTCTTGGGCGAGATGCTGGACCGGAATATCGGTTGGATGAATGTCCAGAACGTTTGTATTGGTTGATCATTTGAGAGTCTTTTATCTGGAGGGTCTTGGCCATTTACGGTGATATAAGTTGATGATCGGATATATATTAGTTCTTTGCATGGTTCATGCTCTTAAGGTATACAAGTGACCAAGCCGAGGTACCTGCTTCATAAGAATAAGCGTCATTAATCGGTTCGATCAACATTGGTATCAGGATATTTTCCTATCGAGTCTAACAGTACCGATCGAAATGAAGCCACCTGCCAAATTAGTTCAGTGACGGATGTATTCACGGAAGTGGGTTTGGGGAGTATGCTCGGCAATGTCATGACATAGACAGTGGGGGCACAATCGACAATAGATGCTCTCGCCATGCGAAGAGCGATGCTCTGATCACAGACAAAGAGGATGATCTCATGAGCCGGCGCGAGCCCCGGGACTGTCATGGAACAGCGAGTAAATGACCTCACTGCGAGAAGAGCCATGGGTCGCGGAGTGCGATTAAGGTTGCCGGGGATGAGCGCACTTTGATGACTAAGGGCATCTTAAGGCCATTCAATCAACTGGCTGCCTTCTCCGCTTCTCTGACCTGAGGAAGAGTCCTGTGAAGGTGAAAGTCTATGCGTCACTGGGCTGAATATCGTGGGACGGCCCACACGATCGTGCGGGTGTTCCATTTTCCAGATTCGATCTGTCGATTACCCCACACGAGCACTAGCCCTCCGTAGCTACTCTTGCGTGGATATGGGGATGTATTTAGGCTCAAACTTGGCAATTCTTGCAATCATCGAAAGCGAGAAAATCTGAAACCAGTGTCATCATTGTCTTTGAACTGGAGTAGGTGCTTTGGGGGTTCTAATAATCGCGAGCAATTCAATCAAGCAACTTCTCTGATAACAGGAAATATATTGAAGACAGTGACGAAGCTCCTGAGTCAATGCACACAGATCACCTGCCTAGAAGACCCGAAGACCCACATGTCCCCTTATACAGCATCATCGACTTGACTCTGAGGAGCGGCAATGCTGCAATCAAGGCTTCTACTGCCTTCTTGACCCGCTTGCGGCCCTTGGATCCAGGAATACAGTGCACTGCTCATTGCTGAATAGCACTTTGTCCTGAATAGTTGTAGCTTCGTAGAGGATAGCTCGGGAGCTCCAAAGTACACCCATGATGTAATCACCTTAACAGGGACGATTCTAGTATTAATTGTCATGGAATCTTTTTTTTCTAAAAACTTTCCTCCCACACCTACTATAACACAAACTGAACTCAATGACTGTACGATAATTTCGATTTGATTTTTACGACCAATACCGATTCAATTCACAATTTACCACGATACCCAACCCCTCTGCACATCACCATGGCGAGCAAACAAGTAGGCGAGGAGATGGATTCGGAGAAGTATCAGAGCATCGGAGCTAAAGTTGCAAAGCAGCTTAGCAAGAGGATGTCTTTGAGCAAGAGCTCGAGCAAAGAAACGAAGGAAAGCCATAGCAACACGACTGCCACCGACAGTGGCATCAACCAAACCACTACAACAGACAATGCTTCGAAAGAAACTGCCAGCGAAAGCAACTTCAGCAAGCAGGCTTTGGAACATGGTGGAGAGATGAAAGATCGAGGAGATATAAGGGACAACCAAGGAACTGCCGAAAAAAAGAGAAAACCCGCTGGGCGAAAGAGACGCTGCTGGAGCCGTGAGCTATCTCGGCCTGACTAAGGAAAACATTCAAAAACCCGCTGAGGAAGCCCCCAGCCACGTCTTCGGCCATAAGCCCAGCATAAACCCGAAGGAGTCGAACGATGATATCAAAAAAGGCCCGATCACCCACGGCCGGACGAACCAGCGAAACCCTACCGGAAGCGCCTATTCTGGAGCTGGAGGTAGTGGAGACGGACGTTTCAATCAACCACAGCATTCTTCCGGTAGGCCTTTGTCAGAAGGCTTTGCTGGAAGCAGCCCGTCAGCTGGAGGTTATGCGCCCAGAGGATCTGGTCCTCATCTAGCATTTGTCGGAAACAACGCGTCTAAGCGGGACACCACTGCAGGAGGCGTGGCTGGAGATAGCAACACCACAGCAGCAAATCTTACTGGAAGCAGTATTGCCAAAGATAACACCGTTGGAGGATCTACCACCGGAGGAGCCTATACCGGTAGCGAGGCATCCAAGTCTGGTACCACTGGAAACAAGCCCCAATTCACTGACACAACTTGGGGCACCAACACCGCTAATGCCGGAGGTGCTGCTGCTGGAGGAACTCTTGCTGGAAGCAGTACCTCCAAAGGAGATACATCCGGAAGCAAGTATGCCTACACCGATGCTTCAAAGACCAATGTTACCGGAGATTCCGTTACTAGCGGAGCAGTGGGTGGCAGCAGTGCTTCAAGAAACACTGCTTTGAGAAATGCAAAGCCTACCTACGACGATGCTAGCGCTGGAGGTATGACCGGAAGTCAGGCAACTAAAAACTACATGCCGGGGACTACTTCTAGTGGAGGAGGTCTTTCTCGAAGCAATGCCACCAAAGTAAAACCTGGAAATGGCATCTCTGGAAGTGGGATGACTGGAAGTGACATGTCTACCGGTGATGCCATCAAGAAGAGTCTTGCTGGAGGTGCCGCTATCGGCGGTCCCACTGGAATCAAAGCTGGAGGTCAAAGTGCGACAGACGACACCATCGACCATGAGCTGAGTGAACAATCTCACATCGCACAAGATGTTTTCAGTTCTGGTGCGTTCAACAAAGACGCCGCAAAAGGCCTTTCTGGGGGTAGGGAAATGATTTCCCATGACCCACCTAGCAAGCCTACGAGAAAAATGGGAAAGCACAAGACGGCCCAACAAACCTCTGAAGCATCCAAAGGGGACTTTGGCCAGGAGACACGTTCAGCTGGACAAGCCAGCAAAGGGATGTCTGGTAGCAGTGGCCTTGGAATGGGTGCTGTCGGCGGCGCCTTATCCGGAGGAACTATGGACAGCGGAGGTCTTCGTCAGGACATGACCCAAAGTAATATTACTCAAAGCTCCTATAACCAGACCCAACGCAATATGGGTCAGAGCTCCTATGGCCAGACTCAGTCGAGCACTGCCAATACCGAAAAGATGAGCAGCACCACCACTACCACCACTGCACAGCCCAAACGTGTTGTCCAGAATTTCAGCGGTGGCGGCCACAAGGCCACCGTGCTCCAGGATAAGGTTCAGGCTGTTTCCCAGAAGTGCAAGACCCAGCTTGGGCTCACGGCTACCGAGATAAGTCAGAGGGCACCAAACGTGGACACTTTCTTTGATGCAGTAGCTGCTGAGCGCCTCCGCTGGATGCCCCGTGATGGGAGCAGACTGGACTGCCAGTCTCAGGTGGGCTTCTCGACTTGCGTATGCTGTTGATGCTTTGCGCCAGTCGATTGGAGCCTTTGCGCCCGGAGCCGACGACGCCGCCAAGCTCATTTGGGGATTCGAGATCCTTCTCTTGGAGGTAAGACAGGTGTCCAGTGAGATTTTGCAGACGATGCTAACATGATCATTAGTCTGATCTTGACAACATGGATGTGTTTGAAAGCGTTTTCGGCAGATATGGCCGCGTTGCTGTGCACATTCACTTGCTTCTCCAGTACGAGAGCGCTTACAAGTCGTCCCCTGAGCTTCAGCCAGTAGCTTCAGCTGCGTATGCAGACCTGCTCGAAATGGTCTGCAGCACCACGGCTAGCTGTGTTGAAGGCGCGAAGAGCAAGGAGTCTGAACATACTATTGCTCATAATGTTGACACCGCATTTTTGACCTACGCCAAGCGCTACTCAACCCATTGGAACATTATTGTTGAAGCTGCAACCTCGAAGCTCGTGATGAACAGCTCCTTGATGTACTTGACTCCCGAATTGGGCAGTCTTCGCCAGTTCTTGGGTGTTCAAGATCGTCCTCTTCAGTTCATTCTCGAGTCCCGTACGCACTCTTTGGCGGAGGGGTCGTTTGAATGGTTTAACAACACCCTGTATGACTTTTCAACTGGAAAGTCTCCCGTGATGCTGGTGACTGGTGGCCCAGGCTCGGGAAAGAGTGCCCTGGCGCAGTGGACCGTGGAGCGACTACAGGAGTCAGGCGAGCACGACAATTGGAATGTGATTCCATACACGATTCGTGAGTTCGTTACATTCTGAACTAGTGAATTATTAACTAAATATATTAGGTGCCGATATTCCTGTCGCGACGCTGCCCCTTCGCTTCTTGAAGGGCATTATGCACCAGATGCTAGATCACTGCGTCAGTGACCAGCGGGCTCAAGAAGCTATTCTGATTGAAGTAGCCAGGGCAGCTCAAAGCGCGCTTGATGGTGCCGGTGAAGCCGAGGTCGAAGAATCTCTTTGGAGGGGTATTCGCGTAGGATTGAGTTCTGACATTCAGTACATGTTTATCGTGGATGGTTTGGATCAAATGAAGGCTGGCGATACCGATGCCGTTTCATGCCTTACCCATTTCGCTGAGTGCCTTTCCGATCAGAGTGCCGGGTCCAAGATGATCGCCTTCACCAGGCCTCTAGGCTCGAAAATGCGTGCCCCAAACATTGAACATTTCACGCTGCAGACTTCTCAGACTCAAGCTGATCTGGAGACATATGTCTCTAAGATGATGTTTAATTCGCAATTTGATGGTCCTGTGGACAATCAAATGGAATCAGCCGTGTCTGTCATTGTCAACCGCTCACATGGTTCTTTCAGCTGGGCAGAGATGGCAGTTGCCCACGCTCAACAGCAGAGAACCCTGAGCCAGGCAATCTCTGCTGTACAAAGTTTGCCTGAAGCCATGTCTGACTTGCTGGACTTCCATATGAAGAACATGGACTTCAGTCAGCATGAGGCACGTTATATCATGTCGTGGCTTGCCGCCGCCGAGAGACCATTATTGGTCGAGGAGGTAGAACAGCTGCTAGCTGTTGATCCCCAGGGTCCCAGCTTCATGTCACTATACTCGCGAGGTGAAGATCAGTGGTTCAGCTCCTTGAAACCTCTTGTTATGACCCGCGATGGTGTGGTATCCTTCGCCCACACAAGCATTCGCGATCATGTCATCAAGCAGGCAAGATCTGCCAGCATTAAATCTCCACTCAACCTGAGAGAAGCTCACTACGATCTTCTTACTAGGTGTCTTGCCTGGGTTCAACTGAGTGTGCGAGAAGAGGCTGAAATTTCCATGGATAAGCTTAGTATGGAGGAGCGTAACCACCTTTTCGACAAATATGTCATGCTCGAGTACACTGCCCGCTATTGGCTGTCACATCTACTCTCGTCGCCTCTTGTCACCGATGATGGTGAATTCCAATTCACTACAGGCTTCAAGAAACTCGTACCCTCGACTGTTCTCTTTGCTCGTCTTGAGTTGACTTGTAAAGAGTCTCAGTACACCCGATCTAGTGTCGTCGAGCTCTACCGACTGGCTGCAGATATTCGTCGCTTAGTTTTGGGTGAGAAGTCGATGGCTCTTCTCCAGAGTCTCTTCTTTAGTTCTCGTGTCTCAGAATTGGCTCATGCCAGTCATGCAGATGAGCACAGCTACGAAGCATGGAGACTTAGTCAAGAGCTCCTGGGCCAGACTGACAGTATCACGGTGAATTGTGTTGAGATGATGACCCAGTCTTTCACTGCACGGGGCACCATGACTACTCAACAGGAAGATATCATGAAGTATCTGATCTTGACTGATTCCGAGATCACTGGTGTTGAGTTCAACCAGCGCCTGAACTACCTCGGAATGATAGTGGGCATGTACAAGACTCGCGGAGATAACGAATCTGCCTTAACCATTTCGAAACAATTCTACCAGCAAATTATGGAGAAATACGGTACAAATTCGAGACAGTCGAACGAGACCGCGGAATTCCTGACCACCCAATTCCCAACTACTGGAAATGACGAGATGAGTCGGGACATCGCGAGAACCAAGTATGACAACATGTTGCGAACCATGGAAGTTGACGACGAGCGTCGCATCAAGTACACCCTGTACATGGCCCATATGTACGAGCAACAGGGTGAGACGGCCCAAGCCCAGGCAGTTCTGTCCTCTCTATGGGCTGGCCTCAACTCTCGCGACATCGACTCGGTTGAGATGATGGACAAGAAGACCAATGTCGCACTGGTATACTACCAGTTCCTTCGTCGACAGAGCCGCAACGAATCAGCGGAAATGATCATCCATGAGCTCATTGCGGATCTCGAGTCTACTGGTATCCATTCCGAGGAGATGATGCAGCGCGTGCAGCTTCTTCGTGTTGAGACACAAGAAATGCACATGTATAGCATGGACCGTGCCTTGGCCATCCTGATGTGGCGTTACTATAAGGAGAGCGGCCAGGAATACACCCAAGACGCTTCGAGTCTAGCTCTTTCGCTTGCCGAAGGCATGGCTGCAACAGTAACAATGCAGAGATCCTCAGGCCTGTCTGTCAAGGACCGCAAGCTGATGGTAGAGCTTTTGGATTCCATCGCCTCGTATCCCAAGAACCTCTCTGTGTCCACATTGATTCTGTGCCACAACCTTGCCAGTATCTATGTACGAGAGGGTGACTGGCAAGAAGCAGGTGATTGCTCCAAGGCAGTTTTGCAGCATATCTGGCCCACTGTCGAGCAAGCCGGATCCCATAAGAAATTCAGCACTGAATTGGCACCCCCGATTGCCGACCTGGCATTGGTCTTGGCTTACTGCCACTTCCGCAGACTGCACTTGGATATGGGCACTGTAGTCTACGAGAATGCTTTCGCATCTCTTATCTCATCTGACAGAGTGCCGGTGCCTTCTGTCCTGGCTGTTGCGAAGGCGGTGGTTGAATTTTACGAGACCACTTTCCAGTTCACCAAGGCTCTCACTTTGCTCCATACTGTCAGCAACTTCTTGGCAAGTCGTTTGGGCGAGACTCACAAGCATACAATTGACAATCTGTACCTGGAAGCTGCGCTGGCCGCCCGTCTGGAGATGAATCCCGAAGCAAAGAGTTCCTACCATCGCATCTATAGGAGCACTTGTGGTGAAACCACCATAGCTCCGGATGGAATTGAAGCTGCACTTGCTCTCATTGGCCTTTATGAGACGGAAAGCAAGTGGGACTCTGCCCTGGAAGTCTACCGGCACCTTTGGCCGACTCTTGTGGTTCAAGACAACACGTCTACTTACGATGAGTCTGAAGTCGAACGTCTCCTGGAGAAGACATATCTTGGCTACATGACTATCTTGACTACTCAAACGGGGATGACGGAGTTCTCTGAGAGATACAAGGTTGCATCTGACTACGTGACTACATGCCGTAACGTCTATGGGCCGACGGATGAGAAGACACTCAGTGCACTTCTTCTATACGCCGAGCTGTGCGAGACCAACGAGGCGTACACCGACCAGGCTATCGCACTCTATAAGCAGCCTCTTCATAATGCTGACTGGGTGCCGACTTCTGAAGCTTCTTTGCCTCTGGAGCAAATGTCGCAACCACTGCCCATTACACTGAAGCACAAGCTGGCCCAGCTCTTTGTCCGAAGGCGTGACTCGACTAGCGAGGCTCGCTCGCTGTACACGGAAGAGTTTCAATTGGCGAAGAAAACCCAGGGATACTTCTCTACCACTACCTTGTCCTGGCTCCGTGAGCTCGCTCTCGCACATTCTCGACAGGGAACACCTTCATCAGTTCAGCAAGGCAATGCGCTTCTTCACACATATGTCACAGATGTTCTCCACGCCGGCGGCGATCCCGACATGACGAGTGACTGGGCTCGTAAGATAGCCTCCATCTATCTGGAATGCGGCTTCATTGAAGGTGGCAACAGCGTTCTTGATGAACTCCGCCACCGCGTGCTCTCAGGATCCGATACCTCTGCAATGGCATTGAGAGATCGCCGCGATGCCAAGTTTGTAGCCTCCTTCGAGGAAGTATTCGGTCGCCGTGGTAGCTCCGAAGAGATCATCACCGAGATGTATCGCGAAATGCAGATTCAACAGACCTTCACGAGAAACCTGTCTGGCCACGACTTCATCCCGACACTGATCTCTGGAGATCGTCTTGCCCGTCTGCAGATCGATCAGAAGCGCGCTCGTGCCGCGAAGGAGACCCGCGACAGGCTATATGAGTACTTCTGCGTTACTCTATCTGCTACCAACATTGCAGACCACGACATCGTGATGCAATTCTACGGTATCTGCCTCCGCGATACAGGATGAGAATTACAATTTGAACATTCTCAAGACAACCACCAGCCTAGTCCGCGATCTATGCAACGACCAGCGCTTCCAAGACGCAAGCGACGTCACCGGTGTCTTGCACTCCTTCTTGCATCTGACAGACGGCCTGAACAGCTACGAAAGTATCATCACAGCCACCAAGCTATGCTTGTACCTGAGCGGCCACCAAGCCACCAAGTGCCAGAACGAGAAACTCTTCAACGAGATGTCCGTCAAATCCAAGATGCTGCTTCAAGAACTCATGGCTGCGTCCAAGTCACTTGGAATCGAGATCATGGACCTGCCATTCCCCGAGCTAAACGATATCATCACGCTACTCGGCGAATGCGAGATGTTCGACGACCTCGAGACGATCCTCACCCAGCTCTGGACATCCCGCATTGTCCAGCGCACCTGGACTCCAGACGTAGTTGTATGGATTGGTCGACGACTCGTCGAGACGCGCTTCTGCCGTGGCTCCGTCGACTCGGCCATCCAACTATGTCGCGATATCTGCTACAACCTGCGGCAGGTATGGGGTAGCTGTGACAACGTGACCCTGGAGATGACCAAGCTTCTATCTGCTCTCTACACAGCCTTGGAAGACCACAAGTCCGCTGCAACACTGCACGAGGGTGTTCTTCACGACTTGCTCAGCGACTCTGAAGCCAAGAATCATCCTGGCGCTTTGAATGCCGTCTCCCAACACATGGAACTACTCCGTCGCGCGCAATCTCGCCTCGGCACAGAGAAGAGTACTCGTTCCTCGTCGCATGCCGATCTAATCGCTCAAGTGACAGACCGGTTTGGTCTGCAATCCGAACAGATCGAAGGTGTGGGCGATGCTAATGGCGGCGAGAAATTCGGCGTCTGGTCTAAGCCTCGTCGGTTCAGTATTGATGTTGAGGATCTGGACGACCAGGGCCAGATGCATCACAACCACTTGCGGGAGTCTAGTGGTGCTGGGTTGTTGACTGGTAGTGGTGCGCCTCGGAGGATTTCTGTCCAGGCGCTGTAATGGGATGATATTGGTAGGATGGGGATAGAATGTTGATTCAAATTGCCAGATATTTGTGATTTCTAGTGTCGTTTTTGGCTTTTTGTTTCAACATGTAATTGGGGGGAAAGTTGGGATCAAATTGTGAAGTAAAGGTATACAGTCAGAGTTCAGTCAATTTTATTAATCTTTTTTTCTAAAAAAAAAAAAGGGGATTTCCAAGATTTAGGTGTAAGTTGTAGGTGGGAACTCTTAGAAGCTCAGCTGTACAGGAAAGTCCTGGAAAGGTCTATCAGCATAGGCAGGTTCATGATTCGTCTAGACTATCAACAGCTATGTACAATAGCGCCATAGCCCTCTGGTTCACATTTGGTAAGAATATCCACGAATGCATCATCAAAACGTAAAAGGGGCCATTGAACGTATAACACCCGATCATGCAAAGCGCAATTTAATCAAGCTCAAAAGGTGAGGGAAACAACTAGAACGGCCAGACACCCAACACAATGCCGCGAATTCAATCTTGCTTTTTCCTGTATGTGGAATTAAAAAAGGTAATGTGGAATGTGCAAGCCAGTGAATCTGGATCACGCCGTCAGGGCAAAGCTCAGCCCCATAAGACCCATCCCAGCCACAGCGAAGCCAATGCCCATACCACGACGATGTGTGAGTCCGAGTCCTTCGCTAAACAGCTGCAAAGCAACGGACGTCATGACTCCGGCTGTAGCAGCGAACATGCCTCCGTAGACGCCCCAGGATGGGCCTGTTGAGTCGGAGCCGCCGTGTCCCGAGCCCCAGATCCATAGGGCAGCGAGGCCGGCGCCGGCGGGTTGGCTGATTCCGCCTAGGAGGCTGGACCAGAACATGGCTTTCCAGCGGGAACTTAGGGCTAGGTACAGGGGCAGGGCCATGGCAAAGCCCTCGACGATATTGTGGATGAATAGGGCTAAGAATACAGTGAGGCCAAGGGTTGGGCTTGCGTGGTTGGTTGCGTATGTGATGAAGCCTTCTGGAAGTTTGTGCAGGGCAATTGCGACTGAGGTTTGTAGACCGATGGAGAGGAAGGCGTTCTGTGGGACATGATGGTGATGAGTATCGCCGCCAGCCTTATTTGGAGATGATTCAGCCTCGTAATCGTCACTAGAGTCGGCTTGGGTGTCATGGTTAATATATGATTCGTGGTTGTTTTCCGAACGGGACCTTTGCACTTGAGACTTGGACGAGGATTCAGAGGCCGTCGTGCCGTGAAGATGATGTTGAGAGGAGATCACATCGAAGTACCCGGTGTCAGAGGTTGTGCTGTGATTATCGATGCCACTGTTTGCCTGTGTACGCCGCTCAAAATCAGACTGTGCTGGGTCGCTCTGATGTTGTGACATTGTGGGCCGGGTGACCTCATTATCGCTCATAGTTGGTGGCGGCATGGTCTTGGCTGCAGGCACTTTTGTGCATTCACGGCCGCAGGTCTGCGAGAAGCCAAAGCAAGGACCATTTTCATCGCACATCGGCTTGACACCGCCCATGAAAGAGCTGATCCGCCGGCCCAAGATGTCGCGAATAGATTCCGATCTCACGGCGTTAGAGCCGGAGGTCGTGCGCTGCAAGATGGCGGGAGTTGACTTCATGGATTGTGACTTTTGCGATCGTAACAGAGGCGTGCGCTCCGTGTGTCCATTTGCTTCGTGGTGGTCACGGTGATCGTCGTGTCCGCTCGCATGGGCGTCGCCGCGTTCGGGATCATCTACCGGGGCGTCATGACTGTGCGCGCAATCGACTACATGAGAGGGGATAAAGCGGTGGATCACCCCAGATGCAACTCGGATGACAATGACACCGGCCAGAAAGAGACCGACGAGAGTATATGCAGAGGCGGACGGAGAGAAGCCGGCGCGCGTTAGGTACTCTTTTGAGGTGGGGAGCATGCTATACAGTGAAGTAAAGAGCTGCCGGTGGTCAGTCCCGATAATTCAACTCATTTCGCCGAGAGGTGAGACTCACCATCACCCCCGCACTGAGGCATAGCGACGCCGACAGGAAATTGTTACTGTTCGCGATCTGGAAGCTCTTATGGTGAGAGAACTGCCGCAGCACCAGATCGACACAAATGACGGCGGAACCAAGTACACAGGCTGTAACACAGTGAGTCAGTCAAAGGTACACACGGTCGGGAATAGTTGTGCTCACCGACGCCTGAGACGCCGCTCATGACCCAGCCCCGAAGGTCGTTGGCAGCCATGGCAAGTAGTTGAGAAAGAACGGAATCGGTGATGTCAGTGACATCCAAAACGCTCACGGTTGGCGGTCAACGAAGTTTTGTCCTCTCTTTTTCTTTTTTTTTTCACAACCCTTGGGTGAAATAGAATGAAATCTCATCTGAACGACTTCCATCTTTGATTTTCGGGGCTAGTCATCCTCTGCAGCGGAGTTGCATTCTTTGCCCACAGGGTCCTCATCTGCTTGTCCCGCTTTCGAGTCCCGCGCTATCATTGTCCCTACTCATGTCCATGTCCAGGTCCACTTTCATGTCCATGTTGGTGGTAAATCTGGGAGTTCAGTCCAACCGTGACAGCAGATATCTAACCTTCAGAAGATCTTCCTCTGGGGGTTTTGCGCGGACAATGCTGAGGCTTTGTTATGCGTCTTGAGGAAGGCCATGCTTCCCCGCCCAGCTCATAGTTTGTCCAACGCGACTACCCTGAATTAGGGCACGCCAGCAAATCCCAAGACTAATCGAACCACTCACTGACCCTTGATCAAGCACGCAGCTACACCCGGAATCAACTGAGAGTTTCAGCTGACGCTTTTTCTTCAATTCGAGTCTCATGAGGGTGACACGGACATGTGACCCGCTGATTGGCCCGTGACTTCCCCCGAATCTATTTTTTTTTTCTACGCGCCAGTCTCCAAAGTCCTATCGTCAATTCTCACTTCCACCTTTTTCGACTCAGTATGTCGAAGGCTACTCTGGCTGTGATCGCGGCCGCCAGTGCTGCCACTGGCGCCGGTGTCACTGCCCTCATTTACGGTTCTTCTCGACCTCAACAGCAACAACAGCAACAACAGCAACAACCGCAACAGCTTCCTCCTCCGGCTGCCGCTGTGAAAGTCCCCACCACGATCCCAGCGCCGACTCTCGCTACCAAGGTGGTTACTGGTCCTGTCGATGCCGCCGGAATCCTTCAGTATGGCTTCCCGGGCCCGATCGCGGACGAGTTGTCCTCATTGCCTCTGCACGGCGCCTACGATCGTCGAACCCGTAATCCTGCCTGGGTTGCTGAGCACATCACCCCGCAGTCGCTCGCGATGAAGAACGCAGATCGCAAGCACAGCACATTCGCTGAGGATACGCACATTCCCCCCATCTTCCGTGCCAAGCTGGCCGACTACTTCCGCTCGGGCTACGACCGTGGTCACCAGGTGCCGGCCGCAGATGCCAAGTGGACTCAGGAGGCAATGGATGATACCTTTGCTCTGAGCAACATGTGCCCGCAAGTTGGTGAGGGATTCAACCGTGATTACTGGGCGCACTTTGAGGAGTTCTGCCGCAATCTCACCCAGCGCTACCCGTCTGTTCGCGTCGTCACCGGCCCGTTGTATCTGCCTCACCGTGACCCCGATGGCAAGTGGCGCGTCAGCTACGAAGTCATTGGCAACCCACCCAACGTAGCGGTGCCTACCCACTTCTACAAGGTCATCTATGGCGAGGACGGCACAAACTCGCCATTCGGAAAGGTCGCTCTCGGTGCTTTTGTCCTGCCCAATGCTCGCATTGATAACGCCAAGAGCCTGTCCGACTTTGAGGTTCCTCTTGAGGTTTTGGAGCGTGCTTCCGGTCTGGAATTTGCGGCGAAGCTGGATCTCGGCCGTCGTCGCCGTCTGTGCCAGGAGGTTCGCTGCGAGATCACGGTGCGCGAGTTCAATAACGCCAAGAAGAGATCGTAAAGGAAGTGAAGCTTCGTGTTTAGCCAACATGGCTCTGTACATTTAGGACATGGTTTCTTTGCATGGTTCGGGCGTTCCATAGCCTCCTTCGGGAAATATCACGTTTTTTTTTTTTGTTCCTACAAACCCAAAAGGCTGTTGTCGTTAATCTCTTTTCTCGTGCTGTTCAGCATTGGAACGCGACGCCCTTTTTCGTAGCCACATTACCACCTCCGCCGGCGAATCCTGTCCCCTCGGAGCTGATCGCTACTAGGCCTGGCCGAGTGGCGTCGTCCTTGGCCTTCTTCTTGGACTTCTTCTTGCCTTCATCGGGATCTGCTTTCTCCGTACTGAGGTCTCGCAATGTGAGATCCGTCTCGCAAACATAACATAGTACTCGGCCGTGAAGTTTGGCCGCTTTCTCTTGTTCTTCTTTAGACGCATGGGGGTCTGGGGTATCATCATGAGGAGCCATGAATTTACTGACACATGGTGAGCATATGACATGACCGCATGGTTTGGTGACTGTAAATGGCGTAAGCATAAATCACAATCACAAGTGGATCCAAACATACGCATGGCCTTGAGTCCATTACTCAAATTCTTCTTGCAACTCGGACAAATCCGAGCCACCGTCCCGTCCGAGGCTTTCTCTTCCGTGAAATGCACTTCGACCAACGACTTCAACGAGTAGCTATGTCGATTCGTATCCGAAGATCCAGGACATATGGGCGTCAACTTGACATTCTTGTTCGCAGCGATCTCATTCGGATCCGTCGCCGGCGTCAACGACGGAACCCAGAATGAAGGCAGCGCAGACTTGCTAGACTCGGTCTTCTCAAGTTAGCAAAACAGCCCCCCCAATGGCATCCTCCAGAAACCAAATTGAGCACAAACCTTCTCCCTCTTCAAATCATTCTTCAACCTCTCCTGCTCTTCACGCGCAACACGCGCCATCTCCTTCTCATCCAACTCAAACACTTTCTTCCTCTTCCCATCGATTTCCACCTCTCTCGCCTTGAACCTATCCAATGCCTCCGTCTGCTCTGCTTTTCTTTTAGTTCCCTTAGCTTCTAACCCCATAGAAACTAGCTCGAAATCATGTAACTCTTTCCTTCTCGCCTCTTCAAGCGTGCGCTCGTCATCCTCCGCAAGCCTCTTTTTCGCATCGTCGCGCTCACGCTCAAGGCGCTTGATCTCCTGCCTCTGCGCGAGGAGATCATTGATCGCGCATTCGCGACAGAAAAGGTCGCCGTTCGTAGCACAGGCGACGACGGGTGGGCGGGCTGGTTGGAGACAGAGACGGCATGAGGCGAAGGGGAGGAAGGAGTCACGGCCGATTACGCTGCGCTTGGTGCCCCATGTCGAGCGGAGAAGGCCACGCTCGTAAGCGGTGAAGTGGGGGAGGAAGTGTTACGCTTTGAATGCGCCATTGTGAGCTGAAGCTGGAGCTGGAGCTTGAGCTTAAAGAATGTCGTAATGCGAGTATCTTTGATGGGCGGAAAGGCGGAGGGTGATTTCATTGGTGTTCTGATTGACCGCTTCGGCTACCGCTTCAGATTAGGACATCTTGAAGTTGATGCCTTGATGCCTTTTCAAGTATAGTTAGGAACAACATTCGTGTGGGGAAATTCACCTGGAGAAGATAAATTAGCGGAGCCGACAGCAAAATCGGGGAAGCAATCAACAAGTCTAAACAATGTGTTAATGTAATGAAGGGCACCGACTGGGATAATAGAAACAGGTGCTGAACGAATCGGGAGTTGAAGAACAGACAACTTCAGAAAAGGGAGTGGCAAACTGTAACTATATGCTTGTAGACGATCACCCTGTATGCAGAGGCCTAAGGATCTGGTCACATCGTACTATGTAGAGTCTACGCCGGGCGATAGGACTTTGAGGGTATTGAATCATAAGCTTTTGTCTAACACAGACTAAACGTCATGCACAAATAAAAATGAAAAATCCATATGCCTACTAACGCACGCCCATATGATAAAAAACAAAGCAGCGGAATAATATCGCATCGTACGCTAGCCACAGATGCCCAAGCCGAAACCATCGAAAACAAAACCCGGGATAGATCAGTTCAAGCCATCAATGCAAAGGGACCCGAAGGGAAGCAGGCAAGTGTTGAAAAGGGGGGTATAATGTCGTAAAAACAAATGACAGATCAGAATGATTCAGGCTATACAGGTTGGTCGAATCAGGGGAAGAGGAGGGGCCGAGATCAGGCGCCAACGGCTTGTTGGCGCAGGTTCTCGGAAGAGGGGGTGTTGACGGCTCGTCGTTCGTTGAGAGAGGTGGAGGATGGTGATGGAGGGGTTTGGCCGTCGGTGGATGTCGTTAGGTGGCCGTGGTGGATTACGGAGCCGGAGCCGGATGTTGAGCGGATTGTGTTCTCTTTCTCCGAGAGAGGTTGCTCTGGGACAGAGCCTGGGCTAGCAGCAGTACTTTTTGGGGACTGGACTTCTGATGAGTCGTCGAGGTTTTCTTGTGCGTCTCTGAAAAATTCGATAGGCTCATCTCCGCTGAGAAGGCTGACGCCGGTGGTAGTGCTTGCGCTGCGGACGGAGTATGGCCGATCACCAGTGTAACTATCTGGAGCTATCTGGCTCGCACCACCGAGTATAGCAGATTCAGAAGCCCGAGGCTCTTCATGAGTGGGCTTTCGAAGTTTGAGCCGTTCCTCGGGGGACATGTTCTGCCATTCGGAGCCGAAAGTCACGATAGAAGCCTTCTTGCCGTGAACGGTGAAACTGGGTGATTTGCGAGACAGGACTTCACCTTCAGTGATGCTCTCATTGTCGTCAAGAGCCCCAATGCTAGACACCGATTCTCTGTTCTTCTTACTGGTGCGCGACTGGTGCCGATGTACGTGTGGTTCACGAAGGGTACGATGCAGGCTGCGACGTACTCGGCTCGGCTTATTATCACTATGAGAGACCTCCGAGATTTCGTCCGGGATGTCCTCGGCGTCCGCTTCAGGCACAGGCGTAGGCTGTTTCTTCGGCGGGGGCGAGCCGCTGAGGTCCAGAAGACCCGTTTCTCTGAGAAATCGTTCCTCGCCATCGTCATAACTGGCCGGGGAGGTGACTTTCGATGCCCGAGAGCCGAGACTGGCACCATCGAATTTGCTACCGCGACTAAGTACGGAAGCGTCACGTTCCATTCGACCAGCAGACGTCTCGGACCTGCCTTGTTCAGAAAGAATAGCGACAGAAAGTGGCCGCCCAACGCGGCCAAAGTCGGAAGAAGTAGTCGAGCCTGGGATACTTGGGCGGCGCATCTCGTCACTAGAGGGTTGCTTGAGCAAGCCGGACTCGATTGGGCGTTCAGAAGATGCCGAGGTTGGCTCATTGGTGTCATGGCTAGAGACCGGGCGAGTCACACTAGGCGCACGATGCACACTAGCATCGGACCTAAGCGAAGGTCTCGAGGGAGAAGCCAGTCGAGCTGGACCCGAGGAAGAGATTGTCTCATCAGCAACCGACCCGCTTCTCTCATCAAGACTTCCAACTTCCCCAAGATCCCGCAAAAGAACCTCACGGTAGCACTTGTTGCGCCAGATGTCCTGTCGAACCCACTTGAGCTTTGCTGCTATGCGTCCGGCGGCCATGATCACTCCCTCGCGAGCCCGGGGATGAACCGGAGCTAGGATCTGCAAGTGACGGGCATCTCGTAGGAGGTCATCCAGCTGCTTGTAGGTGACAAACAACTTCTCGTTTTGCTCACGGATTTTTTGCGTCATCAATTCCTGGCGCGCAGCGACAAACCCAGCCACAATGTCAGTGTCAATAGACGGAGACTTGGGCTCTTTGTCAGCCGCTTCGAGTGATGCAAGCGAGGATTGGGATCCCACCCGCTGACTTCTGCGGTAGCGTTGGCCTTCATAGTTTGTGGCAATCATGCCTTTGGTGCGGACACCTGTGGTCCTGAACGCCGCAGCATAGTTGAGCTTCGCAATCCAATCATTCATCTCAGGCTCCGTTGAAGCGAGGAAGACCTCTTCTAGTGCACCGTGTCGAACGAACGAGAATGCGTGCTTGTGTTTCTTATAGCTGCTATCTAGCAAGGCAACTGCATCATTTGTCGACATGATGGCATCCGGCTTGAAGTCAGCAAGGGGCGGTCTGAAGACCAATGTGCCTTGTCGTCCATTCCTCACGTAAGCATCGTATTGCGCCATTAAAGATCGCACCCATGTGATGTTACGAAAGAAGTAGAGCTGGGAAAAAGTGAGGATCGCTCCCCACTCCCCCCACGGCGACCTGGTTTTCTTCTTCTTGGGGTCTTTTCGCCAGAGCAAGCCAACTTTGGCTACCTTGATGTCCACAAGGCCAGGATGTGATCCGGCTGGATTATCCAGACTTGTCTGCATGAAAGCATCGGGTCGGGACCGTAAAGACACAATTTGTAAAATGCCAGCCTTGGTGAAGGCTTGATGAAGATCTTCCATATCAGGAGGTCCTGAAGTGCCAAAGTGACTGTATGTATCATCAAGGTCCATAACATCTTTGAGACTTGGTCGTAATGAATCAACTTTGTTTTCCATGATGAGCGTGTAAGGGTCAACAGGCTCCCTCGCCATACGTGACAAATTCTCCGAGCTAGGGCTGTTGAAAAGAGCGCGGCGAGGCTTGGGCATTTGGCGATCACGAAGACTGGCGTCTTCGACACGGATGAAAGGGGTGTATGATATGTTCTCGTAGAAGCACTCCAAGATCTCTTCAGCAATACCCTCGCCACGAGTATTTTTGACATAATCAGGCTTCTGCATCTTTCGCTTGTTGTTCTTGTTGAATACATCCGTGTGTAATATCAAGATTGAAAATGCAATAAAGTATGCTTGGTCTAGGAGGTAATTAGATCCGCACAATTGGAGGGGAAAGGACTGGAAATACCGGAAGAGGCAAAAATGCCTGGATTGCACTCGTGGTAACGGTCAGCAAAAGATTGCAAGAACCTATCAATCTGCTGTGTCTCCTTCGGCAATTCAACCTCCATCAAGAGCTTGCGAATTGCCATGTCGATAGGATCCCCGAAATATGAGAATGATCGCATGTACTTACGCAAGCCGACCTTGTAGAATTCGTCATCGGACTGAGCTAGAATGCCACCAATCACACCTCGAGGCAGGTGCTCCTCGAGCTTGGTCAAATAGCTCGCTGCTGTATCATCCTCTTCACGCGGGGGGAATTGGCAAGTCAGGTTTGACAGGTGTTGCTGCCCCGCCGATGCCTGTCGAACCATCGCGGGGAGGTGGTTCTGAGTTCTGCCTCAATCGTTGTGAGATGTTGAAGATGTCACCGAAGCTCTTTCGACCGGTCGTTGATGTGGAGGTTCGCGAGGATGATGCTAGGTATGGTGGTGGAGACAAATCTTCCTGGTTTTCGGCCAGAGATCCCATCGTAGAGGACCGGCCTCGTCCGCCTTTGTAGGATGGAGTGGAACGCACAGAGCGGGCAGAGGCTGTGGAATCATTACGGAATAGAGGCGGAGCAGCTGTTGGGGCCAGTCCCACTGAGGAACGAGACGGCGAGGGTAGAGGGGAGACCTGATCCCCTTCATCGGAGCCTTGGGACTTGGGAGTTTCAGCCGGTGGGAATTTGGGCGCATTGTCTAAGGCACGACTTGCGGGAGTAGGCTTGGGTGGTAAAGGGAAAAGGGGGCTTCGGTTCCGCTTCAGACGTGGCATGCGGAAGCGTTTGTTGGTTGATGTAGATGCCTGACCCTCGCGAGGGGAGTTTGTTCGAAATGTCTGGTCACCATAGCTTTGATCCGACCTCGAGGACTCTGAGAACCGTGGATCGACGACAGACGTGCGATGCGAATCATTGAGTTGGTCTTGATTGCCACTGTGTCGTGATGTTGTAGACAGTCTCCCTGGCTCCTCCGGGGCGTTTTGAGAGGTAGACAGAGTAGATTCGTCGATTTGGGAGTCCGTAGATCCCTGGGACTTCCGTGCGGGCTGTGTTCTCGGATTCTCCACTGAGTTTCGGGTCAATTCCTCCATTGAGCGTTTCCGTAGGGGGAAAAAGTTGAGCTTGCTTCGTTGTTTGACAGGTTGATCGAGCTCGTTGCTTGTGGGGGCGGTGGTGATGATTGTCGGAGCTGTAAATTGAATTGTCAGCAAGCAAGCAGGATTGAGACATGACGTTCATGAGACACATCCCAAAGAATCGCGTCACAGGACCCTGCAAGGGAGAGTGTCAATTGTGGAACGTGCACTTACGAGGAAGAGAAGGCACCGGGGGGAGTATCCCGAGCAGCCTTGGCGTAGCTTTTAGATAGTTGAGGATCTGAAGCATGGCGTAATCTCATGAAGCTGAAGCGATTCCTGCGAAGACTCGGCGTGTCTGCCGACAGGCCCGACGACGACTCCCCAGCGAAGTCCGTCGGAGCTACCCCATGGTCCGGCCCTGATTCTGCTAGAGCGTCAACCCCTCGCTTGGCATCACGTACGTCGACTGGCATATCAAGGCCGGGCGATCGAGACAAAGCTTCGGAGTGTCGTGGTTCGGTCTCAGGCGGAGAGGGACGAGGAAGGTGCTCGCTGCGTCGGGCCTGCGTTGGCGGTTCAATGGTGCTTTGACGTTTGGAGCTGCCATCGGCGACGAGTCGCAGGCCTTTCCAATGCATGGCTGCGAGGCTCGTATATGATCAGACCCATGCGTGGCAGCACAATCAGAATAGGTAGGAGTCGTGACAATGTCGATTCTAAAGGGACATGGCGACGTGGAGTGTTCCAGAACGCGGTGGAGGTGGAGTGCATCCGTCGTCAGCTCGCGAAAAAGGGGAACGCGCGGGAAAGGGAGGGGCGCTTGGGGGGCGGTCCACGCGCCAATTTCAGGAGGTTTGTAGCTGATGAGAGATGGAAACCCCCTCAAAGCAAAAGATCGATGAAATTGGGGGAGGGGCAAGGCAGACGAGTTCCTGGGCGCCCTGAGCGCGGCTGAGAACGGAGTTGGCGACGGAGTTGGTAACAGGATTCTAAGGATTCTAGACCCGGTTCTGTAAGGTCTTGGACTCTGGAAATATCTAGCGAGAGAAACAACCCTATGCCTGAGACCTTTCTTATGTTCAGTATTCATTTTGGATTGATCGTAGCTTTCCATGACGGTTACTTCTGGCCTGGGCTCTAGGGGTCTAAGGGGACTTTATCCGGAATACTTGCAATACCAGAAATCCTTAGCCAGACGAAACTAATGAGACATATCCGGACGTAAATAAGTTGAAGGTAACGCAACAGAAAAGGTGCACACTGACGTATAGTGCATAACCAACAGTCCACTTAGTATAGATGCACTTGGGCTAAGGTGGACACGCCCGCGCTAGTATCGGAGCCTGCGAGTCAATTGACGGGCGGCGTCCGCTCCTTACGTAGCTTTCCCCTCTTCCTTCCACTTCCCACTCTGCGCTTTCGCCGCGATGCGATTTCTACCTATTCTGTTGGTTCTTTTGACCACTTTATCATCTTCATTTGCAGTTCCTGCCGGCTCTAGCATCACTCCTTCGCCACCACTCCAACCCGCTAGTCGTCTCCCCCAGTCCCCAGATCCGCGCCCGTGGACCAGACTTCGCAACTGGGTTATCGAGTCTGTCTGGGGTACTGGCCATTCACAATGCCATCACAAACATACAGGCCCTCCGCCAAATGTCCGGGATCGTTATGAGACCGATGTAGTTCTTCGTTTCCATCTGCGTCATCCGGATGAGGCGGCAGCCTTGGCCTCCGCTTCGCAGGTGCTCGTCTTGGATATCTGGGCTATCACGTCGGAATTTGTGGATATCAGGCTCGCTGAGGATATGGTAGCTAGGCACGCCATGTTCGGCTCATTATTGTCACTGATCATACGGTTTACAGATCCCGTCGCTTCTTGACATGCTTCCCGTCTCACTTCGGACAGCACATACACCTTTGATGGACGACCTCGTCGATAAGATACACGCCACCTACCCGAATCGTCCCAGTACTGGGTTCGAGCATGAGCATCATGGCTTTTCCCACGGTGATCGTGAAACATCGGAGGTGGGCGACATCTTCTTCCATAACTACCAACCGTTATCGGTCATTGTACAATGGATGCGACTGATGGCGTCAATGTTCCCTGGTCATACCCGCTTTACTAGTATTGGTTTGTCGTATGAAGGCCGTCAGATTCCGGCGCTGCGAATCGGTGCCGCTCCCTCGCAGTTTGGGACCTCGGAGCCTCGGAAGACTATTGTGATGAGCGGCGGCGTTCATGCGCGAGAATGGATTGGCACATCAACAATTCTGTATGTCGCCTACAATCTAATCACCGAGTACGGCGAGTCAAGTGCGGTCACTCGGTTACTGAACGAGTTCGACTGGGTTTTGATCCCGACTCTCAATCCCGATGGATATGTCCACTCGTGGGAGGTTGATCGGCTCTGGCGTAAGAACCGACAGCCGACCGGCCTGTCAGTCTGCACTGGAGTGGATATTGATCGAGCGTGGGACTTTGAGTGGGATGGTGAATCCACCCGTTCCAATCCGTGCTCCGAAAACTACGCCGGCGCAGAGCCCTTTGACGCAGTCGAGTCCCACCGACTGGCACACTGGGCCCTGAATGAGACCGAAAGTGGCCGGTCGGATATTGTTGGTTTCCTCGACCTGCACTCGTATTCTCAACAGATCTTATACCCTTACTCATACAGCTGCGAGAAGTCTCCTCCGACCCTCGAAAGCCTCGAGGAGCTAGCCCTCGGCTTGGCAAAGGCGATCCGACAGATCTCACGTGAGGCATACGATGTGACTTCTGCCTGCGAAGGTATCCTCAGCTCGGGAGGAGCTACTCGGATGACCGCGGGCGGAAGTGCGCTGGACTGGTTCTACCATACGCTGCACGCCACCTATTCATATCAGATCAAGCTGCGCGACCGCGGCATCTATGGCTTCCTTCTTCCTTCCGAGCACATTGTTCCTACCGGCAAGGAGATCTTTCACGCCGTGTTGACATTCGGAAGGTTTGTTTGGGGAGAAGATATTAGGGAAACCGACTCCCCCGTTCTTACTCCAGTGGGCGACCAAAAGCCGCTGGCTGACGCCTTTAATTTCACCTCATGATGGGGCATCTCACGAATTGCATACTGGTACCACAAGGAGTTTAGGGTTTTATTTGCTTGAATATCTGAAATACTTGGACATACAGACTATGGACGTGAAAGTGTTTTAATGCACGAGGAATGACTCGAGATATCCAACACAATGCTAGAAACTCTTCTGATTGAGCAAAAATAAACCAACGCCGAATATCCAGAGCCAGCATTCCAAAATATTGCCCAAGGGCATAGATCTATCACTTACTGCGGCCCGTCGCAGTCACGCTCGAGACCATGTCTATCCCGGTAACATCCAAATACCAACATAAGCAGTAAAAATCGCCTGAAAGTTACAGACCTTGTTCCTCGCTCGACTTAATCAAGCCGTCTTGAAAACAGCAGGCCCCGCCCAAATCCTCAATCTCTTCCCCCAAAGCTGCAACCCCAAAACAATGAAGAAGGCCGCTCCGACAATCCCGCACATAGTTCCAAATTGCCGAATGGTCCCCTGGTTCTCTGCCCACTCAACCATGAAGTAAGACACAATAAAGCCACCAAGAATACGTCCGAAATTGACCCACGCTGCAACTTCTCCACTTGCCTCAGGGTAGCCATCCAAAACATACGAGTTCACTGCAACAGTGACAATCATCGTTCCAAACACATACAAGCCCCAGCCTAGGGCCGAAAGCATGTAATGGTACTCGCGCTCGAGGGCAAAGCCCATCAGAATCAGACCAGAGACCATGAATGGCATGGACACCCAACATGCCCAGAGACGTGCTTCGGCTTCAAGACGGCCGCCATTGTGCTGGGCCGAGACCTTGGCAATCAGGTCGTGCAACCAGTGGCCGGTGATTTCGCCTAGAATGGCTGCAACGATGGGGGTGAAGTAAAAAAAGCCTGTGGATGTATAAGCGATGATGCGTCAATGTTAAAAGGGTATGACACACCAATTTGTTTAGCTTCGAATCCATAGATAGGTCCAAGCATAATTGAAAGCGTGGTATTAATTCCAACAACCCAAGCAAAGGTCAACATGTAATAGATACAAGCCAAAATCACAACAGGCTTGCAAATAATCACTAGCGGACGCATGACCGCATCCTTGAACGAGTTCTTGATATAGTTCGTTCGAATCTGCTGGATTCCGAGCATTCGCTGCCAGCGTGGGCCATTAGGGTATAGCTCTGGCTGGTTGGTATTGCGGTCATAGTAGGTCTCGTCAACGAAGAGAATGATAGCGATCAGACATAGTCCTGTCTCGATTGCGTAGACGCCGAATGCCCATTGCCAGATTTGCGTGGTGGTGATGAATGCTGCGAGTAGAGGGCCGAGGTAGGGGGATAGGATGATGAAGCCGGACCAGATGTTGATCTTGCGGGCGTGCTCATGGAAGAAGAACATGTCTTTAATGAACATGAGGCCACCCTATAAGTATATTAGTATAATAACATTTTGCTTCCTGGAATACGAAACTAACACCTTGGGCAACAGTTGAAAAGAGGCCGTTGAGGATGCGGGCAGCCTATGGCGTATTAGATAGGTCGAGTGAAATGAAAATGAATGTGGAGGGTTTCGCATACCATGAAAGACTCGAAACTTTGCGCGGCAGCACACCAGATAGCAGTTCCCAGAGCTAGCAAGATAAACCAGAACAGAACAGGGTATCGACCGAAGTAAGCTGCGAGCGCCACGATGATAGGTCCACCCACACCAAGCATGAAAACATTGCCGACCTGTGAATGGTTGACGACATTTGGATCCATATGCCACTCACTAGACAGGATCAAGCCGTTAGTACGGAGTCAACACAGAATCTCCAATGGGTACCTACGCTCCCTGGGGCGTCAATGTCACTGCACCTGTGGCGCTACCATAGTCCGGTAACAACGCCGTACATGAGATAATGATGAGGATGAGATGCTTGCGAAACGAACTCCAATTGAGAGGATCATGAGGCGAATCACTCGGCTGTGGGATCAGAATCGTTTGTCCGTCCGCAGTGGTTTTCAGCCCACGATCATGGGCCAGCGAGGCGTCATTGAGAACATAGCCTTCTCGCTCCCCAATCTGCTCCAATTCATCGATAGCGTGGGGCTTTTTATCATCGTAAGTCTGGATGACAGGGTTATGCTGAGGCTTTTCAGGGTCCATCGTCAAATGTGCGCCGAAACTGGCGATGAAAGTAGGGATGCGCCGCCCTGGTGATAACAAAGGAGTGGGGAGAAAATCAACGGTCAACGGGTTATGGAAAATCGAGAAACTTTGAGTGCGCTCGATGTCTTTGTACAGCGGCAGGGGGTTGGGGTAGCTGCTTGAATCAGCGTGGCAATTGGCCTTTAAGAAGCCGAATTAGACTGCGCATGGCTGGCGATCTCCTTGCTAAACCCTGCATCTGTATGTGGGAGAAACCTTGACGGTTGAAAAGATGAATTGTGGATATTCAGTGTGGCGTTTATTCGCTGCACCTCTCTACGCACGACCACGACCCTGGTACTTCACCAGGGCAGTGGGGACAGGATACGAAGCTCTGCAATAGCGTGGTTCGCTCATGGGCGGGTGGAGCCCGAACGCGGGTTGACCGGTGCCAGACTTAGGCCTCATGGTGCAGACCTTGATCCTCAGGGTTTGAGGGGGTCTGTCCTGCCGGAGAGATTCGCCTTACTCGGTAAAGGGTTTATGCAATGCGTGAGACTCTTCATCCCTAGATGCCGAGACGATCCACGGCCTTGAAACATCGCGAGAATTTGTTCAAATTTCGGTGTCTGCAGAACTAGAAGCTTTAAACTTTTGCGCTTACCATTTGAGCGGAGTCGTGTCAGATTATTGTGTTGATCCTTTCCTGTCACAGATGCTATTGACACTTCAACTGATAGACATCGATAGATCAAGGTTGGGTCAGAGAAAGATCATCGACCCGTGATTAACTGGCATGGCAAATCAAGTTTCAGCCAGTCAATAATAATTTAATGTTAATCCACGAACGCCTCCAAACAAGCTTATTGCTCAGATCATCTCGGAACGGGAAATTCTCTAGAACTTCTGTAGAAAAGAGCCAAATCGGCAATTTAGCCCTACATTGATGAGAAAGGGTCAAATTGTCAACCAGCCTTTCTGTATCAGGAGCGGGGTAACCCAAGGGTTGCATTTGGAAGAACATGTTGGAATCACGACCAGTAGCTACTGTGGAGTACATGATCAAAAAGTATCCGGTGTAGGTCCAATAACATTCAAGAAAACGCCAAACATTGGACAAGTAATCCGGGAAGAAAGGGACGCAAGATAGCAGGCACGAGTTGGTCGATGGGAGATTGGTAGCTGATTACTTTTGAAGACGAGACAGAGATTGTAACAAGAAAACGTCCCAAAAATTTTGAATATGCAAGAATAAGTAATTGGTACAGACTTTGATGTGAATTCTATCACGAATTTCACGCGGTCAAAAAAATTCAAATCCAAATTTCAGAGACAGATCTGAAACCTCCTCAGGCTTGGTCCTCTGCACAGACAAGAATGGACAGGCCGAGAGAACTAGAGAGGAGAGGAATCGTAGCAATTCCAAATTTCAAAGGCCGAGAAGGTTAAATAAGGCCTTTCAAATCCAAAATAGGGGTTCTTTACTCGGGATTTCGAGCAATGTCAACGGATGCCTTCTGATGATCCGCACGCTTCACAAGGGCGTCAGAAGTACTCGCCACGCCTTCACGTTTTTTTTTTTCAGGAATCCCGTCCGGGCCGTCTAATTGCCATAGGGTGTCTCCAGCCACTCGTTTCGTAAGTCCCATATTCAGTACGGTATCCCTGGGACATCTAGCGATTAATTCGTTCACCACGTAAAGCCCTGGCTCGAGAGACGGCAAAGGAAAGCCGAGAGGGTCAAGGCAAAGCCAAAAACAAGGTTGCGGACTTGCATTTTGGCCTTGAAGTAAGAAATTTTGTCAATCAAGAATGATCGACGATATGCAGAAGTATCACTTCGCGAGGCTGATGTCGGAGATCTTGGGAGATGAAAGCCGAAAAAAGTCCGATAGAAGACCGAGTGATGGGGGAGATGATATTCTTCATGAGAAAGAGCAGGGCGATAAGCTGTCTCTTACAATCAGTCTAGCCTAGTATCTAACCTTGGAACCCTGGGATCTTCTTCGCAGGTATGAGCGTGAACGTAATCTAGGCTTACCAGATACAGTGCCGCCCGTTATTGCCTTCTATATAGGAAGCATGGACACACTCTTTCAATCCCTGATCACATAACACGCTAGATCTAATATGGTTACTTCCGTATTTAACAGCTGGTTCCAGATTTTCTTGGTAGAAAGGAGAAGATTGCAAAGCTGTATAGTTAGGTACTGTTACATATCCAAAAATGACCACTGTTATGTAGCCTGAAAATAACCACCCTACCTACCACGGCGTCGTTCATTCACACTCATCTGAACCTAGCCACTATACTCACCTCAACCACTTATAAAATATTTAGATTATCTCAAGTACAGTAAGGCTGGTTTGGGAGGGCGCTAGTCTTGGTAAATAAGCCCACAACCTTAGAACGAAAGTGCTGCTGAACAAAGACAACCCTATCTAATGCTCGCAAAGACAGAAATTCCCTAATTGAAATATAGCATTGTGGTTTTCGGACTTGAGTCCACGCTCTACCATAAGCTCAACCCGATAAGCCTTGGCCTCTTCCATGGTCATCAAGCCGGCCCTATCTCCGTCCAGCCCCTGCTGTGCCTCTGTAACACGATTCTGCGTTGCCGGTCGCCAGTCCTCACGTTGCGGCGGTACATTCGCAGACGAGGTAATCCGTATATGTGGATCGACGAGGAACAAAGCCAGCATCTTCCTGTGTCCCGGCTTCGAGGGATCAGCAAGGGAGAATGAAGAGACTTGATGCTGGAGCGTATTCAGGGAACGTAAGAAGGCGGCCTTCTTTGGACACTACGCCTCCTAGTTCTTGCGTGATCAGGTCGTCGCTGTTACTATAAAGACCCTCGTGGTAGCCGTATACTTGTTGCATGAACTCATGTCGACCTTGCTCGTACTCCATCCCGTACATATCGCTCATTCCGCGGCGGCGGAACGCGAGTGAGCTTGGGGTGATGTTTTCAATATCGTAGTAGTAGATTGCCGATGCGGCGATTCGTTCGTTCTGTATTTGTGAGTCAGAAGGGAGAAAAGCTCCTTTGACTATGAAACGAAGAGACTCTCACCAATTGTCCCTCAATATGCCAACTCCCCCCCTTTGTACTCGGGCTTTTCAGGCGTCAACTCGATATTGGCCAGCTTCACGATAACCTGGATCTTGCCCTCGGAAAAGTCTTTCACAAAGTTGGGCTTTTCTCTTTCCTCCATAGGCTTGAACTCCCCCGGCTCGGGCTTGACAATCTTCCGGGTCTTGTACCAAGCGGTCATGCGCTCCTCCCATTCCTCATACACATCATCGTCCACAGTTGCCTCTTCGGGATACTCTAGCTCAGTCGTGCCGCCGTCCTCGTACTCAACTTTCGTATACGTGATTCGTTCATCGTCACTTCTTTGCCATATCAAAGAATGTTCCCATAAGGGGATGATCTGTGCGAGAATCTTTTCGACAACCTTGTAAAGTGCGCGGAGCTTGACAGGGTGCGCATTATTGATGTAAGACAGGATCTGACAAGTGCCGTCTTCACTGATCTTCACATCGCAAGGCAGCCACTGGAACTTGGTGCTCAGGGCCGCAGGATGCGGTAGCGTGCGATACCGGCCTTCCTGCAGAGAAGCCTCGGCTTCCGGGATAGGAAGCAACCGACCTTCTCCCATGCTGTCTAGACAGTCATCTATCCCAATCGTGCGGTCAGGAAGGACCCGCGTGCGCCCGTAGATCACCGGGAAAAGCGACGGATGCACCAGATCAACGACTTTGCCATCCGAGCCCGGGTGGTAGTCTTTTTCCTCTTCGGGGAAATTTTCTAGAGGAATCACCGCCTCTTTCAGCGCGTCTTGTAATTCTTTCGAGATAGCAGTATCGGACTTAATGACACCACCGTCGAAAGCCTCTACGAACCCGGTTTGCGCCGAAATCCCCGCTTTCCACTGCAGCTCTTTGATGATCCAATCCATCATCTTGGGCGTGATATCCTGACCGCTCTGCGCAATGTTTTCGCGCCATTGGGTCGTGATATGCGCGTCGAAGACTTTCCGCTCCCAGTCTGGCTTCTCGGTAATAAGTTCCATCGTTTGCATCATGGTAATCTCCCGCTGAGTACAGAGTCGACTGCAGCAGGGAAGGTTTGTCGTTAACACTCAACAACGGGGCCCTAGGTAGATTGTTCCTTACTCGAGGCAGCCAGCTTCAATATCTTCCGGATCGAGAGCATTCGGAAATCCCCCTAAGGACCTGCAAAGCACGTTTCTCTGCGCTTGTCAGCAATACGAAAGACATCGCGGGTAAAGAACACCCCTCCTGTGTCTCGTACCTGGGGAGCGTGGTTCAGGGGAAGATCGAACCCGGGCTTCTGAAGCGACCAGGCTCCGGCCAAATTTATTCCGGAGATGAGCGCGCCTAAGGGGCGCCGTTGTGGTCTTGGTAGGTATCGACAGAGTAGCATATTAATTTTTTGAGATTTTGCGAAGATCTGTAGATCTGATCTGCGAGGCATGCGGGTGAAGGGTTGTTTCAGGCCAAAATCAGGCAAGAATTTGCGCTAGCTATGCTGGGTTTAGAGCACTGTGTCAATTCCCATTTTATTCTAATGGCTGACCAGCCAGCGAATGTTCTGCATGGGGGAATTTGTCGAAACATAAAAACAAGATTACCGCAAGAGACTCGTTGTCACCCAGTTGGTGCTTAATATGTTCAGTATTACGGTCGCATTCGTGAGCTCTTCAATGTTGAAATAATATGAGCTGTGACTAACTTAGAGCTGTTGAAGGATGTGAATGAGCATAGAAGAACTTGTACGACACTACTTGGCGAGACTGGACTCAAAAATTACCTTATTACCCACCACAAGGTCGCTAGAAAAGGCCTCAAAGGCCAAATTCCAATACTTTCCAGGCCGTATAGGGTCTAAATGAGAAGGAATCTTAAGTGTAAGTTAATGTTTCATCTACTATGTATCGAACAACAATGAATAAGGATATTCTAACCAAGTTGTAACACCATTCACGGCCTTTTATCCATAATATATGTATGGTTATGATCTTCAAAGGACAGTCCGCCTTTTCCGCACGAAATTCCTACTCTTGAAGTATTGGCGTGCTGTTAGTCATCTCTCCGTCCATCGTCTCTCGAAGGCTACTCTGAATGTAAGGCCTTTGACGGGGCTCAATCACTACTCCAGTTCATGAGCTTCGATGAAGTTACGCTGACTTACGAAGAGTTCAAGGCTGAGGAAGAAGTTGTAGCTATCATAAACGAATGCTCAATAAGCTTGTCAACAAAACAAACGAAAATAATTATTGAGAACATGGAATCACAAACTAGCTGAAAATGGTGCTGGCACTGGTGTCTGATACTTGGATTCTTTGGGAAGCCACTGATCTGAAAATCAGCATGTAGTTAGTACCTTTCATCTTGAGCTGAAGCCTGAGACCCGAGAGAAGTCAATGCTTTTCAATCCATCAAGGCCGACCACGTCTACGTCCTGGCTGATCCCTGCATTTGATGTGCTCTCGTCTGCCATGCTCTCATCATCATCATCATCATCATCATCACCATCACCATCTTCTTCTTCTTCTTCCTCAGATATGTCCGAAGACTCAGGACTGCCCAGAACGTCTTTGACTCGTCGTTTGATCTCTTGAGCCAGGAATGTTCTGATTTCCGACTCTCCCAAATCTTGCAAGTGCTGAATCATACCGACCACCCCGCTAAGCTTTAAACAAGTTTCCTTGAGTCCCAGCGACGGGTCCAGAAGATTTACGAGTAGCGAATCATACTCTTCATTGCTGACTGAATTGATGTCAGGGATAGGCATATCATCCCATTCGAACTCGTTCCCCTTTTCGTACCCAAGAAGGGCAATTTCGGGAACACCAATTGTATCAACAAGATGTTTCCATCTGAGTGCGATGCAGCATTCCTCGTTAATGTTTCGAATCCAGTCGTCATCATCTGAATGTTGGCTTCCTGGGTCTCTAGTCTTCTATGCAGTCTCAAGAATCAATTTTCGAGACGCAAATTCTCGGGAACTTGCTTCTTCCATGCCATGCGAAATTGCCTTTTGGAAGAAGTTGGTGTATATCTTTCCGATCTCAACTGCGGTAAGGCGTTCACTCAAGTTGAGATAGAGTAAGTTAGCCTCATAAGTAGAAAGCCTCATAAAGCTCCTTAAAAGACCGCTCGGAGTATGTAATTTGGATTTATCAATGCCGAAGTACTCCCAGTTGGCTTTCATCAATTTATCAAAATAGACTGCACACTTTGGCTTGATGAAGGACCCCTCGTCCTGTTTTCCAGATGGTATTCCCCATGATGATCGAGCTCCATTCACTTCCATTCGCGCTTCAGAGTGATGTTGATTTTATGGAGCCGGTATAAAAGCATCGGTTCCAGGAATTTGATGCAATTGTCTCTCTTGCTTCGCTGTCATACTCGGCGAGCAAGCATGATCGTACTTGGCACAGCGATCGCATTTCTGGAGAGGCCATATGCGACCAAGACAATTTCATGACATTCTTCATAAATCAATTCTCCAAAGGTAATTCACTATATGGGGGTGGCACCTTCTTCTTGTCTTTTCGACACTGGATGCACTTGGAATAATGCAATCGTTGAGTAATGTTCTCGTTGTGGCCCCGATCTATCGTAAGAATAAAATTTGGCGTCGATACGATAGAGCTGAAAAAATTAACAGTTGGAAGACTTTTCAAAGACAAGGGGCCAAAATCTTCTGAGTGACCTGGTAAGACACTGAGGAGCTATGGATGACCCGAACGAAGTGGGATTCGCGCCCCTCTGTAAAGAACTCAGTACCCCTGAGGCCTATTTTACAGCTCTTGTTTGCTGGTCGCAGTACTCGCAAAAATATCTATGTTGATAGGGGGATTTTCTTAAGTATTGTGATAGTCGCAGTGGCAGTCGCAGTGGCAGTGGCAGTCGCGGTCGCGGTCGCGGTCGCAGTTACAGTCGGTCGCAATCGGAGGCGCTTACGGAGCGCGAATATCTCGCTTAGTTTTTTTTTGCGTTATTAAATTGCCAACACTATTCCCATTATAAAGGTCAGGGTCATATCAATTTACTGTGAGTCCCATACTGGCGCGGAACCTGCTTTTCGATCAAGGTCCCCAAGACCTCTGAGCACTTACGAGATAGCATCGTTTTGAGTGAATCCCACTACCCTATACTAGATACGGCTATATGATTGTCTTATGTTTCGTTTCCCGGAAGATACCAATTTATACAGGATTATCATCTCCTTGTTTGTCTCAGTGGCATCATGTATACTCAAGAGTGTGTGGTCTTTGTCGTTGTGCTCTCATCCCGTTAGGCTCTAAGTTCGTTAAGAAGTGGTATACGACAATTTACGCACTCTCAAGATAGGCCCGAATAAGACCAACTTTGTACCTGAGATCATATTCTGTACATGAATGAGCGTGGAATTGCAGTGTGTTTCAAATTATCAATCAATGCCAATCATCATGCGCCATATAGATGTATTTCCTATGCGTTTGCTTGATAAACCTTGAAACTCTTGAACTCCCAGTATGCAGTCGTAAAATTGGAGGCATTATCCATCACAAAGGTCTCACAACTGTCCGGACACCCGCTCTGTGTGGTGTAGTACTTTGTCGCGGATGCCCAGCCTCCGCAAAAATCGATATTGGCAATAATGCTCTGATTTTTGAAATGGTTGCCAATGTCGCACTCCGTACTAGGGAAATCTGCATACGCTTTACCCCAGGTGGAAGGATCGGGGCTCCCTGAGGTAATATCCGAAGGGATATCAGCGCGAACCCAGTTCCAGACTCGAATGCCCGCGTCACGGAGCTCCATGGCATAGACCTAAACAAAAGTTAGCTGGTAGGTTTTTTTGTGAGCACAAGGAAACACTAACTCCGCCGCCCTGTGCATTGAATTCAGGACCATATGTGGGCTTAGCGCCTCTCACACCACAACATGATTCATCATTCGCTTCCCAGTAACAGGTTTTGTGTAGCGCAGTACCGGTCTCTTTCCGCTTCACGCCCATATTGCAGCCACTTGACGTATGAAGAGTTGCTTGGTTACCCCATTCACCCATATTCACAGCTTCCATGACATCGATCTCGCCATGTGCTGGCCAATTACTTGGGTCTGTGAGCCAAAGAGCTGGCCATATACCACAGGCGTAGGGGGGTATGCAAAATATCGAAAACGAAGAGCCCATCGGCATAGGTATTGTTAGACGTGATTCTGACAGATTGGCGGCCATTGGCCACCTCGTCTGACCCGCTATATGTTGTGTCCACCTTGAGCACAGCTGATGTGTCTGTGGCATATGTCAAATTGAGCCATTCAGATGCAGCTCGGTCAATATACCTTGTAGCAAGAAGATTAGCGGTGAAGGGGTGAATTACAAAGAGGTCGCAGAAGACATACTGGACAAATCCACCCGACGGGTCAGAGGTAGCATAATAAAAATTATTGAAGAAATCAGACCCTGAATAGGTGTCTACCAAACTATAGTCGAGTTTGGTATAATTAGGGTAACGATTTGCCCGCACTCCGAGCACAGCACCCACGATAACAGCAACGATGACCACAACAGCACCGACGGCGGCGGCAAGCTTTTTCGTCAAAGACCATCCTCGCGGGTCCCAGGCAGAATGACCTGCTTTGGTTGCGTCGGCTTCCATATTCCAAGATCCGTACGCAGGTGGTTCGCTGAGTCTTCAGATTCTTGAGAAGCCTGATTGCCTAGGACCTGAATGAGATGACCAATCATGTAAATCATAGGGCATCCCAACAGAAAATACGGTTAAGGTTATCCAATCGTTGGAAAGAAATGTTTGCCGGTTCAGGAACGATGCGGAGAGTAAAATAAAACAGGAATAGAATATCCGCACATTACTTCCGATGAAAACACAATCGCTTCCAGATGCGCGATGAAGATTTGCGATTCACAGTGAGGCCGCGTATCTTGCCAAGCCACCAATGACGAAGTGCGGCGGCTGCCACGCAGACCACGCGTTAAGGCTGTGTGATAAGGTCAAAGGGCAAGTAATCAATTTTGGACCGACTGAGTACAGCCAGCTGTCCAATCCGAAGTTCTCAAGCTGGCCTTACGACATGAAATCCCATCTATAGGTTGGATATTCGGCATTCTGCTTAAATCATCAAGCAAGTTCGTCCCAAAGAGGAAGGGTAAGTCCTTGTATCTATTAATAGGAGATGTCTGATTCAAAACAAGCCGCCGTGACTATAAACCTTGTCTTCTTCATACCATTTCAAGGAAAGGGTTCGAGGGGAACATCTATAAGGATGTCGGAACAGATTTGAAATTTCAAGTCAGTCAGGCTCAAGGATGTCCACCATGGCCACGCCGCTTTTGCCCCGTCGCAGTGGACAGCGAGTTCTACGAAAGGCGGTGAACCCATATTCGCGAACGAAAATTCCATTTTTCGTCTCTAGTCACTAGAATACACGCGTCAGGCAAACAAGTGGAGGTGCTGACAGGGTCTCAGCCCAGAATAACAAATTTGGCCTCCTGTTAGATCACCTCCACCTTCGTTTCCAGGGTTCACCACGGCGCAAACTCTGCAGCAGTCTTTACAGCCGTGTTTCAGGATTAAGGTAAGGAAGACGTTTGACAGGACCTGAACAAATCCGTAGCGATCTTATCTCGGCAGTGCTTCAACTGTAAAGGACAAAGCAACGAGGACGATGGCAAGTCCGGGTAGTAGTGTTGCAAGTTAGTACCACAAAAGTATCTACCGCTTTTAGCGACCCGCAGGGAAACAATGACTAAGAGGAGCAAACGTACATCTACGGGCTCCTCGACTTCTACTCAAATATCTGGACTTGCCCTTGAAGCTTAAAGAACCGTAGAAAGCGTAGAAAGCACAATTATGGCCGATCCAGAAGATGTCGACAAAGGTGGAGATTGCAGTGAGTCTAGAAAGCCAAAGTCTTTCCATGGTTCCGAAGACGACCACTTTTTCGAACACAAAGTATTTAGAGAAACCGGCCCTGGGCTCGAACATGTTTCTTACAGGAAAAGAGATAATGAAGGCTTTTCAAATATCCGAGCGCATCATAGAAGAGTCTATGAATGATGAATGCGATCCATACTTCGTAAGCATTGAGGACGTGATCATCAAACTGGCTGCGGCCAGGCCGGAAGTCAAAAGTCGGGTTAGGGGGGGGGAAATCCAGATTTTTATTCTCCATTAACAAAGCTATTAAATTTCCCCTCGGAAAAAAGACATGCAGAATCAATGACGCTGCTTGATCATGGAATTTAAGATGTTTGCAGAGTGCTTCGTCTTATTAGTTCGAGCTTATGTCCCTCACTTCCGAGAAACAAAAAAAAATAAATATCCTGAAGCGGGTACCGAATGACTCGTCAACAGGGATGAAGTTACTGAAGAGTCGAGGGATAGAGCTTGGCACAGGTTGTTGGCTTGAGTGAACCCAGGATAAGAAGATAGGCAGAGACCCAGCTCAGGATAGTCTAAGCAAATGGATTCTACTCCTTGGTGATATTATAGGAAAGATTATTTGAAGAGTCGCACGGACTCTATCGGTTGACATTTCGTAATTCATCTAGTCTCGTTGTAGTATGATAGAGATGATCCGTTTGCATTATAAAGACACGCAAGGCACGTACTCTTTCATCATATTTTTCTCAGATTAAAAGGTCATGGAAACAACTCAAAACAGCCAGGAAACACACTTCTGGTAGAACCAGTTTGAGTCAGCATGCTTCTCAGCCTGAGCCTCCTTTCGAGCAAGGAAGGCAGCTTCCTCGCGATCGATCTCATCCTTACCACTCCAAAGGTCCGCGTTTTCAGGAGTAACCTTTGGCTCACCACGGTGCGTGAACTTGTACCCAAAGATGAGAATTAGGTATAGCGGAATGCCCAGATATGCCGTGATAAAGTTTTTGTAGTCGAAGTTGCCATATTTCGGAGAGTGGGTGAACACGTTGAAATTCTTCGTGAGAGCGATGAGGATACAGAAGGCTAGGGCTCCGTAGGAGCCGTAGACACCAAATGGCGCGACGTAAGCGAGCTCGCTGTCGGGAACATTCTGTGCCCGTCGTGCACGGACGAAATAGATGTGAGTGACCAGGATTGAGATCCAGGTCAAGAGACCGAAGATGGTGACCAGGTTCACGAAGTATTTGAAGATCGTCTTTGAATCACTAGAAACATTCATGTATGCCAAAAGCGCAAATAGGGCCGAGACGCCCAGAGCGAAGATGGGCACACCCCGCCGGTCTGTTCGGGACAATATTCTGGGCGCTTTTCCTTCGCGGGCAAGACCATAGATTGTACGAGTCGCAATATAAAGGTCTGAATTAGCCGCGGAAAACACGAAGAGAAGGATGCAAGCGTTTAAAATATGCGAGAGCGCGGGGATACCGGCGTTTTCAATGGCGACAACGAATGGGGATGCGGCAGCGGAGCTGCTGGCATTGACGGCGAAAGCCAGCTTAGGATCATTGTATTTGACCAAAGTGCCCACAAGGAGAACAGAGAGCACATAAAAGACCAGGATTCGGTAGAATGTCAACCGGATGGCGCGGGGAATAGTGCGGCGAGGATTCTGGGCTTCACCCACGGTGACACCGACCAGTTCCGTTCCGAGGTAGGCAAAGGTTGCAGATACCATGGTAGACCAGAAAGCATAGAATCGGCCAGAAGCACCGGTGTCAATGTATTCTGCGAAAGCGCCCGGGTCCTTCCAGTATCTGAATCCTTTCCGGTCATGATCAGGGCCTCCGCCCAGCATCAAGATGAAAGACAGCAGAATGATTCCGAGAATCACAACAACCTTGAACGATGATAGCCAGAACTCGAACTCGCCGAAGAATTTCACTCCAAAGTAATTGATACAGATGATCAAAAGAAGGAAGACCGTGATCCAGACACCGGGGTTGACCTTTTCCGCTGGTAACCAATACGATATGACTAGCGCACCAGCTGTCAACTGATTTGGTGTGACGAGAATATATTTAAACCAATACCTGTGATCTATGTCAGCAATCACCTTTGCTCACGGCGGTTTAGAGGGTACTCACATCCAGCCCACTGTAAAACCGAGGGCAGGATCACAGAATCGAACAGCATAGCCAGTAAACCCAGAGGGCAAGGGAAGCCATGCCGCCATTTCGCCAAGAGCGCACATTACCAAGTACACGATGAAGCCCACCCAGGCATAAGCGATCAGGATCGAGCCTGGGCCTGCTTTCGCAAGAGCTTCACCTGTTCCAATAATCAGACCGGTTCCGATGGCACCACCGATCGCAATCATGGTGATGTGCCTCGCCTTGAGGGCACGCTGAAGCTCCACATGGTTGGGATCTGACAGGCCACCTCTCTCAACCGTGGCAATGTCATCGCCGCTGTATTCGCTCTTGATCGGGGCCTCAGATGAGAAGCCTGAGGGCTTCTCACTCTTCAGCTCCGACATTGTTGCTCTGAGGAAACACGAGATGAGTTCTAGAGAGGCACCGGAAGCTGCAGCAAAGCGGGTGTCCTCTAGGGGAAAGAGGAAAAATGAAGAGAGGAGCAGCGAAGGGATGGGCCTTAGCGTGAATAAATCGCCGAGGCCTCAACCTGCAGCTCGACTGTTCTCGATCTAGGGCCAAGAAAAGAATGACCGCTCACGAGATAAGACCCTCAGGAGCTGGGCAAAATCACGGGAAAACTCGACTAAATAGGTATTCAGACATTCGGAGACCTCGTTTTCCTGATAAGCCGACTGGGAAGCCAAGCAGCCAAGCCATCTCGCGCGTGGAAGTGGATCACCTACGTGGGAATGTTCCACGGGATCATGCGGAGTACCTGAGGTCCAGCAAAGGTTACATTCCCAAGAGCCTCCTCTTAAACATGGCTATAATACGCGAGCGCCCCCTGGACTCTGAGCCCAGATCATCGTGCAGTTGAAGAAGGTTGTGCCTGCACGAACTGGAAAAACATTGCCAAAAATGAAATCTGAGACTCGATAGCTAATTGATGTACATAGTATCAGAGCCCTAAGCGCCGCCAGGTCTTCCCCGATCAAAGCTTCTTGATAAGAGTTGTCCTAGTTTGACGAAGTGGAGTGCCCAGACGCCAAGATATCGGAGGGAAACTAACCCTTTTTCACATCTTCCCGGGGGGGGGCGCGCACGGCTCGGCTTGCATCGGACTTGATCTCTCCCTAGCACGCCAGTGCGGGTTGATATGGGGTATCTTCTGCGTGTCAGCATAGAACTCGAACTCAATTATTCACAGTATGGGGTAAAGGGACTTGTCAATACGTGGCGTAGCGGAGTGGCATTCCGGGCTATTCACTCCGCCCCAACATGGACATGGCAAGATCAGAAATACAATCAAAAGTGATCCACTTGTCACGAGCCCGGCCCCAAGGAAATTTCTCGACGTGACTTGCCCTCGGCGAGCGCAGGCGCAGTAAGGTTGAACAGGACGGAAATGGCTTGGCGATCAGCCAGCGTTGCGCGCCAAGACCGTCCACCACTGCCGTTCTATCCAATAGCAGTGGGAGATGTTTTTGCTGCCCGGTTGGTTTGTACCGTGGCTGCTTGGCAGGCGCCCTGGCGATGGGTTTTTCGAATCACCTCTCTCGAATTTTCTTTGGCTTTATCTAGCCAAGAAGATCAAGTGGGCGTGCTTTGATAGCGATATTCTTACTCCAAGAAATGTGTACAAATTCCTGACTCATTAAATCTTTGCGATCCAGACTATGAGTCTGTGTTCGAAATAATCCTCGGAAATCATCAAAATGCCTGGAAATGGCATAGAATAGCCAAGTCTTCAACGACCCAAACATTCAGTCGCAACCACTGTCATTGTTGAGGAGACTTGACTAAGCAAAGACTATACTTCTAGGTGGACAGAGTGGCTTGGAGACGGTAAAGCTGCTTTGGTGCCTCCAACGTAGACTAGCGAAAGTAGAGAAAGAAGACGATGAGGCGACCGTGCCTGAAAATCAACACTGAGTAACGAGGGACGAATAGATACATGAAAGTGTCAAGCATTTACAATGAGGGTAAAACAATGTGATGGAATAATGTGAAATTCTCATTGCTACAGTAGCTGAAATCAATACTAACAGGTTGTCCAGATGTCACTTGCTTAAGCGGAAATGGCACATATTGGCGGAAAAGCGCTCGTGGAAATGTTGTCCGGCATGAAGCGTCCCTTAGTACCTGTCTCTACATATACTTAAAGCTTCTCAATGAATCTTCGCACTACTTGGTTGTCGTCGAGAGCCATCGGATATGCATTTCTTAGCTATGATCTCTGCTTCTCTCCCTGGTCCTCCTAGGCTTGGAGAAGATACCGATGACCACCACAGATGATCTTGTAAATTCCTGGATCTGACAAGAATTGATCTAATTGAACTTCGCATTGAGAGACATTATCACCAAAGATTTTGCATCATGCGTAACCAGCTTCTTTCTATGAAGAGCTCGTTTTCTTTCCAAGACCCACGAGACCTTGACGCCAATAAGATGCTGGCAATTGATCAACGCGTAACTTGCTCTTCGTTAAAAATCATGGCCACAACCTCTCAACATGTTGCCTCCTCATTTTGTAACAAACTGACCTCAGTGAAAGATACTTTTTCATCAAGGGTCTTCTTCAGTTTTGACACCAAGAATCCATCTGCTCGGCTGGCATTTCGATCTGCAAGTTGTCATTGACATAACGGAAATAATTTCATCAGACCACATTTTAATCAGTACATGGTCTGGACTTCTCTCTCGCGGTCGGGTTGAGGTTTAATGCCGCCACGAGCCCAGCCACGATGGAAGCTAGAGCTATACTCATCAGACACGATAGCTCAAGCACAAGAAAGTACAACACTCACTGAGTATAAGTTGTAATTCGTAGAACCCGAATTTTTCTACTACGACTCCAGCCAAGATTGGCCCAACCAGCAGGCCAGTCATCCAGCTCATGCCTGTCAATGCGATCGCCCGAGAATATCCGCGACCTTTGCCAAAGACGCCAGGGTCGCGTGTCTCCAGTGTATCAACGGTCTCTGAAGGTAAAGAGTTAGAAACCGATCATGCCGAAACGTATTTCCAAAACTCACCGGTTGCTTCCATGGTGCCAACTCCATTAAGCAAGCATATCAAGCAACCAACCGTAGCAGTGCATACACAGAAGATAATCTTGCCCCGGTCCCCGGTCGTGGCCCATGGGAACCGGTCATCACCAGCAGCACCAAGAACCCACAAGAATGGAGCGAGAGATAGAAAGCCGACCGTGGTCGGAGTACGAGACCCCTGCCGATCCTTCAACCATCCCACGAGCGGAGAAAGAATCATTCCAGGGCCTTGAAGAGCAGCAAAGAGCAGACCGACAGGGAAAACTCCCCACCCGAATGCATCTCGCACATGAATCGCAAATGTCGTTTGGAAACTTCCAATTAAGAGAGAAAAGACAAAATAGCAGAAAAGTCCTGCAGAGAAACGAGCTTGCCGCAGTAGCAAGGCATAGAACCTCCAGCCTTGCACTTCTGGCACAGTAGCGGCGGGCTCTGACTGCCGCTCGCCCAGTAAGGACGCTTGCTCAGTGTCAACAGGCGTTTCATCCTGAGAGTCTGGTTTGCCATTCTCATTGTTATGTGATTGTTTTTCAATCATCAAAAGCCGCATGATTATATCGACCACAAGGAACGCAAAGGCCCCTGCCCAGGCGGTCCAGTAGCCCCCAAAGCCGAACAGAAAAGCGGCTATAACAGGTCCAGCAAAAGTTCCAGCAGCCGATAAAGTAGAAACTAAACCAGCAATCTTGCCCATATGCTCCGTACCAAGATTCTCTGCCAGTGTTGCCAGACTGACGATGAAAAGTCCATTGCTGACAATAGACTGGAAGAGACGACCAACAAATAGACCAGCCACTGTTCCATTGTCAGTATCGAGATCGCAACAGTAATCATCTATTGTAGAGAGACTCACATGAAGTTGTGATTGAGAGACATACGATGCTCACCAGAGTCAGCACCAAGAGAGCAAGTAATACCACTTTCTTTGACTTGGCTCGGTCGGCAATGTCGCCAAGTGAGGGTCCAGATGCAATAGATATCACTGCTCCCTCGACGAGGAACGCAGAAGTGAGTCTCTGAGTCTCTGACACATCAACGCCTATGCGATCCTCCAGAATGAATGGAAGCAGTGGTACCATGAATGAAAAGAGCATTTCATCTATAACATTCAGTATCATTACGCCTTCCGCTCGATTTTCCGGATCACTTACCGGTGAACAATGCCATTGACATGCTGCTAATGATGAACGTGTTGGACGATCGCCATCCGTTACCTCGTGCGGGGGACAGGCCGCTGCTACCCCTAGAATGCTGAAACATGTTGAGACTTGAAAGGACCGAACAGGTTCTGAAGGCCTTTTCTATGGTAACCAAGTCTTTCAATTATGTACGGTAGTGTCTGGCCTCTCTTCTTCAAGTTCTTCAAGAAAGCAAGAACTTGCAAGGATGATGAGATTCGAGGAAATTATTGCACAATGTTACAATCTACTAATCTCCGCACCTGGGGCCGAAAGATAGGAAAGCTGCGGCTCTCATCGGTTCAACACATCACTAGACCCAATTCAGTCATCCCTTGAACGATGTCTTACTTAACAGCGGTGTGCGCACAAATTCGATAGCTTGAACCGAAAATCGCGGTGGATATATGATAATCACAAAGTAGAAGTTTGGGTTCAAGCGAGCCAGACACGAAACTCCAGGAGAAAGAATGTTGCGGATCGTGACTCATACATTGATAGAATTATGTACACAGTGATTGTCAGGCCCTGAGCCTATCTCGGATTTTTTCAACAAAGTGAACTTTTAATTTGCTGGAGCCGCACACTGAAACGAGGATTTCTCATTCATCCTCGACCTTGATCGCTTTCTCCGGGGTCTTGCCTGGAAGTTCACCCGCCATGGGCTTGCGCGCCCATACCCGTCGCCTGTATAAAACAATCAGTCATGAATTGTCAGACATCAGATCATATGAGAGACTTACGCTCTTTGATAGACGTGAAAATGCGGGTTCTTGAGCTCAGCGCGCAGCTTGGCGTTATAGACCTGAACGTCCTCCTTCGTCCAGGGTTCAGGAGATCCGAATTTCGTCAGCAACCACATGCACCATCCCTCCATACCAGACAGCCAGTGCTGGTAGTTTACAGTGCCAGCCTCCTTGTATTTCTGATCGCGCGCCCAGGGACCGATAGGCCATTTGTAAGACTGCTCCTGCACTTCGACAAACCCAGCCTTGCGAATGCTCTCTTGCATAGTGTCGATGGCGTCAAGGTTTCGCCCTGCGCGCTTACCGCATTCTGAAACATTAGGGCCCCAGGTACAGAGAACATTGTCAGGTGGCAAACTCCCATCGTCACATTCAATGTAGGGACTAGCTTCGATCTGTTCGATCCAGGCTCCTGGGCGTAGGTTGCTTGATGCGTGTTAGAGACAGGGTGTTGAGGACGCGAATTTTATCTCACTCATAGCATGTCTTATAGACTCGGTCCCATTCTGCGGGGTCGAAGGAGCCGATCAAAATTCGCATGTGGATCAAGTCGAAGGGCTCTCGCCAGGTCCAGTCACTGAGGACGTTGTCGACTTCCAAGACACAATTCGGAGGCATCCAAGTAACGGGAGGCGGGAAGAGATCGACACCGCGAACGGTCGCTTTGGCTTGTCAATTCAAGAATCGCATTGGTTTTGGGGCACGAGACCATACCGCCAGGGAACATATCCGCGACATCACTGAGTCTGGTCAGCAGGATTCGACGGGGGTGTAATGCTTCACTTACATAGCCCAATTACCCTTGCCGGTTCCAATATCGAGGATGTGCTTGGGTTGAGATCCTACTGGCGATCGAAATAGTGGATTCTCCCTATCCGAATCTAGAGCAATGGCGACCAAATGACTAGAATAAGTAGGCGTAAGCAAATGAAGCATCTGCGGTGATCGCGTTCTGATTTGAGTGTTTTTGCTCTCACGGGCTTGTCTTACCCGGCCTCATAAGTCTCAAACATTTGATCATCGGAGGGAATGCTGTTTCACACGGTTTCAGTCCACACTAGTCTGCCAGCTGAGTTGTCCCTGGTGCTCACGGATATTCCTTGTCGCTGAGAGTTTGGTATCTGTAGAACTGCTATGAGCTATGGCCACCTAATCGAAGTAAAGAGCATTACCGCCGTCCATTTTCCATTAGACCTCGATAGATCGAAGAACCGATCGAAGTTGTTTCCCTAGACTCCTTTCAGCGATCTGAACTGCACCAAAAGTGTCAGTGATCCTACGATTGCCAGTCATCGGGGTAATAAGTTGGTTGGCTGGAATATAAGTCCGGATCCTGCTGATTGTCAGCACTGATATAGAGATAGTCCAAGGAGACCAACCGGCGCAATCGTTTCGTTGCCCATTGTGAATAGACGTTTTGGCCGCCGTCTCCTGTGATTGAGATGAGACTGGAGATGAAGCAAGAGGTCAGACAACGGGTTTGAAATCAGACGCGACTTCGGATGGGCCAGGGTCTCATTTTTTTCCCACTATGGGCGCATGGCCCCTCACCTTGACGGTAATACTGATTGGGCGTTGGATAGCGTCGGGCTGCACAACGGTATCCTATCTAGCTCCCGCGACTTGGTCAATCGGCGATATCTAACTGGGTAGTGTGGGCTAACGGCTCTCTGTAAGTCGCTGATCAAGTGGATTACGGGCCGATTGACGTGATTGTCCCCAGCCAGGTTATACTCCATTCGGGAGGAGCCCGCTTTTGTGGGTACATCGGTTTCAGAAAAAGGTATTGCCCGGACCCATTCCATCTTGCACGATTCTCATTCGAAGACGAAAAAGGAACTAGACTCCCTGGCTGAGACAATCTGGATGGTCAAACCTGTGCGAGGTCAATCACCCCAGACACGTGGAACGATCCACTTCGGGGGACGCCGGCCCCGCCCAACGCCTTCCTAGTCCATGGTCAATATTGCTACCGGGGCCCTCGTCATCGACATAGCGGGGTAAAAGCCATCTGCGAACCGGCCGTTGAGCTCAGCTTCCTAATTTTTCAAAGTGGCCCACTTTCATAACACTACCTTTTCTCTTTTTCTTTTTTGGTTCTTTTTTCCCCTTCTTCAACCAGTGTCTTCTATTATTTCTTACGAGTGGAAGACTGAATGATCATACAGCATGCGAGGATAACAAATATTGTACCATGGGCGGTCATTAGGCATCTGCCTACATCTTGGCAAGCTAGGGATGAAACAGTACGCCTAGGCGATGCCGAGTGCGTCACACCATCTGATAGATTATTGCGTTAATGCTCGGAGCGGGAAAGGATTGACCTACATGTGTAAGGAGCAATTATCTTTCCAGAGTGACGGCGCAGAAGGGCCAAAGTGCAGAAGGCGTTTGATTCCCAGGTATTTTGAGTATTGTCCAAGTAAAATGTCAACTATTCAAGCGAAGGAAACTATTCCAATATTGGAAAAGGGCTGATTGGCTTTCCGTCTCCCTTATCTCAACGAATATGACCTAAACGTCTTCATCGCGGAAAGTTATACAATTTTACCTAACGAAGGAGAGTAACTTAAGGTCTACATATCTCAAGATCAATTACGTGACTCACAGTGCCGCAAGCTAGAACAGCTTAGAATTTCGGGCAGCCTTCACCGAATATTGCCCTCAGCACCAGTCTGTCGTTCTGCATGGGTAATCATGTTACCCTGTCACCATCTCAATCTCTTTGTAATCTCATCTTCAGCACCGGTTGGTTCCCCAATTCGTTCTGTTCAAGCTCAGGTAAGACATAGCAGTATCCTACGTGAGAGTATAACCAGATAGCCTTGGAAGAATTGAAAGGGCAATAATGGCAGCTTTCATGACAGCTAAAAGTGCAAGATATGATATACCCCGTGTATGAGTAGATCTGACTTGATGTTTGGAACCTTGTTCTGAATTCTCCCCTGATGGGCAGGTGGTTAAAGTGCATCCTTTCTTCGAACCTCACATAATCCACCTGGTACGGACTGTCTTCTAGCTTCCATAATCCTTTGATATACCCTTTCATCTTGCTGCCTGCTATTGTCATATTGCGTGTTACGTACACAAAGCAGCAGGCTTGCGTGGGTTGGGCATCCGAGTGTTTCCTGGCACAAAATTAAGTCACCCGGCTTCATTTGAGCGGTCGGTACGCGGGCCGTGACTTTGAGGCTTTGATGCGGGGTTGCGGGGTCGAGATACAAATGATATGCCCCACAACCTACGATACATTGAGCTTGATCTTCCTACAGCTCGAAACTATTGACGCTTATTTGCTTCACCAATTCTACTTTTTTCATACAGAGATTCATCATGACCAACTACAGCGACGTCAATGTGCACGCACTCGAGCATCGCGAGGCCAAGCCATCTCAAGGAGACCCATCACAACCCGTGTCAGAGCTTTTTCGCCTGGACAAGCGAACAATTATAAGTAGGGACTGCATTCGTCCTTTCAATCAAATTCACCAGTCAACACAAAATTTCTAGTCACCGGCGGGTCAGGGTTTCTTGGAACGACCCTCGCAATCGCCATGTTCGAGAGTGGCGCCGATGTAATTTGCCTCGATCTTGCCGAGACCCCCACAGCCTCAAATTGGGGTCGGTATCTAGAGACCCTTCTATACGAGCCGGAAAACTGACCTGAACTGGCCCCTCAACAGGCGAGGTCGAAGCAGCTGCAAAGAATACCAAAAGTCAGCTCTCATACTACCAGCTCGATGTCACCGATGAGAACGCCATCCATGCAACATTTGCCAAGTTCATTCCCACACTCAGGTACGCCTTGAAGGGGCTGGTCACCTGCGCAGGTTTATCTCGAAATGGCCCTTCAACTGAATTCTTAGCCTATTCCTTCCGTCGCATCCTTGACATTAACGTGACCGGCACATTTCTGATTGCCCAAGCAACTGCCAAAGAGATGATGAAGGCGAACACGTCCGGGAGCATTGTCTTCGTGGCCAGCATGAGTGGATACGTGTCTAACAAGGGCGTCGATACTGCCGGGTATAACGCATCGAAAGCCGCAGTTCACCAGTTAACACGCTCTTTGGCGGCTGAATGGGGCTCACGTATTGGCGTGCCGCTTATCCGAGTCAACTCCCTCTCTCCGGGATATATTCGTACTGCGGCGACCGCAGAGGCGTTGCAGAAGCCGGGCATGGAAAGTCAATGGGTCGGCGATAATATGCTTTTCCGTCTTAGCACGGTGGACGAGTTCCGTGCTCCGGTGCTGTTCATGTTGGGCGATGGTAGCAGCTTTATGACAGGTGCTGATCTGCGCGTGGATGGAGGACATTGCTCATGGTAGCTCAAGTATCGCGGCCCCCAAATCTAACACACTGTCATCTCTTTTCCTAAAAGTAGCATTACATATATTACGTCTGTTGACGATCGACTGAAGCCTTGGCTATTATTTTACCGCAATTTGGGATTTATGGATTCGAGACTTCTCTTTGACCCTGTCCTAAAAGCCCCTCAAAGAGGCGATTGAATTATGTAGGGAGACTCCACTCATGGCCCACGTAGCCTAATGGTCGTGCCAGCCAAGTTTGGCTCTTATCCGTACTTTTGCAGTGTCAAGACCCTCATTCTTCCGGGGGACTTGTGAAGGAAGAATGTGAGTTCCCGCCGCCGCCACATTAATGAAAATCTCTCAATGTACAATTTGACAGGAGCTGAACAAATTACATCTGGTCTGGATCTGCGTCGGACGTATAATTGCTTATCCGAATGGCTCATGATTTGCTGTCAAGCAGGGCTCCAACCGGCTTCTCCCTACTATATTCACTTGCCACAATCGGTATTAGATGATACAGCAGCCTTCGGCCGGTAGTTTCCCACCACAACCTAGAAAGATACGATGGCGTTCGGTAAGTTCGGGGGAGGCTAAGATGTCGAGTGGTTAGAGATGTTGCATTTACATGTGGCGCATTCCATATGTTTTGATTGGGCGGATGTCTCAGCCGCAACATGTCAGGATCATGGCTGTTATTTCCGACTAATCAAACAGTGTAGCGCAGGCTGAACCGTTGACTCGATCCTGAATGCATTGCGCAATGACGGGTGTGTGCAAACTTAGTTTGACATGTCATACTCGTTGGATGCTGGAGTCTTCACGTTGTTGAATGTGATACTCCTGCTCTAGATTTCTAGGAAAATGTCGCAAGAACATCACAAGAGCAGAAGGGGAAGGAGACTATTTTTCTAATCGAATTTGTGTACGATAAACCAGAGGTATCGAAAAGCCCCATCACAAGATCAAAAGATCACGAGCAATAACTACCGGAGCGATGGTGGTTGAGCGATCAGGCACCGATCGCCCTATTTCTCCCGAGCTGATCTAGAACATGGATCCGAGAAAAATGGCATGGCAGGAGCATTCCCTAAGAAGGCCGGTTTCTTCGGTCTGTGACGAAGACCATTCAACGGTGATCCTAATTAGGCTTAGACTCGCGAGAGGCCGATAAGTTCGAATTGTCAAGAGTGACCCGGCGGCGATATCTCGTTTGTGGCGCCTATCCGGGTGGAGGACGGAAGGGGTTTGGTTCTAGACCAGTGGTAGACCATGTCTAATGCGGACACTTATGTGCATCCTGTCATAAATACCGTATTGAACACTCTCCACATACAAAAGCTCGCTGTCAATTCAAAGATAGATATATCCCCCTTCATTCCAAGTTCAAGGTGACAGATGACTTTGTGAACTCCTACTCGCTAATGATTTAAAAGCGTAGCAGAGTATCTTGATCCTCGAGCTGACTACATAGAGAAACTGTGAGCTGCTAGCGTTTCAAACGGTATGCCAGATGTATTCATCGCCCTATGATAGCTTTGAGGCGAAAACATCGCCGGAACTAGCACCGTACCGTTAACTTCTCTACGCTTTTCTCGTCCGGTGCCCTGGCTCATTCACCCTTGAGTAGCTGAATAGACACATCTTCGCCTTCCCCTGCAAAAACGTTGGAAATAATTGCTGAACATTGAGGGATGTCTGGTGTCTGATTACGTCACGGATTCCGTGGTATGAAAGGCCCCTTCGGCTTTAAGAGCAAGCTGTTCGCATTTCTTTTCAGTAGTGTCTAGAAACGAACCTCTCTCTCTCTCCTCCATGGAATATCCCCGGCTGAACACTGTCTTAACAGTTCGATGATGCGTCACCATTGATTACATCACATTACTGCAAACAATGAATTCCTATTCAGCAGCTCCACATAGTCCAGCGACCTTGTCTTACAGGGCGTCCGACTCTGGCGAACCTCCCTATGATTTCACCATGCACCCATCCAGCTCAGACCAGAGCAGCCCTGAACTCGTCCATTCGAGGCGAGGGAGCTTCGACGTTCCAAATTTACAGCAGAGTCAAAGTCTGCCTTCCATCAATTCAATCCTGCACGGGGAACTCACACGAACCTCTGCGACACAGCCGCCAACTCGCCACTCTCATGAGCTTCCGATACAGAGAATGTCTTTTCCTCTTTGCCAAGCTGCTATCACCCGATTTTGGGGACACCAATCAGCCCCTGCAGGGAGCTTCTGGTCGCAAGTGTAAGTTGGACACGCTCGAATTCATTCTCAAATCCCCCTCCCCCCTCTCCCTTACTTGCGAGCAAATCCTTCCAACTAGCCACCTCTGTTCTCTCTGACATCCACGTTGCAGCCCTCAATTTCAAATGCCAAACTGGCAAGGACGCATAGATCATTCCCAGAGAATATCTGAGTCCAATTCGGCAAACGAAAGGGACATCCCTCAAGTCAATGTACTCCGATGTGAATATCTTGATCCCTTGACAGGCCACGCCTGCGCCTCCTCATTTTCTCGTCATGATTGTTTGCTTCGTCACAAAAGAACGGTTCACACCCCGGGCAAAACAAAGTGGCAGTGTCATTTATGCGATGGGCATCGAAGCTTCACGCGGCATGACTCACTTGCGAGACATATGCGTCAGATCCACGCGGTTTTCGATTTTCCTGGCAAACAGCGTTCGAGTGTGTAGTCTACACTGGTAGCGAACGGTCATCATAATCACTATAATACGGATTGGAGAACTATGTTGCGTTAAGAAAGTATGAGTGTACAGTCATCAGTTTAGACCTCTTCAACAGTGCTGAAGTCCCTACATGCTAGCGAAGTCCATTCACGTACTGGATTTCTTCCTTTTTACAGTAAAAAAGTAATTTGGATTGATTTGATTGATAGAGTAGCTCGTTGGCCTCCCTACCATATTAGTCTCTTGACGTCTTTTTTATCATCCAATGCGGGTCATCTCCCGGGCTGTCATCCAAAGGATCATTGTTTGATAGAGATATGGGGTCACTGAAAAATATCAAATGTGTCAAAAGATATGCAGGCTAGAAAATGTTGTGGCCCAAGCTTCGCAACGGATCATGAGCACCAGGTCCTCCTCAGCCTTTCACACCGAGCCGAAAAATGCCCCACGAATAAATTTCTTGGAGAAGAGACTAGATGGCAGCAGATGCTAGAATAGATATTTTGATGACTCGCAGCTTTCTTCTCGTAGTTTGAGAAGCTCATGCTTGGCGCAACCTAATGCAGCAAATATTTTTAGGGTTCTCGAACCTCTCCAATGCTGGCAAAACTTCCATTCCTGAGGTACGGAATCAACATTACTGTGACGGACGAGCTCCTGGCCATCGTCCTTGCACTAAAATTGGGATGTCTTGCCCGCTTGAAGCCCAAACTTCAGACCGTCTCGGAGACAATACACCTGGACCCGGTGATGATGTATATAGAGTATGACATCACATGACAACCTATCGATTCAAGCTCGTTGATTATAGGGGTGATTTCCCAAACGGGATAAAAAGACCAGTCAAAGTTCAGGGCTTTTCAAAAGCGGCAGGAGCCTCATGGACGGATTCAATAGCTATAGGTGACCCTTGCGCGGAATTGACATGGGACCTCTTTCAAGAAAACCATGGGAATGAACAAAGCCTACCAAGGGGATTCTTTGAGCATGTACGAATGAAACTTCACGTCTAGTTACCATGGGTACGTTGGTAGGGTCGAGAAACCCTGCAGATCATCAGTCTGCTTGTCAACATGTGTCAAACCCCGAGACCCTCTAGTTCGGGAATGTGGGGATTAATCTCACAAGAGATGACCAAATTCCACTTCAGGAAAACGGTATTGTTACATTACCACGAGACATCAGGTAAGGGTGTAGTCTTTTGGTCGCGATATCTGATTGGTGGTCATCTTCTCAGACCAATCTTTCTTCACCCTGTTCGCGGAAAAATGCTCACCCTTTCTCTGACTCCTTACAGGGTAGCATTACAAAAGTACAGAATGAAGAATGGAGCTCAGGACAGAGAATCTCCAAATTGAGTTTTATTAGGTTCTCATTTATTGTGTCTAATGCTTCGTGGAGGCTGCGGCGCTTGACCGTTTTTATTTTCAAATCAAATAAGAAAGTTTTCGGTCGGTTGACCGTGAGCTGAACTCTCGCGTTAAGAATGCTTGGCGAGGACGCTTTGATACCACGGCTGATAAATTGAAACGGGTAAACCACGCGCAGATGGTCAAGATGATTGGATTGTCACTTATCGAAAGCATGCAATCCTGGCGAGTAACTCGAAATAATTAGGACTGTATTGGGCCTCTATCAATCTGCTTGAATGGACCAGTTACCTGTACGAGTTTGGATTTTTGATGATGAAAGCCGATTCATAGTTTCTTAGTGACTTGTGGTCCAGCTACGGTAAAAGCGCTTGTGCTGCTCCAAGAACACCAGAGTTGCAATTGTCTGAGGACCCAGACGAACAAAACTAGGAGTCCAACCACGGAATATCCACCGAAAACCTTCAGCAGCGAATAACCCTTGGACAACCGTGAAAACTGAATTTCTTTTGACAGTGCTCATCAACTGAGTCCTGATCACATCCATAGGGTTTGAAACCGTAGTTGCTACCAGACTAGCAAGCAGCGAAGCAGCGAAGTGAATCCAGGGCTTCTCTTCGCTTGTATCGCCTATTCTCCGTAGGAGTCGCTTGAAAGCATCATAGGATGCCAATTGGCTTGCTGTCATGATTCCCGAACGGAAGCAGTTGGGCCAGATACCTTGAACAAATGCTCTCCAGCCTTCATGTTGCTTCATTTGATACCATGCATCAAATACGTGCTGGTAGTTGCGACGATGATGCGTAGGCAAAGCCTTATCATTTTGCATCCGGATATTTGCAATATCGGATGGCGTGCCGATGATTGCGCCGATGAAGCCCGAAACAGCTGCCATCGACCCCAGTGCTACAATAGAGAAAGACTTGTCGGAAGTGGTTTGCGACTTTTTCAGTTCTTCGTAAATAGCAATTCTGGCGGTCCCGTAGGTCACTGGAAAATATCAGAACTTAGATTGGGGCATCTGTCATTGGCACACAAACATGATCTCGTGAATCCAGCCGAAATACCCTGGTAAAGACCACTCAATCCTTCACTCCGAACAATGAGCACTCCGGTTTGGATTGACCCCTGTTTAGCGCCATTTGACGCGATTTGCATCCGCACTTTGACTGTTCGGCATATCCGTCAGATTTCTCATCTTGGATCAATTTCTCAAAGCGCCTTACTGAGATCAAAAGGATGAGAGACAGCTACCGCCATACATGAGGCGGAGCCTCCATACCATCTTGGATACCGGAAATCTGTCGGGTTCTTCTGTCCGGGATCAACATGGCGCACTAGTAATGGCGACAGCTTACTTTCCGCCATTATGTATTGTGCTTGAAGAATGTGTTCTCGTGGCAAACTTATATCATTCAAAGCAAGTTCTAAGATTGCGGCTATCACTCACGTAACCGAAGTTTACTTCCCGGAGCAGTCCAACAACCTCGGAATAGTCTTTTAACCGAGACTATTCTCACGGAGACCCGAGCAAGCAAAGAGTCCTTTTATCAAATGATGTCCTCTTATTATATGTTGAAGAAATGTATCATGCCCCTCCAGAGACAACTTTACAGAGAGATATCACGAAAGATTGTCTAATAAATATAGCTGGAACTCCTCCAGGGTGGACGATGCTAAGACGCCTATATGCCGCCCGCTGCCCCCGCCTTCTTTCCCGTTTGTTGCGTCTTTCAGCCGAGCAACTCCCCCCGTGTTATCGATGAATGCTAAGAGAATCCCTGAGGAAATTGTACCTTCTTTATTTTCTATTCTGCTCCAAGGAAGCTCATATTGAATTTGGCAAAATCACCTAGCTACTCTCAATTGCAAGGAATGAAGCCGAATCTAGCAGATGGGTACAGTGATTTGTATAATGTTTCAACATCTCCAGCAGGCCACCTCTCATAACGGGACTGAACTTTGTTATCGTCATCGCTCTGATCAAGTACGGCGGTGATTGGCCTGACGACGCCAGTGAATGCTTTCGCTGCATTTCTTCAAGGCTGAGACCGTCAGAGACTCGGAGATTCCTGCTACACATTTGGTCCCGGACGCCACACTTTGGGAATCATCCCATTCTCCGTTGACACAGCGCTGGAATGCACTACCACCATTGCAGTACCAATAGCCTCCTGGCTACAAGATCCGCTCAGAACTCCTGAGGTAGCAGTGGAAGTGCTTGAGGTGCTAGCAGTGCTAACAGTCTCTCTCGATTGGCCCTGATCAATCTGTCCCTTTTGGGCTGAGAGACTTCCAAGGGCAGCTCCGGTGTGCTGAGCATGCGATGTAGGGGGGCCACTGTTGTCTCGGATGAAGCGGATGTCTTGGTGGCAGAGGCATTGGTAGCAGATGCCTCAGCAACAGTTGTCTGGGTAGATATGCTCGCAATGGCCGCAGCAGATGTGGTAGTGTCGGTTGTTGAAATAGCCGCCGAGGTCGCAGTAGAAGTGCTGCCGGCAGTGTACAGCGCAGGACCCGGGATAGTGTAGTTGTTGAGGGTATCCCAGATGTCAACCAAGACACTAGGATCAGTATCCTTATACAGATCTTCTCCTAGAGTACCGCTGGGAGACGCAGTACCGCTACCCGTCACGTTCAAGTTGATACACTGAGGGTAGTTCTGGGCGCCGTTCAGGTCCTCTGCACTATGCAAGGCAATAATCTCATGGCGGAGAACATAGTTGCCAGCTTCAATATCATCGGGGATGGTGATAGTCCGGCTAAAGTTATCCGCGATCAATTGGTCGGACGCCAAAGTTCCAGGTATTGTTGTCGGTGATCAGGCCCCCAGCGTCGATCTTGAAAAACTCCAAAGTGGTTTTATCCACGTCAGCGCAGGAGCCCTGACAGTTGGCCAGATAGGTAATGACCAGGCCGTGATGGTCATCTGGCCAGGTATTCCAGTCAGTTTGACCGAGCCACCTGGAATTACAGGGGCCGACAGAGCTCCTGGCGCAGAGCCACGATGGCAAATGATATCGGTATTATCGTATGCGGTAGGAGCAACGTAGCCGTCGTCCGTGGCATTCGTTGACCAAGCAATCAGTTCGGGTGGATTAGACTCGTAGTAGTAGGTATCAACAAGATAGCCACCGTATGTTGTACCGTCGACTACAATACTACTGACATACCCGTGGGCTGCGACCAGCGCAGCCCATGCCAGCAGGAGACTTGCAGTTTTGGAAATAGACATATCGTAGTGCGCTCACAGGTTGCGCATCGCGGAGTGCAGTAAACAAAAGATCGAAAAATGACTTCGATCAACGAAGTCCAATAAACGAAGGAGAAGGGAACGATGAGCAGTAGAAGAAAAAGGGATAGTGTTCTGCTTGTTCTGCTTGATTCTCATCAGTTCATGGGACTACATGCCATATTTAACTGTTCCAGTTGCTCTCATTCGGTAATTGCGGACTTTCATAGTACCTGAGCCTCGTGGATAGTTCGGTAAGCGAAGGGTCAAGTGTTTCATATCTGTGGATAAATAGGAGCCACCCTCAGGTCTGCACGCAAACAAATTGTCAAGTGTCATGTTGGCAAATCGAATTTTCTGAGGATTGCCAGCTGAATAGCTCCTCAAATTTCCAAGCACGATCTTAATTAATGCCATGCTTTTCTTACTAAAGTGATCATAAATAAGTTCTGTAACTTGGAATAGGCCCTGTATCTCCTCAACATCCATTGCGACAACTCTGAATGAATTTGGCGGTCGTTCTCAGGACGTACTTACACAGAGGTAGTGACAGCGACTGGCATCAACTTAACAGAATGAGTGTATGGAGTTGAGTGGTGGCGGTAGTTCGTGCCAACTGCCGGAAGGTGAAACGCGCTAAATTTAAGCGAGATCAAAGATCGGGACCAGATCTGAGACAATAGATCCACCACTATTCTATGTCACATTCTCTGCTGTGACTGGTCTTCCGATGTTTCAAGCGCTAGGTTATATAATCTAAAATTCAGGTGGGCCAATCTTGAAATTGGTTTCAAAGCCTCGAGCTAGGACTGCCTGACGAGATACACGTAGGTTCAGATATCACTGGTCGTGTTGCAGTATCCATGATAGCATCCCAATGAGGTCGGAAAATTTGCTCAGCATGTATTGTCTCCAGCCACAAAATGCTCTTGATGCGGGTCTGGACGTCATCAGCCTCGACCAGTTGTAGAGAAGTCGAGATCATGCGTGATCTTTCCAAAAACCACTGATAAAGATTTGTGCCAGCGGATGCCACCATTCCTATCACCGAGAGCCAAATGTCAAGGTAGCTGTATACACGAGGTGTTGCGTCTAGGCGACTAAGATTCTTCATGAGGCTGACGACCATAGTGTTCATGATGTTAACGTGTGAATAATAAGTTGGCCCCTGTATAACAAACATGTAAAGTACGATCGCGCACCGAACACATTCCGAAACAGGGGACTTCTGAAGGTTTGATGCGTCCGAGGGAAGATAGAGAAGTCGGTGTATGACGAACGATGTGAGGTCGTGAAGTCGGGTATTTGGGAATTGCAAATTTTGGGTCCGCTGAAAGACATTTCGAAGGCGAACAAATACATTGCTCACATCATAGTCAACATCATGAATGATGTCTGGTAAGTCATGTGTAGCAGTGGGTTCTAGTTGCCATTCTGGAATTGGAGGTATTCCATCGCCAATTCCGAAATCATCCTGTGAACTGAATTGAGGAAAGCCCGTGATGAGCATAGAAACCCTAGACATGTGAGCACCATGTCTTCTAGGCCATTAGAGAGTGGCTCACCAGCTGATCATTCTCGCTGTGAGGGGGCTGGTTTGTCGGACCGAGTTGATTCCACCTCGCATATGTACCAGTTGTTTCACCCCTTCAACATGCATTTCGGCAATTTTATTGTTACCTTTGCCAAACTGGAAGTTTTGAGGTCAGTAACTGCTTTAGACACGGTGAGCAGCGGTCTGAGTGACCCAAGATACAATCTTACTTCAATTGTAGCGAGTGTAATGACCGAGTTCATTGTTCCATCTTGAACAGCTAATGATGCGTTCTCGATTTTACGTCGTAGCAAGGCCACTGAGTCAGCCATGAGAATCTCGGAGGATCGGAAGCCATTCTGGGCCAGCAGCTCTTCATCTAGACATGCTGTCTGCAATGAGACATGAAAAAGTGCTGGATCTCCCAGAGCAAGAGGCCACCAGGATACGAGAAATGGATTTGAGGTCGCGTTCAAGTCGAGTGGATAATACTGGAAAGCAATCTTGTGAAGGACTGAAATGGTCAGTTTTCACCCTCCTGACAGCTTCCATTGAGACCTACGTACAACTATGGATAAGACGCTGGACTTGCTCATTGGGAAGTCTTGTCTGGGGATACGAATCGAAGGGGTCGAGGGATCCCAGTCTGTAATTGGTCAAACTGCTGGATCTATCCAGCGATCTTGTAGGCTCATTGGCATAGAAGCATTGGGTTTTGCGCCTAGTGCAACGAGCACATCGGGGAGTCTTTAGATCACAGCTTTGTTTTGATTTAGAGCATGCAGTACAAGACCGGCGAAGGGTTTGGCGCATTTTGAGAAGACAGGAAACAATCAAAGAAGCCAAAGCCCTTTAGAGGACCGTAAGTAAGTGGAGACTTGACCCGGTAAACCCGAGGGCGGTGAATGTGGTGCCCCTGGGAGAATCCAAGCTTAGTGAGGCTAGGCCTGAACAAGCTTAGACGCCGCGGCCTCGATTCCCCCTAGTCCCAATGAGGAGATTTGTGTGTAACATGGAACGAGAAGGATTGGTGCAGTCAATATAATATATTAGGAGCAATATATTAGGAGCCCGTTTCCTAACAGTTAGGGTGAAAAGTTTTGATAATTCTCCTATCTATTTCAAGGCTCAAATAATGGCTTCTGAAATTGCCAACGTCTCCAGCGCTTGGCCCGAGTCCTTACAAACACAAGAATTTAGCACATCTCAATTGCAAATCACTCTCCCGGATATTTTGACGGGATGGTCTACCTGGCAGTATCTTGTGACTTTTCTGATTAGTCTCGTCATCTATGATCAAGGTAACTAGGAGCTTCACCTCAATAGGAGACATCGGCTCACTCACTTTCTAGTCGTCTACCTCAAGCGAAAGGGTTCCATCGCTGGTCCTACGTTCAAGATCCCCCTTATAGGACCATTCATTCAGGCGATAGACCCAAAGTTCGAGTCATACCTCGCACAGTGGGCGAGTGGGCCTCTCAGTTGTGTATCCGTTTTTCACAAGTATTTTTTCTTCAAATCACCGTGCGTGAAAAGCAGATTTAGCTAACCTCAGGATTCGCATCAGATTTGTGGTTCTCGCTTCCGATCGAGACATAGCGCATAAAATTTTCAAATCTCCCACCTATGCTGAGCCATGCATCGTACCGATCGCGAAAGACATTCTAGGCGAAAAGGCTTGGGTTTTCCTCCAAGGCAAAGCCCACACCGAGTATAGAAGGGGGCTCACACCTCTCTTCACCAATCGAGCTCTTTCAAGTTACCTCCCAGTTCAAGAAAAAGTGTTCAGCGACTACTTCGAGAAGTTTGTTGCGACTAGTCAGGCAAATCAAGGACAGCCCAAAGAGTTCATGACATTGTTCAGAGAAATCAACTGCGCCATTTCCTGTCGCACTTTCTTTGGAGACTACATCTCTCAAGACGCCGTTAAGAATATCACTGAAGACTTCTACGTGGCTACTGCTGCTCTCGAGCTCGTCAACATCCCCCTTTCGATATACGTTCCGTTTACCAAATGCTGGCTGGGAAAGAGGGCGGCTGAAGCAGTACACATTGAATTCGCAAAATGCGCCGCGGTCTGCAAAGAGAAAATGGCCTTAGGCTCAAAACCGACTTGTATTGTCGATCATTGGGTGCTTCACATGATGGAGTCAAATCAATATCGCGAGAGAATCGCGGCGGGTGAAAAGGATGTCGAGAAACCATCCAATCTGATCAGAGAATTCTCAAATGAAGAGATTGGAGAGACATTGTTCACCTTCTTGTTTGCATCTCAAGATGCCTCCAGCAGTGCTTCAACCTGGCTGTTCCAAATCCTCGCCCAAAGGCCCGATGTACTCGACCGGTTGCGGGAAGAGAATTTGGCCGCCCGAGGTGGTGACAAGTACAAGTCGTTTGATTTGCCGATGCTAGAGTCACTCACTTACACGAACGCTGTCATTAAAGAGATCCTCCGCCACAGACCACCGGTCATCTTTGTACCTTACCTCGCAACAAGGGATTTCCCTGTCACGCCAAACTACACCGTCTCCAAGGGCTCTATGATCATTCCATCCTGTTACCCGGCCTTACATGATCCAGAAGCCTACCCGAATCCAAATGTGTTCGATCCCGATAGATGGATCTCTGGAAATGCCGAAGCACACACCAAAAATTGGCTTGTATTCGGCGCTGGGGCTCATGATTGCCTCGCAAGAAGATATGTGCCACTTTCCATGGCTGCTATGATAGGTAAGGCAGCACTTGAGCTTGACTGGGAGCATCATGCCACACCGCAGTCAGAAGAAATCAGGGTTTTTGCGACACTTTTCCCAATGGTAAGGACTTGAGCGATACACTTATGTTTTCTTCGTGTTGACATGCACTAACTCTGATCAGGATGGATGCCAACTAGTCTTCAAGAGACGCTTGTAAGTAGATAGTAGTATTGGAAGTGCCACTTCTAAATTTCATGGATTTCTGTCCCCTCTGCTCTTTATATGAAGCAAGATTTCTTCAGATTTTTATTGTTATCTAATCCAACTTCTCCGGTCAAGCTTGATTATGTATATCAACTCCCGCTGCAGGCTTTGATGATACTGCAATAAACGTATGAGCAAGTTGCACTTCCACACTATGCTACCTCCGGGAGGCTAACTCTTACATTCTGAATGGTCCAAGGCCCGGTATGCACCAAACAGCCCCGCGAAGAATTCGCCATGACTTCCCTTCTTTTCAATCCTTTCAGGCTCAATATTACTTCGCTCGTATGTAGTTAATGACTAGAGTAACTTGTAATATGAAGCAATTCTTCGTGTGGTATCCTCTCATCCCTTCACACTCACTGTTTGGGGCACTCCTGTGCCCATCATACAGCAGGGCACCTATAACGTAAATAAAGCGTTTTCTTACTGAAAGTCGACCAATTTCTCTGAGTCAGACTTCGGCATCGATCTGTCGGAATCCGAAGTGAGTCTCGCTCAGTTACCACTCATTTACTTGGGGGGGTCTGGGCCTTTGCCGACGCCTACATGAAGGAGCCTTCACATGAGTTGACGTTCACTCAAGAACGCAATCATCCGCCTCGGCGTTTCATCGAATATAATAAGCACTGGCCTTTCTAGCTTTCCCGGTATCCCAATTACTGATCCGGCAATCTACAAAGATGGTTCTTGCTTAAAAAGGCCCATTTTGCGATGGGGCAATCCGCCTAAGTTATTATCGCTACTCAGGCCTAGACCAGTGATTTTGGATCGAAAATTTGGCTACCGCCTCAATTCCGTGATAATCAGATAGCTTAACCGCCGAACCTACGTAAGATCATGCACGCGTTGTCTCTACCATGGAGCCTTCTCGTTCTTCGGATTGGTGACCGCAATAAATGGCTGCAGTCTCGGATTTTGAATCGCTTTTAAAGGCCAATGAATGTATATGATGATGTGGGGCCGACAATCCGGAGCAGCCACGATCACCATGCATGAGCAATGCCACGTATGCAGGGGCAAGATTGTGGATCTAGCTCCGAGACAACAAATCAAATACTAGCCGTATCGCTTCTTTATGCCATCAAAAGAATTGAATCAGCAAACGAACCTTGGAATTGAAGTAGTGTTACACGACTTACTGAGGGGACTATGAAGTGAATCCTACTTCATCAGCTCGCATTCTTCTTGAACAGGTATCTCCCCAGGTTGACGGAAACCTGGTACTTGTGAGAGGTTCAAGATGTCTCGCGCAGTGCTCAAATTTGTGTTTACTCTTTTCGTTTCCCATGTGCCTTTTGGTCAATGCCATAAAACACCTATTACTCGTGATATTGCCATCATAGGTGCGGAGCTGCGGGTACCTTTGCAGCTATCAGACTTCGCGATGAAGGGAGATCAGTTGTTCTAATTGAGAAAAAAAAGTATTCTGGGTGGTCATACCAACACGTACGTGGATCCTGCGACTGGGGTAACGGTGGACTACGGTGTCGAGATCTTCCATAATCAGCAATTAGTCAAGAACTACTTCGATCGATTGAATGTATCATGGACTATTGCGGTCCCAAGTTTTGGTTCATCTGCTGCAAACTACTTGAACTCATCCGCTCAGTCCATCAAGTACGAGCGCCCCGATCCCAGTGAAGGACTGGTTGCATATGCGAAGCAACTGGCCAAGTATCCAAGCGTCGAGCAAGGATTCTTCCTTCCCGACCCGATTCCCGAAGACTTATTGTTGCCATTCGGCCAGTTCCTTGTCAAATATCCCGCGATTGGGAATGCGGCCTACGCTATCTTCACATATGGCCAGGGTCTTGGCGACTTCCTGACTCAGCCCACACTATATGTGTTCAAAAACTTCGGACTGGACATCATCCAAGATATCTCGACTGGGTTCTTGGTCACAACAAGCTCGGACAACTACAAGATTTATGATCAGGCGACAGAAGTTCTTGGGTCCGATGTACTTTTCAACGGTCAAGTGGTATCTACACAACGCAGAGATGACCACGGAATCGAGCTCGATATCGAAACACCTACTGGCACTCAAGTTGTGATAGCGAAGAAGCTGTTGATTGCCATCCCGCAGAACCTCAATAATATGAACCATTTGAATCTCGACACGCGCGAGGCTAATCTCTTCGGCGAATTTGACAACACTGGCTACTACACATCCTTGGTCAAGAACACTGGGCTCCCAGAAAATTTCACTTCCTACTCGGTGAGCTCTGATACCCCATACAGCCTGCCTAAGCTGCCCGGAGTCTACACCATCTTCGCGACGGCAATCGAGGGAGTTTTTGATATCAAGTACGGTAGCCCGCATAGTGTCTCCGACGACTTCGTTCAGGCTGAGATCCTCTCTTACATTAAGAAATTGCAAGCAAACGGATACGCTGATCAGGTAGCTGGCGAACCAGAATTTGTGGCATACAAGAGTCATACTCCGTTCGAATTGACGGTGTCCCGAGACAAGATTGCGAATGGGTTTTACGAAGACCTTTACTCGTTGCAGGGCCATCGAAACACATGGTACACTGGAGCTGCTTTCCACACACAGGATTCATCCATGATTTGGAATTACACTGAATCTTACGTGTTGCCGGAATTGATGAAATAGTATCGGCCTAGTATTTGTCGATTAGTATGAGTTTTGGATCGGGATGAATGGTTTTTATGCCATCACAAAGCCAGCTCACATACGGGCAATCTGAATCATCCTTCTACCTTGAATCTCATATTATTTGTTCTTATGATATTTTCCTACAGTTGTTTACTCTCATGACTTACGCAAATGGACGACTTTCCATGGGACTGGCGTACAACACGTGACGCGACGTCATAGACATCAATGGCCAAGAAGCCCAAGAAAGTGCCCAGACATTGGTGCTGAAGAAGAGTTTTTTTTTTTTTCCAGCGGATAGCTCAATCTTTTTTCTTCATATCTGTCAGGACTGGACACAATCTCTGCGAGGTCTTGTCATGGCAGGAAGCTTCCTTGCATACCACGAGCCTGGTAGTAAGTAATAGCCACATGCCGATGTTACACCTAGACTGACAGTGAATTGCAGTTGTACAGATCTTGATAATTATCTCGTTTTTCTTTTTCTTGTCATTGGCAGAGTGGTTTTCTGCGAAAATCATTCGTGCTGGCATTATTGGCCAAATTGCAGTTGGCATTATTTATGGGAAACCATTAGCCGATATTCTCGAAGGCCCGTGGCAGCAGACATTCCTCGCGATTGGATATGTTGGTTTGATTTTGATCATTTTCGAAGGTAAGTCAAGTCGAAAAGAGTGTGCTCATAAAATATCTGCTGACAATGATTAAAGGCGGCCTTCAAATACGGCTAGATCTTTTGAAGCAAAATTTCCTCTCCAGTGTGTTAGGAGCTGCGACGGGCGTCACAATCCCAATCGCCTTTTCTTATTTATTGCTTTATCTAGGATATGGATACAGTGTGTTTGCATCTCGGAATCTTGCTTCTAAGCTCCTTTGTTCTGACATCAATCAGGCGCTGTCGAGACATTCATTATTGGAGCTGCACTTTCGGCTACCTCGTTAGGCACCACTTTCTCAGTAATATCCTCCGCTGCAAAAGAGGTCGACCTATCTCAGACGCGGGTTGGCTCAATTCTTGTGAGTGCGGCTGTGATTGACGACGTTGTGGGGCTGGTATTAGCAAGGTACGTGTACTTCTCTCAATTGTCGTCTCTATAGAGCTAACAGAATATCCTAGTGTCATCCATGATTTGGGTGAATTATCTGGCCCTGACTCAGGTCACACCAGCCTCGGTTGGATCATCGGTCGCCCGATCGTGGCGTCAGTAGCCATGGCAATTCTAACACCTATCCTCACGAAATGGGTATTCGCGCCAATCTTTCGCCGCTGGATCGAGCATGCATTCGCCAAGTATGATCATGTCTCCAATATCATTCTTATGGTCTTGGTACTATCTGCATTCATCAGCATTGCAGCATATGCCGGAACGTCTGTCCTCTTTGGCGCCTTCCTCGCCGGCGCATTCCTCACTTATCTCCCCAGCAAGCATCCGGATGGCCCCTTCGTGGTCATGAGTCGTGAGGAGGGTGAGCAAGATCCTAACAGGAGTCCGACCTTCATGCACACCTTTGAGCTATATTTGTTGGATACACAAAAGTATCTGATGGAGCCACTGTTCTTTGCCAGCATTGGTTTTGCAATTCCTTTTGTAGGACTCTGGACTGGGAAACGAATCTGGAGAGGAATTCTCTTCTCACTTCTCATGGCAATTGCCAAGGTGAGTGACTCCTACCTTTCAGTTCCTCCCCCCCCAACAAGTCATAGCTTATAAATCTCATAGTTTATTGTTGGAGTATGGATTCCCATCTTCGAGTTTATCGGCTCCCGAAAATCATCGAAGCCTCACAACTCTCCCACAACCCTACGCCAAGCGAAAGTTCCCATGAAACTCATGAAAAGAGAAACAGCTCCGAAGCAACGCGCGACACCCCAGTTGCGGTAGATCAGAAAGGCGACTATGGCTCAGCTTCGCTTGCTGGGCTCCTTCTCGGCTCCGCAATGGTAGCACGAGGAGAGATTGGGTTATTGATTGTAGAGATCGGGTATAATGAGACAAATTATGTGAGTACAGAAGGGTTCATCACCGCTGTATGGGCCATCCTTCTCAACACCATCGTGGGCCCTGTCACAGTGGGCTACTTGGTCAAGTTTTACGGCAAGAAAATTGGTAAGAGTGCCTGGGGACTTCAGGAAGCAGGAATGAGCGGCAGACAAGAAACGGTGGGCATAGTGGATAATCATCACGTCTAGAGAAACATGAAATGAAGAATGAAAATCAGGAGACTCATGCAAAATGTTGGTGTTTTCAACGGCTTTTGCTTGTTTAAGCGTGAGATTCAATTATCCTGTACATATTTGGCATGTTCGTGAACACTCCAATTAACGTCTCCAGAACATCACCGATATCGAAAGCCAGAGACACATTATCATAAGTAAAGCCGAGTGGTCATGCAGCCCAGATGCAGCCGATGTGTCCAAGGATCTCTTATGGTTGACCTTCGCATACTTATCCTGGCCATATGTCGCATTGAGCGTGACCGGTGCCGAAATGGTGCCATCTTCCAAGCGAATCCAGGTCTTAATCTCATCATCCATAGTCTCCTCGTCTAAGAGGATCTGACGTCCACCACGAGTCGCATCACCATAGCCTCCGTATCCAGTATGCCGCCCGTAGCACATATTAATTCCGTTTCCCTTCAGGTCCTGATCAACAGTGTGACCATCCCATTTGAAACACCTGCACAAATCAGCAATGGGCTCGCAAATTCTACCTGGTGCTATAGGAACATACCAATCATTCTTGTGGTCATGACCACTGAAAGTAGCCATCAAACCGGTGGTATTCAGAAGAGCCTCCATGAATCGGCGGTCTTGTCCTGAGTAGTCAGTGTCCATGGACCCCTGTGAGACCACCTTTTCACCGTTGATTCCCGGAGTTCGCGAGGCGTCGAATCCGTCTTCTTGATATTTGAGCATGGCGTGTGAGGGAATATGGAAGAATGCGAGCGAAGGAATAGTTTGGTCATATTCGGCTGATAAGTTCTTTTTGGCCTCCACGAACCAGTCGATGACCTGTACTTCAATCAATTTGTGAATCGAACCATTGGAGTGGGCAGTGTCATACGGACTCATCCACCCAGTCACCCCTGAGCCCAGAGTTGACATCTTTATCGCGATTCGTGGCATAGCTGCCACCTTTTGAATCGAAGAACCATAAAATGAGTGCTGGGGTGCTGCTCTCCTGGGCCCGGTGGGAATAGACGGGCAGATAATAATTTGTGATTCCAGCCTTGGATGCAAGGACTTGCCTCTGAGTCAGGCTGTTTGAGTATTGCTTCTCCTGGTCATAAACGTCCAGTCGGGGAGAGAGGTTCGTGTTCGAGTCATGATTACCATAGGTCGAAGCCCACAGGATGCCCTTGTCGACCAAGGGAGACACGACGTCGTGGACATATTCGCTGGAAGTCGAAGCTTTTGTGAATTCACCAGAGACCAAGTCTCCGTTAATCACTACCAAGTCCGGAGATTCCTTTTCAAGGACATATTTCATCACTCCTTTGGACTTGACATCCTTTGAAGCATCTGCACATGAACGCGGTCAGCATACTCGACCCGAGTGGTGCAACCTGCACCTAAAGCTGAAGATTGGAAAGTACCTTCAGCGAAATGTAAATCCTCAAAGACTGAGATCTGAAAAGTTCCATCCTTGGAGAATCTGAGAGTCCGGTCGCTCACCTCCGCATGGCGATCTGGGGCCATGACGTACTGGTTTGGGGTTGAGCTCGACATGATGAAAGCTAGGGAGACTCGTCTTTATGACCGAAAATGGTTGCAAATGCTACTGGAAGCTGAACAGCTCAAGTCACGCACGTCATGAAAAAGAATCCAGGGCAGACACTCCCCAGCTAGGGGTGTCCGTCGGGGTCTTAAAGTGGACCGGGCCCGGAAATGAACAACCCCCCCCGGCCCCGCCAGGATCGTCGATCCATCATCGACTTGAGGGTCTCCGTACCTTCAAATACATCGGAATTGAGTCCTTTCCAGTCTAAAGTAGCGATATCTCAATCTTTATCTATCTTTTCCCTCGTTACTCTGCCCGTAAAGGAGTTCTCGGGCGATTCCACCCGTGGATCGCACTGATTTGCAACATGATCGGGCTAAATTACCCCGCACTCTAAACTGAGACAAATCACACCCCTTTTTCAAGTTCCAAGGGACTAGGCGTTGACCCTGATGGATTTCACGAGTACCTGACTGAAATGTGGATGGTGCTGGCTCTATGCTTCAGAGCCAAGATTCACAAAAGGACTGAGACCTGCAGTCATACTCGAAGTCTAATACATAGGTTTCGTGGTAATCGCTTCTCTTCCCAGAACTACAGTGCGTTGAACGCCTCTGTATCGCACATCACTTGGAGATATATTAGGCCAGACACGAAGTGACCAAGGCTGACTGTGGATGTGGATATGATCGCAGACACTGCCTCGTTGGCCGAGGAGCTATTGACTGGAAGAATCTGTTTCCGAAGCGCAAGACCTCATCACGTCTTCCTCCATGCTGAAACCGATTCGTATAGATTCTCCTTCACTTACCTCGAGGACTTTCAACAAAGCCTATGTTTCAAAAGGACATATGTGAAGCTACCTATGCAAAGCCTATCTTCAGTAGGTAGAAGGGTCGTGAAGCTGGAGATGAAGGCAATCCACCCGTTCAACACGCCTGAACAGCAAGGTCCATGGAATCCCGCCTCTATGAAGTGTAACCTCAGTAGTGGGAAGAACACGCAGAAAGCACGCTCTAGCTGTTTCCACCTAGGTCTCGGAGCTGCTCTATCCCTACTTTGTGATGGAACCGATGGGATTGCTATTTCGGTTACATAAACTTGTTTGAGAACAGACACGCGAGGGCTGGGCGCTGTTGGACTTCAGTCGGCTGATATCGTCCGAGCAATTTCACTCCTCACATCCTACAAGCAGTCGCTGTGCTAAGTTGCTTGGTTATCTCGGCTTCTTAAAGATGTGATGGATCGTGATCAGCAGTGACTATAATCCTGACTATGGTCGGCGGGATATTCCCCATCTCACATGAAGTGAAAACCCATGAATGAGTGGATCAAGGGGCTACTCAGTTAGATCAACAGAACGTCACATAGATATAAGTAAGTTTAGTTGATTTAGACTGCAGTCTCCTGTCATGGGTGGGAGCGTGGAAGATGCTGGGGAAGCGCAAGGCTGGAGTTCCCTGCAGCGAAGCCCGCGTTGTTGACCTCAATCGGTCTAGATGACTCGAACGGTAGTATGCAGGAAAGCACCCTGAAATTTAATTGGTACTGTCTGAAGGATGCAGTACGTAGTGGGCCCAGTAGTCCTGAGCTCGTGTGGAATGTGTCCCTTGCAGTGACTTTCGAGATCGGCATGTGTGATCCACGCCTGACTCAAGTGGATCTCAGATACACCGCCATGCTTTCTGTGGAGCACTAGTGAGACAAGCGCATGTGATGCTAGAAATTATTATCTTCGGTGAGTAGGTCAGTTGTTTGAAGTTGTAGTTGGCACGTCCTGGTTAACCAGCTATCTACCTCTCGTCCTTCGTTATAAATATGCGAAATATCGGGCTTCTGACAAGCTGTTTCTGCTACATTCTCTCTTGGTGGTGAACATATTCATTCAATAGAAACTTCATCATCAAGCAAATCAGGGCCTCAGTTACCGGTTGTACTCTGAACGCTGCGGAGAAAGCTAAGACAGCCAAGGTTTGATTCGGACGACTAAACGCGAAAAAAACGTCACAACCAAAGAAAAAATGCATTATGACCTCAAGTATCAAAAATCGACGTAGAATTTTTCCAGATGCGGGATTTCCAAGCCACGCAAGGAGCCATCGTAGCTCTTCTGTTCCCTGCTACTTGAGGCATCATTACCATGTCCATTCTGAGTGATCCCGAGCCACCAGACGCTCTGAGGGCTTAGCACCACCTCTGGTATATATAAATACAAGGACGCTGTTCCCGCAAACTCATTTCTCGAGCAGCACCAGCATCAGCATCAGTTGAGAATCGTATTTTTTTGTTCTCCATCGTACGCATCCATCAACATGCAATTCTTCCTGAAGAACATCGCCCTCTTCTCGCTTCTCGCGATCGTGGTGTCTGCCGCATCTAAATTCGCCAACACTTGCCGCTCTATTGAGGGCTATGGCTCTGAGCTCACCGCTGAGTGCCAGGAATTTGAGAATGGCCAACTGCGCGAAACAAGCATTGATCTGAACCGGTGCCTCAAGAACCACAAGGGCTCCCTCCAGTGTGGATCGAAGTAAGCCTTCTATATAACTTTCAGCGAGCTCAGATCTAACAAATTTCACAGCGGGAACTACCAGGATTCCTGCATCAATTGTGTCATGATCGGATATACCGAATATCAGTGCCAATGCCGCAACGTTGACCAGAGCCACAGCTATGTTCCCACAACGATTGACTTGAGTAAGTCGTTCGGACACTCCATCTAGAACCAGCTAACAGCCCGATTCTTACAGACAAGTGCATCAGCAACAACCACGGCGAGCTGAGCTGCTAGGCCAAGCTCTCGATCAAGCCCTGAGAATCAAGAACAGTTGGATAGCCCAGGTGATGAAATAAACGCGGGGGCCGTCAAAGAAACCCCCAAAGCTGAAAGAGAAGTTGACCTTGGCGGAGGGATACATGAAGAGATGATTTTAATGCGATCACGCTCGTTATCTATGACATCGGAATGGACGCCATCAACCCACGATACGATAATCCATGATTTGATTACTGATTAGTACTAGTTAGTATATGTTTGAATGAAGCAAGTCGTTACTACTCAGTTCAATACAACGCATAAATCTATTTCAATCGCCGACACGGATTCATTCTCGGCCCCATTTGAAACTCGTGGCCAAAAGGCACAATCTAAGGTTATGAAGATCATTTAGGCCTATGATATGGGTCCTTCGGGCGGGGTCATGCAGGATAAGCAACACGGCTTGGGCGCACGCACTACTTCATTACTAGGTCTCACCCCTTTCCCTAAATTTCGTCCTTTCGAACCTTCAAAAATCCATATTCACAGTTCGAGACAAGATGCCCTTCAAGAACGAAAGCTCTATCGAGATCGCGGCACCGCCTGCGAAGGTGCGGGAAATTGTAAGTTACGGATCATCAGAGACACCTAGAAAGCTACGAACACAGGACTAACAAAATACGCACATAAAGCTCCTGAACTTCTCGGCATACCCAGAATGGCACACCGATTTCATCAAAGGGATCGAAATCCAAGAAAAGGATAAGACCGCTCAAATGCTTACCGATGGCGACAAGGTCGAAGTCAACATTGAGAACTTCAAATTTATTGCCGAAATCAAGGTAGGGGAACTCAATTTCCATCCCAGGCGAAGCGCTGATCACAATGTCCAGTCCAACACTGAAGACTTGTTCTCGTGGCAGGGCCCACCCGTCTTCACCATCGCCGGTCTTCATAAATTCCACATCGAGCCTATCAAGGATGGAACGGCCACTATCTTCACGCAATCGGAGGAACTGAAGGGTCTAATGGCCTGGATGATGAGTCCATCACTGCTGGGCAAGAAGATGAAGACTCACTTTGACGAGTTCCACCGCGACCTCAAGGCTCGCGCCGAAGCTTCTTAGGTGTGACTGACACTAGGATTGGCACTAGGGGCGTTTTGATCGGCCCAAGGGGGTTTACCTGCAAACCGGGTGTTATTTCCACACACACACACCCGTCTGAAGCACTGTTGTCATTTGTTTTGAACATTTTTATTCCATAGATTTGTCTTTGTTGAGCTGATTAATTGTTTCCAAGATTCCCATCAATACTATATTTTCTGTTACCGTGAGGCTCTACTTTCCAAAAGTTATGAGGTTGGCAGGATTACGGTCGGACTGGAAAATAAGACGGACAGGGTCCCTGTAACAGCCCCCAAATTTGGCCGCCAAACCTGGCATCCACTCTTCGTCAAGACTTTCGGTCGAGACTCTTCAGCTTATTCAAGAGAAAGCAGCGATCGTCCGCATAGCTCAATTGCCGGATAGCAGGGTTCTCGAGCGGCTCACTTTCACGCGGATGCAACTTGCAACTTAGAGGATCGATTGTGGTGCGGAAACAGTAAGGGGAAATTGGGTGCTTGACAGAGAGGGTGAAGAGGGTGCGGGAAGTGAAAAAAGAACAACCAAAAAAGAAGATGCAGTTGCAACACCAACAGCCAGCTTCCCTGTACGGGACGGTGTATTCTGGCATCGCCATCCCAGGCTGGAGACTCGTCTGCGATATTGCTATCCTGAACAGTAGACTCCATGGCTTAGCGACCCCCAGCGTCGTGGATTACTCGCACGAGTGAAGTGTCGAACCCAGGATTCGAACCAGGCACCAGTACCCGCTGGCTTGCGCCGAAGCAAGGTTGCCGTCTTAGCGGTGACTCTCCCACTAGGTTATCCATGACAGATAATTATTTCTCTGTCTAATTAGGTATATGTTACACTTCCATTGTTTTCTTTCTTGGCAGTCTACTCTTCCCCACAGTATTGAACCTTCATCATGCTCAGTAGTGGTGACCCCTGAAATTGGGTTTCTCACCGCGACCGTACAATATTCTGGTTTGATTCGCGTATTGCAATTTCCATTTTGCGTGAATTTCTTGGTGCTTGACTGTAAGAGGAGAGCCCTGTAGGGCTTTCCAGAGGTAGCAACTTCTCTACGCGATGGCACATTCCAAAAAGGATAGGCTCTGATGGCCATTCTGTCCGAAGGCTTTGCTGGAATATTTATATGCCCATTTACAGGACTTGCCAGGTAAATACAAGCTATTGACACTTTCCACGACCCAATCAACAAGTATGAAGCTCTCGAAAGGAAAATCACAAATCGAATAAAGAGCTTGGGCTGTCCGAGCTCCAAAACATGAACTCAAAAAGGTGAGCAGCCGCAAGAGGCTTCCTGATTCTATTCAAAAACTTGGTCTTAAGGAGCCGTTCTCGGATTAATAGACTAGCAACTCTTTTTTTTCCTTTCAAATCGACATATGCAGCCTATACGAGGGACGAAGCCTCGGGCCCCCCTTTGTAATCATCGTGGCATATCTACGAGACATTGCGAGAATCATGGCAAAGTCACGGATTCCTCATCTCGGTGGTAACATAATTGATAATCCAGAGACTTCCCGAAGCGAGCCTAGATATAAAAGCTCTCAATCGCTCTGTTGTGAGGTGGCTGACCGGAGTCAGTCCACTTTGGTTACGCTCGCCGAACCTCACTACAGTTGAACTTATCTTCGATCTGGGCCTATCGGTGTGTATCTACAAATTTGAAGGTTATGCCCTGGAAATTCATGAGAAAGGCTGTCACGGCAGGAAATGTAAGATCGATAGGGTAATGTCCACGTACTCTGTCCCTGACCCGGAACAGACCAAATCCCCACACATCTTCAAAGTTCGAGGAGGTGGAGCCAGGAACTCGGTCAAATCGAAAGATGCAATGCAAAAGTTGTACAGGAGTCTAAGCGTTACAAGATCATTGGTCGATACGATACAGCCATGGATTGATTTCTTGCTTGACTGCCGAGGAGTTCATGATAATGACGTAGGACGAGGTCCTGGCGTGGTATCTTACTCCACCCAAATCATGTGAATTCATTGCATTGCATAACTTCCCATTCCGGGGAGTTCTCAAACCCATCTTACCCCTTCATCATGCCTCAATTTCGAAATCTATTGAATCGGAAGAACCAGGCCAATGGTGGGGATGCCGATGGGTTCGATGAGAATCATCTGTCGCCCACGCCCGCCCTATCGAGATTCGTCGCAGTTGCGATGGTGAACCGAACGAGTACAAATTGAGTGGTATGGTCGACTTACGCTGAGCCTTGAGGTATATCTTGCTGACTTCGGTGCACTGATAGTCGTCAATGACAGCGGTGTCTACCTTCCGGTACTGTGTCTCTTTCCAAGAAACGCAGTCATGCGATTCACGACCCCTCCAAAGGAATGGGCTAATCATGAAACAGCCCTCGCCGCCCGAGAAGCAGAGTTTCTGGCACCGGTACCCAGGGTCTACACGCTCATCGAACCATCGTGACCTTGTCGACGAAAACGAGCCCTTCTCTATATCGCGTGAATCGTTCGACTCTTATCGCCGCTCATTTGTACGTCCCCCGACATGTGCGACTCGTCTAGATAGTACGGAAACACGATGGGATAGCCTCTAACGATGAACAGGATATTTGCGCCCTTTCACCCGTCGCATACGCCGACGCCGTCCCTTCCCGAACATCTCTCGACTCCCGCTTCTCCCGCTCGCCCGGCATGTCTTCAGGTCGGTTTGAGAAGCCCGACCCTATGGAGGAGGAGAAATTCGAAGAAGTCGGGCTCAACGACGAGGCGAAACCCAAGAAGAAGGGCATCTTCGCACGATTTGGTGATAACAGCGATACATCGCAATCCGGTACTAAGTCTACCTCCTTTGGATTCCACATTCCCGGCAGGAAGCGTGGGCAGAGCGGCGGGGCTTCAGAGTTATGCGCCATGAAGGGTCCAACGCCTACAGTGGCCGAGAGAGGGAATGAGCTTTCATGATTCATGACATCTGTTGATGAGATCTGATATACGTGGGAGGCGTTCCGGGTTGCCTTTGCTTTGTCTGATTCGCATCATATTGTCTTCCGCCGAGTCCTTTTCCTCGGAGCCCCGACTCTCGCTGGGTGATTTCCTGTGACGAGAATTGCAAGGCTTTCATTTGTATAATCTTAATTCCTTTCTGTTCATCTGCGTGTGGACTGAGCGTAATCGTCGCATATCGAGGTCATGTCCACTCAGTCCACATCGTGTCCAGAATATGGCTAGCATTGACGTTGCATGGATTTGCATATAGATACAGTCCCGTACGATCTTCAAGTGACCAACTTAGAGCCGATCAATTTCGCATGATGGAATGATCGTAGCATTCGAATGTATTACTCCAACGTCTGGGACTAATCTCCTTATCAGTGCAAACCGAGCAAACAGCGGCAAAAAAACTTCCTCCGCCTGCGATCAAAAAAATTATCCTCCAGCAACACGAGCAATTTCAGCTCGGGCACCAACCAACTTTTCAATCTATTTCCAGTTCAGACACTAATCTAGTGTCGCCGTGAATTATATTCATTATGGCTGGAGTCAAACGCCCCGTCGACGCGGCCGAAGATCGCAATGGAAAGCGGAGCAAGACGAAGACAGCCTCCGTATCGAAGTCCAAGACCGCTGCGCCCGTGAAGAAGTCTAGCTCGAAGAAGGAAATCAAGTCAAAGAAGGAAGACAAGAAGAAGGCTCCCAAGAAGAAAGTTCAGGAGGATTCTGAGGACGATGATGAGGACGAGGACGACTTCGATATCGACGATATTTCCGACGATGACCTTGATGCTATTGACGAGAGCCCGGAAGATGATGTCGACATGGAAGATGCGAGCGACGAGCAGGAAGAGGAGGAGAAGTCTGCCAAGCAGGACAACAAGCACCAGAAGGTTGCCGACGAGGCGAAGAGTATGTTTCGCTTTCCACTGGTCTACAAGTCTAGCCGCTAACAGGAAAACCCCCTCCAGGCAATGCGTCTCGTGAGTCCCACGCCAAGCAAAAGGCGCTTCAGCAGGAGCGCAAGGCCGCCAAGCCCAATGCCGATCAGATCGCACGTTCGAAAAAGCTGTGGGAGCAGCTGCGCCGCAAGTCCCACGTCAAACTTGAAGACCGCAAGAAGCTCATCAGTGAGCTGTTCGAGATCGTCACCGGCCGTGTCCGTGATTTTGTTTTCAAGCACGACTCCGTCCGAGTCATCCAGACTGCTCTTAAATACGGCAACCTCGAGCAGCGAAAGCAGATTGCACAGGAGTTGAAGGGCAGCTACAAGGAGCTGGCACAGAGCCGCTACGCCAAATTCTTGGTCGGCAAGCTGATTGTGCATGGTGACAACGAGACCCGTGACATGATTATTCCCGAGTTCTATGGCCATGTCAGGCGCCTTATTCGTCATCCGGAGGGGTCGTGGATTCTCGATGATATCTATCGTACCGTTGCGACCAAGGCTCAGAAGACCCGCTTGCTGCGCGAGTGGTATGGTGCCGAATTCGTTATCTTCCAGGAGGACAAGGAGCCCTCGTCCGACTTGCCCAAGATCTTGGAGGCTCACCCCGAGAAGCGGGGCCCTATTATGAACTACTTGCACGAGCTCATCAATCAGTTGGTTCAGAAGAAGAGCACTGGTTTCACCATGCTGCACGACGCTATGTTGCAATACTTCCTCGCTACCAAGCCCGGAAGCACAGAAGCGAACGAGTTCATCGAGCTGCTCAAGGGCGACGAAGAAGGTGATCTGGTCAAGAACTTGGCCTTCACCCAGTCTGGCTCGCGCCTGATGTCCCTGACTCTGGCTTACGCCAACGCCAAGGACCGCAAGCTGCTCCTACGATTCTACAGAGACACCATCAAGGCCATGGCTGGTGATTTGAACGGCCACATGGTTCTCCTTGCTGCCTACGAAGTTGTGGACGATACTAAGTTGAGCGCTAAGTCTATCTTCAGTGAGCTGTTGAACCAGAACGATCCGGAGGAGACCCGGAACGAGGAGTTGTGCTACCAGGTCAACGACCTGACCGCCCGTATCGCAGTTCTATACCCCTTCGCTGGCGAACGTGTCAAGTGGCTTCTGCCCGAAGCGGACCAGGAGGTCCTCAAGGAGGTTCGTGAGATCCGCAAGGAAACTTCCAAGAAAGAACCCGCCACCCGTCGTCTGGAGCTGGTCAAGGCCGCCTCTCCCACCCTGCTTGCATTCATTGCTGCCCGCGCCGAGACCCTCTTGGAGACTACAATGGGATGCCAGTTCATCGGTGAGGTGTTGTTCGAGGCTGATGGCGACAAGACCGCCGCCCTGCAAGGTGTGGCTCAGGCCGCTAAGACCAAGTCTGAGACACGCGACTCTGCCTCCGTTGGACGTCTGCTCAAGTCGCTCGTACAGGGCGGCCGCTTCAACCCCGCCACTAAGAGCGTGGAGAAGGTCGAGCCAGCGCTCAATTTCCACGATCTACTGTACGAGCAGATCAGTGACGAGGTGATGGAGTGGGCCACAGGCGCCAACCCCTTCGTGATTGTCGCCCTGACTGAATCGGACGATTTCTCGAAGAAGGATGAGCTGCTCAAGACACTGAAGAAGAACAAGAAGGCGTTGGAAAAGGCGTCAGTGCCCGGCAAAGATGAGAAGAAGCCGGGACCCACGAGCAGTGGAGCGAAGATCCTGCTACAGAAGCTATAGAGTTTTTATTGTTGAGGGGGTTTGTAATATCTACCACATTGTACAGGCGTCGACCTAAAAGCATAACATGATGTTTTTTTTTCAAACGTATTAGGGCATGGAAATTAGTTCCCCACTGAGTGGGTTCCGTGGATCAGGGCGGACCTCAGGGGTTCGTACCAGTTAATAGATTCCTGTGGTAGAAGGCAGGGAGTTCCAAAACCTGGATCCTTGCGTATACCTGCGTAGCCGGGGGTTCAGATTGATTCATGACCCTCATGCGACCAAGGGATTCTACAGTGTTAAGAAAGGACCCGAGGCCGTGAGCTAGAAGCAGCACCGGGGTACATTTGTCAACGGTCTGCGCCGCTCTGTCAAGTGCCGTAGTGTGTTTAGTGCCGGGTGTAAATTAACGGCCTCCAAGCTAACAAAGACAGTCTATGCTACTTCCAACGATCGACTGCATGAATACAATGCAATTGTGGGCTGCAAGTGCCATGTAGAATCGAGATCTATACTCGATGCACCATATCGAACTCGCCCTCCAATCCCATCACTCCAGCAACTTTCGCATCATCCTCCTCCTCCTCTTACCCCGATCAGGCAATGATCACAGCACGCTAAGCCCCATCGAATGCGCGCGTTAGGGGCAGCTTTTTCAGGGTTGTTCACTTTGGGTCCCTAGGTTCTTAGGTCCGAAGTTCCAGGCCTCAGAGCCCGTCTGTCTTTTCCTCTCCTACATTCCTCAGGCTCCTTAGGCCCAAGAGCCCGCACGCATGCCCTCCCTCACTCTGACCGACCCGGACATGATCCTGCCCTATGGCAGCGAGCGCGAATCCCAGACTCCCTCCCCGCCTTCCCAGCTGGTCTATTTGTCCAATTTGAATGCGCGCTACTCTGGCGATGCGCATTCCAACGGTCGACCCAAGAAAATTTTTTCGCGACACTGGGCCAACGACGACGTGAACAATCGCCGGCTGTCCGACATAGGCGAGGAAATCTCGCCGTCACGATTAGGAGGGTTCGACGATGAGGACGGTTCACGCGACGAAATCGAAAGGAGGGCGAGCTCGCCTGGTGCAAAAGAGCAATTGGCCACTACTGAGACGGAGGAGTACACGGGGAGTAGCTCGAGCTCAACTGTGAGCGCGGGGAGCATTCGCGCTTCGACAACGAAGCAGGCATCGTCGCCACAGGTTGCTGCTAAGTCGTCGCCGAATCCTGCGGACAGTGTGAACAAGCCGGAAAATGGAGATGTTGGCAAGACCGGCTTGCCTGGCACTGTCATTGCCTCTACTGTTGCGAAGGGCAAGGGTCCTGGAGACGAATTCTCATCCGCGATCCTGAGCAGCGAGGCTGAGAGGATTCTAGAGAATGCAAAGAAGCGCTTGATGCTGATGGAGGGGAACCTCAGTCGCGCTCGTTCAGCGGTGCGACTCACGCCCTCGCCTTCGCACACATCGCCGGCGACTTCACCTATTGGGTCTCACCAGCCGGGTGGTTTGTATCAATCGATTTCCCATCGCAAGGGTTCTGCGCTCCGTCGACAGTCACTGGTTGCGTCGCAGGATGCTTCGGCGAACCGGCACTCGCGCGTGCACAGCGAGACTAACTTCCCGTCTGAGTCTATGTCAAAGGATACAAAAAAGGTGTCTCGGTCTGTGAGTGCGATGGGCTCCAGTAGTCGAACCAATTTAAATACCGACGAGAGATCTTTCCAATATGGGCCTGGCAGGGCATATCTTACGCACCGTGCATCGATTTCGTCGATGCAAACGCCACAGCAAGTGAATCAGCAAGCGTCCCCCGAAGCCGCGCAATCGCCTGTCATCGAGCAATCTCAAGACAGTAGCCCCGCCGACTCTCCGAAAGGACTGGGTATTTCTTCGGAGGATGATGTCAAATCAAACCCGCGTGATTTCAGTCCCGTCTACAGCTCGTGCGGCCCACCCAGTCGGGCTCAGTCTCAGCTGCAGGTGCGTGATCTGCAGTACCAGATGAAGGGTCTTCATATCAAGATTTCTTCACTTAAAGTGCGAAATCAAGAGGACAATCTTCGCCGACGCAGTCTCCAAAGCTTGCGCACGCCTAGTCCTTTAACAGCTGCGGATCCCTGGTATAAAAATGGTCTGGAGCTTCGAGAAGGCCAGAGCAGCCGGGGATCCAATACGAGACGAGATGGCAGCTCTGAATACACTCGAGAAGTCCGCTCCCCAAATCCCAATGGTACTGCTAAATTCCAAGGCGAGAATAACGCAGCCAAGCGGAGTGGTAACAGTCCCTTGGAGCCAACCTCGGCGAAAGCCTCGCCACCAACAGGGCATGTTCCTTGGCAAACACCACCCGTGAGCTATGAAGATGGTCGGCAATCCGTCGCAGAGAGCATGTATGAAGACGCTGAGGAGGGCGAAATCGACCGAGAGGCCCTTGATGAAATATTGCGCGAACCGCTCGATGCAGATTTGGAAGAATACGCTGCCGAAGGCGTGCCGCACGAGGAGCGCGAGGATGCCTTTGACTACGAACACTTCATTTTGCACAGTGCCCTAGGCAACTACTCGCGCCAGCTTCGCCGACCCAGTCAGGTTTCTCAAGAGTCTACTGACACGACCCGGCCGTCCCAGGCCTCGCGGTCTCGTCAGCAATCTCGCTCTCGCTCTCGACAGCCTTCTCGGTCACGATCAATCAAACACTCGCGCAATAACAGTGCCATGTCTGTCTCGACCGTCGCTACATTTGCTACCGCAATGGAAGGCGATGAGATGACTGAGGAAGAAGAAGACCTCCTCTACTGGGACCGTCGATTTAATCATGGTGAGACCCTGAAAGCTGCATATTATTTGGAAAATATCCTAATATATCAACAGAACTTCGCCGCCAACCAAGTCCTGTCCTCGAGACTGACCGCTCAGAGACACCGCGCGGGCCCCGAGATGGCGATGTCCCTATCAACAACCAGCCACATACCACTTCCCAGACCTTAGACGTGACCGGTCGCTCGTCAGGGGCCGGGTCCGCAACTCCCACCTCCCTTGTCTCATCTCTCGTCTCGACCGTCCGAGCAGCCTCAAGCCCCTATCCAGGCTCCGCAACCCCTACTGCAATCGGAGGCATCAACTCCGACGACACGCAGATGCTAGAGCAACTCTTTTCTAGCCTGGGAAATGTCTGCATGGACTTGCAAGCAATCACGACCTCGCCCGATCCTGACATGAAGGCTGCACGGGTTCTGCGAAGACGACTCGACGCTGCTAGACGAGTGTTGGACGGGGAGCTCGATGCTTGATTTTGCATCATTCCTCGTATATGAGTTCACCGATACTTTCTATTTTCTTTTCCACTATGATACCCAATGTCTTTTCTTTCCTTGTACATTCCCGCTTTTCCATCTGTCATTGTTAGCGTGGTCGATCCATAGTGGCACTTGTCTGCACTGCGTGCCTTGAGCTTCAGCTCCAGCATTTACTCCACATTCACTCTATATATGGACATAATTTTAATGTCTTTCTCAACCTAGAACAATTCTAGGGGAATGTTGTACAATTACACAAAGTCCTCAAATATGTGTCATCACTAAAAGCGCGATGATCATTCCGCCCACCCCACCTTCACGCGGCAAATAGGAACACCAATAACCCCCAGAGCCCATCTACCCATTCCTCTGTGTTGATTGCCTAAACCACATGGCTCTACTCTCTGGCTCTTCTCTGATCGATTTCACCTTGCAAAGGCAGGGTCTATTCTTGTTGACGTGAAATTCGCGCATTCCTTTCCCTCCCCCTTTTTTTCCGTGCCCCGCAATAATCATAGCCGATCCGGACGCGATAAGCAGCCTCTGTCGCGTCGCGCTCAAGAACGTGGTGAGATATGATATGTTCAGAAATATCACTGCGCGCCTCTACTAATCATGTTTCCAAAGACGGCTTTGAGACAGCCTAGGCCAAAGGAAGCCTGCACTGGGGAATTGAGCGCAAAGACCCAACTGCGAGACCCTCGAGTCCGTACAGAACTACCACTTGCATAATCACAATCTCAAGCATCATCTCTCCCAAGATGAGCAAATCACAGAGTCCAACCCGTCGCCTCCTCATTTTCCAAGAGGCGCGCAATCCGCAAAACACAGCGGAGATCGTGTACCTCCCCGTCAACAAACTGGGTCTCCCAATTTGCGGCGATGGGCCCGAGCTACCCTCCATCCTGGAACTCCCCCTGCGCATTTTGAAAGTGTTTACCGAGGTTTTCAACCAGCCCAAATATAAAGGATGGTAAGTCTGCATATCCCATTACCCCTCCAGGTGATGTTCAAAGTTGTTTGTTGGCATCCCGTGCTAAGTAACGTAGGGCGGTTGTCGGCGCCGGTCCTTACCACGATACCTCCGAGGAAGGCAAGTTCTACGCTGTTGTGCTTGAATCAACACAGCCGGCAGGACAGGGACATGTGCAAGTGCAGCCGGAGGTTCATATGCAGACGCCCTGATATGAGAAAACCGGGGCGTTTTATGTAGTGTATGTTGTGATTACTAAATTGGTGCGGAATTTGCAGTTTCTGGAATAGAATACCACTGCTTATGGGCAAGCTCAGTGACACTGAATGAAATGCATTCATGATTGCCAGATACGGGAATGAATGCTTAGATGCGAGATAATTGCAAATGTTGGCATATATGCCTTGAGAAGAAGAAGAAGGAACCATTCATCCCAACCTATGCAAAACTCATCCCCTATCCAGATTTCTGTCATGTTGGTGCTCTTCATGCCTGTTGTCTTCCTACTCGGGCACGCCAGTAGGCTCTTCATTATTGCAGAATTGACTGATACGTGGCTCCTGAGTTGATATGGTGGAGAATGCAGTCGAACGGAACGCGTTGGCGGTCGTTGAGCACCTCCCTTTCAAGCTCTTGTTCGCTTGATGGTCGAGTACCTTCAAAAGCTGCTTATTGAAATCGCCCTGGCCATCTTTATGGACGTCAGCAACACGCATTCCGGCAAGTCAGAGTTACAAGTAGGTGACTCACCAATATAGAGAATCTGATGCGGCGTCATGCCATAGATGTTCACAAACGTGTCTCGAACATGTTTGCAAGTCTCCCATTGGAGTTCGTCCCAGCCCAGCAGCATGTCGGCATCGAGAAGACAATCTGCGCCAGAGGTCTGCTTGATGAGCCAATTAACCTGTGGGTCGAGATCAGTGCCGTCCATGTCTCTTCTCCCATTTTCGAGGAGATTGCGAAGACGGACTCTGTATAGTCTGGCTTTTAGGTTGACGTCGGTTTGAAGCTTTGCTCGCTGAGCTCTTGGCTCACGATTAGTCTTCAGTTCGGTCTTGTCCATTTCCAGTCCCGTGATTTGGGCTTCGAGGTCTTTGAATAGGGTTTCGTGAGTTTCTTGGACGTCGGATAGTGCTTGCTGCACCTGTTGGAGGCCATCGATCTGCATTTGATGTAGTCTCCTGTAGGCGTGGCTGGCTTGAGTCTTCAGGCCCTTTTGGTGAAGTCATGTGAGTTTTTTGCGTATTCAGAGTCTCCTTGGATGAGATACTCGCCTCAAGGGGATCTTCGTCCAGGCTAGACATGTCTAGTGATGCCGATATCTTTCCCACTGGCTTCTGAAGAGTTGGCGAGTGTAGCGACAGTGCCTTGGTTGCTGGTAAAAAGCTTGATGAGGAGGTTGGTAGGAATAAAGAGATTCAGTAATATCGAGGAAGTTGGTGCGAGATGAGGAGAGGTGAGTAATTGCTCTCGTAGGATATCGAGGCTTTGAAACATAGCGCCTATGATGAAAAAAGACTATGCCATTCTAAAACAACCTAAAAAGCCTCAATATCTCGTGAGAAATTCAGCTTGCTATAATCTAGTTTAGTTCTCTTTCACTTGCTTCTCAATCCAAAGAATAACTGTTCGTTTCTCCGAAGCTAATCTAAGCTAGGATCGTGCCTTTGATATAATTTTGTTTCAGCTTTTACCCCTCAAGAAAACCTCCCATATCACTTGTCGTCCTTGCTGGTAGATCTACTCCTTCTTCTGGTCTCCACATCGAGCCATTGTTTTTGGCTTGCTTTTTCTTTCTTTTCTCGTGTAACATGGTGAATCTCTCGTGAAAGCACGCGTAGGAACATATGCAATCAAATGGTCACATTATGCATAGATAATCATAGCTTGTTCATTTTCTTTTTTTCCTGCTCCTCAAGTGCACACGTTTCCTTTTCGGCACGCGCGAAATGTCATCCATGATGTCCAGAGCTTCATTAAAGCAGCATGCTTGACTGCAGATACCTACAAATGGCCCCTGGTGCACAGGAACCTGCATCAATGTATGCGCAGTCAGATAAACATCTGCTTTGGCACATTATAGACAGATAGCTCACGTCATCGCAAACACTCGCGAATCGAATTGCCTCGACATTTTGTGGCACCATTGAAGATGGCAGAGCGATAGTATTCATCCGCCTCCGGCCCAGGATACAAAAGATGTGCTAATCATCGTTGCGAATATATGATGTGAAACAAAAACACGCAGTATACTTCTTTCTTCAAAGGTGGCTCAATCCGTAGTGGTTCAGAAGTGACTACCATGGACGGCCTCAGTGAGCTAATGCATAAGAAGAATCCTGTCCCCATTTGGGAACGGACAAAGAAAATCTCAATTCGCTATACAACCAGCACTGTCTCGGACTGCAGAAAGTGCCTAGGCTATTGTAGGTCAACTTCAGCCGGTTCAAACAACGGACTGACCCGTCAACTCTGGCAACGGGCTATGAACCAAAAACCCGCCCCAGCTATATGAACTATCGACCTCCTCGCACCTTGTTCACTTCTCACCTTCTCCTTAATTCACTCTTCATTAGATACCGCATCTCACTAAATCATCAAACTTGATCTTAATCCACTCATCATGACCATCCTCGATCCTTCCTTAATCCTTCTCGCCTATCGGGCCGAGAACGGCTCCTTCGTCCTGGAGAATACCTCCGGCGTGCAACTCAAAATCAACGAGTATGAGGAGTACGTGAAAACCAACTCCAGTACCATTTCGCCCGCACATTCCAGCGTGCTGGAAAGCGCGACTGAGAAGATCCAACAGGACTTCAGTACATAGTGGGTGACTTCCATGATTTCCCAGAGCTCATGGGCTAAGCGAGTCCGTAGCTCTCTCTACAATAGTTGGATCGATCGCGAGAAAGATTGTCACTGTGTGATACTCCGCCACAGTAGCCCTTGGGCCAAAGACCGAGACAATGTTCGGAGCCTGGATTGGAGATCTTTCGGCGTGAACAAGATACTCCCGCTTAAGCATTGAGGTAATGATGCTCACTTATTTTTCCAAAACCTTTGGTCACAGAAGCTGATTTGTGTTTAGATTTCTTGCACTTCTTTCTTCGGTGGCTTCATTGATATTGAGATTTATCTCTAATATCGAGCGATTTTGCTTTATCCTTTCGTCGGTGACTTTCGGCGGTATAATTTGAAAGACTAGTCTTTACAATGTCTTATTAGAAATTTTTGCTCTTTGACTAGATACCAATCATCGTTCTCGCAGTTCCAATATTCATTAGTGTTGTCACCCAACATCATATTCATTGACTATCCTTTGATGAGTCGTCGCATTTCTGATGGGGTTTTCTCCTGGGTCTACTCGTTTCCTCGATTAATACCAATATATATCTTCTGAATTATGTCTTAAACTCCACATTCGTCTTCCACGCAGGTGCAAACATATAGGATCACATATAGCCCGTGCCTGAATATCAGACTGCTGACCGTACTGTCCTTCTTCGAAGAAATTTCCCTCGTTAGGAGAATCTTTGACGACATCAAGAAGCCTCTACCGCATCGAATTTGGTAAACACCGAAATGCCGCCTCTTTTGACCCTTCTCCTTTACCACAAAGTCTCCGCTCAAAGGCTGTACCTGGACAACAGACCCGGAATGCCAATCCTACCAAGCTCCCCTCTCATCCCGCAAGAGCACGAACAAATCGGTCTCAATCCAGCACTCTCACGAGAAATCCTAGCAGATCTGAAACAATATCCGAATCTCAAGAACTGGTGCGTGCAGTCATTCAAAATGTCACTTACGGATTAAATGTAAGGCGATAGGGAAGTCTCGACTAACGGATCATAGTGTCTACGTCCGTCACTGGCACGATAAGAAAAATGCTCAGTGGTGCGTGTTGCTCCAAGACACGACTGTTCAGCCTGTTATTTTGAAAACAGAACACCCTATTCCAGAAACTCTCTTCGTGGATTCTGTTGAGAACTTCAACACTGCATCCGCCAAGAAACCCGGCGCGAAACCCTCTGTGGAGTCTGCCCACGATGCATCAGGGATCGTCGTAGAGAATACTATGGGAGAGACTACTGAAGTGAACATCGAATCGACTGCAGAGATAGACGATTCCTTGTTCGTTGAACAAGCTCCCTTGGCCATAGGTGGTCAGATCCCAAGGGACAGATGGCTGGAGCGTGAGTTCCCTGCATTCGACAATGATCTGATGTCGGTCAATTTCAGCGATTTAGCACAGCATATTGCTATTGAATAGCTTTTTAAATGCAGAATTCAGTGCGCTTGCAGAATGGAATCTAAGTGCGGCGGTAGATCCGGTTGCAGAATGATTTCTGCTACAGAAGAAGTCATAGTGGAGGAATATTCATCAGTTCAGAAATAATAACGAGATACCTGTTTGTAGGCAATTTAAGGGTCTATCGGCCTCTCGCCTGGAAGAGGATTGATTAGAGATATTCATTGTGCTTAGATTCCAGGGTATCTTGTATGTTCAATCTTGGGCTTTATGAAACCATGGCTTTCAGGGGTCTTTGCAAATTGTGCACTGTCCTTACATTCTCCATTCGGCTCTGGTTGATCGACTGGGCCGCGATGCGCTGAACGGGCGAAACTGTAAACAGCCGAAGACCCCCAAGGTTGAGATCCCCACATACTAATTGAAGATTTCCCTCCTCACCGGCCGACAGTAGAGGGTCTAGAATCTCTAATGCCAAACGATGTAAATACCGGAAAAAAAGCTTGATAAAACAAAGTTGTTTAACATCTGGGTTTCGAAAAAATCTTTGATTGATGGTAGCCCAATATTGATACCTAACATTTGAGATGTATAACCCTGCAAGAATACAGACACACAGCCTTGCAACACAAATCTCCGGCCAAGTCATACGGGACAAGCAAACGAAATTGTTTTGAAGAAGGCGCTTAGCGGTATTAAAAAGTCTGAGAGGCGGACAATTAGGAGTGTGCAGGCAGGAGCAATGCGGCGCTGTGGCGGAGGTCGAGGGAGCGCGAATCAGAGACGTCAAACATGGCATTGGCACGTTCTTCGAGGTAGTAGGCTGTAAAATCATTAGTATCTCTGACATATGACAAGAGTCAGGCACGTACGGGAAATTTGGATCATGTCAAACCAGCGCACGGCGTTCTCGTCGCTGCCGTCGACAGCCTTGAGGGTGCCATTGTCAGGGCGAACGGTGGTCTTGGGTGGAAGGCTGCGCATTCTCAGAAGCATGTGTAGGATGTCGGCAAATCGCTCAGACTGATTGTAGTAGTAAGGGGACGCTTGTCCAGAGGCCACTGGAAAGAATGTTAGTGGAAGAAATTCCCAAATCGGTAACCAACTTACGCGCTGGGAAAAGTTCTCGTTGTCCCATGAGCGGAACAACCAGCAGGTCCGCTCAACACAGTTGAGCAGGACCATTGAGACAAGGAAAGTCTCGAACCAACCAGTCTTCTGGCGCTGGAGCAAACGGCGCTCGAGGTCATTGATCACGGACTTGCTCAATTGCATAGCTCGCTTCTCCATCGCAGCACGAAGCTGGCTGCACAGCAGAGCATAGGATTCAGGGTCAGAGTGTTCCTCGATGGGCAGACGGCCTTCGTCCTGAGGCTGGGAGAGGGAGTGCATGGAAGTAGGAGGAAGGGTGGGGTTGCAGTAAGTCTTCCAGGTAAGCTCGGTGTCAACCAGGATGTGAGTGGCAACCCAAAGATCAACGGCACGTTCAAGCAGCGTGTCCTTTTTCGACTGGGCAAGCTCAGCAGCAAGCATCAGAGTAGATTTAACGAAAGGAGAGGTCTCGCGCTCAAAGAAGAATGGAGCAGTCTTCTTAATGTACATCTCCAGCTTACTTGGGATATCATCGGCATCGCTGTCCAGCAGATAGATCTCCTGGGGAGGTCCAGAAAACTGATCCTCACCCAAACCTTGAAGCTGCGGATCTAGGGTCGAGACAGTTGAGCGATGGCCCTGGAGACCACTGATCGTGACGAAAACTTGGCTGTCCTCTCCGTGCGTCACCTCAATACGGCCAGCGTAGTGCTCGAATTTGACTTGACTCTTGATGGCACTGGTATCGTGATAGGCGAGAGTCGCATGGAGGTCTATCATGTGTCAGTTACCAGGTCCAATTTCAAAGAGAATAACAAGCAACACGTACTGGCATTGTACAGCTCGAACTCCTCGGACAGACGAGTACGAATGCAGGGATGCTTCCAGAGACGAGCACTCTCGACACTGGCACAGGTGGTACAGGGGTTATCGCCAGAGCACTGAATTTTGTTAGCTTACAATGCAAGAAAATCTTAGAAGGGTTGAAACATACAGGCTTTTTCAGCATACGGCAACGAATGCATGCACCGCGCTTGCGCACTTCTTGGACCTCGCGACGACGTTCAGCAGAGAAACGACCCCGCACCTTGGGCTTGGTGGGCTTGGTCGAGTTGCCAAACTCGTTCACAAATCCCTTGGCCTGAGTATTGGGGTTCATGGCAATTGGGCGGGGGAAGGACGCGGCACGCTGTGTGGGTGTCGCTGCAGTCAATGAAGGGTCATGCTCCTGCAGGCTCTCAAAAAGAATCTGTTCCTGGTGTGTGAGTGGTTGGTTCCACTGATTCATTTTCATTTCACCACTGTCATCCATGGAGAGTCCCTGCGGAACCATCTCATTGGCAGATGCTGCAATCATTGACAACTGGGACTGGCGCGCATTGGAGGCCGAATCTGGAGTCATCGAGTGGTCACCAAGCGGAGGAGACATGGAGTTGTGGTCACCAGAGGTATGGCTTGGGAGAGCTGGGATGGCCGGATGGTTAGATTGGGGAGTTCCTGTGCATTGATTGTTAGCATCCAGCACCCAGCACTTGCCCCGAGTGTGCGTGAGAGTCACATACCATGGGCATTGTTACCATCCTCTTGCTTCTCGTCACCGTGCTGAGAGCCCGAGCCCTGGAAGTCAGCCTCCAGCGCCGGATCAACAACCACGGTCTTTCCACCAACAGTCACAGACTGGGTGTACTGCGCGCCTCGCTTGGCTGGCTCCGAGGCGCCAACCTGACGAGAAGCTTCCGCCAGGACGTTCAATCCGTCGAAATTGGGGCGGTTGCCAAAGTTTCCGTCTTTACCCTTCCCAGTCGAACTGGGATCCTTATTCGCGTCGCCCTCGGTCAGGTCTGGGAGTTCGTGGAGGCGGAGGAGCACACGCTGGCGGTCGCGAAGAGGTATGGCCTGGCACTTCTTGACCAGGTGATTGGTTAGGCTATCGATACGACCCTTGGGGAACTTCTCACCGCAGGCCTTGCAGGTGTGCTGGTAGCGGTTGCTGGAATCCTCGAGCTTGGGGCCTCGGATGAAGAACTCGAGGATAAGCTGGTTGGGCTTGCGACCCATTTTGCGTGTGATCAGAGCTGAAGAGGTGTAAGGGAACCACACGTTTCACACGGATTTGAGACCAAAGAGATCAATTGCCGCTGGCAAAGCTCTATTTGTGTTCGTCTGAAGGAAAGGCTGAAGACGCGACGAATCCAAACAAGAGACCGCGCGATTCCGGATCTGGCGGGGTCCAGGGAGAAGACAGGAAGGAGAGCTCAAGGAAAGGGGCACCAGGCCGAATAGGCAAAGCCCAGAGTCAGGACTGTCAGTCGAGCTGGTATAAGATAAATCGAGGGAACGGCAAAACTGGGGGGGCAAATAGAGGCGGTCAAGTTGGGGTGGGAAAAAGATACGCGATGAAGGCTTCACCGCACGAAAGGCGGTGATCGCTGGGAAAGGCGGTGATGAGAAGGCGGTGATGACCGTAGATGAAAGCGGTGATAAAAACGGCCCTAGAAGGATGGGACTAGTTTCTTGATGATGTTGACAAAAGTTCTGGGTCGATAGATGATGGATGAAGTAAGTGAAAAGCTGAGGTCATCTCCTGGGGAAAATCTCTGCCGGGAGGCTGCAAACTATGCAGCTTTTCATTTGACTTTCTTCCACCTTTCGTCATCGTGTATATCTGCATACTCTTTTGATCTTTTTGTCATCTAGTTATATCATTTGAATACTTTATTTATAGATCGAGATATATGATATTAGCAAGTGCGATGCTCTGGAGGTCGCCAGGGCACTCCCAGTGCCGCAAAGATCCGGCGCTCATCGCGTGCCTCCAATAGTCGTCCCGGGTTAATCTTCACACCGGCGCTGCGAAGCACATCTGTGTACAGCCCTCGTTGATTCAACGCCATGCCCTTCTTCCGAGCTAGTAGTCTCATGCTGCGGTTAAAAATATCATTTCCGGTGAAGTACAGCATTGCAGCCCCGACTTCGGCCCCAGGCACAAAAAGCAAATCGATGCGCCGCCACACATTCCCCGGCAAAGCGGACGCGCCGTGCCATTTAGACGCGTTGTGACTGTGCCGCGAGGTAGCAAGTTCAACTCGCAGGAATCCTTCGTCAAATAATTTTGGCACCACGATGTTCAAAATCAGTGATTGTATTTCATCCAGCGATGCGTCCGACTTCGTGATTAGGAGATCGATGTCTCCCGAATCCAGTGCCCCGCGGCGGTAAGAGCCAGTGATAATGACCTGCATGTCCTTGTCCACCGCTTGTACTGCCCGGCGGACGATCGCTCCATGTTCTTCGACCTCCTTGCGTGGTACCCGCTGAGCAAAATCGTGGTAACGCTCCACTCCGATGCGCTGGTTTTTGGAGAGCGGTGCTCGATTCCGGAGATCATCAAGAGATGTATAGCCTTGTGCAACCCATTTAGAAGCTTGCATAATGCCGGCACCGTACACACCAAGAAAGATCTGGATGATTTTATCCTCGGGAGACTCGTTGGTGCGATCAAGACGACGGAGGTGGTCGGTGAGGACAATCTCCTCGATTTTGTCTGCCAGTCGTTCTCCGATGCCGGGGATTGCCAGAGCTTGAGCTCGTGTTGTGACCTTTTGAGGCTGTCGGCGTAATGCAGCGATGACTCTACGATAGGCCATGGTACGCCATTGATCGGCGGTGCGGGTATAGTAATCCAACATTTGCTGCAGGATCTCGATGGTTCTGCTGTTGGGATTATGACGTTGTGCGTTTGAGTCAAACTTTTGCATACAAGCGAAGCCCTGCATCCATGACTGCCCCGTCTTGTTCTCCCCAAACGGCTCTCTCGTTTTCTTTGCGAGGGCGTCCTCCGGCTCCGAGAAATCACCGTCGATTTCTTCGGCAGGCGATTCCTCGTCGGCTGAATCGAGTGCATCGAGGGGCTGTTAGTAGTGAGTAAGTGTGCGGAAGCAGAGATTGATTAGCAATATCTCACCAAATGACTGGCTGCTCGTGCCTCATCAATAACATTATCTAGGGAGTCCCTTTCACATGTATTTACGTTATACACTGTCTCCGGTGCCGGCTGGCTGGGTGCTGGCTTGAGAGCAAGCGGCTCAATCGATGCTGTCTCATTGTTTGACTGGGATGTTTCCGGGGACTTCTGCTGTGCTCTTCTCGATGGCTTCAGTGGCAAGGAGTCTGCGGGTACCGGCTCGGCGGCCACAATGGGCGCTGGCTTATCCGAATCCACCGGCATGCCATTGACACGAAACCGCACTTGCAGGGTGCTCAAGACTGTTCTGAATCTGATGCAGTCGGATGGGTAGGATTCACTTACAACGGCAATGTGAGCCTGTTACATTCTTAGCGCCATTCAAGGGTCTTCGGGCAGAGTGAACTGACAGGTAAATCCTCGACTCTTAGATGGGAAAGGAGGTCCTGGTATAGAAGGCCCTTGTCGACGATTATATGTGTGATAATCTCCGTTCATTCTCGGGCCCATTGAGCACCATACTCCCGGGCCCGTTGGATGCGCAGTCGTCGAGACGGAGCGATATCATCGTTCGGTAGAAAGTCTAGTCCGACTCTTAGACGAATCTTAAAAAAACTTTAAGAGCTTCGAGAACTTACAGAATGAAAGCCCTTTGAAGATCTGCTGATTCTCGGGAAGAAGCTTGAGGTTATCGGTCTTCCTCTTCTTCGCAGGACGAGCTTCGGTCCTTGCCAACGGCATCGTTACGGTGGTCTGGGCACGTCGGACAATTCTCGCTCTCGGTTCAGTTATCTTGAATGTCCTTCTAGGATTATCGATGGGAGGAAATTGCCGTTGTCCGACAGCAGATAAGGCCTGAGGTTCAGTGTTGGAACGTTGAAGAGACTTGGGTCGATGACTGGCTGAGACAGGAGCAACAGATGGACTTGAAGTCCGCTTATATCGTGAACTGAAGAGAAGTTTCCCTAGAGAATCATCATCTTCGTCCTCGGAGCCATCGAGTCTTTGAAGGGCATCAAAGAAGCCCTTCTTACTGAGCGTGTCCATGGTAGACTAGTCTGGGTTCTTATGGGGTAAAAAACGTCGGGGCCACCGGGAATTCATCGCCGCTGCCTGATATAGGTAATTAGGTGAAACTAGGCAGCTCCGACACTGCAGTTGTCAAATAGACTGAAGCCCGGTTGGAGCACCCATGGACGCGGCATTGCGCGAAAATGCCGCCAGGTCACGGGATTTTCTTCCATTTAACCGGATTTGTCGAGACTCCAGTTATATCTCAATACAAGTTCGAAGACATAGGTAGATGAACTGAGAAGAAGCCGGTAAAAGACTATTGCTAACAAAATAATACCAAGATCGGGGTTCACTGCATATCATTGTCTACGGAAGATATACAAGGTGCGTGAGGGAGCGTCTATCGATGTCTTGAAGCACCATTCCCATCGAGTAGCAAACAAAATTTATACCGCGTATATCAAAATTATGATAGTATTCGAAAAACATACATGCAATTCTAGTTCAGTTAAGCCCCGAGTATAGATCTGAAACAGATTCGCAAAAGCAAAAAAATCATGTGACTGGACCATTCCTAGATGGGAAAATTGGGACCATGAGATGACCTCGGAACCCGACATAGTCTTCGATCTGTCCGTCTTTCCAAAGACTACGAGACTCCAAATCAACATGTGGAGGTCATCAGCATCTGCAAAAGTAGCAGAGCTCCCGCTATTCCGGAGTGGACGCTGCCTGAGCTGCCAATTCCGGAACACGTCAGCTCTCTCACACCTCCGCACGAACTCCGCATCGATTCGTCAGTACGCCACCGACAATAACGCGAGCAAATCTGGTAGCTCCGTAAAAGGCGGAGCACCGACTATCACCAAACGCCCTGCTCGCCCACCACAACCGCTCCGTCGCGGCAGCCTCGGATTCCAACAGAATCCCAATGCCAACCCAGCCGCGCAGCCAGGCGACGCGGAATTTACACCTCCACAACTAGACCGACCTATTGGCTGTGCAGCACCCCCAGAGGAAGGTGAAAATACTGGACGTGATGCCCGATCGCTGAAACAGCGACGAGACGACTTTGTGGACTATGACAAGCACATCGCGCGGCGAAAGGAATTGTAGGTCGAAGTGGTACCATCAGCAAATAGTGAAACATTTACTAATATATGCAACCCGCCAACAGAACGAGACAAGTCGCGAAACCCTATTTCCGAGAATGGTCGAATCTGCGCTTCCAAGAGGGCAAAACATTCGTGTCGAATCCCCGGCTGTTCAAAGCTGAGCACGCTCTATACTTCCCCAACCTGCACGGTTTAACACTCGCCTCGCCCAAAGACGCGCAAGATACAACGGCCATTCTGCGCGGCCAGATTAGTGTTGTGACTATGTTCTCCAGCGTATGGGCTGAGACTCAAGTAGGGTCGTTCACTGGACCAAAGCAGAACCCGGGCCTGGCGGAACTGCTTGCGAGCAACAGCCAGCATGTTCAGAAGGTGGATATCAATGTTGAAGAGAACCTCATGAAGGCATGGCTGGTTAAGCGTTTTATGTGGAGCATACGCAAGAAGCTGCCACTGGAGCAGCATGCGCGATACTTCTTGATTGAGAAAGGATTCAGCGAGACGCTGAAGGAGGCTATTGGCATGATGAACTCCAAGGTTGGCTATGTCTACCTCGTTGACTCGCATTGTCGGATTCGGTGGGCTGGAAGTGGACCCGCGGAGGCTGCGGAGTTGGTGACCCTGAATAACGGGGTGGCTAAGCTTCTTGCTGAGAAAAAGGCCGGTACAGACTCGGCCTAAAGGTTCGAAGACCCGATGTCTTTGACGAGACATTCCCCCTCCATTGAATTTGTACATATAATAGAGAATGTGTATAATAGAAAGAAAGCAACGCCAACAAGCCAGGTGCAGTATTATCATAATTCCTGACAAACATCAAACGCCCAACCCCATGCGCCGAAACCCAAACAAGTCGCTGGACAATTGCAACGAACGGGAGAAGAAGCAATGCACAAGGCGAGTCCAGCCCTCCTAGTGGAAGTAAAGCAACATTAAGAAACAGAAACCAATGAAACACCCCAAGATAATCGCATCCCTCCGCTTCTTGGTCCCGATCTTGCCGATGAGATAGTTCATGCCGGGCACCTGGCTGGCTGCGCCGACGATGCGACGATTGATGCTAGCCAGGTTTTCGCGCTGGATCCCAAAATTCTCGTTGATTGCGTAGGCCTGGCTGAGCACGCCGTCCATCATGTTATGGCTATTGTCGACCCGCCCGCGCTCCTCGAGCATGTAGTCTGCTTCGGCGGCACTGGGGTTCGAATTGCGGTAGGCGTCGATGTCGGAGCGGACGTTGGAGAGTAGATTTGCGCGGTCGCGCGTCTCCGCCATTGCGGAGGTTAGGCGCTGCAGCTCGCGGCGATGGTCTTGAAGGACTTCACGGTGTCTGGAAAGGTTGTTCTGCTTTAAGGCGGAGGAGGTGAGGGTAGCTTCAGAGTCAAGAAGGCGGGAGAGTTGTGCGATGAGCGATTCGCGCTGTTCAGAGAGGTAAGCTCATTTCCTGAATGTCCTGTGTCGGGTAGACGTACCTTTTCGAGAAGGTCTTTCAACTGCGACTCAGTTCGCACTTCCTCTTCTGTAGGTGTTTGTGGAAGCTTTGTGAGAGAAGCAAATTGTGCGTATGTGTGGAAGAGGTTCTCTGTCTGTTCGGCTTCGTTTTAGTCTTGCCATACGGGGTTATGGAGAGTCGGCCAGATAATCGTACCTGAGTCTCGAGCGAGCGGGCTTGTTGCCGCAGCTGGGCCCATCCGGAGCCGGTGGAGGTCATGACGATGTATAGAAAGTAATAAGCAGGTAGAAAATCAGATTGCTCGGCTTCTCAGCTCACCCCGGACATACCAAAGATACCAAGCCAGGCCAGGGACCCGGCGACGTAAGTGCACCATGGGCTAAACCCGATTCAGATGACACTTAGTGCCTTAGTGCCTTATAGCCTGATAAACGTTCATGCCTGAAATTGATGGCGTCAGTTAATTTTCGAATTTTCATCACGTGCCCGCTTAGTGCGACCAACTCGCTTAGCCCTAGTCCCACAACCACAATTTGACCCGACTAGGACGTCTTCATTCTCAACGCCGACAACCCAGCATACACAACCCGCCAAGATGGTATGTTTGCGCTCGCTGCATATCAGAAATGCATGCACTGACTGTTCCTAGTCGTCCAAGGTCAAGGCTGCTCAGCTCTGGGGCAAGAACAAGGAGGACCTCTCCAAGCAGCTCGAGGAGTTGAAGACCGAGCTCAACCAGCTCCGCGTCCAGAAGATCTCCAGCGGTGCTTCGTCCAAGACCAACCGAATGTGCGTATTCGATCGCGACACCTGAATCACAATGCGAGGAGGAACGACGAGGGTTTTTGTGCAATCGGCCGCGACCAGAAAAAAAAAAAACACGACCACACAAAGAGGAGGCAAATACGGGATCAAAGAAGCAAGAAGGCGACAGACTACGCCAAACGACACAAAACCCTCGACGGCACCGATTCGCAAGATGATCTCTATCGATGGTCGAAATTTTCGGAAGACTGACCTGGAATTTTCTCATATAGTGGCGATGTTCGCAAGTCGATTGCTCGCGTGATGACCGTCATCAACGCCAACCAGCGCGCCCAGCTCCGTCTCTTCTACAAGGGCAAGAAGTACACTCCCTCGATCTCCGCCCCAAGCTCACTCGTGAGATCCGCCGCCGTCTCACCAAGTACGAGGCTACCCGTACCACCGACAAGCAGCGCAAGCGCCAGATCCACTTCCCCCAGCGGAAGTTCGCCGTTAAGGTACGATGATTCGCCATGGGTGGTGTATTCTGCGTCATTCCTGGACTATTTCCGTCCTTTGCGCCCACGCATGACACACCACACCACTACCCTAGAGCATGGATAAGGCTGACTGATTGATTTAGGCTTAAATGCAAAACTGTTCGGATCTGGAGTTTTGTGGGAAGACGTTACTTGCCCTTGGACACATTAAGCAGGACGTGATGGTGTAGACCTGATACCTTGCGGCGGGGTCGATTTTCTCTTTTTTTTACATCCAAAAAAATGGAACTTGATTATGTATCTTAGAAAGATGCAAATCGACTCTTGACATGACATGACATTCAACGTCTTTCACTTTCAACTTTACTAAGGTGTATACACAATGGTGTTTCTTCATTTGAGGGCTCTCCTCTGCGTATGCCGTATTCCTATTTTCTAGTTCATACACCTGTGTACTTGGAATCTCAGATCTTTCCAGTCCGTAGTGAACATTGTTTCTTTTATCAGACGTGCCGGTGTATCTCACACACGCTCCACATATCCCCCGCATCATCTTGATCTAGTCTCTAGGTCTCAGTGGGGGGAGAAATTTTGCATTCATCATTATACAACGGAAATGCTCCAATGCACTCTATATAACCAAAAGCTGGAGCCCATTGGAATTAGCCTCGGAAGCAATCTGATCCTGCAACCCAAAAATCCTAATGAGACTGCCCTACACCAACCCCATTAGAATCCGCACCCTCCGTCTCAAGCATCCAGACTCCTCCACAAGGACAACAGCGCAAGAGATTCAACTTCGCAACCATCTTAAAATAAGGCAATGACCTCGGCAGCACCGTATCGCCCGAAACCTCACAACACCTAACACACCTCCTCCTCTTCTGCGGCTGCACGACTCTCCCGTTCCTTCCAATAGTCAACGGCGGCCTGAGAGGGAACTTCTTCAAAATATCCACATCGCGATGTTTCCGATACGACGCCGTACGCGCATCACTTCCAAATCCAAGCCAAGCATAATCGCCCAAAATGACATCTTTGCGATTAATCTCGGCCTTCATAGCCGGCACCGTCTGCCTCAGCAGTGTAACCACCGCAGTGACTAAGACGGGAGGAATGCGCGCGTTGATGAGGAGTTCTTTTTCAGGGCCCGGCCGTTCTGCTTCGCCGAAGCCGGCGCCTTGGTAGGCGTGTTTCACTGCGGAGTCGACGCCGGAGAGGAATTTCTCGTATACGTCTATGCGTACCGGAGAGGACTGGAGGAGTTGGAGGATTTCGGTGTAATAGACTCGAGAGTCGGGATTTAGGATTATGGGGTTGATTTTGGCGAAGCCGGCTGCGACGCCGCGAAGGCCGCGGCAGATGAACTTTAAGAAAGCACGGGCCATGCTGGAGAGGAGAATGATGAGGGCGAGAGAGTTGGTAGATTTTACTGCAGGGGTAAGTTAGCGAAGAGTGAGGGAGGTTGGATGGCTGGATGCTTACGTTTCTGGGTGAATGCCTCTTGATCGGTGAAGACACTTTCGAGTTCATCGGCAAGGTCAAAGATTTCGCTGAGGATGAAGTGGTCGAAATCGAGAGCCCATTTTGTATTTCCGAGGATCATGCGCAGAATTTCTGGTGCGTATTAGCAACATACTCTAGGGAACTGGGTGTATCAACTTACCGGGATCAAGTACCTCGCTTTGCCCTTCCTTGTTGTGCTGGAAGAAGTATGCATATAGAACAGAGGCATGACGAAGCTGCAGAATCGCCCAAGGCACTGCTGAAGCAATATTACGCTGCTTGAGCCTCCCTTGGAAGCTCAGTGCAGCTTGTAAACTCAAGCACCGCGGAATATATGGATGTGTCATGAGCTTTTCCTGTTCAGTAGTAAAGTTACAGTTGACAGGCAGTGCACGGAAAATCTCGTTGATTAATGTGGCTTGAGCGTCCGACGACAACTGCCGTAGAGCAACCATGAGAACATCGTCGGTGTTGACATCCCCTCCGCAAGCGCGACTGAATGCGAGAGTCAATGCAGCGATAGCCGAGGAGAACTTCGTCTCGTCGTAGAGACTGCCTGCCGATCCAAACGAATGCTCCATTAATCGTAGATGTGTTTGACCCTCGCTGTCCAAAGACACAGCAGCACATGAGTTGGGAGAAAAGCTGATCGAGAGACCCGGTGTGTCCATTGGGTATTGGAAGCCCGCTTGGGCCAAACATGTCACCGTGCTTGTGTCGTCCAGACCATTGAAGACGGCCATGGTCCTTGTGTCGTAGAATGTGATGGAGCTGTCATCGTGGGTGATGGCCAAGGCAGTCCCATGTTCGACCAAGTCCACCGAGACGATGTACTTGTCGCAATGGATATCTTCAAGTCGACGCAATTCCACTTTGGACTAGCTTTTGATTCAGTAATTTTTCGCAATTAGGAGATATGTTTACGACTATACCTTTGCTTGGGGGCTGTTCTTCTTCGAGTTGACCTCATTAAATTTGGGGTGGAATGCTTGTGGTGCAGACTCTAAGTGCCACCTTGCGATGACACTCGGCGGTCCCTGCTGGGCTGGATATTCGGCAGTGGCATGAAGAGGTTTCGAAAAGACGGCAAGAATCCATGGACTCGCGGTTGATCCCGCTGGGCTATCAACTTGACCCGGCATGATATCGAGTCGGGTCAATGAGTAGACAGAATTGGGGAATGGCGTTGACTGGTCCGAATGTTGTTCAGCACTGTGGTTGACATTGAAGATGGTGCTCGGCATATCGATCTTGCAATGATTCAGACGGAAGGTAGGGATAGGGAATTGATTTGGGTGTTTGGCCTGACTTGGGTCCCATTGCGGTGGGTTCCAGGTAATGTGCACCCGGTATAGACAGATCTTCTGGCACACGGAGTAAGTGGTAATCAAGATTCCAGCTGAATCGAAATATTAGCAATCACCAATGATTACTCCGAGATGATGTGGGGTACCTTGAGTTGCAACCAAAGCTGCGTGTGTTAAAAGCCTGTCTGAATAGCCAGTATTCTTGAGCTCATTAGGCAGTTCAGCCCACTTGCTATCCGGGTTTTGGTACATGAGTTTGATCTGGCCCGCTCGGGTGACACAGACCAGTGCGCCTTTATTGGCAGGGTGAAAAGGACCGACTGGGCGTCGTCGGAAGGGGGAATATGCCCATCGCCCGTTCACCTTGGCTGCTTGGTGAAATGCGTGGACCTAGGAACATGGGTTAGATCTTGGGTCACAAACTTGGCTGGACGGACTGCTTACGGAGCGAGAAGTGTTGAGCCACATCATACCGACAACCTGGTTGCTATCATCACTCGAGTCAAAGGCTGCCTGGCGCAGCCCCGTGATGCTATTGAGGGCCATGGATATCGAGTAGATAGAAATTCGGCCCAAGCAATCTACCACGGCCAACTCCGACCCGGTCTCATTCCAGGACAAATGAACCAACTGGCTGCCACTATGAGCTTCGGTGACTGCAGCGAGCGAGAACTCCTCGCTCAAAACCCACTTCCCATCTGCGGGACGGCATTGGAGATGGCGGACATTGACCCGGGCTCCATCCGGGGAGACGTAGGCAATACATCCCATGCGGGACCAGGTGATCTTCCTAGGCATATTTTTAGTATCTTCTTGTTCAAATTTGTAGATATGATCGCTTACTGGCGACAGCCTGACAAGCGCAACTCATCCAGACACTGGGCCAGTCCCTTGGTGGACGAGGGAGCAGTCTGGAGACCCAGCTCCAAGGAATTGGACTCCCCAAAGAGGTCGTCGACATTAATGCCTTCCTCCATCATCAGTGGCATTCTGCGAAATACTCTATTTCTCACAGTTCAAGGGCCAATGGAGTCAGCCCCGCACGACATGAATGCTCAATGCCGATCTCGCCCTCGGGACCATAGGCGATGTTGATTTGGTTGGGGAAGGCCGATGTCCGCTAGAGATGTACTTGGGCGCCAGAAGGGACAATGACAGTTCAATGGCGGGCAGCAATCGCCAATGATGTATGTATAGTGACCTTTCAATGCCTCAGATATCGTCTATAGGCCCAATGCATTTCACCAGCACTGAGTGAAGGCGCCTGACTCGGCGCCCTGTGCAGCTGAGTCAGCAGCCACCGTCACATGACGGCTGCCCTGCCAACCGTCACTCAACCAATCACGAGGCGTGAACCGCCCCGCAACTAACCATGCCAATCAAAGCGTGCCGTGCAAAGTGCAATTCCAACACGGCGCAAAATGAACAGTGTGGAAGTCGAAAACACGACATTCAATGGTTGAAGGAACAGTCGAAATATTGGGTTCTAGCTATAAAAGTCCATTCTCTCTCGAAAATGGCATGCATCATCCTTCAATCGAATCCTTTCAGGCCTTAGACAGTAATCCCCTAATCCTTCCATGAGTCCAGTCCTCATATTGAGGTTACTTTCGCATCAAAACAAGCGCATCATCGAGTCGTCGCCCACACAAGCCCCGGGCCAACATACCGGGACTTTTCATCCACTATCTTCTTTCTTCGCAACCACATTCCAGACACAAGCAACCCAACCCTTATCATCCGTACCCCTCCGGAGGTCAAAACAAAGTCGTTCGACGGCCCGTTTCAGTTTCAATTTTCTCATTTCATGATCGATCCCCGGCTGACCTCATCGGTTGCAACTCCTCCCTTTTCCAACTTTGCACTCCTTTCTGGGAACCCCCTCCCTTCCACTGGATGTTGGACTCCTGTTAAGCTCCATTGATCCAATTTAACGTTCCGGAGTCCTAAATGGTTATATTCTCTGCCATTTCTCCCGTTCTCGAGCTTTCCTGAGCAGAGTCAATCCACATCTGCCTCGAACGGTGCCGACTCATCCCTGGGGCACGATTTTACTCCTCTCGACCAGAACGCCCGCTCTACGAGCACCTCTGCCGTGATGGATTACGATTTGTCCGATATGTCAGACCTGAGCTCCGTGCCCTCCTCGCCCAGGTCCTCCCCGGAGCCAGCCAAGCGATACTTGACGCCCTCTTCACAGTCCTCACAGGAGGGTGAGGATTCTACGCGCCAAGACTGCCCTCCGCGCAAAAAGCGGAGACGCAACCCCCTACCTAAAGAACGCACCACACAATATCTATCATTAGCCAAATCATCCTTCGAGCAACAGGACCAGGTGAGATTGCTTGTCGAAACCCTTCGCCACCAAAAAGACATCGTGGTCATTGCGGGCGCGGGCATCTCCACCTCCGCGGGTAGTAAGTGTTCATGTTCCCGCGTTTCACATGGCGCCGGCGCCCGAGCTCACACCACATATAGTTCCTGATTTTCGCTCCACTGATGGTCTCTTCAAGTCCTTGCAAAAGAAACATAATCTGAAGGCTTCTGGCAAGCTTCTATTCGATGCTGCCGTCTATCAAGATGACGCCCTCACGGCTCCCTTCCATGAGATGGTGCGGTCGCTGTCCATCGAAGCTGGAAAGACCAAGCCCACCAAATTCCACGATATGCTTGCCCGTCTCGGCAAGGAGAACCGTCTCAAGCGACTGTATACCCAGAATATCGATGGCCTCGAAACGTCCATGAAGCCGTTGGAAACAGAGATCCCGCTCAACGTGAAGGGCCGCTGGCCGGTCACCATTCAATTACATGGGAGCATCACCAAGATGGTCTGTCAGAAGTGTCGCTACCTAAGCGATTTTGTACCCAGCCGGTTCTGCGACGCTGATCCTCCGGAGTGTGATGAGTGCGCGATTAAGAACGAAGTGCGCACCACGACTGGCCAGCGGAGTCATGGGATCGGTCGCATGCGCCCGCGCATTGTCCTCTACAACGAACACAACCCCGATGAGGAGGCCATTACTTCAGTGATGAATGCAGATATCAAGTCTCGACCCCGTGTGCTCATCGTCGCCGGTACCAGCTTGAAAATTCCTGGAGTTCGCCGTCTCGTGAAGACCATCTGTCCAATCATCCGCAGCCGCAAGGACGGAGTCACCATGTTCATCAACAACGAGCCTCCCGCTGGCAAAGAGTTTGAGAATTGCTTCGACCTGATTGTGCAAGGATCCACCGACGACGTTGCTGATCTGGTAAAATTGAAGCACTGGGAAGATTCCACTCCTTACGAGATGTTGCCAGAGCCCGTCTTCGGGTCCAAGCACAGCTCAGACGAGGAATCCGAGGCTGAGCATGAGCAGAGCACAGTCGCCGTAGTCATCAACTCGACACCGAAGAAGCGCCTTCACAGCGAGACAGGCCTGTTCACTCCTTCCTCCAGTCATGATGAGAAACCACCAGCCAAGAAGCTTGCCAATCCCGCCAGCCGCGGTCGCAACCTGAACGACGTTCTCAAAGCCAGCAAGACAACCGCACCAGCCAAGCCTGCTCGCAAGAGGGCCACCGCTACCGGAACCAAGAAGGCCAAGGTCGAACCAGCCAAGACAGCAAGAATTACAACCTTCAGCCGCGTCACCAAGGCTTCCAAGCCTGCAGCCACAACGGAAAAACAGGCCGCCATCAACGGCAAATCTATGCGCCCCCTCCAAGCCGGCACAGCTCGCGCCAACGGCCTCCTTTTCCCAAACCTCAAGAAACCCGGCGTCGACGCACTCGAGAAAATCGACAAGACCTTGCCCGAGATAGTCACCCCTTCTTCCTGAGTCTGATACTTTCTTTCTGTGACGATACATTCTCCTTCTCGGCACCATTGCATGATGCATACTGCAAATCGGCGCGAGCTTTGTTCCCTTTTGCGTTCTTTTCACCATTTTGTTATCCTACTTCCATGGATCCCCCTTTTTAGCCACCCTTCCATGTTCTGGGAAGAGGTTGGCGCTTTCATCCGTCCTTCGCGAGATACCAACGATAGACCACGGTGGCGTTGCATGGGGTGGTGTTGGCGTTTACAGGCCTGAGTGGCCGGTGTTCTGGAGATCATTTGCTTTACTTTGTCGCATACATGTGCGTCTAGTGTTTGAAAGTCTTGTGAGGGATACCTCATGGGGACTTTGCCTCTGTCTGAATACATGGCTTGGAGACTTGCTCTATTCCTTGTGTTTCTTCTTTTTCCGTAGAGTAAACTTGCAGCATACTGATAGATTCTCTGGCAGTGACTAAAACCCAGTGGTTGTAGAGGGTGTGCACTTGCGAATATGGAAGGGGATATGGGACATCACTAGACAGGCACAATATATCCACCGTGTGTCCAACTTTCGAGTCTATTATATACATACGTGCCTTGAGACTCATGTCGACATATTGGATGAACAAGATTAGGAATGTCAGAATGAAGGTAGATACATATCTGCATCCCCAGGACTAGGATATGAATTCAAAGTCAATGTCCACTTGTCTGAGGCCATGACCCTTCATCACACAAGTGTCTTTCAAGAGCTTCATTTCCGACAGTGGACACACTCTTCCACACTTGGGTCTGGCAATGGTTTCGTTCATCTCGGCAGTCAATTATAAAGCTTATCATGGCCGCCCACTTCTCTTCAGTCTACATATTTACAATAACTATGAATCCGAATACTCCAGGGCTCCAGAGAAAAGCCGTATGCTTGGACTCAAAAAAGAATCCATTCAAAATTAAGAATATAGTACAATAAGCGACCGAGCCCCAACTCCAAATCAGCATCCGGGGCATCATTCAAGACCCAGAAGTAACCATCTAGAACCTTCAAGTGTCTTAACCCAATCCAAGATCATTGTGCAACTGACTACCAGGACCATCATCGTCGTCCGTCTCATCAGCATCCGGATCCATAGGCCTAGACCCTCCATCCAAGTCCTCAACCCGATCAATATCCTCCTCAACTCTCTTTTCCTCCTCTTCCTCCTCATCTTCGTCATCGTCCTCCTCACCCTCTTCCTCCTCCACCTCCTCCTCCTGCGTCTCATCTCCATCTCTATCTCCATCGTCTACCCCAATAACAACCTCAACATTATCATCCCGCTTCGCCTTCTTCGCGGGGTTCTCCGTCATCTCAGCATCTTCATCATTACCCTTCGCGGCACCGACAGCGGTGTCGCCATTGACGTCGGACTTCTTGGCCCTGCGCTTGCCAGCTTTGTTCTCAGTAAAGGCTTCGAGTTCTTGTTCGAGGCGAGCGCGGAAGGAATCAAATTCGAGTTCTGTGAGCGCGCTGAAGACGTCTGTTGGGGCGACGGTGCGTTTTAGAGTCGCGTCGTTGGCGCTAGGTTGTATTAGTCTCGTATCCTCATCCTCGTGGATTCCAAAAGACGGGGAAAATTGTCCAAGGTAACATACTGCGATGAGAGGTAAGAGATGAAAACGGTGGCTGCTTTCTGGATAGCGAGCACGGCGTCCTTTTGGATAGTCGTGTTGGGCGGGAGCACTGCTTTAGCGAGGCGGATTGTTAGGGAACGAGGGAGAAGGTAGTCCTAATGACTAGCATTAGCATTATTATATTTATTTCAATTCTCACTCTCAGTTTAACTCAGGGTTGAATCTGTAGAGGGATCAAAGAGGTCATCACTTACATCGACGCTTACGCCGGCCTCTGCTCGTGCCTTGATCTGTTGCTCTGTCGCTGTGATGGGCTTCTCGGTCGTCTGCTGTGGTGACATTTGTAGGGAGTCGCCTTCGTCAGCAGGGGTCATTGACGACGTGGACTTGCGCGGAGGCATCGTGGGCGTGATCGTGTTCGTTGCCGTGCGAGGGATTCTTCGGTCGACGATGGAGACCGCTATGCGGTTAGGCTATGGATAGATGTTCTCGATCCAGGGAAACCCCGGATTAGGCCCTAATACAGATGCAAAGTCGAGAGACAATGGAAAGTAGGTGGGTGGCGGGAGTTGGAGAACGCGAAATCCGCGTCGCGGGTTGGGATGCACGCGGTGTGGGGACTTGGCTTTGCTCCTTAGACTTGCACTACTTGCGTTGATTTCGTTGATTTAATTCCACAATTTTCTTGATATGGATATACTTGAAATTCTTGACTCATTGAATTCGCTGTCTTTGGAGTATTGACAAATGCAGGGAAATTAAAAGATCCGACATATAACGCCCACTTTTTGGTATCAACGACAACTGATGCCTTCGTAACAGGTCTAGAGATAGCTTTACTCAGCCATAACCTCATCGTCACCCTCGCCGTTGCCCCAAAGGCCCTCAATCTTGAATTCTTTGGCCCATTCCGTGACAACTTGGGTGGTGTCGGCGCCGGTGCCAGCAGCGGCGGTGGAGGTCGCTGCATCGCCTGTGTTGACAGCCAGGACGGGGGCGTTAGCCCAGCCCTGGATACGGCCATCTCTCCAGTCGTTGATGACCGTCATGGCGGCGCTCTCAACGTTGGGGACACCGCCCTTTCCGAGGCGACCGCACTTGCGGGCAACCTGGATGAGGAAGTCGGTGGTCTTGTCACCATTGTTGCCAGGGAAGAGGGTGGTGATCCCGTAGAGCTGGAGCATCTTGGTAAGCAGGCTTTCCGAGGCGGAAAGACGCTTGACCAGAAGGTTGACTGCAGGAATGGGGTCCTCGATCTGCTTTGGGGGGATGGCATTGAGCAGGACAAGGCGGGCCTGCTCGTTCTCCTTGGACTTCTTGCCCGTCTTGCCATTGGCGGAGGGGAAGACAATACCGGGGGAGTCGATCAGTTTGAGCTTGTTGTCGAGCTTGACCTCGCGCATGTTGGTGGTCACACCGGCCTCGGCGCCTGTGGGACAGGCATTGCTGGAGCCCTTGTTGAGACGTGCGGTCAAGGCATTGATCACAGAGGACTTGCCAACGTTGGGGTATCCAATGACACCAACAGAAATAGAACGCTTTAACTGCTTGCTGTGGGCGTAGGACTTGAGGGCACGGAACAGAGTATCCGAAGTACCCTTGACGGTCAATTGCTTGTGGTCGAAGCTGTGTGCATTGCCGGCACCGTTGGATGCCTTGAGAGGCAGGGTGGGGAAGTAACGGCGCAGGTGCACCAACCAAGCCTTCAGGACAGGTGGGGGAACGAGATCGATCTTGTTCAGAATGAGAATCAATCGCTTGGAGCCAGCATCGGCAGCCATGATCTCGCGCTCAACCTCCTTTGACCGAGTACCCTCCGGATCGCGAGCGTCGAGAACGTACAGCACGACGTCTGCAGCATCGATGACATTCTTGAAGACCTTGTCAAACTGGCGTCTTGAGCTCTCCTTTGGGCGAGTAGTCAATTCAGGAGCCTCGTCGTCGCCACCCTCATCCTCGTCCTCATCCATCTCATCGTCCTCATCCTCATCCATCTCGTCTTCCTCGCTCTCGTCCTCATATTCTGCAGCCCGCGCACGAGCAGAGGCGAGAAGTGCAGCCATAGGGTTCGAGTCCTCGCCATCCTCATCCATGTTATCGTCCAAGAGGTCGTTTTCGTTGATGTCCACGCCAGTGTTGCCACCCTGAGCCTGTCTGGCCTCCTCACGACGAGCACGAGCCTCGTCTTTAATGCGCTGCTGCTCCTCAGCCTTCAGGCGCTTCTTCTCCTCGATCTCATGGAGGAGCTTGTCCTTGAACGGGAAAAGGTTGGGAATACCCGGGTCCTTCTTGAGCTTAGACCGCCATTCTGGGTTCTTTGGAAACGAGAGTCAGTGCTGATTCAATTCCACACTTTTCAATATTCCTAGTAAGTACCTTCTTAGCCTGCTTCTTTGCCTTCTTTTGCTTGGCGACAGCGGCCTTCTCAATCTTGTGCCTCAGGCGGACGGGCACCCGCTTAGAAGTCTTTCCAAAGCCTGTAGAAGAGTCAGTACCGCCTAGATTTAGAAATGTAGAGAAACGTATTCTCAGAGGAGTGCGCTCATACCGTTCTTGACCATTTTGCCTACACGTCACTGAGGTCAAAGACGAGAGGATGTACAAGTTTCTGCGTTGCTCCGCAAAGTTGATTTCGAAAAAGTTGAGCGCCAAGATTTCGATAAGCGGAGTAAATGTTTGGCCGATCGCCGCTCAGGGCGAGCGGGTCACTTACGCGTTTGAGTACGGCAGCCGCCTCTTTGAAGCTTGTCTCCGTCTCTCCTCCTCTCTTTTCCTCTCTTTTCCTTTTTCTTTATAGACTTTTGATTTTCTCTTCTTCGTTCTCATCCATCTCCTACGATTACGCTTTCTTAGACACGCATTTTTCCAATCTCAATTAGAGTACCTCAACACCCCTCCGCAGACACTCTCCCCCACCATGACTATCACACCAGGAACATTCTCTGCACCGGCAGAGGTGCAAACCTTTGACGGGATCCTTTCCGACTTCGATGGGACGATTGTGGACTCTACAGAAGGTATGCGCTCGCTTGCGAACCTGTTAGCCGCTATGCGACAACCCTGGGAGCATTGTAAGCTAACACTCTACATCTCGTAGCGATTGTCAAGCACTGGCACCTGTGAGTGATACCAGTCCCATAAAATCCGCCGAGAGCCTCTATCTAACATGCATCCAGAATCGGCGCCGAGTTGGGCGTTGACCCCGAAGTAATCCTGGCCACTTCGCATGGCCGCAGAAGCATCGACACCATGGCATTATACGACAAGAGCAAGGCCAACTGGGAGTGTACGTTCCCCTCTCCAATCTACTGCAAACAGGCCTAACAACCTTGGAAATAGACGTCAATTTCATCGAGGGCCGCATCCCGAAAGAATTCGGTTCCGACGCCAAAGAGATCCCCGGCGGTCGTGACATGCTCGCCGCCCTCCAATCCTCCGGCGCAAAATGGGGCGTCGTGACCTCTGGAACCTTCGCTCTGGTGGACGGCTGGCTCGGTGTTCTCGGTCTTCCGCACCCAGAGATGCTAGTCGTAGCCGAAGACGTGAATCAAGGCAAGCCCGACCCAGCCTGTTACCTTCTTGGCCGTAAGAAGTTGGGCATTGAGTCGTCGTCGATTCTTGTGCTTGAGGATGCGCCCTCTGGGATCAAGGCAGGCAAGGCGGCTGGGTTCAAGGTGCTTGCGCTTGCGACGACACACAAGCTGGAGCAGTTGAAGGAGGCTGGTGCTGACTGGATTGTTGAGGACTTGCGCAGTGTCTCGGTGAAGGGCGTCGTGGATGGCCGGGTCCAGATCGAAATCCGGAATGCCTTGCAATAGGTGCGATCTAGGCTTTGGCTTTGGCTCTGGCTCTCTGCAAGAATCGGGGATATAAGAGGTTGTTACGCTTGGTGCTAGACTTTTTGAGAGTCACATAGCATTGACAAGGTATACTTTCATGAGACAAACGTGCACATAGATTATACATTCGCGGTTCGGCTGGACCCTGCTTGTTGGGATTTTTTTTATCAGTACTTGATGTACTTTGGTCTTAGAGTCGGCTAGCCCCGAGAGGGTCTTTTTGATAGCATTACAAGCAAAGATGAAAGATACCTAACAGATACAGATACATCACACGGTAATGAAACATGCTTCAGGTCATATTTGCTCAACACGTTCGCGAACAAGTTTTTGAGGATCTGGTTTCCCACTGATAGCGCCAAAGCAGCACTGTGCCGTTCTTTGATTTGCTACGCCGTCGCAAAGACCTTGTACCAAGACCCATCGTGATGCATCCGATCCTACCCAACACCCTGTCTAGCACCGAAGAATCCTGAATTCGACAGCTGACAGGCCGCCGAAAGCCAGGATTCACGATAAGGCATTGTCTACGAAAGGCAAGAGCGTCGCCTCAGCCAAGAATGTAACTCTATACCGAGCGCTGTACAAACTTGATGACAGCATAACATATTACAAGGAACCAGGATCGGTGAGGCTCGAGTGCGCCGTCATCTACGAGACGTGAGTGGCGGGATGCAACACTCACAGTCCTTGCAGGGCATTGTGGTGCACGTCCAGACAGGGCGAGTAGCTGGATTTCCGCAACTACCAGGCGGCCCCGGTATCATGCGAACCGGAGTTCATGCACAATTGCATCGACGCATCCAGGTCGAGCCGAGCGGAAAGCCAATCCAACTCCAAAGGTTGAGATCTGGTCCAGGCTCGGGTCCGAGTGTGGAAAGTACAAGGCGTGTGAGACCCGATGGTGTAGATGCTGATGCTTGCAAGGTACAGGAACGTACAGAAACGGACCCTCATGATGGAGATTAACCCGACCATGAATACCATTGTGCGGATGCCCCTTGGATCGGCTGGGGTGGTACAAGTTTCTGGTCCGACGGGGGAAAAGGGTCGAGGTTTCCCTAATCGTCAGGCTGCAGGGTTTCTGTTCTAGCCTTGAGTAAAGGGTGGATGTCATGCAAGGAGGGGTTAAAAAGGTGTTCAGTTGCGTCCTGCGGGTCGAAAGAGACAAGGCGCTTGTAGACCGTAGGCTTCTGACGATCAGTCAAATGAGCCGGGGATCTGGAATCGAGGCCCTGTTGCTCTGCCTACGTGATCGCCTTTGAGTCCAAACGGTATGCGTGATGGCGAATGTGGCGGTACTGCAGGACCATCACGTACAGTACGATGAGAGGGGATTTCCTTTTTGCCAGATTCCGATCTGAGACCACATCATCGGGGATGCCAGTCGAACGGCGAGCCTGATTCGAATGCTCTCGTCCTACGATCCTAGGTCTGTGTGCGTGGATGACCTGTCCAGATTTACTCTGATCAGCTGGTTGCATATGGGGGCATTGACCCACCTATTTGACAAATAGCTGCAGGGTGACCCCGGTCGCGCACCGCCACAGGTACGTATTTTTGGTCTTCGTACTTTGGACCTGGGTAGTTTCAGGTGCGCCACACCAAGGGATGAGGAAGGGTGGGGATTCGATGGAGAGTGGATCTGTCACATTCGGGGAGGAGCATGGACCGTGACTCAGAAGATCTCGGCCTAAGTCGTGGGATAGACCGGAACACTCCGTCTACAAAGGGGGGGATGACGAGTCAGGAGGGGGGTGGGGGAAGACCAAAAAAAACAAAACCTATAGAGAGAAGGCGGGGGATCGGAGGTAGATCTGAGGATCTCCCCAGAGAGGTAAAGTGATGCGATATCGTCACACGAACCCATGTGATGATCATTGATCGCTCGGAAAGGTCGGGGAATTATCTAGGCCAAGGTAGAGCAACAGCTCGACAAGATTGCCGGAATGGTCGAGATTTTGAGGTTCCGCTCCCAGTGAAACGGTTCACACCAGATCCAATCAATAGTCGGATGGAGTCGAAGCGATCCGTGCGTACGCGTCGTAGATCATTCCAGGGGCACGTCAGGCCGATCTTGATACCTCCACCGTGACACAGAGATGACGGGGATCTGTAAATACGGAGCGCTATGCACGCCATCAGCCCACTTGAATTGCCGACGCTCCAAGCTCCCATGAACCTTGGAGCTCGGAGCTCGGAGTTCGGAGCTCGAGGATTCTCGTCCCGGCCGGAGTCATAGTCGACGATATTTACAGCCGAAATGTGCTGGACATATGGAGACCAGCTTGCTCGGTGGGGTAAAGGGAGCCAGCGCAGACGCACAATGTGATTTGCGACGCTGATAGGCGCCCTGCACGTGAAGCTTTCAGCAGACGCGGTCTTCTGGGACTGCGGTGCATTGCCGGTTGTGCGCGGATGTCAAGGCGGTTCAGGTTGTGGATCTAGAAGTCAAGGTCGAGCTCACGGTTTCTCAAAAGTCGGTAGAGCAATCCACTTGCCACGTTGTGGTCCCTCTTTGTGTGGAGCGCTACCAAAGATGAGGTTGCCACTATTCAAAAGAGCTTTTCTGGGGAGAAAGGGAATTTGTAACCACCCTGCTCGCGATTCTCGGGAGATCCCCGGAGCTCTGTGAGTGGTGCATCGCAATGACCCGGACCCCGGAGGGGGAGCCTTGGACGTCTGCTTCGAATCTGGCCCTTTATCCATACTGGGCAGGTTCTCTAGTCGATCCTGGCAGGAGGGGGGCACCCCTATGTCTGAAACGCTCTGAAAGCCTTGTTAGGGTGGGGATTCCCTCAAGACTCCGCCGGGCTGATTCATGGTCATCTGGTCTACGAGAGTGGACAGAATGAATGGAATGTATGAAGAGAAGAAACAGCCTGACACTCTATCCGTGGATGGGCAAGTAAAGCCGCCCGACTCTAGAGTTTATATTCCGGGTCCGACCAAGGTGAAACGTTTTTCTGTCTGGAGAGGGAGAGTAGGCAATCTGAGGAACCGTTGGTACAGCGTAAATGTAGAGAGCTGCACTGCTACACGGGTCGGACGCCAGTTCCGCAGCTCCGGAGCCCTGTGCATGAAGGGGAGGTTCGTCTAGTGGGTGATGCGTCACTGCGAAGAACATGTGATCGCTTCGTGACTTACGTGCATGGCCTCACGATTTGACCAATTTAGCGCCGTGACATCTAGGTCCATCCTGTCGGGGCCGATTCAGGGCGGGGCCTTCAATTGTGACTGCCTAACGAGCAACATTAGTGAGGGGTCCCAAGGAAAAGAGGGAAAACAAAGGGTAAAAAAAGGGAAAAAAAAAAGGACCAAAACAAAAACCGAAGCTAGGCGGATCCTGAGTGATCGACGGGGGATCTGTCGACTATTGATGTTTAGCTTCTCTTGGCCGCTGCCATGCGCCTTCGACACTCTCAAAGAAGTCTAGCGAAGAACGCCAATTCCAGACACGGGGTGCGCTGACAGATCTCGGACACTTCCTTTGCCCTGCTTTGCTTCAGGACTCAATAGTGTCTTTTTCTTGCGAGATTGGCGACATCATAGCCTCTCATGGCCCCCGTCATCCTTGTCGATCATCGTGTTCCCAAGGACCAGGACCCGACATGTCGGGCTCCTATTCTTCCCGGCATCTCGAAACACAATGCTGCATGATCACCACCTGTATACAGAACAGCCATGACCCACAACCTACCTAGTTCACGGGGGCGTCATAGTGGGCATGATTACCATTGCAGGACTCCACGATGGTAGGATCAGATATGGCACTAATGCAGGAACTGACCAGGGCGTATCACAGCGGCCTATGCTGTGTATTCTCATTCTGCAGTAGGAACGTACCCTGCATGGGTGTTTAGGTCGATACCACGGATGGTTCCCGTTCCTCCGCACGCCAAACCATGGAACGGCAAGTGTTTACTCCAAAGCTGTTTATCCAGTACCGGTACCGTACAGCTTCCCCCCCCCCCCCGAGTCCTTTCTCGATGTGGAGAACAATCTCAAACAGCGGTTGATCCAACTAAGTTTTTTTTTTTGGGATGGCTCCATTTTTTTTTTAGTCTACTAAAATACTCTATCGAAGCCATAATCACCCAAGTCCCGGGGGATAGGGATGGTGGTAGTCCCCGGGATGTAGGCGAGATCGGAATTTGTTCCCCGATTTTGACTTGGATCACTTTCAGGGGAGGGCTCGCAATTGGGCAAAGCTGGGCAATCTCCCATACAACACACAGGCCGCCACCCCCTAGAACCGCGCGGGCGGGTAGCGCAGCTTCGAGTGGGGAGATTCATGCTGGTATTGAGCCCGTTTCGACTGACGATCAGATCTCACCCGAGCCCTCCCGGCAAAATCCCCCGTCCACGCATTTACGCTCTAGCCTCGTCTGAATAGAAATAATCATAATAATTAATTTCAAGGAAAAAAAAAAGCCCCAGGATTACCTGGAAACCGAATACCAGGTACCGATACTCGTGAACCCCAAAGATTCCACCCTCGATCTCCCCAATCACCGCCTGCCGCTGCGCAGCCCCGTTACCGCCCTTTTACCCCCCGACTCTTTCCTCTCATCAGCTCACTCTCTTTCTTCAATTGTCGCTCTCCTTTCTTTTTTTTTTTCAGCTTTGGTTGGCTCTTAGCCCCCGTCACTCCTTAAACACCAGTCTTTGTATGCCTTGATATCCTTTTTCACTTCCCTGCCGCTCCTTCTAGGGTCTCATCGACACCCGCAGTCACGATCCCACTCCGCACTCTCTATGATATAGCCTCGTTTCCTCAATACTGCCTTCCTCGTGCAGCGATCTCTTTCATTTACCACCCGTCTCCTCTCCTCCTCCCTCTCTCTCCTCGATACTCCCGCAGCCATGAGCTACATCCACCCCTCATGGAACTACCCTCCGCACACGGGTCTACCAATGGACCACACCATGGCTTACGACCCGTCCATGATGCCTCCGCCGATGATGCACCACATGGACGGATACATGTACCCCCATCCCCCAATGGAGATGGTCGACTACTACCACCAACCTATAATGGACTATGACGAATACACAGAGAATCTGTCGCGTCCACGATTGACCAAAGAGCAAGTCGAGACCTTGGAGGCTCAGTTCCAGGCCCACCCCAAGCCCAGCAGCAACACTAAGCGCCAATTGGCCGCTCAGACGAACTTGAGCTTGCCTCGGGTTGCCGTACGTACTCCGCTCCTCTCATCTGATGTGACGTCCCACTGACTCCGCCAACAGAACTGGTTCCAAAATCGACGCGCCAAAGCCAAGCAGCAGAAGCGCCAGGAGGAATTTGAAAAGATGCAGAAAGCCAAGACCGAGGCTGAGGAAGCTGCTCGCCAAAAGTCGGAGACATTGGAACAAATGTCCGAGTCGCGCCAAACTTCCGCCTCAAAGGAAGAGTCCGATCAAGCCCCTACGCCTAAACCAGCCTCCGCTTCTATACCCGAAAGCAAGTCGGCGATGGAAGCGTCCCCCAACAAGCAGCACAAGAAATCAAAGAGCGAGTCGGCCCGTGAGGCAACCTTTTTGTCTCTGCAAAGGGCACTCAATGCTGCATGCGCTGCTCGCGATCGCTTCACTGGGCGGGACTCCAAGGCTAAGCGCGACGCCAAGCGGGACGTTCTGCAGGAGGCGTCTCAAGAGGAAGAGGAGGATTCAATTTCTCCCACTTCGATGGCACCGCCTCGTGTCGCCCTCAGGAATCACGAGTCCAAGGGACATGCCTACCAGAACTGGCCCGACATCAAGGAGGAGTCTGCTTCATGGTCTCATGGCCAGACCGACGCCTACCCGGTGACAAGTCAAGCTGTTCACGAAATGCCGAACGGTTCACACTCCATGCAACATACTGTGAGTGCGTACTCAGGAGCTCAATATCATCCCCGGACCGAGGAATGGGCAGAAAGCTCCAAGGACCAGCTCTCGGTGCCTGGTATGGGACATGACGGTCTCAGCTACAACAACATGCAGTACGCTATGTCCCTGCCGACTCCCGAGATCTCACTGTCTCGGCGAGAGTCGTCCGATGCCTTGGCCAATTCGTTGAATGGTATTGGCATCTGCAACGCCGATTCTGGACTCTCGCAGTCTCAGAACCGAGTGAATGGCTCATGGAAGGAAACGGGCAGAGAACTTGATCTTGCCGCGAGGCGAAAGCGTCCCCGTCCTGCTGCCATCGGCACTTCCAACACTCGCTCGTTGGCCAACTCAACCTCCATGTCCTCTCTCTCGCCCACCGGCCGCATGTCCAGCGTTTCTGGCAACCCCATGCGTCACTCCAAGTCAGCCCAGAGTCTCAACTCTCGGTATGCTGGTGTCAGAAAGGCTTCCGCCGCCCAACGCTCTCCGCTGAATTTTACTTTCGCCGAGTCTGGCTCCATGAAGGCTAGCAAGGCTGACATGCTCCGGCCGTCGGTCTCGCAATCCACTCTCGCGCCGCCGACTCCATTAACACCGTCGGATTTCCAGCATTTCGTGCCGGCGTCGCCCACGGAGAGCAATTACTGCCTTTCCGCACATTCCACAACTCAGTTCTTCCCTTCCTCGCAACCCATGCAAGTCAACATCGCATCACCTCCTGACACACCTCTTGACATCTACTCTCCCTTCCCCTATCACAATGCTGCCCCGCCCATGTCGGCTCCGGCTCAGGTCGCCAACTTCCCGGAGTACGTGAGCTGTGAGCAGGGTCCCATGACGGCTAGGAGCTGGCAAGACACCAATTCTCTTTCCTCGCCCGATTACCCTAGCGGTCTGCAGGTGCCTCACTCAAGTACCGTGTCTCCCGTGGCATACGATGCCGGAGCCGAGCACCCAGGAAATGCTTTTGGGATCGATCACGTCTCCGGCTCGCCCACCTTAATCTACTCGATCGAGGACACCGACATGGCCGGCTCCGCAGATGCCAATGAGAGAAAGGCGACCGAGTTTATGATGCACGAGTACCCCGGGCAGTCGATGCACGGGGGGCAAAAGCTCAAGGCTTACACGTTTGCAAGCACGACGACGCCGAACAACTATCCTCCCTGAGGACGTTGCCTCGCCCATCTCTCGATGGATGACATGAGAAATGTGCCTCGATAAATATGCTTTTGTTAGTCTGGGACGAACCGCTACGCATCTTCTCGTCTCGCGGGGAATTTTGTTTCTTGTCTGTTTATTTTCGACCGCTTCACGAGTGGCCTGGCCTGTCTATGCCCAATCCTCCGTGCGCGGGGAGCAACTGTCATTTTGAAGATTTCTTACATACTCTGTCTCTTCTACTGTCTCTTTATTTGTTATGGTTCCATCGGGGTTTTACATATTTGGAGCATTCTTTGCATTGTGTTTATTGGCCTGGGATTGATTATATTGGGGGTGTCCGATACGACCTTTTAATGCTGCCGAGTTCCGCTCGAGACTTTTTTTTTTTTATTCCTTCTCTATTTATTTTTTGGGGGGGGTGACGGGCTCGGATTTGGATGGATTTTGGACTTGCATATTTGGCAGCATTCGGCTATCTTTTTACATATTGTTCTTGTCACGTACTGAGTACATTATTTCTGTCTCATAATACCAAAAGGGGCGATGTCTACAGTTGAACTTGGAACTTGAAGCTTGAACTTGAACGTGGTAAACGTTCAGTTTAAATTGAAATCTCCGATATTTAACCGACCTCGGCACCTATTCCAAGGCTAGATCACTTCCGTCGAAGGAATGGCGGCTTGGGAGTGTTTCTCCAGTGCTAAGAATGTTAGCGGCGCTGGGCCCCGCCAACCTGGGAATGCCATGCCGCACGTGTGCCACGCCGTTGGACGATGCCCATTCCGTGACTTCAAGACCCACCGAGCCTGGCTTCTTATCCTTGTCTGATGGCCCCCGTCGAACTATAAGACACAGCGCAAGACCGAACCAACCTTAATCCTTCGTCCTGATCTTCCTTCCTGTTCTGGTTATCATTCCCGCCATGAAGATCTCTCTGTCCCAGGCCCTTCTCGGACTCGCCATTTCGGCACATGCCTCGACGATCGAGTACACCTCGGTGACGGGCTATTTCCTCCAGGATGAGACCGCGACTGATCCCTCGACTTTCGATTACGTATGTATTGACCTTTCGTGATATATGATAAGTGAACCAACGATTTAACATCATGTCTTGGGGTCTGTAGACAGCCGTGAACTTTGGCCTCATTAACCGCACCTACCCAGCGGATAAAGAGCTCAAGCACCACCAGTCCATGACTCAATGGGAGCGCTTCTATAATCAAGTTCAAAAATTCAACGATGATTCCCCCAAGCACGTTGAATACAAGGTTCTCTTCCTTGGTCGCCATGGAAATGGTTGGCATAATTCCGCTGAAACATACTACGGCACCCCAGCCTGGAACGTAAGTCCAATTCCAGATCTAAGTCCCATTGCAAATTCAATAAGTCCAATTCCAAATTCAAGTCCAAGTTCCATTCCCAACCGGTGCATAATCGACACAACATGGTATAGCTAATACCCAAAATCAGTGCTACTGGGCCGAACTAAACGGCAACAGCACCGTGACCTGGTTCGACGCCACTCTCACCCCAGCCGGCGAAGGCCAAGCCCTAGTAGCCCACGACTTCTGGCAGAAGCTCATTGAGGAACAGAAGATGCACACTCCAGACAACTACTTCGTCAGCCCCCTGACCCGCACCCTCCAAACTGCCAATCTCACCTTCAATGGCCTGCACCTGCCCCACGGCTCTGCTCCGTTCGCCCCAGTCATCAAAGAACTCTTCCGCGAGGGTATTAGCATTCACACCTGCGACCACCGCCACAACAAGTCCTACATCCACTCCATGTTCCCTCACTGGACCATTGAGTCCGGCTTCTCCGAGGAAGACAACCTCTGGAACGGCGTCACAGCCGAGACTAGCGCCGCGCAGGACGTGCGTAGTACCAAGGCGCTCGGGGAGGTATTTTTCAGCGAGTCCAGCAAGAAGAACTCGTATGTTTCCGTGACGTCGCATTCTGGAGAGATTTCCTCGATCTTGCGAGTTTTTGGGACATCGTGCTTTCAGCTTGAGTACCGGTGCTGTTATTCCCGTTCTGGTCAAGGCGGAGAAGAAGGAGGGCAAGGCTACTTCTACATCTGTCCCGTGGACTGCTAGTGCGCATTGTACCGTGGCCCCGATTACGAGTGTGACGGCTTGTGTTTGCCCTTCTAGTGCCGCGCCAGTTACGACGCCGCTTGTTCCTACGGGGTATTAGAAGATGTCTTGCGTGCCCGAGATATAGTTATGTACAGTTTGTGATATTTCGATATAGATGGTACTTCTTTTTCGCCTGTTGTTGAAGTCATTGGATGGAAACCACACCTCCCAAAAAGCCAGAAGGGAAGGTCTCCCCCGTCCCTTCTGGATCTTATATTAGAATTTGCGTAATTTGTGATAAGACTAACCGTGACTCATTCAATGCTGCACTCTAGCACGCTAGTATCCCTAGTATACTGTCAAGTAGGGGCTGTCTCATGGACGACTTCCAGAGGGAACAGCAGCCAAGCAGATTGACTGAAAACTAGGTTTAGCAATACAAGTCACCCGCTACAACATGTTGAACATCATTAAAACAACGTTTAGACTCGTGGAGACTTGAGCTCATTCAAATATCACCATAGAAAAAACATATATAAATCCACAGGCGCAAATTGAGTTTTCAATGTCAGTGAAAACGAGGAAAAGCGCCTTCAAGACAATTTGTTTAATACCAATCATCACCCAAATACACACAGGCCACACCAATATCTGCACTATAATCACTCAATTTTCGAACATCATTCCATCTAGCAAGGATGATCCCAGCCGCCATCTACGAAACCAGTCAGACAAAGTTGTGTTAGAGTGAAGGGAAACCTACTGCACCCTTGGGGTCTATCTTGTTGACGGACCCATCCTTTCTGGGTCTGATACCAGTTTCTTCAGTGATATTCAGCTTCTTGAACTTGTACGTTTCCGATAAAATAAAGACAGACTTACCTGTAACGACAGCTTGCACTGAACTGGTCACCGGGATTTTCCTGACCCATTCGATCACTCGAGTCACAAAGGTACTTCCAGTAACTGTATTGATTTCTGATCCTGCAAGGATTACGAGAACCTCTTCGTCCACGTCCGCCGCCTCCTCCACTTCCAGTTCTCTCCTCGAGGAAATCAAAATTGTCAGGCTCCGCAGTCGGAGAAGCTACTGTCAGTTCAGTTGCCAGAGAGAGTAACACGGCCAGAAAGTAGAGTGGAGACTTCATGTTCTAGGACAGAAACTTGATATTGTTTGCGTGTGAATTTGTAGCAAGACTTGATCTTGATGAGTTTGGATCTCAAAGCTAGGGTGACTTGTCGAGATGTTATGTAGACTAAGGTGGCAAACCAACAGAGACTGAATCATCTTCTTGTCTCAAGAATGGGTCTTTCTCAATGATTCTAGATCCAATGTGAGCGTCATGAAAATAACCCGAATCATCTTCTTGTCAAGAATGAGACTTTTGTAATTCTAGATTCAATGTGAGCGTCATGAAAAACACCTTGCAAAATTAGGTGATCTCGTGGAAATTGGCTGGTTGCTCGACTTGGGAAGTCCTTGGCATGCCTTGGCACTTGACTCCGCCCCGTCCGCGGAGCTCGAGACCAGTGCTTGGTGATTATTCTCTCCGCTCGTCTATAGACGAATTCACTGGTACAATTAGGCAAAAAGAGTGTCTTCAAGGACCTAGGCCTAGATGATACCATAGTTTGGCGGTGTTGACTCCCTTCGATATACATATTGTTCTTGTACATCACCTGCCGTGAGTTTGGAAACCTTGAAGAGAAGATCTAGCGAACCTCTTTGGGCTTCTCCATGAGTTCTAGTTGACACTAGTAGGGTATCAAACTTTCATAGCACAGCATTGGATGCTAAATTGAGTCATGGAGAGGCCCAATGGCTGGAGTTCAGGATTACACAACGATAACATAAGATTTGTCAATCTACACTCTCGAAAATACATCCCTTTAACTTAAGGGAACAACGTGTGATCGGGAAATTGTTACTACTCAGTTTGTGAGCCTTTCAGGAGCATGAGTATGAGGGCAGGGGGGAGCTGATCGAGCCATGGTAAAGAGCGTCCTTTGCAAATATAGCTGCCCTAGAACTCCGCGGCTTGGCTTCACGCATGATGCCGGAAGACAGACAAAATAAGGCTTCTTCAATTCGTACCAGAATGAGCCCCTGTGACTACAAGATTCTCCTCTTGTCATCTTGACTCGTAGCATTGCACTGTGGTTGGCTTAGAAACAGGTCAACCACAAGTCAACCACAAGTCAAGCATGATGAAAAAGGCTGAGCCGGATTATCTGCCATATTCTGGCGATATTTTGACCGCTTTAGAAGCTCGTCTACGCTTCACAAGATGTGCCGGTAATATGGCAGCGACTTAGTTCCTTGGTAGTAACAAGCATGGAGTTCCATAGCTTGGTTGCTGTGTATCCCGCCAGCTGTACTATAAGCTTACCGTGGGTGGATCCACCAGACATGAAGTCTCTTAATTGATATCGGCGAGGAAGCAAGCTCAGATCCTTTATCAAATACATGGCGCAAATATTTCGAGGCGCGAAAATTGCTGGATCTAGACATGCAGCTTCAAGATGATGTCTTCGATTGACCGATCGCTGTAAGTAAATGAAAGATATTGTTGTAATCTTCACCCACGGAAAGAACCCTTGGAAGCTAGTCCCTTATTTAGTTCCATAAATATATCTAGACTATCCAAGGAATTGTTGCCGAGGATGACAAGGTGACGTTGGCTCGTATACCTAGGGTAAACGGAACAGAACGGGCCAATGACCTGGACGAGCCATGTTCGTTCTACGACTTTTCTGTGGCCCACGTCACAGTAAGAATAAACTGATAGCAATGGGATTTGATGGCCTTGGGAGGAAGCAGAGAAAAGATGCCAATTCTTGATTCAGACAGCAAATTGTTTTAGTACCGGGTTCCTATTCTACCAAACTTTGCCACTGAAAGGTAAAGGATGGAATTTTATGTGCTGGCAAGAGACTGAGAATCGAACCTCCATATTTTGAGACTGCTAAACGGTTGTATTGTTGTATCAAGAGACATTGGTCGCCAAGACTCATCACATCGGGATCTGTCATGGTGACTGCAGAAGAAAAAGTGTGGGCCGTTCTGGTTCTCGAAGTTGAACCATGGTTTATTTTTGATCTATCGTGGAGTAGATCGCGTGCGCCCTTCGTCTTAGTTCGCGACCTCTGGGTTGCACCCGTTTGACACTGTGGCTCATTTCCGGTTAAAATACCCCGCAGCTTCTGGGCCACACCTTTCTCATCATATCTATACTGACTTCACCAGAACCGTGATTATGTCCTCTCTGGCCCTAATTTTTCGTATTGCTTGCGTTCGGGGCCCGCGGTTCACGCCATTTGGAGACACCGAATCTACTATATGTGCTATGACCTCATCTCAGATGGCTCACATTTGAAAACTTATCTATGAAAGTACTTATGGTAGATAGGTGTTCTCGTTTATGGGGTTTAGTGTCAATCTAAAAAGCGCACCATCAAGGCACAATGAACATTGAACATCGCTCTCGTATCTTCACTAGTTTCATTCTCTTGGGACTCATTTTCATGAATCCTTGCGCTGCAGATGATGCGACATGGATATCTTTTCAATCCGTTAGTTCATGCTGATCCTTTCATGCGCAAAAAGAAAATTTGGTCTTGGGGTAGCGACCGGATATCCAGGCTCCAATCCTTGATGTGAGCATCAATAACGAACAGAGTGTTACTCCTGGCTCTATCTTCTTGGCACCTTATGAAAGGGCGGGCCCAGGGCCATATATCTATGACATGAAAGGAGTGAGCTCATGAGCCTCGTAGGCCAACGAGATCATTGACTGACGAAAGATAGGAGCTTATATGGTGTGGTTCAATTGGTTCAACCACAGAGATTTCCCATGATACCCATGTCTGTTCATATGCAGAGTCCGATCACCTCTGTTTCTTCCAAGGTGCACAAATTGGAGGATACGCTCGAGGTCTAAATCTGTTCTTGGACAATGAATATAAGCCTGCCAGGACTGTGCAGAGTGGTAGAGGTCTGGAACTGAGTGATATGCACGAGCTGAAGATTGTTGATGGGGACCGTGTGCTGATAACAGTCTACCAGCCAGAACAGTATGATCTAGTGTCGCTCGGCATACCGGCCGCGAAGGGTTGGGTTATGAGTGGCGTGTTTCAAGAGATCAACATAAGTAGTGGGAAGGTACTTTTCGAGTGGTCATCCCTGGATCACGTTCCTCTATCTGAAACTTATGTTCCTCTTGGACTTAACTCGGTCGCGGGCAACGGGCTGAGTAATACCCCACCCTGGGACTATTTCCATATCAATTCCGTTGATAGATCCGTTCAGGGCGAATATCTTATCTCTTCAAGACATACTAGCACCATCTACAAGTCCCAGGCAAAGACGGATCCGTGATATGGCGATTGGGTGGGAAAGCATCCTCCTTCGCATTGGTGGACTATAACTTCTCGTCGCAACACGATGCACGCTTCCGTGAAGAAAACCAAACCCACACTATCATGTCGCTTTTTGATAATGCAAGCGATGGCTGTCGAAATACTTCGTTTACGTCCGCCGGCATGATTGTGGCTCTTGACCACAGAACGAATACTTCCATCTTCTAGAGCGATTTGAAGCACCGGGAAAGGGCTTACTTTCAACCAGTCAGGGCAACACGCAGATCCTGCCTACTGGAAACGTGTTCATTGGATGGGGAGAAAATCCATCTGTTTCTGAGCACACCGCGGATGGGTCAGTGGTGTATTTCGCGAGCCTGAAAGACTATCATGCAATGAATTATCGCGCTTTCAAGTGGACCTGGACTGCCACACCATCCATATCCCCGAATATTTTTGCCCAAGCATCTTCTTCCGACACTCCGGTCACACTCTGGGCAAGTTGGAATGGGGCAACAGAGTACAACGGCTGGAACTTCTACGGAAGGGAATCCAGCTCTGATCTATTGGTACTTTTCGGTTCTGTCACCCGGCAAGGCTTTCAGACTACCTTTACAGTCCCTCGATTCTGTTCCCATGTACTTGCAGAAGCTGTGTCAGTGAACGGTACTGGACTGAGAAACACTAGTCTGAAAATTGTTACCCTGCCCTGATTGAGCAAAATGTGGTTCACGCGACGCTCAAGTCTTGTCTTGCTTTTTTATCTTACATATACCGCAATTGTTCGAGACTGCCCGGTCATGTCGCCCCCAAAGAATCCAGTAGTTTAAAGAGTATCATTTTTTATTTGCCATAAAAAACAACGTTGAAGTCAACCACTAGACAGACAGGGTAACAAAAAGACAAAAAAGGTCGTCCCCGGGAAGGCTCGAACTTCCAACCTCCTGATTAACAGTCAGACGCGCTAACCAATTGCGCCACGGAGACGATTTGATGGAAGATCGGTCCCACCAATGATCCATAAATGATGCTGCCACCATCCCCACTCACTCGTTTGTGCGCCACCCGTTTCCCAAATTGACCGCGCATTTAAGACTGTAAAAAGTAGCACTTTTGCGCTCTATCATGGTTTTTATCTGGTTTCATCGATCTATAGTTTTTTGCTAATATTTAAAAGGTCTTTCAAATCATGAATTCAGGTATCAAAGAAACTTTCGAAGGCTTCATGCTCGTCTCCATGTTTCAACTTCGTTCTATGCACAGATTTCTCGGTTTTTAATACATGTCCCTCGCACTTCATAGTCTATATTTGAATCTACTATTCATTTCCATAGCCATAACATGAATAATAACCTTGTATGCATCCAGTGGGTTTATTTGAATAGTATGAGAAAGGACGAGGACCCGTGGATTTCACTTCATGGTGCAAAAACCGGCATCGCAGGGACGACTATGTACAGAGCAAAGCTTGCTTCTATGAAAAGGAATCTCATATTGCATTCTCTTGGCGCCGCGTTCCTCTGTGCCTCATGAATGGCATCTCTATAGTCGTTCCTTTTCTTTGTCATCACGCCGATGCCGAGAAGATATTGTCATCTCGAGGGAATTGTTACAAGCCATCGCGGATTCCACGAGTGGTCACGATGCTGTGTAGCGTAGGCTTAGGAGAGGGTGAGAGTGAAGAGAACCGGAATCGCCGATGACAATATCGCTGTATTAAAGTTGGGAGTCAACGGCTTGCTCGTCGCGGTCTGAACAGATTCATCATGAACGTTTGAATCGCCACTTTCAAAGTTTCTCTCTCCAGAAGATACTTCTCATATTGCGGGATTCATCTAACTCACCAATTGCAGTCCAAGCGGCACCCAACCTTGTCTCATTGTTTTTGAGGATTGTCGGCTTCTCAACCGACACCTTAGTATGCGCTCAATCAACCAATGGCTTTTACTTCTGCGATTTCCATCTATCGAATCATGGGTCATCGTTCGTGCTCTCAGACGCATACCCGACAACATAAACAAGATCAAGGATAATTCTATATCTTTGGTGTCTATACTATGCTCGAGTGATCATCAGAACTGATCCTGTAGCTCCATAGCTCCACCTACAAACATAAACGTCGGATGAGATGAAGCAGCGAACAAGCTCAGAATCGCTTCGAATGGCCTCATGATCTAGTGTAGTGCATAGCGCAATGTGCAAAGATACCACACACCTAGGGCAATGCGCACCGCCCCACTGTGCAGACATAAGCGAATTCGGCAAATATGGTGGGTCTCAACACACATAATCTCAGCCGTTAGCTTCAACAAAGTCTCCGTGGCGCAATTGGTTAGCGCGTCTGACTGTTAATCAGGAGGTTGGAAGTTCGAGCCTTCCCGGGGACGTCCTTTTTTGTTAATTTGACCTATTCGCAGTTTGTTTTTGTTCTTGCAGAGGAGATGCATGGGGGTGGGACGTCGATTTGTGTGTGATTTCTGTCCCGAGCGGGGGAAAATGAAATTTCAATTTCGGGCATTCGTCGGAGCATTTAGCGACAAGACGATGTAACAGGTTCAGGGGATAATTCATTGAAGACCATATGAGAAGTCTCGGAAATAAAAGAGAAAGGACTTTGACGTTATTTTTTTTTTTTCAAGTGGTGGTTGTGCCTCCGTTTGGTGGCTATAGTCATACATGGTCACGTCCACAGTTGAGATGACCGCTTTCCTCGGTATTCCGGGAATGTCTTTTAACTAATCATAAGTCTTTGTTGGAAAGCCAAGCTTCATGGTGATCAAATATCACCGACTATGCGTATGTATCGTGCCACATTGGCCCATCTTAAATCAGACCAGCCATGACGACGTTGGTGTTGATGGATTCATATCGTTTTAACGTATCGACGTCTAATTTGATTGGAGGGACGGATGATAGTTGTGCTTGTCCGTCTGCTCGTCCAAATCGCGGTCGATCATGTTCGCGAATCAGCGCACTGAGGATTTTATAATACTCTACTTCCAGCCCCGGAGGTGGTACACAGGGTATACCTTGAGGGTTCCTTTCCAGTCTGCGATCACTGTGGGGTCCTCTCGAATTTTTCGGTTCGTTTCTGATTCTTTGTAATTAATGTATCGATTCTAGCAGGGGCTTTCGATGGATTAGGCTGGTTGGGATTGTATCCGGGCTGTACGTACCTTTGACGTCTTTCTGGTCCGTGGACGCTCTGTCTCTCACTTAATTGGCCTCGGCTATCGCTTTGCCCCTGCCATGTTACAGTAGACATGCTTATCGTTCCATCGAGTGGGGTCAACCTTGATGCGAGAATGGAATAGCCTTGTAGTGCGAGACACCTACCAAGCCCCCGAGTAGGCCTATTTGCGGAGATTGCGCGGGGCCGGTGATGGTGTTCAGGGTCTGGAGTTAGTAGTTATCAAGTTGCCATGGTGCCGAAATCGTAGACCGGGGGGGGGCCTTTTTTGTAGTATCTGGTTGTCTTCTAGTTATTATGCACTAGAGTATCATATACCGTGAAGGATTTCCTCAAAAAACGTGGTACAGATATATATATTAAACTTCAACCACAATGGGTTGAAACAAATTTCAACGTCAAATTAATTATTTAATCATTCTGTGAAAACAAATCCCAATTTTTTAGCCTCTCGGTAAAGTGAACCCAAATCTACACAAAGTCTACTCTTTCCTTTTTTTCTCAAGTTGCGCATACATAGCGCCAGTACTTAAAAGAGCCCCACGAAAATCACCAGTCATGACACACCGATAGAGGTTGAAACCCGCCCGCCTATCACATCGAATCGTCTCCGTGGCGCAATTGGTTAGCGCGTCTGACTGTTAATCAGGAGGTTGGAAGTTCGAGCCTTCCCGGGGACGTTCTTTTTTTGCCATTTTTGCGCCAAGCAGATAAGCATGCTATTGAGATACCATTTTGCCGACAGAGAATTTCAAACAGGATTGATTGAATATCACGCCCCAAGCTACGAAAGACAGAAAGCTTCCAAGTAATCTGAGCTTCGTTTAGAGGGAGTAAAAAGTAACCAACCATGGATCTCGTATATCTTGTAACCCCTATGAGAATGGATAGAACCTTGAATTCGAAGTACAGGGGAAGGAAAGGTCGAAAGAACCATCGCCGGCGCAATCATCACCAAATCCGAGCCAAGGCGGAAAGGGGCAAGAAAAGGGGTGATTATTGCGACCCAACTTGCGACATAGAACAATGGGGGAATATTAACAGGGAAGCGGAGCGCCAGAAAAAAGGGTTGTCATTCATAAAATGCTCTCCGATAGACAAGACAAGCAAGTAGAGGGGAATCCCCGCAGACGCACCCCTTGAATTCAAAGTTCAGACAGTAATACACAAGCGGACATTCAGAAGTACAAAGTGAAAGTAAAGTAGAATAAAATGCAACGTTTGGAATCAAGGTCATGGTCGGGAGGTTTAAAAGGATATCTCGACCATAAAGGAACACCCCCTCTATCAACCATGTATGACAGCCTGTGGAAGCATAAAAAGAACATACATACTCATATCTTGTAAAATTCGGCAAGCATCAACGCCGGGTCACTCTGAGGAAGAACGCCGGGAGTAGTAGAGATATCGCAGATTGAATCTGGTAAAAGGATATGACAAGGAAATAGAAAGTTCACATAAACAGAAGACATCAAGCGAGACACGACCCTGACCGCGTTGAACAATTGGGTATAGGAAGGCTGGCCCAGATTACCGATACCAAGAGTCCCACTTAGGGACAGACACGAGAATGCAAGGGGAACAACCAGAAATTGCACGAAGAGAAGGGGAGATCAGTGGGAAATCAAGAAAACAAGTACTAATGTTTCTGATGCTGGAAAAGGGAACTGTATCCAATATAAAAACGCCTTTCTAGAAAACGCCAGTTCGCATCTAGTAGCCTGACCATCCACCCAACGGACTGCCGGACTGGCCAGGCTGAGGTTGACCGGGTTGTATCGGTCCACCTGGCCCAGTGGGCCATCCGGGCATTCCATTTCCGGTCATGCCCATCGTCATACCTGCTTGCTGGGGATTTCCGGCCATGAAAGCTTGCCCGCCAGGAGCCTGGTTGGCGGCATACATTGCGCGAGCCATGTTGGGATTGTACCCAGCTGGAGCACCACCAGGGAATCCCATACCTGCCATAGCCTGCTGTTGCGCCTGTGGATGTTGTTGCATCTGAGCAAATTGTTGCGGCATCTGGGGCACTGACGGGCGGTGCTGATTGCGTGGAGACTGGTGGGGCTGCTGACCGTGATGACCCATGGGAGAAGGAGCCTGTTGGGGAGCAGCGGCCATCTGCTGAGCGTATTGGGGCATGTTTACCCCTTGCGGGCCCTGCGAAGACAAAGGCGAGGGTTGAGGTTGCGGTGGTGGCTGACCCCACATGTGTTGTTGCTGTTGGGTGGGATATCCGTAAGGAGCTTGTGCCATACCAGCAGACATGGACGGATTGGAACGCTGGTGCATAAGGTTGGGTTGCATGCCTGGGGGTAGAACCCTCATGGGGGACTGACCCATTTGCTGTTGGTGGACCTGCTGGGGGAAATTAGGCTGCCCGGCCATCATCGCTTGATGAGGCATGACGTGCTGCGCATGTGCAGGATTTGCCATTCCTGCCGGTGGTATTTGAGCAGTTTGAATAGGCTGGGATACTGAAAGTCCAGAGTCGAGAGCAGTGCTAGACTGAGGCTCAGTCTC